GCGTCTGTACCCCTTGCCACTCGTCGTGCGCCAGCTGTACAGATACGACCAGCACTACTTGCACCGCATGCTACTCTGGGTTTGTGTTGAATACTACAACTGGTGCGTCTGCTGGCACATGCATCCAGGAGTGCACAGGACAGTACGCAGAGAACTGTGCAGATGGACAATGCACGGCCATCGTTGGGGGCTCGAAGTACTGCAGCAAGTGCAAGGCCGGATACGTTCCAGTGGACGGCGTCTGTGTGTCGACAACGACAAGAGCAGTAACTGGATGCACCCCGGGTGATGGGGTATGTACTGCGTGTACAGGTTCATACTTTCTGCAGTCTGGCGGGTGCTATCAGTCAACAGTGTATCCTGGCAATACTCTCTGCTCTAGTGCTACCAATGGAAAGTGCACGAGCTGCACCAACGGGCAAACAGCAGATAAAAATTCTGGTTCCTGCCCGGCGTGTCCGGATGGCTGCTCAAAATGCACGGGAAGTGCTTCTCCACAGCAGTGTTCAGGGTGCTTCCCAGGGTACTATAAATCTGGGGATAAGTGCGTAAAGTGTGATGCTAGTGCCAACGGAATAACTGGTGTGCCTAACTGCATAAGCTGTGCTCCTCCATCTAATGGTCAAGGATCTGTCACCTGCTATGTCAATGGAAGCGGTGCCAGCAGAGCTGATGCCAACAGAAGTGGTCTCAGCCCTAGCGCCATCGCGGGCGTCTCTGTTGTCGTCATCATCGTCGTCGGGGGCCTCGCCGGTTTTCTCTGCTAGTGGTTCATTGGCCGCAGAAAAGCATAAGTGACGCTTGCTCAGGTAATAAATGTGTACCCACACGGGCTGTGGGCTTATCTATGCCACGCTAGGACCCTGAGTGCAATCGTGCGCGACATCCGGGAGACGGAAGGGAAAGCCCAAGGGTGAGTAGTCAGATGACTCTGGAGTCTTACCCGCGCCGTTTTCAGCCGACGTGAGGTGTCTCATTGGATCTGTGTATCGATAAGGCCCCTCCTGCTCTGACGGATCCTTTTTACCCTAAGAAACCTACCCGCTGTGGGAGCTGCGCCAGGGACAGAGTTCGACGCCCTGTGTATGACTGCGGCGGCAGAAGAGCCCCTGGGTGATGTACACTGTCACCACGTGCTTGTTTACTCTGCTCCACTAAGGCTGATTTGCCGGCTGCTGTCTGGGTAAATCTGTCAACTATGCGAGTCACCATGCTAGGCGGTCTCCTTACTCATCCATCTAGAATCTGGACATCGCATGTAGCGCACTCAGAAGCCGCACGGCAGCCCGTCCAGGCCTGGCCCATCTAAGGGTGGGCTGATCGTAGACAACAGACAAGGGCTCCCCTCCACTGGTGCAGAGGGACAACCAGGGGCCCCGTGCAATCGTTGCCTCCGTGTCTCGGGGAGTGCAACGCAAGCTGGAGATCAGACCAGCCCGGCGACCAGAGCAGAGCCCGTCACAAGTGCAAGGCGGTGGGCGTGGGTGCTATCCAGCGACCAGATAGACACCACAGCGAGAAGACAGGGGCACAGGCGGACACCACCCATTCAGTCCAGTCCATGGCACCAGCGGGCACCGAGAGTTCTGCCTGGCTCTTGCTGTCCATGTGGCAGCTGATGAGTACCCAGCAACTGCCCCCTGTCAGCCTATTTCCAACCACCAAGCGGACCCACTATGGAACCAGAATGACTGCGACTGAGAAGGAGCGCTGGCCCAGAACCACGGACTGATCAGACACCGAGGGGCAACAGAAGCAACCATCATCAGTCCCAAAGGGCCACGGCGATAGAGGGCCTACCCGTTCATAGAAGAAGCAACGGCCAAAGATAAATAACGACGCCCCCTCATAGCGAGCCACAGACCCACAGCCCCGCCCACTCCATATTGCCAGGATAGACTCTCGCTGCATCAGGACCATCAATGGAGCCAGAGCCTCAATGGTTACTGCCGTCGTGACAGATGGATGCATTGTAAAACGAACGCAAAGACCCGCCCTCGCCCGCTATGAAGCAGGACCAAAGAGGAGGTCGCCGCTAGGGACCACACGAGGCCGTGAGAAGGTCGGAGCCTGGACAGACTGGCGTGCGAGCACTTCTGGAAGCACATTCGGCCTGAGCACACGCCCGTTGAGCGATCGAAGGGGGCGCCAGGCTCTGGAGTACTGATAGAGGGAAATCTTTCACTATGCTATCCGCGATTACCCTTCATCTCTGGGGATGGCTAGGAACTGAGGGAAGCTTGCTTGTGAGATCTTTAAACAAAGCCAAGATAGACCCCAGCAGCACAGAACCCTGGAGCATGGAGTAGCGGCTACTACTGCCGAGATCTGCGCTACAGTCATCATGATATGAAGATGGTAGTATCTGTGCATGTGTCTTCAAAGGCAGAGGCTATTACCTGTGTGGAGATCTGATGTAGAGATATTCACTGTTTACTTTGGCTACTCCAAGAAGAGGGCCTTCATTGCCTCTCTGTCTGGCTATGCCTAAGAGTGTGCCCTTACTTATATCACTCTCCTTCTCTGCAAGGAGTCTCGCGCACTCTATCTGATCGTTACGTATTGTTAGCATGAGGATTGTCTTACTGCGATTATTCTGCACACTTCCCTCCTTCTCCAGGAGCAATCTCGTCACTTCTGTATGGTCACACGCCGCTGCTCTTATCAGCGTAGTTCCCTTGTATATAATCCAGTTGTCTATATTGAGGTATCATGACGCCTTCTGCCTGCCTGAAGCGAAGCAAGCTCCTTCACAGCTGCTGGGCCATTTCTGTCGGCGGCTCACATGAGCGTATGACACCCTTGTTATTGATTGAATCGACGAATTCCATAACATCTTCATATCTTGTTTTTGCAGCGTTGTTAGCACAGTCTTATCATCATTGTTTCTTTTTTCGTTTCAGAAAAGTGCTTCCTCACCATGCCAATTTCTTCAGTGAAGGATGCACACATGAAAGGGGTCCACAGGGAGCCTCATGCTCGCGAAGAAATATGGCTATGCTTGTATGCTTGTTCATGAGGGTGTACGCGGAGGCTGTGTTCCCGTCCTTGTCCTCCATCCCTTTCTTGTGTTCGAGGAGGATCTCCACTGCTCCCTGATGGCCCTGGTATGCAGCCCACATGAATGCCGTCATCCCAATGATGTCTGCATGCCCCTTCTCGTGGATACTGCTCTTGACTGCATAGACGTCGCCAAGACACGCTGAGCAGATAAGGCTTATCAAGCCAGGGACACCATTCTCATGCTTCATCAGAAGCTTCACCGTCTCGCCCCTTCCGTTCTGGGCAGCGATGATGAGGGCTGTCTGGCCTTGCTTGTCCCTCTGATCCTTTTCATCGAGGTGTTGGGACACCATGTCCGTGTCTTCGAGTGCTGCGGTGTACATGGGCATTGTCCAGCCAGCGGCGTCCTTCTCTTGTATCATGAGAAGCTTTGCAACATCCCGGTGACCAACTCGAACTGCGTGGACGAGGGCAGTGCAACCATTATTATCCTTCAGCCCCTTCTCGTACTCAATGAGGGCTCTGAGCGTCTTAAGATTTCCCTCCTACGCTGCTATTATCAAAGCGGCACGGCCATGCGAGTCTCCAAAACCATATTCATGCCCAACCATCACCTCAACAGTTTTTGCAGGCGAGTTAGTTGCAGCATTCATCAAGCTTGTGTTGCGTTCACTGTCAGTCTTATGTGGGGCCAGAAGGGAAACAATCTCTGCATACTCCTCTTCTGCGGCCATCATCAGAGCAGTCCGGCTGTCCCTATTCCTCTTCCTATGCTTGTAGGGGGCAATAATCTTGGCTACCTCAGGATGGTTGTTGTGTACGGCGTGCATGAGCGCAGTCCAGCCGCTCTTGTCCCGGAGGCCATTCTCCTCCCCAACAAGCAATTCGACGGGATCAACATGCCCCTGCTGGCCCGCGTGCATGAGGGCCGTCATCCCCTGTGCGTCACGCTGACCAACACCGAGTCTTTCTTCAAGCAGCATCCGGACGGTCTCCATGCCGTTCGTATGCGCAGCACGCATCAGCCTGGGCAACAAAAAGAGGCTGGACTGAGGGCCAGCCGTGTTCATCCTGTCACCGAACTGTGCAAGCCTATTCTCCAGTGCCTTAATCATGACTAGGTGCTCCTTACTTTGGTCTTCAAGTGCGTCGATCTTAGTGGATTTAGTCTTAACCTCCTCTTCCAGCAGCGCGATCCTGGCGTTAGCGCCATTCAGCGCAGCCTCCAAGGATCCGCACTTGTACTTCAGCATCACGCACTGACCCCCCAGCTCACCAACTGGGATGTCAGCCGCAGTGAGTGTCTCATGCAGCTCACTGGCTGTCGGCCTCCTCTCTGGCTCCAATACAAAGATCCTCTCCAGAACATTCTGTATGAAGCCATCAGTGACACCGCTCAGGTCCGGCCTCCACTCATCGACGAAGACCTCTGCTGGCTCCTTACCTTTCAGGAAGTCCGGTTTCCTTAGAGTGGCCATCTCGTAGACGATGACCCCGAGGCTCCACACGTCAGAGGCGGGGCTGGGCTCGTTGTGGAGGAGCACCTCGGGGGCCATGTACGCTGCCATGCCTGCAATGGTGCTCTCACTCCACAGGGCGTCCTTGCAGAGTTCGAGGCCAGCGATGATGAAGTACTCACCATCTGCGCTGATAAGGACGTTGGCAGGCCTGAGGTCGCAGTGGACGAGGCCTCTAGTGTTTGCCCCACTGAGGCCGTGGAGGTAGGCGAGGGCGGCAGCGACCTGCTTCATGACAGAGAGGATCATAGTGATAGGGACGGGGATCCTCCCTCGTTTGTGCTTGGCGAGGGGGCGCTCGAGGGTACTGTCGTGGCGGTCTATGACAATGTAGGTGAAGCCCTCGTCCGTAAGCACCTGGTGGTGTCTGAGAACGTCTGGGTGGGAGGTTAAGAAGAGCGGCCAGCTCGAGCTTGATGGCATCTACACCGTGCTGACCCAGACCGTCGAGCTGGATCTCCTCCCTGTGGACTGCCGGCAATGTTCGAGAAAATCATCTTCGGAATCGCTATCCTTCAGCTGGCACTGGCAGCACAAACAACGGGAAAGAATCCGGCTGTGACCTGTGCTGAAGATAAAACAAGAAACAGAACATATAAGACGCAGTGCACGCAGGCCTCTCCCTCCAACTGCCAGGTCGATCACTGCACCCGATGTGCCGCTGGAAACCCCGCAGTGTGCGACGAGTGCGAGCCGGGGTACACTGCTAACCCCGAGAAGACGCAGTGCACGCAGGCCTCTCCCTCCAACTGCCAGGTCGATCACTGCACCCGATGTGCCGCTGGAAACCCCGCAGTGTGCGACGAGTGCGAGCCGGGGTACACTGCTAACCCCGAGAAGACGCAGTGCACGCAGGCCTCTCCCTCCAACTGCCAGGTCGATCACTGCACCCGATGTGCCGCTGGAAACCCCGCAGTGTGCGACGAGTGCGAGCCGGGGTACACTGCTAACCCCGAGAAGACGCAGTGCACGCAGGCCTCTCCCTCCAACTGCCAGGTCGATCACTGCACCCGATGTGCCGCTGGAAACCCCGCAGTGTGCGACGAGTGCGAGCCGGGGTACACTGCTAACCCCGAGAAGACGCAGTGCACGCAGGCCTCTCCCTCCAACTGCCAGGTCGATCACTGCACCCGATGTGCCGCTGGAAACCCCGCAGTGTGCGACGAGTGCGAGCCGGGGTACACTGCTAACCCCGAGAAGACGCAGTGCACGCAGGCCTCTCCCTCCAACTGCCAGGTCGATCACTGCACCCGATGTGCCGCTGGAAACCCCGCAGTGTGCGACGAGTGCGAGCCGGGGTACACTGCTAACCCCGAGAAGACGCAGTGCACGCAGGCCTCTCCCTCCAACTGCCAGGTCGATCACTGCACCCGATGTGCCGCTGGAAACCCCGCAGTGTGCGACGAGTGCGAGCCGGGGTACACTGCTAACCCCGAGAAGACGCAGTGCACGCAGGCCTCTCCCTCCAACTGCCAGGTCGATCACTGCACCCGATGTGCCGCTGGAAACCCCGCAGTGTGCGACGAGTGCGAGCCGGGGTACACTGCTAACCCCGAGAAGACGCAGTGCACGCAGGCCTCTCCCTCCAACTGCCAGGTCGATCACTGCACCCGATGTGCCGCTGGAAACCCCGCAGTGTGCGACGAGTGCGAGCCGGGGTACACTGCTAACCCCGAGAAGACGCAGTGCACGCAGGCCTCTCCCTCCAACTGCCAGGTCGATCACTGCACCCGATGTGCCGCTGGAAACCCCGCAGTGTGCGACGAGTGCGAGCCGGGGTACACTGCTAACCCCGAGAAGACGCAGTGCACGCAGGCCTCTCCCTCCAACTGCCAGGTCGATCACTGCACCCGATGTGCCGCTGGAAACCCCGCAGTGTGCGACGAGTGCGAGCCGGGGTACACTGCTAACCCCGAGAAGACGCAGTGCACGCAGGCCTCTCCCTCCAACTGCCAGGTCGATCACTGCACCCGATGTGCCGCTGGAAACCCCGCAGTGTGCGACGAGTGCGAGCCGGGGTACACTGCTAACCCCGAGAAGACGCAGTGCACGCAGGCCTCTCCCTCCAACTGCCAGGTCGATCACTGCACCCGATGTGCCGCTGGAAACCCCGCAGTGTGCGACGAGTGCGAGCCGGGGTACACTGCTAACCCCGAGAAGACGCAGTGCACGCAGGCCTCTCCCTCCAACTGCCAGGTCGATCACTGCACCCGATGTGCCGCTGGAAACCCCGCAGTGTGCGACGAGTGCGAGCCGGGGTACACTGCTAACCCCGAGAAGACGCAGTGCACGCAGGCCTCTCCCTCCAACTGCCAGGTCGATCACTGCACCCGATGTGCCGCTGGAAACCCCGCAGTGTGCGACGAGTGCGAGCCGGGGTACACTGCTAACCCCGAGAAGACGCAGTGCACGCAGGCCTCTCCCTCCAACTGCCAGGTCGATCACTGCACCCGATGTGCCGCTGGAAACCCCGCAGTGTGCGACGAGTGCGAGCCGGGGTACACTGCTAACCCCGAGAAGACGCAGTGCACGCAGGCCTCTCCCTCCAACTGCCAGGTCGATCACTGCACCCGATGTGCCGCTGGAAACCCCGCAGTGTGCGACGAGTGCGAGCCGGGGTACACTGCTAACCCCGAGAAGACGCAGTGCACGCAGGCCTCTCCCTCCAACTGCCAGGTCGATCACTGCACCCGATGTGCCGCTGGAAACCCCGCAGTGTGCGACGAGTGCGAGCCGGGGTACACTGCTAACCCCGAGAAGACGCAGTGCACGCAGGCCTCTCCCTCCAACTGCCAGGTCGATCACTGCACCCGATGTGCCGCTGGAAACCCCGCAGTGTGCGACGAGTGCGAGCCGGGGTACACTGCTAACCCCGAGAAGACGCAGTGCACGCAGGCCTCTCCCTCCAACTGCCAGGTCGATCACTGCACCCGATGTGCCGCTGGAAACCCCGCAGTGTGCGACGAGTGCGAGCCGGGGTACACTGCTAACCCCGAGAAGACGCAGTGCACGCAGGCCTCTCCCTCCAACTGCCAGGTCGATCACTGCACCCGATGTGCCGCTGGAAACCCCGCAGTGTGCGACGAGTGCGAGCCGGGGTACACTGCTAACCCCGAGAAGACGCAGTGCACGCAGGCCTCTCCCTCCAACTGCCAGGTCGATCACTGCACCCGATGTGCCGCTGGAAACCCCGCAGTGTGCGACGAGTGCGAGCCGGGGTACACTGCTAACCCCGAGAAGACGCAGTGCACGCAGGCCTCTCCCTCCAACTGCCAGGTCGATCACTGCACCCGATGTGCCGCTGGAAACCCCGCAGTGTGCGACGAGTGCGAGCCGGGGTACACTGCTAACCCCGAGAAGACGCAGTGCACGCAGGCCTCTCCCTCCAACTGCCAGGTCGATCACTGCACCCGATGTGCCGCTGGAAACCCCGCAGTGTGCGACGAGTGCGAGCCGGGGTACACTGCTAACCCCGAGAAGACGCAGTGCACGCAGGCCTCTCCCTCCAACTGCCAGGTCGATCACTGCACCCGATGTGCCGCTGGAAACCCCGCAGTGTGCGACGAGTGCGAGCCGGGGTACACTGCTAACCCCGAGAAGACGCAGTGCACGCAGGCCTCTCCCTCCAACTGCCAGGTCGATCACTGCACCCGATGTGCCGCTGGAAACCCCGCAGTGTGCGACGAGTGCGAGCCGGGGTACACTGCTAACCCCGAGAAGACGCAGTGCACGCAGGCCTCTCCCTCCAACTGCCAGGTCGATCACTGCACCCGATGTGCCGCTGGAAACCCCGCAGTGTGCGACGAGTGCGAGCCGGGGTACACTGCTAACCCCGAGAAGACGCAGTGCACGCAGGCCTCTCCCTCCAACTGCCAGGTCGATCACTGCACCCGATGTGCCGCTGGAAACCCCGCAGTGTGCGACGAGTGCGAGCCGGGGTACACTGCTAACCCCGAGAAGACGCAGTGCACGCAGGCCTCTCCCTCCAACTGCCAGGTCGATCACTGCACCCGATGTGCCGCTGGAAACCCCGCAGTGTGCGACGAGTGCGAGCCGGGGTACACTGCTAACCCCGAGAAGACGCAGTGCACGCAGGCCTCTCCCTCCAACTGCCAGGTCGATCACTGCACCCGATGTGCCGCTGGAAACCCCGCAGTGTGCGACGAGTGCGAGCCGGGGTACACTGCTAACCCCGAGAAGACGCAGTGCACGCAGGCCTCTCCCTCCAACTGCCAGGTCGATCACTGCACCCGATGTGCCGCTGGAAACCCCGCAGTGTGCGACGAGTGCGAGCCGGGGTACACTGCTAACCCCGAGAAGACGCAGTGCACGCAGGCCTCTCCCTCCAACTGCCAGGTCGATCACTGCACCCGATGTGCCGCTGGAAACCCCGCAGTGTGCGACGAGTGCGAGCCGGGGTACACTGCTAACCCCGAGAAGACGCAGTGCACGCAGGCCTCTCCCTCCAACTGCCAGGTCGATCACTGCACCCGATGTGCCGCTGGAAACCCCGCAGTGTGCGACGAGTGCGAGCCGGGGTACACTGCTAACCCCGAGAAGACGCAGTGCACGCAGGCCTCTCCCTCCAACTGCCAGGTCGATCACTGCACCCGATGTGCCGCTGGAAACCCCGCAGTGTGCGACGAGTGCGAGCCGGGGTACACTGCTAACCCCGAGAAGACGCAGTGCACGCAGGCCTCTCCCTCCAACTGCCAGGTCGATCACTGCACCCGATGTGCCGCTGGAAACCCCGCAGTGTGCGACGAGTGCGAGCCGGGGTACACTGCTAACCCCGAGAAGACGCAGTGCATATCTTCTAATACCAACAAGAGTAGCGGCCTTTCTACCGGCGCTATCGCAGGCATCGCTGTGGCTGCTGTCATCGTTGTAGGAGGCCTTGTGGGCTTCCTCTGCTGGTGGTTCCTTTGCCGCGGGAAGGCGTAGATTTAGCTGTGTACTTAGGTAGTAAATGCGCCGACTATGTATACAGACCCTTCTGCGTTCGGTTTGGGTTTTCTTGGCGGCATACTTGAATTGATGTGGAAAGGGGTGCATCTGTTACAGGAGCCTCTTGTCGATGCACACAAGCACTCACTACAGCCCAGTACACATTTTCTGGTGTCTCATTTCTTCTGCAACTTGCGTATACCTAGGAAAAGACAAGCCCTTCTGAGAGTTATTGATCCAGTGCCTTAGAGGAACGCGGTCACTTCATAGGCCTTATGCACAGGCCAAAAGTCCATAGAGGTCAGCCAGAAGGTCACAAATCACCGAGCAGAAAACCACTTTGATCCCGCAGAGGGGCGTTGGCTCCTCTGCAAAGAAGTGCACTAGGCAATGTGATAGTTAGACACTCCCCTATTAGAGTCCTTCAGGATGATGGTCAAGAGGACAAGAGCAGCAGTTTTTCTTATCGACCGTGACATCCGTGGAGCAAGGGGCGTGCAAGGCCCCACAGGCGAGGAGCACAGAAGAACACAGGGAGCGTGGGGTCACTGGCAACCCGTAACTTTTTATATCTTGGCGGCCGGTCTCAGCACTTCGTAGGTGCAGATATGAGAAGCTGGGCTGAATGATCTGCTGGTGTAGGGGCCGACACACACTTCTCCAAGGATTCTGCCATGGATGACGACGATGGTAGGCCGCACCACTGCAGGACCGACGCACGCCAGAAATAGATGAAAGGCTCGCAAGCAGGCGCAGACTGGAGCGCCAGTCGCTAGCCGGATCACCCGCACAGGCACGCTTTGGTCACTTCAATAGATGGTTCAGTGGCACCTTAACGGAAAACACTGCTGCGCTCCACTTGCTGGCCCATTTAAGGCACGCAGGTTCGACTGGTCCCAGGGCCACCGCTAAGCGTGGCATGACAGGCTATCTCCCAACATCGGGCGGCAGTAAGACTCACGCCTACTTTTAGCCAACTGGGCTCGAAGCAATCCATGCCCTTGCGGGTCCATATTGGCGTGGTCTGTACAGCTATGCGCAGTGATGCATGGTAGGTCCCGGAACCGTGCTCGCCTTATGATGTGGTACAAGATCTACAAGAAAGGACTAGCCGAAAGATACAGGGTTCATGTGCACGTGCCTTTTCATCAGATCATCAGTGCAGCGGAGGGCCTCCTTCACGATGGCGACGAGCACTACCGTGAGTGGGTGGTCGTCTGTGTCCTGCCGCCCAGATGGCCAACTCTGATGAGAGAGTCCCATTTGTCATCTATTGCCATAATCAAGTACCCTTTCCTGTACTTCTAGATACCCCCATCGCTGGCTGACCACTTCGTGAGGAACTTCTATCCGATGCCCTTAGTGCAGGCATGTCTTTCTATGGAAGATGCAGGGATAGTCACTGAGCCGGCAGGCCGGAGTTTCAGGTAGCACCGGCCTCGGGTTGGCGCCCACGGTGGGCGATCTGTTCGGCTATAATCTTAGTTAAAATATGCAATTTGATGATAAGCTTGGCTGCCAGCTTCTTCACGACGCATTAAAATACAAGGATAGTATACAGAGAACAATTACAAGAAGCAGTATTCGCAGCCGAACACGGCTCAAACAACTATCTGATGTCACAAAGAGACAGATCAAAGAAATCGAGCTCATGCGTAGAGACACTCACCCCTTTTTTCTTCCTACTGATTATGACAAGGATGGGCGCATAAAAGACTGCATGAGTGTTGTAGAGCGTACAACCCCTGGAGTTCGATTTTCTGCGTTTGAGAAGCATGCCGGATATCTCTCCCAGCTTAGTGAGCCGGGTTATGCTATAGATGATACCGACAGAGTCAGCAACAGAAATCTCCCCGCAGAGACGTATACTCAAGCCATGCGGATGGGGCAGCTTTCCACGTTAGATGAAGATGTGATAATCTCAAAGAGCTCGCTCCCTTTTCTCTCTGTAGCAGCAGATTCAGGGTACATACTTACCCGTCGCATATGTAGCCCTCTGATTTCTGTTCGGGACATCCGTCTAACCTCGTCTACCCAAGACTCTGACATATGGAAGCACAAATCAGTTAGTTGTGCAACTACAACTACAACTTCACCCTCACAATGTGCAGCCAGGCTTTCTGCATTAGATGTTATCCTCTATTAGTTTTTGTCTTAAAAACTCATGTCGGCATTAGAGCTATATTTGGTTGGCGATTACAACGGTGCGATCGAGAAGTCTAAACAGGCTGCAAAAGATCCTGGGTCTCTTGCTCATCTCGCTGGATTTCTGGCCCATATGGCACAGGGGAAAACGGCCCCAATCCCCACAGGTGGCTATGCATCGGCTCTTGAGAGTATGGCTAAAGGCATCAAGGTACAGAAAGGAAGCGATTATCCTGAGTGTGTTTCTGTAGTCCGCGCTCTAATGGACCTAATGAAGAATGATCCTGACAGCGCATACACAGAAGTTACTGCTCTTATTAACCGGTCAGTGAACGACGAAGCCAGGAGAAAGATAGAGAGTGTGGGATTCCTACATTATATTCGTATCCTTGCGCTTTTGCAGATGAATCAGTTGCCTTTAGTCAAACGGGAAATGGGGCTTCTTCAGGCCGCCGAGAGTGGTTCACCCCTATATTCTGTAGCAGATTGCTTGGTTTATGGGACTCATCGATCATTTAACTCTCTGAAGGCTAGGTTTGGAGTTACTGAGCAGATACAGTATCTGGCAGAGCTACATGGATACAACCTTATTGGCAAGTAGCCGATTGTATAAGAATAATTATAGGTAGTGCTGTGAACGGATTTACTCCTCTTCCTATTTCTTCCTGGCCTTATTGAGGTCTATGGAATGGCTGAGCTCTTCCTCTTTCTGCAGGGCCTGCTTGAACGCAGATAGATTCCCTTTAAGCGTTGTTATAGCCTCTTCTTTTCTAGATAAAATGTCTGAAAGCTTCACTAGCCAGTCATCTATGGAGACTTGGTCGTTCTCAATTGCATGAAGTAGGGCAACCTCTTCCTTCACCAACTGCATCATTGAATCAACTTGGCGGCGGTGGGCTCTGACGATAAGATCCTCCTGCTCGTAGATAGAGTCTACAAGATCGCAGTGTGTTCTGACCATGTCGTCCTCATCTGTCGTTTCAACACGTGGTTCAAAGGCTGGCTTGCTATTTGGTGGGTTATAGTTTGGATTGTAGTGTGGTTGAGGAAGATTTTGCTGGATCTGACGTGCAGTTATCGGGGCCTGAGAAGCAGGTGGCACTCTTGCCTGCTGCGAAGGAGCTGCATTCACGCCTACAATCCCCGCTTTGTAGACGTCATTCTCATCGTCTCTAGCGGTGCCGAGAATAACGTCTGCGGCATTTTGCCCCATCTTTAGAACATTGAACTTAATGATACCTCCCTTCCCATGCTGGAGCTCTTTGACTCTGTCGGCATAGCGCAGAGTATTGAGGGTGTTATCACAAGATTTGTCGTTAGGACTGATATTGGCAATCATCACTGTCTGAGAGTTACCAATGAAGGAGTCACGTAGGACCATCGTGAGCTTGGAGCCCCTGAACGGAATATGTGCGCCAGACTTACTATCATTCGATTTGTCCATGGCACGGATGCACTCCTTTAGTGCCAATAAACTCTTATTGATCTCTGCACCTTCCATGCGTGTCTGCCTGTCACTGTTTTGAACGTCTGATGCTCTTTCAGAACCAGCTAGATCAATGAAGCTAATTCTACTGTACTCTTTACCAGACTTAGTGTACTTGAGTGCAATCTGTAGTATGGCGTGAGATCTAGACGAATCTGCATTTGCCCCGGTGGCTCCAACAGCACGAAGAGTCAATCCAGAATCTATCAAGTTCAGCATAGCGTCAACTGAAGAAATCTGCTTCTCCGTAAGGCCCGTAATTTGTACGTTCCCCTTTCCATCTTCAAGAGCCTGTAGGCGCTGCCGATTGTTTAAAAGATCGAATAACTTTCCGCCATATATCTCAAAGAAGCTCACAACAGGCACCAGAAACTTGCTGTTATTCCCTTGGCTGCCGTTATACACTCGCAGATACTCCAAAATATCGAAGCAGGCCAAGACATAGATACCGTTGTCCTTATGCATCATAGTGAAAGATTTCCCCGAGCCAGTTTGTCCATACGCAAAGACAGTGCAGTTTTTGCCCTCGAACACACTACGAATAAGAGGCTTTGCAGCGTATTGGTAAATCTCCTGATTGTCTGATTGTTCATTGAAGACGTGATCGAATTTAAAGGTGTGCAGATCTGTGTACTTGGTTAAATCAACCTTGACCTTCGGCTCGTGAATGGAAACCTGGTTCCAGCCATCTGCAGTAACGACATCCCGCTGGTTCTGGCTAAGCTCCTTGGGATTGATAGGCCTTTTTCTAATTACCACGCGGATGCGGGATTGGATTTGGTTGAGGAAGAGGTCGACGGGGGGTACAACCGTCCTGTTAACAGTCGGGATGCCCCGGGGATTAGGTGGGTTGGGGGCATTTGGATGATAGGGGATGGTTGGTATAACGTAGTCGTCGCCATTTGCTGGTCCCGAGCCTTGGGCAGAGACATATGGTGGCTCATAACCACCGTCATACGATTCATAAAGTGACATGTCCTGGGCTTGCTGGATATCATTCTGTTTTTGCTTGTCTCCGACAAACCTATCTCCTTGAGCAACATGGGGTGAAACATGAGAGGAGGGAACGGATTGGGGTGTTGCTCCTGTATTTGGAGCCGATGGCTGCTGCTCGAGGATATTCTCGCGCGATTTCAGGGTGGTGATAAGACGAAACAACTTCTGCTTATCTGGCAGCGCTTGTATGCCAAGTGCTCCATAGTCCTGAATTGTAATAGTGATAAAGCGCTGAGGGGTAATACCTTGCTGTTCAAAAGCAGGGTAATACTGTTGCAGATTTGCTGACTCGAGCCACTGGTAAACCAAGTCAGACATGTTTTAAAATGTGAATTTTGTACTTGATACTTTTAATGATCTATGGCACAAAACCACCAAGGTTTACCTTTCCAAGTCTAGGATAAAAGAGTAAATTGGTAAGAGGAGACAGTGTCTTCTTGCGCCAATTCCTTTACAAGGACTCTTAGTCTCTGGCATGTAATTGCGCTCCGATGACTGAGACGCTCCTTGATTTAATTAATTAAAACTATGTTTACTCGTGAACGGATAGAGAAAGCCGTGGAGATAGCTGTGACCCACGGCTACAAGAGCACACAGGATCCGAATCAGAAACGAAAAGACCTCTTTGATGAAGCGTCAGCCACTCACAGAGTATACTTGGTGGTCATTCTACACAACATACCCCCAGAGCCCTCTGAGATCCCCCGACCTATTCTGGTCACACATCCAATCTTCCCACTAGCCTCTACACTTAGTGGAGTAGTTGAGGAGAAAGACGTTGAGCTAGTTAAGACCAACGCTATCTTTAACAAACTTACGACAATTGAAGAGATACGCGACGTACATCTTACTTTCCAGATGAGGCGTGATCTTGTCAAGGCGTACGATGTCTATGCATGCAACACGAATTTATATAATCAGGTCCTCAAATATGGGGGAAAATCGTTTACTTGCAAGCATACCATTGTGTGCACTGACTCACCGATGGAGGCAGTCTCTAAGGAGGAGGTCATGTGCACCACGCAGCTTCGTGACCCGAGGGGAAATAACCTTTCAATCAAAATAGGCTACTTCAATGCGACAGACCCCGATGAGGAGGTACAGAAAGGCCTTACAGCCAAGCTAGCAGATAATGTCCTTGATGTGATTAAATCATTTGACAAGACTCTGCCTGGAGGCTTCAAGAACTGCAAGTTACTTGCTATAAATTTAGTGCCCGGTCACGGCTTACCAAATGTTCCTTTCTACGAGTCAGTCCTTCCCAAGAACGAAAGGATATTTGAAGAACATCCTATTCGGCCTCCAGATCCCCTGGACACTGCCATTCGAGAGCTTTATCGAGATATGGAGGAGCAGGGGATGATAGATGAAGAAATGAAGGCACTAGAGCCCAGAATGTCAAGACGCGAGCGAGAACGCGCAGGTCTTCCGCGCATTCGAGCGTCAAGATCCAAGCAAGAGCAACCTACAGATGCTGATAAGCACGTCTCTGACAAGGGTGAGAATAGCAATGATAGCGACAGTGAAGAGGGAGATAGTGACTGAGGTTAAGTATCAGGATTGAGAGTAAATCTATTGGGTGTATTTGGGTATATATAGAATTATACTAGCGAGGTTATATATAGAGGGCTTTTGCTGCTAGGTTGGCTGTAGTGTTGGGGGTGAGTGAATAACATCTGCGGCATGCACGGCGACTAGTATTTGCTGTGATGGATCACGGTGTTTCGAGGCAGTGTCTTTTGGCACTACCGTAGGTGCTACAACCTTCTTCTGCGGTCCTGTCAAAACCCTTTTTAATAAGTGAGGATTCTTACCAGCTAACCCTTTATCAGTACCAGAAGACACACCGCTGGCGCTACGGGTAGAAGCGCCCTTGTCCAGTGGAACTATGATCGGTAGAGTATCTGAAGATACCTTTGAACTTACAGATCTCAACTTTTCTGAAGAACGTATATCCTGTCCAAATGGCACAGTGCCATCTTCTTTGGTAATGACAGAAAGTGTCCCACGGCCGGCAAGCAGTTCATGCGTTGTTTTAGGAGCCTTCCGCGGATAGTTGTGGGGCTCCAACGGATGTGTCTCTAAGTCGGGATCGGGATCGCCATGAACATGGGCGTTGGCATGGGCGTGGTGCAGTAATGGATCGTCCTTTGTATCACACCCCCGTATCACCGGACTCTGTTGCGACCTCTTTGTTCGAAACATCACCATGCGACTGTCTTCAAGAGGCCCGACTGAGAGAACTGCTGTGTATGTGTTCTTAAAGGTGATAGATCTTCCATGGAGATAAGAATACTGAGATGTTTGCACAGGATTTAAAGATTTGAACGTGTGCTTTGTTGGGTTGGGCACGCTGTTTGCTGGGTATGAAGATTCTAAGGCTATTGGAAGCCTTTTAGCATTGGAATTGTTGATAGGAGAGACCTCACCCGACGAAACTACTGCTGGTGGTGCTGTGGACAGGGCATCACTGGATGCTAGTGCAGCTTTAGACGACCTTTTATCTGATGCACTGTGCAAAGCATGAGGAGTACCAGGGGACAGCAATTTTTCTGCTGACGTAAGAGCAGTGACAGTGTGTGATAGCGGCTGTGGACTTCCCTTCTCTTGGATAGAAGAAAGATCTGAGTCTATACCCTTAAGACATACAAGATTAGACGTTTCACAGATGGGATAGACTTCTGAGTCCCTACTATCAGAATCTATACTGAGTTGACTTTGAGCCAACGAGTTTTTAAAAGCAGTAGAACGAGGAGTAGTTCCAGCGTGCTTCTGCTCTTTATTTAATAGCTTAGATGAGACATGCTTTGCTGCGGCTTCTCCCTTAGTGTTTAACAAGTTGACCAGCGAAATCGACGATGGAATGCTCATAGGCGTTGCACCGATCCCCAGTCTGTGCCGTGTCTTGCCTGCCAAACTGTTGAAATCCATGCTTCTGGCCATTGGGTCGTGTAGTCCTGGGAGATTCCCCGCAGAATCTTGCTTGATCGATAGGCTCCGCTGTATCCGGGGGATATTATCTGTGTACTTGGCTGGAGTCACACGAGTTATCTGATGTGCGTCGCTGGATGGAATAGGGTCTCCAAACGGGTCATCGTAAAGCTCTGGATTGCAGAAGTCATACTTGGTGGTGTCTTGTGTGCGTGTTAGTGAATTAAGATAATCATTATGCGGACAGGACGAAAGCTGCGGGAGCTGCATTTTATCTAAGTCGTTGAAGGGAAGCGTGCTCGGCAGATCGTGATCAATAGTAGATAGTAGAAAGGTGTTGAGCGGAAGTTCAGTATGTAGCTTTTCTTGGTAATGCTGATCTGTAGTAAGGTGGACACCTAAGCCTCCTATTGCCGGGTTACTTCCTGATGCCTTTGAAGCAGCCAGTGAGTGGACCACTCCGGGATTGTGCTCAGACTTGCTACCGAGATCACTTGTATTGCCAGCTCCTTTTGTTTGGGTGGTTAGAAGTTTAGAATAAGGTTGTCGCCGGCCGCGCCAATCAAATAAATCCACCTTTCTTTGCATCTGTTGAGCAAGTGGCTGAGTAACGGAAGTAAACCCCGGCCTCCCGGAACCGCTTAGTAATTCCCTGAATCTACTATCAGGACCGCGGGCTGCAAGAGCGAACCCCTCTCCCCGCATCACCTATACCGCAAAACAATTTTTTGAAGCTAAATTGCCTCAAAGCTTAAGTCCTTGTTTGAGGCCTTTCATTCTTAATGCCTGCCATCGAGCTCTCTCCTCTCCAAGCTCAGTTCATGCCTGATATAAGCTCTCTCTGGTGCGTTAATCGCATTTCCACTTATACAGAACAAACTCCCGTTGTTATCTTGCTTTTCATGTCATGGTCCATCTCTTGTAGAGAGGCTCTTATCCAAATTCTAAATTTGCAACGCTCCCAGCCTGGGGTTTACTATCTTTGTATCTCTAAGGAGCACTCATCAGCCATTCGTAGTGAAATGCAATCTGCCCCGGAGCTTCTTCTGCTAAATGTCTTTACCGACCCTAAGCACGTGCTAAAACCATTCCTCATTGCAAATACTATTACCACAGTTCCTACTGCCATCCTTTTTGCTTCGAACAAGCGCATGATGTGGCACGGGCACGCACTTTCCCCAGAGTTTACGGAAAAGTTCACAAAGTTGATTCGCCAGTCACATATCAAGGTGTACAACGAGGATGCCCTCCTCTTCAAGACCTTGAGGTCATCTAGCTGTCGATCCATTTCTGCAAGAAGATCTCCAACAGGAAACGGCAGTACATCCCTTATGGCGTCGCTACTAACAAATAAGGTCAGTTCAGGGGACATTCCAGAGGAGAGTAGTACGTTACAAGAAGGCTACACAAAGGCGCACAGTCCACTTGTTAGAAGCACACGGATTCACCGAAGCAAGCAGCGACCATCCAGTGTGCAACGCGCAAGCCAAATAATACACTCAGCTACGCATGATATGCTGGCAGTCAGTCTTAGGGAAAACGATCTAGCGGTGTCATCTCTCACAGATAAGCAGCTACCACAAAGCAGCTACCCGATAGAGCGTGTGCTAGCTACCTCAGCATTGTGGAAAACGCTGTCTCCACCAAGAACATATGCACAAAGAGCACCAACCTCAGACAATGCGAAGAAATATCTAATACGGTCTCCCAGAAAAGAAAGAACTGATCCCCTGCAACCTCTGCGATCTCCTACAAGCATCATCAGGGCTGAGCTGTCAGAGGCAACAGGTGAAGAGAGTAGTTACCCATTAGTGGAGGAGGCACCACCTAGGCAATCCCTCTCTAAGCCTAGAATCTTACACAGATCATCAGTTGTCGCAGAGAATGTGAAGAAGGAACTAGGGTGGATGCTCATGAAGCAGGATAGCATTCTACCCAAGCCACTCCGGATACCAGAGTCATTTCCAGTAGATGTCCTCAGAGATTCAGAAGGCACGCAGCAGCTATTTAATAAATCTGCTGTATTTTTAAGACGGATGAACGTTTAGTCTGTGATCTATGAAGATCAATCTGTCGAATGATAGAACTTTTTTCTTAGGAGATCTTCAATATCGTCTTTGAGAGCTTCTGTTTGCTTGAGTACTAATTGCTCAGACTCCATTTTCTTTATCATTTCAGTGTAGATATTGCCTGGCTCCTCATCGCTGGTAATGCTGTGCGTGATTTTCTTTTCGACGTTCCCGTTAACTAAGTAAATTACAGCCAGGGTAGCTGTGTCTCTTCTCAGTGTTAGGAGCTCGACTCTCTTATATTTAGGATAGACGGACGCGGCAGACACGGCGGTGGGCTCTAGAGAAGCACAGGGGAGCTTGGACTCGGATGCTTGCTGCGAAAGTGGCATGGAATCATCTGTGCATGTGTGCTCATTTGTGTTGGTCGGAGTCGAGCTTTGCCTGCTATTAGGCGTAACTATTTGAGTATACGAAGGTACCGTATTCGTGGTCAAAGAGGACGTAACTTGGTAGTAAGGAGGGGGTCCCAGAGGTGTCGTAGTTCCATCCTTTGACACACACACATCTAGACCCTTCACGAGATCCAGTGAGACACCAGCACTTCCTCGCGCGAGTTGTCCATCGACCGAGGTTTGTTTAGTGGAAGCATGCTTTGGCTCGCTTCCATCTTGCTCTGAGAGACAGTCTGTGGCACTCCCTTCTGTGTGTAGCGCAGAGTCTGTTACTGAGAACCTTCCCGTACTACTGCGTTCAGAACTGGCGTGAATAGGATCTGCTATCAATGTAGCAACGGAAGAACTGATGGGTTGCAGCTCATCCTCTCTTACGTGGCCATAGCCCATTTTGAAAGGATTACTTCTTGTCTTCGCAGAGAAGATCTCCTTCTCAGGTAAAGTGGCATGCTCCAAATGATCCTGATGCGAAGCGTTATCCTTCTGCTGCTGGTGTTGGAGAACATCCAGATGTTCCCTGAAATATTTGTGTTCTAAAACGGCCTCAATCGATCCAAAGCAATTTGACCCGTCGATGCACTTTGTGATTAGTTCACAAAGATCTTTATTCTGAACGTCTATCAACGATGTAGGAAGCTTCTCATTAAGCAATCCATCTATGAGATACTCCTCTTGAGTCCACGGATCCGCTCCTGTTGCAATACAGAGCATCACAAGACCTAAGCTATAGACATTTCGAATAGCAACAGGCTTGAGCATTCCAAAATCAAGTAACCCGAAGTCATCTATATCGTCTCCATGGCCTTGTACTACATCCGCTTCAAGACTCTCGGAGAGCTCTTGACTCACATTGGGAGAGCTTACGCACAGATCCAACACTGCCCTTCCTGTATCATAGCCATGCTGATGATCACTAGGGGGTAGTATCTGGTCACGAGCCTCTCCCAAGTCTTTGGGCGTAGGCTTTTCTTTTGATTTTCCTGCCGATGAAATAAGTTTTGCTTCCGGAGAGCCCCTAGTAAAGGCAGATAGGTGAGCGTGAGAAAATTGTACTAATTCTTGGTCATAGTCGCAATCCTGCGGGCTCTTGGCATTTGTTACAGCGCTAGATCCAACTCGGCCATCAAGTTCAGATCCCATTGCCGTAGTGAGCTCCAACTTATCTGCCATCTTTGATAGCCTGTGCTTATTTAGATATTTTTCGGACGGCTTGGTCTTAACACATTGAGATCCTGCAGCATCTCCGCCCGTGTCTTCCAATGGAAAACTAAAACAATGATGGGATACCGGGGCACTTGAAAGGTTGCCACTTGCTGACCTCTCTATTCGATACTGCTGACTAGACGGAATCTTTGAGTAAGACGCATAGCCCTGACTTCCACAGTCCAAAGAAGCTATCGCTAACTCAGTCGCAGGCCTGAACCGAGCTATCATTCCACGAAGAACCTTGCAGCACTTGCTACAATGCGGGGAGATGATGTATGCATACTCCGCCTTTTCGTTCTCCTGAAACAGTGGATTATCAATAGGAAACCCTACGAAATCTGTCAGCAGCTTAAACAACCGTGCATCACGAGGGGAGCCAATACCGTGTCGAGATTGACAGGAGAAGTCTGCCTCGAACTGGTCTTTGATGGTTGCGGTGAGATGTTTCAAAAAGAGAGGCATATAAATAGTAGACAAGACCAGGAGTCGCTTCAGGAAAAGGTAGAGAATGCACGGACAGTTAAAGCTGGTGGTACACGTGTGCGCCGAGCCTGAACCCAATTGCTTTGTTCGGGTGTTGGTGTCCAATGAAGTGATGAAAGCTGGACAAATTGCAGGCTTGTCCGCTGCAAGAAAGTTTGGTATGCTAGCGCCACGGTGAACATGATCTCCCTGGCCAGACGCAATAGAAGCTAGGGTGCCTTGGTCGAGAGTAGCGGATCCCCTTGCTGTATCTGGATACGGTATCACTTCGTTCGAGCCCGTCCAAACCAGCCTTCCAGAGGATGGCGAAGAAGCAGGCATCACGGACCCACCTACCCCTTGTAGAACCCCGGGCCCTTGAGTGTCAACAGGTGCATCTCCTGTGGCTTTGAATCCTGTACTGAGTGACAAATAAGAAGGATAGTCTTCTGCGTCATCAAGGTTTTCACTATAAATATGATAGAACAGGCCGTTGATATTTTCGTGAGAAATGCTCTGAGAATCCCGGCAGTCTCGCTGTCTATGGTCAACAGAAGGGTTAGAGAGACGAGTGTTCTTTTCGAGATTCAAAAATTCATTGTACTTGCTCAACCAGTACGCTAAGGCTTGACCAATATATGATTTATACCAAAAGAAATCACGAGGAGATAGCCCCAGCCCTGTGAAGAAGGACATATAAAGCTCAGTCGGGTGTCTGTATATCATTTCGTCTGCGCGTGTCACTGACACAAGAAATGCAGAGGGGAAAAGGCGAAGCATGCATTGCTGCGTGTCGACAACAATACAGCGAGGGTCCAATCCTTTTAAACTAATTTTATGTTGCGAGACATAGAGCAACGAATCTATAAGGTTGCAACAGTACTTTTGAACAAGGCTGTCATGCAACCTGCGTGTGCCCTGGCTATTAGCCTTGATTTTAATGAATAATGATGATAGGAATAGGCCCTGAAAACTTTCAGTGACCACGATTAGTTTCTTGTCTCGGGAATTGATGTAAGCCTGCAGTACCTTGAGGAAATATCTCGAAAAAACTCTGGGGAAAAACTTTATCTGTATACTTTTCTGCAATCCTGCATCAATTCCTTGCTTGATGTACGTAAGGACTTTCCTATCTCTAACATACGAAAACTCGTCCACCGTGTCATGGTCGCTAGTAACATCCTTTGCTGTCCCCATATGATTTGAGGAGGTGTGGGCAAAATCTATAGCATCGCTGGCTAGTCGTGTTAGTAGACTCATGCCGGAAGCTGCTACTGGTGATGTACTTGCGGGGTGGTGATCAGGCTTGGGTGTAGTGCCCGGCTCCGCAGTATCCTTGGCTGCGCCAGCTGGAGGTGAAGAACTGTCGTGTGCATCAAGTGCACAAGCAGATAAATCAGTAGCAGCAGCAATGCCTCTAATTTGCGGGCCGTAGGGCCGTGAAGCGTCTAGTTGCTGCGGTGGGGTAGTAAGAGAAATATAACAGCAAAGCTGGTCTAAAAGAGTTAGGAACTCAGCAGCAGTAATATCGACACCTCCGCACGTGAGGGATATGTCGTATATCAAGATATCTCGGCCCGTGCGCACATCAGTGCCATAGTGCAGTGGAGCACCTGCAAGCTCCAGATAGACCTCTTTGTGTCGAGCTATGTTCAAAAGTTGAGAATGATGAAGCTGTGGAAACATTTGAAGCAGCTGAGGATTAAGGGTGAACCCGCCGTCTGAGACCGAAACAGGCCGAGGAGGCACAGACATGTGCTCCTTCTCCTGTAGTGGTGCATCCAACGTCACGGATGTTTGCAATTCTCCGACCAATTGCATTGTTGATGTGATTTTTTGAGCTGAGCGCTCAGAGGTTTTTCTAGATGTTTTCTAGTGTTTCAATTATAAATTTAAGATGTTGGGGAAAGCCGATCGTCCAGATGCTTCAAGTTCAAAGATGGCGCGATTCAGGCACCGGCCTCATGCAAACCCGCTTGCAGACAATGACTTCCAATTTCCGTGTACAGAGCCGGATGAGTTCCCTTTCGATCTATATTACCCTACATGGACAAGTCAAAGAAGTACGGATGCACGAGAGTATCATTTTGATATTGTGGATATTGGATGCGGCTATGGTGACTTTGTGCGCAATGTAAGCCTTGCTTTTCCCGATCTGCTTGTTATAGGCTTAGAGCTTAGAGACATCCCTGTAGTGCTGGGGCAGCAGGCTCTTCTGAATGGCCGCTCTGCAGGCCAAAATGAAAACGCAGCAATCATTCGGTGCAATATAATGAAGCACCTCCCTAGGTTGCTAGCTCGACAGAGCGTTAGATACCTCACTGTCATGTTTCCTGATCCTCAGTTCAAAGCTTCACATGCTCGGCGTCGTGTCATCTCACCACAACTTCTCAGTGAGTATGCTTACTATTTAAAGTCCGGAGGCTTCCTATTTGTTTGCTCAGATTTACAAGATCTTTATCTGTACATGTGCAGCACAATAGCTGGACACCCTTTCTTTTGTGAGCTTCAGCACGAAGAAGGAGCAGATGATAATGACGGTGATACTCGAGTTGTAAAGACAATCCTGAAGCTTATGGACAAAACAGCGGATGCAGAGAGACATATGAGAAAGGATGCAGACAAGACAGTATACAAGGCTGTTTTTCGGTGTACCAAGCCACACTGTATGTAAACTATTAAATGTTTGCATCTAGAAATTTTCACGACACCTACGAGAAGCTTGCAAGCATAGGTAGGGGGACCTTCGGAGAATGCTTTGTATGTAGAAACAAAGATAGTAGTGAGATCCTTTGTGCAAAAGAGGTGAACTATAAGAGTCTTGGCTCCCATTCTCCACAGATAACTCGACTGAAGACTGAGTTAGAGAAGAGTATGCATCTGAAGCATAGAAACATCCTTCCCATTCTTGAAATCTATGACAATCCAGACTTGTGCACTATCCATATCATTTCACCATATCGAGCTGGGGAATCTGTTGCTGAACTACTTATCGCTACACAAGCAAACAGTCAGGGGATTCCCGAGCAGGATATATGGAAGCTGATGGACGGGCTTTGTCAGGCTCTGCAGTTTCTCTGCACATCAGCACCATCTCCTTCCACCTCCCCAGCACACCTTAACCTTATTCCTTCTAACATCTTTCTATCTAGTCTCTCCTCTGTACTGACATCTGAGCCCTGCATAACACGCTTTATCTTTGCTGCAGACTCTATCAGAAAAGACGAGACGTATATGCCACCAGAGACCCGTGGAACTACAATTGCTACGCTGCAAGGAAATATATGGACTGTAGGAAGCATTGCATATGAGCTAGCCACTGGAAGGCGTGCCAGCGATCTATTGAGCTTGACTTCTCCCACCAATCTTAAGGTTGAACTTCCAGAGCAATACTCAGCAAGCTTGTCCTTACTTCTTGCACAAATGCTATCTCCAAATGAAGATAACCGGCCATCTCTTGCTTCTTGGCGCTCAGAGATTCGAAACTTTGAGAAGAGAAAGAGACACTCTTTCATCCCCCACGATATCCAGCACATCTCTCCTACAGAATTAATGTCAGCAGTTACGCATCTTGATATTCATCGTGTATACAAGTATTTGAATCAGCACTCTGCACGGATGGTAGGTGGTACCACAGCCCTTATGCTTGCCGCCGATCAGAACTTCCCAGCTGCCATCTCTGTTCTTCTCAAGTACGAGGCTGGTCTGTGCAATGATGATGGTGACACTGCTTTACTTATGGCATGTAAGAAGGACCACCAGGAGGTTGTTAAGCTTCTTGCTCCTGTGGAGGGGCATATTCGCAACGCAGCTGGTTTGGGCGCAATACACGTTTGCAAAAAGCACAAGGCTGTCAATAGTCTGCGCGTGTTACTGGACCTGCCTGTTGAGCAACAGTATGGAATCCTAGTTTCAGACGACACACCTCGGAAGCGCCACAGAGCATATCGTAATACAACCCTTCATACTGCCGTATTAGCTGACGATGCTCATGCCGTGGAGCAGAATATTGAGCTTTCGGGAATCTTTAGCTCCAAAGGAAGGACAGCTTTGTCCTTAGCAGCAGAGCATGGGTGTTGTGCTTTAATAATAGGCATGTTGGCTGACCGCGAGCATGGCTTACTATCACAGGTGTTGCTCTACAAGGACGATGCAGATAACGACCTTCTTTGCCCGCTTCCCCGCAACCAAAGTATTGCAAGACCAAACGTATCCAGTAACCCTTCTCTTCTGACTCAGTTCCTGGAACAGAACAAGGCGAAGCGGTGTCAGGATCGCTGGACAGCCCTGATGTTCGCTGCATATTATGGAAAGGTGGACGTAGTGCGCCTTCTTGTAAGCATGGAAAGGAAGATGCAATCACCGCACTATAAACATACTGCCCTTATGCTTGCTACTAAAGCTGGTCATTTGCCATGTGTGGAGCTATTGATTCCTGATGAGGTGGGCATGAAAGACAGGAACGGGGAAACTGCTCTTATGATCGCTGTTTCTCGAGGAGACATGAGAATAGCGGCGGTGCTTGTCAAGTATGAGGCGGGACTAACCAATGCTGTTCGAGAGACTGCTCTCTTCAAGGCTATTACACTGGGTCACACAGATATTGCTAAGCTTCTCCTTTCAGCTGAGGCACACATTGCAGATGAGGAGGAGACAACCGCCTTAATGCTAGCTGCCTCTAAAGGAAATAGCGAAGTGGTAAAGATGCTAGTGGGAAAGTCTATCGATATTGGCAAGAAAAACAAGTACGGATATACCGCTCTTATGGCTGCTGCCCAAGAGGATGCGCTAGAGTGCATTACAGTGTTACTTTCTTATGAGTGTGGAATGACAAATGCCAATGGAATGACAGCACTAATGCTTGCGGCGGCACGGAACTTAGAGCGCAGTGTTAAGCTGCTACTTGACCATGAGCTTGGAGCTAAGGATCACGACGGAGACACTGCGCTTCTTATTGCCATAGGAGAGAAGTCAGACGCTGCAGGCCTTCTTTTGGCTCAAACAGAAGAGGCATATATTCCCAATCAGAACGATTGCTACCCCATCATGTTGGCCACCCAGCTTAATCTTCAGTCGGTTGTCTGTGCGCTAATCCCCATGTGCGATGAGCGGATTCGTTACACAAATACTTTGACACCATTGATGTATGCAGCCAATCAGGGGTCTGTAGAATTGGTGGATATCTTGGCCCACGCCCAACAAGACAGTCGTGTACAGCTGTCAAAGACCAGACCTCTTTTTCTTGGTCACCAGGACAAGGACGGCTGGACAGCCTTGATGTTCGCTGTTGACAAAAGATGCACAGGTGCCGTTGAAGTTTTGGCCCCACTCGAACACTCTATTCTAGATAACAATGGAAACAGTGCTCTTTCAATTGCAGTGGCTCTAGGAGACATAGCCTCAATCCAGCTGCTACTCCCATATGAGGGCATCCAGTTTCTCACGAGCAAGAACCTCGATGAGTTGATAGAGAGAATCACTGATGAAAGGATAATCTCCCTTCTGCGTCGGGTCACCTTTTGATGCAGCAACAGACAAAAGCAAATGCAATTCACTAGTGCTCGTGCTTGATTTCGCAGTAGCTGCCAGCATAGTTATCCTTACAAACACAGCGGTTATCCTTACACTCTCCATGGCCGCTGCACTCCTTGCTGGGATGCTCGGGGTCAACACAGTGGTCATTCACGCAGTTATCAGCAAGGATATTTGTATACCCAACGTCACATTCGCACATGTAAATAAAGTCGTCAGGATATGGCGAAACGTCGTACCTGATGCATTTTCCGTGTCCGCCACAAATGCTACGATGACCAGACTTGTCCTCGTGGACGCAGATGGAAGGTGCGCACGTATCCCCGTCCAGCACCTCTGCATCTGCGCTGCACACATTACAGTGGAAACCTGCATAAAGGTAAGAGCACGTACACACTTTATTCTCAATGTCACAAACTCCCCGAGTATGACAGATCTCTGCCTCTCCCGACTCAAACATCCCTGTAACACATTCGTTAGGGATGCATCGCCCTCCAGACGGGGTGTAGTTGGTATTGCAGCCGCAGTACCAGTTGCCACTGACGTTTTGCTGGCAGAGGCCATTGGGGCACATCTTGCCATCGACAATACAGGTTATTGGTATACATTTAAATGTCCCTTGGAGGACGAAGCCATCATCACAAAGACAGATGCCATTCATGCATTTGCCGTATCCCATGCATTCGAGCTGGTTGAATCCGACGCACGTCTTCTTGATGCATTGATCGTCGATAAGAACCTCGTCCTCAGGACAGCTGACTGCCCATGCAAAAGCTGCGAGAGAAACGAAAAGCATAGACTTTATTAATTCAGTTAACTTGGGATTAGCTGCCCTGTTTCTAAAGGCAAAGGGGTTATCAGCAAGCTCGCGGACACATCTGCAGGTCGCAGCCCGTTCAACTAGGCAACAAGAAATGCGTTATCTCCACGCGTAGGAGAAAATAAAATCCATGCGTGTTCACATAATAGAGGGGAAGTGCACCGGCTGCGGAGACTGCATTCCTTCATGTGCGTACAATGTGCTGCACATGGACGAAGTCACAAACCGCGTGGTCATCGCTCCTAGCTACGGGTGTGTGGGCTGTCTTCAATGTCTTGCCGTCTGCACTCACGATGCGATTGGAACCCCTGTACGCTATGAATAGAAGGAAAACGAAGAAAGTTTAACATCAAGCGTACTAGGTTAACCTGAACTACTTTTTCACGGCACGGATGATCCCACTAGTTATTAAGATTAAAATGGCTAAGCCGAGTATGCTAAATATGATTGTGCAGCATAGGCACTTATTTGACTTTTTGAGCGTGTTCTCCGCCTTCTTTAAGTAAGTTGTTCCATCTTGTACGGCTTCGCGAGCATGGAGGACGTTTGTTTCTATTTGTTCAATTAGTCTGCTCTGCTGCTCACACATCATTGCTGCGTCCATGGTTAGTTGGTGGATCTCCTGAGCAGTCTTCTGAATCTCTTGCACCGCTCTGTTGCGCTCCATACAATCAGATAAAATCTGATAGGTGTCGTCAGATTGCGCTTGGATGAGCCTTTGTAGAGCCTGCGGGTCTCCGGAGGCGATGACAAAATCTAATTCTGCATCTTGCAAATCGTGACGAACTGAACGGATGATTCGCTTCAGTTTCTGTTCGTGGGCGGCTTTGGTGTCAGCCTGAGAGTTTTGAAAGTTGGAGGAATAAGAGTGAAACATCTTTGTCTTTTGGTGTAGCACATCTATCTTTTGGCATAGCTCCGGGCTGTACATGCCAGTCTCCTTGTTATGGGACTTTGCCTCCGCGTCCTCTTTGTCCTTTTCTTCTTGGATTTGCGTGTTTAGTGCCTTGAGCTTCTGGGAAATGGCATTCAAGGCTGCAGATCCTTCTGTCCGGGCATCCACAGACGTCTTCTCTGCGGTATTGTCCTCCATAAAACCCTTGATGATGTGGTCTGATGAAGTCTTAAGCCGCTTTATGGCCTCGCTAACTGTCTCAAAGTACGGATCCAACTTTTTCACCTCATTGAAAAAGCGACTGAGAGCCTGCTCTTTCGCTGTTTCAGGATCATCTCCGTCCGAAAATTCATCCACTTGGAGACGCTTTTTGTCAAAGATTGGTGCATCAAAATCGGTCATTTTAAATTATTTGTCTTTTTATTGAATCAGGGAAGTACTTGCAGAATGTACAGGTCAAAGAGATCTATTGTCGAGCTGGCAGCCTCGTTTCTTGCTGGCGTAGGTGCAGTTTTTCTAGTCCAGGCAGTCCACGCCAAATGCTGCACTGTACGCTGTCCTCTCTGTACTCTTTTTGGATCCAGTACGCAGGAGCAAAAGCCGACTTCTGGCGGCTGTTCTGGATCAAGCGATCCTAGCCAACGATGTGCAAACTGCACCTGTTGGAAGTCTCGGGTGGGCGACAAGTCAGCTGAGGCCAACTCTCAGCCGGGAATTTCCGTCCAGAAATCTGGTCGAGTTGCTCTGAATCTTGCGGCGATAAATCCAGAGCAGGAGCTCCGTCAGGTTGGCGACGACTCTGCTTCGGGAGATGACGCGACTTATATGATCTCTCAACCTCCTCTTTAAGCACGTTTACATGACACCATATGTTTTCTGAGTAGGGTGATGGGAATGCTTCTATCGGACGCCCCGAATATGTACGAGCCTGCCACGAAGGCGTCTATTCCACAGGAGCATGCATGATCTATCGTCGCATCCGAAATTCCTCCATCCACTTCAATCAGTAAATCGCTTCTCCTCTTTTTCAGCTGAATCGCCTTCTCAGCGGCCTCTGGGATATACTTCTGACCACCAAAGCCAGGCTCTACAGTCATAAGAAGAACCAGATCTAAGGCCTTTAACAAGTCGTCGCCAATGACGGAAGCTGGTGTCTTTGGCTTGATGGAAAGGCCTGCCTTGAGTCCGTGTGCCTTTATTTCCTCGACCAATCGAGCGCATGCCGTATTGATAGCTTCCAGATCTTCGTCTGGATCTATGTATGGTGAGTTCCTACCAGAACGCACGGAGGGAGCCTCAATATGAAAGGTAAAGGTGGAAGCACCTGCCTTAGCGGTCGATGAAATCCAAAACCCTGGGTCATTGGTCATAAAGTGACAGTCTAAAAATGCGTTGGGGACGGCAGCATGTAGGGCACTGATGACGGGCGGGCCAATGGTCAGATTGGGGACAAAGTTTCCATCCATTACATCCACATGTAACCAGTCTGCTCCACAGTTGAGGACCTCCTGAGCCTCCTGTCCAAGCTTGGAAAAATCAGCTGAGAGGATTGATGGCGCAATCAACGTCATTTGTTTTTAGCTATGCGAAGAAAGATTTAGGCTGCTGTGTAAATATTCACTCTAGTTATTTTTCTTATGCACTGCCTACACCTTAGCTTTACTATGGCTGTTTACTGTGACTGTTTACTTAAGGCACGGTATACTCTGCAAGGAACTCCGGTGGTGCAGGATTTGCTAAATAAGATTCATCAGGGGCTACAAGCCACTGCAATCACGAATCTCTGCATCCTTACTCGAGACTCGAGGGTTGCGCCCCGGCTGGGAAGCGCGGGCCTCACGGCGGGCGGCGGGCTGCTCTGCGCACGCTCCCCTGCGGAGGCGGTGGCCGGGGGCGCACCGGTGGCAGTACTCCGGGACGGCGCAGACCGCGCAGTGCTCGACGGCGCAGGGCCCGGGGGTGCACGCCCGCCCGCCGTCTGCAGGGACCAGCTCGCCCTGGCAGCGCAGGCAGGCGGCGCCCGCGCACCGCTCGCAGCCGGGGACCGTCACCCCGCAGGGCAGGGCCGCGAGGAGGCGGAGGAGGCGTCCGGGCATCGGCGTGTTTTCGGCCAAAAATCTGGCGATGTCTACGGCGCCCGCGACCTGGGACACGCACTGGGCGCGCCACTGGCGCCTGGCCTGGGACTACGTCCTCGGGGCCGCCGTGGCAGGGCTCCTCCTGGCGTGCGGGGCGCGCTCCCCGGGCCAGGCAGGGGACCCGGACCCCCGGCACAGCCCCCGGCGCCGCAGCTCCTTCGAGGGCCGGGCTCCCCCGCGCCGGCGGGAGACGAGCGACCCCGACGTCGACTGCTCCGACTAGCCCGGGGCACGCGAATCCCATAAAGTGAACGTCAACGCTTTTCCGGCACAATCACCGGGTAGTTTATTGATGGAGAAAAATAAATGTGCTGCTGCGACGAGGACATCATCGCCCTCATCTGCGTGGGCATCCCGATGATCGCGTACGCGGTGGTAGTCGGCTTTCCGGGGAGAGACCCCAGCAAGGTTGGAGCGGCATTGAAAGAGTGTCTCAGTAACAAAAATGGTAAGAATCTCCTAGCCTGCATCAGTGAGAAGGGGGATAACTACGGCGGCCTCTTCCTCTTCATAATGATTGTGGCCGTGATCTGCATCATCTACAGCATCGTCGTCCAGATCCTCAAGTGCGTCCTCTGCTGCTGCAGCTGCTGCTGCTGCGGGTGCTGCGGGTGCCTCGACTGCTTCCTCAAGTACGCGTTCCGCATCGGGGTCGGAGTCGGGTACCCCTCGCTCGCGGACTTCCTCACGTACCTGATCACCTCCGTGCTGGCGAAGAACGGGAACGGTGGTAATACGTCGTTCAGCAACGCCGTGGGCGGCTACAGCGGGCTGTCGATGGTCTCCCTCGCGGCCGGCTGGGCCTTCACCGTGGTCATCGGCTCGTTCTTCATCCACAAGGACAGCTGCGGGCTGAAGTTCCTCGGGCTCATTCTGGGCTGCATCGTCGCCTTCGTCGTCATCGCGGCCATCGTCCCGGCGGGCCCCCGCGGCCTCCTTGAGGGCCCCTCCAACAAGTGGGCGGGCGTGGTCCTCGGGCTCGTCGACGTGGTAGTCTTCACAGCCATGTACGCCGCGGCGCTCTGCTGCCTGGGCGGCGGGTGCTGCAAGTAAACGGCGCCCGGCCTACTGCTCGGTCTCCTCGTAGATCGTGATCTCGGAGCAGTCTGCGCACCGGAGCCCGCTGTCCTCCGAGACGGGGACCTGGAAGATCACCCTGCAGAAGCGCATGAACCGGTTTGCGTACGCGTCGCTCGGGACCGCGGAGATCCCGTCCTTGTCTGCGCACAGCCCCTTCGCCCTGCGCTCGACGTGCTTGATGCTCCTGAACTCGGTGAGGAAGTCGACGACGCCCATGTGGAGGACCCGGTAGTAGAGGGCCGACCCCCGCAGCGTGGGCCCCAGGGCGCAGGCGGGGGAGAACGCGTAGAGCCCGCCCTCCTCGCTGTGGAAGATGTCGCTGCTCTGGATGGCCGCCTCGAACGTGAAGCGGCGCCGGAAGACCTCCCGGAGGTACTCGTCGGGGGGCAGCGCGGCGAGGAACGCGGACGTCCCCCGGCTCCCCCCGGCCGCGATGCTGTGGCCCACCGGGGGCAGCATGTCCGAGACGTCCCGCGTGCTGAGGATGACTCTTCACCGATATTCCTTAGTAAGCTTAGTCAATGGTAAGTATAACGTCTTGTAGACGACGAGTGACAGTAATTCACCGTGTTTTCCCAGGGCCTCTAAACTAAGAGAGCCTGACAACAAAGTGCTCAAATTGCGGTTCAAGGCACGCATTATGAAGACATTGGCATCGCCGCTTTTTTAGGTTTCTGCGCCGGCCTACTAGGCAGTCAAAATAGTACAAAAATTTCCAAATTGATGTTTAAACAATTTTAGATGTGCAAAGACTTTCATCGACCTCTTACTGGTTGACAGCGAATAGCTGTTTACACACAGAAATTCCGTTATTGGTTTTCTTCGATAAATAAATTTCAAGAATCTTCGATTGCGCTGAATAAGTCAATGTTCCTTCAATCGTTGAGAAAAATAAATGTGCTGTGATGAGGATGTCATTGCCCTCATCTGCGTGGGTGTCCCGATGGTTGTGTATGCCCTGATTGTAGGGTTCCAGAAAAGGAACCCAGCTGCTGTTGGTCAAGCGCTAAAGACTTGTTTTAATGACAACAAATCTATATGGAAAAAAGACCCTTTGAAGTGCCTTGCTGGTACTAAATATGGTGGCTTGTTTCTCTTCATAATGATCGTGGCCGTGATCTGCATCATTTACGGGATTGTTGTTCAGATACTCAAATGTATTTTGTGTTGCTGTAATTGTTGTTGCGGGTGCTGCGGGTGCCTCGACTGCTTCCTCAAGTACGCGTTCCGCATCGGGGTCGGCGTCGGGTACCCCTCTTTGATGGATTTTCTTACATATTTGATCTCTGCTTCGGTAGCGAAGAATAACAACTGGGTAGACAACAATCTCTCCAAGAGAGGCGCATTCAACAATGCAGTGGGAGGTTACAGTGGCATATCAATGCTATCTCTTGCGGCCGGTTGGGTCTTCACTGTGGTCATCGGCTCATTTTTCATCCAGAAAGACAGCTGCGGCCTGAAATTCTTAGGGCTTATTCTAGGTTGTATCGTCGCCTTCGTCATTATCGCAGCTGTTGTCCCAGCAGATCCTCGTAATTTATACTCTGGTAAAGCCTTTAACAATCAGCTTTTCATTAGCAAGGAAGCCAGGTGGGGCGGCGTTCTCCTCGGCTTCATCAATGTAGGAGTTTTCACAGGCATGTATGCTGCTGCCCTGTGTTGCTTGAACGGCTGCTGCTGTTGCAAGTAAATAGTGGTGTCCCCGTGCAGACTTTTCTTTTTGACAAAAATCACGGTTGCTAGATGGACATCGGGGTCGCAGTTCAGGCTCTAGAGGTGAGTCTGAGAGGCTTCTGCTACCCAGCGATGTACCTCAACGCGGACAGATTCAGCACAGGAGCATCTGAGGACCTGGTGGCACTTGTCGCCCAGATTCTTGAGCGGTGCCACCCTTCCATCCAAGCGTACCTCTCAACGAAGGGTTATTATACACCACTAACTAAGTTCACTGGGCCCGACTGGTACAGGTGTTTTGAGTCATTCATGCGTGAAAACATCCATACTGTTGAAAACTCATCATCTGTGCCTATACTCCCGTCATCGTCGTGGGAGAAGCATTCCTTTGCCGTCGCTAAGGTCAAGGAGGTACTGGGGTTTGTGCGGATACTCAAAGCAGCCGTGCCGAAGAAGAAGCGATCTCTTCAGGAGCACCGACCGACCTCCAGCCTGACTCAAGCACTGAAGACCAGTCGGGTTGGGCTAGAGGGCGTGGAGCTCACAACGCCTGAAGATTGCAACTCTAAGCAGATGCTCCGTTTTGCATTCGATGGAGCAGACTCAACAGATTCTCTCGAAGATGCAATAGATAACGAGAGTCATCACTATCACATGAGCAGTAGAATCACAGAATATCAAAGGAATAGCGATCAATCTAAGGCACCCAGTGGACAGTTCAGTGACAGCCATGATCGTGCCCGTTACAGAGGCAAGAGTGACAGAGACTCTGCTGATACTGCTCGCTCCCCTCGATCACTGCACTCACTTCAGGCCCCCAGCAACCTGAGTGCAAGACGCAGTGCACAATCGTTGGATTGCCTACCGCAATATAGCCGGCCATCGTCTTCCAGGAGAGGCTCAGTCCTCACGGAGCTGAATGAGCATACTATCAGAGATGTATTCTACGAGGTGGAGAAGGCTGTGCATGGAATCCAGGTCTTGAATGCAAAGGTGGATGCAGTATTTGGGAGACTCGATTTGCTGGAGCAGAGATTAGACCAAATATTCACTAAGCTCTGATGGGCTCCTGTGAACCCAAAGTAAATCTCTAGTTAAAAATGTCTGAGGAGTATGACATCCAAAAGGAAGTCGTGGAGGACGAGCTTGCCCAGTTCAAGCGGGACTATGATAAGGTGGCAGCCAATCCAGCCTTCTATTATGCCAGCTCCGCAGGTGACGCATTTCAAGTTATGAGGAAGGTACTTGTCAAGGCGGGCCGAGACCTCTCTCTCCTCGAAAAGGAGATACTTGGTGCGCGTGACCCTGCTGTCAGAGAGCAGCGGGAAATGGAGTACAGTAACCTAAAGAAGCTTTATGAAAGCTATAGAACCAAACTTAACGATCTTGAGGTGCAATCCCGAGAGGCTGCGATGAACTCTGGGGCCATCCAGGACGAGCCACTAACAGCTGAGCAGCGACTCGGCGCCGCAGTAGTCATACAGGAGGATACGAATGTTCGTGTAAAGGATACAATCAACATAATGCAGGAGGTCGTAGTGATGAATGATGCCATACTTGAATCGCTGGACCGTGATATGGAGCGTCTCAACCGCGTCTCTGAGGAGCTCGACGGGATTCAGGCAGACGCTGCGCTTGCTCGGCGGCAGCTTCGGAACGTCATGCGGGCCCTGGCCTCAAATAAGTGCATGCTCTGTGTCATGATGGTCATCTGCATCATTGTGCTAATAGTTAGCATCGTAGACCTAGCACAGGCCACCAAGAAGTGAAGGTGGTTTACTAGAGATAAATAGTACAAGTAAGTTATAGATCAACGTGACTGATGCTGGCTCTGCATCGGCCTACTGTAAATTCCATTATACTTTCTGCTCACTTGATCTTGCAGAGGAGCCTATTAGACATGTTGAAGAGCCGCTCCAGTCCCATCTTATCGTTCATGGGATTATCAGGAATAAAGGAGGGCTTGTAAGGGAGAGCAGGGTATATTCTATCGCTGTGGATAAGGATTTCCCCGAAGACCTTGTTGAGGCTGTCGGCAGGGCCAGAATGGCGGACTTGGAAGTTGCTGGACGACCTCTGAACAAGAGATTGCGAGTTCAGCGGCCTGGCCGCTCTAGATGCTGCGTGCTGTGATGTACTCTGTGCTCTGGTAACATCTGCCAGCGTAGGAAGTGGATCTAAGACACGGTCACTCCCACTTACACTATGTCGTAGGTGCTCGTCTGATGTGTGGCTGGAATTAGGGCCGGAACCCCTGCTACTAAAGGCCCATGAGGGACGTGTGACACGCTCCGAAACAGGGAAAATGGGAAGCTGAAGGACGTCATTTGTTAAGATAGGAGGGATGGAGAGATTACATGACACCCGTAGCCTCTGCAGCGCATACACGAAGTTCTGGCTTTGCGCATGCCCAGACCAAACAAGTCGCTGCATGTGGTTGAATACCATTGTTGCTGGGAGAAGAGTAATACCATTTCGCTTCATGAATGCTGCAAAACAGCCTTGGACATCACTAGCAACGCTAATGCGATGAAGATACGAAATTTTATGCACGGTGTCCTGTAAATCGGTCGGATGCTCAATAGAGATGGCGAGGAAGTAGACCATTGGCATCAGTTCACGAGCATTCGCGATCACACGCAAGGAGTCTTGAGAGAAATTGGATCTGCTATTGAACATGATAACCACAATTGGATGGCCCATTCCTTCATAGACGCCTGACCGCTTTATATAAACGAGATCCTCCAAGCGAGGAAGGACTTTAAGTGAGTCCGCGTTTGTAGCGTTAGGCAGAGTAATCTTCATTTTAAACCAATTTTAGATTTTTGACAATACACAAGTGCGAGTGAAAAACGTCAGATCATATACGAGGCATCATTCATACAGGTCTATAGAGACATCACTGTTCAGAAGCTTTGGAAAGTCTTCTTGGAGAGCAGCGCAGACGTCGTCGAGCGATACACGAGACTCTTCCCAGTCCAGACACCTCAGGGCCAAACGGCCCAACTTGGCCCTCTCAGGATCAAGTGTCTTCACTATTTGCTCAAAGGGCTCCCGGTCTCTGCCAGCCTCCTTGACGAGGGTCTTCACAGTGTCCGCCACTGACGAATCAACTCTTTTTAGAAACTCGTCGACTCCGCTTTTTGGCATGATGCGAATGCACTCGGAAAACGTAGCTATGCGGGGACGTGCGTGGATCAAATGGAGCAAAAAGGTCCCCAAAGCAAAAGTGTCCGAGGCGAAAGAGAAAGGAATACCGACCCACTGCTCCGGGGTACGTATCGACTTCGGTGATGCATATGGGTAACAGAGCGGATTAATTTGTCTTGCGGATCCTAAATCCCCCACAAGAGCTACCACTTTATAGCCTCCGCCCCTCTGAGAGATGCGAATCATGAAGTTTTGTGCTTTCGCATCTCGATGCACATACCCAGCCTTGTGTATTGCTTGTAAACCCATGGAAACATCTATAGCTATTCGCGCACAGCAATCGGCCGACAGCCTTCGTCCCTCCTTGAGGGGCGTTGCTATTAACTTGGCCGCATCGCACGTACACAGTGGTGTGACGATGGACAGAATCAGACGCTCATGCGATTTTGTAGCAAAAATCGTTTGGACAGGTAAAACATTTTTGTGCTTGACGGCTTGTGCCACAGTGACCTCTGCGGGAACAATTAGACAGCCCCGGCTGACGCGCTTCACGGCAACCCTGTTTCCCTCGGGCGTAACGCAACGAAAAACAACGCCGAATGAACCTGACCCTAGGAGCTTTTCAATTGTCAGCTTCATTTTTATTATCGAATAACATCATTGGAGCGCAGGGAATGCTGACAGGGAAAGAGTGCTCATGTGAATGAACCGACTAGAGAAGGAGGGGCAGACATTAAAGGAGTATTGACGTTTAAGTGTCCAATTAATTATGGATAATTCATTTGTATACGCCAACTAAACGCTCTACAGTAGAGGCTGAAAATTAAAATGCCGTTCAAGCAGACCCGCCACTTGCTCACTATCTCTGCCCTCTGCCCCAAGGAGCTTGCGTACCTTATCGACCGTGCGCTCGACATGAAGAAGAACCCCGCGAAGTACACTGCGCGTGCGGCCAACAAGACCCTGCTCGCCTTCTTCGCCAAGCCGTCACTCCGCACACGCGTCTCCTTGGAGACAGCCATGACGCGCCTTGGCGGGCACGCGATCTACTACGAGCTCGGCGCAAACTCCAACGTTGGCGGCAAGGAGACCGTCCAGGACACCGCTGAGGTCTTCTCGCGCATGGTGGACATCTGCACAGCCCGCCTGGCCACCAAGGAGATGATGAGGGAGATGGCCCAGCACGCTTCTGTGCCCTGCATCAACGCCCTTGACGACTTCGGCCACCCGCTCCAGATGGTCTGCGACTTCATGACCATCAAGGAGAAGTTCACGGCGGCAGGCGAGTTCTCCAACGGCTTCAAGGGCATAAAGTTTGCATACTGCGGGGACTCCATGAACAACGTCACATACGACCTCATGCGTGGCTGCGCCCTGCTTGGCATGGAGTGCCACGTTTGCTGCCCTGACCACAAGGACTTCAAGCCCATCAAGGAAGTCATCGATGAGTGCGAGGAGATCATCGCAAAGCACGGCACCGGCGGCTCCATTAAAATCTTCCATGACTGCAAGAAGGGGTGCGAGGGCGTCGACGTCGTCTACACAGACTCGTGGATGAGCTACCACATCACCAAGGAGCAGAAGGAGGCCCGCCTCAAGGTTCTCACGCCGTTCCAGGTCGACGATGCCGTCATGGCCGTCACCTCCAAGCGCAGCATCTTCATGAACTGCCTTCCAGCGACCCGCGGTGAGGAGCAGACGGCGTCTGTCATTGACGGGCCCAAGTCCGTCTGCTACGACGAGGCCGGGAATCGCCTGCACTCGGCTATGGCGGTCCTCGACTTCTTCTTGCATGACTGCAAGATGGAGTGATTCTTCTGTGTCTTAGTAGAGTGAATGGTCCCGTTCTCTTTTTTCCTCTGTCTACATCTACAGCGGGCGACATTGCCTCAGTCCCGATGAAAAAACAAGCCGAGAGCCAAATTTTCATGTACCTGTCAGGGGTGGAAATCAAGAACTTCCGCTCCATTGTCCATACATCTGTTACGGGACTCCATCCGGGAATCAACGTATTCATAGGTATCAATGGCGCAGGGAAATCGAATTTTTATAGTGCAATACTTTTTGCCCTGATGGACCCCCTCTACGACCTGAAGACAATTAACAGGGCCCAGATACTATCCAATGACGCAAAAACTAAGTCCGGCTATGTAAAGCTAATTATAGATTTGGAAGGCGCTGCAGTAGGGGACTTCCAGGGAAGGGTATCCATCTCCAGACACTTCACAATAACTACAGACAGCTTCTATTTAAATGACGTACTGGTAACCAGCGATAAGGTTGCCAATTTCCTTTCGATTATGGGATTTAACCCCAGTTCTCAAGGATACACCTTTGCAGTCCAACAGAGTAAGGTTACTAGCCTTGCAATGTCGGCCCCAAAGGCACTCCTCGATGCATTTAACTCCAGCACTGGCACATGGGAGTACGATACGCGTAAGCAGGACGCTCTAGAAAAACTCAAAGCAGCAAGAGAAGAGAGGGAAGAGGCACAGCAAATTTATATGCAGCTTAAAGGACGATGCAGCAGACTAACCGAGCGGATGAATAAGAACAAGGAATACCTCAAGCTAATGGCAGAAAGGAGGGCTGCTGAGCACGCCCTTGCAACTCTTACTTATGATGCTCTCCAAGAGCAACGTGCACGATTAGAAACGCAAAAGGAAGCGCTCATAGAGGATTGCAAAGCCAAACGTACCCAAATAGATGCAATAAGAGCGGAGATTAATGTGCTTACAAACGAGCTCACTCCACTACAGCTTCAGGAGGATAAGGCCCTGGCAGCAGAAAGAGCGGTTAATGACCATGTTTACTACCTTGTCGATTCATGCCAATACCTAAGCTCTTTCTGCACTGCTAAGTCACAAAGGAGCCAAGAGCAGGAGGACAGTGCAACCATAAGACGGCGTAGTGCACAGGACGCCCTTGAGGAAGCGATCTTACGCGAGCGATCTCTTTTGGATGAGCTAGCCACGCTCAGAAATGCACAGTACTCTCTTTCATCATTTATAAGGAAGCAGAAGATCATGCTGGAAGGCCAGGAGGCTAATAAACGTGAGTCTCTCATTAAAGAGCTAGAGGATATCCTTCGAAATCTTATCAACGCAGAAGCAGAGCATGCAGCAATCAAGTCCTTGCAAGAAGAGGTTAAGCAGGAACTAGAATGCATCTCTAAGAAGCTAAATGTCTGTAAAATGCGAGAGACAGAGATCAATGCTAGTGAGCTCCTTCAGAGGTACACAGAATTCAGTGAGAAAAAGCAGCGACTGAATGTAGATCTATCCATGAAAGTAAAGAGCTTAAATGAGGCCGAAAACAAGGTTGTGCATGAAGAGTATCAGCTTTCGCAACTTACGCGTGAGTTTCTTGACCTGGCGCCTGCGAATCTGGCAGCTGGCGCTAACTTGTGCCTCTCTGCAATCAGGGAAGCAAAAATAAGCGGGTTCAGGGGGTTTCTTGCTGAACACATAAACGCAGCCGTGGGATCTTATCCAGCACTAGAGTCCGCTATAGGATCCACCGGGCTTTACTCCTTATTAGTAGAAAAACGCGAAACAGCTACAGAGATAATGCGGCACATTCGTCAGAGAACATCATCTTCGCCATTGTCTGGCAAAGCAAACTTTATTGTTCTTGATGCAGTCTCTCCGCCTTGTTTGCAGGAGATTAACAGTAACTGTGTTCCCTTGGCTTCTCTGGTAAGCACAGTGGATGACACTAGACCAGCAATCCTGCAAGCTTTGGGCACCAGTTACCTGACAAGATCATTGGAGGACGCAGCGAAGTATTCCAGTGAGCATAATATCGATTGTTACACAGTCACTGGCGATGTCATACAAGGTTCTGGGGTTGCCATAGGTGGACACCGTAGCTTCAAAAGAATTAAGTGTGGTGTAGCTTTGGGAATCTCTCGTGAGGCTCTACTTGGAGCATCTCTCACAAAGGGACGAGTGAGCACTGAGATAGAAGAAATAAAGCAAGAGCTCCGCAATGTTGGTGCAGAGATAACCAAATTGGAGCCAATTGTTTCGCCCTTACAGGAAGAGCTAAGTGGTATTCGCGCAGAGATACTTCCCCTCTCCGGAGAACTTACCAAACTGCAAAAGACGGAGACAAAATTGCATGCTGATGAGCAAGAGCTATGTGCGCGAATTAACACACTGTCCCAGATGAAGCAAAGCATGGAGGACTCTGTGTCCTCTTTAACTGCAGGCAATAAATTGAACCCGGCAAAGGTGAAACTATTAAGACAGGAGCTGGCTAATAATGAAGCTAACGAAAAGGAGATAGAAAAGAAGATAGACACCATCCAGGCTCTGGTAAATAAGGCAGCTGTTGATAGGATGAAAGCAGAGGCAAAAATGCAAAGCATAGACGCTAGTGGGACGCAGATTGAGTTGGGAATAAAAGAAAGAGGCGATGTTGATGCGCAGATGATGTCTTTGTTAACGGGGCTGGAGCAAGCTAACCTAGAGGCATTAGAGTTTCCGTCAGACAGAGATGGCTTAGCCCCCTTTGTAGAAAATCTTAGAACATTGAGCGAGAAGCTGAAGGACGCCATTAGCAACAAAGAGGAACTCGATGCTGTTGCACGATTGTCGGCTAAGTTTCTATCTGCCCTGACTGAGTTATCCGATAGTACAAAGGTGACTGTGGCCAATTGTAAAGAGACAACCAGTCGACAAAGGCAGAAAATAGTTAACAAGGAGGCAGAAATAGAAGATCTCAACCGTCAATTGGAGACAATTGCCATGGGATTTGAAGCCCTTGATCTGGAAAACAATGATGCTCTTCAGCATTATAAGAAGGCCGAGATTGCGCTAAGAGAGATAGCTGCCCCCACAGCAGATGAGATGGAGGCCCTTCAGCGCGAGAAAGCAGCAGCCAAGGTGTCGGATGAGCAAGAGCGCTCCTGGCTTGTTTCTTACATTGCTACAAAGTCCCAGCAGATGGGCGAAACTCCCCCAATTAGCCAACGTGTAATTGATCAGTACGACAGAGCAGTCAGAGAGAAGGATCAACTCGAGAAGCAACTGGCTGATGTTGTTGAAGGGGAGCACGCTGTAGAAGATCTGGTGATGAAGCTGGATGTTAGGCGAAAGGTGCACTTCGAGGAGCAATTCAAATTGGTTGATGCACGGTTTTCAGAGATCTTTCATAGAATCACGGGAGGCAAGGCTCGTCTCACCTTGTCCACGCATGGAGATGAAGAGCCCGATGGAATCTTAGTGGACGCTACCTTTGCCAACCAGGCAACAAAAGATGTTCAAATGTCCGGTGGTCAGCGAACGTTGACCAGTCTTTGCTTTGTTCTAGCCACAGAGCAAGCATCCAATAATTCCTTCCTTCTTCTGGATGAGCCAGACGCGTGCCTCGATGAGGCCTACAGAGCTGTGTTTGCCAGCCTCCTGGCAGAGCGTGCTGCACAAGGAATCCAGGTGTTTGTGATAACCTTCAGGACGGAGATTATTACGGTAGCAAACCAGTGTTTTGCAGTCAGCAGGGTGGAAGATCACACAACAATAGAGCCTGTTGCCAGCGCATATGCTTTGAGCGTAGCAGCAGACGCTACAACAGTTGGGCTATTTGCAGAGGGAGGGCACGATAAGCTCGCCGCTGTTTAAAGGGGAAATTTGATGTTCGTTGTAAACACCCATAAGAATTGTGTGCGGGAATGATACGGAAAAATATAACATTACTCTAAAAAATGCTGGATATGCTATGCTGCCTAGCCCTCCTGAACCTGGCTCTGGCGGTCCCCCAGGAGTGCATGTTTGGCGGGGAGGAGTGTGGTGGACATGGGAGGTGCCATGTAAGTACTGATGGCACTCCGAGCTATTGTGTCTGCGATAGCGACTACACCCTCTCTCCCACCATGGGCTGTGTCGTAACAGCTTGTTACAGTGAGGTCCTCGACGTAATGTGCAACAACGGGGAGTGCCAGCAGGTCGACGGCGTTTACAAGTGCGTCTGCCCTTCAGATCTTATCTATGTAGGGGGCCAGTGCACAACGATGGACTGTATTTCTAAAGAGGACGACGGGAGATTCACCGTCTGCTCTAACAACGGATACTGTGGGTACGGCTTCTTTGGTGATTCTAAGTGCATGTGCCTGCCTGAGTATGATGACGACGGACTTTGCAAGACGTGTAACACAACCAATGCGGACCTGATCGACGGTAAGTGTGTTAGCAAGAAATGCTTAACAGGGCCTCCTGGCGAGGCAACTCAGCTCTGTGGCGGGTGCGGAGCGTGCGTGAGGACGGGTGCAGGCTACAATCTTGCCTACACGTGCGCATGCTCGGGTACAGATGGCTGTAAGGAAGTGTCCGCTGGAGTGTGCGGCATTGATGCCTGCATTTCAGACAATCAGTTGGGAGTCGTGTGCAATGACGCCGGAGTTTGCGATAAGAACGGCTGTCACTGCAATGCAGGGTACTCGGGCCCAACTTGTCTGGTCAACGAGAATGATCCTAACGCGTGCCAGTCGCAGTATACGCGGATCAATGGAGAGTGTGTGCCGAAGATCTGCGTGCCGGCCATACCTGGCGACAACGTTTGTGGAGGTCCTGAAGCTGGTACCTGCCTCTTCAATAAAGATATCAAGAACTTCTTTTGCTACTGCTCCGATGGCTATATTAATGCTCTCGATAACAGGATCGACTTTAATTATCAATGTGTGCCATTTGGTTGCCTAGATGGCCTTGGCGTTTGCTACGAGGGTAAGTGTCTTCCGGGTCAAGGGCCCTATCCATGCATCTGTGACCCAGGCTTCCACAACGACCCTAGGTCTGGCTTCTGTGGATCCGACATCTGCCTAACGGGCGGACCGGACAACCCCGACGAGGCTTGCAGTGGCCATGGCCAGTGCATGTACTACGGGTGCTGGTGTGATCCAGGCTACGGTGGTGATACCTGCAATGAGGATGCGCCGGTTTACTGCTATGAAGGCCAGATTGCAGTCGGCAAGGAATGCGTCTTTACAGATTGCGTGAGCTACACACCTGAAATGGGCGTTTGCGGAGGCTTCGGGACGTGCGTGCAGTTCACTGGATTCTACGGTTCGAGTGATTTTTACGAATGCCAATGTGACCCAGGTACGATTTACGACCGCGACTATCTCTGTCTGCCATCTGTCTGTCTTACAAGTGACGGCCAGGTCTGCCCACACGGATCGTGCCAGAAGGTGGATGGAGAGGCGACTTGCGTTTGCAACAACGGATACAAGAGCATTAACAATGCTTGCTTCCCTCTTTCGTGTCTTGTGACCATCGACGGAGAGGAGCTTGTTTGTGCAAACAACGGTGAGTGTGACCTTGACTCAGGAATTTGCAACTGCAATGAACTTTTCCACGGCGAGCACTGCGATGTCCCCAAGGACCACGAGATCGTTTGCAATTCTGACGAAACCTTGATTGGCGAGCGGTGTGTTTCTGACTACTGCATATTCGATGGCGTAGAATGCAACAACCACGGGCGCTGTGATAAGACATTCAGCGACGGGCCCAGGTGCGCTTGTGACTTGCTGTATATACTCTCCGCCCAGTATGGTTGCGTTCCTCTGAACTGTTACGATCAAGACACGGATTCCGTTTGCCCCGATGGCCGGTGCGTGGGTGAGGGCAAAGATATTCATTGTGAGTGTAACCCGGACTTTACCCTCATTAATTCTGTCTGTGTTCACAGCAACTGTCTAGCAGATGATACGATTTGCTCAGGAAACGGCTACTGCGCGCAGAGTGTGTCTGGGGAGTACAAATGCCAGTGTGACTATCTTCATAGTGGTAGTCTCTGTAATGCGTGTTCGTCTGACGCGGTCCTTATAGATGGCTTGTGTGCCAGTGACAGCTGCATCACAGTAGATGCTTCTGGGAAGAAAACTGTTTGCTCTGGAATGGGTGTCTGTAAGAAGGATTCTTCTATCAGTAGCGCCTATTGTTCCTGCAGAGCTCCTTTTGCACTCGTCTCCGGAAAGTGTGTCTCTGCTGATTGCTATGCTGGAGAGCCCATTGGTGCTCCCTGCAACGGCCGGGGCTACTGTGGCTTGAGCACTTTCTGCACAGATCCATCGACCTGTAACACGGGGCAATGCTTCTGTAATGAGGAATACGAGGGCAGTCTTTGCGAGAGCTGCTCCTTCAACTATATCGACGTGCCAACCTACGGGTGTGTCGCCAGGGCATGTTACAAGGATGGCTTGGTATGCAGCTCTGCCGGAGACTGCATTGATGGCCAGTGTCAGTGCGCGAGCGGCTATACTGCTTCCGGAGCCGAGTGTTTGATGCCTTCAGCCACAAAGAACGGAGTCCTGATTGGAACTAGCGTGGGCGGTGTCGTCTTACTCATAGCAATCATTGTCGGTGTATTCTTCTGCGTCAAGAAAGCGCGGAAAGGAAAGGCTCCTGAAGGGCGCGCAGGAAAGAAGACAAGAGCACTGCTGTCTGACGGTGACGACGAGGATGAGGACCTTTTGGTTCCTTCGGAGTCTGAGTCCGGGTCTGCCTCCGCTGCAACAGGCACAGATGAGATTCCTTAAGTTAACGAGTGTAAATCCAACTTTTCCTCAGTGCCGTTTGCTTCGAGCACTGGACGGTTTTGTGGGGGCGAGCGATCTTACGTGGGGCTGGTGGTGGATCTGCTGGTGCTCACTATCCTTGCGCGAAGGCTTACTAGGTATTTCCAGAGCCTCAGAATTGCGAGAGACAGGCAATTCATACTTTCGCTTCGCAGTAAGCTGCGGCTGCAGGGCTGTCTGCATCTTAACTGTGTTCTGGGACTCTCGACCCGGAGAAGGAAGATTGCCTGAGGGCTCAACAAATTCAGTTATGGACTCTGACTCTGCATAGCGGATGCGTAGAACTGGCTTTGCGGAGAGCAGCGTTAGGAAGAGATGATACGCAACAGATGAGGTTCCGACGGCTCTGATGTCAAGTAGCACTGTTTTGCGCAACAACCGATTCAGAACCGGAGAAAGGGCGGCGTCTCTGGCATTTAGTTCAATGTAGCCTTTGTGAAGCAGAGATATCTCCTTCGGAGCCATATTCAGCATCCCGTTTATATAAAGCCCTGCCGGTAGAATACAGGTAGGTGATATGGGTCCTCTCTCGCTGTTGTTCCGGCGTGTCTCTTGTTCGCAGAGCATGTGATCTAGGATCTCGTTGCTTGAACCTACGAGCTCGAGTAGTGCCCGCTTGAGCCTTGATGATCTAACTATCTCTTTCTTAAGAATAGACTCTAATCTACTATTGCGATGCTCTGCCAATCGCGTTTGTTCTTCCTGGACCTCCAGTTTCTTTTCTACATCTCGTAGTTTTGCTTCCAAGGCCCTTGCTTCCTTTTCAAATGCTAAAGCTTTTGTGCTGCTCTCTACCGAATGCTTACCTTGATAGCAAACAGTGTCCAGTTCTTCCCTACTAAGCATGCCATCTTTAAGCGTCACATCAAAGGCGTCAGCCGGGCCTCCATTTTCCAGAAAGACAAGGCAGTGGCGGCCCAAGGTGGCGCCAATAAGCTCGTAATCGTCGGCGTCTATATGCCGTATAGCTCGCTTGAGCAACCTGGTAAATGAGAGACTTTCTTTGAGCCAGAAGCAAAGCGCTACGGTAGTGATATCTTGTTGGTACCCTTGGGGTGATGCGTCAGTCGATACAGACACTACCGAGTATTGTATTGTCGCCAGTGCCAACAGAAACCTTGTTATATGTGCAGCCACTTCCGGTTTACCATGAGCGATCCCACAGTCGATCAAGGCATCCAGATTTAGTGCACCGCAGCGTTTGGTACTGACAAGAAGCCGCTGAGCAGCACACGAAATTGCCACGGCATCCTCATATGGAAGAGTTGTGAATACCGATGCACTGACCTGGATTGTCACGGCTCCCGCTGTAGTTGCGTAATTTCTTTGAGGGTCAAATAGGACCGACCGTGGCCCTATTGGTATGTTATAGCAGCCACCGCCGCGAGAAAATGTGTGTATACATTCGTATGTCCTGCTTTTCTCGGGACATTGATTGATGACCGTGATGCTGAACTTTACTGAGAGAGGGCTTAACTGTGCAGTGTAGTTGGGTAAGCACCCTTTATGGACGAACATGAGGCCCATGAACGCCGTTTGTGTTCTATGCCGAGGAACTAAAACCACTTCAATGCTGCTGGTGAACCGAGTTAGGCATAGGGTCTTGCGCTCGATTTCAGAGGATGGTCCCATGGACAGCACACGCTTATCGCAAACCAGTACAAACTCTCCGCAAAAGAAGGGACCACAAAGTGCCTCTCCCAGGTATTTGTCCCATTGATGTGAAATTTCTCCAGTCCTCTCAGAGCTTGGCGGAACGGGATGTTGCTGGCAGATGTCATAGCTCTTAGCGTCAGAGACCTGAGCCTGTCGATATCCACGTGCAACTTTATTTAGAGCCGAGTTCAAATACGGTCTGGATACAACCAATGTGTGGCAGACAAAGCACCGCATATATCTATTCTGGGTGATCTCGCGCTCGTAGCACCACTGGCATACATTGTGGGAGCAGCTGAGACAATATGCCACTTCATAAACCATGCCGCAGCCAGGGCAAAGAAGAGCTCGAGGAATTTCCTGAATTGGAAGAATGGCCTTCAACGCCGTTGTCTTCAGAAGATCGGAGTCTGTCGATTGGCCGTCTGACTCGTTAATCCCGCCTGTCGAAAGAGCATATGCATTCATGGAGTAACCAAGAGTTATAATGCCACGGTTTACTGTATGCTGTTGACTACTTCAACTGTTCCCGTAAAGAGTCGGGAGAAATAGGCCCATACTCTGTTATGATACAACTGATTAGCTTGGTATCGACGGTGTCGTACAGTGGTTTAATTATCTGTATCTTGTCTGTCTGACCCAGTGTGAAGGTGCCCGTGTCTTGTAAGACATTGTTTGACAGAGCATTTATGTAAATCTGATCGGTGACTTTATAGGTCTCACACCCAACGATGAGAGGTATTCTGTAGAACTTTGCAATATTGGCTATAAGGGACGCGCCAGCACGACCTTGAATGCTCCCGTTGAGGCTCACACTATGTGCTCCCATGATCACCTTTGTTGCGTGCTTGATGAACAACGGTAAGGACGTCAGCAGCCCATAGAAGCAGGGGATCCCGGCCTGCGAAAGTTTCTTGATAATGTCCAAGCCACACTGACACTCCGAAGCATCAATGCAGATGACCTCAAAGCACGCTTTACTATCCGTCTCTGCCTGGAGACGGAGGTGCGCCAATATCAGGGCCTTAAGTACTATGCGTGACTTACCAAAGACTATCACGCAATCGTTCTGCTTTATCCGTCTGCTGAGCTCAACATAGATGTCATTGGATGCCTTGACAATCCTCTCATTGTACAGAAGCTTCACAAAGTCGAGCATGTTATGTATAACTCCCTCTGCAGACGTAAGCGCTGCGCCACACAGGTCTGGAGTCTTCTGGGCAATATCATCCATTCCGTTTCTGCCTTCTTCAAAAAGGTATGTTGCAGGATCATCGTTGGGTGCAGTGGCTTTAGCCTTTCTTGGGTTCAGTTGATTGCCCATCTTGTTACCAGTATCATCACCGCTCATGTCCATCGGAGGGCTCGTAATCATTTGTGGCTCTACCACGCGACCAGGAAGTCCCGGAATTGAACAGATTTTAGTGAGTGTTATGACGTCGGATGTACCCTTCTGTATTGGCGGGCTATCAGGTAGCAGGAGGCTTGCGGTGTTAATCATAGTGCTAGTAGTAGTATTATGGCTACCATAGACTTGACCCTCCACGTTCTCTACTGACTCGCTGGTTGCTTCTGTGTGAGAAATAGCAACTGTCTTAAGTACGTCTACAGAAGAGCACTTATCGTTTTCCCTTTCTCTCTCCTTTTCTCTCTCTTTCTCTTTCTCTTTACATTTGTCAGACAAGTCCGTCGGTTCATTGAATAAATTAAAGTTTGAGCTGGTTTGATCTGTGCAGCTCTTCTCAGAGGTACAGCAACCGGGGATGCTCGTTATTTTCTTAAGGAAAAGCTGCCTATCCGGTCTGTCGCACGACTCATTCCATTCGTCGGCCTTGACAATGGATCGAGGCATAGAGTAGAGGGTCTGAGCCATGTTTGTGGTGCTATACCGGATGCTGGGAGTGAGCGGTGTGTATAGAGCCTGGTCTATGTTGTTGTGGCTAAGTCTCGAAATTACATCCATCGTGCTTGTGGGCCCAATGGTTAAGTTACTAGCAAAGCTATTAGAGATCGGGGGTGTAATATTGTGTGCATCGCTTTCAACCAGGCTTGTGCTGTCCTTGTACATTAAACTAATTTGATCTTCAAGGTAGTCGCAGTGCTCCATCACACTCTGAACAATGAACTGAATGGTCGTAGGAACAGAAGGATAGAACGCGCTCACTATAGTGACAAGCATCGTCAGATTGCCACGCAGCTGAGAGAGGACGCCACCAAGTGAGATTGGAACCGCAGACCCAATAACAGAGCCTTGGTGAGAAGCTATCTCTGGATGCAGCTCATGCACACCTGATGTATTAAGGGGCGTCTGATGGTTGGATGAAAAAGTATAATTCGCAAAAAGAGCCTCCAGTTGACTCTCATATGCCCGCAAAAAGGCAACAGCACGTGCTGTGGCAGACTCGCGGATGTCGCTGATGTTATCTATGTAACAGCGAGCATCTGTTGATAGTATGTTGAGAGGTTGCTTTATAGCGTGTTCAAACCTGGCTATCTGATCGGATGAGAGGGACTCCACGCTGCTGGTGTGTTTACCTTTCTGATCACTGAAGTTAATACTGGGATGGCGATGCTGTCCAAACGATGCATAAAAGTCGTCGTCTGCTTGTCCAGATATGTAGAGGGGAGAAAACTTACGATACAAAGACATATTGACTGCTCCACTATCTCGTGCATCTCGCGAAGAGTCATCAATGTCCAAGTGCAAAGGGTTTTCACACTTGCTGGGGTACTTCATCAAATGTTTTTTGAAACGAGATGCCTCTGTCTGTGGCAAAACAAACGTCTCATCCAGCAAAATACTCGAACAGTGCATGATGTATGGACGGTCAGTATTTACTAGAGCGAATAGAATCATGTGTTAAGCCAGCGATATGTCTCTTGAGCAGTCTTACAAAATGCTAATTACATGTCTGACCATGTTATTAAACATTTGAGTCTGAGGTACAAGCTTAGCGAGTCGTTAACAAAGGCTATTGTTAATGTACTGCGAGAAAAATAAATGCTCCTATTCGCTCTTAACTTTTTGGCGAACCTTTTGGCAGACTGTGGGCCAGGTAGCGATTGCGTTCATGGGGTGTGCGGTACCACTGACGGATCCTTTGTCTGTCTGTGCAAGCGGGGCTGGACAGGCACTGCATGCGATGTGGTTGCACCTAATTTTAAACTGATTAGCTCCGGCAGTGATCCGAAGATAGAGAAAGCGGTCAACTTCGCGTGTTTAGTCAATGGTACAGAGTGTGATACCAAAAGGACAGAAACATGTCTTTATCACAATGGTGCATATTCATGTCAGAATAAATGCCCTGATGGATTCGTCATATACGATGGAGAATGTATCTCTAAGAGATGCTATTCGTCCAGTTCTGTATCGTCAGATACTCCCCAATCCAACCCCCCGTGTAATGGGAAGGGGAAGTGTGTCCTCAAGGACTTGGCGAAACTTGATCGTGCCGATGAGGCAGACTACGTGTGCAGCTGTTTTCCAATTTATAGAGGAGATCTCTGTGACACCTGCAACCTAGAGAACTCCGTTGAGTCCGAAGCAGACAAAGGAAAATGCAATCCAAGATCCTGTCAGGATAGCGACGGGCTTGTCTGCTCTGGCAAGGGAAAGTGCGAGTTGGACTTTGGCTACAACCTCACTCACTATAGCTACCAGTGCATATGCGATGCTGGATATACGCGTGTTGGCCACTCTTGCATCCCGTCAGCTTGTGTAGTGTACCTAAGCGGTACCCCTGTGACCTGTGGGGGCTTCGGTGAGTGTAAGGAGAACCCCGAGGGTTCAAATAGCTTCTCCTGTGCCTGCTATGAGGGCACTGTAAAAGTAGGAAATGGATGCACATACCGCACCTGCACCGAAAGCGAAAGTGCAAGCAAGATATGCGGAGGCATCGGTGTCTGTGTGCGTGATGACACAGAATACAAGTGTGACTGCAAAGGGTTTGCTACCGGCAGCTTATGCGATAGCTGCGTTTCTGAAAATGCAACCTCTGTGGGCAATCAATGTATACCAAATGAGTGCCTCGACGAAGCAGGCACGACGGTTTGTAAGGGCAATGGAAAGTGCATCCGAGCAAGTGGAAGGTACTATTGCCAGTGCCCCAACATGACTACATTCTTCAACAAACAGTGCATCTCGGTTAACTGCATTGATCAGGAACTCAACCTCATATGCTCTGGTCACGGAACTTGTGACACCACCAGTCCCAAGGATATGAAGTGCACTTGTGAAAGTGGCTATGAATATATTGCGCCGGGTCGCTGCATTTCAAGCACACTGTTGGGAACGGACAAAAGGGTTTGCAATGGTAACGGATACGTGGCTATTTCTTCTACTAATACTATTGGTAGCGCGCCAAATCTTGTCTGCATCTGCTCTCCTATTTACACAGGAGAGAACTGCAGTACGTGCAACACTACAGGGGAAAACGCTCCTGCTGAACAAGTGGACAGTAACTGCGTACCAAAAAGTGTCATTGTTAAGTCTACTCAGCTGCATGCAAAGGAAGTAACTACAAAAGTATGCGATGAACAGACAGAGTACGTAATATATGGAGATACTACACGTCCGTACATGACGTGTAGGGTGAAGAATACAGACGAAAAGAAAGTCATTGCCTATAATGCAACGCTTCTGGTGGAGCCAGACTGTATGCACGTTAGTCAGGTTGATAGAACTAGGAGATTCTACTGTGGTTTTGCGGAAGGGTTGACAGACGGAATAACTACCAATGGGCCTAGCTGCAATACAAATACAAATATTATTCCCTCTACTTCAACATGCGTATGTCCAACAAACTTTAAGCTCGTGGAGTTCATATACGGCAAGAACAAAGGAAAGCATACCTGCATACACGATGATTGCCATGATGGTAACCAAACTTACAACCAAAACAATTATTGTGGAGGCGTTGGGGACTGCATTAAGAAGCCCGGTGCAAGCAAATATGCATGCGATTGTGGACAGGGTGCACGGTGGGACGAGACCATTAGGGAATGCGTGGCTGAGACATGCAAGATTGATAAACTTATATATGGCCCTAGCGAAAGAGAGTATTGCACAGAGATTAATATCGCGGCGAGCATCGACAACGTATGCCTCCCAGATGATAGCGGAAGGTGGGGATGCCACTGCACAGGGCGCTACATGACATATGGGAGCACGTGTACATCCTACGCAGCATATGCCACGGAAAAAGATGACCGCGCACGAGGCCCATGTGGCGGTCCTGGTGCGGGTTACATCAACGACAGGAACAAATGTGTGTGCTATCCTGGGTTTGTGTCGATAGATGGGAAGTGCTACAGTAAGCAATGCTTGGCAATGGGCGTTATAGGATCCTACAATATAAGCCACGTATGCTCTGGACTTGGGGTATGTGCATACAACCCTGTCACTGGCTTCTATGGGTGCGAATGTCCCAAAGACACGGAATCATATGGGGCATACTGCACCCATACAGGATGTGTCGGACAAGTCTTTTCCGAAGGGGAGCTGAGATACGTACAGTGTGGTGTCCACACCAGAAGCATACAGTGCAAACAGAATAGCAAAGATAATACATATTCTTGTATCTGCTACACACCGTACAAGAAGATCGGTAACCTTTGCGTCCACCAACGGTGCATTAACGGTGACATATATTGCAGTGGAGATTTGCTTGCTAATTGTGAGCTCTTGGAGTCAATATATCAGTGTCAGTGCTCCGAAGGGTATGTGAAAGGTAGAAGCCCGCACGAATGCATCCCGAAGAAATGCACATATAGAAGATATGAGAGTGACCTGGTGACGGAGTGTGGCGGACTGGGTCGATGCGAGGGTGATAAACTTATCACCAAGAAATGTAAGTGTAACGATGGTGCTGAGCTGGTGTCTATGATCGACATAAGCGGTGAAATGCATGAAACATGTGTGTCCAAAAGCTGCATTTCTAAGCAGGATGATACAACGATAGTTTGTGGCGGTTATGGACGGTGTGACGGCAACGCTTGCATCTGTGATGGAAATCTTGTCCCGGTTGGAAATGTTTGCGTAAGCAGTAAGTGCGTTGTTCAACTGGCAAGTGGAAGCACTTCTGTGTGTGGAGGTAGTACTGTGGGGACATGCACAAAGGGTCAAGGTGAAGACCACTACTCTTGCAAATGTGCAACACCAGGGAAGACAGGCTTTAAAGAAGTTGATGGATACTGTCTCCCCAATAAATGTGTGTTCAACGTAAAGCAAAATGGAAAAGATGTTGACACGATGTGCGGCGGGGCAAGTCTTGGATCTTGCATTATCGACCCAACTGGCGATACTTCATACTGTAGTTGTCTAAGATGGTACAATATAACAACACTTAGTAGTGGCCAGTGTATTAGTACCAGGTGTGTTAATTCTGTTACCTCTGACAAGAAAGAGTGTGGAGGAAATGGAAGATGCGCTTACACAGATGGCACTGGGTATGAGTGCCAGTGTAATTCTGGATACAAAACGGTAACGGTCGGGCGTAACATTTATCCGTGCATCTCTGAAAACTGCCTAGCAGGTGAGTCAATGTGTAGTGGTCACGGGGAGTGCGTAAACAACGGCTGCAGCTGTAACAAAGGTTATACTGGTAGCAAGTGTGAGTCCTGTGCAACGGGGTATAGAGAGACTAACTCCGTCTGCTATCTGGATGAGTGCCCACAAAGTGGCTGTGGACTAGCAGAAGCGGGAACCTGTGCGTTTACGGGCTTGCAATATCAATGTAGCTGTAATACTGGCTTCGTCTTAGATACCGAGACAAAGGCCTGTCGGCGTCCTCTTTGCACATATATAGATCCGTTTGACGGACAGGCGAAAATATGTTATAATATGGGAACATGCGCTCAGTCTGGAAGCACAGGAAAATGCGTATGTAATCAGGGAACTGTGGCTCTTAATGACAACATATGCGTCTTTGAAAACTGCATCACCAATAAGGATTCGTCCGAAATATGTGAAGGAAAGGGCGTGTGTGAGAGGAGTCCGGAGTCTAATACAGGCATTTGCGTGTGTAACACATCTCTTTATCGCACAGACAAGAAGAGTGGGCGTTGCTTCCCGGTGGGCTGCTTTTCCTCACAAGAGACTGGCCTGACTAATGTCTGTAATGGCGGTGGGACATGCAGCGTAACAGGGGTGGTTGGAATTTGCAATTGTGATAGCGACTGGGTTACGATAGAGGGAATGTGTTACCCGGTTTCTTGCGTATTTGGAGGAGCCGTATGCAGCGGGTTTGGAAAGTGCATCTTCTCTAGCAGCGGAGAGCACAGATGCCTTTGCGACCAAGGTTACGAGCCTGGTGAAGATTTAGGAACGTGCATCACTCGTTCTACAAAGGCAAAGCAAGGAGCGGCCGAGATATCGATAATTGTGGTGGTTGTGGTTGCTCTAGTGATTTTGGCAGTAGCCATATTCTTGATCTGGAAGTTCGTCATCAAACCTCGCTCCAAGTCACGCAAAAGAAGTAACAATGACCTCAATCAAAGATTGATCACGGTAGATGGCGAAGATGCTCCTGTGCTTTCTCCACGAGCTCGAGGACAGACTCTGATGTAAATTTGCGAGTGTGCCTACTGTGGCTCTGGCCCTTGTCTCTCCTGAATTCGTTGGAGAGTGGTATTGAGAACACTGGCTGAGTAGCGCAGGGGTGCACCTGGACGGTGGCCTGGAATGCCAAGAACAGATAGCTTGGAGCTTTCTAACGAAGAGCTGTTATTCATCTCTCGCTGAGTAATTGTAACCCCGGTAGCCAGCCAGTCATCTGAGTATTTATCGTAGTCAAGGGTCCCAGACCACCGGAGTAGATCATCAACACTCTCATCGTTCACAGAGGTAGCATAGCTCTGAACACTCTGCGAAAGCTTTTCAAGACTCGTTGGGGTGTCGTCCAAGAGAATGCTACATGTCGTTCTGAGGGATGGGTCGTGCTGGAGCGCAGAGCTGGCAATCTGCTCTAGGTCATCAAGTCCCATATCCCTGAGTATTGAGATCTTCCGCATCTCTCTCATCCAAGCAAGGCGTTTTGCACGTCGGAGTTTCTCGAGCTCTCCCCTAGAATGGAAGACTGGACGCATCACTGCAGCCGAGGACTGAACTATGCTATCAGTTATTGAAGGATCTATGAGGCGCCACGGATTGTTCGTTATGCGATGATACCAGAGGCGCTTATCGACGACTCCTGTCTCCTGCTCAACAGAATAGTTGCGTGGAGCCGTTATAGATACATCACAGACATGCTGATTCTTTAGGAAAACCTTCCAGTAGAGCCGTGGTGGCCATGGTGCATTGTCTGGGGTGCCAAGCCGAAAGCGAATAACAAAGTCCTCAGCCAATGCCTCTAGATTGCGAGCTCCGGTGGGGTCAAGGTTCCTCAAAAGCTGCATGGGTGATGAGCTAGTCTGCCTTGTTATCTCGGCAATGTGTGCTTGCAGGTGGAGAAACACGCGTCGATAAAGATTGCCGCGATATCTACTTTGAATCACTCTTGCGGCCCAGCGTGCTGCCCCAGTCTGGCCTTGCCCTTTCATGGTTTGGAAATGAAACAGGATGCAGGAAGCCGCAATCTTGTAGATAGGATAAATGTGGAATGCCCGATAGATACGAGCGCGCTTTAGCCTGAATGCTTGCTGAATACGAGTGGCACAGAAAAGAGAAAACTCTTGGGCACGAGCATCCCTGCTGAGAGCTATGACCTGAACTTGCTCTCTGGCCTCAAACTGTGCTATAAATTTTGCAATAAGGGAAATGCGGACCTGACGTGATTCTGGGACAGCCTCAAGCTTTGATATATTCGTATCTTGATTAACTACTGGACACCTCTGACAAAGACCCTTTGAGATCAATCTCCAGAGTCTCTGAATAGTTATAGTAGCACTCAAAATACCAAGAATAGAGTATTTGGATGGATGTTTAAGATAGTATCGACGAAGAAGAGGACAGTTGTAGATTGTTCGGCGACGTGGAGCGGTGCAATCTTCATTTGCAGAACAGATGTCCCTTAAAATCATTTTATTTGCATGACTGACTCGCAGGTGTTCCAGCCCAAATTTGACAGTGGAGCAGCTAGCACATCTCGCCTAATAGTCATTTTAGAGGGGGCCTTCCTAGAAACAGTCAAGAACAAGGATAGATATCAGCTTTTGAACGTTGACGATCATTTTACCATTCTGCGCAAGCACAAGCGTCAGGCAGATATTGCGCGCCCCGATATTACACACCAGACACTACTAACCCTTTTGGACTCTCCACTGAACAAGGCCGGCCTACTAGAAGTGTGGATACATACCGAGAACAAAGTCCTGATCAAGATTGACCCCACCGTCCGTATACCGCGTACATTCAAGCGCTTTTGTGGCCTCATCGTCCAACTGTTATACAAGCTTACTATTCGTGCAGAGGACAGCAACCGGAAGCTCCTGCAAGTCGTCAAAGCAGACCTTAAGAAGCATCTTCCGCCAGACATACGGATCGTGCTCCTCAGCAGAGTTGCTGGGAAGCCTCAATCGATGAAGCAACTTGCCACCGAACTTACAGGAGGGCTTTCCCCTCCGGACTGTAAGCCAGTGGGCGTGATCATTGGGGCCATTGCACATGGCCATGTAAGCGCAGACTATGCCACCGATCGAGCATGCATTTCACAATACGCCCTTTCTGCTGCAGCAGTGGCTGCCCGCGTGTGTGGTGCATTTGAGGACTTGTGGGGAATTCACTAAACGTGCCAGCAGCATTGTGGAGGTGCATATAACCGAAAAGTAATCGAAGAGTAAACAGCGTCTCGTTATCTTTACCTCTAATGGAGCGTTTTTCAGCCACTCATCACACCCAACACGTTCAAAAACATTAAAAAAGAAAGGCTGGATGGAAGAGATAGAATGTTCACTCATGGATATGGAGAACGCTCTTTCGGCATTCCAGAAGCACATCAGCGCCTATAAGTCTAACCCAACAACTGCATCAGCCAAAGCATCACTCGCGTCTGCGGACACAGCTCTCTCCAAAGCCAAGAGCTTCCAGACACAAGTTGACAGCTTGCTCAAGGGAGTCACTGGCCTGGAAGCCCGTAGAGCACAGCAACAGTTTAAGCTTCTTCAAACAAAAATAGCAAATGCCTCACAAGAACTCGAGCAAGCAAAGCGCCGTGCAGACGCTAAAAAGGTATCCAGCAAGGCGAGCACAGTTGATGACCTCCTAACCATCGCTGCACAAAAGAAGCAAGAGAATGTCAATCTTCTAGAAGATGCAAATAGAAACTGCGATGAGGCAGGTACCATCGGAAATGCAATAGTTGAAGACTTGGGAAGACAGAATGAACAGCTGCGAGGAATAAGCAGCAGGGCAACAAAGATCCAAGCCAATGCGAGGGGCGGAGCGGAGATCACAAATAGAATGATCAAGTGTGAGAGAATAATTAAGATTGTTCTTTGGTCTGCATCTGTTCTCTTCCTCGGCTTATCTGCTTTAGGGTTCTATGTATACCACCACAATGTTCCTCACAACAATCCAGAGCCGGCTCCAGAGCCCTCAGAGATCAGATATTGATCGTAGAGTGAACAGTAATCGTGTAAGACTGTCTATCCCTTTGTCCCCAGCTCAGTATGCAGCTGGTACGTCTAGGAGGCTTCGGGTGGACTACCTGGAGGACCGGGGCTAGGCAGCACAGTGAGTACCTCATCTAGCTCTGCGCTCGGGCTCCTCACATCATTGCTATCTTCTGGTGCTTTTGACGATGCTTTGAGTGTTCCGGTGGAGCCCTGCAGATTCGACCTATCCAGGGAACCTGCCCTGTTGACAAATACTTGACTGAAGCTGTCATTCACCGCCTCCGATCTTGAGGCAGATTTGCTTCCGTCTTGCTCTATCTTTCCGATGTATATCTCCATGTAGTTATTAAGGTCCTCTTCCTCCTCGGCCACCGGCCTACTCCGTTTGGGCGGAGAAGATACTAGCTCGCCAGATAAGTTGTAGACCCGCGCCGGTGTAATGCCATTAGTCCTCTTTGTAACACCTGGAGATGGCGCTGAAACAGTCGTTACATTTGTTCGAATGGATTTAGGAGTTAATTCTTTGTCTGACGCAAACCGTACCTTGTTTGAGACCACTGTTACATCGTCTAATGTCACGGCGTTCCAACCGGGTCCCAAGCTTGCGTCCATGGATCCGTTGCTAGTTATAAACTCCAGCTGCGTGTCATCCTCTTTCCCGGCTGCTTCAATTATCGCCTTATGCTCATCTCTAGTGTAAACACCTACCCGTGAGCCCTTGTACTTCTTTAGAACTGAAAGCATGCTAAAAATCTCTGTCCGGATGCACCGAAGCGCGTTAGCTGCGCTGGTCTGAGTGGCCTTATCACCTATAGCTATCAAATAGAGCAGCTTGTCAATGCTTCTTTCCTTGTACATCAGGATAGCGTTCCTCCCCACAGTACTGAGAGCGTGTGCAACATACGCAGCCGCTCGAAGACACTGAAATTCCTGTAAAGATACTTTTTGAACATGTTCACCGAGACTAACAGGGGTCAAGAACGTGCAGACAGCCGATACGACTCCACGTCTTCCGAACTCCACAATAACGTTACCATCTCCGTAGCACTGTCCATACTTTGCATATTCCTGCTGAAATAGATTGAACATCTGCTGCTGCTTGGCAGAACGTCGTTTGGGATGGCTGCTAGAATCTACCTGAGTATCACTGTCCTGTAAGTTTTGTCTTCCTTGACGGTAAAATGGGGAGCTGAAGCACAAGTTTGCAACTGCAAGACATACCTGCTCGCGGAACGTAAAGTCATATGAGTCTAATAGTTGAGAGGCTTCCAGGCACAAGAAGCTGAGGTAATCAACGGCCCTATGCTCCAACAGCACTATGCTATTATCACGCTCTTTAGCAAGCCGCGCAATGACACCACACAGCCATGCACGGGCAGTTCCGTTTGCAACAGTTTTTAGTCCTTGTATTAAGAGCCCAAAGATACCAGTCACGCTGCGCCCAGCTATAGCGGCAATCTTTGGGTCTTCTAAGACCCCAGTTAACGCCTCGGCAGCACTGGCCACTATGGCGGCTTTGGCTAGTTTTCCATAGTCTTCTTCCAAGGCAGAGTTTTCAATGCACCGTTTCAGCACAGTGAAAAGGACGTCTAGCGAACCTATTTCATATAAAATCTTGGCAATCTCGGGGTGCTTAGCAAGATTTGCCAAGCACTGGCAGGCCCACCGAATAACACAGGGATTACAGCTCCCAGTAAGACCAAGAAGGGTCCGAAGCATCTGGTTACTCTTCTTGAGAATAGGCACAATGTGCTCTGATGGGCATATGTTTGCAAGAGCATGCAAAAGCCACGACGTTAGATTGCTCCAGGTAGAGAGGGGCACTTCGTCATTAAGGGAAGTAGCGCCATTGTCTCTATGTCCTGAAGTCGACGCACTCAATAAGCTGGGGCCTTTTGTGAGTGCCCGGTCAGTGCCAGCTTTAGATGCACTAGACGGGGCGTCAAGCTGGTTGCCCTGCTGATTGAAGAGATCAGAACTGACGTTTTCCTTGAGCTTAAATAAACGCGTACGCGGGTTACGCCTCACTTCTCTGCACTGGCCCGGGGCCACGTTAGAAGGGGGTGGTCCAGGTTCTTCCACTTCTATCCCGCAGCTGTCTAACAGCTCCTGAATATGAACCAGCACTTTGTTATTGATTAGCTCCTTTGCTATCATGTGATTCATCGAGAATATACTTGCCTCCGCAGTGTCAGGGTCCCCATCGTGAACACATGGCTTGGAGCTGATGCCAACTATGACCTGGCACGCTGCAAGTAGCGTGTTATTGTCGTTGACGGTCAACATGTTTATGAGGGGCTGGATGCCACCAGATGTTGTGACAACCACATCGCCACCGGGAACGTTCGCTACCTTCGCTAGCACCAGTGCAGCAGCCCGAAGAAACTGAGTAGATGCAGCTGGAAGGATCATGGAGCAGATGCGAGAAATAGAGTTTGCGGCGTGTATAAGCTCCTGCAGAACAGCCTGGTTGTTGTACTGTACCATTTTGCTGAGGCATAAGACGCATGGCTCATATATCTCCACGTCTATATAATCTAAGAGGGTGCAGAGAATGGAGACCAGTCCGTTTGTCCTAAGCTGATTACGCGCGGAAGCAGAGGAGCACAGGTTGCAAACCATGTATATCATGGCAGATACCTCTTGTATAATGGCAGGCTCAACGGTTTTGTTTGGCTTCAGTTGATTGGTGAAAATGTTGCCGGTGAAAAGAAGAGGAATGGCTGCAGACAGGCGCTTAACCACGCTGGCAGGACCTTCCAGGTAGTGGAAGACCCGCCGGGGAAGTGCACACAAGAAAAGCTCGGTTAAAATTTGCATTGCACGGACCCGGATATCCGGTTCCACCTGCTGGTTTAAAAGAATAGAGAGGTAGATAGGGACACCAGCATCTAGCGTGACATAATTATAATCGTCATAGTTTATAGAACGGGGATCTGTTCGCCGCTGGTAGGCCGCCTTGTTGTATTGCTCTGGGGTTTGTGACACAGGCCCGGCAAAAAGAACGCGGGACACATCATCATATTGCACAAGCTTTTTAATAAGCCCAAGACACTCCGAGAGAATCAAAGCGGTTATGTGAAGGGGAGCATGGCCCAAGTCGGCTTGCCGGTTGAGAGTCAGCAGAGAGATGAGGGCCTGATGCCCGCCAACCTGATAAAAAAGTGATCTGCTGCGTTCTGTACTGAAATCGGCGCTATGCAGAGTGCTAAGGGCAAGCATGATGGAGTTTGGACTGCCCGTAGAGATTGCTTGCACATGTTTTTCAAAGAGGTTGACGCCTGTCTTAAACGAGATCGTCTCCTCGGGGACATCAGGATCCGAATCAGATAGGGGAAAGGTCATCTGTGGATGGGACAGAACTGCCCAGAATTTTGCATTCCATATTTCCATTTAGTATTTGCCATTTGACTTATAATTTTACAAAGCTGCAAAAACCAATTTTGCTTGGCGGATAGTCGGCCTTGCCAAAAATCCAAAAATAAGATGTCCATCGGTCGCGCCATCAACGCTCGCTTTCCCGAGTCTCAGTCCGGGTACACACGAGCTACAGGGCCAGAGTTTGCCTTCCAGGCGGATCCCATCCGCAGGCAGCAAACGACCTCTGAGGCTGTGGCTCGCGATCTCGATCCGAATGTAATGCGTCTGGATACAGAGTACAACGATCAGTACTGCGGTCCGAGTGGCATGATTCCAGATGCAACGATTAAGCAATGTTTCACAAATCCTTACACGGGACTTCCGTGCGGCAGTCAAATGCTAAGCACGGGGCAGGTATACAATACCCAAAACTTCCCGCATGTAGGAGTTACTGATCCTAACCTACCCACTACGGAGGGTGCACCGCGTGTACTAATCCCGGGCTCCCAACCGGGAAGTAACGAAGGAACTAGAGCAATCTATAATCAGGATATCCCTAAGACATATGAGTTCAACCCGGATCAGTCCTTTGGGCGGCGAACTGGCGCTGCCCTCCCAGTCACAGGCTCGGGTCGCTTGGATGGCTTGCAGCGCACAGGGAATTTGGGTGTCAGCATGAGCCGGACGGAAGTGTTGGCCAGAACGATGAGTACGACCCAGCCGGAGCTGGCGGCTTCATTTAGAGCATCTCAGGGAATCATTCCTGGAAGCGTTGGTGACCTCGAGCAGATGAAGGAGCAGGGTGTTGTAGGCATGGGAAATAACCAATATCCTGAATGGCATGCGCCAGAGTGTGATCAGCAGGCCTATTGCATGAGTCAATCTATGAAGCATGGGGCGTGCCCGCAGAAATGTACCAACAGAGAGATTATTCCTGGCTCGCAACCAGGGAGCAATGAGGGAACAAGGGCGCTCTGTGGTACTGGAACAGGGAGAACCATCCCATTCAATCGTACTGGTATAAGCACCATTGGGGGCGCCAAACGGCTATACCAGACTGGTCAGATAGCTTCAGGAGCCACGCCAATGAATCAAACACTGGACGGGACTATGCTGCCTGCTACTCTGAGTAAGAGCATGAACCTATCCCAACTCAACAAAAGTGGTGCTGTCCCAGAGCTTCCTGCTATCAAATCTCCTATTGGCTCGTCAAGGGTTCCAGCCAAGGCATCGTCAACTCAAGATCGCCGAGAAGAAGCTCAGGCTGAGATCCAAGCCGCGCTGCAGTTTGGACAGCAATTGGAGAATCCTCAGTGCACAGCGGACATCCCTCAGGCAGTCTCTGATGTAGCCCATAATGTTGTTAATTCGGCGCAGGTCTTCCAACCTCCTCCTCAACAGGAAAACCAGGAGCAAGGCCAAGATTATGTGCAGCATGTAGCTCATGAAGCCATGGCACGATCTCACCCTAACCCTACCACACTGGCAGGAACGGCATCGTCTACAGCTCTGGCTCATGACAACCTTTACTCTTCAGTCAAAAACCCATCTCCAGAGTATGATACTGGGCTGCCAACAAATAACGTCAACGAGGGGGCCTTCAACAGAACCGCAACGCCTTCATCTATAACAACCACCACCCGACCCAACTCTATTCCTGGCGTAACCCGCCTGCCAGGGCCTAGCGGTGACGCTGTTGCTTCCTCAGATTCGATAAACGAACGAGGTTTCAACGAGCCGCCCATGGCTGGGACAAACGTCTATGCAAACACAGTCAACTCTCAGCAGCTTTATCAGCCGCAGAACCTGGCGTACAATCCATCACACTCGTACTCTGCGTTCTCAAATAATCCATCATTCCCGTCATCGAGTCGTTGCTGCACAAGGACTACCAACGGATGCATTCCTCCTGGCGGCTGTCAGTGTGGAATTGCATCATCAAGAACGCGCTGGGACGCAGCAAAGACCATGGGAATTACCGAAGCAGGTGTGGAGTATGTCAAGCCACCCCACACTACATTTTGCGATGCCCCTGTGGCTCGGAACTTTCTAGGTGCTCAGAGACACCAGTATCCACATACCGCGTCGAATGGAGCATACACTAACACGGCTGAAATGGCGGCAGCAGGATTTTGCGATAAGAGCCTCTGTCAAACAACCAGGATGTATTCTAAGGGTGGCGGAGCTCCTTCATACAAGACCCTTAATGCATACATTCCAGCATATTCTGCATACAGGAGGCCATGGCCAGGTAACTACAATGAGAAGTTCTCCTCAGGCGCAGTCGGACTAGGGAACACGCAGACCGGCGAGCCTCACAAGGTAACAGACGAGACTGCCTCATCGAAGGAATCCGGCTTTGTCGAGAATTGTAAGTTTGACACCAAACCATTTAATTTCATCCCTGGAGAGAGACCAATAGGATTTACAGAGACCTTTGCCCCGGAGGAGGGCAATAAGGTAGGAGGAGGCGGTAATGCCCCAGAAAACCCTAACGAATTCCTGACTACACACAACGATCACTTTAGGGCAATCTACGAACCACAGTACGGAAAGCTGCACCAAAATAAGAACGATGGTCAGGTTCCCCCAGAGGGCAGTACTACCGATGGGAGATTTAGTGGGCTTCTGTCATCGAGCAAGATAAAGGCCAACGTCACATTTAAGCCTGGACGCGAGCCCATCAACGGGACAGCCACAGGCCCACGTAGATGCACGTGCTACGATAGGGTCAATAATGTGTGGATGTAAATCGAGTAGTTGTTTATTCTTCCATAGCGCTGATCTTTGCGATGCGCGCCGCGTGTCGGCCGCCCTCAAAGTTCGTGCTAAGGAATCGTGAGAGAATGGATGCAGCAACTTCCGGTCCAGTGGTTCGGCCGCCAAGAGCAAGCGCGTTTGCATTGTTGTGCTTTCTTGCCATTTCCGCATCATATTCCGTAGAGCATAAAGCACAGCGAATCCCCTTCATCTTGTTGGCTGCTATACTTATCCCTATGCCTGTTCCGCAGACTAGAATGCAGCAGTCAGCCCTGCCGGAGGTGACGGCTTCACAGCCAATTTTGGCAAAGTCAGGATAGTCCACTGAAGCATCGCTCTCTGTGCCCAGATCCATCACTTCATAACCGTGTGCACTTGCACGCTGCTGCAGGAACATGCGAAGGTCCCTACCACCGTGATCAGAAGCAAAGGCAACCTTCATACTTTTGTTCACTGAACAGGGCCAAGAAAGCTTACTCAACGCAAGAAGCAGACCCTACTACATGCGTAATCGCAACGGGTGGAAGGCCCATTGTTCTACTTCCGGTCGCAAATGCGATGGATAAGGACTGGTTGTCATGCACACAATCAACAGAAAGAATCCCAGGGGTTCTACGAGATGTCACACCAAACGCCCTGTCCACACTGCTGGCACAGGAAGAAGGTGTGCTGGTTCCGCACGAAGGCGTGCTAAAAGAGGCAGACGGGGTTAAGCGGGGAGGGGATTGGGCACTAGAGATTCCTGAGCCTATCGTGCTGCCAGGCAGCTTCGAATGAGGCCTTGGCGCGTACTTATATCTGCTCTTGATCGAGTGGAGTTGTATGCTATACGTAGGCAAAGCGTCGGACTTGCATGAGCCAAGGTGAACATACATGGGCGCTGTAAACGAGGGCAGAGCAGCAAAGTAAGAACGGGTTAGGGCAGGAACTCTGCATCCCTGTATCCCTGCACTAATTGCACGGCAATATACGGGCCTCAGAGGTATACACGTGTCTACAGCCGTAGCAGAGAGAGTAGACTTGCCACACAGAGACCTGGAGGAGAGATCAGGCTCAGCCGAAGGCGAAAGTTTGTTATCATCGAGCAGCGGCAAGATGGGCCTTTGCTCTCCATCGCATACAAGGTGACTGCTGTATGTGTGACTGACGTCGCTTCTAGAGCGCTTGTGAAGGGCCATCGTCTTAGGAGATACTACTCCGTCAACCACGGCTGACCGAGGAAGGCCAAAGAGGCCTTTTTTCGCATCCCCAGAGGGTGCCCCGTCGGCAAAATCAACTACCATTTTAAAAATTCAAAAACAACCAGTAGATGGCTCTACCTCCCATGCCCACCCTGAGATCGCCTGGTGCACGAGCACGCTCCCTGATGGCTCACAAGAGCATCATATCCAAGGAGTTGCCAGGTCAGGGCTCCTCAGCGCCACTCCGCCCGAGACAGCTACCCCCTCTTGCACTCGCACCAGAGAAACCCCGGTCCTCATCTCCTATCAGGGCAAAGTCCCAACTAGCCGCAGCCTCGGCACTTTCCAATCACCCTCCATTGGGGAATCCCGGCAATCCCAGGCCCCTGAACTCCGGGACCACATCGAGAGCCTTTTAAAAAGAAAAACACTACTTTCAAATGTTCACAACAGACTTTAAAACGCGGGCCTTTTTATAATCCGCGCATGAGCTGTAATGGCATTGTGTCTGTCTCTCGCATTCTTGGCCACGATTATGACGACGTGAATCCTGTCGATAGTCCTGAGCACCCTTGGAGGCGGCGCGTCAGGGGCCACTGCGGAATCCTCCCCCCGGTGGAGAGCACGCTCAGCGTCGCCCCGTTCTCTTCTAATTATGGGGCGCTTTCTCCTGTAAGCGGAAGGTTCTCACGGGCGTGCTTCAGAAACATGGGCGACCTGTTTGATCCTTCGACGAGGATGTACGCAGACAGGCTCAGCAGCTTTGTCCATTTCGGGGAGGCACTCAAGATGGACCCAGGGGTGGAGGTTACCTACTACAGCGTGGATGCTCCCGTGACAGACCTTATAAGCAGGGTTTACGATCCAACAAGCCTATGGAGCGACTTACACTATAAAGCTGGTAGAAGACATTACAAACTTGGTGAATACAGTGACGAGCAACGGATTAGGAACCGGATACCCCCCTCGTTGGACTACGAAATGCAACCCCAACACTGCAACAGGGAGTGCTGCAAGCACCTGAACATCCGCTATAGAGACGAAAGCGGGGATAGGACCAGTCCCATGTGCACCTCGTGTGGGAAAGGTCTTGGAACTTTCGTTCCGTCGTCCACCAACTCAAGCATATCCAACAGCCAGTGGTGAAGGCTGAAACGCTACCAGAAGGGCTCGACCTTGGCTTCAGCTCTATACATATGTCAGTGTGGTTTGCCGCATGCTCTTCGGTCACTCGCCGGCTATAATAAGGGACTTGAGGTTGGATATGTGTGATTTCAGGCCGAGTATTTCGGCCGTAAGTAAATCAAACTCCTGTATCCTGTTGGCGAGCCGCTTCTCCCACGTCTCTATTGATGTGACGTACCGGGAGATCTCATCATTTAGCTCAACAAGCCGCGCGGCTAAGTTCTTCACATCCACCTGGGTTTCCAAAAGGGGGTTCGCCGCCAGTTGATCTGCCTCGCCTATAGACACGTGGGAGAGGACATCGACAACCTGGCTCATTACATTGAAGAGTGAGGGCCGCTGGGCTGCGATGCCCGCAGCTATTGCACAATAGATCGTAACTTCCAGGTCACGTTGGGCCTCTGGGCTCACTCGCTCAGTAGATACCGACGCTAGGTTTTCGGATAGCCATGTTTCTAGGGCCAGGATATTGCTTTTGTAGGTTCGGCGACCCACCGCCCGCACGGGAACGACAACATCATTTGTTGAGACGTCCACAGCCGCCTTGATGAGTTGATAGCGATTGAAGTGGGAGGACAGCCCATGCAGGTAGCCTTTGCTGAAGCTTAGTCTTGAAAGAACATTGTCTCCCGCGGAAAGCGTGGCATCCAGCGGCTCTTGTCTAGCAGTCATCATGGTGTTCAGAGACAGCCTTGCTAGAGTAGGGTCCTGGGTAGAAGAGGACTTTCTGGTGCGATCGCGAAATGCAGAACGGATAACGGAGCTCATTATTTTTATAGTGAATTGAGAGTCTGTAGAGCAACCCTGGTCATTGTGGTTCAATAGAAATTTACAATTGATCAACCGAAAGGTAAGCTGTAAGATATTATGAAATAAGGTATTATGAAGTAAGGTATTATAAAAATGACTAAAATGCCAAAGGCACTCTGCCGGCAGCCTCAAGCAAATCGAAATTTTAGTAAATTAAAATCTAGCATTCAGAGGATCCCAGCCTGAATGTATGCTGATCGCCAGCGGAAAAAGGTAATGGAGCGCGATGCGCAGATCAAGCTGGCCCAGGGGGATAAGCTTGCAAAGCGGGGGCTCTGGCTGGAGGCTGTGGCACTATACACAGAATCCATTGACTTAATCCCGACCAACGCCATGACATTTTTTAATCGAGCAAAGTGCTACTTTGAGATGCATGACTATCATAGGTATGTCTTCGATATATCACTAGCAATTCACATTGAACCGACAAATTATGTATTCTACGTTGCGCGCTCGCATGGGTTCTACATGCTTAAGAAGGTTCAGGAAGCGCTAAAGGACTTAGACTATGCTATTTCCGAGACAGGTTCCTCTGCAGACCTATTCTTTAGGAGAGGTGTCTGCTACTATGATCTGCGTCGCTGGAGTGATTCCATAAGCGATTTCTCCAGATGTCTAGAGATCAATCCGGCCCATCCCAGTGCATACTCACGGCGCGGAGCAGCCTACCTCAAGCTTAAGAACGGCGCTTTAGCAATAGATGACCTTCGGAAATCTGTCAACGTCTCTAGTCGCTCTCTACAGCACAAAAATTACTTCAAACTTGCAATAGCAAACCTTATCATAGGAGACGCGCTCGCGGCTGTAGAGGCTTTCAGTGCCGCTTTGGAAATAGCAAGAAACTACCGCGCAGAACTTATTTCCAAGCAGAAGGCCAAGGCTTCTAAAGTAGCCACCTATGGGATATCAGGAATAGCTCAAAAGGAGGAAGAAGAGAAAATAGATATTAAGCGAGTCATCATGACTGTGGACAAGGTGCGCTATCAACTGATAGCGTTTGAGGATAATGAAACATTCAACATATTTGACGATGCCGTGAATGCAGAGCCGCCCAAGTATACACCTATGGCCATCTACACCCCCAGTAACAAGAAGCTCGAGCAGCTGTCTTCCGAGAAAGCAGAACTGGAGGCCACGGAGAAGTGCTTTCCCGAGTATCTGGCCAGTAGAGGCAAGGCAAAGGCTCTCCTTGGTAGACACTCGGAGGCCCTGCAAGACTTCTCGGAGTCAATCTCCTATTCTCCTAACAATCCCCAAACGTATTATGAACGCTCTAATGCCTTTAGAATCATGGGGTTTTATGAAAATGCCCTCAGAGACATCGAATTCTGTGCCCACAGGAAGCTTAATGCAGATATCGCCTATGCGAAAGCAATAATCTGTGAGAATATTGGAGAGCTGGAAGAGTCTTTGGTGATTTACGAGGCGATCCTCGCTGGACTGTTCTCTAAACCATATACTACGGACTACCTCCAGTCTCTTGGTGACAGGGGACAGTCCAGCATAGACGCCATCGTTGAGCTTAGTCTACGGGGAGCAGATGAAACAATGATAGCAGCAGAGCAGTTAATCAACGAGACGAGGTTTGTTAAGATGATCGAATTAGATGCATACGTAGATGACCTGACTGAACGGAGCAAGCGTGTGACTAACTATCCTGGCAATACCACCAGGCCAAACCTAAGTATCAGCACTGGGATTTCAAGTGATCACGAGGGGAGCAAAGACAGTCCTAATGACAAGTCTGGATTACCCAGCGCGCTTATCAGCAACACCACACCACATGCACAGGAACAGATATTTGGAAAGTCCCAGCGTTCAACTGTGACAGCTGATGGGAAGGTCTTCCCCAAGCCTCGGTTCTTCCATCTTCCGAGTCTTTACCACGCTGCTCTTTTATATAGGCAAAAGCTGAACTTCGAGCGTGCAACTGAACTTATAAGATATGCTCTCTCGTTAGATCCCTTGGATGACAAATTATATGAGCTACTTGCAATCCTGCATTATGACGCCCTTGACTATCATAACGGAATAGCCTGCGTCGAGAAAGTCATTGAGATTCAGTCCACTAGTCCCACAGGAGTCTTTTGGGAAACTTACTACCTTCTGGGAATGTGCCACATGAAGCTACAGAACTATAGTAAGGCTTTGGAGTGCATGATACTGGCGCAGAAACAGCCCGCTGGTGGCGCAAAGGAACCGCTTTACAAGCAGATTGAGGCAGAGAAAATTAATGGGGTGCTAGCTTCTCTTCCGCCGGGCAGCAATATCGCAATTGCGTATCTGACATATGCGGGGAGCTCTGCTATACCGCGGGATCCCTTAAGCCCCACCTCTGCAGCGCGTGGATACCGTGCCGGGCAGTCTACACAGACAGAGCAGAGAGATACCTCACCCAATTCTGTCATCTTCCCTCTCCTGGATTTGTCTGGAGCGCTTCCAGGATGCAACAATCTGCACGTTCTACTCCGGAAAGCAGAGTGTCTCTTCTATCTCTCAGACTATATAGGTTGTGTCAGAAGCTGCTCTCTGGCCCTTAAAGAATTCAACTTTTCACAGTACACCCACCGCGGTGTTCGGCTCATCTCAACTGTTGCCAACTTGATTAGAAATAATAAGCCCTTACGTCAGTATGACCTTGCACAGGTTGTGAAAACTAATGGGAACGTGATGAGCCAAGAGGAGATAGCGTCTCTTTCAACGATGGTTGAGGTTCCGCTAAATGGAAGCGATAAGGAGTATCTTTTTAATGTCTACTTTCTTCGTGCACGGGCTCTGGCCATCATCAACCGTCTGGAACGCGCTGTGAAGGACGCATTCCGGGCCCGGCACGTTTACCTTAATCTAGGAACCATGGCGACGACTGGTATTGGTGCTTTACTTTACTTTATGAGCAGAACCTACGCCTTTCTACGCCTGTACACCAAATCCTATCACTGCGCAAGAGATGCTATCAAGGCCGGTCTCCCATACTATGCTATTTCGCGTGCACACTACATGCAAGGAGTAGCGCTTATGTACACAAATAGAAAAGAGCTAGCGGCCAAGTGTTTTTCCCTTGCACTCAAAACCTCCTTTACGGCAAAATTTGCAGGCCCGATCTTTGAGAAGCTCCGCGGAGAAGGCATAATTGTGTTACCATCTTTGGAAGAAGTTGCACACTTTGTAGAGCTTTATAAGGAGTATGACCCCTCTGACTATGAGCATTTTCCTAAAGTGATTGAGAAGGGCAAGAAGAAGATCCTCCTCAATAGCTTTGGTAAAGAGTCGAAGGGTCCTGTCAGCAGATTTGTCGTTCGCACTCCGTCGTCAAGCAATCCGGGGAGTACTCCTGGAAGCAGGCCCAACACAGGCCGCCGCTTGGCATCAAGTAGTATCATTGAAACGTTTGGAACCGTAGAGCCACAGGCGGCTCCCCTAGAGAACCGGGACACTGTAGTCAATCGCATGCCAACAATGCAGTGTCTGCCCATCACGGGGACTGAAGCAGAGTTTACTAATAAAATCACAGCATGCCACAGCCAGCGGATTGATTCTTTAGAGAAACAACTCGTTAACAGTAGGCTTTGGACCCTCGCAGCACAACTAGACACGGAGACTCAAAACTTCGACGAGTTTCTGATACTGACGAATCGGCTCCATCAGCCCGAAAACGAGCACATCCTTCGTGGCCCACTTCGCTTTGCCACCACCAATTCCTGGGTCACGAAAGATAATGTCTTTTATTTGCACGAACGGGCAAAGTGTCTTCAGGAGCTGGGGCTGCACGAACTTGCGACAGATGACTTCACATCAGTATTGCGGTTTCAGCCAACAAACGATCGGGCATTTTTCAGACGCGGTTTCAGCCTTCGTGCGCTTGGAATGATTGATGAGGCGGCTCTAGACTTCGAAAAAGCAAAGAAGTTGCGACCAGATGTGAGCCAATATCATCTAGATTATGAAAACATGAGCCAGATTGGCTATCTAGAGCTTGTTCCATATGGACAAGAGGAGTTTTACACTGGGGAGGCCAGTACAGACATCCAGAAGTCGGATCCTGAGGGCCTTTACAACAGTGACACGTATCCACCGCTTCCGGACGAGCAGTACCTTCAGACTCGCCTGCAGAACACGCACTTCTATTATATTAATACGCAAGATGTCTTTGACATGGTGCGTACGTTAAACGATTCGATACGGCTTCGCCGGCAGGTTGAGTCACCCACCATTCCTCTCACTGAAGAAGACACCGCATTATTGAACAATGACGTAGACGACATACCTCCAGACGCCAGTGTATCAATTGATGGGCCTACACAAGCAGCCCAATGAAGAGTAACGCATGCATACGTAAATTTACGTTAAGATAGGCTAAATACCGTGCTTATAAATAGAAGCTATACGGTTTGCTACGTCGCGCTTGGCCGTTCTTTGGTTGAGAAAAATCTGCAGCTCATCAACGATGTCCTTGTGGCCTTCTCGCAAAGCAACATCTAGGGCTTCGAGACCGTACGTCTCTCCCTCGTATGGCAATATCTTACGTAGGGACTCTACATGGCCTTTCCGGGCAGCTATCTTGAGGGCAGAGCTGAAGAACGAGCCTTTTCTATTACCCTCAACTGGCGCAAGAACTTCACAGCATTCTGCACGATTGTATGTGGCAGCAATCATCAAAGCTGTTCTTCCGTCCTTGTCACAAGACCCGTGCTCAGCACCTAGGAGGATCTTACACACTTCTGGGTGTCCGTTCATGGCTGCATACATAAGTCCCGTGTAGCTGCGTGCATCTGACATTGACGCCTCATGTGGAGCTAGTAGCTGGACAAGCGCGGGATTTCCCTTACTTGCAGCAAAGATCAGAGCAGTCTTCCCGTCCTTATTTATCATTCTAGATTCATACTGACACAAGATCTTGGCACACGCAAGCTTCCCTTGTAGTGACGCCTCCATAAGAGCTGTTTTCCCGTCTTTGTTTTGCATCTTGCTTTCGTGGGCAGACAGTATTTTGACTATGTCGTCATACCCTCGTGTTGCTGCCATGATCAGGGACGTAGACCCATCGTGCCGTGAAAGCGTTGCTTCAACGGGGGCAAGAAGTTCCACGCACTTAGTGTGGTGGTTCATCGTAGCAAACATAAGGGCTGTGAGCCCATCACTGTTGTGCATTCTTCCTTCGTAATTAAGCAATAGCTCAACTGTCGAAGTGCTTCCGTGACCAGCAGCCTTCATAAGCGCTGTGGTACCGTCCTTTGTCGTCAGCTTCGCTTCTTTGTCTACCAAGAGCCGACACAGGTCGCTGTTATTAAAGAATGCAGCCCACAACAGAGCAGTTTCACCCTTCTTGTTCTGTGCCCCTGCTTGAACAAGATTTGAAATAGCATCAGTATAGGAGCTGCGCTTGCAGGCCCGGATGAGACGCGTATTTCCTTCCGGATCAACCAAGTTCTCAGGGTGTACAACGGATGCCAACTCTTCGTTCATGTGTACAACGGATGCCGTGTTAGATCTTAGTGGAAACACACCAGGTAACTGTACAACAGATGGAGTTCGCTGAGTTGGTGTGAAAGAGCGTCCTGTAACTGCACTATAGACACGCTCTGGTGTCCCGACGGAATTGGTGATGATCCCGGCCACTTCATAAAGGCTTGTTATACGCCTGTTTTGCAAAGCCTTGGTAACCATCTGGTTTATCTCACTTTCTGCTGAAACATTTGCAGGTGCTGAATCAGCTTGTGGTGCCGAAGGCTGATCTGTAACACTTGTAGCCTGACCTGTTCGCATGTTTATTGCTGAGTTTTTATTCCCAGCTGAGACAAGTAGCCGGTGGACGCTCTTGCTTTGTGCAAGGACCCGTTCTCTCTGATCTTCTAGTAGGTTATTTATTGGCTGCTTCTCATAGTTTTCTACCATCACAGGTGGTGTCGGGGCACTCGGCTTATCCTCTATATGTGTCGAGTGCCTTATTGGATGCTTGGATCGCGAAGGAGTAGGATTGCGTGTAGAGTTTGAAAATATCCTCGGCTTTGCTGTCTTCGGAAGAACAGACGTGGGCATGGGCTTAACTCGAGGAACCTCATTTATTTTACTACTAAGGGGGTCAAATCGATTCCGTGCTTGAGAGGCATGACCAGACGAATCTTCATTTGCAGTGTGCTCTTGAGATTTATAGGCCTGTGCTGGAGGATCACTGGATCCCGAAATGCTCATTGTTCCGGTGTTAGTACCAGAGTTAGAATGGTCGAAGTGACCAGAATTAGCGGAGGGTACTGATATGCCCGTTGCTTCTATGCTGTTAATCGAACAAGTGGCAGCCGGGGAGATAGATGCAATACCATGACTCTCCTCTCTATGGAGTTCTCCACTGGCTACACACAAGTCCGAGCTGTGATGCTTGGCTACATCTCGGATGTCTTTACCACTAGATACAGTAGAAGAGGTTGATGATCTTTTGGGTACAACAGGAGCGCTATTGCTGCCTGCGATATCTGCTCCGCTGGGAGGAATGGTGGAGCTAGGAAGCGCCAGTGTAGCACTCAATGATACGGTCTGGCAGGGGTGCTCTGAAGTTATTGCAACCTTTCTAGACATGGCATCAAGTGCCTCGACAATCCTGTTATGCTGAAGCAGATCAGCTGTGCTAATTCGACACGCGGGCTTCGGCCGTATCATATTCTCTATCACTTCGTGTAGTTCCTTGCTATAGAATTGGGGCATTTCCGGGTATACACCACTCCGGATCATACGAATGAGCGGGCCCATCCCAACAGCTACAAAGGGAGGTCGGAGGGCACACACGTGATAGATTGTGCACCCAAGAGACCAGATATCTACTGCACCACCATGGTACTCCCGTACACCCTCATGAATCTCAGGCGGGGCGTATAGAGGCGTTCCGCACTTGGTTGAGTTCAGCTTGTCGCCTTTAATGGCGGTAGAAACATTAAAATCTGCTAGCTTTATGTTCCCCTCTTTATCTAAAAGAAGATTCGCCGGCTTAATGTCCCGGTGATAAACCTTTCCGATATTGTGTGTTACCCCCTCCTCGTCTTGATACTTTTTGTTGAAGGGGCTGTGTAAATAGGTGAGCGCTTGGATGGCCTGCGCAAGAAAGCCCCATATAGCTGCCTCTGGGACCATTCTTTTCTTTGACTTGCTATCGTCGATCAAGCGCTGAAGATCTGACTCACAAAGCTCCATGAAGACATACAGCGTACAGTTCTCCTTATCATCAATGACGTCATAGCACTGAACAATGTGCGGGTGGTGCATGTGCTTAAGTATGCGGGATTCTTTGAACATAGACTCGGGGTCCTTCACTCCCTCATAGCTGACTATCTTACACGCCACCTCCGTAGTGGTGTCGGTATTCCGCGCCTTCACTACCCGACCAAACGCCCCTTGCCCTATGCTTCCTATGTATTCATAGGGGTGGGGGAGACTCACCGACATATATTTTTCACTATTTACAGATCAAGGAATTCCGCGAGTATATCAAAGTGACTGGCCGGTTGGCTATCCGCCACGGTAGAGTTCGTTGTCGACTGCTCAGTTGTGCGGGTAGCACGGAGGTCACAGTCTTGAGATAGGCCAGGCACCGCATCGGGAAAGCTATCTTCGGAGTTTATAGTTATCGTTCGACACTCCCGCTCATAGGCCAATAATCTATTTATGTGCTGGATCTCTTCCTGGAAGCAGTCATTCCCAGCGCTAGAGTCCGGGCCTTGCTCCTTTAGAGAGCTCATTCGGGAGTTAAACTCGTCCAGCGCTCTGAGAAGTCCGCTGTGCCTGCTCTTGTAGAGCCGCTTGAAGTACGCCGTAATGCATCGCTTAGGGCGCGTTGGAAAGTGTATGGCAATAGGATCAAAGCTGATCCCAAATCTGCGGACAAGATCTATGAGCCTCTCTATTTCCGAAACCTTCCACTGGCGACCATGGGTAACTAGAAACGTCGAATCATCTGCTTCTTCATAATTCTTTGCTAACCTGTTGGTGCGAAGCCGTGCCTTGATGGCTTCTGCTTCTTTATCACGCCGGGACCTGGTGCGGTAATTGATCCCGAGCTTTGTTGGATACTTAACAGCCACCGAGTAGTCATTGGAGTGCTGCTCATCGAACATGACCAAGTAATCATCTACGCAATCGTCGTCAAAGTCCAGAAGATTGCCATCGGAAGGGTTGTTATCGTGGGTTCCGGGTACTACATTGGAAAGGTCCGCTTCGGTAGCAAAGTAGTTCTCTATGTCGAGTAAAGAGCCCTTTTCGCTCTCATCGGGGACTACGTTACGCAACTCGTCGATACTTTGCTGATCACGCTCCCGTGCTTCGCGCGCCGTGCGACGCCTATAGTCTGCGTAGGCTTCATCTTCCTTCGTATCATAGGCTATCAGGTCAGCAATGCTCATGTGAAGGTTGGGCATTGAATCCTGCCGTCAAGAATAGCTGTCAATATCGCAATTGAACTCAAGCCAGGATTAAAATAAATGGAAAGACGCACTGAAAAAAATACCAGGTCTGGCGCTACTACATGTCCATAAACCCCGATGCACCCCAGTCCAACGGAGAGCAGGAGCGACAGATAGCAATCTGGCAACTAAAGAGAACAATAGAAAAGCTGGAGTCGTACACAGGATCTGGAACATCCGTCATCTCTCTCCTAATTCCCCCCGGCGAACAGCTGAGTAGCGTTACTGGGATGCTAACCAATGAGTATGGGACAGCAAGCAATATCAAATCTCGCGTTAATAAGAACGCTGTGCTCTCGGCGATCACTTCAGCCATGAGCCGCCTTAAGTTGTATAACCGTCTCCCACCGAACGGTCTTGCAGTTTACTGCGGCGAGATCGAAGAAGACGGCAAGAACACCAAGGTTGTAATAGACTACACCCCATATAAGCCCATATCAAACTTCATCTACCTTTGTGACAGCAAGTTCCACACCGAGCACTTGCGCGAGCTTCTCACCAATGACGATACCTTCGGATTCATTATAATGGACGGTAAGGAGACGCTCATGGCCACACTGTCAGGTACTGTCAGGACGATTCTGGATCGATTCACCGTAGACCTGCCGAAGAAGCATGGGCGTGGAGGTCAGTCATCGGTTCGCTTTGCTAGGCTTCGTGAGGAAGCGAGGCACAATTACGTCCGCAAGGTCGCAGAAAGAGCGAACAGCCTTTTCATCAGCTCAGGGCCAACAGGAACTAACAAGCCCATTGTTTCTGGACTCATTCTCGGCGGGTCAGCTGATTTCAAGAATGTACTCTCAACCTCCGCCATCTTTGACCAGCGTTTGCAGAGCATAGTCATGAAGCAGATAGACATCAACTATGGGGGAGAGCAGGGCTTCAACCAAGCTATCGAAATGGCTGGGGACACACTTAAGGACGTCAAGCTTATTCAGGAGGTCAAGCTCCTTACGGAATTCACAGAGAACATTGCAAAGGACACCAAGCGCGTCTGTTTCGGAATAACTGACACCATTCGCTGTCTTGAAATGTCTGCAGTTGAGAAGCTAATTGTTTGGGACGATCTCCCTTATCACCGGGTCACCCTCCAATGTGTTATCAATGGTGAAACCAGTGCCCCCGTGATAAAGTACCTCTTGAAGTCTCAGATGAGCAACCCAAAGTACCTAAGAGAGGTCATCAACGGAGAGGAGGTGCAGCTAGACATCATGGGCGATCAGTTACTCTTAGAGTGGTTTGTTGACAACTACAAGAATTATGGCGCAAGCTTGGAGTTTATAACAAACAGAAGCGCAGAGGGCACCCAGTTCTGCTCTGGATTTGGTGGAATTGGCGGACTCTTAAGGTGGCAGGTGGATCTGGTAGAGGCAGCAAGGTTTATGCAAGAGAGTGATGAGGACAGTTTCATGGACGATCTCGAGGACTTCATTTAACTTAGTAGTAAATGCTACAGCCAGCACAGCCCCTAATACAGGAGTATTACCAGAGGTATTACTCTGCAGCGTCTATTATTCCCTCTGCGGCTATGCTGTAGGATGCTTCTCCTTCCGCAAGAGACGGTGAGTCATAAATCTTAGCAACACGAGTATCTCCGCGGCCCTTGCGGAGGTACAAACGGGTGGTGCTGGCGTGGGCGAGGATGTGACCCCCAATCGGCTTCTTGGGATCGGCAGTGAACATCGCTGCACCGTCAACCTGCGCCATGACCTGATTAGTAACAAAAACGGCGAGGTTGAATTCGTCTGCAAGCTTTGCTAGGCCAGAAAGGTGTTGCCCGAGCTTCTGTTGCCTATCTGCAAGTTCTCCCCTGCCTGTGAAGTCCACCCTGAACAGCGCTGTGAGTGAGTCGACAATCACCAAAGAAAACTGATTCTCTACCATCAGCTTTGGTAACGCAGTAATGCACTCTATTTGCTGCTCATGTGTGTACACTCTTGCGACCATGATGTTATCCAATGCTTTTTTGGGGTTGAGCCCGAACCGCTCAGCAATGGGAGCAACCTTCTCTGGCCGAAAAGTGCCCTCCGTGTCTATGTAAACGGTCTTGCCTCCACCGCCGCCCTTGCTGACTGGAAGCTGGGCCGTAACGGCAAGTGTGTGACACAGCTGCGTCTTTCCAGTACGAAATTCCCCAAACACTTCAGTAATCGACATGGTCTCAACTCCACCACCCAGCAGTGCATTGAAATCCGCACAGCCCGTGGATAGTCGCTTCACCTGCTGTCTTTTCTTGAGGGCTTCGCTGCCCGTGATGAATGTCTTCCCACACATCTCGGTTGCGACAGATAAGATCTTGTCGACTTTGGCCTCAGATATCCCCTTCACGTTTCCAAGAGCCTTTTTCGTGTGCATAAGAAGCGACTGAATTGTGTGAATCCCTGCCTCCTTGAGGCGCTTAATATCCATTGTTGCAATTCCACTCTTTGTAAGGTCGTCTATCGGGCTGACTATGTGCTTGGTTTGAGTGACATCTGCCATCGTCAAGTCCCCCTCCGTAGCCTCCTCTGTACCTGCAGAGGCTGCATCTACCACATCCGTCGCCTCAGTGCCCTCCGTAACGTCACTCTCACTAACTTCAGCAGCTTTCCTGGGAGGCATGTCTTGGACTTTCAAATAAATTAAAAACCCAAAGAATTGGATGGAAATACACGAGGACTTGAAGCCGATATCTGACTTCTTGAAGCAGTACACAGCCTATGATGTAATGCCCACCAGTGCGAAGTGCATTGTCATCGAGTCTGGAATTAGCGTCTACCGGGCGTATCGAATAATGGGCGAGAACAGGACCTCCGTTGCCTATATTTGGCACGCCACGAACCAAACATTAATAGGTGTCTTGACCATTAACGATATAATGTCTGCCATATTATCCCTTCATAAGTATTTCTTTGGGCAGAACAAGGTGCAGGACGTACAAACATTTATGCGATCTGTTTATCCTCAGGCCCTCCAGATCCATGAAAATATAACGATACTCCACCTACTTAACTATGTAACCATTAATTCCATCAAATCGGGAGGTACATTTCTGCACGCTCCTCCAGAAATTACGCTATTTGATACGCTGAGGTTGCTCAGGTCCCACTCTGTGCACAGATTGCCAATCATTGATGACGGTGGCAGTGTTCTTTGTAGCATGACATACAGGAGCCTTTGCAAATTTCTGGTCGGCAAGTTCCGCTTGCCATCCAAGATCCTCCAAACCCCGGTTCTATCCTTAATATCAGGGGATCGCTCCCCTTGTGTCGTTCGACCTGAGAGCACCTTTGAAGAGGCTCTAGAGCAGATGCTTGCGCACCATCTCTCCAGTATACCCGTGGTGAACGCCGAGACACAAGAAATAATAGAAGTCTTTAGCAAGTACGATGTGGCGGCGCTATCTATGACACCAGAAAACATCTCGTTGGACGCCCGGGTTATTGATTTGATAAACACTAGACCGCCACAGGTAGAGGGACTTAGCTTGATGCCAGAGACAGCTACTTGTGGAGATATACTCAAGGAGATTGCCACAAGGAATATCCATCGTGTTGTGTTGGTTGACGAGGCAACACGCAAGCATATAGTCGCGGTTGTCTCTCTTAGGCATATCCTTGATTTCATGTCTGACACTATTGCCTCGGAGAAACTAAAACCAATCGAGCAAATAACCCTGCAGTCAACTATAAGTGCATGCCCCACAGATAGTGACCAGTCTCTTTAGTGTAGCAGCATAACCTGCAATCTGTAAACCTCAGTGGAGAGAATGTGTGCTTCTCTATTGATGCAGACTATGTGTACTTACCTATGAGCTCGTCAATGTCTGTGTCTACGCATAATTCGTGACTGTTGCTCAGGATGTCCACGGTGTCTACAACATTAATACCTTCTTCCTCTACTCCAAGCGTGTTAGGAAGGCTTGGTTGCAGCACAGAACTAGCAACCTCTAATTCTTGTAGATTAGTATCCACATCTATTACATTAATAGATGCAGATATCTGTGACGAATTGTCATTTGCATATGTCTCAATAAGAGAGTTAACATCCGGTGGAAGATCTAAGTCCTTATAAATATCTATTTGTGGTGCCCCTTTGCCAGCAGGTTTCACGCCCACAGCACAGTTCCCAGCTTGCAATCTAGTTGCCTGATTGGCCTGCGTAATGGGCCTGTAAGGTGGCAAAGATGATGTTGTGACACTCGCTGAACCGGCTAGATCAACTACAGAGTCAGAAATGGTCAGCCCTGAGTCTATTTCGCCTCCTGTTCTGCTCTGCAACGCCGAGAGGGTCACCGGTGCATCATTTGTAGGGTACTGTTGGTGTAAGATGTGTGGCGGAAGAGACGCTTGTTGAGGTAATCCTTGCTGGACGGTCGCGGTAGTGGACAGGCGCATAGCTGAAGGTAAAGGCGGAAATGCTCCACTGGCAGGGACAGGTGTCAGAGTAGAAGAAGGAGTGGACTGGAACTGTACACGTGCTTGCTTGTGCATAGTTTGAGCCTCAAGAACTGCCAATCGCTCCATTAAACGTTCGTTTTCGAACTGTAGCTTGGAAATTTCGTTAACGTGTAAAGAAACAGCGGTTTCTACCCCAAGCTTCTCTCTCTGTAGCTCTTGGATGCGTCTATCATAGTCGAGCATCATGGTCTGGAGGTCTAGCTGATGTTTCGAAGACTGTTGCTCAAGGGAAAGGTGCGCGTCGTGGTTCTGCTGTGTGATCTCTCGTAATTCCATCCGCAGGTTGGTGATCTCTTGCGTTAGCTGTGCTTTCTCCTCCGTCAACCTCTTCTTTGACTCAGTGGACCTCAAGAGCTCGGAGGATAGCTTGCGCAGCTCCTCCTCATAGGTTTCCTTAATCTGCTCAAGGGCATCCTCCTGGTCTTTGAGCGAGCGTCCAGAGGCAGTCATGCTTTCCATTAAGTCCTTCGAAAGATTTTGTCTCTGCGCAAGCACTTCCTTCTGGTTGGCTACTGTCATACTTAACTCCTCCTTCTCTTCCGTGAGGATTTTGATGCGGTTGCTAGCAATTGCGAGATCACTTTCTAACCGAGTAGCACGGGTTTGCTCTGTGATATAATCCGAGTTTAAATTGGCAACCTGCTTATTTAAAGCTTCATTCTCCATCCTCATGTCATCAAGTTGTGATCGTAACTGTTTCAATTCCACTTCAATCTTCTCTTTGCTGATTGCGATAAACTTCATCTCATCAGCTGTGGCTCTGCAGTCTTCTTCACTATCCCTCAGACGCTCCTTGAGAAGGTCAATCTCTCGCTGTGCCTCTGTGCAGGAGGCCAGCTTTACTTTGCAAGCGGTGAGTTCTGTTCTTACTGTCTCGAAATCTCTGCTCACCTCTTCGCTTGCGCTCTTGAATGCTGCGTACTCGCTGCTGAGAGAGTCCTTATCATTGGTTAACCGTGCAATGTCTAACTTCTGTGTTTCTCCCCACAACTGAAGCCTCTCTATTTCCGCCTGGAGGGCTATTTGCTTTGTCACCAGGTCTGAATTCTCCTGCTGGAGCTTTACGCCCTTGGCCCGCAGGGCGTCCTTTTCTGCAGTCAAGTGCGAGACCTCGGCCTCTGCCGTCTTGAGAGAAGACTCCTGCTCCATTACTGTCATCTCCATCTTGGATATGTCTCGTGTAGCTTTCGTAAACGATGCTGTAACAGAATTTAGCTTATCTATAAGGTCCTTGACTTTAGCTGTCAGTTCCACTTTCTCTTGTGTGACTATTCCAAGGTTCTCTTTCAGGAGGTCGAGTGCGGCGTTCTTCTCGGCTACCATCTGTTTCATGGAGCTCTCAGAGCCATCGATTCGTAGTAACTGGGCTTCCAGCTCTACAATTCTAGCTGTCTTTTCTGCCAATTGCTGAGCAAGAAGGCTCAGTTCGCTTTCCTTTGCCAGTAGTAGGGCCTCCTTGTCTTGAACGGAGGACAGCAACTCCGTACACTTCTCATTAAGGCCACCAATTTGTTGCTTTTGGTCAGCGACAACAGAAGTGAGATTTGCATTTGCATGTGATAAGCGCAATATTTCATGCTCTGCCTCAGACATCTTGGCATGGGCCTCTGCAACGCCATTAATCGCGGCCTGATAATTCTCCTGCAAGGTCTCTAACTGTTTTCGAAGAATACCTGCCTCTTCTGCTGCGGTCGAGAGCTCCTGATGCTTCTCTTGAAGTGACACCCTCTCTCGATCTCCATCTGCGCATTGTTCAAGCAGAATTGAATACTCTCCGGATAACTTCGTGTACTGTGCAGTCATATCTGCGCTATGCGCCTTGGCTTGCTTGAGCTCTAGAATAGCCTGCTCGTTAAGTGTCTTGAGGTTCTGAATCACCATATCGAACTTCTTTATCATGACGTCCAGCATCCGAAGGATTGCTATGCGGTCCAGAATAATGGACTGCTCGCCTTCCTTTTTCTCCCAAGATGACTCTGTGGCGTCGCCTTCTTTGGTACTGAAAGAGACGGACTTCTGCGACTTAGCTAGGACTATCTGGCTGGTTGGCTGCTTCATTGATCCACCCAGAGCAGCACCATCACTGACTGAGCGGAATGGATTGAACGAGCTTGCTTTGATATAATTTGATGTACTTTTACCCACACCTTCTGCCTTGAGAGGCCCTACCAATCCCTCGCTATTAAGAGAGTACGTTAATACAAAGCTAGTAGTCGCGAGTGCACTTCTTGTCACGGCTTTTCCACCAGATACAATGGAAATAGAATCTAGTTGATATTCTAATTTGTATGCATTATAAAGGAGAACGATCTTGTCAAATAGAGAGTGCAAATCTGTTTCTCGCTCATCAACCAGACGGCCCTTCTCTCTAATTTCTGAAGCCCAGCGCTCTTCAGCTTCCTTGAGCAAACATCGCGTGTTCTCGTACTCTATGCTTAGCGAATTAAACTCTTTGAGAGTCACTGTGTACTGATCTTCCTTTTCTTTGAGTTTCTCTTCTAGTGCTATAACTGTGTTAGACTCGGTAATGTTGGCATCCTGCAGCTTAATCGTTAATAGCTTGTTATTGTCCTCAAGCGCCTTTACCTTGTGGTTCAGCTCTGAGGCCAGGGAGTCTGCAATGTAGTACTCTGAACTTAGTCTAGATATCTCTGCTTTAGCCCTTTCTAACTCCATTGCCTTCTCAGCCGCCTCTTCACTGACAACAGACACCCTCTGCTCTAGCTGCACAATGAAGCCACACTTTTCTTCATAGTCTGTCTGCAGTGCTCCAAACGCGGATGAAAGGTTGTTGTGCTCATCTATAAGATTATTCAGATCTGCTTGCAGAGTACTTGCAAGAATTGTGCACTGGACAGCTTGAGCCCTGGCTACTGTCTTCTTTACGGGGAGAGACCCTGCTAGCTGTGGCGATCTAACAGTGACAGGATCATCTACATAATTTAGTGATCGACTTTTGCGAGAATTATCTTTTGGTGGCATGGCATTCTGAAATTCATCCACTGAATTACGAACGCTTTTGACGGTCATGGTTTGTATCCCTGGACTGCCTATTGTTGGTGTTGTAGGATAGTCAGATGTATTAGCCTTCCGTTGACTGCCGATCTCACTAGTCCTCTGAGATGGCTGAACTAACATGAGTGATGCTGTCAGCGTATCGTTGCGGCTGCGCTCAAACTCAACTTGGCGCTGCAGATCTTCCACTTTGGACTCCAGAGTCTCTTGCTTCAATTTCCAGTCCTGCTCTGTTTTTCTGATCTGCTCCTCCATTACTCTTCTCTCCTGCTCGGCTGCTACCTGGTACTGATGCTTCATTACCAAGTACTCCTCAGACTGGCTCTGTATCTCTTGACGCATCTTTGCATCCTGTGTTCTCAACGACTCTTCTGCCAAAGTAAGCCTGTCCACTAGTTGTCTTATCTCAGCATCCTTCTCACCAATCACCACCTCTACCTCCTTCCTTGCCTTCTCAAGCAGACCCTTGTTCGCTGTAGCCTCTGTGTAATCCGTCTCTAGAGCTTTGTATTGAGCCACCAATTGCTCGTGGCTGGCTGTAAGCGACTCATACTTTTTGTGAGCGTTGCTCAATGCGACAGTGATTGTCTTATTTCGTTCCTGGAGCCTTGTGATTGCATTTGTTTGGTCTTCGCGGCTCTCAGAAAAGGCGGAAAGTTGCTGTTCAAGGTCGAGGTACGCTTGCTGCTGAACGCCTGCATCAATCTCCATGCGAGTAAGTTTCTCCTGAAGTGATTGAATAGTCGACTTGTATGATGTAATGGTTGTGTTGGCGTTTGCAAGCTCCATGTCCTTGTTCTCTAGCCTGATGATTGTCAGCTCCAATTCCCCGATACGGGACACCTTTTCTGCACCATCTCGTTTAGCTTTTGTTAAGTCTTCCTGGAGTGTTGTGATAGCAGACTGTAGCTTTGACACTGTCCGTTTGGACTCTTCCAGCTCTGACTGGCACGCACTTATAGTGGCCATCTTCTTATCTAGCTCCCCCTCGAGCTCTATATGAGCCTTTAGCGCTGACGCCTTTTCATCTGTCAATCTCTTTAGGGACGTAGCCAGTTCAGAAGACTTAGCCTTGATAGCCTCGTAGCTAGCCAGCAAGTCGGCATTTTTCGCTGTGAGCAAGCTTATCTCTGCGCGGTGCTCATGCTCGAGTTTGTTATACTTTTGTTTGATGCTTGAAAGCTCTACTTCCCGCTCCATAAGCTGCTTCTTTGTCGCCTGCGATGTTATGACGTCATCGGACGCCTTAAAACCCTCAAACTCCCTATATAATTGGTCCCTATCCTCTTCCAGCTTTTTGTTCAATTGAGTAAGCTCTTGTACCTTCTGTCGCTGCTCACTTATTATAACATCTCGTTGCGAAAGTTGCTCCTGAGCTTGGGTGAATGATTGAATAGACTGAGCTAGCTTTTGTTCTAATTCCTGCAGAGCTTCTCTTCTATTAGCTTCACTCTTGCGTACCTGATGAATCTCCTCGCTGAGCTTTTGGTTTGTTTCCGACAGCGAAAGACCATAGTTATATGCATCTGTGTATTGAGCTTTCAGTGTCTCGTACGTGACCTCTAAGCATCGGGCTTTTTCCTCCTCCTTTGCAAGGGCATTAAGTAGCTCCTTACGCTCTGCTGCCTGTCTTTCTGCATCTATGCTATGTTGTTTCAGCTGGGATTCCTGGAGCGAGAGCTTAGTCAGCAGGTCATTATGCTCTACTGTCAGCTTCCCGTGCTGCTTCTGGATTTGTAGGCTCTCCTCGCGCAGCGTGTTAAAGGAGTCATGCTGAAGTTGAAGTTCATGCTTCAATTCCTGTATCTGAGAGGCTAAGCCAGAACATTTCCGCTCATACCCTTCAGTTAGCTGTGCCTTTCCACGCTCGTATACACTGGCATTGGACTCATGGTGAGCTAGCTGTGCCTGAGCGCTTTCATAGCTCTTGCTTAATGATGCATGCTGTTCACGGAGGTGATCAAGCTCCTGTTTAAGGGCTTCACAAGTGGAGTTAAGTGATGCAATTTGAATGTTCAGTGAACCTAACTCTGAGGAAGCCTGCACCAAATGTGCGTCTTTTTCCTTTAGCCGTTTAGCGTACGTTTCAATAGTATCTGTCGCCTCTGCCAGTTCTGACTGTAAGCGAGCCTGACCAGCCTTGGCGCGGGACAGCTCCCCATTCAGGCTGGCAATCGACTCTTCGTTGGCTCTGTCAGCTGCAGACACGTCTCCCAGCGCTCTTTCTGCATTGAACCTTCGCTCGTTAGCTTTGCGAAGCTCTTCATGAAGTTTATCCGTCTGAAGAACGGCGTCAGAGAGCTGCTGCGAGACGCTGCGAAGTTCACGCTCAGAAGCCTCTTTTGCCGCCTGTGCAACTCCCAGCTCAGACTGAAGCTGGTGTGTGCGAATTCGCAGCTCCTGTGTAGCCAGGAAGACCTCGTCTGTGTCGATGTAGGCCTGGACTCCCTTAGAACACTCTGCATAGGATGTCTCAGGGTTTGTGTACGCGCTCTTCATCAGTGCACGAATACCCTCCTGATAAGCAGTCGGGTGGGAGTAGAGTCCAGCTACTTCTTTGGTGCCATGAATCGTCAGCGCAAGAGCCTCGGCAGCGCCCTCTCCTACCTCAAGGATAATGTTGTGCCTGTCAAGATTATCAATGGACAGGTGCGAGCATGCAGATATGTTGCCGTTTGGATTGCTCGGGTGGGGGAAGCTATCTTGGGTAAGACTACCGCTGAGAGCGAGGCTGGAATTGCGCCTACTGCTTTGTGCTTGCTGTGGCGTTGCCATAGGCTCTGCACTCTTCCCTGAACTGTCGGGTTTTCTGCCAAGCGCCTCTAACTGCCCTCGCAACTTGGAGATCTCCTTTTCTTTCGCATTCAGCTCATCCTTTCGTGTTGCGAGGCGTGCTTTACATTCAACCATCAGTTCGTTATGTTTGTTTTTATATTTGCTTAGAGTGCTCTTCATCTGGCGGTTTTCCTCCACCATCAGGTTTAGCTTACAGTTCATCTCTTCCAGCTGACCTTCATAAACAGTAAGATCTGCGTTCAATTTAGCATTAGTCTTTAACAGCTCTGCTCTACCGTCCTCCTGAAGAAGTTGTGGCACCAACTTAAGCAGTGCTCCCAACTTAGTGGAGCTGAACTCTTCTTTATTGTCATTGCTCTGGTCTTCTAGATGCGCCTGCTTCCAATCCTGTCTGTCACCTTTGGCGGGATAAGATAAAAACTCAGGAATGTACGGGGCATAATCAAATTCCTTCGTGTTCAGCCGCCGAAATGACTCTACTTCTAGCACTAGCTGTGTTTTTGTAAAGCCATTTCCCTCCAACCAGTCAAAGACAAACGCAAACTCTGCGTTACTTGACTGCTTGAAAAAGTTTGCCTGCTGGGCTGTTCGTTCTGCTTTTTCGTTAATGGAGAGGAACATTTTGAACATCCGCATCCACTCCGTGTTCTCTAGGCGTTGCATATAGCCTTGAACGCCATCTTGTGTCATCAAAAGGGCGATTTTTGAATTTTTACCATTCACTCCTACTGAACGATAGTCGATAACGACCGGCGGTCGCCTTCGCCTGCTAAGGAGCGCAGGCGCCAACTTTTTCACTGAGAGAATAAAGCTGCCGGTATATGGAGTTGAGATAGTCGGGATCGATACACCCCATAATTCGAACTGACGAGTCCGTGATGGTAAAGCTGGGACTGTGAGTGGTGCCTGCAATACGGTGGTTCAGGCAAATCATGGAGCTCTTCTCTGTTGGTCTATCTCTCCCGTTGAGCGTGAAGAGCCCTAACTCAGACAATATTACGTTGTAAAGTTTAAATACGTTGCACGGGTGAAGAGGCCCGTTTGCGATGAGATTATTAATCCGAGGCTGTGAAAACTCTAGCTTTGCGCCCCGAAAGTCCCTCACCACCTTTAGTATGTCACGCAGACACTCCTTGAATGCATTGCACCAGGCATATACGGTGTCCAGCCTGTCCCCCTCGCAATCTACCACCATCTTCTTGTAGACTCGTAGTTTGATGTTGGAACTAGGGGTTATCAAAAGATAATTCTTTGCAAGCGCACTGTTCGGCGTGCTTAGTGAACCGTCCGATAAGGGGCTGTTGTCTAGGGGGTCCACAGGATACGAAGCGTTGCGAAAATTCTTGGCGATGGATACGAAAGCGCTGGGTGTGAACTCTGTTGGCTGCACCTCGCCCGTTGGCTGGGTACTGGTGATATCGAAAGTTAGGCGAAGGTTTCTGTGTGTTAGTCGTCATGCGAAACGTTCATACGTGATATTGACGAACCTGTTTGCCGTGCTCATCCTACTGTTTTTTATCAGCTAGTTTCAGCCCGATGGAATTAGAGTGTCTGGACTGACGTCTCTTTAACCACAATGGAGCATTTCTTCTGGTATAAACAGCTAGCTGTAGTAACGCAGGACTCAGAGAGGTGCTGCATCCACTTGCTAAGATAATAACATGGGTTCACAGATCAAGGATGTACGGTGAACCTAACACCGCTCCTCTGGATACTGAGAAAGAAGATTTACAACGTCGTAATGCTTTGCCGCCCTAGCTATGGAGAGGGCTGTACAGCTGCATGGGAAGAGGGAATCTGTAGATGTAGCTTTCATCCCCTTTTCATAGTCTATGAGCATCTTCACCGCCTCTATTTTACCAGCTCGCGCGGCCTGCATAAGGGCTGTCTCACCAGTTCCAGTTTGCATCTTTGCCTCGCACTTAATGAGCTCGCTGATGATCTCCGTATTGCCTTGTTGTGCAGCGAACATCAGTGCTGTGTATCCTTTACCGCAGGAATAGCTTTCCGTCCCGACTTCATAGGTGTAACAGTCGGTCGTCCGCATTCCTCCCTGGAGAGATACAAGGGCCTTCACTGTTTTGATGTCTCCAGACTTCACAGCCTGCATGAGAGCGGTGACACCCTTTTTGCTGGTGGGCTGAATAACCTCAACGATATTTCCAAATCCTGCCTTTCCAGCAATGATGAGTGCAGTGTCTCCGTTGGCATCTTTTCTACTCTTGATCCTGAGGTGCTTCTTGACGGTGGCTACGTCGCCCTTTGCAGCTGCACACATAAGGAAAGTCCACTTAAGAACATCCTTTTCGTGTTTGATAAGACGCTTGACGATTGATAGATGACCATTTTCCAGTGCCATGTTGAGAGCTGACTGCCCTTTCTTGTCCGTTACACCCACTTCAAACCTACATAAAATGGACACGGACTCTGCGTGTCCACCAAGTGCGGCATGCATGAGAGCAGTCATGCCTGTCTCGTCTTTGAGTCCAGACTCTTTGTTAGCAAGCATCCGGACGATCTGCAAGTGCCCTCGCTGCGCAGCATGCATAAGGGCTGTCATTCCGTGTTCGTCACGCCTTCCTATGCTATTGCCCAGGCTCAAAAAGACCTTGATGTCGTTCACCTCGTTGTTACACGCAGCGGCTATCATTGTTGCATACTTAGGGTGGTTCTCATGCACTGAAGATTTCGCGAGTCGAGAAGGTGTTTCTGAAGACACCCCCGTGTGCAACAGGTCAATGTTTGGACTGCTTGGAGACTCAGGCTTCGGTTTGGGTGTTGTATTCCGTGAGTTGTACGACGAGCAGGCACTCTTGAGGGACTGTATTTGTGCTTCTTGCTCCTCAATCTTGGACTGAGAGTTACTCAAAGTTACCCTGAGGGTTGCGCGCTCTGCCTCGAGCATTGCACACTTTCTTTCAAGTGTACTAATCCTTATTACAGAGTCATCGGTAGGCAGTGTCTTCCTAGCAACGCTCGTAGCATTACTTTTTAAATCTAACATATTCGCTAAGTCTATAGCAGAGAGGCGGTTGGTTGGATTCAGTACGAGAAGTCGTCGGAGTATATCTTTCAGAAAGCCATCAGCAATCTCACTGAGGTCCGGCCTCCAATCGCTAACGAAAACCTCCGTCGGCCTACAACCCCTTATGAAGTGTGGTCTACTCAAGCTGACCAGCTCATAGATGATGATTCCGAGGCTCCACATGTCAGAGGCCGTACTAGATTCTCCCCTCAAAAGCACTTCTGGAGCAGAGTAAGTTGAGCTACCAAAACCAGCAGGTGCACCCTCCAGAGCGCTCCTGCAGAGCCCACAGTCCGCCACAACAAAGAAGTTTGCGTTTTTGTTAGTTAATATGTTGTCTGTCTTGAGATTTTGATGAGTAAATACCGGTAGAGGTTCCCAGTTTTTACCCTGCTTATTTGGGTCATGAAGATAGGCAAGGGCAGAGGTGACGTGGTCGATGATAGTAAGAATAGTTGCCTCAGGTATGGGCCTTTTTTCTCGTTTGTGTTTCACAATCAAGGAAGCAAGGCTTTCGTGGTAGTGCCACATGGAAAGATAAACAAAATCATTAGCTTGTAGCGCCCAAAAATATTCGAGAACGTGGGGGTGACTAACATGTTGAAATACGCAGAGTCTTTTAATAAGAACGTCTTTGGCATGCTCCTTCAATGTGTCCAGACGAATTTCCTTAATCGCCTGCTTCGGATCCTTTTTATATGTGTACACAGCGCCCAGAGAGCCCTCGCCAATGATCTCACCCAGGTTCTCTGACATCTTAGCGACACTATGGTCAACATTATTTGCCATGACTCACTTTAAAAATTATTTTAATTAAAGAGATTGGAAGCGATTGTTTAGACCCAGAGAGTAGGCCAACGCATAAGTAGATCTCATCAGAGAGTCTCCAGTAGTCACCGAAGCCCGTCTGCTTGCAGTGATAGAAGCCGCGGGCTGGACTCCCAAGGGGTTTAAATGACGTGATCAAGTGCATGGACACGGCATTCACCTCGGAACACACAGTTCTGTACATTTTTTGCCCCTGATTCTCGGAGTACTTGAATTCAGAGAAGATTTGTGACTCTTAAAAAATTAGATTGTATAACAAAATGTCAGCCAAAGTACCGCCAAATAGACCCGAGCTACTGGACACTCATGTGTGCTGGGAGGTGAAGACGGACTCTTTGGGCAAAGTCCTCAGGCTTCGCTCCCTGCCTGCTCCACTTTTGACAAGTAACTTCCTGGCTGTCCGTGGAGTGGTCGCTGCCCTAAGCTCTAATGGAAGGTACATAAAGCCAGAGGATCTTTCTACGAATATCTTATCAACATCTCCGTTTTCTCGACCCTACTCCGGGTGCTTGTCTGCTAACACCAGAGCTTCGATTAACTCTCTTAACTCCCAAAGCTCCCCCAAAGACAAATCCAGGGCTCAGTCTACACCAAGTACAGCACCGGATATTGATGAATTAATGAACTGGTACACTTACCGTCGAGCTTGGCATAAGTAGCTGTCCACACCCTTATCAATTTTAAAAACCCTACTTCTCATGAGGACTTCAGCTCTATGTCCTCTTCAGCCTATTGTGCGGCAATCAGATGCAGAACGGTCGCCCGTGGCACGAAAGTCACCTACCGTCCTTCCACCGCTTCGAGGTGTTGAGGCGATGAACTCCATGGGAGCGCGGCCAAGGCTTCCGTCCACCTCGCCTATGAGTCCTCGTGGCTCTAAATTATCTGAAAGGACACCTGATGATGACCGCAGCTCTGATTTGCAAAGGCAGGGATCGTCACTCTCCAAATTATCTGACTCCCTTTTTAAGGCCAGGAACGACTCTGTAAGGTGGCTCTTAAGCGACAACATGGAAATAGCAAATATAGACGACACATCCATGATTACCCCTAGTTGCCAAACACAGCCCCGTGAGGTGATTGTGAGCATACCGGGATACTTTTGTTATTGCAGCAGCTTTTCGCTTTTTATGTACAGGATCTTGTCCACTAAGAACGGCAGGGAGCCTGTTTTTCAATTGGTCCGGATCATCAACTTACCTGGGACCCACATCTTGTCATTGACTGCCGACAAGCAGACGATGCAGGTGGCCATCTCCAGCATGGACCGCCGCATTCATCTATACTCCCTTGTTACAGGGGAGCCCACGCAAGATGTCATATTAGAGCTACAATCTCCCCCTGTCTCCATCAAGTTCCATCCCAGCATTCCGCATAGCTTGTTTCTCCTCCACTATTCAGCACAGAGCGAAGGAGAGCTTCGCCTACTTCACAGCATCACAGGAAAGTCCGTTGTCGTGAAGGCAGGCCTTGACAAAGCACTGGCACTGACATGCAGTCCATATAGCAAGGAACTAGCGGTCTCCTTTGAATCCGGAGAGATCTTTGTTATCGGACTATCTGCAGATGGAACCGAGGAGATCTATTCCCGTTCCTTGATTGCGGGTACCTTTACATCTAAGCTTCCAGACCTGGTTGCATGGAACTCCAAGCACAACGGTGCTAAAGCAAAGTCAGAAACTATCAAATCTAACATAAAGTACGTGCGCAAACTTTTAGACTATGTTTCCACGGTCTTGCTAAAGCCTGTCGAGCCCGTGTCAGTATCCTATGACCCCACCAATCATGAGACTCTGCTGGTAGTATTTGCGTTTGGGCTCCACTGCCTGTTCAACACTGCGACTGGCGACTGCTTAGTGATATACTTTGCTCGAGAAGGGAGACAGTTGGATACATCTAGGCTTAGGACAATCTTTAATATTGGCCTCATAGATACCACACTTAACAACGCTGACAGTAAGAACATTTTCACTCCCGCTGGGACGCTTCCAAATGGGATTTCTTCGTGCATTTTTGTTCCTGGGCAGGCGGGAAGGTTCATCAGCACCGATTGTGACGCAGGAATCGTGCGCATCTGGTCCGTGAACAATCCCCACGATCTGTCTGCGCGTCGTGTTGCTTCTACTGCACTATCTGGAGCATATATAGTAGAGTTGGATCCATTTTTGCAAAATGAGCCCATAGCTTCTAATTGCCTTCCTACCGGCCTCACTGTCATCACCCCGACGACCACAACACTGTCTTCCTACGTAATAGCTCTAGTAGATTCATTTGGGGGCATATCGATTTATTCCAGTGACTTTCGTGCTCTTGTTCTAAGCATACCCTCGTCTCATTACGATAGGATTCTTTCATTGACCTATGATCCCTTCAATCCTCTAGTATTTTGTACAGTAGGATGTGACGGGCTTGTCAAGCAATGGCGCACAGACTTTATAACAGAGCAGCACACAACTAGCGCCTCGGCGTTCAGTTGTAATAATAAGCAATACCAGCGGGTCTTAATACCGTACAACGGATCGGGACGCTTTAAGACGTGGAAAAGCAATGATCACGGGAAGATTGCTGTGGCAAAGGCCCCTGCGTGTGTCTCGGTAATCTACGCGCCAGCAGAAGATCTACCGTACGTATTATGCTCATATATAAATGGTGACATACGCTTCTTTCAAAAGCACACTGGGCGACATACGTGCGACCTCATTTCTTCGTCTTCATTCTACGATTCAGGCCTCTTGATTCCCAAGAAGCACCACTTCTTCAGCAATTATGACAAGGGGTTTCTCACCGGTCTATTCAGCTCCACCCTTAGGATCCCCCACGCGACAACCCTAGCCTGGTCTGATCTGAAGCCGCAGCTCATTGTCACCGGTTGGACGGATGGGTGTCTGCGTTTCTTCTTGTCTACCCGCGGTGTTCACGAATCAGTCGTCGATGCAGATGAATTGGTAATGTCTTTTCGACTTCTAGCCGTCTTTTCGGTTCCTTGGTTCTTCTCGGCACCAGATAACGACGGCTTCAGCATTCGTGCCACCAAATTCATTCCTAAGACATTAATCGTCGCTGCAGCCTTAGAGTCGGGCCATCTGCTATTCGTCAACGTGCGGCCGCTACTCTCAAAGACAATTCACTCTCTCTTTGACATGTGCTATGAATTCGACGCCGGCTTCTCGGCTGAATCCAACTACTCAGGCATAACTAACGATCAAGCAGCATTGGAGGCGGGCAAAAGTGACGCCCAAAACACAGACGAAAAGCTTTATAGACAGCTTAAGCCTCTCTTTACAGAAACAGCTTCTGTTCTCGCTAATACTTCAAACATCTTTGTGTTTAACTTAACCATTTCATACAGATGCCACCTTGAGCACAGGACAGTGATATTCCAGCACTCTTCGTACACCACGGCGCCCCTGCAACACCATGGTGGAACTCCAAGGAAGATCTGTTGCCTCGACATCCACCCACGTGCGGCGTCGTCGACTGACGCAGATGACTACAACCTGCTGGCTTTGGGGGATAACATGGGAGTAATGAGTATACTCCATATCGACTCTAATATTTGCACAGGAAACCTACCGGAGGGCCGCATTCTAATCAAGCACGTCTATACTTGTCTTGGAACCACCGGAAACCGTCCCACACATAGTCGGCGAGCGCCCTTAATTCGGGCGCTCAAGTTCACTCACGAAGTACCAACCTTTATCCTCCTTTCAGCATCGTCTGGCGATTTTCAGCTAATCGATTACACTCTGTCTCGCTGTGTAGCACAAGCAAAGGCTATCAAGGTTCATAACTCTGAGGTGTTCTCGATGGATATACATCCCCTAAATCCGTACACCTGTATTGCTGCATGCCAAGATAATTCCATCAGACAATTCAGCCTCTTGTCTTGCGGCCTTGGAATGTCTTTTTTGGGCTTTGTATCCTTGAAGTACCTCTGGTCTATATTCACTGATCGCTCGCCCAGTGCCTTTGCCACTTCTATCCTAGATGTGTGTCCCTTTAAAAACACTCTCTTCGACAACGAGGGTGTCCATGCAATTGGCTCTATCATTAGCAGTTGCTTGGGAGCCAGCGCAAGTACAAATGATGATCGTGAGACAAAGCTACCTTCCTACGTACTAGACCTCAATGCAGCATTCGCTTCTATCGGATCCTTTTTCCACACAAATCAATCTCTCTTTGCAGCTGTTGTTGCGCTAATACAGGGCAGGGTGACCCCGTACACGCCTTCTCCTGCATATGGATATTTGCATGTTGTCAGACGCGTAGAGGCCATTGTCTCCGTGCTTCTCTCAGAAGTGATGCAGATCTGCCAGGTTCCCATGTTTGCTACTCTTGAGGAAGAAATTTCAAGGACATACCAACACATATGTACTGATAGTACACTTTCCTCTGGTTCTGGAATAGGGCTGAATGAAATGATCTCACAAATCAAGCATGATCTAGGCGGGACGGTGACAATATACACCTTGGGAACGGATGTATGCTTGAGGGACACGCCATTATCGGTGTCTAATAACATCACAAACAAGTTTAAATACGTTCTACAGCTACTTCTTCTGTCGCACAAGTATGCACTTCTCTCAGACGTTTTATGGCAGTTTGGGTTTCGTAACGAAGCTCTGCAGGTATCAATGTCAGTCAACGATAAGGAGCGCTGGTTTTCCCAACTTGTTCATGAAGCAGAAGAGGTCGCACGGCAAGGAGGCTTCCTTTTGCATGCAAGTATCTCCACCCCAACATCAACAGCCTCGGAGGCTCCCTTACGCGATGCTATCTCACAGACCAGAGCCCGGTACAACCTTGAAAGTGCAATCCCAGCTGATCTAGGCACGATTCTTCTCCAGAATGATCCTGCGGCTCTTGCACTCTATTTACTGTCTGTAGGAAAGTATGTCGAGGCCAAAATTGTGCTTTCTTTTGCCGTTTATAATCTGACTTCTACTCACCACCTCTATGAGTTCGATACCTTATATGGCGGGTCAAGCTCAGTTCGAGTGGCTGCACTACCTTGTCCTGCATCGTCTGAAAACTTCCCCCTGGGCCTAGACACTCTCAATACCTTGTACGCGATAACGTCCTTAAACATCGCTGCCACTTATTGTGACGCCCGCCAGCCTCTAGCAGCGGTTTGTGAACTGCTTGTGTGCAGAAGCTATGACCAAGCCACAAGGCTACTCCTTCTGAACAGGAGTGTCACTCTACTTATTTTATTATTAACCATGCTCATTAAAGCAGGAGAAGAAAATCCACGGCTACTTACACCACAAAAGCTATATCCTGCATCTTACCTACATGGCGAGAAGTCCTCGGTTGATGGTACAGACGACTGGGTTCCAGTCAATGCCATTCAGCGATACAAGGCCTTGCTGGTGACTATGACGATAGAATTATATTACTCATACGTTCATGGAAGCGTATTTCTTTCTGACGAGGCTCATACTATGGCAGAAGATGATGCGGGACCTAACTATCAACTTGAGCCGCTACTATCAGCATCCATAGGAAGCTTATACAAAGAGGTCGAAGATACTTCATTTGACAAGTCCGGTGTCCTTGCGCCCAAGTGCCTAACCGTAAGGGATGTTGTTATGCGCTATACGGGCAACTATGACGTGGAGTGCGCAGCACAACTAGATGAGAGCAGGCTAGCAGAGCATCTATCAAGTATTCAGGGTCGCATTGAATTCAGCGACGAACCAGACGCGTTTTCCTCGCTGACGGGGTCTGTGTGCAAGGTCTCATTCCGCTCCCTTGTACACTTTATAGTGAAGAAACTCTTAGATGAGTTTCGCGGGCATTCAGAGGCGTATAGCATGTCGCCACAAGATGCCTATGGCACCTGCAGAGACGCTGGGGCAGAGGCGCCAGAGTCTGCTGAGGCTGTACCGATCAGTAATTCTGCGGCGGAGCTTGCTGCCAAGCCTGTTTTACCAGTCTGGAAATCAATATCCAAACTGCCCAAGGCGGCTTCGGAACAAGTCGTAGCGTCTGAGAAAGCAGAGGACCACGAAAAGATGGATGCTGGTAGTGACGGCATGCACCTAGAGCAACAGTCTGCAGTAGTAATGCAGTCAAACACGGCACCGAACGACGATGAGCTTGGCGACAACGACGTATTCCGGCTGGATATAGACCCCGGATATGGATGTCCCAGCGATGATGATTATGTCCACTCTGTGCATGACGTATACCGACACCAGTTAGTCCCCGTGCTGCATCAAGCTAAGGACGGGGCCGCCCTATCTGATGCGTCCAAGAAGACCAGCTGTGTAGCAGCCGAAACCTATGATCTTATATCTAAGCTTATCCTGAAACTACCGGTGACGGATGCCAATTGGGATACTCTATCACCCTATATCTCTTTCCTCGCCAAATGTCTTCCGTGTACAGGCGCTCAGAGGGTGCATCTACCATCAACGATGCCGCACATTTGCATCTGCTTTTTGGCAGCAGCCGGCTGCTCCTTCCTCTATGGACAACACAAGACAGCTAGAACAATTACTTTGGCTTTGAACAAAACTGTCACCAAGCACCCGGAAACGGAGGTGTTTTCAATAAAGGAGATCGTGAATGGGATACTAGACAAGAGGATATCGGTTCTGCCTGTCAGCATTAATGGAGACCAGCCCCTGTTGTACAAGGGAGAAACGTTCTTTGACAACTCCGACGGACGTTGCTTCTCCCTCTTCCTATTCTTTGATAAGTATATGCACTGGAGCACCTCTGTTCTTATATAGCGAAGACCGCTCTTGAAGCATCTACAGCCAGTTTCTACCTACACAAAAACTCAAAATTCAAAATTTGAGGCAAAGTCACGTGTTGCCATGGTTATCTCCTCCCCCTCCCAGGTGCTGATTAAGGCTGTGGATGACAAGAGGACGAGGTCGACCGCCTGCAAAGGAAACTGCCCCAAGTCAGGAAAGATTGGTACCGTCGAAGACCTGGAGAGGGTCATCGCAGATCTAGATAGATGCATAGGATTTGCAGACATCCACCGCATTATTGCTAGCGACGTTGCTGATATACGGTATGTAGTCCCGTGGCTTCAGCGCGAAAACGTGTTAGGACAAGCAAGTCGACTTCTTTCTTCTTCAGAGTTGGCCGCCTCCTCTTTGTGCACTAGAAAACGGTGTGCCAAGATGTATCTTATATTATTCTCTGTCTGCGTGATGCTGCATGACAAACGATTACAGTCCAGTGTCCTTGAATCTCTAACGACAGTGAGTTTGTGCTTTGACTTACTTATCGGGGCTCATGTAAATCTATACAGAATGAGGTCGCTGGAAGATAGCGGAAGATTCTCGCCCGAGATGTCAACTATCCTTGAGCGGCTAATGGGGCTGGATGAATTTGTGCATGAATTTGATCGTCTTGGGCTCTTTGAAGACTATCAAGGAAGAGAGACCGAACATGCCCCTAGAAGGTATACTCCACCACCAGTCCCAGCAGAGTATTCGGTAGTGGTTTATGTTCATAGAAATTCCTCCTCTCCAAATGGGTGTAGTAATCCTGTCCGGGAGCCTACAATCAAGAAGGATATCCCGACTGAAAAAGAAACTACACCGATGCCTTTGGCTGATCATCCTCCGTTCAACTTTCACTTGCTAAAGACGAATGCATTGAGCACATTCGACTTAGGTGTGTACTCCTTTCTATCAACACTGCGGTTTCATATATATCAAGATCTCCTTCAGCAGACTAACAAAGAGCGCCTCCTAGAGCAGGACATCCGGCGGTTTCAAAAGCTCTTTAGCCTTCTGGTCTACGTTAACAGGGATACAAGTAGTAAGGAGGTGTGCGAATATTTGGAGCAGCTCTTCGAGACTATCTCCTCACTCATCACATACACACGAATCTGCAGGTTTATCTTCGAGGTAGCGGAGTCACATCAGTTCTCAACATCGGAGATACCGATATCGTGCCTGACATCACGTAACGCCAAGACACGTATCTTAGCGGCAACCAAACCCTCAGTCAAGACCATCTCTCAATCCCTACGGAACATAGCAGCAGCAATAGCGGCTTGCACCCAGCAGATGCTTCAGTTTGTATCCTGGGTCGTACTAGAAAATCCGTGGCATGCTGCAGACTACCGCACAGAACATACTGCTTTGGACGCGGCTTCTAGAGTATCATGGTTGTTCCAACGGGCTTATGAAAAGATGCTCTCCCTCATAGAAGAGATCTTCATGTGTAGAGCTTGCCTATGCTTTACGATATTCCAGGTTGACGAGGAGTTGGTCAAGAATCTGACAGATGACCTTCAGTATGACTCTACGATGATATCATACACGCTAGACGACGAAGGACAGCCCCCAAAAGAAGACGGTATTGAATACGAATTGCTCAGAAGCCTGTACTGTACGGGAGAAGACGCGCTTCTGGAGTCGAAGGGAGTTCATGCTGCCGTAACAAGCAACATAGACTGCTCAGCTTTATATGCCAGGAAATCGGGAGAGAAGGGCCAGATTATCATCCAGCTCTATGGCCTACTCCCGCAACTCCTCTATGGCCTGCTGTACTTGATGAATCTGACCAACATGATGCTCCCGGGGTCGAATCCTTCACGGGTTAACTCTGTTATCCAACTCATAGAGCCAACTGGGCTTATAATTACAACAATTTTCAGCGTGCTACAGCAAAACAACAAGTCCTTCTGCAGAGCGCAGTTGGGAGGGATATCCTTGTTCCTTAAGAGATTTTCGCAAGCTATCGAAGCCGTCCTGTCCGCTGTCCATACAGCATCACGATCTATCTATAAAAGAATCCGGACCTCCCAAAATAACCTCAATGACAATACCCGTATGGAGGCATACACTGCCATCATAAACACTGCGTTCAGGGTGCTACAGAATATGTTCGAGGCTGGCGTTGTCGTGCTTGACCAAAAGCTTCTTGTAACGGGGATCCGATATGTAACTTCATTTGTATCTCCCAAATCGTTCTGTGATGCTTGCCGCATTTTAGTGCACCTTCTTCCATACAAGGAAATGCGAGAGTTTGCCGAGTGCTACACATTAGATGGAAAATCTGTTGGAGAATATTTAATCGAGCGGACCAGGCCTACAATAGCAGATTCTGCTTGTCTAAACTCTCTCGACGCCTTGCTTTTTCTCATCAACAATAGGTAAGACACTGTTACACAGAATCTTCGAGCTGCATACGAACAAGCACACCCATAGAGATGAGCTCCTGGATCATCAGCTTTGCAGCGTATGGGATGCGTATCTTTACAACGTCCTTTCCGGATTGACAAGTTGGGCACCACAGGACGCCATTTTTTTCATAGCTAAACAGGCCGCAAGTCTCGCATACGTAGGCAAGAAAGTCATCAGATGACAACATGAACCGCTCTAGTAGCAGGGCGGATGCCCCATAGGAAATAGCACAGTCCCGCTCCATCTCCCCCATTCGCAGGCCTCCGTGTACACGCCTTCCTTCGGTCGGCTGTCGAGTAAGCATTGTTATGGGTCCTGTACCCCGAGAGTGTATTTTATCTTTTACCATGTGCTTCAGCTTCTGATAGTATATGGGGCCATTAAAGATGTAGACAGGTATCACGTCTCCGGTAAGTCCTGAGTAGAGGACGTCCTTTCCGCTGTAGCTAAACCCGGCTACACGAAGACTGTCATAAAGCTCAGCAAGAAAGGTCTCGTCGGTCTTTGTGCGGAAGCATGTCCCATCAGTCTGTTCGCCTCTAAAGCAACCCGACTTGTTACTGAGCAGCTCAAGTAGCTTTGCAACGGTCATGCGAGAGGGATACCCGTGCGGGTTCATAATTAAGTCCGGCACAATCCCTTGGGAGGTGAACGGCAAGTCGGACTGTGGTACGATAAGCCCACAGACACCCTTCTGTCCGTGTCGACTGCTGAACTTATCCCCTACCTCTGGTCTTCGGGGCTCTCGCGTCAGCACCTTTATCAACATGTTCCCGTCCCCGTTTGTAGTCACCAATACCTTGTCTACATACGTTATAGTTTCTAGAGGAGACTTAAGGGACTCGGGCGCCTTGATCAACGATGCTGTGGCTTCTGTTCCATCCGACAACCCTGGAATATTGGTGATGTGTCTCCCCTTGTTTATGACTATGTCTCCTGTCTTCAGATGGGCTCCAACAGCACACAGACCATCATCCTCTATGGCATGATAGCCCTCATATTGCTTTAGATGGTCCTTCGGTGGCCCTAAGAGGATATCTTTTATCCCATCGACGGACTTGGAGCCAATGGAATTGAGCTCAGTGGAGACTGAGCGATAGATGCTGCAGCGTCCAAAGCCCCGGTCAATGGCGTTTCGATTTAGTATTAGAGCGTCTTCTATGTCAAAAGACGAGTAGCTCATAACACAGACAGTAGCGTTTTGGCCGGCTGGGAGCCTCTCATACCCCGTGAGTTTCAGAATCTTGGTGCTTGTGAGAGGTTGTTGCGGGTAGTCTAGAAGAAACATTGCTGTTTCGAAACGCTCAAGTTGGTTGAACGCAATGGCCCCAGACGCCTGCTTCCCCATACTGCACTGGTAGCAGTTTCTTGGAGACTGGTTGTGATGTGGATAGGGGATAAGGCCAACGACGTAGCCTAGAAGGGTATAGGATTCGATTTCACAATGAGTATGCTGTGGCGTCAGATCTTTAGTGTCCATTGCAATATAGGCATTTTTGGCCTCGTTAACGTCGAGGTACTCCACTTTCCCCTCATATATCAAGTCCACAAAGCACTTTTGGTTGTCCACTAACAGCTCTATGTCGCTACGCGTGAGCATTAGCTTCCCGTTCTCCACAATGAGCAAGGGCCTACACGCACGTCCTGAATCGCAGTTGATGTACACGGCTTGATGCTCATCGTTGAAGTGAAAGCTCGTTAAGTAGCTGATATAACCTCTGCGTCTGAATGTGCGCAAGGTAATAATAAACCCCTTAAGCATATCCTTAGCAATAACTCCCTTTATTGTGCCGTTTAGAAATACCATATAACCGTACCCCAGAGAAAAGGTGTCTCCAGACCAACATGATGCCAAATCCTCAACCCCTATGCTCATCAGGAGCTTCGAGATTGAGTCGGTACTCTCGTCCTTGGATATCCGGGCCATTATTGAAAGGTTTTTAACAATCCCGACGGATTCTCCCTCCGGAGTATCAGACGGACAAAAGATTCCCATTTGGCTAAAGTTGAGCATACGAGGTCCAGAGCTCTTCATCGCCTTATCAAATGTGGACGACAGTCTGGTAACCTGGCCCAGGGCAGAGATATACGATAACCTCGAAAGAATTTGGGACACGCCCACTCTGTCTACCCCTATCTTTTCTATCTTCCAATTGCCCGTAGATATTGCGGAGTTGAAGGCCCTGGTGATGATGCTAGGGTCAACCAGCGAGACTATGTCATAGTTTGTAAGGTCTGTGCCACGATTTCTATCTGATCGTAGAACGCTATCCACCTTTCTGACCATATGAGCCAAAAGGGTCTTGAATGCATCATCGAAAATGAGCTCTAAGAGGTCTCCAGCAGTCTCAATCTTCTTATTTCCTACAAAGTCTTTGCTGTCTCCCTTTATCACGCCAAAATCAAATAAAATGGCTCTGCGAATCATTGTAGCAAGATAGACAGCTTTAGGAAGCCAGTTGAACCGCGCCGTGTTGGTCAACGACGCAGCAGACCCAATGGTTGAGGCTCCCGTTGATGCCCCACCGCCCGATACTGATTTTGCTGTAGCATTGGCACTTCCACTTCTACCACCACCAATGGTAGCGGTACCTACGTCTGCGCCTGCACTTACACTAGAACCTGCAGGTGCAGATGCCTGTGGTAGTACGTGCTGTGCTGCCTGTTGTAAATTTAACCGTTCGACTACTGGTATGTGTGAGAGGACAAAGTGGGCAAGACAGTCGCGAGCTGATTCAACGGAGGCCTTTGCTGCCGTGGCGACTGGCGATGCCGAGAAGTTAGCATTGGCATTTGTATAAGTTCGAACAACTATGCGATCTGCAAGGTACTTAAGTGCCTGTTCTTGAGTGTATATCTTATCGTTACTACACTCCTGAACGCTCAAAGACATGTAGTCAAGGAAGAGCTGGTCCGTGCCAATCAGAGATAGAACTGTCACATCATTAACAAACCCCATGGCCTTAAAGACTGTAACAATGGGGATGGGCTTCTTGTTGAACTTGTTATGAATCAAGTAAAACTTCTTGTTCTTGTAGAGCACTGCACAGCGAGACTTGCGCTCGGTGGTGTTCGACGCCACAGTGACCTCTACGTTTCCATCTGCGTTTCGTCCTAGAACAATCCTATTCATCGTCATTTGCTCTGCCAGAAGAATGGACTTCTCTGCACCGCGCACAATGAAGTAACCCCCGGGGTCATCGGGACACTCCTGGAGAAATGCCTGCTGCTTGCGTGACTTGTTAGTCAAAATACACCGATTGCTTCTTAGCATGATTGGTATGTAGCCGATGCAAATCTCCTTGTAGTACTGCACAGAGCTCTTGTTAGAAGCTTTACATCTGACATCAATTGTTATAGGGGCAGCGTATGTCATATTGCGTTGACGACACTCGTGTGGGGTCAACCCAACGCCACTGCCCGCGGAAGAACTTGACAGCTTGGAAGAGCCCTGAGAAACCTGCTTCACATCCACCTTCTCTATCCGCAAATGAAACTGCGGATGCTTGGCTACTACAAGAAGAGAATTTTCCTTGATTATGGCTGGTATGGTGACGTCCAGCAGATGATTAAAGCTATCCAAGTGATGCTTGGTGATGCTTTCTGTCATCAGATAGGAGTGTATTAACCGCCACCGGTCCATAGCGACTGAGTGAACGGGAGAATCCGGCGAGGGGATTCCCAGGGGCATTTTCATTGCTCCTGTCCATTCATTTAATTTAAGTGGCACAGAAAAGCTTGAAAACTAACGCGTTCACTATGTCAGATGCAGATGACGCTACCATCGAGCAGGCTCTCTGCACTGAACCACTTGATTTACAGGTGGCCATGCCGCATATTAAACGAATTGTAAGTAAGGATTTCAACGCTCGCGAAAACATTATTGAGCTCCTTCAGCGTAGAGGGGCTGAGATCCTGCGGAATATCCTCAAAGCAGACGGCCTGCTCAACTCCACTGCTGACTGCTGGAAGCATGTCGTCCTGTTGGCCATACTAATTATTAAGTACTCGACATCCTCGTCTCTTGTCTACCTCATACAGCTCCTCCCTGACCGAGCGGCGAAGCTGGGTTCTGGGACCGACGGAGAGCATTATGCAGTAAGGCATATGTCACAGATTTTGGAGTTCTATATCCGCAAGCTTGTCTCTGACTCTATCTCCAGGTTTCCAGTGCCTCCTGAGGGCACAGAAGGAGATTCGTTGGTTACCTGGAAGACAGAGCTGGCGTACGTTCGGCCAGTGATTGCTCTTCTCCTCGCTGTGATAACCAGCAAGCAGGGCGAGCATGCTAATGTGACGGAAATAGAGCCACTTCAAGAACGGGATATGTGCACAGGGTACATCTCTATGTTATCCCTCCTTCTCATATTCGAGGCTGGCAAGCGCACGTTCGTCGAGGCAGACGGGTTCACTGTCCTAATGATGGTTGCTGCACAAACTCAGTCCATCCCGGTAGTGACTGCCATTCTGACAGCCTTCCACAGCTGTATTTTCAACCTTGTCGACAGCGTCAACGAAGAACTGGATGTCCCGGCCGCTGACTCCGCTTCTGGAGATTGCAATCCTAAGCAGACCACAGTGTACAACCTAGTGGTGGATGCATTTGCCTTTGTGCGTCCTCACGAGCTTATTGAGTCTGTATATGAGCGCTTCTACCGTCTGCACTACGTACCAAAGCAGCCCATCTTTACCGAGGACCAGCTGAAGCAGCAGCTCACCGAGCTCACCTTTTCGGTAGTCTTACTGTTTCATGACTGTGCCCTCCCAGAAACAACTGGCTTCGTGACAGGGGAGAATCTGCTCTTCATTGCGCAATACATAGTTTCGGTTACCAAGGGTGTTAGCTTGTCAAAGCCAGCGCTGTGGCAGTCCGATGGGTCGCTCGCCACGTTTAATGCCAAGGTCAAGGGAGGATTAGAGGCACTTATGCGGCTGATCAGTTTGCACACAGAAACCCCCACGGCCATTAGGATTCTGATAAACGGATACAACCATGAGACTAAGGAGCATGATTCAGTGCAGTCCCAAGGCCCTGTTGCGGAGGACAAGTCAGTGGATGTTGAGGGTGGGGAAGAACCTCTCAGGAAGGCTGAGATGCCCGGAAATATTGACTTTCTCCGAGCTGTGGTTAACGCTGTCGCTGTCACTGACTGCTCAACGCTTGCTGGGACGCTGTTCTCCTTCCTCTCTCTCGTTGCATCGTACTCTTGCTGCTATAGTCGAAGATTGATAATACCACTGGAGTTTACATCCTATGAGAGGATTCTAAGATGGGTGAGTGCGTATGGCTCCTACATTCTCGGCGGGCACGCTGAGACGACAAAAATAATCCAGAACATGGAGGATACGTGCCTGGTCCTTGTGTGGCTGGTCGAGAACTCCTCTTCTGACAACGAGGAGGGTGCAGATATCGAAGAAGTGGCATCTAAGACGCTAACTCGCAATGAAATATGGGCCCGCCTTTCCATCAAGCAGGAGGCCCATGGAGTGCTGATGCTGGCCATGGCAATGTCTGTCATCAAAGGTCTTGTGCCCACACTGACTGGTCTATTATCTGTTATCTCGTGCTTCATGGGCACCGATGGCTATTTCGTTAGACTCCTTACCGTCTTTAAAGAGAAGAAAGTAGAGATATGCAATTTCCTTGTTGATCTCTGTGCCAACCTAAGCAAGCAAGGCGCGTTCTGCTACGTTGTCTGCAATAACATACTCAAAGGAATGTCGTCACTTCCAGATGCATTCTCATCGGTTGACGTCAACCAGTTGGCGGACGCGCTTCTCCCCCTGGGCTTCAGCGACGGCGATGACGACGTTCTGATGAAGATTGTTAACAGTTACGAGGAGATTCCTCCCGTTATAAAGGAATCTTGTAAGAAGATCTTGGCAATCATGGATGCTGTGGACGGTGAAGAGATGGTGGCAAGGTCAGAGCCCTATGCCAGCCAGCCTGCAGCCGTTGGATAGACTAGTAAATAACCCTGAAAAGCTAGATTTTTTAATCTCCCGCCTCAGCCACAATGAGCCGCGCCACAGGGGTTCTGTTGGGCCCACATGAGGCTGAGATCAATGGAGAAAGAGTCATAAGCGCTGCGTGCTCCGATGGAGCGCAATTCAGAAGGCTGAGCATGGCATGGAGCTCGGCAGCAAGATTCCTTTCAGACACTCCTTCTGTACTTCCTCTTGAGAGTATCAATGGCAATCCGCAAAATCAGTCGATATACATCCGATTTAGGAAGATGAGCGGAGTATCTATGCAAACACTACTTCAACGGCATCAAAGTGCCAACCTCCCCTTCTCAGAGGAAGTGCTCCGCTCATATGCACTCCAGCTATTGACAGGAATATCTGCTCTCGAACGACTCAATTTCTGCCCGACCGTCTCACTTGATACCATACTCGTCTCTTCTAGCTTCTCTACCGATCCGTGCAACGCTTCCATGGATGATGCGCTAGACTACGCCGGTCTGCTCATTCACGGAGAGTGCTTCTTAACGTGTTATGATCCAATTATTTCGACGGGGAAGAGTACTAGGGACTACGATCTCCACCCCCCTCCTCTGGTGTCTTTTTCTCGTGTTTTTGATGAGCTTTGCAAACTTCAAAAGCAGGACACATGTGCTGGCAGTGTGCCATATCGTGTGAGCTCCAAACCTGGCTCAGGGTATTCAAGGGAACTGCGGGTGCTCATGCGAGCTTGTTCTCAGGAGCATTCTGCATTGCGCCCATCTGCATACCATGCTTTGCAGTGGTTTAAACGGATTCATGCTGGGGTTGACCTCAGTTGTGTCAATGGTATTCCGACCGTGTTCAGTATTACTCCAAGGGTGTCTCGCTCGCCCAGCCCGGTACGTAGTCCGAGTCCTAGCAGACTCGTCTCCCACCCAGACTATCCCGCACTATTGGGTAGCCAGCGCTGTCTAAGAGCCTATCTTGATAGTGAGCCTGACAGAAGTCTCGTTGAGGACCTCCTCGAGACGGCTGTTGCAAGAAGAAGTGTGATGGGGATAACAACTATTTCTGATCATTCAAGAAGGAAACAGGTCTTTGCCACTATCAAGCCTCGGGTGGGTGTTGCCGTTATGCGGGAGACTGCTCTTATGGCAGCGACCCGTGCTAATAATAGTGAAGCCGTACAACATATCTTAAAGACGTCTCCAGAGCTTCTGTGTTCAATACATTGTGGAGATACTAGTCTGCGGATAGCATCCAGACGAGGTCTGTTTTCTATAGTCCGCCTGCTGTTAAGTGAGCTTGGCATTCGGAGCCCTGCCGGCTGGACCGCGCTGATGTCTGCTGCACGACATGGTTATGATGACATAGTGAGGCTGTTACTCCCGGAGGCCGGAGCACAGTTACAGGATGGCACATCTGCGTTGATGCTTGCGTGCAGGTATGGCCACGCAAATTGTATAAGAGAACTGCGTGCCGTGGAGAAGAACCTGACAACAACCAATGGAAGCTCTGCCGTTGACTTCATTGCGGAGTCGTTTCACAACGGTACCCTGAGTAACGCAACAAGACAGAAGTGTCTAGATGCGCTAGCTGGTGAGTAAATAGTATCGTCACGTAGAGACCATAGTAGTGAGCGTAACTGGATTGGTGGATAGTCCGTGCTTTGTTGTCTTTCTTTTCTTAACAAGTATGATTGCTAGTGTAATGACGGTAGCAGCAAGAAGTAGCACAGCAAGTGGCAACGTGATCGATAGAATAAGCGTTGTCCTGTTAGTACTAAGCGGAGGAAAAGCAAAGGGAGAATCAGGATCATTATCCAAACATACCACAGAGGTCTCAGAAGATGATACCAGACACTGCTTGCATCCCTTTATACCCTTCAGAGGTCCCGAGATAGTAGAATTATCGCAGCGAATGCAACCATGGACAGAGCTGGTCCAAAAGTATCCTGGTGCACAAAGATTGCACCCACTAGGCGACGAATCCTCGCAAGAGAGACAACCAGGTGCACACTGACTGCAGTGCACCTCCTCAGAGTCGACTGAAACTTGCGTGGAGTAGTATCCGTTAGAGCAGAAAGTACATATGTCCGGACTTGATGGACAAGCAAAGCAGCCAGTCATGGTACACTTAATGCACCCGCCGTCACTAGTCCGATGGTAGCCACACGTACAAGCTCGACAAGTCCCATAGGCGGCAGGATCTATTCGCTCTGCGGCGGCGCATACTAGTTTTCCCGGGGCATATAATGAACTATAACACCCTCCTTGATGCAGAAAGTACCCCAGGGCACATTTAAGGCAGAGACCTTTGTCTGTTTGAGCACATGCAGAGATCTGCTGACCTGAAGTAGAAACGCACCTCCCATCGAGAGGAAAGAAGCCCTGGCTGCACCTAGAGCAATACCTTGCCGATCCCAGGATAGCATGACATTCCACGCACGGTCCTACGGCGGCTTCGGCGCACTCTGGAACACAACGACCCATAGTGAGCACGTTAGAATCAGTCCTATATATGAAATATCCGTCAACACAGGAGGTACACTGATCTTCGATTGCTCGTTCACAAGAGTAACAATTTGCTGGACAGAGATCGCATGTATTTGTGATAGGATTTGCTGCATAGCCGATGGGGCAGCTGTGCAAACATATTCTGCGTGCCGGCTGTAGAAAGTATCTTTTCTCACACAAAACGCAAGTGGCTCCAGAATCAGTTCCGTTGTTCTCGCAAACACAATTTGCTGGACAACCGCCCACTTCTAGACAGTTCCTCCCATCTAGGGAAAGACCAAATGGTATTTCGCACGCGTTGCAAATGTCAGCGTTATCGGTGCAAAGAGCGCAGCTGCTGACCTTGCAAAGGATACACCCTTGTGCTCTGTTGCCTTGGTCTAGTCCATATCCAGCGATGCACGTACACTGTCTAGTATAGTAATTGGACGATGCACCGATTCCACAGGAGGCCACGCACGATCTTCCATTAATGCTAACCATATAATCATACTCAGAACAATCTAGACATACAGGGGCTGTATCAGTGGAAGAGGGTAACATGCAGCGAGAGCATCCTCTTATACCAGCGTATCCATGAACTGGCACTTCAGTACTACAAGAGATACAATATCCCCTGTCATTACCTTGAACTGCCAAGAAAGACGTACTATTGCACGACGTACATGAGGCATCGTCTTGACCATCACACGTAGTACAGGATTGGTGGCACGACGACATGTTAAAGTAGGCTCTCGAGACCAAATTACTAGGTAGCCGTATCCTAAGAAATTAAAAGCTGATTGTTACGTAGAATTGTGTACATTAACATCAAGTAGCTGCATTGTATTACTGTAGCATTGGTGAGAACATCTCTTGGATTTTTAGCGCTGCAGAGAAGGCCCGGGATCTGGTTGGTAAGATAACCTTTGTCCAGTGCAGTAGAAATGTCTTATTCATCAAAACACTGTGGTCGCGAGGAAGGTCTTGGTCAGTACAGATGCTCACTTTGTGCAACATAATCAAGAACCCGATTCAGTTTACAGTTGGACGAGAGCAAATAAAAACTCCTAATTTACTTGCAGCACCCGCCGCCCAGGCAGCAGAGCGCCGCGGCGTACATGGCTGTGAAGACTACCACATCGACGAGCCCGAGGACCACGCCCGCCCACTTGTTGGAGGGGCCCTCAAGAAGGCCGCGGGGGCCCGCCGGGACGATGGCCGCGATGACGACGAAGGCGACGATGCAGCCCAGAATGAGCCCGAGGAACTTCAGCCCGCAGCTGTCCTTGTGGATGAAGAACGAGCCGATGACCACGGTGAAGGCCCAGCCGGCCGCGAGGGAGACCATCGACAGCCCGCTGTAGCCGCCCACGGTGTTGCTGAACGACTTATCGTTACCATTGTTCCCGTTCTTCGCCAGCACGGAGGTGATCAGGTACGTGAGGAAGTCCGCGAGCGAGGGGTACCCGACCCCGACCCCGATGCGGAACGCGTACTTGAGGAAGCAGTCGAGGCACCCGCAGCACCCGCAGCAGCAGCAGCTGCAGCAGCAGAGGACGCACTTGAGGATCTGGACGACGATGCTGTAGATGATGCAGATCACGGCCACAATCATTATGAAGAGGAAGAGCTTGCCCTCATTTTTATCAGTAAGACACTGTATGGGATTTTTCCCATTACTGTTTCCCTTACTACCATTACTATCGAAACACGTTTTCAGCGTTTCTCCAATTGTTTTAGGATTTCTCCCCGGAAACCCTACAATCAGAGCATAAACAATCATCGGAACGCCCACACAGATGAGGGCAATGACGTCCTCATCGCAGCAGCACATTTTAAATTCCTTCGAACAAACCGAGTAAATAGATTTTGACGTATTGACGGTGTAAGGAACTTATGCAGATGCTTGTCTAATGGCACGTGTCCACAACTAGATTCAATATAGTCAGCTATATTTTCAAGTTTAGCGGCAACCCTTAAAAAACTATGCATGTAAACAAATTACACCAACAATCATAAATACTCGGATGGCTTCAGTGGTCCCGGGGGGCAAGAGGTAAGGCATTGATACAGACTGTTTCGTTGCTAGTGTACGATGCGACGAGCGTGATATAACAAACGTACACCTGGATCTAAGAGGCCTGAATCTCTCCGTCTAATCGCACTCTTTGAACATAGATTTTCCTCCAGACACTTAAGTTTTCGCTTTGAAACGGACAGGTCTGCATTCAGCTGCTGATGTCGAAGTGTGGTGTGTTGCAGGGCACTCTCCTGCCGTCAAGCCTCACCCTCCACTTTTCCAGTTAGCTGTCCATCCCAAGTCTGATTTCGGAAAGTATACCTTGTTGCAGTACCTCAGAGCTGTTTGCAGTAAACCTTTTGCTGAATTGGGGTCACGGCTTTCGAACTGTGGAACCAGTCTTTCATCTGCGAGGGTCTGCTGAGGGCTGCGCCCCGGCTGTTCTGCGCACGCTCCCCTGCGGAGGCGGTGGCCGGGGGCGCACCGGTGGCAGTACTCCGGGACGGCGCAGACCGCGCAGTGCTCGACGGCGCAGGGCCCGGGGGTGCACGCCCGCCCGCCGTCTGCAGGGACCAGCTCGCCCTGGCAGCGCAGGCAGGCGGCGCCCGCGCACCGCTCGCAGCCGGGGACCGTCACCCCGCAGGGCAGGGCCGCGAGGAGGCGGAGGAGGCGTCCGGGCATCGGCGTGTTTTCGGCCAAAAATCTGGCGATGTCTACGGCGCCCGCGACCTGGGACACGCACTGGGCGCGCCACTGGCGCCTGGCCTGGGACTACGTCCTCGGGGCCGCCGTGGCAGGGCTCCTCCTGGTGTGCGGGGTGCGCTCCCCGGGCCAGGCAGGGGACCCGGACCCCCGGCGCAGCCCCCGCAGCCCCCGGCGCCGCAGCTCCTTCGAGGGCCGGGCTCCCCCGCGCCGGCGGGAGACGAGCGACCCCGACGTCGACTGCTCCGACTAGCCCGGGGCACGCGAATCCCATAAAGTGAACGTCAACGCTTTTCCGGCACAATCACCGGGTAGTTTATTGATGGAGAAAAATAAATGTGCTGCTGCGACGAGGACATCATCGCCCTCATCTGCGTGGGCATCCCGATGATCGCGTACGCGGTGGTAGTCGGCTTTCCGGGGAGAGACCCCAGCAAGGTTGGAGCGGCATTGAAAGAGTGTCTCAGTAACAAAAATGGTAAGAATCTTCTGGCCTGCATCAGTGAGAAGGGGGATAACTACGGCGGCCTCTTCCTCTTCATAATGATTGTGGCCGTGATCTGCATCATCTACAGCATCGTCGTCCAGATCCTCAAGTGCGTCCTCTGCTGCTGCAGCTGCTGCTGCTGCGGGTGCTGCGGGTGCCTCGACTGCTTCCTCAAGTACGCGTTCCGCATCGGGGTCGGAGTCGGGTACCCCTCGCTCGCGGACTTCCTCACGTACCTGATCACCTCCGTGCTGGCGAAGAACGGGAACAATGGTAACGATAAGTCGTTCAGCAACACCGTGGGCGGCTACAGCGGGCTGTCGATGGTCTCCCTCGCGGCCGGCTGGGCCTTCACCGTGGTCATCGGCTCGTTCTTCATCCACAAGGACAGCTGCGGGCTGAAGTTCCTCGGGCTCATTCTGGGCTGCATCGTCGCCTTCGTCGTCATCGCGGCCATCGTCCCGGCGGGCCCCCGCGGCCTTCTTGAGGGCCCCTCCAACAAGTGGGCGGGCGTGGTCCTCGGGCTCGTCGATGTGGTAGTCTTCACAGCCATGTACGCCGCGGCGCTCTGCTGCCTGGGCGGCGGGTGCTGCAAGTAAACGGCGCCCGGCCTACTGCTCGGTCTCCTCGTAGATCGTGATCTCGGAGCAGTCTGCGCACCGGAGCCCGCTGTCCTCCGAGACGGGGACCTGGAAGATCACCCTGCAGAAGCGCATGAACCGGTTTGCGTACGCGTCGCTCGGGACCGCGGAGATCCCGTCCTTGTCTGCGCACAGCCCCTTCGCCCTGCGCTCGACGTGCTTGATGCTCCTGAACTCGGTGAGGAAGTCGACGACGCCCATGTGGAGGACCCGGTAGTAGAGGGCCGACCCCCGCAGCGTGGGCCCCAGGGCGCAGGCGGGGGAGAACGCGTAGAGCCCGCCCTCCTCGCTGTGGAAGATGTCGCTGCTCTGGATGGCCGCCTCGAACGTGAAGCGGCGCCGGAAGACCTCCCGGAGGTACTCGTCGGGGGGCAGCGCGGCGAGGAACGCGGACGTCCCCCGGCTCCCCCCGGCCGCGATGCTGTGGCCCACCGGGGGCAGCATGTCCGAGACGTCCCGCGTGCTGAGGATGGTTCTCGGGGAGCTGGCAGCAAGAAGGCGGTCGTAGAAGCGCTGCACAGGGGTCTTGGCATCTTCGCTGTGGACTTTATCGGCTTCGATAGTGTTGTTGGTTGGCGTGCCCGGGGCCGCTGCGGGATCATCGTCACGCTCTCTGTCCTGAATACACGGGATATCGTCCGTGAGACCCAAGAGTAGGCTGTAGTCTATCAGGTTGTGCTGCTTGAGCCAATCTGAGTCTGCCTTGAGCTGATGGATCAGGAGCCGCCGCCGGAGGGTTGTGAGGTAAATGTAGTTCTCCATATTTGTGTCCTTCAAGGTCTTTTTGGCCCGATCATCAGGAGCATGCAGCTTTGTGTGCCGGCCAACCCAGGAGCCCTTCAGGTCATACCGCTCAACTATCTTTCGAGGAGTGGCGAAAAGGTTTGGTATGATAATAAAATGCTTACCATGCTTGGAGGTCCTATGTGGCGCTGAAGAAGTGCCGGGCTTACCGGTAGTGATAGTGAACATTGCGTAGATCCGGATGAGAAGTGAGCTAGGGTTATCTAGAAGGTGCCGCCCGTATGATGCGCAGATCTTTAGCATGAGAACAAGCTCCTTGGGCTTTAGTTGCTTAATAAGATACTTACCAGACTCGCTGAAAATAAAGAATGTGGGGCTTTTACCGGGCGACTTCATTAGCCCAGGGTGGCTGCATGTGACAAACTCTTTTAGCAGCGACTGAGGATTGAGGGAATCTTTTGTCATTAGCGTTCTAAACATAGACGCATGATAGAAGATGGCAGTCAAATCGCTTCCAAGTGGCGCACTGGTGTTGGGATCCACCTCACTGCCGGGTAAAGCCAATACTGTCATAAGGCCTTCTGTCTCGGAGCTGTATGGGTTCTCACCAGTCTGAGTTTGAGTTTCAATAACTTTTCCAATAGCCTGTTGCACGCGCCGTACATGTGGATAGAGCGAACTCTGAACAGTCAGTTGCTCGCCAGAATATGGCCGTTGGTCATACTCCAACTTCCCCAACAGAACCATTTTTTAATCATCCTCCGACGCTTTTCCTTTCGATCGGATGCCAATATTATCCTATTTACTAAGATAGTACGAGCCATGAGAGGTATAGTGGCTGCGAATCCTATATATGTAAATAGAAAATAAAGAACTAATGAGCACAGGACATAACGAGAAAGAGCACTCAATCACAGTAGACCTTCACGAGGAAATAGAAAACTTCATGAACAATGTGATCTCCCTAGAGGTGGAGCTTGCCTCCCACATTCGAGGACTGGATCTCATGTCTCACCAGCTAAACAAGATCATTGACAATCTCACTGGGTGTAAGACGCAGGAAGCAGAGTATGACAGTGACACCACAGATAATGGAGAGCCCCCGCGTCCCAAATACTCCATGGAAGGATTTGAGAAGCGTGTACAAGAGGTGATGGAAGAAATAAATAAAGACGCCGTTGCGCTAAGGCATCTGCGTGAAGAAGCCATCCAAATCCGTGAGAATTGCTTGGCGTAAGGATGCTCTATGCAAATCTGGCTAAAAGGCTGCGGGTTCCTAATCGAAGTTGATCTGGTGTTGGACAGTTGGCAAAGTCATATGTGCGTGGACTGGATACCGAATCGTCATCTTGTTTGGAATAATATGTAATAAAGTAGTACAAGTGTGATGGGTGTTCGAACTCTGTCAGGCATTGGTGCAGCTGCTCAAAGCCCTCCTCCGTGGGCTCTCCTCTCATCAAGAAGCAAATACCTATAATACCTACAACTACGTTCATGCCCGCCCTTAGCTTTTGTAGCAGATGCTGATGGTTAGCAGACAGCTGTTGCGCATCACGAAGCTGCAGCTCGTAGTAGGACAAGAGAGCATCAACCTTCTCTCCTACATTCGTACACCGTGTAGCCGACAGGACGCTCTGACCCTGATTGAAGGTAGCCTGAGTAAGAAACCCAATACTTCCCAAAATGGACTGGTAGGAGAATTGAGAGTACTTAGGCAAGAGCTTAGTGAAGTCCACATCAAATGGCTGCGTGCCAAATGGAATCCGTGGAATGACTTCCGTGACAAGTTGCAGGACATCAGCAACAAGTTCCGAGGTTACACCCAAGCGTAGGTTGAGCTTCTCCAAGGCGTTGCTCAGCTCCACACATTGGCCGTAGATATCCAGGAGTTTGTCAAGTATTAGCTCTTCGCTATAGTCTATACCCGTAATTTGGAAGAAGCTCTTGTATCCCAGAAGAAACTCTATCCCAAGGGGTAGTATTTCCAGAGCAGTTGCCGTAATGTGAAGCTGCATGTCCTGGAAAGAAACAACTACCTGGCCGTGGACTCCTGCAATTATGCACACAGCATTCGGCGACTTCTTCCCCACCTCAGAGAGGATAGATGCAGAGAAGGGCCGCTTAAGTAGGAGCTCATGAAGGGTAGAAAAAGACTCCTTAGGGCTTATCTTTAAAGAGACCCTTAAGGGTAGATCGGTGGCTTTCGGAAAAACAGAGCTCTCACGAACTAGAGCACTCGAAAACAATGGAAGGGATAGGCTGCGCGTTACAACAAAGGGTACTGACAGAAGACAGTCCTCTGACGGGATCTTTACATTGGCACAGATGGAAAGATGCAGAGATGGTGAGACAAAGAAGGAAAGATCGGAGATCCCTAGCTTGATGTAGACAGTAGCCGGTGCTCCGCTGCCAAGATGCACTATTGTACTTGTTATTGATCTGAAGCATTCTCTATCCCCAAGTTGAATAAAAGAAGACGGTGGGCCTGCTAGTGGTGCATGGATATCTTTGTTATCAGAGGAAAGAAAAGAGGGATACTCTGCAAGGGACGATAGGTCGGTGATGGGCTCCTCATAGCTTCCGCAGCCAGTAACTCCGAGCGTTGCCGAAGGCAATCGACCAGATACAGCTTTAAGTGTTAGTTCTATTATGGTGTAATTTGTGTTGCCATCCCGATAAAACTTACTGATGCCGCAGTTAACAGTAATGAGCTCATCCAAGCCTGTGCGCATGCTCGCATGCTGGGCTTTTAAAGCGCTTACTCGCTTCTGGGCTTCCTCCATCAAGGTCTTCGTTACAGCTTGTTTCGGGATAGCAATAGGTGAGAGAAGAGAAGGAAGCAAACTACTGGGTCTTCCATCAACGTCCAAGGGGTTGGTCCCAAGGAGGTGAACCTGTATAGATCCACTGCGGGACTGGACCACAAACAAGCCATCCTGGCTACACATCTTTGGAGGACTACGAGGTACAAACAATTGGGCCATGTATTGCGGAGTATGAACGCCCACAGGCTCGTCGATGCTATCCGATAGCCTAGACGTCCATCTAAGTTCACCTCCGCGGAAGAAGTGAAGTGTCCTATTGGAGTCTAAGACAACAATTGACGAAATCTCAGGCAAATTGATCCTTCTCTGCCGAATCGGCTGGGAGGTGGACTCCTTTTCCTTGACTGGAGCTCTGAATAAGGCCATGCTGAATAAGAGCCCATCTGGGAGCTGATTTTCCACGGAAAGCAATCCTGTAGATGCGTTGACAAGTGTTATACCGTGTGTGTGCAGAGCGATGACCTCGCCTTCCAGTCCTGAGTCTACTCCGAAGCAGCGGCCGTAGGAAAGTTGCTGAATCCGCTCACCAATGACATAAGTCCATTGTGGCTTCAGCGGAGAAGAGCGGACGTCCTTGCTTGATTGTGGCACACCGCGCAAAAGGGGGTTTCCCTCATCATTAAATGTACTTGCAGGTCCAGTTGCATCATGCTCGGTACTACTATTCCATGCTTCACCTCCAGTATCATTCATAACATCTGCACAGGAAAAAGATACAATCGTGTAATCAAACGTGGCTATGACCAATGAGTTAGTCCCCGGGCAAAAGGCCATCGGAGTAGGGAAACTGTACATAAGTCCTAGACGGTGGGTGGCCATCACTCTACGGGCACAGATGTGTAGTATGCCATCGTCTGTCCTTACTGCAAGCCTACTATGATAGAGGGCAGCGCCGGCCTCAGTACTAGGACTTGGCAAGGTGATGACACATGTGGAAATTATGTACCTGCTAAAGTGCACCGTACTCACCAGCTCTAAGCCTATATCGCCGTCTTGCAATCTTTTAGGAGTGTAGATACCAATCGAGTGGGGATGAACTACCGCCAACTCCAAATTTTCGGGCTTGCTGGCCGCCTCGTCAATGAGCGGGGATGGACCAGTGAAGAAGCCCAACTCAAGGCCCAGAATGGGGTTTTCTGTCTCGCTAGAAAATACTGTGTTCGTGAGAGTCTCGGACTCGTTACTCTCAGTCCGCAGCACCGTGAGCCGCCCCGCCAGGGATCCGACGACAATCTGAGCCGAGTTGTTCTTGGCGCGCATCAGATTAAGGACTGCCACTGCCCTAGCATCCACACGCTCCTCCAAGGCGTGAGACCAGCAGGGAACCGTTGAAAAGAGAGACATAGTTCTCTGCCCAGGGCCAAAACGAGAAAAGATGAAAAAATATCACATCTGTACCCCAATGTGTAAAAATGTCACGCCATAATGCAAAACCTAAATTTTATTTTAAATTCATTTTCAATGCTGCCCGAAAAGCGAGGACGACTCGATGACGCACAGCCAGGGGTACAGGTGTAAGACGCGCTACTGCTTCGCACGCAAGTTCCGTAGACACGGAATGGCCAACCTGACGACATACAACCGCGTCTACAAGCTCGGCCAGTACGTCAACATCAAGGTGAACGGGGCTTATCACAAGGGGATGCCCCACCGCTACTACAACGGGCGCACAGGCACAATCTTCAACATCGGGCCGCGTGCCCTCGGTGTCCAGATCCAGAAGCGCGTCCGCGGCCGCATCATGCTCAAGCGCATCAATGTGCGTCTGGAGCACGTTCACCCGTCAGACTGCAGGAAGAACCACCTGGAGCGCGTTGCCGCCAACGACGCTGCCCGCAGGCTCGCGAAGGAGACCGGCCAGCCTGTCCCATGCCTCAAGAGACAAAACGCCCTTCCCAGGGCCGCACACGTGGTCAGCATAGCATCTGCCATCGACATCACCCCACTCAAGTATGACGGAGTTTTCTAGGCTCCGACGAAGTAAATGGCCTGCGGGGCGGCTAGTGGAGGCTGGCCTTCCACCGGTTCCTCGACGCGCTCTCACCGCGCTGCTGGTTTGGGCCGAGGACTACATTCTGTGCCTTCGTGACTTGCTTCCGGGAAGATGGACGGACGATGTGCTGCTCCGGTATGGCTGAGTCGTTAATGATATTGAACCGCCGCCTTGGAGCCGCCGCAGCCGATTGTGCAGAGTACGCACGTGCCTTGAAGCTGTGAGGAGCGGTCGAGGTGGCAAAGAAGCTCGGGGATGGATCGTTGGGGTGCATGGACGGAAGAGCAACTCCTGGGGCTGTTAGTGAATTCGGGTTTAGCTCCCCTTCTGGTGTATTTTGAATGCACGAAAACGAAGCTGCATACCTACTGAAGGACGCCTCGAGGTTATCTAGTTCGCGATATTGAAGCTGCATCACCTCTAGTGAAGCGGGCCCGGCGGCTGTCCTTGCTCTGAGCTGGTTAGGTCTGATGGAAGCCCCAGGGAGAAGGCTCTCAGGTGCTATGTCCGATGTGTCTGAGGAGTGATCTGGCAAAGCGTGTTCTTGGTCATAGCTGTGCACAGAGCTTTCTGCCAGTGTGCTGGATGTGTTGCTTCTGGTGATGTAAACATGTCCCGAACCCTCTGGGCACGAGGCTGGTAGTATAGCAGGGTCCTGCTGGCCCCGCGGTGGCTTACTGCTTGTGGTGTGCTTCTGAATTGATGCCGATGTTTTGCCTAGTGAGTTACTCGCCAGAGCACTCATCTGGAGCCCCGAGCTCCCTTCCTTTGTAGAAACAACGCTGGGACCCACTGGTGTTACGGTAGAGATAGCTGGTTTGGTGAAGGTTGGCGGCGGACTGTGGGAAAGCTCTACAATCATGGGCTCCACAGTTGGTATAGACTGGATTGGCCCTGCATGAGTCTCCTTTTTCTGACCTGCAACGGACCGTGCACCTGGCGCACAGAAAGATATAATCGGAGGCCTGCGGTACTCCCGCTGCATCTCAGTAGTGGATGATGGATTGCTCGAAGAAACAGATGTCCTAGCGCACGAATCATGCAGCCGCTGAAGCTCACCAGCGGTTTCAGCATCAGTGTGGGTAACGACCTGGGTATTCTTTGTACATGCAACTTCCCGAGCGATGGAGCAGGGGTCTCTGTATATGGTGAGATCTATTGAGTCATCACATACTTGTGAACTTTGAGAATCTAGCGTTCCACCATCAGTGAGGTGAAAGGTAGCAGATCCTGGGAAAAGGGAACCGCCGTGAGACCGTGCCCTCTCATATGATGTCCTACGCTCAAGACGACTAGTTCCCCGACCATCAGCAGATCTTTGTGCCAAAAAGGAACTGATAAGGGAGCAGCCGCTCTTTTGTTGTGCCGCAGACTGCTTCTCTGCCCCTAGTGTGTACCTGCTCAGCACCCGAACAGACACCGGCCGCGGTACACGCGTACGTACTTCTGGCTTGACATACTCGTCTCCTATGTTGCACAGGGTGGCAGCCTGTGGTAGATGTATGGATCTGTCTCTATCCCATGATGACTTGGGGCCGTCTGCAATGCTCAAAAGCACTCTCTGCGGACGGATGTTGGCGCCATCTGGCACATTTGGCAGTAGGTATTCCATACCGCGCACAAATGCACGGCCAGCGTTAGTCTTGGACGGCAGAATGGAGATGTGGTCCCGCATTTCATTACACAGAATCGGCTGTCCTTTCTTTGGAGCATCAATCTTATCTGATCCTATAGGGCTGTTAACGTATGAAATTTTCCTCAATTTTCCAGTCCTATTGCTGGTAGTGCGTAGAGCTTGTGTTGCGATCACTCCTGGATCCATATTTTTAAATCTTCTAGACCCTCCCAAGCAGAGCCCAAAACCCGAAAGTGTGTCTCTGGCTCCCAAAGAGCCAGGTGATAGAGATTTACACGACAAACTAGATAACTAAGCAAAGAAATCAAAATTATCTGGATTGCGTTCTATTGGGTCAGGCAATGCAGATTGGTGCTGGCGTGCAGTAGAGTTGAGGGTGTCCATAATTTTGTCATCGATGTCGTCGCTAAAGTGGTCAAAGTCATCTTTATAGATCTCATCATAATTATCGCCTGCTCCCCGCCGTGACTTAGCTGTATCAATGCGTCTGCTGACTTCCTTGCGGATCTCGTCTTCGATCACCGCCTTCTCTATATCCTCCTTCTTGAGGTGTACACCCGTCACATCGTACTCGCTACCCTTGCCCGGAGAGACCTGAGATATGTAAGCAGAGTAGCCCTCCACCAGCTCCACCTGGTCAATGGCACTAGGGGTCTCCACAATGGCAATGCCACCAACACCACCTCTGGATGGCGGAAGGTCCGCTTGGCGAGGAGGTGTGTTGAGTCCGTTGAGGGGAAGCGGTGGGTCAAAGACGACAGCCTTCAGTCTGCGATCAGGGGAGTACGCTATGTCCGCATCATGCTCTGCCGCTTCCAGGTATTGATCCTTCGCTGCTCTGTCAAAGGAGGAGCGATCTCTGAACTCAGTAGTGGGTGCGCTGGTTTTCTCGGCGGTCGTAGTTACCTTATCCGGTGTGCTTGAAGCAGGATCAGTAAAGGACTGAGGAGCCGAATTCTTTGCGATCGGCGAGGCCTTCTTACTGGGTATGTGGCTTGGTTGCCGAGTTACTACAGGTTCCCCATATGGAGAGGTCTGTTGAGGAGTTCTAGTGAGCGAGGCCTCCTTTAGAGTTGCGCTGTGTGCGGTAACCGCGCTCACACTCAGCATATCGGTATTGTACTGGTTGTTTGCCTTTTGTATGAGCTCGTTGACATTCTGCTTGACACCCGGCGCCCCTGCTCTGGCCGCAGGTCGGTCAGAGGTCTTCCTTTCACTAACATCTTCCCGCACCTCCATCAGTGGCATTCCAATGTCTTTGTACATCTTTTGTAGCTCCGCTGGTGCAACCCCTGCCTGTACAAGCTCCTCCTGCAGTTTTGAAATCACCTCTATGTTATCGTCTCGTTGCTTGCGTAAATTCTCGATGCTCCGCTGCGCTGCTGCATAGTCCTGGTTCTTCTTCTGAACGTCTTGGTGGTGTATTTCGGCACCCTTTGCTAGACTGTCTTCAAATATTGCTTTCTTCTTGGCGTAGTAATCCTTTTCTTTCTGCGCAGCCAGGAGATTCCTTACGGCGCGGAGCATATCAAGGTCGCGGAGCATATGGTTCCCGGCTTTGTCTGACACGCTTGTATTCGCACTAGAGTCCGGATCTCCATGTATACTCTCAGAATCCTTACTCCTCCATTCCAGCTCAGCCAGAAGCCGATGTACGTTAGCCTTACCTGTCTCTATCTGCTTTGCAAGCCTGATCATTTCAGTTCGCAGAGCGGCCTTGCGTGTCTCCGGATCAACATCCTGGAGCCGGAGGAGCTTCTCACTGTTCTTTTCTATGAGGACCTGCTTTTCGCGCAGATGCTGCTTTAGGCTCTTGATGTCCGTCAGACACGACCTAAACTCCTCCCGCAGCACACCTATGTCATTGGTGTGGCGGACCGACTGGGGAAGGATCTGATGCGGATGTTGTGCTTTTGTCACCGGTGCATCGCCCTGATGCATGCGAGGCTTTGGCGGCATCAATTATGTGCTTTTCTATCTGTGCTATGCAAATGTAATTAAGTATGAAATTTGTGTTTTAAATACATTTCAACTATTTTTACACAATCTCAAAACACAAAAGGAAACCCAGAGCGACGAATGCTGAAGAGAGACGAAGAGACAGATGCAGCCGGCAATCGACGGATGACCCCGAAGGCACTCCGAAAGATCTGTGTTGAAAAGGGAGGGTACGCGACACCGGAGCTCAACGACACCGTGTACTTCCATTACAAGGGCTTTTCACGCATCGAAAATCTTGACGCATATGTCGGAGTGAAGGCCTTGTGGCTAGAGGGAAACGGCTTTTTCAAGATTGAAAATCTGGAACCACTGCAAAATCTGGTGTGTCTTTTCTTGCAGGAGAACCTGATTTCTAAGGTAGAAAATCTGGATAAGAACCCAACTATCAGGCAGTTAAATCTTGCAACAAATCAGATCAGATCAATCGGGGATGGACTTTGCAAGCTCGTCAATCTAGAGACTCTCAATCTCTCCAACAACATGCTAGAGACGGTCGATGACCTCAGAGGGTTGGTTGAGGCTACTGATCCCGACACGAACGAGCTGGTGCCCGTCTGTCAGAATCTCTCCGTGCTAGACCTATCTAAGAACCGGATTGAGGACCCTGCTATAGTAACTATCCTTCAGCGTCTTCCTAATTTGAAGGTTCTTAACCTCATGAACAACAAGATTGTGCGTACAATGGAGCGGTACCGAAAGACGATCATTCATGCATGCCCAAAGTTGACATATTTGGACGATCGGCCCGTCTTTGATGATGAGCGTCGCGCAGTCACGGCTTACTTTGCGGGAGGCCCTGAAGCAGAGATAGCTGAGAGAAGACTGTGTCTGGCTGAAAAGCGCGCAGAAGAATCTGCACAGTTTGTCTCAATGCGTGCCTTTCTCAATGGCACGTCACGTGACGAGTGCATCCAGATAGGCAATCGAGAACGCGAACGCTATATGAAGAGGTTCCACGAAACTGGAGAGGTGGACCAATATGGTGGCCGGAATCACGCTGAGGAGGTCACCGCGGCAGATCCCAAGTACCTCTATCCAATTTGGTCTCTTGAGGAGGTCGAGTCTGTTTCTAAGGAGAGCCTCAAATCACGGATAGTGGTGCCCATTCAACTACACAGCATGGCAACCGCTTCGGCAAAATCAGAGGATGTCCCCGAGTTGGAAGAGGTCACACTTGATGAAAGTGGCAATGTGGTTACCGTGCCGTTGGCTAAAGAGGAAGTGGACTCTGCGGGGGATATAACGGATATTGGCTTTGATACAGGCTTAGGCTCAGAGCGCGACTCTGAAGATGTATACTACGACAGTTTGCCTAGAAACACGCTCGACCCCCTTCCCTCCAAGGCTCTACCTCCTGCCATGGAAGCAGACACTAGTAATAATGACCAGTTCACTTCAAAAGATAAGCTAGAGCAAGGGCCGTGTGAACCTGTGCCGACGCAAGAGGATGGACCGCCAGCCAACAAACAGGAAGATAAGGAGGACGGATGTGATTTCTCCGAGCCGGATTAGCTGTCGGCTATCCTCCGTGAACCATGGACAGGAATGTCACCTTGTCTCCCGCCCTTATTCTGGTATCCTTTGGCAGTACGGTAATATCTTGATCGTTAATCAATGCGATGATCCCAGGGGCCAGATTGCTCTGAGGACCAGTAAATACGTTCCCATGCTTCTCTAAAAGCTTTGTGGCAACGTAGTCAACGACTTCTGTGAAGTCAACTGGGTGTGTCACAAGCATTTCGTGGTCGCTCTTCTTCGTTTTGGAGAGCTGCTCCAGGCCTGCCAAGAGCTCGATAGTTATGGACATTTTTAATTCCGGGCCTGAACGTGGGATTTTTGACCTCTATCTGTCTTGCGGCAATTACAAGCTCTACTACAAACACCGAAGTAGCACTTAGCAAGTGGTCTAGTATGTTAGTATTACAAAAGATGAACTACAATCCGGGCAACTGGCTTCGATCTCCTCTGCTCGCTGAGGCCATGTACTATGCTTCCTGCAACCGCGAGGTACTAGCTCCAGAGAGCAAGGCCCATCAGTACATTCAGAGTCGCCACATACTAACTTTCCAGAGACCTCGAAGACAGTCTCAAAGAAGCGTGTGTGCAGTTTCCTGTGTCCCAAACCCCCCTCAGCTAGGAGCTCCTATGGTAGCCGACGAGGCCTGGAGGCCCAACCTGAGCTTCTTTGCCTCTTCACTTCCACGCTTTTTGGGAAACGTGCGCCGAATTCCAGGTGCACTAGACTCTATATTGTTCTCTCCCATCCAGAGGGTTGATCTGCCCCTAAGCGCACCAACAAAAGTAAAGCTGTGCAGATGAAGACAGCTAACGAGGGTTTATTCACTCACAATCTTGGCCACCGCTCTACAGGACAGATCTTGCTGCATGCTCTTCAAGAGGAATAGAATCCTGGGGTTGCATCTTCATATAGTTACTTGTTGGGCCCATTCTCTTGGCCTTCAATAAGAAAACAATCAGAGTAACGATCCCAGCGACTAGTACTACAGAAACAACAGTAAGAGCTATGGTGATGCCGCTCATCACTTTATGCGTGGAGTACAGCTGCCTTACAGGGACAAACAAAGCGTCAGGGCTGACACACATCCCCGTCCCCGTAGAAACATAAGGTATGTCGCATATTGCGTCTCCAGGTCCAATGCAGATACCGTTCATCAGATTAGTGCATCCCACACGGCACGCCTCGGCGTGCTTGTACGATGTCTGGTCACAAGCACACGTAAAGACATAGTTGTCTAGCTGTGTACATATCCCGTTCCTATTACAATTGGAACCGCAGAAGCTTTCGCTACAAGAACTGCCATAGAGTCCAAGACCACACTCGCACGAGCCCGTACTAACATCGCATCTTCCACCGGAGCCACAGTCTCCATTGATGGTGCACTGAAATGTGCTGCAGAATGCGCCTGAGTATCCTGGGCTACAATTGAATTGTCCTGGCGTCACATACACCTGCCCTCCCCCTAGGCTTTTGAAGGACTTCAGATGGGGGCAATGATTAAACGTGTCATCACTGTTGGCCCAGACCTTATCATAATTCCATCGCCTTTCCTTCGTCGCTCCCAAAGCACTGGGCTTCCTTAGATTGTCAACAAAACCCTCTTTTGAAGGGTTACTTAGTGTTGGCAGATTTCGAAGATATGGGTAACCAGTCGTGTCATGACCAAAGATGCTATCATCAGCAAAGTTGATTCCGTCATAGGTGGCACTATTCTGCATAGCATCGGCCCCGACACAGTGCAGCTGGCTTCCAAACTTGGCATTGAAATCGGCATTTGCGGTCGGTTCCCCACAATTATCAGTGTTTGCCGTGTTCAGGTAGTAAACCTGACCCGCCATCGCTGCATTTATGTTGCTTACGTTCAGGCCACCGAAGGCTTTGGGTTGACCCTGACTCGTTAATCCTATGAAGCTCACATTGACTATCACCCTCCTGACCACTCCATCGTGCAGATAACCAATGACTGACCCAAGGTTTTTGGGCACAAAACCGCTTATGCTTATCGGCTTTGTTTGATATGCAATAGAGTTGCTCACCGTACTTCCTAGGTGCAGGCTACCAACAATACCGCCAATACCGCCATCCAGTTCAGGAGAAGTTGCTGTCGTGTCTGAATACTCCATTGTTGTTTCGCCCACTCTTGCCCAACAGTCGTCAATAGCCCCAAGAGAGGAGACCAACCCACCGATAGTTCCCACGTGCGGTTGGACTTTAGTGCTGTTTATTTTCATCTTCATTGCCTTTACATCAGCAAAGCTGTCGCTAAGCTTTCCTGTCATAGTGAGCATGGAAAGACCTCCCAGCAGTGCAAGACGATTGCCCTCTATGCTATTGGCAGCGTCGACGGTGATGTTGATTGATTCGGCTCTTCCGTAGCACCGGTCGATGAAACTATTACGATAAACTTCAGCTACAAACGATGCTCCTCCAGTAAGCGTGTCATCTGGAGCCTGGGTCTCATCATAGCCTGGATAGAGGGTTCTGAGGAAAGATGCCTTGACTTCCAGTGCTGTGTTGACGACGGCAAAGGAATCCTGGATGGTGCTTCTGTAGCGTAAGCTTCCTCCATACCCGGCAGCAGTTGAAAAAGCATACCCGCTACTGATAACCTTGTTCGTAACAGCATACGTGTTGCTTATCTGCAAGTACTCTGCATAGCCAACAAAGCCTGCAGATATGCTTGATTTCCAGGAAGTAGCTTTGTCCTCTCCGGATTCGGAGGAGTATATCACATCGCCATGAGCTGCACAGAGATAGATGGCGCCAGAATGGACGTGCTCATTTTCGGTGCGTGAAAGAAAGCCTGCAGCAATCCCATAGAGGCCTCCCGTTGCATTGACAAGCTTTGTGACAGCGGCTGAATTTTTAACGACGATAGAGGAATTCTGCCTGTGGAAAATCCCAATGAAACCGCCACAATATGAAACGCAGTTATCAGAAATGCACACAACTGACTCTGGATATGCATAGCATTCGTCGACATCGGCCGAGACACGCCCCGCAAATCCTCCCCCAGCAGTCTCCGGTCCCACGGAGACAGTCGGTGGTAGAGGTTGGTCTTGCGTATGGAGATGCACATTGCCAACGGAGGTGCAGTTGCGGATGGAGGATAACGACCATCCGACAAACCCGCCAGCAGTAATGTCACCAGCCGCTGTGACCCGAATGGTAGCGTTAGTCCAGGACGAAGAAGACATAGATGTACCACGAGTCAGATACCCGGCAGCACCACCAACGGTGGATATTCCAGTGACCTTCATGTTTGGAATAACAGCTCTGCTATGCTGAATTGCACCGCATATCCCAGCAATTCCGCCCACAACAAGGTCGAGTTCATAGCTGAACCCTGTTGTTGCAGCACTACCCGTTCTGGTGACAGTAAGCTCAGCTGGATAGGACTCCGAACGTTGGACTGTACCCGTCGAATTGCCAACTATACCTCCCACAGTGAATCTAGCCGGGCCTGTAACTTTCAAGCTTCCTGTAGCATGCACCGCAGACAGCGCAGCGTGTTCTACAAGGCCGACACCCATTCCAACATTCAAGCGAACTGTGTCACTTCCAGCAGTGGTAACCGTCATCTGGAGCTTTACCAGAATGTCTGAAGCAGGTTCCACTCCAGTTAGATATCCGAGCACGCCCCCAATGGAAATGGTCTCCGCAGGCGGGACGCTTAAAGAAGATGTAATGGACAGGGTCCCCTCTACCACAACCTGGCTGAAGTAAGAGTCGGTTGCAGTGGCAGCAAGGAGCCCAAAGTAGATGAAGCTGCCTTTAACCTCGGTGTTGGCGCGAATCTTGAGGTTGACGATCTTTGACTGGTTGAGATGCTTGAAGATACCGCCGTACCCGTCACTAAAGGTAAAGGAGGACACAGTGATCGTCTTTCCACGACCATTGAGGGTCCCTGTGAATAGGGAAACGGGTTCCCAGTTCTCCGAAAGGGTGACGTCCGAACCTAGCTCCACAGCACAACAGGGACAGTCTGCAAGAGCTTTCAGCCCAGCCTCATCAGTAATAGTCAGTTGACGCGGAACGCATCCCAACGCACTGGCCAGCAGGAGGAGTATCACTCCTTTAAACATTTTTGTGGACAATGGGGTCAACATAACTGCAAGCTTCACCAGAAAAATGAATCAAGTGAGGATTGCCTCAAGACTCTTCTTGAGAGCGTGGCCATCAGGATCTGAAGTGTTTATGTCTGCGATTGCAGCCTTGGCACGGACCAATCTCAATAAATCTCTATCTATAAGTAGTTGTGTGACAACCTCCATATAAAGGCTATTGGAGCGATATTTGGGGTACTTGAGTAGGCTTGTCAACGCTGCCTCTACAGACAGCTCTGTCAAGTGAGCGTATTCGAGGAAGGCAGGGCCTAGTTGTCCGAGTCCGTACGCTGCACTGAAGTCTCTGCTGTTGCGCTCTGAAAACAGCTCTGCTTGCATTGTCTCCGGAGCCGTAAAGGTCTGCTTGTGCGACTTCTCAAGCTGAACTCTCTTCTGCCGCAGCTTCAGCAGCCTCTCCCTGCATTGTTCAGTCGTAAGAATGCTGAACATCCCGTGTTCGGGAGTCCTCCCGGTCTTTTCCACCTCACTCAGGGACGATATCTTTTCCTCTATACTTACAATCTCCTTCTCTCCTGCTTGCTTCATCTGTTTAATGTATTCTGGGAGATTGCACACTGCCCTCATGAAGATTGGCAGCAGAGTAGCAGACCTACAGAAGGTGTCCCGCATCGGGGGGCTCAGCCGTGGCCACAGCAGAATAGCAGTGATTGAGCTCTGCCTGCAAAGGAGCTCTAAAAGCTCCACATATGTAGGGAACTTCATGGTCAAATAGAGGATTAAATGGTCTGTGAAGGGCACTCGATTCTCAAAGCTGGTGCCCTGAATTTGAAATGAGCCTAAGAAGTCGACCACATCAGTATATGTACGAAGAGTGTCAGCACTGGGTGAGTCTGTGTGCTTTTGAAAAATTGCCTCTAGCATCTGAAAAGTGGAACAGAGGAACTTCTTCTGAAGCGCCACAATCTTCTTCTGGTCTGCAATGCATTGTGCAGCGGATATTTTGATATTGAAAACAGTTGTATGATCAGTCACTCTCTGCAGGAGGTCGTCATCTGAAGGTGCCTGGGTAAGACTATAGAGAGCCAGCAAGGTGTTAAGGATGCAACTAGTGTAGACTAGGATAGAAGCTGTTTCATGTGCAAAGATGCTGTCAATGGGAAAGAGAAGGGCAGATAGTAGTAGCTTTTCAACAATGGGTACATGATAGCTAATAAGATACAATGCTGACAAAGCAGCGGCTTGCTCGTTTAGAGTTAGCGCTAGAACACTGGCACAGCTCTGTCCATTGCGCACGTCAAGCTGATGCTGCTGACAAAGTTGCTGGAGATCTTCTTGGAGCATATCCGACAGTTCCCCAGCAGCGTCCGGGTGGGAATCAAGAAGGAGCAAAGTGGGATAAAGTACGTCCGCGTTGTGGAGTACAGAATGGGCCAGAGAAAACTTGGTAACTCCCTTGAGTAGGGAATAGTCTGCGAGTCCAGTAGGAAGGTTTGCGCGTATCAAATAAAGGTATACCAGAGCCAGCACCACAAGGGGAAAGTAGCAATATGAGAGCTGAGGATCTCCGTGTAGCGTATCTAGCTTTGCCTGAAGAAGTGGTGGAACAGCCTGCTTTACTTTCATTGAGGCCTTTCGCAGAGCAACGGAAATTGGAAAGGCAGTGTGCGGCTGGCTACATGCTAAATCAATAAGGGCAATCAAATAGGCTGAAAGCATATCGGACTTGTTTGCTGCATACTCCTCCATTAAGTACAGGAATGGCTGGTATCCGAACAGGGACTCTGAGTTCGTATCAGAACGGTGCAAGTCCCAAACAAGAATGTTGGAAGTTGAGATGGCTAGCGACTGCTGAGAAAAGAGCGTACTGGGATCAAATCGCCCCGAGCGTAGGCGAGGGCCACCTCGCGCCTCAGCATTTTGCTGCTGGATCTTTTCAACCATCTGTGCATGAAACCTGTCAACCGCTGCATTGCACTGGCTGATAAAGCAATTAGTCACAAACTGACCAAGAGTAGATACACACAAGCCCACATTATAATTGGATACCCGCACAAGTGTGCAGAGACTGTCAAAGGACGGAGATAGTGCTTGGAGCTTCTGAGCTAGAGCCAGTATGCCTTTGCCCTCGTCTTGCTTTGTATGCTGGAGCCTGACGGCGTGTTCGTGCTCATAGTATATGCTCTTTGCATTTTCCAAATGAGTCTCGTTTATGGGGAGCCTTCTCGAGTCGCTCCCGTCGCGAGAAAAAAGGAAATCAGACTCTAGCAATGGGCCTGCGCTGAAGATAATAGAAAGGGAGTTGGCAGAGCCTCCCACTACTACGATTCGCGGCTGCATGCTCTTCACGCGAACCTGTTTGACGTAAAAGTCTGCCATATGTATTAATGTGATTAGTTTTGTGACAATGATCGCCCGCTTCTCTAGAGATTTCAAAAGGGGGCACAATAGCTTGAAGAAGGTGATCGCTGTCAAATGGAACTCTAATGGCAGCGTTATCTTGAGCTGACCGCATGGGTAAAAGGACTTCGTCTTATCTGTGCCACGCTCATAATAGCGATCTATGATGGCTTCACCAACAAGAGCTTTGTTGGATAGGGTTAGCTCCTGCACTGACGTATCGCCGTCTTCTGATGCTTGAGCGGCCCCCTGAGGCCCTAGTTGGTAAATGCACAAAGAGAAGTACATCACGGCCTCTAGCGCAAGGACAGCCATTGTGCCCATCTTCTTATTAGGGGGAAACGACGCCACTTCATCAACTGTGTACTCTTTTGGAACAAGGATCAACTCAACCAGTGCCTTAATATCCTTCGTTAGAAGAGGCAGCTTCTCGACAGACAGGCTCTTCGCGGATAGATACCCGCGCATTTCCGTGCCAAATGCCTCGAGAGAAGCCGTGAGTTCTTGTAACTCTGAGGGACCCAACAGTGAGGGAGAGTCCTTCAGAATCGGTTCGGTTCTCATTTTTACTTGAATCGACTTGTCCAAGAGAACTGAGCAGAGTGAGCTGGCACAAATCCGTGCAGTGAATATATTTACTTGGACCTGACAGCGGTGAGAAGCAAGGCCTTCTTGATTACTCGCAAACGTGCAGGATTCTTTTCGGTCATCTTTTCCACCAAAAGCTGCTCGCGAGTCATATCTTGAGCTATCTGACTGGCCTGCTCGTACTCTTGTGCTGCTGCAGCCAGAATTTTTTGGCGTCTGGATAACGTACCTTTGGACCCTTTCGGCCCCTTTGCAGGTTTTCCGCGTGGCTCCTTGGTCTTGGTTGGAGGTGATGCGCTAGGCCCGTCAAGATCCTCCACACAATCTTCCTGCTTGAGTGTGTTGACGGGATCCACGGAGATCTGTGCACTTATGTTGAGCTCCGTGGAGTGAGTGTTGGCAGCATCGTTAGATAACGAATTTCCTCTGACAATGGTCACAGTCCCATACTCTCCATTCTCGTCGGCGCTGATAAGTATCTCCCCGTCTCCTATGGGAGTGTCGGTGGATCCGCTCCTGACGATAGTCCCGACGGGAACATCGCTGCTTTCCCCCTGCCTAAGAACCTTGCCATGCATTATGACAGTCCCATCTTCGTAAACCATCGTACCGAAATTTGGATTAGGAAGATGTTGCTCTGGAGGTGCCATGACGATAGTACCACACTCATCGTAGTCTGTCTCCCCCTGGGCATCGTCGCCATCTACAACTACATCCACAAGGGAGCACTTATAGCGTTCTGCTATCAGCGTGGGAAGAGTTGACTTACTGACTATCCTGTCGTTTTCAATCTTGCAGTGCATAGTAATGAATTCATGCTGCAAAAGCTCTTCTACCGTCGCCCTATCTTCCTCTGCATGCTGCAAGCAACGATCAACGAAGTCAGCAAAGACGTCGCTATGTGGCTGCTTAGTAAAGGGGTTAGTACGGCCCTTAAGCTTCATAGGCGGCTGTCGTGGAATAACGATCATCGCCCGCATGCTCGTCAATTCGGAGTGCGGCGGCTTGCCCTCTGTGAGCTCTATTGCTGTAATACCCAAAGCCCACACGTCTGCCTTAAATCCATAAGGCTCTCCCTTTATCTGCTGGGGGCTGAGCCAATAGGGGGTTCCAATCGTCGAATTGCGCTGGGCAAAGCTATTCTGCATCTCAGCAGAAACGCCAAAGTCAGCTATGCGGACACTAGCATCCTCCGAAATGAGCAGGTTGTTGGCCTTTATGTCCCTGTGGATAACATGTTGCTTGTGAAGGTAGCGAAGCCCGAGGAGTGTACTTGCAAGTGTGTAGCTGCACTGCTCCTCGGTCAATGTCTTGTGGCAGCCGCGCATGAGATCAGAGATGGCCCCTGCACTGCAAAACTCTAGTATTATCCAAAGCTCGTCGTCAACCTTGTCTACAAAAGACCCCAAGTACTTGACGATATTTGGATGATTGAGCTTCTTCATCAACTGGATTTCGAGGATTAGGGCACTAGTGTCCGACTCAAGGGGTATCCGCTTCACAGCCACTATTTCAGATGTCAAGACGGAAAATGCCTGCCAAACAGCGCCATAGGAGCCGCTTCCTATCGGAGAGAGAAGCTCAAAGCACTCGCGGGGGTTGCCCTCCTCGATGAGATCTGCAAGATTCATTTTTAAAAGCAAAGGGATTTAGTTAATTACAGATCTCTATAGATCTTCAAATTCGGAGCCATCTTCGCCCAAATCGATGTCTAACTCATAGAAGTTGTCAGCCCCATCGATATCCACATTGACAGAAAACCTTGTCTGTGCACGCGACGATCCCGATGAGCGATCTTTCAGTAACTTTTCTTCACTGATGGATGTGCTATTCAGATCAGGAATGTAGGACATGCTGCCTAGGAGGTCCAAGTCAGGGATGGTATCCAGCTCTTCGTCTAGGTTTGGCTGCATGTGCTTGGGGGCATTAGAATCAGTAGTGGCCACAGCTTGTTGTGGAATAGCAGGTGGTCTGGTGGCAACACCGCAGCTCTCTTCAGGAGATGGCTCAGACTCCGACGCAACTGGATTGACAGGGCCTGCTCCTCCAGGGAATCGGTTCTGTGGAAGAAACGTGAAGCTTGCTTTGCTGACCTGTGTAGGCTTTAGCGGTGATGTGGATTCAGTCTTAGACGAAAGCGATGCGACATTAAAGTCATCTGATGAGGAGGCTCTATCGCTCTGAGTTTGTACAATTGGCAATGTGGGCATGCTTGATGTAGCTCCATACACTTTTCGCTGGCCAGCACCAAAGCCTAGCCCGTGAGGAGGACCCTGGTTCTGGTTTAGAATAAGTGTTCTCTTGGGTGACGGAACACTCAGTGACGAGGCTAGAGAGGCACTGGCGCCCACTCCGTGCAGCTTCATATTGAAGACAACAGCCTCCTTTGTGGAGCTTTCTGGGAGCTCATTTGCGCAAGATGACGAGCCTGCAGTCTCCAGACTTACGTAGGGAACATCAACTCCCGATATGTAGTCCTCATTGTGAGCAGACCGGTCTTCACTGCATCCATCTTGAGATGTATCTAAGTCGATGTCATCGTGTATGTCACCCTGCGTCACAATCTGATCTTGATTCTGAGTGCTTGGAACAGAACCCTCTATGTCCTCCAAACAATGTGAGGGGAATAGCTCAGGATCCTCAACCATATATTCATCTTCAGGCGGCACAAATTCCGGCTGATACCCTATGATAGACGAATCGTTTGGTAAGAAGAGCTTGTAATCTCTAGGAGACTCCGTAGAATGAGTAAGGAGACTGTTTTGGCCACTGTTTAGACTGTGCCGAGACGAGAATGACATTGCACTGAGACCTTTTTGTATGGTGCTAAGAAGAGCGGTTGCAGTAAGAGGTGCCTTCGCCGAGCACACATCAGATGTCCTGGACCTTCTGTCAAAAGTCTCACTTAGTGAACTAGCTCTTTTATCAGCACTAAAGTCGAGCTCGTAGTCTTCTGGATCGAGGTGATTGTCCTGACTGGGGGGTCGTCGCAGCACTTGCTCCTGCTCAGACAGAGTACTCACCCCGTCAACGATTAGAGAGGCGTCATGGCTGCGTCGCAAGGCCTCCTCCAAGCTACGTTTGAACATACTGGCTTGATTTGAGACACTCTCTATGAGGCTATTCATTGCACCTAGGGACTGATTTGGCCCGCTGGTAGCAGACTCCTGTTGAATCTCCAACTCCAGATCAGCGAAATCACTCACTATGTCTCCTGAGCTACGAGACTCGTTATTCTGTGGTAGAGCTGCTTGATGCGCTGTGTCATGTGGGTGTGTTTTCGGCCCTGCGTTCGTGCCTTGCGGCTCCAGCAACGAGCTGGATATTTCTGATGGATTTGCAACTTTATCCATTGACGGCTCATTCAAAATATCACTCGTCCCAGACTTTCCGGACTTGGCTGCACTGGACTTTTGGCCGAAGCTTCTAGGGGAAAGTGAGCTAGGAAATGCAGGAGATACGCCGGTAATGTTAAGATTGGACCCTAGCCGTGGTTGCAGAAACGCGCAACCCTGGGCATCTAAGCTAGAGGAAGAATCTTGCAATGTAGTATGCAATCCTGTAGGATTGGAGTTCTGGACAGCCTTGAACGCGTTTTTGTACTCCTCCTCTTCGTACTCAATCACCTCCACTGAAACTGTGCTAGCCTTGCTGGCAGAAGACAGCGCTCCAGAGGAGCTAGTAGAACAGTCCATGAACTTAATGCGGCGCCCCTTTTGGTTTCTAGATGCTGAAGCACTGTCATCCCTAGTTGGCTCCCTATCATATGATAGTTGGAGCGCATGAGGCGAGTCCGCTTCTCTGAGTTGCTCATGTGGATAGGATATCTTAGTATCATACTCAAGATTGGGCGCTAAGGGGTTGCTTTCCAGAGAAGAGCCTGAAGAAATTGGCGCCGGGCCGTGTTCATCCGTGGGGTAAGACAGCTTTAGATTGTCATGCGCGTGGTTACTACTATTAGCACATTGGTCAGAAGAAAGTTTGAAGGAAATTCCTGCAGTCAGGGTCTCCTCAGTCTGCTCTATTAGCCTAGAAATAGAATCTGAAGAAGGCCAAGTTTTCTCATGAAGAGACTCGTGTAAGATGTTTTGCGTTGTAGTGTTACTACTAGCTTCATTTGCGGTTCCCTGAGAGCAACCAATCTTGGTTCCAGAATGTTCAGAAGTAACCTCTGCGGATTTAATGGGCATAAGGTCCTTGGGAATATTAGAAGGAAAGTTGGTCGTCACAGTTGCTCGAGGAAATTGGAAAGAAGGATCCTTATCGGTAGAGACAGATATGGACTTGTCTATAGGAGAGGGCATGGCGAACTCTGCAGCCCTTATATTGTTATGAGAAGCACCTACTGGATTGTCTGAGATGAAGGTAGGTGTCTCTTTTGTCGCCTTCTTAACAGGTCGCGGAGGCAATCTAATGATATTAAAGGACTGAACAATCGGAGGCGAAAAGTCCGGTGACTCTGCCCGCAGTGCTTCACGATTAGATATCCTCGGGATTACCGTTGCTTCACTATATCTATCGTCAACTGGTAAGGGTGGGGGATCAGGCGGTATAGTCGTAAACACTTTTGCCCTAAAGCGCGTTCTCCGATGGCCTGCCTCGTCATCCGTATAGTCATCAGTGGTGAGAAACTTAGAAATGGTAGGATTAATTTCTTGATCATAGGTAAGGTCTTCAGCTGAGACCGGTTGGGAAGTCGCCATAGATTCGAAATTGTCTACTTTAACTACAGGCTTAGACAGAGAGTTATTAGTGCTACTGTCAATACGCGGGGCTTGAGATGGTGTAGCTACTTCAATATGCTGGCGGACCACGGGTCCTGAACTCTGATCCATAGCACCTGGTTCGGGACCAGAGTAGACGCCAGGGTTGGGCGGCATTGAGTAATATGGCCAGTAAGGAGGAGCTGGACACGACGGGGCCGCAGCGATGTTGGGTGCACTGGGCATGGTGCCATGAGGCTGTAGTGGCATATGGGATGGAATAAAAGGGTGGACAGGAGCTGCCATTTGTTGGCGTCTCGTCAAGTCTTCAAGGTCTGCTATCCGTCTGAGCAACAGCTGGATAGCTTGCGCTTGCGCCTGCTCCCTCTGATCAGACTGTGCTCTTTCACTTTGGAGGACTGTCGCAAAGTGTGCGTATTGGGAGAGCTCTTTTTCCTTTTGTGATAAGTGCTCTAAGTTCAGTATGGATTGAGTGAATGTTTGCGACAGGTGTGCGTTTCTAGCCGCGATTTCTAATAGCTTCTCTTTGTCTTTACGCCGCTTCGAGGAGGATCGGATCTTCTTTGTGCGTTTAGGTTTTAAGAGCTCGGCAAAGATCTCTGCAGAATTGGTAGGGACATTGTGTACTTTTTCGTCTGAAATGCCACTGGAGGACGTTCTCTTCTTTCCTTCAGTGCCATTCGAAACAGGTGCATTGGTTGTAGTCGGAGCTGGGGACGTGGTAGTGTTCAGGTGGGAAGGAGGTAATGTGGAATATACGCTGCTGCTATTACTAGGAGCAGACGGCGGGAGTGCGCTGGGAATAGATACAACTGGGCACGGTATATCGACCGAAGAGTCCCTAGGAACTGACTTACTGAGATGCAGGATTGTCTCCATCACATGAGGGGCCTCTGGCTCTGAGGACGGCACGGATGGGGGTGACGGAGCAAAGTTCATGGGCTCTGGAGGGCGGGACCTGTTTTCTGGCTCCAACAGGCCTGCTGCCGCCATTGCACGCTTGTTATCTGCTATTGCTTCTGCCATATACCGCTGCAAAATATCGTCATTTTTCTGCTTGACTAGTTCAAAATACGATGTGTTGTGGACATCAGAACGCGAAGGCTTTGATTCGTGGGCTCTTGTGTATGCAGGTGGGAAATTTACCAGGGAGCTGGCGGGAGGAAGCTCTATGTCTACGGGGCGCCGCGTCAGATTGTGGGCGCTGTAGTATATTCCGGCCGTCCCCGCTGGTCTAAGAAGTATGCGAGGCTGCATGGAAAGGAGAGCTTCCTGGCGGGTTGAGTGAAAAGCACGAGGGTTTAAAAGTTAGTCTAAAAATTGATTCACGCAACCGAGTTAATTAATTAAAGAGCACAACTGCTTGGAGCTTGGGGCCCAATGGACGAGAATGAAGATCAGATAGCTATTGAAAAAGCAACCTTTGGAACGCTGCACATCACTAAGCAGGCCAAGGCCATAAGGAGAAAGGATCTGTCCGTGCTGAGCACAAGTGAAAAGACAGGGGTCTTCGCCGCTGATGGAGAGTCTACCAACATTAGTCAAAAAGACCTCAAGCGCCTCCTTCCAGAACAGGCAGCCAGGAACATCTTCGAGCTCCGCCAGCCCTCGGGCCCTTATATTGGCAGGTACGACCGGATTGGAGCGCACATGTTGCTAGCCGGTTACCGCGGCCATCTGGCCATCATTCGAATGGCCGACAAGCACCTTTTATCAGAGGTACATTTAGACAACGATATCATAATGGACGCCAAGTTTCTACATAACTGTACCATGTACGCTGTTGCGCGAAGTCGAGAAATCACTCTCTTTGATGACAGAGGGATAGAGGTCCACAACATCAATCGGCCTCGCCCTACATTCGTAGATTTTCTTCCTCATCACTGGCTACTCACCAGTGTTTGCCAGGGCGGCCAGCTGCACTATCTCGACATATCTACTGGCAGCCTAGTGGCCCAGCTCCAAACACCCTTTACCAGTCCGTCTTCTCTAACGCACAATCCGCGGGATGCGCTCGTTTCCGTCAGTTCCACAACAACTGGGATCGTCAACCTCTACTCTCCCAATCTCGTTGATAAGCCAGTAATGTCCATCAACTGCAGCAACGTTGGAATCTCCCGGCATTGCTTTTCCATGACCAGCCCACATATGTTGGTTGCGAACACGGACGGTTTGCTTAAGATATTTGATATGCGCAATTATGGCAGCGAACTCGCAGCTTTCTCTTTGCTCAATCGCACCCTGACAGATCTTTCTATTTCTCAATCCGGGGTAGTATGCGCAGCGTCAGCTCGCAGCGCCGACTTCTATAAGCTTTCAGATTTACTAGCATTTAGTTACGATTCGATCAGTCGACTGAGACAGCAGAATGACAACCTCCTCAGTGTGCTTGAGCGCAAGGCAACGGGGGACTCACACTGCAGCTTGGCCAAGCTCGATCTGCTGTATATGTCACACAAATATGACGGCAGTGCATTCTCGTCTCACGACCACTCTCACGCCATCCAGCGCAAGGTTGTCCGGGGTGGCCGAACAGGCTCTGCCGGTGGTGCCAATGGCAGGCGCAGCGGTAATAGCAACTCCATTGTCAGCTGTGAGTTTAGACCATACTATGATGATTGTGTTCTCGGCCTGACATCTGGGATCCAGTCGATTATTATCCCTGGCTCTGGGAGTGTGGACTATGACTTCCAGACTGTCAACTTGTTCGAAGGCAGCAAGCAGCGAAACAACGCAACAGTCCACAAGCTGATTGACAAGATACCATATACGCTTATAGGCAACAGAGACATTCTGACCAGCGTTCATCGTCCTACCGACGAGGAGTGGATAAAAATAAAGTATGGTCTCATCAATGAAGCCCTCAGCAACAAGATCATCAGGCATAAGAAGAAGCGCTCTCTTAGAGCCAAGCTCAACGAGAGAGACTCGATGAAGAGAGTTGCCGAGGAAGTTGAAAAGCGCCTTAACGACATGAAGTGTGCACGTGCTGGTCAGTTGAGCGTGAAGAAGTCATACGCTGGCATGCCTGTTCTGGAGCGATTCCGGATAGACGACCGTAAGAAATAATTCACTGCTGTTAGTTCCATTCAGTCCTGAAGTTCCTTATGGATCCTCTCTGCGGTGGCCTCAGAAATAAATCCCATAAGAACGTCTAGTCCATCCTTGCGCATCAGACATACTCCCAGGCGCTCGCTAATGGCAGGTCCAAAGCACTCAATCACCCCATCTGTATACTGTATACATGTTATACCGTTATATAGAGCTGATGCTGACCTGATAGTCACGTGTGGAATTCGTTTGACAGACCGCACTGCAGTGTGTAGAGGATTATAATATGCATTCTGACTTAAGGCCGTGCCTGGCGCGATAGTGGAGACAGCCGAACATGACTCGAGTAACCGTTGAATCTCTGAAGCAAGTGCATGGTGTGCCATGAATTGTACGACTAAGAGTGTTCCGTTTGTCATATGCATAAGTACATTCTTGTCTGCAGAGTGTGATGAAAACGAAATGCTATGAATGGAGAGGACGGCAATCCCATCTGCGAGTGATCCAATTGTAACCGGGCAAACGGAGATTTCACAGTTTAGGTCGTCATACACCCAAGAATAGAGCGAGCCGTCATCGCCTAGGCCAATAACTGTAATATTCTTGGCCACTCTGTGCGCTACGCGCCATAGGATTTTGCTTGGGGGCGGAGAGAAGTTGTCTGAGGGCTTATATGGGACCTCGTAGAATCCCTCTAGGAATGGAACGGTGAGAATAGATATGTCGTTACTTGCATACGGTCTTTTTGGTTGAGTCGTGTCCTTCCCCATGTGGCTAATGCGCCGGGAGAACAAGACGATTCTTGGGGGTATATCGTTTTCACTTGGCACTAAAATAAAGTCGACTGGCATACGCTGCTGCGCGCCCGATCTCCCAGTGTAGATGTGTGTAACTGTAAGAGACAAATCACACGAGATAAGAAGAAATTGGTACATAAGGACTCTATTCAATGGATAGTAAACCTCCTCTTCTAAAGGATACGACTCCTCAAGCTCTTCCTCGAGAAGCTTTACGGCTATGAGTGCTACAAAGCCCCCAGGAAATGGCACGCACTGCTCCATCAGAAACCCCATCCTAGTCTCGCGAGTCCCCCGAGTGATGAGCTTCTCCTTCATCATATTTAAATTCCTCAGGATGGATTTGTTGCGTACCTGTGCAGTCTGCGCAGGCAGATCTTCCATGTCGCTACTCTTGGCCTGACCAGTCAAGGCAATGGTCATGAGAGACTCAGCCAAGGTAACTCCGCCCTGATCAAACCCGTGATTGGTCAGGAGAGACGGCATCTGGACTCCTCTGGTGATAGACTCGGTAGCATGGTATGTGGAGGTTCCTCGAGAAACAAACTGTTGCAGCGTTCTGACAAATTGTTCCTTGCAGATTCCTTCAATGCACTTCTTGCGATAGTCCATGGGGGGCTGTGAGAAGGCTATCGTTCCTTGTGAGATGGTGATATTTGATGGGGCCGTATATGCATTGCCCTTGAGCTCGAGAGCCTGGTACGCCTCCTTTAAAGTCTGCTGTGGACTATCTTGCTCAGAAGATGGATCAAAATCAGACTGATAGCTCAGGAAGTCGTCTTCATACTCATTTTCGCCACTCATTAATTAAAATCTTCCCATGTTCTGGATTCTCCTCATCGCTGCTACGCTCTCAGACCTCATCCAATATTCATACGCTGACCTAGACCGTCTTCCAGACAATGCAATTGCTGTCATCCACGACTCTTTCTTTACCAAGCGCGAAGCCCAGCTTGATATTGAAAGAATTGCAGAGGCATTTGGAACTGTTTATGTGATGGATAAGCAAAGCAAGCACAATCTCGAAAGCTTTCTTGAGAGAAAAGACGGCAAGCCCCTGTACGAACCCATCCTGTTATATAGGAATGACGCCGCAGGCGGGATCGAACCCATGGACGATCAGTTCTCCTATGCTAATGCATTAGATTTTGTCATTCTTAAATCAACGACCCCAGATCCGGATCTTTTGTTACCTTTCATTTCAACAACGGACATAGAGGAGAAGGCCAGAGAAATCGACAGGCTCCAAGGCAACATAACCAGAAGGCACATTAAGCTCGTTAAGGAGGGGAAGATGTCTGAAGAGCACATTGCATTGTTTACACCGCCGCAACTTTTCTTCTTTGAAGGCAGCGACTGCGAACCGTGCGCTGTTCTCAAGTATCAGTACATGCAGTATGTCACCAGAAACTCTAAGAACGTGGTGGGGTACCTGGTGAACTGCGACACCCATGCGGACTTCTGCAGGGCCCGCAACATCACGGGGATTCCCGCTCTGCGGATGTATGCAAAGAAGCAATGGTTTGCGTACAAGCCTAGTATGGATACAGGATACTCGATTGATCGCTTCGTTAAAGACAATGCAGTTAAAGAAGAGGACATAGCCTATGCTCGGGAGGTCTTCAATGTCTCAGCCACCGTCAAAGCAGACACTAAGGACGAGACTAATGAAACCAGAAGCACATCCGGAGAGGAAGTGAAAGAGGAGGAGCCACAAAGTACGAAAGTACAGAGGAAGAAGCGTCCCATACCAGTGTACCGCAATATTACAGACGTGGGCGGAGATGACCTACGTCGCAGTCTACAAAAGGCCAAGACTGCAAGGGAAACACTCAAGGACGATCTTAAAAGAGAGCTGTAAAGGTTCGCGGGGTGACCTAGTAGATAGTAAGCTAGGCGGACCTCCCGCTCGCACTAATTAGCGATAGTTAACTAGACTTATTAAACACATTGTTATAGCAAGCTAAGAGCCCAATATACCATAATCTGAAAAAGGCAGGTGGCTGGGTTTGCACTCGGACCTCACGTGGGGATCTATCTGCTATCAGTGCGCGGGGTGTTAGGCATTGTATGTTATCAATTCCCTTGATGTCTTCCTCATCCTCCAGGCCAGACGGGAGGTCGCTTTTGTGTACACTCACCTGATTGTTTGTCTGCGTCTCGATTGACGAAAATGACGAAGCAGGGTTTGCATCCACAAGTTCATAGCAAAGCTCCAGACATGGCTCGATGCGGAGCTCAAGCGGAGAAATGAAGAGGCTATCTTCCGAGGAGGGCAGTATCGGGAAGCCAACGTTGTTATATCCGTAGGAGTAGTACAGGTCGCTCTCCACCGCTGTAAATCGCGTCACACACTGTCTATTCTTTTTCTTGAGTCTCAGTTCTCTGCATTCATTAAGCATAACACTCTGCGTCTCGTTGGGTGTGTCAGCATTTTCTGACGGCATTTAATTTTAGGCCCATGCAAAGTGGCAATTATACATATCTTGCTTTATTGCACAAGACAGAGCATGAAACGGCGGTTCTTGCGCAGCAACAGCTAGATAACGAGCATGTCAGGCTCATAAGATTGATCCCTTTCAGTGAAGAGATACTTTTGACTATGAAGCTGCTTGCGGAGCTGAAACAGCAAGACAGCATTCGTACCTATCAGACTATCTCTACGCTTGAGGGTAATGGGCTCATACGCACAACAGAGGAGTTTTTGAAGGAAGTTCCTCTATGTGAGCGAATACTCCCTTATATCTTACGTGAAGAGTCTATGCATGCAGAAGATGTTAAGCAATTGGCTCGGGGAATTGCTGATGCCTTAACTAGATGCTGGGAGCAACTGTCTAAGCTGATTGTCGACAAGTCCAAATTGTCTTGTGTCCTGTTATCGTCACTGACTCTACACAACGTAACTATCGCACCCTCAACTAGTGATGGGGTCCCTACCGTTCGCTGTGTCCTAAAAGCGCCGGGCCTTTATTGCACACAAGTAGAAGATACCACAGCAGCACCAGCACTCATTTCTACCAGGTTTGGCAGGCTATTGTATTGTTTACTAACTACATCGGTATGCGATTCTCTGCCAACAGAAGCGATGGTAGAGTCCTTAAAGTTGTGTATGAAGGGAACAGATCCTCTGTGGCAGAACCTTGCCAATCTTGCCATCGAATGTCTCACCAGATCAGACATGCAGGTCTCAGAAATATGGCATCGCCTGCATGCGAGCCATGATGTCGTTGATCATCCTATAAGCACACTAGCCTCTAATTCACCTTCCTTCATGCTCTCTCCTCCCCTATCTCCACAGAGATCACCTTCACCGTTACCCCTTTCTCTTTCTGAACTACTCTTGGACAGGCAACAACACTATACGCCACTTATGATCGCTATCATTTCCAATCAGCTACATACAGCACGAATAGTGTATAAAGACTTTCTGCACAAGCGAGATGCCCATAGAAACACAGCACTAATTCTGGCTGTGCTGTGCAATAACATACCTTTGGTTGAATTGCTAGCAGAGCATGAGCACGGCTGCACCAATTCAAATGGTGATACCGCACTACTAGTAGCCATCACAAATGGGTTCTATGAATGCTGTCTCCCTCTTTTCCAATACGAGCTCTCAATACCGAATGACATCTCAGGGATTCTGCCACGACAAATGGCTTTTGAGGCCTGCCAATATTCTATTCTCGATGCTATTATCGCCTTTCAAGGGGTTCCTCGGGATTCAGAGGGATGCACTGCATTGATGCGAGCTGCTATGGATGGATATCCGGTTGATGACTTAGTCGACAAGGAATTTGGGTGCACACATGACGCATCCAATGGGTACACAGCGCTGATGTTTGCTATCATCAATGGGAACAATGATGCATGCAGAAAGCTAGCAAGATACGAGGCGCTGATTAAAGATAGCACCGGTAAGTCTCCATTAGAGCTCGCAATCCTATCGCATCAAGCAGCGTGTGCTCTTACACTTCTCCAGAGTAGTCAGAATCCGCTGTTTGATACCGGTGTTAACGCTGATTTGGTAGCTGCAATAACTGCTGAGCAGTGGGGCGTCGCCGAGAAGCTTTTAAGACAGCTGATTGGCAAACGATTGGTGTCAAGAGGTTCAAAGCGTCGTCAATCTCAACAGAAGAATACTGTTTGTAACATAATCGAGATAGATGGTGAAGGCAATACAGAGCTCATGAGATACTTTGCTACAGAGCTTATTACTAACATCGAAAGTAGGAGGAGTTACTGGCAAGCACTAATCCCCACTCAAGCAGGACATGTGAATAAGGCAGGAGAGACTGCTCTTCACATTGCAATTCGGAGGGGACTCGTGTCGGCTATTTCGCTGCTTGTTCCCTACGAGATGCACATTAGAGACAAATACGGATGTCTTCCACTTAGACAGGCTGTCAGCCTCCGTAACGAAAGTGCCGTCACAGCCATTTTGGATACCTTGCACCTTTTTCGAGACACAAATCAACGACTGCACATCATCAAACTTCTAGAGCACAGGGACTGGGAAGCGCTAACATGCTTCTTTGAAGACTTTCCAGATACCAGCGCTCTCCTCTAACCAATCAATAACACCCATTTACATACGACTCTGGACACGCTCGTCAGAGAGGAGGTCAGAGATCTGGGGCCTCTTATGGAGATCCGCTGAAAGCATGCGACTCACCAGATCCACAACATCCGGACTGTATCCCAATAGCTGCAGTGGCATTTCAGTGGTTGTTATCTCTTTCAAAGCAAACTTCGGCGTTACAGCCTCGACATACTTCATACCTGTGCACATCTCATACAGAGTGCAGCCTATGCCCCAGACGTCGACACGTCCATCCCACGGCTTGTTCTCAATCGTTTCAGGCGCCATATAGGTAACATTTCTGTTCTTGGGTGTGCTATCAGGGGTCTCTGGAGGATTCAAGCCAGTCTCCTGCATCTCTACGCAATGACTGAACCCGGTGAGGACATAGTTGCCATCTTTATCAATTAGAACATTACTTGGTTGAATGTTTTTGTGAGCAATCGGCTTAAGAGTAGAGTTGTCCTTGGCATGAGATGAGTGCAGATATGCCACTGCCAAGATAAGACAGATTGCGCATCGCCAGACAGATTCTTCAGGAATAAACTGGCTGGCTTCCTTACACCTCTGGATATAGGTCAGAAGGTCACGGTCGCTATAGTAGCGCGTAATTTGAATCATGATGTGCTCTCCGTCGTCCATGGGGGACTTCATTGCATGGATAATATTGTGGTGTTTCAGCTCCAGTCCAATACGGCGAGCCAGTCTGAGGGATTGCCTCATCTCAGTGGAAATGTCAGCGAGCGATATACACTTTGCGACCACCTCTTCTCCGTCAGCCTTGTTGCGTACGAGATAAACATACGCATATGGCCCCGCATTGACTTGGCGGACCATTTCGTAGTTATGCGGTAAGATGTGCGCGGTCATACTCCCGATGATCTTTTTCAGCGCTCATTATAATTTCACTATAACATGGCATATTTAATTAAATGTTGCATCAAAGCTCTAAAAATGAAGCACAATTCTCCTTCTTGGGCGTTGAGCATCTTCGTAACCTGGGACAAGAACCGCGAGGCATGTCTGCAGGCGTTCAGCGATGAAGCTCTCAGCCGCATCGGCTCAAGTGATGTGTCTCAAGGGTACCTGCTCTACCTCGAGAAGGTGAAGGACGTCTTCATTGAGCCATTCAGACTCAATGACAAGGTTACTAGCGTGCAACTGAAGGCTCTGCAGGAGTTTCCTCAGAGCGCATCTTCAAGCGGGCCGATCACAGTCCTGCAGGAGCCACGATTTGATATTTATGTCTCGAACTATCTTCAAAGCCTTGAATACACCCTGGATCGCACATGCTTTAGCATTGATTCTTCTAAGATATGGCTCAAATACTACAAGGTCATTACAGCTCTAGCTGGCTGTCCTTGGAGGCACCAGAGCTCCTGCATTGCTCTCCGAAAAGATCTGCTTCAGTGCATTTGTAAGCGGATCGTCTTGGATAATCCGACACTCTTCACTGACCTGTTCCAGGATAGGGTCTCGGCCGAACTGGGACAGCCTCTGAGTGGCGTGGAGCTATACAACGCGTACAATAAGGTCTTGAGCATGGCCGTCAACTGTGAGCAGGTCCACGCTTCCTCGTTATATTCTTTAACCGATATGTTTCGGGTCTTGTTGCATAGAGAGGACAAGGCACCGAGAAGTAGCAGAGTTCAAGGGAACCACCCTCTCGGTGTCTACCAAGCATTTATCGCTTTATTCGACGAGACTACCAGCTTCTGCGCCACCAATGATATCTCAGACAGAATCACAGGCAGGTTTCTATACACACTGTACGAATCTGCTCTTTATTACCTAGGCAGGTTTCTTCCAGCCATCTACCTCGACATAGCTATCCGTATTTCTGGGCAGATTGTTTCCCCATCAATTATTCAGGAGCTATTCCAGCGTAGTGCGGCAGAGATTATCTTCGAGCGTCCAGTCCAAATCAAGAAGCCATTTGAAGACGCTGCAGACCTTGCGTGCAACATCCTGCAGCGCGGAGTCGCCATGCACCCAAAGGTAACCCTTTTGTATGTGAGTCTAATGGAGCTGTTGCGGCATCGCTCTTTAGAACACTATGGTTCGGCTGTCATTGCTCAGCTTTACGACGAGTTGCTTCAGAAAGATGTGGACGCGTGTTGTGATATCACACAAGAAGCATTTGTGGCAACCAAATATATTCTTCGTTACACCCTTGAAACATCAGGTATTACTGCTATGATATCTCAGGTACAATTTATTTTGGAGCGCCAGATTGTTTTTAATACTGAGCTGTGGGACGCAGTGCTCTACATCATTTGCTCCTACCTTGGGGATGCACAGGCTTTTTTGGCATTAACGTCGCATTATGATATACTAGGAATGCCGCTCATAGATTGCATCCTGAAAGATGTATATCGCTCAGTTTCACTTCTACAATTCCTTTGGCATACTGCGCACGCGTTTCTCAAGAAGGAGCTCCAGCTGGATTGCTATTTTAGAAGCCTGTGCAATGAGCACAATGTGTTCTCCTTCTGCTATCATGCCTTGAGTAGTAGCGATCTCTGTGATGCCAAAGGTTCGGTTGACGCCCTGCTCACTTCTCTAGTGACGCGCTTATCTGAGGGAGGACACGACAGCCCAGAGCGCAAGTCTTCCGTAGAGCTTGCCTATTCCTATAGTGTGATCACCTTGTTCCTTCTGTTACGTATTCATCTGGAGAAGCACATCTTCAGCAGTGTTATGGATGACCTATCAAACTACAATGAGCAGGCCCAGCTATTAGAGGGCGTATTTGCGCCACTCGCGTACTGGAGCGGAGGTCAGCGGACAAAGTATACCGACCTTTCATCCTTCTGTCATCCGTCACCTCTTCTCCACTGCACATCAATACTGTCTCAGGACTTTGCCTTTTCATCTTGGGATGTCCATAATGCAATAGACCGTCTTCTTCTCTTCTTACGTGCTTCTCAGGATGGATTCAGCATTGTTGGTCTTCCGGCAACAGAGCCCCCGACGCCGGGCTCTCTCTTTTCTGATTCGTCCATGGCAACCCGGCTGAGTGGCTGCTCTCGACTTTGCATTCTTACCCGCGAGAGTGCAACGTCGTTCGTCGACGCTCGTTGCCTTGACCCTGCAAGCACTTATTTTTGCTTTGCGGCACTTTCACTTAGTGGCGCTACGGCGTCAGATACTGCGTTCAGGATGGCGGCCGGGCCTCAGGAGGGTGTTGTTGGCGCATTGGACTTTACACCCATTATTGCGCTGACAGCGGAGTCGCTCTCGGAGAGACCTGCAAATTTCATACTAAGCGGAGTCAACCCGGTGTTGGCAGACGCCGCATTGTTCCAGCAGCGATATCTGCCACTGTCTTCGCCATTTACTACGCCCGAGGTGTTTGGAATGAGCATCCGATCCATCAACGACATTGCGGTGCGTCCCGAGGCCCCACCGCCTGGAGTGCCTGCCAGACTTCTGTGTGGGGGCATCGCGAACCTTCAAGCGTACGATCGCCTTGTTAACAAAGACACTGCTGAGCTCCAGCAGGAGGATCACGACGCAAGCCCCAAACAGAACACGCGGACTGTCCTGATTCATGGGCAAATTTCGCTCCCGGAGACCGTGGAGAAGAGGGTCGCCGCCGTCAGTAAGGCCGCTCTCCCGTTCACCACGCCTCTCGGGGTTGCGGCCTTCATCGAGAAGGTCTACGGGGAGAGCCCGACACACCGGGTGCGGATCGACACGTGGAAGGTTCCTCTCCCAGACATCCGGTCTGTGTTCGACAAGGTCAAGCGGTACGACCCCGCGGGGGCGGTCCGAGAGGCGCCCCCGCACCTTCTCCAGCCGGTGGCGCAGCTGCCGACGAGCGAGCAGGCGGAGGCGGCCCTCGCCCTAGGCCCCACGGAGTAAACAAACAGAAAGAAGAAATATCACGTGCATGCTGCTGCCTGGCCCTGACGTGTGGCGTTGTAGCGCAGTGGTCCAGCGCATCGGGCTCATAACTCGAGGGTCGGAGGTTCGATCCCTCCCGACGCCATGTTTACTCCCCGGGCCGACGGAGGTCTGCGAGCGCAGCCGCGGTGGCCCGCCGGTGCTCCTCGAGGCCTTTTTCAAGCGCGGCGCAGCGGGCGGCAAGGCTCTCAAGCCCCTCCTGGATGCCGGCGACGCTCCCCCGGAGCCGGGCCCCGCGCTCGTCTGCGGCTGCGAGCCCGCCCCGCAACACCTCGAGCTCTCCTCTGAGCTCTGCAACGGCGGCCTCCAGAGGAGAAGGTTCGTCTGCACGTAGGGGATGGAGGGTGTACGAGCCCTCTGCGATCATCTTTGTGACTGAGGGAGGCCGTACCGGAAGCACGCGGTCTGAAAGCCTGGGGTGTGGCTCAGATTGAGTGGGAGACGATAGCTCCACAGTGGGGGCGGGAATCTGCACAGAGATTTCCGAGAGAGGCTCTATGGGCGCAAGCGGAAGCGTGGCGGATCGGGAAACTGATGAGCTTGCCGTGGAGAAGATCTCGAAGTCATTCTCGATGACCTTGTAACCAGTTGTCTTGACCACGTCTAGCAAACCAGAGCTGTGTCTATATACCTTTCGCCCAGTAGAGGGGGACGAGGGTATAGGAGCCTGCTCATGTCTAGGCAGAGGGGTTTTCTCCTTCTTCACAGGGCTACCTCGTGTGCATTCAGAGGGTCGAATGTCCTGCAGCGTAAGTGGTCCTTGAGATGTCCACGGAGACTGCTCCAACAGCGAAGGCAAGTTGGCTGGCAATTCGACACTGGCATCGTTTGAGAGAAGGACCCTATCTTCCCAGACAATAAGGCACGCATGCGTCTTAGGAACCTCGTTGAAGGGCGAAGGGAAGACTTGCGTATGTGCTGTTTGAGAGTTATACACAAATAGGAGGTTTTTAAGATTGTGATGGTAGAGAAGGAGGACATACTTGCTCCTATAGACAAAGCCGAAGAAGAAGTCGTCGCACTTAGGCTGGTCCATCACTATGTTGCGCAACGAGAATGCTTTCCTATCCGACAAGAGCTTCTTGACAGTGATGTACTTTCCACGGTGGTCAAACCTAAATCCAAACAACAGCAGAGAGTTGCTGACCGTACAGCTGAATAGTGGGTATACGTTGACGACACAACCCTGAGTGATTATTGCACGCTTTGAGGTATCATAGACGTAGGGCCGGCATTCCGTAATGACAGGCTTCTTTCCTTCAGAGCCCACGAGGAATAAGTAGAGCCGCGATCGATAAAAGGTCATCGTGCCTGCCTCTGCCGCAGGTCCAGTCGCCAGATGCTCCACATCTGTATCCACGCGCATATGAAATAAATTCCCGGTCGCGGGGTGGTAAATATAAGCTGTAGATGACGAGGAAGTGACAAGAAGGGTTGACGAATGCACACCTAGGAGCGCAGAGGGTATGCGCTTATACGTCGCTTCCCATTGTCCAGTCCGATTATAGCGAGAAAGAATCGAGCAGCGATTATTCAATGAGTATAGGGTATTCTCTACGCAGAACATGGAGCTGATAAGGGCCCTGGAGCGGCGGACGGCTAGGTGTGGCTCTTAAAAAATCGGTAATCTATGTCTTTCACAGATGCATTCTCCATGAATATAGAACCATATAGTAGCTTTGGACACTCTTCCATAGCATCTCCATTCTCATTTGCAGCCGATGAGTACACAGTTGGCTTTCTTATGGCCAGGTTTCTTGTGCTATTTTGCATTCCCCTACAAGAATACAAGTATATCCCATTGCCGGCAACCGTTGTAGAGCTTCGGGCTGTCTATCCTAACCATACTGGGGAGTATTTGTGCCTGGTTGAAGTCAATGAACAACACCAGGTTCAGCTCTCCATCTACCACTTACTGCGCACTGAGCGAGTGAGCACAATACTTCTCTCCGGCGTGGCCAGTGAAATGGTTAGCCAGGACGATGAATCTATAGAGCTGCAGCTTCCAACCAGTGTTCACTTTTCAGTTACATCCCGCGTTATCGCCGTGCAAATGCCCTTTCCAACATCTTCTCTCCTCATCATTAACTGGCAACGAGGAACAACAGAGTCGATTACTCTACCAGACAACACAGAGTTTCTTTCTCTGTGCCCCTTCTCAGGGACTGCCATGATAAGCGTCCTCTCTAATCAGACGATTCGTCTTTGGCGTTCCATAGACGGAGCATTTAAGGATTTTACTCCGACAAAAATGCGGGCTTCCATTCCTACGCAACCGGTTCTTCTTCCCAATGGCACAGAAGCAACTGTGTCCGTCAGGGGCTGCTTCTGGATGGGTAGTAGCCTCAGTGCAGCCATTACAAATCTTGGGGATGTGCTGATCTTTGCTGGGCCGTCCTTTATAGGGGCTATCCCAGTGGCCAGAGCAAGAGCAGAGGTCTCTCTCTTCAAAGAATTCAAGAGCAACGAATATTATACTATCTATGGACAGGTGACCGCTCACTGTGTTCACAATAACCTCCTCATTATAGGCACAGACCTTGGAGAGCTTGTCTGCATAGAGTTTTGTCTTAACTTAGAGGCAAATATGCGTCCGACATCGGGCACCCAGTCACATGCTCAAGAACAAGTTCCCTCAAAGAACCCTTATTCCATGGAGGCTACCGTACCCGTGGACGATGAAGCAGATATAGACATCAGTTTGCCGTTCGTCAGTCAGTTTAAACAACCGAGTGCAGAGGCTGAAGAGGAAACGGGTCCGTTAGATATCATGGAGCTGGCTACGCTATTTTCGAAAACGTCATGCATAAGCCTTGGCGGATCGCAGGTTGCTGTTTATCCACACAAGGTACTCGGACTGTCCATCATTTCAAATACTGAAATATCAAACATAAGCTGTGCCACCCCCGAGTATGCACTTATAGAGACAGCAAGTAGTACTATGCATATCTGGCCCCTGAACTTCAATAATGTGCTGGTAATAGACAAAACTACACTCTCGCTAGTGCAGAAGAGTATCTCAAGCGCGTTTGGAGGTTGCTTTTCCAAGAAAAGGAAGGACGGACTAAGTTGTACAGAGGCCGTCTTTCGTCCAAGAATGGCATTTACCGATGAAGTAGAGAAGGAGAGGCGGTCACTTGTTGATTCCATCAATGAATATATGAGCCAGCAAAGTGAGGTGGCTGTTGAGAAGTTTTACGAACTTATCAGCAGCGAGCTGGACCTTGAAATTCACAGCCTTACATTGGCTAGCGATGACGCCGTGATAGATACTGCTGGGATACAGTATCTGATTACTCTCCAGGGTATATTAGAGATCGTACGTGAGGATGCGCCTTTTTCCATTAAACGCGACACTCTATTATCACTAGTACCAAGCTCCACCACTACTCAGCCAGAGGCCCAACCAGTAAAGCAGCCATCTGATGCTGGTACTCAGAGTAGTGATGTCTCGCAACGGAAAAGTGGTTCCTTAGAGGAGGTATCAGAGATCCAAACTGCCATTGGTACACTGTTGCAGGGTATCACTAAGAAGTTAACTGATACTGGTGCTGGAGCAGTTGCTGATTCCACGCAGCTACCCACTGCAGACGTGCCTAGTTCTTCCAAGGACTCGGAAGAATGCGTCGACAATGTCCCCCTTCGGGCGATAATGAACGATGCTGATGTCGACTCCAACTCGTATCTGAACCGCTTTACCTCCATACAGCTCTGGAGTCAGCTCCTTCAAGGGTTTCCAGTTCCCAGCCTTCCTCCACCAAGTGTGTTTCAGCAACTTTGTGGTCCACGGGCCACCCTCGCTGAAAAGAGTCTTTTGCGGCCAGGAGCTCGTGTAGGGCCTCCACTGCCTATGAATTTTGGGAAGCTTACCTGTATGGACGCCAGCAGTGTCTGTGACATATATATTGTAGGAAGTTCAGAAGGATATATATATGCTGGTCGCACGTCCACAGGCAAGCTCTTCGCCTATCGGAAGTTCCGCAGTGCTATTCAGGGGCTCAAGCTCTATCCAAACGGATTATTCGGGGTAGCACAGTATAACGACGGCCTGGGAATATTCGTCATCAACGATCACGATATCCTTGAGTCAATCTTCTTCACAGAGTCCGGCATACGTCAATTTGCACTATCCCATGGTGGGGGATACCTGGCTGCCAGCATAGAGTCAGATAAGCGACAAGCCGTACGGATCAGAAGTTTGGAGGGGTTTGATATTATTGCAGAGCTCTCTGTCTCCCAGTCCCCATTGGTACACCTGGAGTTTGTCCCTGGTGACACCATGCTTATAATAGTCGAGAGAGATGGACTAGTTTCTGGGTATAGTCTGTTTACAAAGCAACGGTTGTTTGATTGCAAGCTGCGTGGAGTATGCCTGACTTCTGCTGCAATCGCTATTGGGCGGCAGATTCCAGGTGACGCTATAGGACAGGCTTCCATGTATGGTATTTTAAACAAGGAGGAAGATGCTGCGCTCCACGATGAATCTCTTGTACCACCGGCTCCGGGAAAACTTGCTACCACAAGCTTGCAGCAGATGAGGACAGCGCTTACAGACGAGACCCAGCTGCCCTATGATATGCTGATTAAGCACGGGTCAGTGATTGACTCTGTGTGTTATGAACCTATTGTGGTTCTCTGCTATGATATTAGCGGCAGAGTTTACGAGGTGATCTCCAACAGGATCCTTCATGAGCTGCAATCCCCAGAACCCTTCACTGTCAACCTACTAGCGCTGGTTCCTCCTCCTGTCTCCAACGAAATCCTGATGTCTAACTGCTACATTGAAAAATTGGTTAAGATTAATCAAACCTCTGAAATAGAAGCTGCTATGCCTGTTGTGACAACCGCTACAGGCGCCATTTTTGGTATTGATCAGGAGGAGCTGATCGTCAAAGGTGAGGATGCAGAAGTAATTAGTGCACCAATTGACACAAAAATGGACTATTATGCGCACCATTCTACCACTCATGAGATAGCAGAGACGAACCTTGAGAATGCCCTTATTGATGCAGCCGGAGATATAGAGGCCATCACAGCCGAGCACTTGGAAGCCCGCCTCAACCAGAGTAAGAAGGACTATTATATGGGGACAATAACGTCGACTAGTAACGACTCTGTTCTGCCGGAAACTCAGGGATTGGTGGACAGCATTATCAAGATGTCATCCAGGCTTTACTCACAACGTCCTGTCTCTCTTTCCGAGCCAGAGTGCCAATTTGTTTTGGGGTTTACCGCTAACGGATGGATTACGGCCTTTGATTGGCCGTTCCGAATTCCGAAGGCAATCTACCGACGGAGATTGCATGGCTCGGATATCACTGCTGCAAAGCTTATTAGAGGCAGCACCTTGTTTACTCTGAGCGCAGACGAACTCATCATTTCACACATTCGCTTCCTCATTCCTGCTAGCTCCATATTTTCCGGAGCAGATAAGTCGCAGCATTTTCGGATGCTGAAGTCAGCGTTTCAAGCCGATGACGGCCTAGAGTCTTTGTTGCTAAAGCTTCCAATCACACAGTATCTGCCTGTAATGCCCTTTGACCATTGTTCAAGGACTGTGGCATACGGATCCAACTTAGATAGCAAGTTCTTTAACATGCTTGTTAATGCAGCTGACATTTGGGTTTCAACAGACTATCGCGCTTCTCTCATCAAAGAAGCCACCAGAGACAAGGCAGGAAAGATCACAGCAAAGTTATCCCACATGAAGGCGACTATAGCGTCCGCGATTCAGCAACTAGACCAACAAAATTCTGGAGGTGATCAGGAAAATAGCAAAATGGAGGTAGAGTTTGATACAGACCACGAGCATGCCTTGGTGGAGACTCAGGAGAGATATCAGACGCGGATAGAACAGATTCGCAAGGATATTGCCGACCTGGAGCAAATGCTGAAAAATGAGGCCGAGCGATATGAGTCGTCCCGCTCCTCGCTTCAGAAGCGCTTTGAGAGCATCATTAATTACGAAGAAACCATGCGAATGGCGACAGTTGCAAATCTAAACGCACAGATAGATCAGCAGGACCAAGCACTCAGTAAAATAGAAGCGGCATATAACGAAGAACTCCGTCAAATAGACGACGAGCGGAGGGAGGCGTTGAAGGCTGTGGAGCAGATAGGGGAAACAGCGGTTGAGCGGGAGAAGAACGCCTCGGCGACTCTCCGGGGCTGGGAGAGTATGCAGAGGCGTCGTATAGCGACTATTATAGGCCAAGGACATCAGCTCAGTGCAGAGTATGACATGGAGGTCAAGAAAGCCCAGAAGTATAATGAGGAGCTAGCTAAAGTGATGGCAGACATCGAGGCAACAAGAAAAGTCCTGCAGAAGAAGGATGAACAGGTCGCCTTCGAGGAACGGAAGATCTACGACTTAAACAAGGATATTAAGCGCCTGGGAAAAACGCAGTTTGTGCTGACGAACCAGATCTCAGAGCTCAAAGCAGAGATCCACCCCAGAGATGAGCTGATTAGTGACATGCGGGAGCGCGTAGACGGGCTCTCCGGGAAACTGGAGGACCTTAGCCATCAGTGGGACACCATCACAAATACTCTTGATGCAGAACAGGCAGCGGTAAAGGAGCTGACGACACAAATAGGCGAGGAAACCCGACGCTTGCGGTCTCGAGAGCGTGCTCTTGAAAATCTCAAGAAAGACATCATAGTTCTTGTGACAGAGAACAACCCCGGCGAGTGGATGGCTCGGCTGAAGGCCCTCTGGAAAAAATACCAAGCTTTCCACGACGATATCTCCAAGTCGGTGAGGGCCGCATCCAAAGCTTATGATAGCGACTCCACGGTGGCCAATGAACTCATAGAACACAAGGGTTATCTCAATAGTCGCATTGACGACCTGTACGCCGAGCTGAAAAAGGGCTCTCGCAACTTTACAACTGCTCAGGCCTTCTGCCTTGACGAGAATAGCGCTCTGTTAACAGAGTCGCACAGGTTGCGAGATGAGAACATTTCTCTGAAAACACAGCTCCAGCGGGTTGTTGCAATGCTCGAGGAGATCCGCCTCAATGAGCTGAGCGTCCAGACCCAGCGTCGCATGCGAGAGCGCGCGGCCTCGCAGAACCGGTCGCCCTCCCTATCGGAGAAAGGCAAGTCGAGCAGTCACCCTACCGGAGAGAGGCTTTCAGTGGAGCAGTGATTTATGGGCAGAGGCCCACGTAGCCTGTGGGGTCGATCTGATTAAAAGAGGATACGTAAAATAACGTTAAGTATATTAAAATTAAACCTATCAATTGAGTGTTGATTTGCAGATTGGCGCAGAATAATAGAACTTTGTATTCTAAGTATATACGTAAAAATCTTGGGATAGAAGCAAAATAACTTGCTGTTCTCTGATGTTAGAGAAGCTTGTGCAAAACGGCTTCAACATATTAGTTGCCTCGTTTTTGTAGTGTAAATAAACTACAGCTCATTCTTAGAATGGAAGCCACTCTCTTTGACCCCAAGAGGTGTCAGGGAGTGGACCATGACAATGGGGTATTTGTGTCAAGTAGCAAGGGCGTATCTTCTTCGGGTAAGATGTTGATTCCCAGATGCCAACTGGTTAACGACGCACATGGTTATGACATCAAGGCGGCAGATGCCGTGGGGGAAGTGGCTTCAGAATCAGCGCTCCCTTCTCCTAAGACATGCAATCTCTCAATGGCAGACTTTACGGGCAGGGGCGTAAACAAGGACAGCTTTCCTTTCACGCCCCCGTCCCGGAGCCTTTCGTCTAGTGGAGTCACTTCACCTGTATACTGCAATCCCTTAGCATGCATGTCTACCAGACTCTCTCGTACACACCTGCGTAGCAATCCAAAAAATGTAAAAGAAGGAACAATGTCTACAGGTAACAGCGATTATACTATTGAAGAAAGTAGCTCGATGCTAGCCGTCACCAATGAGGAGCAATACACGATAGAGATGGATTCGCTAGTCAACCCGGACATCTCGTGTACCAGTGTCTATACCGAGTACGATGACTACCTGGGGGATCTGGATGATCCTGCACAGCTGTACGAATGCAGACCCTACTATATACCGACCAACATACGGATCTCTGCTACTCTTTGTGGCTTGATCTCGAACCTTACTGTTGACGAGCTGGAGGCACAGGCTCCGAAGCTTCCTTTGTTATTTCCAAGTGGTTGTCACAAAGCCAAGCATATCTGGGGGGCAATTTACCAGGAAGCCCGTGAAGTTCTCCGAGGAACCCAGGTCTCATCGCAGCTTCCTCCCTTTCACCTGCTCTTCCCCTGCCTCTTTCCCGAACCTCTCTCCAAGCCCGAAGTAATGGAGCTATGGGTGCACATTATCATTCTTTTGCACTACTCCATTACTCACGAGGCATGGTTTAGTGTTCTAACTGCTGATTCCGAGAGTCCTCTGGAATGTGACACACCCATAGATGATTCTTTTACGGGTCTACGTCAGCTTACCAATGTAGAGAGGTTCCTAGAGTGGCTACATATTGAGAGCCGACACACCAGTTCTTTGAGTCGTACTGAAAAACACAGTATCTCTGGACTGCTTCTTAGGAATAAAGCTGGTAGCACCGCCCCGAGCATCCCTAAGGCCTCCAGCTCAAGTCAGCTTCTCTGGTTTCAAGGCGCACAGTTCCAACCTTGTCAACAGCAGCTATTTGGTAAGTTTAAAGGAAAGACCAAGACTCCTTTGCCCGATGAGCGGCTAGATTCAGAGCGGGCAAGCCCATGTCACACTAATGGTTTGGTAGATAACCCTGGTGCATTCTACTTCGACACAGACCTGGGCACTAGTCTTCAGGGATCATATGAAGAAAAGTGTGCAAGCACTGGAGCACAGATCAGCCGGGAGCCTCGACGTAGCACTATTCCAGACCATGATGATAGAAGCAGCGATCTTTATTTCCGTGTGTTCTTTTCTGGTATATTTGGCCTCAAATACCTTAAGCCCATCAACCGGGGAGATCTCAAGCTCTTAGAAGAAAAGTACTTCCGATCTATTGTTGTTGATGGGAGCATCTTGCTCCTCGTACTTAAGGCACGAGGTGCCTTCACGCTCGGCTTTTCATTCTTGATGACATACAGGCTTCAAAGACTTGCACTGTCTTTGCACTGGGAAGATGAGCTCCTACTCCCTAATGTAGAGATCCTCTTAAGTTCGCAGTCGCCGGCAGTAGATTTGGACTTTGCAGACTTCAGTCTAATCAAGCAGACGAAGCCCGTTTTTACCAATAGATCGTCTCTCAACGATAACAGCGTAGAATCAGACCCTGTGTGCGAAGATGTTGGACTGACAGTAGACAACCTTTCTGTCTATCCCATTTCCTCGGACACCTCTCTTTCAGCGAAAGTGTTTAATTCACGGATAACCTATGCCATACAGGACGTGCTCGAGGGAGGGATGTACGATGTCCTTTCTAAGCTCACAGACTTGGACCTTCTGGCAAACAGGCCCATCTCGCTCATTTCTAATATGTCTAAGCAAGGCAGGAGCAAGACAGACAATACAGTCTTGCGCTCTGTTTGCCAGACTGTCGCTATTCCTAAGCTGATATGCTCCACAGATCTGTTCGTTCTGGAAAGGAATGTACTTCCAATTGTGCAAAACATGGACACCGACCCCACGCTTGTACAGCATTTGATTCGCCTGATCGAGACCTTGCGGGCGCCACTAAACTTCGAGACTTCGTCTAGCCCCAGAACAGTCCAGTACCGCTACGCTGGAGAGAACATCACCTTGCCGTCTGTTCCCGGGTGCTACCTTATCTGCCAATATCTATGCAAGGGACATTGGCGTATATCCATTACGCCACCTGGTCAAGCGCTGTCTATTTTGCCGCGCTTTTTCGGGTTCTATGACTACGTCTATATCAAGCCGGACTTCACTAGTGTGATTAGCAATCCGTTCCTATCTCTTCTATCTAAGGACTACTCAAGGGAGCAAGAGTGGCATCGCATAATGATAATACCAAAGCTACGGTCTGCAATGGTGCACTGCGCTGCAACTCCTGCAGCCATCGCGGCTGTTGTCAGAACTTTGTCTGGTGTTCAGCGGCACAGGCAGATTCTTAAGTATCTTCTAATTGAAAATCTATTTGATCCTATTCTATCTACAGTTGAGTCTCCTGTCATAGGGCCAGCGGATTCTGGTTCAGTTAAGCTGAGCTTGAAAAAGGAAAAGCCTGGAGGTCTAAGGATGATCAACGTCAAAAGCAAAAAGGACATGTCTGGAGCTGAATCCAAACATACCTCACCGCATGCTGAGCACATGGAAATGCCTTCTAATTTGCAGCAATCTTTACCACTGCCTTTGCCACTGCACCCGGCGTCTCCACATCAAGTTATATCTCCTCGTGTGCTCGATAACGACATCCCTGAAGTGATCAAGACTCCCCCGAAGCTACAGATGCCAGAACACGATACGTTGGGGACACCATACTACACCAGCAAGAAAAGATCCTCCCACATTAACCATATTGATACCGAGAATACGCAGTCTGTTGCATCTGTGATCAGCCGCACTATCCCGTCGTGGAAGGTGAGCAGTGCGTGGTCCAATCCGCCAAGCGTTACGTCACAGGAGACAGAGGTGATTTCTATGATGACAACGTTGAAGAAAAATGACATACGCTCCGTGATCACATTCGATCTCATGCTGCCGCTCTCGACCTCCACGATAACAGATCTCCCTAAGCGCTATGCTGAGTGTATGCGGAAGTGTGACCGCGTTGTGAAAGCGGGGCTCACCAATCTTCGTGTTTCTCTTCCACAGAGCACTATTAGTTATTACTCATGTCTCAAGAAGACACCTACCACACTGACCACAGTGGGATCATCGGGCTCGTTATCATCGAATTCACAAACTGCAGCTGCAAACCTGACTCCGAAAATTCTGATGTCAAACATTTGCGACTGTACCACACCGACTCAAACACAGGCAGCTGGAGGATCGCCAACAGATAAGATAACTCGTTTGCTTCTAGACTATTCCAACAACAAGACATGGACACTGTTACTGGATGAGTTGTTCATAATACACTATAAGTACGGCTTTGCAGGGGTGGTGCTTCGTGGGATTGATTACCCGTATTTTCTATCCCAGCCTCTACTGCCATCCATTAAGCTATCTCTTCTAAGAAAACTTACCATCGACATCTGGTCGCGCGTGCCAAACTTGATCTTATTTGCATTTGCTGGTGATGCAACACATGCCTGCACTCTGATGAAGGCGGGAATAATACCTATCGTGAGGGACTACAACAAGTGCGATCTTAATGAGCTGGACAGATTTACCATCCAGGGGATGAACGAGCCCGTGAATTTGACTGCAGAAGCCATACGGCACTCCATTGTATCAGTCAGTGCTCATAACTTCAACAGATCAGCCTCTCAAGACCAACTTGTCAATATATCGCAGAGCAATTCAAGAGATGGGCGACTAACCCCCTTCTTTAAGGAGCCATTTAGTTTTCACTCCATCTGTAGCATGTTTCTCCACAAACCATTGTCGCTTTTCACGATAGATGATATTAATATGAAATCAGGGATTGACGTTCACCGTGCCATCGAGTCCATGCACCGCGCAAACAATACGATATCGTTTTGCAAGGCTATACACAACACCATGGCTGCACCAGATCCGGCCTACACCAAGGAGTCATTGAAGCAGCAGAAGCCGTCTCTCTACACTCAGATGGATTACCCTGCCATCCTTGATCTTCTTGGACAGATAACCATGGCGGAGTTTGTGCGGCACGTCTGCGTTAACGATATCAACCAGATGTGTGGTTCCGGTCTCTGCTACGGCGTATATAAGGATTCCCCATCTACGCTGACAGTGATAATCTCAAATGTAGGCAGTACACGTCCATTTCTAGTCTCCATCCCAGACATTTGCACAATAATGGGTTGCGACCCCATGTCATTCATTCAACTAACATATAGGTATCAAGGGTCTGTGCGCACGAGTGTAGCATACAATGCAGTGTACGACGAGCCCATTCTAAATTTCAACAAGCCCCTAACAACAGACAAGACAAATAGAAAAGGGAAGAAAACTGGCAATAAGTCCACTACTCAGAGCAGCGACACATTTGAAGGAGAGTCGAAAGATGACGAACTGATGCATCCATACAGATCATACACCGCATCTCATGTAGACCTCTCCAGCATGACCATGGCCGATCTCCGCAGGACATCCTACCTTAATGGGAGCTACGACTATTCAGTGGCCAAGTTTCAGAAGATAAAAATGTTATCAACTCATTGGAACTGCTCTATATTAACAGCAGGGGTTGTTGCATATGGTGGCGTAGTTGTTACGGCTCCCTCGTGTAGCATCTTTGCGATTAAAATTAGCTTGGTTCCAGATAGTGCCCTTCGGTTTGTACGGCCCACTAAATCAGCAGAGTCTTGCTACGACTCGGAATCCTTCGTTTGCAGCTTGCTTAATGCCTTCATGACAAGCGCTGTTTTCGCTGACAAGCAGGCAATCTCATCTACGAGCCAGTCTTTCAAGTTACAGCCTACGCAGCATGCGTGTTCAGCACAGGATCTAGAACTGTACATCCGCGATATGTGCTGTTGCTTAACCGACACTATTCTATGCATGTCTGACGCAGACACGATTCAAAAGTCCCAGTCGGTGATCAACGTAGTAGCACACTCCCAATTTGCAGTGCTTCTGCTTGCTGCGTCTCACCGCTTAGTATACCATGAAGGCAAGGAGGACTCGCTGATCTCTAATAGTTTATCACGGCAAACAGCAAAGCGTGGAGTCAGAAGTCTACTTCTCATGAAGTCACCCTTGGGGAAGGAAATTGTTGAAGCTAAAAGCCACACGTCTAACTTACCAAACGTTAAGAAAGGTATAGATATGATGGAGCTAATGAGGATTGTTCCAAGATATATATTAGAGCTCCTTGCAGGGGCACTTGAGGCCAATTCCCCCACCATATGGTCAATACCCATGCACGCTCTTGTCGACGGGGCTCGTTCTATCTTGTCGTTCTTATATCCTCACATCAAGAAGTCTGCCAAGTATTCAGAAAACAGGGACTCATCTGGCCTGCTTCTTAAAAGTATTCACATACCCGACGTCATTATCATTGCATCTCGCTTAAGCAACTTTATAGCAGTCAAAGCTCTTTTTCTAGCTGAATCAGGATACTCTGTCTCCCTTTATGCGCCGCTCTATGAGACCCCGCAAGGTCAAGAGTCTATTCCGAGCCACATCCTCGGAGACATTTCATATACAGGTGAAACATATAGGAATGAGTACCTTTGGCATAATTTCGGAATCCATTACCTGCGGAGGCGCCTGTCCATGGGTACTACTTTGGAGGTCACCCTCCTGCATAGCTTTGAGTTCTTTTACGACTCTCTTCACGACAAGAACATCGCCCTAAATGATAAGGAGAAGTGTCTCAGCGAGATTGTCATAGATGAAGAGACAAACAACGTCTACTCTGTCTATAAATACAAAGAACACATTGTTTATAACGACAGCAGTGACGACCGGTCCATAGACACACCAATTAATAATGGTGGTGGACTGGTCCCCCTCCTTGATGGAAACGAAGGACAGCAATTTGCAGAGAAGTCTCTGTTGCGTGCAAAGGTCCTTGCAGATTTTGTTAAGCACAAATACAGACTCTACGAAAATCAAACCGGAATAGCCCCTCGGATGATCATCTCTACACCCGGCATAGGAGCAAACGCTGCACTGTCCCTGGCCATTGCATTTGGCTCACAACAGGTTCGGAGTCTTAAGTTGACAGACGGAGCCAACGAACACAGCACTTGTGACATTGACGAATCGTGCGGAGTTACATCCGAGTACACATTTATATCTCGGCCAAAGATGGTGCTTTTGATGACCCCGAACGTGCGCTCCCTTCTAGAGTATATGTATGATCTTTTGGGGGTGAAGTTTCTTGACTATGGCAAGATTTTCGACTTGATTAAGCAGTTAGGCATCCCAGACACGGGGATCTTGGACTCTTTTCACCCTTACATTCTGTACAATTTGCGGGCCGCGGTACTGGACTTCGACGTCATATGCGGGGACTTTGATTCAATCAATGTACTCAAGAAGACCCCGTGGATCAGCTGGGCGCTCTCCAATAAAGAAATCGTCGTGAATGACGATGAGACTGCGCTCCTGATCAAATACGTTCAGTTATTAACGGACCTCATTGAAAAGCAGTGAGTCATATTAATAAGTCATATCAATAAGTGAATCTTATCTCGAATAGACGGATTGACTGCTTGTGGACCTGAAATCACAAAAGGTCAGTTTTAAAGTTTAAAAAATGTTTGCGGCAGACTCTCAAAACTCCCTTCTCCTAGAGCTTCTGCGCCGCGTTGATCTGCTGCAATATCAAATAGACCAGAAGAGCCAGCGCGAAGCTTATCCAGAATCTGCTGCACACCACCCGAGCCTTTTTGCATTAAGTCAGAGACCCTCGGTTCGGACCTCGTATTCTGTCGGCCCTCTGCCGAAGAGACACTCTGTTTCGATGCACGAGCCGCGAACAGAAGAGCCCTTTGAGGCTTACGACGGGTTCTTCATCCACACCGGGATCTCCTACGTTCCATGTTATGTCTCATCGTCCAGTGGTGCTTTACTTCTTCGCTTAGCTACTGACAGTTTTGTATTCTCAGTGCCATTCTTGGCCATAACTGGTATAGCCTGTGATGCAATTCAGCTCCCCGACACGTCTAAGCTGCTCTATATGTCACGCATAAGCTATTTGGACGAGGGCCAGAGCTTGCACAGTTACAATGCCTTAACGGTGTATTCTCCCTCCAAGAGCTTATCGGAGCAACTAGTCAACTATTTAGTACGAGAAGCCAGGCTGATGTCGCGGGATCGCATTGAGACCCATCCTGCTCACATGGGTCTAGACAACCTGGGCAGGGGAAGAAGCCAGTCCTATTCTCGGCCTTCTTTTAGTGGAAAACGATCCTATACAAACCCCGCATGGAAAGACGTTCCATTCCCCTATCCTGATGGGCGCGAAATGTCTCTAGGAAGCATAGCTCCCTCAAACTTCGCCTCTGGAATCAATGTTCAAGCTTCTAGCCTGAAGACGCCGGTAGAGTCTGCGCAAAAGTTTTGGCCGGAGCTTGTGGCTCGAAGACAGTCCTACATGCACGATTCATACTCTGCCTATAGCGGGAAGCAGTACGATACCGAGCGAGACATGGGATTCTACTCCTTCACAACCAATGCTAGCATGTATGACCGCCCCATTTCTCAGTCTGAGAATCTTCGCATGGCGACAGGAACGCAGGCCTCGAATCTCCTCAGCTTTGGACAGGGTTGCACTGGCGCCGCACACCTCGCCACACATTCTAGCTCGCCTAAAAGGAGCTCTCAGATGCAGTCGGACACTGCGAGCGTTTTCCAGCAGAGCGGCTACGCGAATCCGTCGAGCCAAACCGAGCCGTCCAAGAAGCTGGACGGAATCACGGAAAAGTCCCTGAACAGCATCTGCAACGAGTACGAACGGGTGATCGAACAGCAGAACGAGCTGGTGACAAACCTCTGGGGGATCGTTGGGGAGCTCAACAGGCGCTTGAGGGAGAAGGGCGAGTAAACGGGGGACCACCGGGGATCGAACCCGGGACCTCTCGCACCCAAAGCGAGAATCATACCACTAGACCATGGTCCCATACGCGCGGAAAAATCCACACAATAAATATTATATGTGTGTTTGCCTGTTCAGACGCGCGTCTCGGTCGTTTACTTTCTGCGCGCTCCCCGGCAGCGGCGGCCCGGGGGCTGCGCGCCCTCAAAGCCCGCGCTGAGCACTAGGCCCGGAAGCGACCGTCCGCGGCTCCGGACCCTGCGTCGGACTCTGCGCCGCCGTGGAGACTCTGTGCGAGATCGCGCAAGCTCGCCTGGGAGAAGCGCAGGTTCTTGGGTTTCCTCAGACGTAGAAGCGCTTCCTGCGTCGGCTGTATAGATATCGTTCCGCGCTTTTTCCAAGCTGTGTACACCCTTCTGTGCAGCAACGGGCTTCTCTGTTTCCACGTCGGAACCAAAGTCGAAATCTGCCTCTGCTTCTGCCACGGCGGCCAAAATAGAGTGGAACACCTCTGCAGACTGGTGACTGATCCGGTCTGTGATCTTCATGCTCTGAATATCAACGGAGGGCTTATGCTTCTCAAAGTCTCTGGCATTTGGATCTAGGTAGGTAGCCTCGTTTGCAAAGGAAACCTCGTGTGGCCGCCTGAGGAGCCGAGGATGAGGTTGAAGCATAGAATTGAGCTCAGGATAGGCTTCTCTAACGACTGGTAGCATGGCGATCTCAAGCACTGATGGCCTGTTCGCTGGATTAAGACTCAAGCACTTCAGAAGGAGGAGCCTGATATCCGTTGGACAGCTCCTTGAGTATATACTGACGCCTCGTCGAAGCTCCCTAGGAGCAAACTGCGGAGGCTGCAATATGCAAAGAGAGTATAGTACACACCCGAGACACCAAACATCCACTGCTTCTGTATATTCAGCGTCAGGGCCTTGGAGTTCTGGGGCAAGGAACGACGGGTATCTATTCTTTTTCCCAAACAGCGGGCGAATATAGTAAAGACCATAGTCTGAAAGCATCACAGTTCCATGAGAGTCAAAAAGTATATTAGAAGGCGTAAGGGAACCATGCAAGAGATATGTCATTTCGCCATAGTCATCCGAGGCTCCTGTTGAACCGTAAAGCTGAAGCAACCCTGCAACAACCTGGGCAAATAGCTTCCAAATGCTCAACGGGCTGAAGGGCGTGGTGCTAGATCGGCGTTCGTACAGCAGCGTTTCCAGGCTGCCGCCTACACAATAAGGATGTGTGATTTCATAGGTTGCATGCGAGGCATAGTACTGCAGAGAAGAAATCTCTAAGATGTTCGGCCCTGAGGCCTTGGTTATCCGCATCAATATTGCATGTACACCGGCAGCATCAAATCTCCGCAAACCTGTTACAGGATACTTCTTAATTACAATATCGGGTAGGCCCCGGGTATTAAATTCTATGATTGCAGAACCTGCATCTAAGGTGGCGGGGGACTCCTTGTAGACCTCAGCTACGTCCTCGAGAGCGGCCATAGAAGGAACGGTTAGCTCAGAGAAAGATAGGTCTGCACAGTAGTCCATGTGGTTCTCCAGCTAGAGCTGTACGAGCTGGTTCTCTAGTGTGATTCAAGGCGCAGCCCTCCAAGGCCCTCTGTTGCTAAAAGAAATACTAAGTAAAAAGGGACATTTCACTTAAAAGTTGGTCGTTTGCTCCTGTATCGGTTTTGCAGGTGTATGTTATGCCCAGCACTGGCAGAGGAGTTCTATATAGGACGCACGCTTGGACAAGGGTCCTACGGCGCCGTCAGGGTTCTCAAAGACAAGGTTACCTCGACTGTTGTTCTGTGCAAAGAATTTAACCTTTCTGATCTCGATGATGCTGCGTTTTCCTCTCTAATGTATGACCTTTCTCTAGCATCTCATCTTGAGTACCAGTTTTTGCTTCACTACGAACGTCTCATTATATATGATGAAGGGAGTACTCTCTTTGCTATTAGTTCGCAGATTGGGGCCTACAATCTGGCCGACTTAATTAGCAAACACCAGTGTGCCAAAATGTCCATTCCAGAAGCATGCATTTTAACCATCCTGCGGTCGGTGGCCCAGGCCTTGGCCTTTCTTCACAAGGAAGCACGGCCGCTCCTCTTTGCCCGAATTGGGGGTGAATACACCGAGACCCCTGTTCTGCACAATGATTTAAAGCCGAGCAACGTTCTTGTAATGAGCAATAATCAGTTGCTGGTTACAGATTATGGCACCGCTAGGTCATATAAGTTAAAAAGATTGGCATCCACGTTTAGCAGCTCTTTGCCGTATATCGCACCCGAGATTCTGCATAAAAAAGAGCCCACAGAGGCTTCCGACGTCTGGTCTCTCGGGTGTCTTATTTACGAGCTTTGCACACTCAAAAGGTTTGTGGAGCGGGCCAACACTGTCTCTGAAGCAAGTTCCTTTATAGCTAGTCTTAAGGACGTTACCATTCCGAAATCTTATTCAAAGCACCTTGCCAAGTTAATCAAGCACATGCTTTCTATCAACGCAGACGACAGGCCTAGCGTCGATGACATTCTCAAAGACAAGCTGCTAGAGTCTGCCAAGCCCAGCATCCATCTGGAGCACTTGACAGGAAGCATGACCGCCAGCTACAAGACCGCCAGCATACCCAATATAACGGCCAGACTGGACATAGAACCTTGTAATATTATCACTGCTTCTTCCTCTACCTTTGGGGATTCCTCTCTCTATCCGTCAGGGGGCGGTGTTGATCTGTCCTCCGGGCGAGGGAGTCGCATGGGTAGCAGGTCAAGCAGCACGGCAATGGGAAGAAGAAATGTAAAGTCAACTAAGATCACTCGGTCATTGGCTTCATCGCTAGCCTTTAACAGAAGCCTGCTGGCATCATCAGCCCGATCCCATATTGGCAGCGGAATAGATCCTCAAGATCTCAATACTAATACTATCAGCTCTCCAAACTTTTACGCACTTGCTGATACTGATGTTGGAGAGTCTGCAACGGGATGTGCGAGCAGCGTTCATGAAACTCAGCGCACACCGAGCGCAGCAATGGCAGACTCCTCACTTGCTTATTTGCGATTGCTGAAGAAGAATGTTTGTTCAGAGGCATCTAATAGGCTCACATCTCAAAAGCCATATAGACTCCGGGGTTCTTTGGAGGGTGATAAGAACGCCGCAGAAAACACCCCTACTGGCATTGCTGGACTGTCAGCAGGTCGCTCTGTCAGCCTCCGAGCTGCAGCATCAAAGCTAAGCGACGGGCCCTACTCTACGCCTGGGCCTGATACACGGATCTCCACTCGGCTTCCGGACTCCCTACGCCGCTCGACATCCACTCATGTCAGTCTTTACGAAAACTGTACTAAAAATGATACAGAGCGCATCACCGATTTCATTTCAGAAAGCAAGTCAAAGCTTCAACTGTTGGATAGTATCTGTCTTTCAAGGCACACGCACACATCTGTGCAGCGCACATCATCCGCTGAGTCGAGACCCAACAACCAAACCATGGCAGTAACCCCGATCTTTAGCGCAGGCCAGAGTTTTAGTTCTCCGTCATTTACTATAGACTTGAGCCATCCAGATAACATAAGGAAGGTCGCCAATGAGTTTACAAGCTCTATGATTGAAGTTTTGGTCCCGAATCAGCAGAGTCCTAGCCCACATATATTTCTTAACGACGGCCTTCCTCCAGTGTCTCCTACCAATCTCACTGCATCCCACGGAAACGCTCGTCAACATATTGGTAGCAGGGAGGCAATGGGATCTGGAGTTAACATTATCCTTTCTAAGCCCATTGACTCAATGATGCCGGCTACACCTCCAAACCAAGACAAGATACCTAAATGGAGAGGCTTTTCTAGGCGCAAAGCTATTGCTAAAGATGATAACAAGGCCACCTATAGCACAAATGAGCAAATTAGCAACGTGCTGATCAGTAAGCTGGGAAATAGCTTGATAGCGAAGAAATTGCACAATGCAGATCAGAAGAAGCGGGGAAGAACTCCTCAGCATGCTACCTCCGACCAAAAAAGTAATCATAAAGAGATCAAGTGCCTTAATTCCGGGACACAATTCGATATCATCCCCAATGCAGCTCCAGCAATGGGACCAATGCCAATGCCAAGTGTGCCTACCATAACAGCCTGTCAAAGAAGAACACCAAAGCAAAAGACGCGCCTGATGCGTAGCCGAAGCAAAAGCATAGGTGGAAAACCTCAGAACAAGCCACATGAGTACACTCCCCCTGTACCCGCGCCTCCTCGGTTGTCCCTCCCTGCAGCAGATGATAAGTACGCACTAAGCGTTTTCCTAGGAGACAATAGCAACTTCAACATCGAAAGCAGCTCCTCGTCAAATATAGTCCCAGACTTTGCCTCTACTGTGCACACTCCGAAGAAGCTGCAGGTTCCTAAGGTACCTCAAATAACAGTCCAGAGGCGAGAGAAAATCCTGCAGAATACAGCTATGCCTACTGCCCCCACGGATAGCGTTCAGCATGAAGATGGAGTTAGAAACCTGGCTACTCCGATTAAGAAGAGGACGTTTGTGCCCAGTCCACCCCCCTTGACTAAGCCACATTTACTGGAAAAGGGACGCAATCTCTACGGGCAATCTACTTGAATTAATTAGTCTTGGATAGAAAGTACACAAGTTTTGTGGTTTATGAATGAGATTCACTACTACCTTTATATGTACTAACGTGGGCTGCTGCAAAGGCGCTTAGAAGGCAGCGGATATGCGTCAAAGTCTCCATCTGTGGAAATAATGATTGGCCCTTCTTGTTCTTATTGCATAGTATAGACTCACTTTGCACCTAGTGAAGACGATCCCACACAGCTAGAGTGCCTTATCTGTCACATACAAAGCATGGTTACAGATGTTGAACTTACTATGAAGAGACCAACCATTGACTGGCCACACAACTGACGAGACTATCCACTGCTAGTTCTCAGTCAGAGTTCTCCGTCAGCCGTTTGCAATATCTATCGTTGCTCGAAGGCGACTATCAAAAAGTGCACACCGGCAAGTCTTCCTGATGTTACGCCATTGAAGGTTGTATGCATGTTTTTCGCGACTAGTGTCATTGTAGAAGCCAGCAGTTGTTGTGGACGTTCTCAGAACGAAGTACTTTAGTTCACTGGGATGAAGATGCTCGAAGACCTATGCTTTAAACATTATTCAGTTCCAAAAATCTAACGAAAGATACAATCATTCTATTGAAAATATTAACTGTCTGATTACAATCAGCTATATACATGGCTCTAAGTGGACAAGTTCTGCGATGCTTCTAATTTCTTGACGCTAGGCTGTTGTGCTCAGCAAAGCAATTTTTCACAATCAATTTACCATAAGGCCACGAAGATTATAACTTCTTGGCAGTCACATCTTATTATAAGTTCTTTCACGCTCTAATAAAGTAAATATGGCCGAAATCAAATGGGAAAACACGGGAAATCGAATAAAAATCAAAAAACCACATGCCTGCGGCCAAGACCCGAACGATTAAGGTCACAAAGACGGATAAGGGGGGCCTACAGGAGCTCACCGTTGAAGAGCTAAAGGATCTATTCCAAGACTTTATTCCAGGAGACATTATGGACAGCGTCACCTTGCCCCCAGGTGAGGACCTTAACGAATGGCTAGCTGTCAATGTGTACGAGTTCTTCGAGTCCATACAGCTGATATACTCCACGTGCGAGAAGGTCTGCAATGAGAAGGCGATAACTTGCGTAGAGATGAATGCAGGAGAAAATTGCAAATATCTTTGGCAAGATGGTCGGGTGTACAAGAAGCCGACCCCCGTGACAGCACCCATGTATATTACCCTTCTCTTCCAGTGGGTGCAGGGCCAGCTAGAGGACGAAGCAATCTTCCCCACAAGTCCCACGACCCCGCTGCCCAAAGAATTTCCAAAGATTGTTCGCAATATATTCCGTCGTCTTTTCAGAGTCTATGCTCATATATTCATGTGCCATTACGGGACACTCGTGGAAAAAAATATCGCACAAACTTTTAATACATGTCTCAAGCACTTTCTACTCTTCGTCCGGGAATTCCAACTTATCGAGGCCAACGAGCTTGAGCCATTGCGAATTATTCTGGACAAGATTTGATGTTTGCATTAATAAATATTGAATTTGATTTCGAACTTTATTTTCTGGATAGCGTAGAATTTAAAAATGCCTCTCTGCACTCTGAGACAGATGCTCGGGGAAGCCCGCAAGCACAAGTATGGGGTTGGCGCCTTCAACGTCAACAACATGGAGCAAATCCAGGGGATCATGAAGGCTGTAGTCCAGTTGAAGTCGCCCGTTATACTACAGTGCTCGCGCGGAGCCCTCAAGTATTCCGACATGATATACCTCAAGAAACTTTGCGAGGCGGCCTTAGAAAAGCACCCAGACATCCCTATCTGCATCCACCTTGACCACGGCGATACCCTGGAGTCCGTGAAGATGGCGATCGATCTGGGCTTCTCCTCCGTCATGATTGATGCATCGCACCACCCGTTCGATGAGAACGTAAGGATCACCAAGGAGGTCGTCGCCTACGCCCATGCACGAGGCGTCAGCGTGGAGGCTGAACTTGGGACTCTCGGCGGGATTGAGGAGGATGTGCAGAACACCGTTCAGCTCACCGAGCCGCAGGATGCCAAGAAGTTTGTCGAGCTGACGGGCGTTGATGCCCTTGCCGTTGCAATAGGAACCAGCCATGGCGCATACAAATTCAAATCCGAATCAGATATTCGCCTCGCCATTGACCGCGTGAAGACGATTTCAGACCTTACTGGCATCCCGTTGGTCATGCACGGCTCCTCTTCTGTGCCCAAGGACGTCAAGGATATGATCAACAAGTATGGCGGGAAGATGCCTGATGCGGTCGGTGTCCCCATCGAGTCCATCGTGCACGCAATAGGCGAAGGGGTTTGCAAGATCAACGTCGACAGTGACTCCAGGATGGCCATGACAGGGGCAATCCGCAAAGTCTTTGTTGAGCATCCCGAGAAATTCGACCCGCGCGATTACCTCGGCCCGGGTCGTGATGCCATAACCGAGATGCTCATCCCTAAGATCAAGGCCTTCGGATCTGCAGGCCATGCCGGAGACTACAAAGTTGTGAGCCTTGAGGAAGCCAAGGCATGGTACAAGTAATCTTCTTTTGGTAGTGAATTTGGCGTTGGATATTTACTACTTATGGTAGTACAGCCGTTTGGTGCGGGGCGGAGAACGTGTCGATAACCACCCCGGCGAAGTCACTACTTCGGTATGTGTCAGACAGGCCCGTGCTTGCAAGACTGCGGATGAGTAGGGACTGAGTTGCCCTGACTTCTTGCTCCAACTTTAGAAAGTCGTCATCTCGCTGGTCTCCCGTATCCATGTCGTACAGATATGAACTATTGGACATCAATGATCCAGAGGAGGCGAGGGGCTCCGGTGCACGAGATGCCTGTGGGACCACGAGCGATTCTTGGGCCAAAAATGTCACATGAGGGCCTGCAGGCGCTATTACAGCTGGCTTATTCTGCTCAAATACAGTTTGCGCAGGAGAAGCCGACATGGGTGTGTGAGATCCGCTGACCATCAAGGGGTGACCTGGAGCTGCCTCTACTGAGTCACTCCGGGACGAGCTGGGTGATGGCAAGTAATCATCGTGTAGGGGTGTGTCGGTAGAATATGCTAGAGGAAGAAAAGTATTGACGGAGGGAGGCTTTGGTGGGATTGTTCCAGACTTGGCCACTGTAGACAAGGCCAACTTAAGGTGGGAGGTCCCTAGTTTTGAGGTTGTGAGCTTGGATGAAAGAGACGACTGATCTTCTGTGAGACTTATGCTACGATCTGTATATGTGTCTGATGTTGAGCTGACGCTTATGCTATAGTGCAGAGAAGGACGTAACTTGGATCCAGAATGAACAATTGTCTGCACTGATGCAGGGCTGAGACTTGAACAGGTATCTTCTGGATGTGTGACACTGGCTAAAATAGCAGTACTCGAAACAGGCAAAGCCGAAACTTGGAGCGAGTCACTCTCAGCAGGCCTCGGTAACGGTGTATTGCACTTGTCTGGCAACTCTACTCTATCACTAGTAGACCTATTACCAAAGCGGATATCCTCTTCCGTTATCGAACTTGTTTTATCAGGTAAAGTAGAGATTAGTGAGATAGCAGCAGATGTGGTAGCGGATGTCATAGACTTTACGGCAGCCAAGTTGCGGCGCATTTCCATTATCTCTGCGTCCTTCTCCTTTATAATTTGCATTGCCTCCTCCCTTGTACGTGCAAGCTCAGCCTTCAACTCAGCTAAGTTTCCTGTTGTATACTCCTTGATAAGGTCTGGAGATTCCGAAGTCTGCTGTTTGTTTGGGGCAAGAGTGGTTGGCGGCTTAGCATAAGATTCGGGAATCCCTGATGTGTCCACAAGGGACACGCCTGGCAAAGTGTTACTAATGCTTGAAAAGCAATTTTCTATCATTTCCGGCGTGACGATGAGAGCTCCAAGATCTGAAGATGTCAAGGGAGTAGAGTACTTGTTCTCATGATCGTTAGTAGAGATCTCCGTAGAGCCCAGTTCAAGAAATGTTTCCATGGCATTTGAATTAATACTGAAAGGACTGGGAAATACTACTTTAACGGCTGAGTCATCAATATGCATCTTTTGGCTACTCTGATAATGTAGATTATTCGGGATAGCGCCTTCCTTTAATGATGACGCCCGCTGCTCACGATCTAGCTTCAGAGACCGTATCTCTTTACCAAGACGGGCAAGCTCTGCATCTCGTGCACTTATGTTCAGATTCATGTACCGCCTAATGGCAGAAATCTCATACTGTAATCGCTGGAGATATCCCTCGTCAATGGGAAAGTACTTCCCGGGATCTATTTTATTTATAAACAGATTGTCTAGATGCTCAATACTTGAAAAGTAATCTTCAACTGTTGGTAAGGGTAGATTGTCTATTTGCACAGTTGTACCTGGCTTCCACGGAAGTCTAGATAAAGATGCAGAGGGGGCTGCGCAATGCGAAACTTTGGGAAGGGAGGAGAGGATTTCCTGCTGTGGAACTGTTGGCGGAACTATAACTTCGTCTGGAAGCTCGCGAATTGGGGGCGGCCGCAGGTGTGCCTGCCCAGTGGAAAGTATTGACTGGAGTGACACGCTATGTGGACGCATAAACGTTGGCTCTGGTGTCTCAGTGTAAGGCCCAAGGGAATGGGTGACTGTTGAGTGAACATCGCCCTGGCAAATCTCCTTAGCGCAAAACGTGGTCTGCAAGGGTGAGGCGCCAGAGGGACTTGCTTGTTTACCAGTTGGAGTAAGTGCATACGTAGATACAGTAACAGAAGGATGGGAAAGAGTGTCTGATTGCTGCTGATAAAGAAGAGGTTGCTTAGAGCCTAAAGACTCAGTGAATTCCCTTGTAGAAGAAATGTTGACACTACTTCTATGCCCACTTTTAGACAATGCAGTGTCAGGGAGATCAGTCTGCTTATCTGAATTCCCAGTGCTTCCAGTGCTTGAGTCAGAAACGCCGTCGAGGATAGCCTTCATGTTTCCCAGGGCTGCCACTGAATTTGCAGACGCAGATAGACTCAGTGTATGTTTTGCTTGCTCTACATATTTGGACATAGCTTGGCTGTCCGTAGAAATGAGACTGGCAAGCCTGGATACAGTATTGCAGTTAGACTCTAACTCACCAATAAGTACACTGCTAGAACGCTCCTGCCGCGTTTCTTTAACTAGTGGGGGAGCATAAGCAACAAGGCCATGAGACGTCAGGCCTGGCGCAGAGGAAAGCAGAGATGTGTTGAACTCCATGGGAGCGCGGGGCACCAGCTTCTTAGCTGTGTCGTAGTCTACATAAGAGATCTCAGATGCTGATGATAGGGTTCTTGTTAATGTATCAGCACCTTGTGCATCATTCATCTATGCTACGGCCACTCCAATTTTTTGTCGAATTTATCTCTTTTCTGTTGAATTTTTCTATCAATGATAGTTTAAGTAATGCCTAGCAAGTAAACAGCTACATTCACTAGTTGCTACTGCATAGAAAGAAGCTGATTTCATAAAGAAACAGACTATTCACTGTTGTCGAGGCAATCAAACATATTGGATGGTAGGTCAACGTATGATTGCTCCAGTAAGTCATGTATAATCAGTACTCAAAAGGCTCATTATAGACGTTAGGGTCATGAGAATATTCTTCCAACCTCCTAAGTTTTTCCTCCATTTCTTCCAATTTTTTCTTTAGTGTTCTGATTTCGAGCATGCTTGATATGGAAGAAAATTCATCCTGGGGCTTCAAGACCTGCATAAGCATGCTTGCTGTAAGGCGTTCCTTAGGGTTTAGTACCAAGATATGCTCCAGGATACTCCTAATGGTCACGTCCTTGATAGCAGAAAGATTCGGGGTCCAGCCCGCGACGTATACGGTCCTTGGTTGCTTAGCTTCAAGAAGGAAAGGGGTTTTCAGCTTTGAAGAGAGCTCATAGAGCACAATCCCGAGGCTCCACATGTCGGCAGCCGGAGTTAGCTTGTCCCCAAGCAGAACCTCTGGTGCAATGCAGTACATCAACGCAGTCGTTGCGTTCTGATCTCCAAAGCCCAAGTCAGTCAGGACAAACTTTGTTTCTTCCTTGTTGACCAAGATGTTGGCGAGCTTAACATCGCCGTGAACAATCTCTTGTCGTTTATCCTCGTTATGGGCGTCCGCGGAATTGTGAAGATACTCTAAGGCGCTCCCTATTTGCTTTGCCACGTCTATGACTTGAGCAGTGGAAAAGCTTCTGTTGGTACGCTTATATGCTCTAACGGTACTTTCTAGAGAGCAAGCATAGCGTGCCATTGTCATATAAATAGCATTATTAGATTTATAGATACCCTCATATCTGATAAGGTTGGGGTGAGACAACTCCGTAAGAGTGATAATACCCTTTTCAAGAGCCGCAACGGAGTGTTCCGAAAGGTCAAGAGTGCTGATTTCCTTGACGACTTTGTCCTGCTCTCCATCAATAGAGTGAACAGTCCCGTAAAGGCCTTGACCCAGCTCCTGGCCCAATCTGCTTATTAACGCATTAACTGCCGCAGGATCCGTTACGATTTCCTTGGCCTTGCAATTCATGACTTTAACTTTTTTAGCGCGATTGGGTTCTCAGTCAATCTACTTGACTATTAATTGTAGCGTGTAATGAAATTAAAATATAAACTAAAAATGATTCCATTATTTATAGGCTTATATGTATACAAGGTCCCGCATTTGGTTCTGTTGGATTCACTTTAAAACATGCACCCCACACTATATATCTTTAGATAGATAGTTATTTACTCTTATGTACTTACTTTGTTGCCTTTTCCGTTATTCGCTTCGGTATATCCTTCACACTCATTGCAAGGCTTTCTGGTGTGAAAGTAACGTGGTGCTGCTTTATTCGGGCTATGTCACGGAGTCTTTCCCATTTCGAGTCTTCTGTTGTAACCCGAAATGTAAGGCCTGACTGAGCGTTTAGGTAAGTTAGTAAAGTGTGGGAGAGGTTGTGCATACCACTTCCACCTCCTATAAACACTACTTCAATTGGTGCCTGGGGAAGATCAGAAACACGCTCCTGATCTTCCTGAGGCTCACTAGATGGGCCGCATGGCAACTTGTTCCACTGGGCCAAAACATTACTTTCTGCGGAAAATATACCGGAGCCCTGTGTCTGTGTGATGTAGCTGTTAGTTTCCCTGGCTACAGATAGCACTAGGTCTCCAATTCCGGAGACGCTAGAGCCCATTAACCGTGGATAGAAAAGCATCTGGGACGGAAAGATATGCTCATTGAATAGGAAAAGGCATACGCGCAGAGTTTTAGGGTCATCGGCCTCAAGAAAGCTGCTTAATGAGAGGTTGTTGAGGTACGCTTCTTTAAAGTACCCTGGAACGCACTTCTTGTAAGTTATTGTAGGATGGGAGATATAAGGCCATATGATCGATGCATTTCTGTCAAAGTCTTGCACACTAACACCTAATTCTGCTAGCTTAAAAATTACCATATCCACCGCTTCGGTTGAATTAAGTAAGTATGTGTGTAGCTGGCGGATGACCTTTGCAGAAGATAGCTTCTCCATTGACGTGAAGCCGCTGAATTCTATTGCAGTGTCTACAAGCAAGTCTATATTTTTTCTTGTGCAGAAATTATTGTAATTGTACCGATCGGTTTGGAATTGAGCCTTCAATCGTGCATACAGCCGTGTTAAAATGGTAACAGCCTGGCTACGATCTAAAACGTTTCGATACACGTCCTTTGATGTCTCCGCAGAAGTTCGTACGGTGCTAGTGGATGGAATACGCTTTATTTCTGGCTCATCATGCTCTGACTTGAGAGCGTTGTTAGATGGAAGAGTAAGTGGCTCCATGGAGATCAGCATGTCTGTGCTGCTAGTTACTATGTCATCTGTTTCTTCTTCTGCCTGTGCTTCTATTACCTCGTCACTCTCGTTTTCTTCCTCTACTATTGAACTATCGCCCTCAGGCTGATCAGAGTAGTCAGTATCAGAGCCAGCACGATCAACTTTATTCAGCTTAAATGCATCAGATCTATTCTTCTTTCTGTGGTTAGTCAACGGATTGCTCTCTGATGAATTAGGTGTCTCCTGTTCATTACCGTGTACTCTGCTGGCACGCAGTCGTGCACGTTCCCTATTTGCCCAGACATTTCTTATGGAACTTCGCGAAATGCGTGCATTGATTAGTCCGAGCGTAGTGCTTCTGGCTTGCTTCTCTTCAGGGACTTCGGCCCCGTAAGAACAAGTATCTTGAAGTGCATTCAATTCGGCGATGCTTCCATGGAGCAGTCGAGCTGCTTCATGATCGCGTACCCCGTGGATAAGCTTAGTAAGGGTAGTGCGGCGGGCTTTTACAATAAAGCTTTGCCGTGCTTGAAGAAGCTCATTCTGCCGCGCTCCCTCAAAAAGCTCAATTAACAGTATTCCCGTGTGGATCATATTAGAGTGTCCCTTGGGATGAACATACGCTTCAGGGAACTTTGCTGAAAGAGACTCCATAACCTGCAGATAGCAGTTATATGCATCCATGGACATAGACAGATCAGAGTACCGTGTCTCCTGATAGAAAAGGGACTCCTTGTGCTGCTTGCACTTATTAAAGTGGTGGAGCATCTCTGCACACAGTTCATGATAAGTGTCTATTGAAAGAGCCACGCAGATGTGTGAGAGGACATACTCTATAAACGTATTAGTAAACAAATGAGTGAATAGAGGGTAATGAATGTTTAGAAACTTGAGCAGCCAGAGTTGCACTGCTTGCATGCCGACAGGCAGCACCTTAATAAGATGAGCGCTAGGAATGGAAAAGGTCTGCCTGGTTGTAGAGTAGAAGAGCGGATAGGCAGTAGTGCAACTATACCCTAGGTGAAGAACTATCTGGAAGGGGTTCTTCGAGGAAAAGTAGAGCTCAGAAGGGGCAAATGAGACAGAAGTGGCTCCAAAATAGTGTAAGAAGATATCCGCTAGGATTATCAGTGAAAGCCGTGGGGTGCAGTAGGGAACAGTCACAAAAACAGGTATGCCTAGTACCTTCCGTGTCTCCTGAGCATCACTAGGAACCTGGGGCAAGGCAAAGGAAAACATATACTCCAGTATGTTCTGAACCAGTTCATAGTGAAGAAGCAGTCCACCCTTCCACTGCCCTTGCTCTTTTCCTCCATAAACGAACGGTGATCGAAAAGTCCTTCTCACAAAGTCTGCCTCTGTCATTTCGTTTCCCATCCTAAAGCATGAGTTCTTATTACGCGACTTGCTGACAGCAGTCCTCATTACATAGCGAGGCTCATCCTCCCCTAGAAATCCCAGCTGTATGGAGTGTGTCCCTAGATCGACTAAAAGCGTGTCGCTCTCAGGAATTGGGGATCCAGCGTACTTTCCACTAAAGGCAAAACGGCTTTGATCCATGGAGTCAGAAAGACTGGAGAGAAAGAGCCCTGGGGAGAAATTTTAAACGCGGACACCCCATCATCGGGAATATATTCACACTAGCATTGAAACTCTCTACCAGATAAGATGCACAATAACTGGCGACGTGCTAAGAGACTAAGGCCCGAGGGCCTCTACGATACACATACCGGAGAAGCTTGTCTTTCTTTCAGAATAGAAAAAGAGTCGATAATTATAACAATGGACGCAAGTGTGCATAGAACACACCCAGTCTCAGCCTCAAAGCTTGTACATGGCACTGATACGATCAAACAGAGACGTGGACTCTGTGTTTTCAATATATTCGCTTTCTGATGGGGCGGCTGAATCATCTTCGCAGAGTAGCTTGTCATTAGTTGTGCTGGAATGTGCATTTTTAGGCGTTGCAGCAGCATAGGGCACTGAGTCTGTGTCCGCCGACAATTGACTCTCTGTAAATGCCCGAGGCTGAATGGTCTGAGAGCTGCTAAAATCTCGAGGAAGCTTCTTAGTCACAGAGTATGGCTGCCGATTCAAGATTGGATTCTGTGATTTGTTTATTACCGATAAGTGTCTACTGCCAGCTTGGCTCGTTGTGAGTCTGCCGGGTCCAGGGCTTTTTGTCCGCTGCCTGGTAAGGATGGATGTTGAAATAGAGGGCTGTGAATCTGTCGATGCGAGGGAAACCGGTTTTTGTGGTAAATTGAGAAGTTCGGGAAGAGGCATTTTGTATTTACTTGTGGGTGGACTTGTGGGTGGCCTGCTGTATCTGCCAGGTGCATAAGGCTGCAACTCATAGGGACGGCCGGATTCCGGCGACACTAATGCCACTCTCACTTTCTTCTGTCCTTTCGACCCGGTATGCTTTTATCTCGGTGTCCACAGTCTTGGTTAATCCATGGGGCGATTCTTGTGGAAAGGGGAAACCTGCACCACTAATAGATGGCATATTAAGACCACTGTCGCCATCATTGCCAACTGTTCCAGTGCCAAGCATGGGGGCATAAACGACAACACCTTCTGGATCATCATCGTTGCTTGTATCGGGAGTTGCCCACAGTGCTTTTATCTCGGGGACCTGAAGAAGATCCTTTGCTCCAAGTCTTGTCCTTGGCGATGGTAGCAAAAGGAGGTTGATAAACGTAAGTAGCTCTACAGAGTAGACAGTACCATCAGCGTCAGTTGACACATTGGAAAGGTCTAGGCCCGTGGGCTGGATAGAGGTCACTCCGGTAAATCCGTGACCAGTCTGCTTCAGCATTGGAAAGTCGTCAGCCAAAGGCCTGAGTGTGCAAAGCTCGTACAGAACAGATCCTAGAGACCATATATCACACTTCTCATCATACCCGTCGGTGGCTGGGCTCTGGTCTTGGTCAGTGCTCTGCATAGCAAGAACTTCTGGAGCCATGTACCCGATGGTTCCTGCTGATGCGTATATCCGATCCTTTATTGTGCCATGTCGTGCTCCAGGCGATGATATAGTCTTTGCCAGGCAGAAGTCGAAGATGTGCACCTTTCCATCTTTTGTTAGAAATAGTGCTTCGGGACGGATGTTTCTATGAACTACCTTAAGCCCAGTAAGCTCTGCTTTTTCAGTAGAGTGGAGATACTCCAAACCCTTCAGGGTTTCACATGCAATGCCCCATATGGTAGCCTCTGGTACAGGCGCTCCTTTCTCCAAGTAGCGTGTTATGAGCGATGCAACGTTCCCAAAAACGAAGAACTCAGTAATGATATATGCAGAGTACTGGTCTCCGTCGTAGAAGTAGTCTAGTAAAGGCGCGATGTTCTCGTGCATTACCTTCCTTAAAATGGTAGTTTCAGAGTCCAGTAGCTGAACGACATATGCGTCGATTGACGTGAACCTTGTCTCCTTGCAGGTGAGTATATGTCCATTTAACAAGTTCTTTATCTTGTATAGTTTGGAAATATTCATGTCGCAGAGAAAGTCCAAGATTTCATAGTCATCTCTTAGACGCCTCTTGGGCATCTTAGAGTTGAGGAGCCGCATGTTTTGCAGGGTGTCTGATGCTGCAGTCATAGCTGCCAGCAGGGTAACCTTAGTCTGTTCTTTGAGCATAACAGATATAAGAGTATTCAAGGCAGGAGTATAGTTTCGTGGTGCAGCCCATATATCATGCTTGAAATTAATATCAATACAGGAGACATCATAGCAAGCCATGTCTGCATTGAAAAATGTGGCGTAAACTTGCTTTAGTGTGGCCATTTCGTACAAAACAGCCCCCACCGACCAAGTGTCCTGCAGAAGGGCATCATATGTCTGTCTGTAGCCATACTTGGTGCGAAGAGCATCCTGGGACATGTACATATCATCTGTAGAGAGTATTGCTGTCTGACTATTGAGCTCCTGCGACCCAGTTGGGTCTCCCAAATAGACACAGCACGTGAAGTCACATAGTTTCAGCGTTCCAATCCTAATTTCAGAGTCGTCTGTAAAACAAAACCTGAGATTGTTAGGGGAGATTGCTAGGTTAGCAAAGGTACCAACTTGACCCTGTGAGTTCTTGAACTCCTGTATGTAAGAGAGCGCTGCAAGAAGTTCTTCAGCACACTTCCATATGCTGTACTCTTCTACTGGCTTATTTGCATCTGAGTATAACAGTAAGACATCAGCCAAGGTGAAGTCGGAAAGCCGCTCACTGATAACACATAACTTCTTAACCTCTTTGTCGTAGAAGGCGTCTATGAATCTGTGAATATTGGGATGGTTAAAGCTCAGGAGAAGCTGTGTCTCTAGAATGATAGCGTTTCGAAGCTCTGGAGGCTTTATATTTAGCAAATCAATGTACTGGCATCTAAACAGTTCCTTTGCAGCTATAGATGCATTCAGGGGCCTTACTAAAATTGTGTCACCATGCAATGTGCTGGATTCTTCGTCAGTCATTATTATATATTTGCTGCGAAGCACCGATGAGCCAAACTTCTTCTTCACGAGCTTTATGAGTTTATCTTGCTCTTCTTCTTCTTTCGATTGCTCCACTTGTGGCTCTAGATGCTCCAAAGCAGGGGTGCTGGAGTACCGATCTTGCTCCTTTTCTAGTTCCTTTCCGGCTAGTAGTGAGTTCTCAGTTACACCTACAAGCAGCGTTTGCGTAGAGGGCTCTGTTGAATTAATGTTAGATCGATGAATGACTGAATCTACCAACTCACTAGTATCATCACGCAGCGTGAGTTTTCTGCTATCTGCAAAGCTCAGAGAATGCTGAGCTTGAAGAGGTGCATCTTCTTCTATCTTTCCAGAAGCAGACAGATCAACTGCGGCTTCGTCTTCATTCAGTTTTTCCTCTACAAGCGACTCTATCTTAGCGAGCTCAGGATTGATTATGCACCGCATAGAGAATAGATCTGCCAAAGGGTCCGTTGTACCACAAAATAGCATTCGAATAATCTTTGTTACATTGATATGTTCCTTCGTTGCCTTTAGATGATTAAGGTAAATGGGAAGGGAGAAGTCTATTAGCTCCTCTAGGGGCGTAGTTTGAAGCGTTTGCAGTATAGTACTGGACAACTCTGGTTGTTGACGCAACGATCCTTTCGTGTTCTTGTTGGATAAGTAGCTCGATAAAGCGGTGCAGAAAGCTTTATGGGTATAAAGAGTAAAAAGCAATACACCGAGACACCAGAAGTCCAGATTATAATCTATAGTTGCATAGGAGTCGACATAGGCATCTCCAAGAATCGCCTTTGTTTGCGCACTAACCGGGAGTCCGAGAGAGTAGAGAGCATGAAAGATGTTCAGCTTAATGCTCCCCTTGCTCAGCAGCATGACATTTGATGAAAGCAAACCACCATGGCAGAACTTGAGATTTAAGGGCTTTGGCATGGTTGCAACGTAAAAAGGAACGGGCATATACACTCTTTCCAATGCCTGCATCAGCTGGTCGCAAATGACAAAGAACTGTGCTTGTGAAAGTCCGGTAGATGAAGCCCGCAAAGTGACCAATAGGTCATCCACTGTGCCATCATCTGTGGCTTCGGTAATGAGACACATGCATCCTCTTTTCAGGTCATCATACACGTCCACCAAGTTAGCAAGAAACGGGAATTCTAGCCCGGTTTGCTTCGAACTGGTAGGCCTGGGATGTTCAACGGCCGAAACGGCCTTCTGTTGGTAGAAGAAGAGCGAGGCTCCCAGCAGCAAAAGTTGATGAATTATGCGCTGATTTTTCGGGACCAGCTTTACCTCTTGACAAAAATACACTGTATCATCAGAATCGGGGTCGTAGTCATAGGAAGGCTGAATCGAGCGGTTACGTGTAAGGGTTAGAGCAGTTGGAGTGGCTGATTGAGCAGTCCTCCTTACCTTTAGTAAGCTGCAGCCATTGTCTTTATCCTCAGAAATAACTTTCAAAGTAGAGTACTGGTTTAGATTTCTGCATGGAATGGGAAATGGAAGCACAAAGTTGGAGAGGCCAACAGTCCCAACGGCGCTGAAGATAGAAGAGAATCTATGCAGAAGCTGTTGTGCTGTCTGTCTTCTAGAGCTGTCGACTACAAGCATCATTCGAATCATCTCAATTAGCTCTCGAGAGTAGGGAGCTACTGGGACTTTGAATTGCTTTCCTAGCCGTAGTGCAGAAGCCGCAGACTCGTTCTCCATTAAGTACTGACTGAAGGATATATTGAAGCACATCTCAAAAAGAGTGGCTCCAGCGGCCCAAATATCGGAGGTCTTTGTGAAGAAGATATCACTTGTTGATTTCCCAGCCAGCACCTCTGGAGCTAAATAAGGTTCATAGTTAGGCAGAATGGTTCGCGTGAAATGGTCTCCATAGAGATGCGCCATACTATAGTCAGATAGAATTGCAGAGTAGTCACTTCGTAGACTTGCGTAGTCCGGGGACTCAGGTTCCGAAGCCTTTCCGCTCGAAATCAGTAATATGTTCGCAGGACTGATGGCTCCATAGATATAATTGTGATCACATGCGTGCTGGATAACAGATAGAAGCATACAAGCAACTTTCCAAATAGTTCTTTCCGGTATGTATGCACGCTGCTCTCTGTTGAGCTGCAGAAGAGTAGATAGGGGAAAGTCGTGGGCGTACTCGGTTATAACGTAGACATAACTATTGTCTATAAAGCTATCGACAGGCTTCTCAAGTAGATCGCAAGACAGAGTCCGCATAGCTGTAATCACTTCGCAAAGCTCTTGCACAGACAGCGGAAGCAACTTATTCACCGGGAACTCTTTCACCATGAAGTGCTTTGTTTCGTCCTTCTTGAGGGTGACCTTTAAGGAAACAGTGGTAGACGTATCTATAGTGCAAGTGGACAGTTGCTGTGTCTGCTGTGCCATAAGCGGGTCGACAGAGGGATGAGGTAACTCAGATGTGGAGGTGGTTTTTGAAAGGTTCATAACGGACATATCTTCATGAGAAAGTAGGTCCCCATCAGCAGAAAGCAATGTTTCATCCATGAACTGGTCTAAAACCAAGTATCGCCGGTCAAATTTCTTCTGCGTTAAGACTAATGGGAAAGGCCCTATATATGGCAAGATAGCCTTGGTAAGATAAGGATATTCCAGCAGAACGTCAGCAGATGGCCTTTCTGTCGGTAAAACTGTCAGCATCAGCTCCATGAACTTAATAAGCGAGTCGCTCCACTGAATAAAGCCCTCAATAAGTATGCGTATCTGCTTGCTGGAAATAACTGTACTTCGATGCTCGTTGTACTCGTCATAGAAGGAGCGTCCATCGCTGCAGAGCTTATAAAGAATGCACCCCAATGCCCAGATATCATTCTTTTCGTTAAAGCCATCAATTCCAATACTGGGCTGGCCTATAAGGCCAAGCTTTTCTGGAGCAGAGTAGGGTATTGCTCCTGCAAAGGTCGCTGATAGAGAGCCGGCTTGTTCGTGTTCCTGTGCATGCCCTGTCAGAAGCACTCTTACGCTACCATCCAATCCAATAAAGATGCTATCAGGTGTCAGATTAGTGAGATAGATAGAGCCCAGACGGAGCCCATTGCTTGAAAAGCTGTGTGCTTTAGCAACAGCGACAAGAACCTGCGCCATAATGGACCAAATCTCCTGCTCAAGAAACGTGTGGTTATGTTGAAAGCGTTGCTCACACAGAGAAGAAAGCGACATAGCCGGGTTACAGTCATAGACAAGAATGAGGCCAAGCTGTGGGTCAAAGAAGGTGTCTATCACTGGAACAAAGCAATCATCCGTTAACAAGCGAGAAAATTTGATCTGGGAAAGTACATATGGTGATAAATCCCCAGAGATAAAATTCTCTGGGGATATACGAAGGGCTCGAGCAACAAACCGCTTATCCTCCGGCTGGCTGCGGTTTATCGTCAAGTCTGTGAATTGAAGACTTTGAAATGCTAGTGAATATTCAGTGGCGCCGGTTACCTCTGTCGATAACAAGACAAACTCTTGAAAGAGAGGGGTGTCGGCGAGCACCGCCTCAAGTGAATATGAAGACGAAAGGCTTCGCTGCTCAATGCTAGTGGGCGAGCCGAAGATGCTCTTTTCCAACCACGATAAGCTGATTTTCTTAAGCAACTGTGATGCACCATAGCGCGCTTCGGGATCCTTCACTAGAAGCAGTCGAACGGTTGTTTCAAGAGTCTTAGAGTAAGGGGTGTAAGAGAAGACAAACTTGTTATCAAATGTGATATTTTTCAGATGTCCATAGCTTGCCTTGGCTCGATTAAAGTAGCGGGAGTAGAAAGGCAAGTAAGTCATCATTCGGTACATAACACAGCCAAGACTCCACAGATCGCATTTGTTAGTATACGTATGATGAGAGGGGAAATGATAGAGCTTAGTTTCATTGATGCTCCCCATTTGTACCTCTAGCTTGTTTTGCACCTCTGGAGCCATGCACTCAATGCTGCCAACCCGCCCACTGGGGTAGCGGTAGAGTGTGGAGAGTCCAAAATCAAATATCTTGATGGCGTGAGTCACTGGGTTTATCAGTATTGTCTCCAGCGAAAGGTAACGAAATACGATTCGCTTAGTGTCATGGAGCCACTCCAAAAGCCCAAGAAGCTGCAGTATAATGGTCCAGATGATGTACTCGGGTAGCTGCTGTTTCTGCTCACGATTATACTTTATGAACTCGTCCAGGAAGACCATGTTGCTGAGCTGGGGCTTACCAATTTGATGCTGCTCGAAGCACATATCGCTGTTATCATAGATAAATAAAATACGTCCCGTTGTGCTGCTATATATGCTGCAAATACAGGGTATTACTGCAGGATGTTCCAGACCTTTCTGATATAAAATATGCTCGTGCGCTGTGGCAACAATTGTGTTGCCTGTATCATCCTCCACGCGTATCTCCTTTGCCCAAAAGAGTGCGCCACTAGTGTGCTTTTTAACTATCACGTGCGTTCCTGTCCTATTCCTATACAATCTGCGGATAACCTTGTATTGAAGCACAGCGTCATCGCAAGTACACTCCTTGAGGTAATCAAGAACAATGTTAGTCGTTTCGGAGAGATATCGCCGAATAGCAGCCACAACAGGGGTTGCAAGAAGCAGACTAGCAGAGGCTCTGTTCTGAGGATTAACCTGGAGCATAAGACGGAGAGTGTGATGTAGATCTTGGCTGTATGGGGTTGTGTCCTTTGATGAGCGACAGGCTAAACTGATGCTGGTTATGAATTCTTGCACATATATAGGGTTCCTAGCGTCTTTGGCGGCCTCTATCCTAGAAGAGGACGGCTTTGGGCAAAGAGGACCAATGGACTCTAACGTAACAGGGACTAGATTAGCAGTAGCAGGATTGGGTAGATTATTTGTAACATTGTGCTCTTCCTCCCATTGAAGGGCGTCTGTAATTAGTGGAACTAAGGTGCATAGCTCATAAATGACAGCCCCCAGCGCCCAGATGTCAACCCCCTCTTTATACTCTTTGCGCGCAAGCATCTCTGGAGACAGGTAATTCCTGCTTCCACAGAGTTGCTTAAGAAAGTCGTCTTTATACTTTTCCTTTGCAATACCAAAGTCAGTGAGCATACCGACGTAATTAGAATCCATCAATATATTGTCAGGTTTTATTGATCTGTGCACACAGCTCTTTTCTATGTTATACGTCTCGAGGTATGCCAACGCCTCCAAAACGCCAACTAGCACCTTCCAAATGATGTCTTCTGGGACGCGCTTCTTATTGGCGCGTGCTCGACGCATGTAAACGCTCAGTGGGCCATTTGGGCAGTATTGCATCACGTGATAAATCTTGTGTTCATCCTCGGCATAGAAGGTTTCTATGACTTGCGGAATCCGGGGGCAGTGAAGAGCCGTCAGCATATGTATCTCATTCAGCATTACCATATACATGGGCTTATCGAGCTTGGCGCATTGAAATTCCTTTACCACGACTTGAGAGTACTTTAGGTCTTTCGCCTTTGGCTGGGCCAAGAGTACCCGTCCACTAGCTCCTGTATGGAGTATTTTAAGGCACTTGTACTTGGCATCAAAAGTTGCGCGAGAAAAGCTGTCGACGTCCATGTCTCGGCGTTCTCTTGTGCGCAGAGACTAAAATTTTATTGCCAACTCCTTTTAACAGCACAAGAGAGTCAGGATTGCCATGGATCAAGACAAGCAGGGAGAGTTCGAAAGCTGCGATGAGACAGCAAGCATCCAAGTTGAGACACCGTCGCTGGTGGAGACTCCCGATATTCAGTTTACCATAGTAGAGAGATCTACACTTGAGCAGGCTTCTTCTGGGGTATCCTTTAGTGTTTCCAGCATCTCGGTTGAAACTCCGTCCCTCAATGTTCAGGAATCTATAACCAGTGCGTCTGAGGTGCTTTCCACACCAGCCACTATTGACCAAGTGTGTCCTCGTTCTGCACAGTCTCCAGCCGCACCACTTAGCATACTATCATTCAAAAATACTAACCTTCGTCCGCTACCACCAAATGACAGTCGTTTTAGCGCTTCCAGCTCCACTGCTCTGCTTCCGGACCCCTCTCTCACAGGTGGTTCTGACAGCAGGACATCGCGATCATCACTCCTTCCTCGTGAAAGCATTTCAGTTAATACAATTACTGAAGAGAATAGCAAAAGTACGCAAAGCCTGGTCTCGCTTGGAGAGGTTTTGGAAGGGCCTATCAATTCCCAGCCCTTGGATGATGATCGCTTTCGGACGTATCCATTTGTAGATGTTGAACGGCAGATGCTATCGAATAAGATAGAAGCTCTAGAATCTGAGCTTCTTCTAGCTAGGAGCGAAGCAGATGAGCTTATGCTCCAATTAGAGATAGAGAGGCACCAATTTGAACTTATTTCTCAGTGTCTTTGCCAAACCCTAACTACGGAACGGGCCATTTCTCCTATGTTGATCCCCTCCCCTTCAAATGCCGTGGAACCCCCTGCCGCCTATGCAGATGTTGACGTTCAAACCATTAGTAACAATGAGACAATGGTTGAGCTTAACAAGCAAGAATATGAGTCCTTTATGGTCATCGCTATGAAGCTCCAAGATGAAAATAGCACCCTCTGGGAACAGGTTTCGTCCAAAGATAAAACCATAGCTCTCACGACTGAGGCCGTTGATACACTCACAGATGACGTAAAGCATTTGACTGACCAGCTTTCGATAATTGGCGAGACTAATCTCTCATTGCAGATTGCTTTGCAAGAGAAGGCTTCAATTATAGAGCAATATGAATTAGAGCGAGCAAAGGCTGCACTCTCTGATAGCTGTCAACAAACAGACAACCCAGAGTGTGTTTCAAAAGAGGTCTCTGCAACCGAACCGGTAGAGCTCCCCCTTAGGGCAGATGTAGAGCAACAAACAAGCCTTACATCAACTCAGTCATCTGAGTTATCGGGTGATGCACATTCCGTACACGATGAACCTAAGGATATGACAGGCACTCCTTTGAAGGCTCTAGCTGAGATCAGCGAACAGATCTCTGTCAAGAAGGAAGAATTAGTAGGAGTTATGGCAAAAATAGACGCTCTTGGGTCGTGGTATAGCAAAGAAGTAGAGAGGTTGGAGGGCATTAAGTACGTCCAGAGTGAAGCAGATAGCTTGCTTACTGCATCGAAGCAGGAAGGCAAACAGTCAACCTTGTTAGAATTTGCAGGAAGCGTCCTACCAGCTCCGTCTCACGATGGAAGCCGTGAATCTCGAACAATAACACGCCTCATTGAGGTGCTAAACTTTCAGCCATACAAAGACTCCTGTACTTCCGGTGATCTATCTGATTGTATTCTTACTTATGCGTCCGAAGTTTTGCCGCACATAGTAGACATACAGCGCATGTTACGGGCCCTGCAGAAGGAGTACTATGCGTATCTAGAGCAGCTAAGGGCGGATACGAAGACTATTGCAACTCTAAGCGCCGATAATGAGGTCCTTCGTGCTGCCAATGCAAGCCTCCAAGAATCTGTTGAGGCCCTAAAGGCGCAAGTAGATTCTGATGGGCTAACTAAGAATGATCTTCCCACGGAAAAGGATATTCCACTTCATAGCGCCTCAGTTAACACAAGGACCCCAGCTAATGGTCTTCTCGGTCAGTTACTACCATTTCTAAACGATGAGCTCACGAAAAAGAAGGCTCTAAACATCGATGCACTTGAAAAAACAATTAGCAAGCAAACAGAGCTCCCACTCTCACGTACTTTAAGGCCAGACCTTTCAAAGATGGCGGACGACTTTTCTGTTTCGGCCGATGTGTCGCTAACTGAAGACTCAATGAATCAGCTGCGAGAAATGATCGATGCAAATGATCAGCCTACACACGAGCATGGGGCTTCCAGGTGGAAGGACTACGAGCCACTTTTGATAGCCATGCAAGCCAGGCACCAAGCCAAACGATCTCTGACGCGTGATATAGATGTTGTATCTGGCCAGCCAGACTACAAGTTGCACTATTTGCGTAGCAAGTTGGACGCCTTTATGCTCCGACACCAGGTGTTAAAGATCTTTAATGTGCTAGGAACTCTTTTGGAGGAGAACAATTTGCAGCAAGGATCCAAAGACTCCTTTTGCTCTACTGACCTATCTAAGCTCATCGAGGTCTTAGACCACAAAACCAGGCGTGTGAATGAGCTGGAGACAATTCTTCTAGCTCTCTATCAGCAGTCGACACACTTTTTCCGAACCTATAGGAGTGTGCTGGACATGGCCACTGTCTCTCTCATTAAGCAAGACTCGTTATTGATGCACAGCGATATGGGTGCAATAAGCATGATATTGCTGCATGCAAAGGTTTGCTTGGAAAACTCGAGTAACGAGACAATTAAGGACGCAGTTCTAAGAGCGTTTAATGAGCAACCGTGCTCACAAATCACACCCAATTCTCATGCGAATGTACTTGCTTCTGCAGACCTTCTAGATGGTAACAAGGAACCAACCAATCCCTTGACAATGACAGTATTGCAAACTAACCCAGAGCCAAGCTTGCGGTCTCTACTGCAAACAGATATACGACCATCGTTTTTGTTATCCCACTGTGATCCTGCGGCATCTCAAGGTCAGATACCGGAGGATACGTCTAAACATACTCCCCTAATGCGGGCGGTTATAGAAGGAAACTACAGCAGCATAACAGCCGCCCTCATAACCAAGTACGCTTGCAAGCAGGACGGTGCAGGCATGACTGCTCTGATGCACGCGGTGGTGCATCGAAGGTTCGGCCTCATATCAAAGTTGGCAGCGGCAGAGGCAGGCATGGCTCTACCAGATGGCCGCACTGCACTATTCCTAGCGATTGAATTGAAGTACATGGACATAGCGGAGGAGCTTCGGCCATACGAGGGTATCCCAGTAGCCAGAATCCCTGTTCTGCACAGAGAGCAGAAACATGCGCATACAAAGAAGGGTGCTCAATCTAGAAGAGAGTCACTTGGGTCTTCCAATTTGGAGACAGGTCATGGGGGAAAAGTCACCGGGCTTACCAACTTAATGGCAGCGGCTGAGAAGAACGACCTAGTGACTGTTTGGATATTAATTCCCAATGAGGGATGCATACAAGACTCCAGGGGGCGGACAGCGCTCATGTATGCGGCTTACGCTGGCAATCTGCGAGTCGTGGAACTCCTCCTGCAGTTCGAGGCCCGCATGCAAGACTCGAACGGATGCACAGCCCTAATGTATGCAGTGCAGGCGGGAAACATCGAGATAGTTAAGCTCTTAGCAAGTACAGAGGCACGCATCATCAACAACACATTTTCAACCGCCCTGATGATGGCTGCTCGTCTTAAAAGTGAGCAAATGATGAACGTATTGGCTCCACTGGAGTGTGGTATTCAGGGTTACAGCTCTAGTACCGCACGCCTTTTACCGATGTCTCCCAGAGCGCGAAGAGGATCTATAAACCCTCAGAACTTCTTCACGGCTGATGCAAATGGATCAGGAGTGACAGCGTTAATGATTTCTGCGAATGTAGGATTTAAATATGGGGTGTCACTTCTTCTGAATGAAGAGTTGTCCCTTCGAGACAGAAACGGGTACAGCGCCTACGACTATGCCGTTTATGGTAAAGGTGACGGGCACTTACAAAAAGAAATAGCACATTTACTGCGAGAAGAGGTGAACTAGAATAGGCTTCATTGGCCCAAAAACGCTAGTATGCTATCCTTCACTTTGCGGAGTACATTCAGCTTATCTTGAAGCGCCTTTTTAATAATTTTATTGCTATGTTCTTGCATTAGCTTTTTGTACGTTTCTAGCGTCTCTGTTAGTGCATTGCAATTCGGCAAAGGCGACTTCACGAGAAATTCGGCCCCTGGAGTATCTCTCAGCAAAGTCAAAAGTTGTTTCATCTCGTATGAGTCTGAGCTGATCTCGACGGATGCTTCGACAAATTCCTTTGTCTCTGCGTCCAATGTAAAGGCCTTAAAGTCCAATATACCAAACTCTAGCATATATGGGTCTAGCGTCAATAGGAAAACAAAATCAACAACGCAGTTACCTTCTACGAGGTTTCTGACGCAGTTCTTGCATGTGTTTTGAAACGTATCGTCACGAAGGTAGAGGTGGTCCGGAACCGTCACAAAGTAAGCCACAGGGTCGCTGTCACCGCACAATGCACGGAGAGTCGACTGCAGAGGGGCCGTGTTGTCCCCTAGACGTGAGACCTGAAGGAATTCACTGGCTCGCGTCTCGGTTTCTGAGGATCGTGCCCCTAAGAGAACTCCATAGGCTGTGCCTGGAATGCTCTTTGTCGCACTCCCAACTAGTTGAAATACAACGTCTATATCAAGCGTCAGTGTGCACATATCAGCTGTGTTTTTCGTTGCCTCATTAGGATATGTGAAATTTTAACAAAACTTTGTGAACTGATAACTGATTTTATTACATGTTACATGTCGGGTAAGCCTGGACAAACCATTACAGGCCACTCACAGTCACGTTTACAGCGGACCGTCGCACAAAAGGGTGAAGCTAACGAATCTAAAGCCAACCCGTCCTATCTAGATAAGCTTCCCAATGACATGTTGATCAATCTGTACAATCCTACTAAGCAGAAACAACGGCAACCACCTGCAGATATTCATGCCTTGATATTTTCTCGGCTGAGGGAGATAGACCGGCAGTATCATAGGGAGACGAGCGCCGAGATTGTAAAGGACCTGCAGGAGCTCGTCAATCAGAACCCTCAGGCCTTATCTCTGAACGATGCACACTCTAGTCTAGATCAACAGCATGACAGAATAACTAAGAAATCTAACAGTAAGGTGAAAAGACCCATCTCTGCAAAGCCGCAGAAAACCCCGTTTGCAATCACAAATTCCTCTGGAGAGACAAGGACAAAAAACAGGGGTGCTCAGGCCAAACTTTCCCAGTTATTTGGTGACGACTATGTTGGCTCCGGGGCTTCCATCAGCCTTACTGAGGTATCTGACTATCTTACCGGTAAAACCGAATTAATGCAGAAGAACGTGAGTAGATGCATTGCAGAATACACTAAGAAGAAACAAGCTGATGCTTTTGAAGTAAAGCTAACAAAGCTAGCACCCCCTGTAGCTCCCTCGAAGAGTAGGCAGACCCAATCCATAAACCTTGTGGGCAGTCTGAACTACAATGACATGGAGGCGCATATAAGTAGCAAAGCAATCATGAGCGATGACATAGAGTGTACTACACTTTCGTTAGCAGACTTCCACGATCAAATTTTCCACAATGGATACTCCAAAAGCTCCGCATGTCGGTCCAGCGCCGGAGAGACATTGGACGAGCCTGCAGAAAAGGTGAGGGTGATCCTACACGGAAACCTCCTGGGTCCAGTAGAAAGGGAAAAGAGGCTCTTAGAAAGCAAAAGAAGACTCCTTCTTCAGGCATTAAAGCGCACAAACAGCTACACAGAAAAGGAGGTGATAACAAAGAAGTTACAGCACATGATGAACTAGGTATTGCGGACCTAAAAGGTAAATCTACCCGGTATCTGGATCTAATTTTGGTCTGTTTCCTTTTAAAATCATTTGGGAGCTTGAGGTGCTTTCGGCACATGTACTACCTCACGCAAATAGTCAAGCCGTGCCCGTCCACTCTCTGCTCTCTGCGTGCACGTGCCAATAAAAACGCGATTATTTGGCTCTCGGTCTTCATAACTACGTCCGAGAATGACTCACAGACTCGCCAGGCCCAGGATCCGGCCAAATCTGAAACTGACCAACACTCTAAATACATTAGTGAGACGTCCCAGGCATCCACCAGCTGCGTAGGTATTCCAAGGCCACAAGAATCTATGTTGTTAAATTCAAAATTTCACCGCATCACCGTAGGTTCTGCAAAGACGGAGCCTGTCAGCACAAAAGCTTCTAAAGAGATTGATACCAATGTGCACATGCCAAGTTATTTATCCATTAGTACTGCTGAGCCGTCGAGCAATGGGACAACCACGACTATTCAGGAAGACTTAAATAGTCAAATAAGCACCACGTGTGAACTCATTAAACTGCAAGATTACTCCCTCCCACATTACAAGAGCACTGTGCTGTTAGAGCGGTTGAACTTTATGGCTAATCCATCTGATAAGACGCCGACCACCCCTACTACTCGAAAGATCATAGGCTGTCCCAGTACAGCAGAAAAGCTGCAGATTGCTATGAATGGACCTGATTTACCTGCAACTCCAACACTTGTTTCGAGGCGTGACGTTACGCACTTGGACCTGCAAGAGTCCCTCACACCAGAGGAGGAGTACTTCATCACTAATTGCGAGCTAAAGAAGCTTGATTATATTATGACTACCATCAAGGACTACTTCCTGACTAAAGGAGCAACAACCCACCAGCAGTCTCAGACCTCTTTGACCCGGGACTATATCACCATGTCCTGCTACAACATAGAGCTGACGGCAAGCTACTACTATAAGCGGTTCTTTCTAACAGGAAGTGTTCATGACTACGATACGTTCTACATCCTCTTGGGGTGCGTCCTCCTTGCAGCAAAGGTATCTGGAGCTCCCAGGACATTCAACTGCACCAAACCATCGTTTTTTGCAAAGCTGTTTGCGAGTTCCACCAATCAAGGAACAGATCACTTCGAGAAAACCCTCAAAGAAACAGAGGAGTGGATATACATGCGACTTGGATACGACCTTTGCACAACAAGCCTGCTGGATCTCTTTGTCTCCGAAGGGTGCCAATTGTTTTTTGCCATTAACGACGATGGAAGTGACATCTCTCTAGCCTCTGACGACAGCTCAATGAAGAAGTCTACTGACGTCCTTGGCCCCAGCACACTGATGGGTAACGAGACACTCTCGCCAGCTGTCTATGGAGAGCTAGACATCAAAGGCAGTGATCAGCATCCTAAGTCTATTGAATCTTTTCAAGAAGGCCAGCAGAACTTAGGCCAGATTTGCGTTGCTGCAGATACCGACCTACGCGTATCTTCTCTCAACATAGTGCCCTCTAAAATCATCTGCAGCAATAGTGAAAGCAAGGAATGCAAGTCAAGCACATGCAAGGCTTCCTCTAAGAGTCCGATCTTCGAGTGTCACGGTAGACTTGAGTCTAGCTCTCCCAGCGCAGTTGCTTCCTCAGGACGGGAGTGCTCTCAGACAGGGGGGATCAGTCCTCGTAAGTGGCCTAAACTGGATACAAACTGCATACCGGTCAGTAGTGCGCTTTGTTCCCCATCCAAGCCGATCTCACCCCACATTAGTCGTCGACTTCACTGTCAGCAGGACAGGTGTTCTTCTTGCGCACTGGCACCTTCATCCTTCATAAATCCGTCATCTATGAATGTCACTAAAGACACTGTGGAACACAGCTTACTGTCCTCCACCATTGAAAAGGAATCAACCAGCAGCCGCAAAATACCTAACCAGCAGAGTCCCGTGCGTGCCAATCGCGCTAACATCATCTCAGATGCGAATATGAACATATCTGATTTAAATCTGAGCAACAGCATTGACAGTCAATTGAGTAGCTCTCTACTAGACCAAGCATATCTTTTCCCAACCTCTTTCTCGTTAAAGGGTGTCAAATTTGCTAAGCTTCTACACACCGGAAAACGATCCAAATCTGCCGGCGCTCTCCAGCTTCTAGAGCTTGGACACGGTCCGCAAAACAATAAACTTGTTCACACTCAGAACTTTTATGTGCGTCCCTTTGCAAAATCTGCTACTTCTTCACCTTCCAATGCATCAACTTTCACGTATGAGACCACGAACACACAGATGTCACCGACTTCTAAACAGAGCAACAAAGACCCTTCAGTTTCTATCTCGTCATCTTTCTCCACAGACTTCCTTCCATGGGACGGCAGTAAGTTCGAGGAAAACCTGTCTGGCACTATTAGAAACAAGCCTCTATTGAACATTTCTAATAAGGACAGATTGACTATAGCATCGTCACATACTAAGCCCATGCCGGATGATATGCTTGCACCTCACGTACTCCTGCACAAAGCCTATTCCAATCAGAAGACGCACACCTTCCCGTGTGAAACAGCACTACTGGCCCCAGTTCAACTGCCTAGAGATTCTAATTTAACAGTCAAGCTTGCCAATTTTGCCAAGGAAGTCACTGCACATGATCCAGGTAAGTCTCTAGAGTGCAACGAGGTTCTTTGCAAAAGTCCATCCAAGAAGGCAAATGTTCAGCTGCAAAAGCTTTCTAAAAGAGCCTGCAGGAAGAAGGAAAGAGCCGCTTCGTTCTTGCCATGTCCTTCTGAAAGTCCCATGTCTACAGGAAAGATATTGCCAGACGGAAATATGCCGTCTCCACAAGCAATCCAGTATGTCCCTCCTGTTCAGCTAATGCAGAAGTGGGCCCCATCCAGATCAGCAAGTTTAAAGGTGCAGGACTCCAGCCGTTCCACAGTTCCCATTTCTGCCGAACCACAACCCCTCCTGGAGCATGGCACTTACCATGATAGCTCTGCTGAGCATGGAACGGACTCGAACCCGGGCACTTCATTGTGCAAGACGGCGTGCCCATCCCACTGTGCTACTCACATGGCTGGCGAAGATATACTTCTAGAGATCCCCACACCACGCATACAGTCTCATAATCATAATCGGGGCCCAGATAGTAACCAGACATCCACCGGAACAACGACTTGCCCCGTACACTTATTGCACTCTTCTGTCAGTCGACTCCTGAGGATAAGCAGCATGCTAATACCGGTTGATTATATGTTTGTTTCTGTGTCAACTCCAAAGCGCTGGACAAAGAAGCTTGTTGATACACGAAATGGTATAAGGACAGCATCGTATACCTGCAAGCGTTCATGTGTTAGTCCTGTCCATATTTCCTCTACGTTTAAAATATCCACCTCATCGAGCTTGGTCAGCTTTTTCATGTTACGACACCCCAACAAAACTATTAATACTAAAATTATGGCTCGTTGTTCACAGGGCTTTTGGTGGAAGGTATTCAACAATTCAGTTTTTCTAGCAGTGCAACTTGAGAGCATATCCCCAATCTCGTACATAAAGAGGCTGGCTCAAACCAAGAAGAAAAGTGCTCAAGAAAAGGCCAAATCAAAGGCTAGCCGCACCAATGTAGCAAAAAGTTTACATGCTAAGGACCTGCTAATGGAGAGCCTCTCTAGTGACTGTCAATATGAGTATTCGGATATTATCTCGATAGAGCCAGACAGTGACACCTTTACCACGCTGACGTCAACCTCGCTTCACTTAGTCCACTCTGGCACTCAGCAACAGAATCTGAGCACTGATAAGCACACCCACCCACTAGAGCCACAGCACAGTGATATCAGCATTGATGCTCATCATACCATACCTTGCGGCAGAGCGTGTGATGCAAAGGATTGGTCGTCTGTTTCTGAACAGATGTATAAGCTGAGTCTCACCTCCTACCAAAATGTGTCTTTTTCTGGTGAGGTTCATACACGCACTACCTCTTTCATTGGCTCAAACGTTTCATCACAGAATGAACTGGTGGACATACACTGTCAGCCCGAGGCCCTTCCATGCTACATCTCTCTGCAGTTCCAGCCCCAGAACCAGTGTCCACAGCCTATGCATACTAAGCTGCCGGGGGTTCCTTACCCGTCGGCGTTGCACAAGACATTAACTTTTCGCAACATCTCCACTGTCTCAGCTGTCTTACAGGACCAAAGTTTTTCTGATGATCACTATATCAAGAAGCTGATATCTTCCAAAGCAAAAACAAAGCTACAGGACCTTACCTCAATTGAGTTTTCGCTTGTTATGCAATACATTTTATCAACCCCGTCTATAATAGAATACCTTGTCGAGTCCTGCGGACTTGTAAAGTTTGAAAGGGTCTATAGCCTGGCCCACTCCACACTTCAGCATCAGATTTACAGTCTTACGTGCTTTGGATCTGTTGAGGAGAAAAAGCGTGCTTCACAGCTAACTCCTGACAACGTTTCCTTGCTTGCGTTCATTTTTGCGGCTTCATACGCATACTCTTTATGTTTCAGATATACAGACATGTTAATTTTATTCTCCAATGCCAGCATCTCTGTCTTTTTGATGGCAGAATCCCTTTTATTGCTATACAATAAAATTATTCCCTATGTGCTAATGTACACGGAGAGTATCTGCAAGAGAAACAACCCTCACATCGCACGCAGTGGCTCGTGCAGCCTATCTACTATGAGCCCAGCCAACCTACCTCTACGCCCAATTCCCAGCAATGTATCGTTTGTATCCAAATTAGACCAGGCACAGAGTAGTACCACCAAGTCCAAACTCTTACATGTATCATTCAGTGGTCCTCAATTGACAAAGCAATCTACTAAGGATCTTGCCTCGGATTGTGGTCTCGATAGTGAGTCGCCTAACAACACGGCTTCATCTCTCTCTGCATCTTCTTCGTTGAAAGCATCAGACAAGCAAGTGCTTTCTGCTGAGGCGGTCCACAAGATTCTCTCAGCCAAAAGTGGGACCCCAATCCTCCGGGCGTCTCTATACAATTCCATCATTGGCTATCAGGAGCCCCAAAACACAGATATTCCTGTCTCCGACACCTTTATGTTTCGAATGGGCGGGCAGCAGTATTCCATGATTTCAGCCGAGGACGCCTCACAGAGACTAGGGCCCCTTTCCACTCAAACCTCCTTTGATGGAAGCCGAAGCGTACTGAGTAGTAAGAAGGACACATCAGACGACCTATATAGCATCATGAAGGTGGCGTTCTTCATAATAGATACCTATCCTCATCACAAGAAGCTCCGGGCCCACCAGCAAAATCTTTCAACTACCATCTGTGACCTGAAGAAGAAACACTTTGGTTTTATGTACACTGCCCTTAAGCAGCCCGGGTCCTCAGAACCCATCTCCATCTCACAGTACATGACCGGAATTAACGATATTTTTGAGTTAATGTATGCAAAGGTTTTTCCCAGATTGAAATTTTGTCAATATTTTATTAAGCAACCGGGGACAGTTTTTCACGACATTCGGTATTGGCAGATGGTGCTGAAGCTGGACATAGACAAAAAGCGATACCGTGAGCTGCGATCTATGTTGCCAAACGCTCCTAAAGAGCAGCAAATTAGCTTAAAGCAGCGGATGAATGACATTTTAGCAAAATGGAACATTGCAGACGATAGCTACTGGGATGAATCCGACAGCTACTAGTGCTGCTGTGCTTTCTTTGACAAAAATTTAAAAAATCCAAAAAGCTATAGAACGCCGAGAAATGCCAACCCTCTGGGAGGCGCCCCTTTTGGGTTTGGGGCGGCCACGGAGAGACGCGCCCATGCAACTTACCGATCTAGAGCCTATTCCAGGCAATGCAGTCTATTATCGCCGTCAGGCCACCAAAAATTCATTGGGGCAATCTGCGCCAGTACACACCTCAAATACAAAAGTCAGTCCGTACGTTTCATCGCGGCTAGCTCGGTCTACAAAGCCGGTTCTCGACCCCATGGATCGGGATTGGGATAGAAACCGTCCTCTGCAAGGGCCTGGAGGCCGGCTCCCTAAGCATCTCTACTATCATTCTGACCCCACAGACCATCTTGCTCCTCGAATTACCACTTCTCGATTGGGCCGGTACCAGAATTTGGACACACTTAATAAGCTATGGAACACATTTCACGTTCCAGAAGGCGAGAGAATCTATGCATATCGCCAGATACAGCGCAACAGGATCCTTGCGCAAGCGTACTATAAAAGACTCACGCTTCTTCTTAGCTATCGCCATCAGTATGATGAAGCGATGCTCAATCGGCGAGAGGTTCTACAGGATTTGTCTCGCTTTTTGACGAAGATGAAAGGAAGCAGGATAGACTTAACGTATTGCATTACGCGCTTGAGGTACCTGACTTTCAAGATTTCGTCCATTCTAAACTTGGCCCGGGTGATCTGCCGCAAACCGGTATCGTACCCTGATCTGACGCTGTCCGTTACCGATTTAGCGAACTGGAATCTTTACTTAAAGCAAGAGGCATTCTACACTCGTAATACGACTGCTATAATCTTCACTGTGCTGAAATTTTTTGGCCAACGGACCTTCCAGGAGGTGCAGAATATTGTTAATAAATATTTTGATAGATGCACAAGGGGAAGGAATTACCTGGAGAAGTGCTCTGTACTGCATGGCAATAGAGATCCTGACATAAGTTATTCCTGTGTCTCTAGGCGCTCACACTTGAATATCTCATGCATAGCTCCCGTCCATGTAGAGCAGCAAGAGCAGACAGACCAGGATTCGTCTGCCCGCATTTCTGAGGATGATGTAAGCCTGTACTTGCTACTAGGGCTGGATGCTGAGGCAATTTTCGACGGGGACAACCTGGCAGTGAAGTGGAACGAGTTTCTCTCGAAGCGTAATGGAGCATACTATTGGGAAGACGATCCACTGGAGATGCAGCGGTTTGGGAAGTTCGATTGGGTACCCCTACTAAAGCCACAAAATATTAGGGACATGGTCGTTCTAGAGCCGATGATTCAGGAGGACGTGACCAAGATGCTGAAGCTTTTAAAGGAGAACTCGGAAGTGCCTGTCACCATACCCCTCAGAAATGACGTTTCCCCGTTCGAAACGTACTTCCTGAGACCTTGTGGCAAAAAGCGCGTTCTTGCTAAGAAGAGTAGAGTAGATAAGAAGGTCTGCGAAAGACTTGCGCAGCCGAAGCACCCGGTAAAGAAGCGCTCTGTGTCGAAGAGCACCGCATCCAGTAAGGTAGAGAGAAGAAAAAAGCCGCAGGTAGTGACCCAAAACCGACCAGCTTCTCGTGCAGCAGGGGCCAGAACCCAAAAGATCATTAAGCCACCTCCACCGAGCACAATGACAGATACGAGCCAGAATCTATCTGAAGATGTGTCTAAAAAGTCTCTTGCAGTTCTACCGGCAATTAACGCCCCAACAGAGGCCCTGCAGGTTAACCTTGCAGGACCCACTGTCCAGCCACGCAGCCCTCTCCAGGAGCGCACCAAGCCAGATGCTCCCAGCATGCTTCAGATTATTGAAACGCTTATGAGTGTCTTGCCCCGATTGGAGTCGCCACGGAATCCCCAGTTATATGACCGGTTTATTTATTTACAAAAGCTAAGTAGTACCAGCGACAGAATGAAGATCAGCAACTCTAGAATAAAGCCTCTCGATATAAAGGGATGCCATCCCAATAATTCCTTCGATGGCCTGCTCAGCTCGAGACCTCCACTTTCTGGCCGGCACGTAAAGTCATGCAGCACCATTCCCACCCTCTCGCAGCTCAATGTTACCATGATCAAAACACCTAAGGTAGGCTATGCTCTGCCAGCAGACCTGGAATCCCCAATTTCGTCTGGATACCCGGTATGCGCAGATAGGCTTTGGACTAAGTTGACTGAAGTTGCTCAGCAGCTTATGGGAACAGATGGTAATAGCCGTCTGTCGGAGCAATTCAACACAGTGGGCTCAAAAAATGGGTCCAGCAGATCAATACTGATGGAGAGCGTTATTGATCTGCCTACCTCTTGCTGCTCTCCCGGGCGTAATTCCGACGCTCCGAAAATTGTTAACATTGATATGACCCTAGGCACAGCCGAAGGCCCTGTAATATCAGCGCCGCCTTTGGAAGTATCACGGACAGAGAGCCCTGATTTTGGTGCTTATAACAACTATAGTGCCATATCCATGACTGACCGCTCACCAGCGGCTGATGCCAACTGCGATGGTCCTGGTGCCGACCTCAATAGCAACATGGTTGCCAGCTTACCAAATGAAGCCTCCACATTGTCCCCGCCTCGTGATGAGTACATAGCATCCGCAGCTCCTTGCTTAACCCCTGTTGTAGATCTGTCTATACCAAGCACACCTACGCAGGAGGTCATGGTTGCGCCTGTAACACCCAGCTCGCAATTATCTGACTCACCATTGTTAGATAATCCGCTGCCTCACTGTTTAACAGCAAGGGAGGTCGAGGCTTCAAGTCAGATTTTTATGACTGCAACGAGTGAGTCTACTCTCTGCGGAGGAGATGATGAGACTCCACTTCTCACTCACCCAGTGCATCTTTCACAGTTGGATGCAACAATCCCGACTAGCGTGGACGAGCCCCAGCCCACGCCACTCGAGCTGTATGGTGTTCCGGTGATGAACTTCAACAAGATTGTGTACAGACTAAACGAGACTGCTGTTCGTAAGCAGCCAACCCTCATACAGTATCGAGAGAAATTTCGGTTTCTTCATACTGAAGATCGTAGCTCACCAGACTATGACTTTGTCGGTGGAGAGTTCGTCCCAGTTTCCAGGAAGCTCGATGGCGACACAAGCGAGAATGGGGATCTACTAGAATACAAAGAGCATTACTTTGACAAGCCGTTTCTTTTCAAAAAGTTCCGCAAATTAGAGAAGAAGCGGTGCCTCCTGCAGCAGGGTAAAGATGCAAAATTGCACACTAGACCTCCGAAGCCCAAGAAAATGCAACCAATCAAAGTTAAGCCACGAATTCCTAGTGCACCAACGAAGAAGAATCTATCTGGCATTCCCTCAGCCTTTGCTGCCGTCACTAATAGGCGTCAAAGTGAACTGGCACCCACCGAGGAATCGGCTATCTTCAGTACTATACTTCAGACAATGGCTCTGCGCCAAGCTGAGGCGCCCCCAGAACACTCTGAGTCCGGAAATGCTGCCCAGACGGGTGACGAGCTACTCACCAAAACTTCAATCATCCAAAGACCAGATTTGCTGCTAGAATTGAGCGCTAGTGTTGTGAGTTCATCGTTCAGGCATTTAACAGAGGTGAGCGCCCTCAGCACACCATTCACTAACGCCTCGACGGAAATCCTTGCCCAAGAGCTTCGAAATCGCAGCCGACTCATGTACGAGCAAACCGCAAATCCCCATAAGCAGGAGACTAGCCAATTGGACACCGAATTGGACACCGCCAAGCTAGATGCGCTAACGGACAGATTTATCGGAAACTCCCTCAAAAGTTCCGCTCTACTGCTGTCTGCAAGCTCGAACTCCTCAGAAGCCATGTCCCAGTCACAAGGTATGTCTGCAAGACCTACACAAGAAAGTAACAGTTTAATGAGTACCGCAATCTTTCAGCCGGCTGCCAAGTAAATTCGGTTTCAACAGCAATCCGAATATATTGCCATGTTTCTAAAGCAGATTAGCCGAGCCGGATAAGTAACTGCTTGATTTCCTGCTTGTTGGCGAAACCCTTGGTGATGTGTGGAAGATTGACGTTCATATCATATACAACTAGACGGCCTTCGTGAGGAAGGAGCTGCTTGACAATGGACATGTTCCCTGCTCTACACGCTTCCATCAAAGCAGTGGACCCATAGTTAGTCACTACTTTAGCCTCATAGGGTATTAGCCTATCTACAAGGTCTTTGTTTCCCACTTTGGCGGCGAAAAGTAAGGCTGTTTCACCGCGCTGCGTTTGGCGAGTGGCCTCATGGAGGAGGAGAGTCGCTGAAGTCGTTGACCCAGCAAGGATAGCCAACATCAGAGCGGTATATCCTTCAGCACTTTGAAGCCCAGACTCGTATGGCCGGAGCACATCAACTATGTCTGACATTCCGTACAGAGCAGCGAGCATCATAGCCGACACATTGTACAGCTTCTTCGACTTGATTGGAAAGTTGCGAACAGACGAGAAGACAGCTTCTCGCAGTCGTATAGTGGCCTCCCTTGGGGCCAGTAGCTCAACGTATGCACGCGCTTGTTTATCAACAGCCATGTGCAGCGCCGTTTCGCCATCTTTATTAATAAACTTGCATAGGTGCAAATTGGCCCTGATAGTCTCAACGGATGCACCAGATAGCACCATCAGCATTAGATTCGTGTTATTGTTCTTATCAAAATAGCACTCCTTCTTAACCTGTCGTGTAATAGCCCTGGGCTGTTCTTCGGTGAATCCCGAGAGGAGAACAGGAGTGGATGAGGCGTTTTTCGCAGGAGCGGGAGCAGGGGCAGCCGGAGAGCGGGCAGGGCCAGGGTCCTTCGCAGCATTCCCCGGTTTAGAGGGTGCATTGACCTCATCGGTCTCAAACATCTTGTGCTTATTCTCTACAGGAGCATTTACGGCAGGCTTGGTCGGAGGAGCAATCGCACTTTCGGCGATAATGGCCTTTATCGGCGGGTAGCTAAGTAACTCATACACAGAAAGTCTATCGTCTTGCCGTATTATGAGGCACCACTCAATGAATTTCTTCAGCTCAGTACTGTACATGTCAGGCAAGGTAAAAGAGATGAACTCCATTGATGGCTGCCCAGAAGAAAAAAGGGTGTCAAAAGTAGGCACCTTGAGTGTGCAGAGCTCATAAACCACGCATCCAATTGACCAGACATCCACCTTCTCCGTGTACTTTTGGCCCTTGATTATTTCGGGCGCCATGTAATGGTAGGTGCCCGCTAGTGTCACTGCCTTAGAAACAACTCCCAGTGGCCTCGAAATCCCAAAGTCGCATATCTTTATCATGGAGTCGCCGGTGAGCAGAATGTTGTCAGGCTTCAAATCACGATGAATGATGCACTTGAGTCTTGTGTCATTCGGCTTGTACCTGGAGTGGAGGTAAGAGACACCCTGGAGGATCTGTGCTGCGTAGAGCCAGATAGTCTTCTCTGGAAGGTGTTTCTGTGAGCGCCGACACTCCAGTATGAGGTCCTTCAGAGACCTCTCACAAAGCTCCATGGCTACGTACTGTTCACCAGCCGCTGCGTTTTGGAAGGTCTCGTAACACTTGACCAAGTTGCGATGCTCTAATAGTGAGAAAAGCTCTGTCTCATTGCGCAAAACCTCTTGCGCATTTGACGACAGTGCGCTCAGGTCGATTATTTTAAGAGCCATTATAACCCCGTCAGACTGCCTCCTTACCTTGTACACCTTCCCGAATGCCCCATTACCCAGCACGGCCAGCTGCTCATAGCCAGCGGGGACGCCCGGGGCGACCATTTTTATGATGATGTTTACTTTTAAATTGTGCTCAGGTCTTAATCTTTTTGACTTTTTTAGATTTCTTCTTAGAGTTGGTCTTTTCTTCCAGGCTATCTTCTGATACTGGTACAACATCACTTGTTAGCACACCCAACTTGAACAATCTTCCTGTCTCTGCAAGGCTTCCTTCAATAAATAGCTCGTTGGAAAAAATATAATTGCCATCTGGGTCTGGAACGCGATAGAGCAATTGGTGTTTTTCTACACTATCTGTCGATAGCTTTTCCTGCTGGGTGATAGAAGGAGCCAATTCAAGCCCCACCCGAGTAGCAGCCTGGCTATCGAAATGCAAACGGGCATTGCTTCCCAGACTTCGCGCAAAAATTGGCATACACAACGGTACTGGATTATAGCCTATAGGAGGCTCTGTCAAGCTTTCTCGGAGAGAGTTAAAGAATAACAAATCATTGCATCCCGAACCACTATCAGTTGCACAGGAGACCCAGTGCCTTGGCACCATGGCCTTATTTGCCAAGACTGATGATGGAACCGGTGCAAACTCTCTGTCCTCCCCATCACAGCGAATAGTCATATGCATCACATCGTCAACCTCTAAGATAGCACTTATGTGATCAATGGAAGTGGAAAATAGCGCTTGCAGGTGAACGACAGGCGATTCGGCGACTGTGTACGCATCTAAAGCCCGAAGTGAGAGAAGCGCGTACGACCCCAGACGCTTAAGAAGATCTTTATCAATGCTCGATGTAAACAAAGCACCACTAGGATCATAGACGGTCCTCAGCAAAACGGGTGGGATAGCAGCAGATAACATCGCATCGGTGCTCAGCTTGCCGACCCCACTGCTATATAGTACCTTGGTGTCCTTAAGAGAAGAGTACAGCTTTGTGTTCTTCGCAATTATCCTATTCCCTGTGTTATATAACAACTCATATTCTTTATTACTGAGGCACCCCTGTCCCAGGGCAACATTATGGTCAACAACTACGTCTGTCACGCTGACATAGTTATATTTGAAGGAATTGCGTTTTCTCTTAGAGGAGTGGTCATCAGAAACTGCCGACTTCCAACTTCGGTGGTCCTGTCGCCCTCTTCCAGGCATAGTTTCTCTATAGATGTCCATGACAAAATTGCTATAAGATTCTGCGGAGTCTCCTGCTCCTTTTGTTGTGCAATACGTAGAGTATTCTGGATCGTTCACCCCCTCATAGTACCACTGCCTCATGAATCCAAACGTATCGTATTCCTTCTCCATAGGTCCAAGTCCCCGACTAGATTCGATCAGGAAAGCGAGAAAGAGTCTAAAGCCGACAAGGGGGCTTGCTATAAATGTCTTGCCGTCTCTCGTATGCTGTGTAAAAATGAATGCAACAATCAGCTCTATGGCCTCTTCAGACATAAATCCCATATAAGCACGAGCGCTAGGAGGTACCAGCGTGTGACTCTGAGATACTTCTTCCCGCGCCAAGGTGAACGCGGATTTAACTAACCGTGGAGGGGCGTCATCGTCTTCTGAATCAGAAATCTCTTGGTCATCTGCTTGTATCATTTCAAGAAACTCTTCTTTAGTAATCTTTTCTTCACAGAGCCTCTTGTATAAATTTGTAACAATGCGACTTGTGACCGGATTTTCTGCAGAGTCAATGAAAAGGTGCGTCAAGGAATATGTAGGGACTAGGTGTGCATTAACCCACCGTTTGGCAAGAAGAACCGAGAGACAATACGCAGCACTCTGTTGCGAAAGGGCTCGAGTCGCCGCCGCATGCGCAGGAAGAATGTTGTAGATAGTGTTGTAGTATTGTTCCTTAATCTTGTATGTCCGCAGAGAGCTGCTAGAATAATAACTTTGATCTTGTGGAAGTGCAATGAAAAACCGAAAGGCAACCCCTCTGTGCCCGCCCGCGGAGCTACCGGCAAGAAAATCTGGCAGCTCTTTCCCGTAGATCTGCTTGTCGATATGTCGGATGGGCATAAATATATCGAGGCAGCTCCCTCGCAAATACATTTTTGAATCAGACGGAATGTAGCTAGTATATGCCACGTTATCCACTAAATAGGACTCGATGCTTGTCTTGTATCCCACATCTGCCGCCTTAAGAACGGCAGAGGAATGAAGAGAAGGCCGCTTAGTTTGGATGTGGGTCATTAGCATGTTCATGACAAGAAGCTTAAGGCACGCAATCGCTCCGGGGTCCTTTGGCCATGCGTCGCGATTCTGGAGAATCATCGTTCCCGTTATACAGCGATTATTGAACGGAATCTGATCATGAGACGGATCTTTATCCAAATATAAGATATAGGCAGGAGAATCCACGGATGAAAGCCTTCCATATTCATCGCTCATTGCTATACTTACTATGTTGACTGGAAGGTCTGTACAGTCAAGCGATGCAGCCTGCAGTGCGGCCTGTATGTGTTCACATGCTATGGAGAGAACTTGCATTTCAGACAACAAAAGCGTAGTAGACATGTTAGGATAAGCTACATCCACGAGTCCGGAGGAGTCACGGATGTACATTTTTCTTATCAGGTGGCTAAAGTTGTGCCTAACAAAGCCTTTTAGAATATTGTGCAGCTGCTTTTCTACCGAGACGCCCCGCTCCCACTTCGTACAGACGCACATATCTCCATCTGCAAATCGACGCTTGTCTAGCATCTTTTCTTTATCTATTGAAAAGTCGAATAAACGCGAATACAAGTCCGCGTCATTCTTTTGCGACAGTATAGATGGCCCACGATGGATCGCAGTCCCCGTCTGAGCAAGCGTGGAGGGAGCCAGTTTCATGAGAACGAGAATATGCGGCTGGGAGACGTCATACAATGGCCCAGATAGTTCTGCGTTGGAGGTACTATTAAAGCAGCTTCTGAGCATGTCAGGTGTGATGGTATGCAGGTTATTTTTGTAGCAGCATGTGGCGTGGACGCCCCAGTGTATCACGCAGGAAACATCTGTGACTTTGTTTGCATAATGTCCTAATGCTTTGAAGATGATGCCTTCTATAAAGTGTGAAAGGAGGGTGGGAAGCAGTGGAGGGTCTGCAAAAATACTCTTGTTAAGACGCATGGAAAGGATCACATCGTATCCAGGGTACCCAAATATAGAGTTAGAGCCTGCACTGGTAAAATTAGTTGTCTGAAATAGTGTGGGATACAGTTGGAAAGTGCTCTTGCAAAGAGACGAATCTAAAAATAGCGATCGAGCCTCATCAATAACCCTGAGGACGTGTTTCCATGTCCCTAGGGTTACATTATGGAGATAGTTGTAAAGCAAACCGCTCTTGGTGACCATCAGCAGGAGTGGAGACCCTGCAGAAACCCACGATGCAAGTGTATATTGCTCCACTGTCGATTGCTTTTGCCGATCGTTATGAGATAGCAGCATGTAAGAAGATATCGAAGTGACGTACTCAGAAGGTATGAGATAAGCATGCGATTCAGATATGTGCGTCAGGAGCACGCGCAAACCAGTTGCAGCATCTGTGCAATTAATGAGTATGTCGCTAGAATGGAGAACATGCGCGACCACGGCAATGGCCGAAAGTAGAGTCAGACCATGAGATGGGTATGTCCCCGAAAACCCATAAGACTCTTTGAACTTCGGTGATTCATGCGTATCCTGATCGTAGAAAATACTTTGTTGAGAGTCCAGCATTTCAATTGTCCAAGGGTTCAAGTGGACACGCGGGGCTGCCCCGTGCAAAACAAGAAGCGTGTAGAAAAGCATTGCAACTTGCTGAAGAGTTGGAGTAGTAAGAAGTGCACACGCAGCATTGACGACTTCAACATAGTCAATAGAGAGAGTTGTCTGGCTAAGCAATGAAAAAGGCGGAGCAACAACGTCCTCCCTAGGATCTCCATAAACAAACGGCGCGGCGAAGCGCTTGCTGTGTAAAGTATTTAACCTTTGCATTGCGTTCTGGGCACAAACAATCTGAGGTACTAGCCTGAAGATCATATTCCGCGAGATGGGCATCTGAACATCTGCTAAACCATGGAGATAATCGGATGCATCTAGGTACAGCCCTAATAGTGGCTGCATCAAGCTATTCTCCTGGTATGAGATACCCAAGTTAACCACTCTGCTGTCATAAAGGGCTGAAGAAATGTTATCACCTTTAGCGTATGTCGCCACATTTCGTGTAAGCAAATGCGAGTCCAGTAGCCTGAGAGATGGTATAAGCCGGTGGTGCAAAATACCAGCCAGGTATGCAGCTTGCACAAGAAAGTGAGCGGTTTCTTCGAAGATCTCTTGATTAGGAGACGCTATTGGTATCGCGATATCCACATACATTGTCGTAGACCCGGGGACATTGCCGCAAATACCATTAATCCACGGTGACACTACGCTAGGTGCCGAGACGGGATCTAGGGGGACACGCAGCTCACCAATAGCAGGATCCAGAGCATCCATACTAAATCCTGCCGGCACAAGAAAGGGATACTGCCGCAGAATGAAGATATCAACGGTGGTTGTCAAATCCTTGTTTGCTGGCAAATCTGCTTTTTTAGTGGTCAATACACTACCATCGGATGATGGCGATGCTGCGTTATTCATAATGACTCTTATTAGCTCGTTGGCAACTAACTGAATGCAGCGCTGACTATTGCGACTTGAGGAAGCACTGACTTGGATGCTGTCCATCAGAATGGCTACTTCCTCCCGGAGGACGTCAGTGCGAAGTAGCTCTGCATTCTGTCTGAGCTCCAACTGTTCTGCTGCTGTGGGGGCATCGGCCATTTTAATTAATTGATAAGGAAAAGAAGAGAGAATAGGAGGAGGGAAAGAAGAGAGAAAAGAAGAAGATGTCTGCTTTTCTTAAGGCTGTCTTTAACTGGACCATGGAGAACACGACAGATTACGGATCCGAGCCTCCGTCCATCGACCAGGATAAGATGCAGTGGCTACGAACCGCCTGGGAGTCCTTTGTGGTGGACGGGGCGACTCTGCTGCGACGCGCCCTAACGATGCTAGAAAAAGGATCCCAAGACGATCAGGTTCTTGTTCTCAATCATTTGACAGAACTAGTGGAAGATATTGACAATGCTAATGTTCTGAAGCATCTAGGCGGCTGGGCTATTATCTTCAATCTAGCTGAGAGCTCCCCTTCTGCTGATGTGCGAAGGGCTGCTCTCCGCTCTCTAACTGCCGTGCTGCATAACAATGAACGGGGAGTCCAAGATGGACTGGACGAAGGCCTTGTACCGGTTCTTGATCGACTGCTTACTAATGTATCCACCGCTGGTACATCTAAGCAGCTGGTTGGGCTCATCAGCACTCTTACACAAAGCCCCCGTTTCGTTCTTGAATATGTGAAAGCACACCCACAGAACCCGAGCAATCTTATTGCCCTTTGCAAACAGCTTGATCCATCTTCTCCTCGCCTTGCTCACCTTCTCAGTACTCTCGTGGAACGGATGAGACTAGAGCCACCTTCTGACTACAAAGAATGGATCTCGAGATGGCTTGCCGAGGAACTGACCGATCAGTAGCGACTATCCTGCGATGATTTACTAGAACATCGACATATCAAACATAGAATGGCAGGAAATCCGCTCCAACGTAGCTCTGGAGAGGTACCGGAACCTTTATTCCTGTTGGAGTCTGATAATTTTCAACCAAGCAGCAAAGCGTTCTTTCTGTAGCACTTAGTGTGCTGTTTAGCAAGTGAACATACTTCTTGTCCTTCCCGTCCTGGTACTTGATGTCTAAGGAGCGGCTCTGATAGTCGGTACAATTACTGCAGGAAACTAATTCCCTGTACGTATTTGAACCCGGGAAGTAGGCCTCAAGGTCATATTTCATCGCTGCCGCATTGTTCAAGGCGCCAGAGACAATGATGACAACTCTGTAAGGGATCATAAGCGAGTCAAAGAATGCGCGACAGTTATCAATCATGTATTCCATCATATCCCAGCTGTCCTCCTCCTTACACACGACAATCTGCTCAATCTTCTCAAACTGGTGTATGCGGAAAATTCCAAGGGTGTCATGCCCGTGCCTCCCGACCTCTTTACGGAAACAAGTGGACATTCCTGCATACCTGATGCACTCGAGGGTCTTCTTTTCCTGTTTCCCTGTTTTGATAGAGTTGTACGTTAGCTCTGCTATCTGGCCTTGTTTTGAAAAGTTGATAATCTCCCCCATGTGGTATGCGCAAAGGGGCTGTTCGGAGGTTGCGATGAGGTATTTGTCATTCCCCTCACCCGAGACCTTATACAGCTGCTCGTCGAAGTCCTCGAGCTGGCAGCAACATGACATCGCCTCTTGCTCCATGAAAAATGGCGTTTGCATAGCCTGGTATCCCCTGTCCGTAAGAAACTTAAGGGCATACTGGATGAGGGCCTGGTTGAGAAGCGCCCCGTACCCGGTCAGGAAATATCCTCTGTTGCCAGATATCTTGACCCCTCTCGGGCAGTCCATCATTCGGCAATTGGTCATGAGAGTTACGTGGTTGAGGGTCTTTTCGACGCCATTGGGAGAAGGGTTGGCCCTAACGACAGCATCGTTAGTGTAAACGACCTTATTATTATCCTCATTATTGTCAACTACGACTGCGTCGCAGACGATGTTGCCTATGGTGTTCAGCACCGCATTACGCTCGGCAAGCAACTGCCCGACTTCCTTCTTGACCCTTTCTGTCTCTTGCTTATTGGCGGCAATTTTCTTGGATAGCTCGTCGGTAGGGCTCTTTGCCTTCATCGCAGCACCAAAATCCTTGTTCAGCTGGTTAAGCTCTTTGCTTAGCTGACTGGCCTCATAGTCTTTAGAGACCCAGGCCTTGTCCAACTCTATGACCTTGTCAACGATCTCAGTCGAGGCGTAGCGCCGTCTCTGAGACTCCTTGACTTTCTCAGGATTTCCACCCTTTGAAACACGGAAGAGGTTAATGTCCAGAACCATTTATTTCAGCACCTTGCTAAACTTTACAATTGCAATGGACATCTAAATGCCATTGAAAGAATTGGACCGTGTCTGAGCAAAATAACTGAAGACTCTGGATAGTGTATGCCCACAGAAGACATCGAGGACTTTAAGGCGACGCCAGTGAAGCTCAAGGAGGGCAGAAGCATCATCAACGATCCTAATATTCCGTCCGGTCACAAGTATCCCACGAGTGACAAACGTATGGATACGCTTCGCATGATGTACAAGGTTGGGTTCGGCCCATCCTCCTCTCACACGATGGGGCCGCGCTTTGCTGCTGAACGCTTTTTTAACGAAACCCCTGGAGCGTCATCCTACGTCTGCACACTGTATGGGTCTCTTGCTCAGACCGGTCGCGGCCACCTCACGGATTCTGCAATAGCAGATGTCTTAAAGGGGTGCACGTTCAATTGGATGCCCACGAAGGAACTGCCACGGCACACCAATGGAATGGTGGTAGAGGCATACGACGCGGAGAAGAACCTTATTCTTAAACGGGTATACTACTCCGTCGGTGGCGGAGCGTTGCAGGATGGTGACCTCAAAGATCTGGACAAGGTTAAGTGCGTCGGTGCTGTGACTATTGAGACTGCCATCATCACGTCTCACATGACTGACACGGATGAGAAATCTGGAATCCCCACGGCAGAAAAAAGCTCTCCCTATCAGGACTTCCCACACTTTTCAGACATTAAGAAATGGTGTTTTGCAAATGATAAGACCCTCTATGAGTTTGTCTACCAATTCGATGAACCTACCATCAAGGACCATTTGGCATACTGTTGGAACGCCATGAAAGAAGCTGTCGAAAGAGGCCTTAAGAAGAGCCATCCAGTCGAAGCATCTGGCCATCTGAAATATCCTAGGAAAGCGTTTGCATATCTAGCGAAGGCAGAGCAGATAGGGCGATCTCCTGCTCAAGATAGACAAATTGTTCTTAGGAAGAAGTTCCTTAACCTTGCATATACTCTTGCTGTATCAGAAGAGAATGGCAGCGCTAGTGGAAACGTAGTCACGGCCCCTACGTGTGGAGCTTGTGGAATAGTCCCTGGCTGCATGTACTACTTTTATAGCGAGTACAAAGTTCCTGATGACGTTATCCTTGATGCGCTTGCTGTGGGCGGGATAATTGGAAACATCGCTAAGTGCAACGGGTCTATCTCTGGTGCAGAGGCAGGATGCCAGGCTGAGGTCGGCGTTGCGACAGCTATGGCTGCGGCAGCGATATGCCATATACTAGACTATATTGATGTTAGAAATGGGAAAGACCCCATGTCTAAAAGGGACATCGTTTCGTGTGAAGAAGTAGCGGCTGTCGGTGCTCTGCAGCACGCCCTTGGACTTACGTGCGACCCCGTGCTTGGCCTGGTTGTTGAGCCATGCATCGAACGTAATGGAGCGTATGCCCTTCGTGCACACTACGCAGCCACCATGAGTATGTCTAACGCCCATGACGAGCTTCTTAGCTGGGACGAGATAGTCCACACGATGGTTGTAACGGGCCACGATCTTCCGTTCGAGCTTCGAGAAAGTGCACAGGGTGGCCTTGCCCACTTCTATTGCCTCGATGATGTCACAGATGGAGCAACGGTTAAGAGCAGCGCTGGTCCCAGCAACCTACTTACTATGTAAATTGGCCTTGCTCTGCTATTTAATTTACTGGTATTAGAGCCCCTCCACGTCTCTATCGCTCATGAAGTCGCTCATGTTGTCCGGAACGTTGGGGTCAGCGTGATCGCGGTCCACCATGCCATGAGTCCGGAAGTTATTAAGCTTTTGTGATAGCCTGGCATATACTTGACTGAGCTCATCGACCTCACTGCTGAGTTTGGTGCGTCGATGGATCTCCTCTTCCAGCTTCAACTTTAACTCCTCGGACTTCCTATGTTTGTCTGCCAAATCACTGCGGAGGGATTCTATCTCTCTGCTGACCAAAAGGGCCGGCCTGTTTCCACCCTTGGTTTGAGCTACAACCATTCTTGCACGCCCAGCCTCTGCTAAGCTCCCACGAATGTTGACTCCTTGTTCAAGCTGGCTCAGAAGAGATGCTTGGAGCTTAGTTAGCCCTTGGAGCGTGAGATACATCTTATGGCACTCGTTTTCAAGAACGGCGAGCTCTCCATCGTTGTCTTTGTGCAAGTTTTTCTGAACATTCTCTAACAATGCAGTCTGCATTGCTAGCTTTCTCTGCCAAAGCAGAATCTGCTCTTCAACTTCCACAAGGCAGCCGGCCGCCTCTGCCTTTTCGTCCTTGAGAGATGTCAGCTTGGTCTCCATGCCTCGTATCAGCGTCTCCATTTGTTCTACAGAGGACAAAGCTTCTGTTTCTGCCACATAGTTGGCGCTGTTCAGCTTTTCTTCTTCGTTTATAGCCGTCCCCAATTCTGAATTCAAGCGTTTAATGTCCTCGTGTACATGCTCAATTTCGCGCTGGATTGCCTTTACCTTCAGGTTAGCACCCTCTACCTCGTGTTCTATTTCTTGAAGCTTTCTTGAAAGGACGTCGCGCTGATCCTCTTTAAGGCTCAATAGCGCAAGCTCCTCATCTCTCTTCTTCTGACACAGAACCAGCTCTGTTTGTGCTTTGAGCCACATAGACTGGCTATTCTTTACATCCTTAATGGCTTTACCAATCTCCTTCCCCAGATTGCTTAGCATGGCCTCCAAAGGACCATTATCACTTTCAGGGTTATTTCGCTGATGCTCCTCGAGCTTCCTATTTAGGCGTGTGATGGCAGATGATCGTTGCTCAATGCTGTTGCTATTCTTGTTTATCTGAATCTCATATGAAGAGACTAAGGCGTCTTTCTCGGCAACCTCTTTTTGAAGTGCATACTTGGCGTTTTTGAGTGTTTCCAGAGCAGTCTCTGCGGTGATGCTATCGAGCTCACACTTGCTGTATTCGTTGTTGGTTTTAGAAATGTCGCGTTCAAGCTTTTCAATACTCACCTTAAGAGACTTGAGCTTTGCGTTCAGAGCCATTAACTGTCTATTTCCAGACGTCTGTTCTGCGTTATCAACGAGGATATTCCCCTCCATTGTATTGATGGCCTGCTGTTTTCCATCATTTTTGAGAGACAGATCTGAGGAGTCTTTTACAACGTTTGCAATGGCTTGCTCCAACTTTCTCAGCGTCTCAGAAGCCTTTTGGAGAGAGTTGTTTAATGTGTCATATTTTATACTAAGCTTAGCAAGCTGGTTGTTACGTATGTTGTCAATTTTAGCCAAACAAAATTGGCGAACGGCATTCTTTGCCCTTGTCTGGTCATTGAGTGACAAAATGTTATCCCTAACCTTCTGTATTTCTTTGCGCGTGTTCACTAAGCCAGCCCGTAGCGCCGCTCTCTCGGAGTCAGCCTCCGAAAGCTTCTCCTCCTCTATCGTACGGATATTAGCGCTACGCTTCTCGATGGCATTAAGAGTGAGCTCCCACTGAAGACGGAGATTAGCGATGTCTGCCTCTATAGTCTCCATCTGCTTGTACGCCTCCTTAAGGATCTCATTTGCCTGTGAGGTAGTTGCCTTTTGAGTGTCTAATTGCTTGGCCAGGTAGGTTTCTTCATCTTGCAGACGCTTTAACTCGTCTGTCAAGTCTGCAATATATTGATCTTGCTGCTCCTTCAACCGCTCTAGAGCCTTGATTTGCTCCTCTGCCCGGTATACCGAGCGCTTACGGACTGCCGCATCTGAGCGGAGGGCCTCATTCTTCGTTGCCAATTCTATAACTTGCATAGCTATAGCTTGGTTGTCCTCACGGGTCTTTTCTTCCATTTGAAGCAATATGTTGAGCTGGCTCTCGCTATCGTGAAGCCGTTCAGAGACTACCTTGCTTGCTTCTTGCATCTTCATGCGTTTGCTAACAGTCTCAGCATGCTCCATCTCTAATTTCTCAATCCGACTCTGAGTCTCAGAAAGCTGTCTCTGATAGGTGTATAATTCAACACCAGTCGCCTCGTGCGCTTTTTCTAACTGTGCTTTGATGCGCTTCAGCTCTCTTCTCGTTTCGTTTGCGCTGTTTAGCTCTTTTGTAACCTGATCTAGCAGCCGCTTCTGAATGGGAGCTAGTAAAGGATGGTCCGGTGCTAAGAGCATTTGACTATTGTCGTCCAGAAGAACAACGTCTTCGGGCTGCATATCGAGATCCATGAGGCTTATATTTAAATTTCCAGAATTCAATGCCATAGTACACGTTCTAGTGACTGAGTCCAGCATATGCTTTATTCCGTCCCGCGAGTGTGTATCGCGTGTGTCTGTCTTGATTAATATCTATGTTCACAATGTTGAAGTGGATCTATAGATACAGTTTCATCTTAAATGGATGGAAGAATAAGCGTTGAGTCAAGTGTTTGGATCGTTACCGCAGCGCTCCCTGCACCTTTCTCTTGCAGAATGCCAGTAGCTGAGCGGGAACGTGTCTACGAGAATAGCGAGCACCAAGGAGCAGGTGCATATGGCGTACGTGGCTGAGGTAAGTGTTGCTCTGCTACCCAACGCCCGACATGTACACTTTCGACTCGCTAAGCGATGCAGACAAAGATGCTAGCTTGGTCTGTAGTAGGTTTCCGATCCTTCTGCCCAGTGGCCTCTTGGATGAGCAACAGCCAACTGGAAAGTCGTCAATCGCTGGAACGCTCATACCACATAGTGGCCGCTCAAGAGGTGCAAGGGCTGCACACACCGCTGTGGATGGTGCGCTCTGTCAACGGCTCTCCACGCTGAGCTGGCCCTTAGCTGCTACTCTGTGGCCTCCGATGGGACGGGCATTATGAAGAGGTTTACTTGGAGAACCCCTGACATTGCGACGCCTATCCTGAGAAGACAATGCTAACTCGCGTAAGGTACTTCCACTGCTCATGCCCGTTGATCCAGATAACCCGTCCTGCATGCTTCGGATTGCCCTCTGCTGGCAACAGAGCAGCCACTATCCTGGGTGTCTCCTTCAGACACATTTTCATCTATGACGGTGCCTTCTGTCTCTTCTCTGGAGAGGCATAACCGTCCCAATCCAGACACCTTGCTCTCAGCATACACCTCGTATCTATCAGAGGCCAGGTGTTAGTCAACCATATCCCGTGAGCATCAGCGCTGTGTCGCTATGTTACTTCCTGTCCCTCTTGAGGGGCGTATTCTGACCATCTTAGTGTTTCTATGATGGAGAGCTGTGGATCCGGAGGTGATTGTTGCTTTCTGGCCCCCCTCTGCTGTTCAGTAGACTGCAAGAGTGCCCTTCAGGAGTCGGTCCCCCAACCTTCTGTTCTCTCGAGGAAGTGGTCCTTGGATAGTGCCACCCAGAGGGCTCCCGAAGCCTCACTATATGGGTGCTGCTTTACAGACACTCCTGGAGCCTCCCTACAGAGTCGCTCAGTGGCGCAAGTCTTACCCATTGTCAGCGGGGGTCTCGGCTCTCAAGGACATCTCAGGGACAGCACGCCGGTGTCACTTCCTGACGGGGGCCAGGCGGGAGGCCGCTCACCCTTGTGGATCCGTCAGCGATAACGAGAGCACTAAGCCTGCCATCCTCGCTGGAGGTGCCGGCAAACGGTGCCCCGCATCCGCCCACGGAAGGGCTGAGTCGTGTGCTGTTGTCATAATATTCCATACTGGCGCAGATAAACCTCCCGGTGGCACTTGGGGATTCCCGACACGGTGCGCTAATATACTACTTGCTCGAGCTATCGCTCAGATCTGCGATCCCCGTGGTCTGGGCCAGGTGCCTTGAATGGCCTCCAGCCCTAGTAGGAGCACCGACCTGTGCTCCTTGTTCCAAACAAGCATTCCGTCTATTGTGCCCAGCCCTGAAAGACTCGCTCCTTCGCAGGTGCCCGAGCCAAGCGCTGTCTGCCGCCCAGGAGGCGTGCTGGCATTCAACAGAGAGGCTTGCAGATACCACAGACCTCGTTGGTAAAGCGCCTGGGCCCCTGCCCTGGGCACGAGTAAGAAGCCCCAGCAGTACTTCGCTGCGGACTATGACACGGCTCCTGTGTGCACCAGGCGATGCACAGCAGCCACGAGTGTGCAGTCCTCTGCGCCTGCCCACCGATGACGCAGCTGGGGCCTGTGGGGCAGCAGGGCCGAGACATACATATGGGAGGCGCCAACGGGCATTGGGCTATTGGCCGTCAAATGGTGGGTATGACTTGAGAGGTGGCTCGCGGCAAGTAGTTTACTCGACCGCAGCAGACAGGATCGCCTTTAGCCTAAAACTGCCATGTGTTGGTAGATGCACCTGTGTCTCCCACCACTGTTCTGTGTGCCATTATTATATTCTGGCGTCTCTAGATTTGGCAGAGGCATCCAACAAGGAATTCACAACTAGAGGCTGGCCCAACAGCCAGAGAGGCGTCTATTGGGCTGTACACCCATGCACCGGGTTGTCTTGAAGGGGTCGTTCCCTCTCTAATCACGTGCCCTGTCCCCGGTCCGTACCGGCGAAAGTCTTACTGAGACACCCACTGTCCAGGATACTGACCAGATCACCAGGCAGCTATTGGCCGGAATAAGGGAGAGCCGCTCTCCTTGGCATACTCTACCATGTGCGTGCAAGAATGGATGGACCATAAAGTGACGCCACTCAGTTCTTCTTTCGGAAAACGAAAAACCAAACCAGCACAGCCGCCACACCGCCGACGACGAGGACCACGCCGATGGCGATGCCAGAGATGGCCCCCGACGAGAGGGCGGACTTTTTGGAGGTGTTGTCGTACTCCAGACATATGGGCTTGACTGCGCCCTCTGGAACCACGCAGAGGCTGCACTTGGAGATCACCTTGTGACACGCCTTGCACGTGCTCTCGGAGAAGTAGTACCCGGCCAGGCAGTCGAAGCATGCCTCCCCATGAGGACAGGTGGCGCAGCCCTTGGAGCACGCCTTGCATACCTCCTTCTCCAGGTAGAACCCGCTGTTGCAGGCGCTGCAGACCCCACTACTACACATTGCACAGTTCGTCGGGCATGTAAGGAGCGTTCCGTTGTACGTTATCCCGTACCCGGCCACGGTGCTATCACACCAGCCGTCGCTCGCCTTCGTGCAGACAGTCTTCCCGGGGAGGAGCGTGGAGGTGTAGCACCCCCCGTTGAGGCTGAAGGAGTTCGAGCTGCAAGCAACACACCTACCGGCGGCGACATTCGCACACGCGATGCCAGCCGCCCGCGAGCTGGAGGAGGTGCACGCCCCGTTGTTGGGGTACTCCGTGCTCTTGACGCAGCGCGAGCAGTAGCTGGTCCCGCCCACCGTGAGCCCGCACTCTGCGCAGCTGCTGTCCTGCACGCACTGCGGGACGCACGATCCCTTGGTACCGTCGCTGTACTCCAATCGCCTCTTGGCAGGGCAGGCGGTGCAGTCGCCGGATGCCGGTCCGCTGCACGTGGCACACTCAGAGCTACACGGCTTGCATTCTCCCGAGCCCTCGACGTAGAACCCGTCCCTGCACGTCTTGCACTTGGATTCCGACTCGCAGACTGCGCAGTTGCCGAGCGTGCACGCCACGCACCTCGAGACGCCGCCCACGGTGGCCTTGTAGTACCCGGCGGAGCCCAGGCAGTCCTTCACGCACAGACCGTGGGGGTCGAGGCTGTGGTCATCGGTACACTTTGTGCACACGTCTCTGTCCTCGCACGTGTCGCAGTTGGGGTCCTTGCACTTGGTCGCCACGCACTGACTATCGGAGAGTGTGTAGCCATACTTGCACTTCTTACAGCTCGACTCGTCGCACTCAGCGCAGTTCTCCACCGCGCACCCGACACACTTCCCGTCCTTCAGATAGGACCCGTCATCGCACGCGCAGCTGTGGGTCGAGGATGAGGACCCCTGTATGCCCTTCTGCCCCTTGGGACAGCTGGCCAGGCAGCTCCTCTTATCCAGGCTCAGGTAGAGGTCGCGGCACTCCAGACACTGAAGACCACTGTCCTTCATCTCACACCTTTGGCATCCCTCTATTCCCCCGTTGGCTGAGTCTCCACAGTGCCAGCATCTGCTATTCCTGGTGAACACCTCTTTGGTTGAACTGTTACATGCGGTACACACATTGTTTTGCACTGTCTGACAAATCTGAGACCCTACTTGATCCAGAATATTGTTAAATAAGTAGCATCCACCATAAAACAAGAAGTATTGCCCGTTGCTATCATTCTTACAAGATGTACATTTTCCTGTTTTAGGGTCTTTTGTACAAATATCATCAAATCCGCTGATTGACCTACAGAGGCCATTCTGAGGCACTTCTGATGAATTGGCGCACTGTGTGCACAACGATTGTCCCCGTACATCTATAGTATTTCTTGATAAACAGATACTGTTGCCAGTTATGCTACCTATAGCATAACATGCAGAAGCGCTCCATACATAAGCCTTTGGACAGTAGTCACAATAGCCAAAAGCAGCTATGTTAGAAGCAGGCTTGCATCGATAATCAAAGGGGCACATGTTTGAATCTGAGCACGTCTCACAATCAGCCTCAACCTTCCCTGACAATCTCGGTTGACTGCATTGTTGGCAATTATACACGCCACTGTGCCCACCAAAACCTATTGGGTCCCCGCAGTGAATACAGCGTTCAAGAGAAGTAGCATTAGGATTAGTAAAGACGAGTGATGGGTATCCTTCGACGCCTTTTCCGCACTCTTTACAAAGCCCATTTTCTGCGCGGTGACAAATGGTTTTTTTCCATGGACTATCTAAATTATAGCAGCCACCATAAAATAAGAAATAGTCACCGTTACATTTTGTGCACCATCCACCCGTCGGTGATTTGACACATACAGATCCTGTGCTAGCCTGATCCTTAATAGAAACACATTTCCCATTGATGGGAACATGTCCAGAAGTGCATTCTGTGCAGAGAAACATAGTTAAATTTATCAGGCATTTATCCTGAAGACAGTTTAATACTGCATCTTTACATGAGTATCCAAACCCATTATGATATATAGGTACCTCTTCAGAGAAGAACACTGTCAACAGGCAAGTTGATATTAGGGACAGCGAGAATGGCCTCATGACAAATATTATTCTTTATTAAATATTAGCGAGAATTGAGCCCAATATATTGACTAAGCTGTTGGAAGCGATATTTGGAAGTAAAGCCATTAGAATACTATCTGTCGCGCTTGCTGAGGATATAGCATAACATCGAGATTTACAGAAAAGATTACTCTATTTACACTAATCACCGAATCACACGATGGTCTAATCAGTCTATAACCTTACTCCCTAGCAAGATTTACAAAACTACTCTGTTTGTCTCTGTCGTCAAAAGGATTTTTCTGTCTTAACATTAGTAATATAACTACTGTTCCTAAGGCTTCACAAGGTTTGCAGTATAGAGGGTTTTTAATGGAGGATGTGCTGAAAGAATGTACCTGGCACATACTGTACCTTGTGAAGGAGCTTCTGCTGTTAGGAATATCTCCTTGGTAGTTGTAAGTAAATCAATTGTGGACAAGCTACTCGCAGAGCTATACACTATTCGGGAAATCACATATCTCCTTGTTTCGAAGTATCCATGTCTGTGGAAACTAATACCAGTGACACTTTTGTTAAACGAAACACTACGATGGAAGCACTAGTAGATCTTATTAAAGGCTTGGAAGTACAGCAAAGGAGAAAATGGAGCGGTATATCGTGTCATTAGAAGGCCTTACCTACTTCTATAAATCATATCTTAACCTCGAGCTACTTAACGTACTTTCCTTTTGAGAAAAGGTCGTAACCTATGTGACTAAAATCCTTCTATTCTACTGATGAATCGTTGTTCACAAGGAGTACCTTGTCACTTGAAGCATATAAACGTCTAGATATCATGTTGTAATAGGTACTCTGTTTGAACACCTGTCCACAGAAGAAGTGCACACTCTAGAGAGCATGAAGATGCAGCCAAGGTGGTTCTGAAAACATGGTCTGCCGTGAATCTGTCTGGCTTATTGCAGAGAACTACTTACCGTTCTCGCTCACGTTTGATATTCTATGCCGCTGGGCCCGCCTGGGGCGCACTCAGAGGCCCACGGGCAGCCCGCCCAAGCCTGATCCGTCCGAGGGTGGTTGTAGGCAGCAAGCAGGAGTTCCCCTCCACTAGTGCAGAGGGACGATCAGGGTCCCGTGCAATCGTCGGTGCCTGTGCCTCCGTGTCTCGGGGAGTGCAACGCGGGCTGGAGATCAGACCAGCCCGGCGACCAGAGCAGAGCCCGACAAGTGCAAGGCGGTGGGCGTGGGTGTCATCCAGCAACTGCATGGATACCACAGCGAGAAGGTCAAGAAGCGCAGGGACGTTCTCAACCATCTACGGGATAGACGGCTCCCTTCACCCCAAACCAAAGAGGTACTGAGGGAGCCCAGTGGTGCCGGAGGGGGCCGGCCTGGGCCTTCATTGTCCGCGTGGCAGCCAACGAGCACCCGACGACCATCTCCTGCCAGCATCTTCTAATCACCAAGTGGGCCCACTATGGGACCAGAATGACTACGACTGAGAAGGCGTACTGACTCGGAGCCTGGGTGATCTCCCATACAAGCCACCGCCGCCCTGGGCAGGTCTCTCGCCCACGCACGGCTGGGATCAGAAGTTCGAGAGTCGAATCTCCTCGGATCCCTGCAGAAGAAGCCCAAGCGGAGATCCGACGGCCCTGGTACTCAGCCCCAGCAAGCATCAGCCCCGCGACTGCCCGATGAGGGAGCCACCGAAGAAAGCTTGTAGAGGCTCGAAGAAGAGAGTCTAGAGAGCAGCCGATAGAGTGAGCAGGGGGCCCACACCTCCCTGTCATGGAGAGCGGCGCATGGTGGCAGGCTCTCAATGGTCCCAATGGGGTCACTCGCTGACTACACGAACTGGCTCAAGGATGCTGGAGTTCACTAAGAGACTGCACCCTTGGGGACCTCCTACGCGATCCACAGCACGAGGAGCTGCCACGCCTCCTTCACATCACCGGAGGGCCCTGAGCAGCACGTCTCGGGAACCCTCTCCGTCTGAGCTCCTTCTGCAGCCTTGCGACAGACAGACGGTGCCAGCCCACGCACCAGGTCTCGGCGCCCGAGCGCGGTGTCCCGCGTGGGCCCTCACCATTGCCTGCCATGATGCCCCGGACAGAAAGCATCGGACCGGAGCGCTTCCCAGACTCCCCGGAGGCGCTCAGGGACGACCTCAACTATCTGCCAGGACAGGTTGAGTGTGCGGTTGAGAGACCAGCAACACCAGAGCGCCCTTGAGTTGTTCGCGGCCCGGTGGAGCCAGGTCAGCCCTTGCCTCAAACAGGGGTCCCAGTCGCTGGCTGTCCCCAGAGGGTCCTGGAACCTGCAGAACTCTACAAGGGAGACGTCGCCCCGGACACACACCAGTGCACTGTGAACCCCACCCCTCACGGGGGAGAGATCAGGTATCACACCAAGAACGAGGACCTTAGGAACCTGATGGAGAGGAGCGCCCTACGCTGGAGTGGCACCAGGCGAACGCCAAAGTAGTAGGAGCGGAAGAGCACGTGCCCGTCCTGCGCGAAGACCCTCCGCGGCGAGGCCGTCCAGACGTATGCAGCACAGACACCGGATGCAGGGTGCTACTGAGTGGGGCAACGGGGATGGAGAAGGACGTCCCCCTCAGCGCCCTTCGTGCGAGCGTGCTCAGGGGAGGGTACCTAACACCCCGCAGAGCTCCAGTCGAGAGCCGAGGAGACGCGCCTCGCTCACACAGCGGGGAAGCGGAGGAGCGGCATTCACCACCCCACTGCCCGGCCTGAAGCCTCGCCTCGAGGGGGAGCTGCCCCCTAACAGCGCCACCGACGACCAGCACCTTGCTATCCAGAGGGCCGGATCAGGACGGCCTGGCCCCTGAGAGACAAGAGCCCCCTCAGCCATCGGAGAGCACGGACGGCCAGTCCGCGGGGCTCGAAGTCCCCGGGCCTGCGTTGGCGAGTCCATCCGGGTGCAGGCCTTCAGCGAGATCCTCAGCGCGATCCATAGGATGGAATGCATGCTCTGTACGGTTTCGCCTGGCCCTTCCCCAAGAACGAGACAGGACAACCACGATCAGCGGACGATCATGATGCGCTCCACAACACAGTTCCAAGGAGCTGCGTCGGGACCTTCCTCCGGCTGCGCCACGCTGCACTCCTGGACTCGGTCCCTCGGGACCCTGCGCATGCCCCCATACTGCGTGGTACAGAACCTGCTCACCAGGAGCTGAAGGAGATACTCCACTCACTGCCCATGCCGACGACACACCCATCTTCCATAGTAGCGGCAGTGACGCGACAGGGTAGTCACAGAGGCGACAGGCCTGGTGAAGCAACATGGCTCGACGGTCACCACCGGGTGCAGGAGCACAGAGGAGCAGGAGGCCTCCTTCTTGGCCGGTCTCAAGGAGCCCCCAGGGCAACCGAGGGCCGAAGCTAGTGATGGTACTAATCACTCGCCACACTTGTTGAGACGGACCCACACGTGACCCATATGAATCCCTCGACAAGAAATAGGACTTGGGGTGCTTGGCTGGCAGAGGCGGACTGATCCTGCCCGCACCGGAGAGTGGTGGCGGCTCACATGAGAGATCACTCAGGTAGTAGGTGACCTCACCCCGGTGACACGGAGAGTAAATTAGTATCCTAGCCAGATTAAGTATTTTCATTGTAACAATCTTAGTTTGAAAATAATTATAGATTGTACTTCGCATTTACATTGTTAGGATCGCAGAAATATCCTCATCACTTAGAGCGCCTAGGAGATGTCGCCTATCGGATTCGTCTAATATTAACCCGCTTGTCGGTTCGTGGTATATGCGATTGGGGGCAGTGTCTTCTAAATTAGGATACTTTTCATATTGCTTGATCATGTAGTCTATGTTTCGTAGCTCGCTATTAACAGCGCGTTCTATAGAGCCTGGAAGCCGCGGAGAGATTGGTTCGCGGCTAGCTAGCATCGGGCCGGGATCAACTGGGGTTCTACTGAGAGTAAACGACCCCGCAGAATTGGATCGAGGTAACGGCCGGTCTTTTGCTGGGATGCGGTACTCTGAACCACTGGGCGTGTAGGGTGCACGCGCAGACTGTGGCCGCAGTGGCTGTGTTTGGAGGTCTACTCGTGGAGAAGGCTGTAGCGCAGGATGAGAGTGATATGCCTCGTGCTGCTTCTGTTGTTGTTGGATGGTTTGCTTGGCAGCTCGTAATTCTGAAACCAGCGTTCTGATCCTGCCTTTGGCCACAATCAGCTCTTTGTTGAGGGCCTCCACTTCTTCGGCCTTAGCAAGTACAGCAGGGCTCTTTGTAGACGGCGTACTTCGTCGAGCATCGAGATCCTTCTTGAGTCGGACTACGTCTGCATGTAGAGACTTGTTCTTCGCCTGCATCTTTTCGTTTGCCGCGACAACCCCTTCGAGATTTTTCTGAGGCGCTGCTTGACTGTCTCGTCACCTACATGCTGAACATCTACAATATCAGCGAGACGTACAAGTTGAAGAAGAAGCTTGTGGGACTTGTTTCTAATGGATGGACGGGGGTATCTCTCCACCGCGTCTAGGGTGTGAATTGCATGCCAATCAGCTGCTCACAGTGTCTGCCACTCCAGGCCATGAGAAGTTATCTACCACAGAGCTCATCAACTTCACTTCTGAGTCGAAAAGTTCCACTGGATGTACAGCTACACGATGTACCGCGGACGAGGACGTGAAGAGTGGCATTTATTGAGCTGAGTCCTTTCTGTCGATCCTTTCGAGGAAGCCGCGTATGTCTTTCTGTGCCGCAAGCCTGAGGGTCTCGTCCCGGGGCTCGTCGAGCTGAGCAAGGGTCTGAAGGACGTCCCCGAAGACCTCTGGCCCACGGAACTCGGCGAGGTAGTGCAGGACCGCCGCCAGCTCCGTGTCTGGAAGCGCTGCAAGGGACTGTGCGATGGACAGGGCCCTCGTTTTGTCTTATAAATTGCCAGAACTGACCCATCTCACGGCTGCAAAGGAGTTGCATTCAGTGCATGGGATCCGTGGTCTGGTCTCTAGGTACCTGTACAGCACTGTTGGTCACATGTGAGCCCGTGGACACGCAAGGCGCGCTACTGGATAAGCCAAACATTCATCCACACGCCTGATGCTTGGTGCACTGGCTGAGACCCTGCTGTCTGTGCTAGCAGGAACAGACACCGAGCAGACCCATCGATGACGGTTTACTATCTAAGTACATCTACGCCTTCCCCCTGCAGAGGAACCACCAGCAGAGGAAGCCGATGAGGCCGCCGACAACAACGATGACAGCGACGGAGATACCCGCTATGGCACCAGTGGAGAGCCCGCTCTTGTTGGTGCTACCGCTATCCTTTATGAGGTAGCAGAGGACGGAACCTTTATTGTTGGGCGGAGGGGCGCAGTTTAGGCAGCCCTTAATACCAGTGACTCCGTTGCTATCACTTTCACAAGACGTGCACGCACCTTCTCCTGATGCGGTCTTGTAGTATCCCGTAGCACACGCCTTACATGTTGTAGCTGCTCCATTACATGTTTCGCAGCTAGCGTCACACTTTGTGCACGCACTTGCACTCTTTACATATCCGTCCAGACACGTAGTACAGTCGGTACTGCTAGCACATTCCTTACACCCTTCAGAACAAACTGTAAGGGTACCTGAATCCAACTTGTAACCATCTGCAGCTTTTTGACACGTACCACCATTTGGTGCACTAATGCAAACCGTCTTACCGGGATACTTGACTGTTTCATAGCACCCTCCGTTCATCTTAAAGTAGTTATCGGCACACGTTCCACAAACACCATTCTGAATAGGCGAGTCGTTGCACGTAGGTGTGGCGCGGCTAGCCTTTGGTGCACAGACGCCATTTTGAGGATATTCTGTCGTTGTGGCGCACTCAGAGCAGTAGCTAGCGCCATCGATAGTGAGCCCACACGTCTTGCATGCTCCTGCTCCTGTGCCCGTTGTGCAGCCTTCTCCGCACGTGCCCTTAGTACCGTCGTCCCCGTACCTGAGTGCTTTTCCGGTGGGACACTCGGTGCAGTCGCTGGCAGTGCCTGCGCTGCATGTCTTGCAGCTTTCGTGGCACGGAGAGCACGCGTCGCCGTTTTTATAGAACCCGTCGTTGCATGCTTGGCACTGCCCCTGATCATCGCAAGTCTTGCAGTTAGCCGCAGTGCACTCTTTACAGAGTTTCTTTGCTCCTTCGGTGGCTCCATAGTAGTTTCCAATCTTAGCGCAGCTGTCTATGCACTGGCTTGTCGGCGTGAGGTATGTGCTACCATCACAGTCTGTGCAGACCTCGTTCTCCTTTCCTTCGTTGCTGCACGCCTTGCATCCGGGGGTCTTGCAGTTGCTTACCGCCTCGCACGTAGTTTTGTCGGCACTAGGCTTGTATCCATCCGTGCAGGCGGAGCATGTAACGAGGGCAGCCCCTGATCGGCCACTAACCAGAGCACACGTGGCGCAATTGGCAATTCCGTCGGTGCTGTCATTACAAGGGAGGCATTTATTTCCTGCACTGCTGTCATCCTTGGGGAAGAAGCCGTCTTTGCATTGGTCTTTTTGTACGCACGACGTGCCTTCGCTTGTGGTTTTCAGGTAGTTGTTATCGGTGCATTTTGTACACTTGATCTTCTTAGATTGCTCATCGTAGCTACAGGTGTCGCAATTGGCAACGCCACCATTGAGGTTATCGCTGCAAGAAACACACTTGTTGCCATTCTCAGAATCATCAACTGCAACGAACTTATTAGTGCTACCAGAATTACATTGGGCTTTATCTACGCACACGTTATCCTTGAGATACTTACTGACTCCACACTTGGTACACGTTGCAACCTTGCCGGCCTCAGCGCCGGCTGTTGCGTCAGGGGCGCTGCATTCTGCGCAGTCAGCAATGCCCTTGTATGTGTTTCCGCCAGCTGCTATTGTTACTCCAGTTGTATCGCCACATGCGATCACAGACTGTTCAGTGTTCGCCGCTCCCACCGGAGCAAAGTACCCCGGGGCCGCCTCGGTGCATACGCCATCTCCGTCGGAACTTAAGCACAGGCTGTGTCCAGGAAGGCCTTCTCCGCTGGAATAACAGCCGTCCTTGTACATGAATGAGTTGCCTCCGCACTGCGTGCACTTCCCTGCGCTATGTTGCGGACAAAGCGTTTTGCTTGGCCCCTCAGCGTTGACGTCTACACACTGGCCGTTCACGGGGGCGTAGTTTGCTCCGTTGCACTCAGAGCACCAAGTGTCTTGACCAATGGTGACGCCACACGTTTTACACTTTCCATCGTCAGCTTCTTGGGTGCAGGCTGTCCGTGCCAGCTGAAGGATGACGATCGCGAGCAAAAATCTGCCGAACATTAGGCCGCCGACCTGCTGGGTGGCGCTTCCAACGCAAAGCCCGGGGCCAGGCTACCACAGACAGCTTCTTGCGTGTCCATGGTAACTGGCCACTAGTCTCCGAGAAGACCCCCAGATCGCCGTGGATACATGTTTATACTCTAGCATAGTATTCATAGCCTGTAGCAATCCTGTCAATATAAGCCGTACATAGCGTAAGAATTCTGTTGGTGTTTAAGCCGTAGTTACCCGTCACAAGCACTGTAATGAATGACAGGTCAGGAAGAGACAGCGAGATCGCGAAACCAGGTTGATATGCCAGAATAAGGATGAGCACCCTTGGGTCCATAGAGCTGAGTCCTTATAGAATTATGCAAAACGACTCATCTGTTACTTAGAGGGTTTGCTGGTAACGAGGACATAATTGGATCTATGCATTTGAGGAACTATCAAGAGGACTGCCTAAAGTGCTTTCAGAGCAATTTTGCAAAGAACACACCTCCTCCACAGCTACCATAGCACACCCATATGCATGCAGATAGTTACGCACACGAATAGCTTGCTTCCGAGTAAGGTGTGCTCGTTTGTAGTCATGTGCATCAAAGAGGGCTGAAAATGCCTGTAAAGCAACCTGAGAGCCCAGGCTTTCCCAGAAGTGAAGATTCATTATCGTCTTCGCACGTTCTATATGCTTAGGACCAGATTCAACGCCTTCATCCTCTGTGTCTGGGGCTGGTGCGCGAGATGGGAAAAGAATGGGCATAGGTCTTCTGTTAGATCGCAGAGAAAGAGTGAAAGGACGAGTAGAAGAAAATAAAAAACATAAAAATGGACGATTCTGGTAACGATATTGGAGAGCAGCTCCGCACAAAAATCAACTCCCTGAGAACACAGCTAGCCACACTCAAGGACAGCGCGCGCAGTGCCATACAGGACGATGATATAGCCCGCTTAGCTCTATTGCAGGGCAAGGTCACCGAGATCTCAGGGGCACTTACATCTCTAAAAGCTGAGTTCAAAGCTCTTACGTTATCTGACAACCTAACACGTGAGCTAGATCAGCTTTTAGTGTTTTTAGAGACAGGTGTTAACAGTCTTAAGAGCGAGCTCAGACAGGCAGACCGCGGGCCGGTAGTGACGACAGTTGACGTACCCACTGTCGTAACCCGAGAGGTGCTGCAGACTCTCGATACAAAGAAGGACAACGAAATACTAAAGTTGGCGGATAATGTGAAGATAATCGCCGAGGTTAACAATCGTATCAATGAGAAGCTGGATGAGGGGGCAGAGGTCATGGAGGATGTTGACACGGAAATAGTGGCAGCGCAGGAAAAGATTGACCAGGCTGTGGGTAGAATGAAGCTCTTCCAGAGCTACATGAAGAAAACAAAGGTCCCTGCCTCTGTCTGCATTCTTACCTTCATTTTCCTGATTATCGTTTGGTCGTCTAAAGCATTCTGCTCATGGGGATTCACGTGGCAGTGTCCTTAAGCCGCCCTGCGGCACCGCGAACTTTATGTAAACAATTAATGGTATCCTTGCTTGACCCTGCCTTATCTCCCCACGGTTCGCGCTCATTGACATCGCCGCGGGTGTTGGTTGCTCTTGCGCGCTTGGGGCTGTCACCAGAAGAGCTGGAGCATGACTTACAGGCTCAGGTCCAGGACAAGAGCTGCGACCCTTATTCAAAAGAAACAAGGCATAAGTTGGATGCTGTAAAACACATGACCGAATTTGTAGACAAGTATGGTGTCACAGAAGAAGAGGGGAAGCTCTACAGCCTCGAGTCCCTTGTTTCCGCGAATCCTCTAACAAATGAAGTTGCTGAGCTGTGCACGTCTTACAAGGCGCAGTCTATCCGGGGACTAAAGCACAAACACGACGATCTCAACGTTGAAGAGCATCCACTTGCCAACACATGGAGCAACAGGAAAAGAACGAAGCCTTCAAACTCACCAAAGAAAGCCCATGCGTCTCCTGAGTACTCACGAACTCAAAGACAGAATAGGGCTCTATTTGCATCACAACCACTGTCATTTGACGATCGCATAGCTCAGAAGCGAGCAAGCATCAGCGCTGAAAAGGCAAGAATGATAGCCAGAGTCGAAGATGCGCTGCAGACACATGCAAGGGACATGAACGCGCAGACCACTTACCAGCAGAAGAAGGCTACCAGGCGATATGAAGCCCTTGAGCGGCTTTTAAAGGAGAAGGAGGAAGCCAGACAAGATCACCTTCTGAAGCAGCAGTTATCTGTTCAGCGCAGAGAAAACGCGGTGAAGACACTGGCGGAGATTGACCTGAACCGATCAACGCTTCTACAGTACAATCTACACGTGAAGGAGCTCAAGCGACGACGCTTCCTAGAACTCCAAGATTGCGAACGGGAGCAGCAGAGGCAAAAGGGGCTCCTCAATAGCTTTTATGCAGATGTCGTTCGGCATCGTCGCGAGGAACGCCTGGCAAAGAAACAACAGTTGGCCGAAATGGCGATTGCGGCAAAACAGAAGGTGTTCTCCCTGTTGAATCACCAAGCTGTCATAAATGCTTGTCACCGTGGCTTACAAATGCGGAATTCTCTTACGAAGGAGGCTACTAAATTGAGCAGCCACGCTTCCACAACCTTCGGACACTTGCCAGAACAGAGAAGTAATTGGGCTCAGTAAGGGCTCGTGCAGAAACAACGAAGGATGCGGAGACCTTCTTTATATACCCACAGTTGAACCCTTGCGCCCGATATTCTAGTAATTTGCTCGCGCAAAAAATGCCATTAGCCCGAAATCAACATTCCGACCCCCCGGACGAGCGTCCTATCTACATCTTCTACGTCCCAGAGGAGGAGTTCCAAGAGTCCATTGTCATGTATCTGAAGGAGCTTTCCCATGCGCGGTACATGCCAACCGGAATCCATGCGTTGTTATCAGAATTGGACCTCTCGTCCGATGCGCATCTTGACGTTTTCATCTACACATGTAGCATACTCAAGCGAATCTCAAGGAGGAGCCCATCGTTGCTGACCATTGAAACCATATTGGATTACTTTGCTGCCTGCTTCATTATCTCGTACAGTATGCTCTCCGACCTCACCCCACCCCTGCATGAATGGGCCGACGCCCTGGGGAAGCCATATAGTGAACGAAGGCTTTTGCAGCTCCAACGGAAGGCTCTTCTCCTCCTCCACTGGAAGATCTTCATCTCTAGACGGCAGTACGACTGGATGTGCCGTGAGATCCAGCGCACTCATGCGGAGCTGGGCTATAAGCCTCCCACGCGCTCCAAACACTTCGACTACAGAGATTATTGGCGAGGCTTCCGGTAAGGCAGATAAACTAGTGTGATTTACAGTAATATACCACGTTTGACAGTGCACTAATGCTAGTTAGGTCACCATGTTAGTTGTATTTCGTAGTAATAGTAGTAAGTAGTCGAACAGTGTCGAAGATATAGCTACATCTCGCTGTGCTTAGTTAGAGCTCTTTCTTGTCGTTCTTTGTCTTCTTACTCTTGAGCTTCTCCAGCTGCTTCTCTAATTCTGCCACTCGCTTCTCCAGCGTGAGCATTCTCGATCGTGTGGCGGTATTTGGAACGGACGATCCAGCAGATCCCTTGTCTTCTTTGCCTTTTTTCATCTTCTCCTCTGCCTGCTTAATGTGCTCTTCGAATGCTTTGCTCGTTTTGTCTTGTGCTTCCCGTCGTCGATCCAAAGTCTCCTTGTCCGATTTGATCTCTGCTTGAACAAAAGCGTCGACATCTGCACCAGCCTGACCACCCAGATAGTGTGTCCATATTCCATTGCTATAGACAGCAAACGTCGGGACTCGGTCTATGTGCACCGCGCCACACTCTTTGAGCATGTCGTCACAGTTGAGTGCGTAGAACTGTACGGACGGGTCAGCAGCGTGCATTCTCGTTGCAGAGCGCAGAATGGAGATTGCCGTACTCGGACACGCTGCACATTTCTTCCGCGAGACGAAAAGGACCGCGGCGCCAGAGTGAGTCCCGTTATCAACTCCCTTCATGACACTCTCCAGAGACGCGTCCGAGACTACGAGCGAATCATCGTAAGGTGCAAACTTATAGCGGATGTATTCTGATATTCCTGCAAGAGTAAATTCTCCTCTATACCTCTCTGCGTTCATCTCTTCGTAGACTAGAACATAGAGCGCCGGAAGGTTTTGAAGGTCAGGTGTCCCAAATATCTGCGCGTTGGCTTCGTCGTCCTTGTCAACCAGGAAGGTGTTATTGTGCAGGGCCATGACAGCATCTATTACCTCGCGCTGGTCATCCGTCAAGCCCGAGGAAGATCCAAAGAAGGTGATCACGTCACCGGTGAGGGCTTTGATCTCGTCAAACTTCTTAATTGTAAGAGTGCAAAATGTGACAAGCAAGAGAAGCAGGAGCATTTTTCGAAACCTTGGCATTTAGTATCTATTATAATGTGACATGTCACATGAGTAATTAATAATCAGTTAAAATCACCATGCTCTTAAGGATTCATTTTTGTATCGTTCACAATCACTACAGGCTCGATGTGGTGCAGGATCAACCCTAAGTATCATACCTTGCTCCTCATTATAGTGATGATGACCACGGGAACCCTCAACACCGTTTCCAGGAAGATTTCATACCAAATGGAGGGTAAGAACATCGAGGGTCAACAAGAGCCATATAACAAAGCGTGGATAACGACTTTCTTCATGTTCGTTGGCGAAAGTATCTGTTTGGCCATCTTTTACATAAAACGATGCCTTGTTAAGCGAAATGTTTCTATGACGTCTCTCGATATGACTGCTAATGAGGTGACTGAATACGAGCAGGAAAACATTACGATCCTCAATGACATTACGCACACGTCTGTCTACACAGAGGCAGCTGAGCCTCCGCAGGACACTCAAACGACAGTGACAAATTTGAGGAAGCCTGTAACAGGGTCGTTACCCTATTGGAAATTCGTGTTTGCGACGGCTTGTTTCGCTATTCTAGATCTTGTGCAGACAACGGCCTTCAATATAGCCATGGTATATGTGCCGGCGTCTGCGGCCCAGATTCTCCGAGGATTCGCCATAGTCTTCTGTTTGGTTCTCGCGATCCCCTTGCTGAAGAGGAAGCCGAAAATGTGGGAGATTATGGGGGTTTGCTTTGCGTTTCTTGGGCTAGCTCTGGTCGGTATTGCCACTACCATCCAGGAGCAGAACCTAGGAGAGTATGGAAGCACATTTACGACTATTATGGGTGTTTTCCTTGTAATTTCTGGCCAGCTTTTTTCTGCGACGCAGTTCCTCATGGAGGAGAAGATTCTCAAGAGTCAGGACATAGACCCCCTAATGGTTGTCGGCTGGGAGGGTGTCTGTGGCGTGATTCTGTCGCTGTGCGTTGCGTGCCCGCTGGCACACGTGATACCTGGCAGCGACCACGGGAGCCTGGAGAACTATGCTAACTCGTGGTATATGTCCTTCGTCAACGGGAGCATCATAGCCATGAACATCCTGTATGTGTTGTCCATTCTCTTCTTCAACTGGTCTGGGCTGACTGTCGGGAAGTCCCTTACGTCGACCCATCGGTCTCTGTTCGACAATTTGAGATCGCTGTTGATATGGGTCATCATGGTCATAATATACTATTCGACGAGGCACTACAATCGCCCGTACGGGGAGCCCCTCACCCTCTACTCACTTCTGGAGCTGTTTGGATTTGGGGTAATGATCTTGGGCGTCATGATTCACAACGACGTCCGTGGGTTTGGCGCGAAGGCTACGTGCAGAGATGAGCGAAAGACAAAATATAAATCCTTTAAGTAATGACAATTGATAGAATTATTACAGGGTGGCTGTTGACCTAAGTTATAGTTCTGTCCTTTAAGCTTGTTGTTTTTAGAGATACTTATGAACCTGGGTATCAGTTAATCAATAAGTGAATGTTGAAGGATAGAATCGTCAGTAGCCTTTTTTCTAAAATTCGTCGGTATCCAGGCATCATTCACACACACGGTACTTCCTTATGCTGAGCTCTGTTTTTCTTCCAGCATATTACACCGGTACTACAGATGTCATCAACGGACTAGAAAGTCTCGCTGCGCAGAGAACTTGCAGCAAGCCTCGAAGGAGGCACTCCATACGCAGTTATAGAGCAGCTTCTATAGACCCAGCTGAAGTAGAACAAGAATGTCCACCACCATTGCCGCCGCCACTGCCTAGGCCAAACACAATTTTAGATTTTATTCATTCACCTTTACGGCCTATAGAGGCTAGTTCACAAAAGCAGAGGCGCAGCGTTAGTGAACACCCTGCTCGCCACCATGGTGTCCGCCCCCCTATCTTAGATGCATCCATTTCTCAGCCACCCCAGATCCTGGAGTCTCTTCCTAAGAGCCGGTCCTTCAGCGAAGAGCCTGGCCCTCCCGAGAAGCCTCGCTACCCAAAGGCAAGGATTTCTGCAGACAGGCTAGATAGGCTCTACAGGACATACAGCAGAAGGTTCACTACGAAGATAGCAAACCAGAAACGGGCCACCAGTGTAAACAGTTGGTCTCAGAAGAAGGCCGAGAAAGATAGAGAAACGCTCGATGCAATAACCAGAATAGAAAGCACACCGTGTATGTTCGGTAGCCCACAGGACCTCGATTCTCTAGCTGTGCAGAAGGCTGAGGTCGTCAGGGCCATAAGTTCCCACAAGGGGAAGAAGCTGACAGAGTCCGCCGCTTCTCTTGCCGGGGATAAAAGTTTACACTGCCGCAAGTCGTACCTGGGAAAGTATTACTCGCTTCGTTACCTCGACAGGATTGCTGAGTGTGAAGCAGACAAGGCCATCATTGCAAACGCAAAGAAGGTTGCTGCGGATGTGGGGCTTGCAGACAACTCCAGCACAAAGCTATGGGCTAAGATAACCCTGGATGAAGATGAAGGAGGATACAACATCAGCATACGCGCACCCCTCGATTTCCTCTTTGAAAAGTCCCCTGTCCACGACACACTCCAGACCATATACGAGACAGCATCTGAGCGGAATATGTACACATAATCACTGCTTTCAGACTTGATCTGATTGCCTGAGCCGTGCCTGGACCTCCTCTAGACAATTGTCCATCTTCTCCACCCGCTCAATGTCACGCCCGACATCTAGAGCGTGTCCCAGACAGTTCCTCTTTAAATGCCTATACTGGTGATACAACAGGTCATGACTGTTCGGGAAGTAGAACCTGCGGATAAACGTGTACATCACATCAGGGAGGAGAGCGGCAAACACCACAGAAGAGACGGTCACCCAAAAGTGCAGGGTGTGGCTAGCGAATGACATCGTATTCAGGAGTGTCTCGGTGATTATGGTCGTGTAGTTGGTCAGCAGAAGCAGGATAACAAATACTGTGACGGTGAAGATCAGGGCTATGAGAGTCGCCCACGACCAGTACTTTGTTTGGAGGCATATTTTTATCGTGACAATAAAGATCAGCTCATTGAGCAAGTAGTAACCAAACAGCGTTAGATCTATATTATGCCCATTCATCTCCGTCACATTATAACTAATAGCAAAACGAGTCAGAAAGTACATGCATAGAGAGTGATAGAACGCAATCAGAATGCGCAAGCCGATGCTCTTGATGTTAGTTTCTGGCTTTTTCTCAAACACAGAGTAAACCCGGGGATGCACCTCTAGAACGCGGTCCTTGATGTCGTGCTCCGTGAGTGCGTAGATGAAGATTGGAAAGAACGTGAGAACTATATTATACATGGTCACCATCATGTCGTTGAACAGGATCTGGCTTGTGAAAAGACATTGACCACTGAACAAGCCGTTAACAAAGACCAGGATCAAATTCTTGTAAATGCAGTACTCAATGAGCTCGCTGTTTCGCAGATGGGTGTAGTGGCCGTGCACGAAGAGCAGCCGGCGGAGATACTTAAACTCCGGCAGAGAGAAGTCGGACGAGTTAGACGCATGCAGGCCCTCGTTGCCCGCAATCCCCACCCCAATGTTCGCTGACTTAATCATCGGGCAGTCGTTCGCCCCGTCCCCGATGGCCAGTGTTGTTATGTACTTATCCCTGTTCCGGGTCATTGTTACTATTAACGCCTTTTCTTCTGGAGACAATCGGCAGCATACAACAGCCGTGGAGTGCATCGTTACGCTTAAGAGGAAATCGTGTAAATTATTCATGTAGATCAGCTTGAACACGTCGCTGTCAATCACGGTCGTGAACGGCACGGTTGTCTTGTACTCCTTCTTTTTCCGATAAAGCTCTGTGAATGAAAAGGCGTCCTTGAGCTGCCTCCCAAACTTGGTAAACTTCTGCTTAACGCTAGACACGTCTGAGGTTGGCTGTTGTGCTCCTGAGGGCTTCCTATCTTGAGGATGCTCAGATGTATCATAAGTGTTGTACTCTGCAGCGTCTTCGACCCTACGATGTATCAATTTGCGCCGTTCCTTTATGACCGTCGGAGACACCCTCTTCTCAAATGCGTCAAGGAGCGTTATTAGTGCCAGTAGCTTGTTCTTTGTAGGGCTCTTTTCCAGCTTTTCAAGCACGAACTCAGATATGGGAGGGGCTACAACTTCGCCTTGCTTCAGCTTTTCCTCCATCAGAGTGACTTCTTCGTGTGTCAGATATAACCACTCAGACTCTGCCGGGGCAAGGTTGCTGCTTCGAGCGATGTTAACTGCTGTCTGGGTCTTGTCACCCGTAAGCATCCACACCTTAATGCCTGCACTCAATAGAGTCGCTAACGTCTCCGGAACCATATCTGCTAGGCGGTCCTCGATGGCAGAGGCCGCAAGGAAAGTCAGGTCTCGCTCGAGTCTCTTAGTATGAGAGATGTATTCAGGGTCACTGTCCGGCTTAATAGATACCTCCCTCCATGTCTTGAGAAAGTTATCTAAAAAGCCTGGGGAAAGCTCCCGAACCGCCCACACGAGAGTCCGGAGGCCCTCGCACGAAAAGTTGTCAATTGCCGCCTTAATTGGGGGTAGATTCATGGGGTTCTCCCCCAGGATGGGCTTACAGTATGGCAAGAGGAACGAATCTGCTCCCTTGCTCAACAAAAACGGATTTCCCGGAACGGTGCAGAGCTGAATGGGCGTAAAGAAAACGCGGCGCTTAGATCTGCTATATGAAAAGCGAGGGAAGCACACTACATCCTTCGGGTCAGGTGTAGGACAGGGTGATCCATTGACCAAATAAGGAGCGATCATTGACGTAAAGTGCTCGGATGGCTCGATGCCTTCCTCACAAAGGACTATTGACATGCGTTTCCGAGCAGAAGTGAAGGGCACCACAACTGGAAATGTGTAGGTAACAGGGACACTCACTTGTCGGGGGGCCACAGAGTCCTCGTTCAGTGAGAAGCTGTAATTATACCGAACATATTCTGCCTCACGACCTGTAATAACAAGACGAAAAGCTGCAGCAGCCTTTGCAAACGCGATTTCATCAGGCGATTCCCCTTGATAAACAAGAGTGCCACCCTTGTCACTAACGATTATTGTGTTGCAAAGGGCGAGGGCATATGTCATAAGATCACTGACGTGATTCTTCTCCTCTTTGGCCTCTAGAACTAGGGTGGAATGACTGATAGTACACAGTTCAAGCTTTCCTGCTGCAATAACTGTATCGTACACACACTGGACTCCATCGAAGAGAGTATAGAATGAGTGGAATATCATCTCGTTACTCGTCAGCGTCCCTGTCTTGTCACTGAAAATAATGTCCACCTCAGCTAGGTCTTCGATCAGTGCAGACGCCTTGACGACACAATGGACCTTAGCTGGAGGCAGCGGGTCGTAGGCACGCTTGTCAAGCTGAGGGAGAAGCTCGGCTTTCCGTAACCGCGTGTCCATCTCTATAAAGATACCTTGAACCAACCGCACAAGCTCCAATGAAACAAAGAGCGACATGGGTAGGGCATATGAAAATAGAACAGCATACGACATCCCTCGCATCAGGAAGGTGCCGAACTTCTTTGTGTTTGGGAAGCCTGCATAAGGATACCTGGTCAGATAGTCGCCGTTCGTTGCTGCTGCTATTGCCCCACAGATGATAACCCCCGCTACAAGAAAGAGTATTTCCAAGAGGAGAACCCTATCTAATCTCTTCTGCACATGGCTTAGCTTCAAGGGAGGCTTTGTTTGGTTCATCATGAGACGTGTGTCATAGGCAGTGTAAATTACGGCTCCAACAGCCAACTCTGTATTTTGCAGCTTCATGCCTTTGAGCAAGGTGTTATCAGTGTTGAAGTGAAGAAGCTTGTGGGTGTTATCGGTAGTGTAATTGGGGCCAGCAGCAAGATTTGTAAGTGGAAAGGCTGATACCAAATCAAGGGTCTCCGTTAAGGGAAGCTCTCCGTTTGCTCTATCACACGCTTGTGCAACAGACGCAGCAAAGCCAGTCCGTGGCGTTGTGGTTATTGAAGACCGTGTTGCCATATCTCGACCTGCTTGGTCTACTGGACTATCTCTGCTAGCTTTGCTGCTGATGCTAGTTACTCTAGGGACAACAGAGTCAAGCTTATCAATGCTAAATCCGTGGGAGCTGGTTAGGTCCTTGGCAACTTCAGTGGGCTCTGATGAAGTCACTGCGAGATCTAAATCGATAGCCAACGAGCCGGCGCAACCGCTGGTTGGCTTCACAAAAGTATGCGAGGAATTTCCAACAGATGCATCATTCAGAATGGAGTCGCCATCCTCGCTGTTCTCAGCTATATTGCTGATACCAGCAGTTGATAACAGGTTATCGGCACGAACGCCAAGGGGCCCTGTTCCTGGTACAGTATCCTGAGCAGATGGACTTGACGGTTGATAGGAGGGATAGCGTGCAGAGACGTACACAGCAGAAAAGGGAGACGCCATTGATTTGAGATTTCCAGGTGTCTTGTTGACACCCGAGTAACCTCCCGCAACCGCAGGAGGTGGTGCATAAAGTGCCATGGATTTGATCGCCAGCCGCGCGGCAAAGTCGTTTGCTGTGCCTGCTCGTGCACCGGGGTCGTGAAAGCCTATGCCATACGGAGACCAATGATAGCTGACCTTCCCCGTGAACAAGGTCAGATTAGAATTAGGTGGATACGCGGTTATACGCCCCCACAGTGTCCTGAGAAATGACAGAAGCTCCAATTCATTGTTGTATGGACTAAGGTGCGTGAGGATAACATTTCTGGGTTTCAGATTACTCTCTCCATCCAAGCTTGCAGTGTTAACCATGGCAGTCTTTGTCTGAGAGCTGGAGATCATAAGAAGACAGTCTGCAGGCACCTCATCGCCGTCCCTAATGATGACCAGGTCTCCCTGTGAAATTTTCGAAGCCGGCAGGGACAGAACCTCTCCCTTTCGAACTATCTTGTAGACCTTGCTATTCGAGATTTTGTCTGACCTTGACCGTCCAATGTCCTCAATGATTTCTCGCACGGCAGATATCACAAGAATAAATATGACTGGTGTTATCAGTGTACCGAATCCCACAATTGCCAGCCCAGGAATGGAGTTACAAAGTAAAACCGTAAGGAAGAAAATATTGTTAGGCCGTTGGTACTGTTCAATTAAAAACTTGAAGATAAAATTATACCAGGTGTACTTGCATGTGCTGATATGGTTTGTTTTAGCGATGCCTTCATCAAAGAAGTTAAACAGGATTGCATTTTGCTTGTCTCCAGAAGCACTCGATGTCCTCTTTGAACTGCGCTTGCAGCACAATGAGTTACATTTGCAGCACTTCGGTCGCGCCATCTAGTGCTATCTTCGTTAATAAACCGGTCGATACAAGTAATTAGGACACGAGGCCGAGAAAATTTTAAGATCTTTTTACGATTTTTTAAAATTAAAAGTGATGTTGATCTAATTATTGTTACAACACACTGGACGGTGCAGTTTATGCAATGATTAAGGAGATCCGTGTACTAGTAAGTGCAATCTAATATCAATTTACCTATAATTGTCTTCTTCATATCCACATCTTGGCACTTGTGCTCTTTATTAGACTGAGGGCGTCTCTATCAGGTCTATAGTTATCTCTTGTCTGGCCCTGAGCATCTTAGCTTCACATCCAAGTAGTCGAATTTAACTAGACGTTTAGTTTTCGATATGCGATGTACACAACGCAGATCCTTCTGTTCGGGGATCAAAGAGTCATGAGAAAACCACAATCGGATCCGCTAAATCTCTCTATTGACCGGTTTGACGGACTTTTTGTCACAGGCAAAATACACATTATCTGTTGGCCTTAAGAGATTGAGCTAGGACAAATGAAACAGCTGAAATTGCTGGACGACACTGAAAGAGGATATCTTGCAGCTGTATTGAGTGCTTCTCTTTAACTGCTTATATAATTAGAAGTAAACAATGACAATCACTAGCTGGTCACTACTGAATTGTAGCCCCGTTGGAAGTAAAGCAGTAAGCCGAGCATTGAGCACAGTATCAAAAACTTTTGCAAATTTCATCAAATGACCATTTTTAGCGGCCCCCGTGGCTTGTTTGCGTGCTACTGTCTTGTCGCCGAGTCTTCAGAGTCCCCTAAACGTTGTTATATTGGGTTTACGAACAATCCTTTGCGCAGAATCCGGCAGCACAATAGAAAGATTGCCGGAGGTGCTCGGAAGACGTCTCGCTATGGCCCATGGCGAATGGTCCTATTTGTTGGAGGATTTTCTACCAAAGTATCGGCCCTAAAGTTTGAGTATATCTGGACGTACCCTACTCGTAGCAGGTATGTGAACTGTATCTCTGCTACCTCACAGAAGTTACGCTTAGCATGCCCCCGAAGCATTTCAACGGCACTCGACGTCCTGGTCACGCTTTTAATCCATCCTCCCTTTTCTCTTCAGCCTCTCTACGTCGTACTTCTGGACGCTGAGGGTAATAGAGTTAAGTCCCAACTAGAACAGCACTCTGTCCCCGTATTTGTTAGCACTATGGAGGCTTTGCAAATAGAGCCGGGGGTGCGAGCACCGAGCGACATTATATATGCCCAATGTACTTCATCGAACGGGACAACCGACACAACGTTCACCGATGTCTGTCCTATATGCCAAGACGGAGTATCTCCATCCAACGTCCAATGCATGCAGTGCAGTGCGCGTTTTTGTATCACCTGTGCTGGAAAGCTCTTCACAAGGCGAAATACTTTGATACCTTGTTTCGGAAAGTGTCCAATATGTAAGAGAGAGTTTCAGTGGAAGGAAATGCTCAGAAAGCGGGCGGAAGAGCTTGTTGCCGGACGTAAATCAGTACCTCATAAGACCCAAGCTGTTGATGGACAATCAAGCCTATCTCAGAACTCCTCCTATGATGATTATGACACCATCAGCTTACTATCTTCATCATCTGAGCCAGAAAAGGATGATATTTCGAGAGACGAAAGCGGAACCGTTGCCAGCGTTCAGCCCGTATCCTCTGTGGCTCTAAGTGACTCTAGCAGATCACCAGCCACAACGTCCCCCACTAAGCCTCTTGCCATAGACCCTCTTCTCTCCTCACCTCGTCCCTGTGCCCTTCCATCTGATGTCATAAGTATCACAGATTGATTTAGTTCAGAAAAATCGGAGATGGGTGACACTCTCGGACTGGCTCTCGGGCGTGTGGGACGCTTCTTGTCACAACATTACTGGAACTTTGAGGCCCTAGCTGGGCTGACCGCTGATGGCCGTCCGCTAGAGCACGCCTTATCTTGCTTTTACGAAACCATGAATGGTGCTGTATCTAGGTCTATCTCCGTGGACTATAAAGACAACTATGGCCCTTTACCATGGGAAGGCATCTATAGCTTAGCAGACGGCTCTGCACTAGAGGACGTTTATGGCATCACAGGTCCGGATCAAGTTATTGATTCTAGAGCCGAGCTAAGCCTTTATCATCGGTATCTCAAGAATGGGGATGAAGAGGAAAGTCGAGCCTTGTATGCAGACGCTGGGGCCAAGTTCTTTCATGCGTGGAAGCGTTTTAACAAGCTCTCGTCGCCAACGATGACACCAGCAGGAATCCCTGGGATTTCCGACGTTCGCATCAATTTCCATAAGACAGAAAGGTTTGCAACAGACTTCGCTGCACCAAACTCAACGTCTCCTTTTGCGCTTGAGCTTCCTAGAGCAAATTTGAGTCAATCAGAGGTCCCCTCAGATTACTTCAACGAGGCATCTACCACGGGGAATACGCACGCTATCCTATCGTCTATTTATGATATTGCTATGAAACAGTTGGAAAAGTGTGATAGGCTGGACTGTTTGGTCCTGTTCTTGGCATCGGATACTCACTGGGGAACTGTCCTCACAGATATCCTGGATGAGATCTTGCCAGAAGTGCCGCGCACATCAGCTTTACTCTATGATATCATCGATTATAAGTCTCCAAATGAGCCGTCACCCCTTGTTTGTCCGAATCCTCTTCTGGCTTCTAAACGCAGAAAATGCTCTCAGATGTCACTGTGGCACAACATAGCTGACCGTCTAAGCTCATATGCCCTACTACCTCTTTCATATGCAAGCATCAGCAACTATTTTCGGAATGCATGCGCATCCGAAGTGGACATAGAGACACCAGGTGCTGCTGAAAATGGGCTACGGGGTAATAGGCAGGCATGTTTAACTGATGCTAGTGCTGTTATGTCCTTGGCCGTTCATAGTTTTGTGCGTCAGGCTCGGACACACACGTATCGGCTCAGTAATGTGGTGGACGGACTTGTCCCAGTTTCTTATGGTAATATCTTGGCAACCGGTTTGAATATTTCTCTCACTGGGGGCTTCTATGAGCACACACTAGATCTCAGTGGGTTGGTAGCTGCTTATCTCCAAAGCCCGATAGACTCCTCTTTCGCTGCTGCGCGGAGCTTCTGCATAGACCCTCTGGATCTCAGCGCAAAACCACGTGGGTGGGTAAACTCCTACGTCAAGCAGTATGCCGAGCTCTTCCGACAGCCCATTATACGAAATAGTCGCGGTCTTCTATTGAGAGGGCCTGTTCTTCAACTTCCAGACGCCTTTCCCCACATTTTCACTCAGCGCTGTGGACTCTCATACAGAACAGAGCTGCCGATAGCAGTGGAACTACGCAACACGCCGTACTATTATGCAAATCTGTGTGCCACTGAGAAGTTAATACAAGGGAGATCATCTTTTCGTGACGATAACTTGGAGCTAGAGGATACTCTTCAGTACCTCTGTGTCCTGAAGGATGTTTATAAACCATCGAGACACCTTGCTGGAATACAGATAAGCGACGACCGCAGCGGTAGTGAGCAATAGCCGCCACATCAATCACCTAGACATTTACACTGGTGCCCCCAAAACGACTCACACGAACACTAGGATCCTCGGGCCTTCTCAGCGGCCATGGCGTCCCTCAGCTGCGTGAAATGTTTCACAGCAAACTCGTAGATATTACTCGGTTGTTCCCGGAGGACCTCGCGGCAGAGATCCATGAGCAGGCCCGGGAACTCCGGCGGATACTTCGCGTTTTGCACGAATTGGGACATGTTGTTCTGCTAATTTTGTGCAAAAATAGCACGCATTTAGTAAATTTCCACAAATTCGCTTCTTGTGCACGTTGAGTAAAGGTGTAGCTGGAAAACGTGTTGCCCGGGTATGGACACTGCAAGACCTGCCAGCAAGAGCTATCGCCCCAGGGAACGAGACACAGGCTCCGGCCTGCATCTTGCTAGAGGGCTTGCGTCGCAGGCTGTCAAAAAAATATGATAGAATTGACTTTAAAATACTTTGTTGGTTTTCCATAAGATTACGCTGCTCTTTCACAATATCCACCTCGAAAGCCAGGATCGCACAAGCAGCGGTTGTCGCGGCACACACCATTTCCAGAGCAAACAACACCGTTGTCTGAATTGGTGACGCATGTGATGGCGGTGCAAACGCCATCTAACATCACTGCGTTGTGGTTGCACTCGCATTCAAATCCACCGGTTCCTTCTACACAGTGGCCATGACCCCCACAAACCCTTCTTTGGCCGTCGTTATACTCAGAGACACACTGCCTCGGGTAGCACGCCGTCGACGCATAGAGCTCTCCCTCTGGGCATTTATAATCTTCACAGTACTGTCCGAGGTATCCGCTGTCGCAGACACACTTACCATCGAAGCACTGCCCATGGTTCGTGCACTCAACCATGGTTGTGATTGGGTTCAGGCAGTTCCTATGGACACATTTGCTTGTGTCAAGAAGCTCGTAATCGTCATCGCACATGCAGTAGTCAATATACTCATTGGTTGAGAGCTTATTCCTTTGACAGACCCCGTGGCTGCTGCAGGTCTCTGGCATGTCTTCTTGCATGTCCGAGACACAAGTTAAAGGAACGCACTCACCAGTGGGGGTGGCTACAGAGTAGGTGCTGCACAGATCACAGTGCTTTCCGCTGTATTGATAGTTGCAGCTGCACATACCAGTGAGATAGTCGCAAGTCCCGTGACCAGAGCATAACACTGGTTCGCCTATAGGGCTATAGTCAGTGATGCAGCTTTTCGGGACACAATACCCGTTGTGTGAAACATATGCTTTGTTGCAGGTACAGCCCCATATACCGTCGGTATTTGTACAAGTACCATGGGGGCAAACCTGTCCCAGCACAATGCACTGGAGAGGAGTACACTCCGTTCCTCCTATGAGGGCGAAGCCTTGATCGCACACACAGTGGTCTACAACGCATGAGCCACCCCCGGAGCAAACGTCACCAGAGCTAGAGATGCACAGTTGATTGACGCACTCTCCACCTTTAGATACATATCCTTCTTCACACTGCTGTATCTCGTACTGGCATAGACTTCCTTCATAGCCTTCATCGCACACGCAGCCTTTCCTTTTACATGTTCCATGCCCCATGCAGACGGTGTAGTTTCCTTCCTCACCGCTGAGGCATGTCTTGGGAATGCATGCATTGCCGATGTTTTTCATCTTTGGCAAGCACAGACAAAATGCTTTTGTAGCCTTTGTGGCGGGGATGCATATGCCGTGGCCACCACACGCAGTGGGCTCTCCCATTATGTCACTAACGCACTCATTGGGTATGCAGTGAGCCCCAATGAGAGTAGATTTGGCAGAGCACTCTTCACACAGTTTTCCTGCATATGATTCAAGGCACTGGCAGTACGGCTCGTCATCAAGCCCGTACATGCATACACCATTACCGCTGCACACCTTCCCATCCGATATACAGTCTGGAGGCACACAGTTATGCCCCATAGCTATATACCCATCTTCACAAGTACATGTAAATGGAGCAGTTGCTGAGCATTCTCCGTGGCGTCCACAGTAGTATCTTGTTGCTCTATTGACACAATCTTCTGGCTGGCAGCCTTGCTCCGATAAGGCGTATCCTCTGTCACAGTGACACTTGGACCCGATGCAGTCTCCCCTGCCAGAGCAGACTGTTCCACTAAAGACACAGTCCTCTGGATAGCAATTTTCACCGACGGCGACCCTACCCTCGGGGCAGACAAGCGCAGAGACCACTGTTATAAAGCCTATCAAAAGCATTTTTCTTTGCACAGCTGGATGGGCGGCACATACCAACTATTTTGACAGAAGAGATTTACATATTAGTGGTTTTACGTGCTAGTGGCGCGTCCCTCCAGTGACTTGCCCATCTCGAGCATCAGTCTGTGAGCTCGGTCCCTGCACTTCTTGAGCTCCAGTAAATCAATCAATTTGCGCTTCGCAAGGTCATCGGCATCCGCCAGAAAATCGGAGCTTTGGGTAACCAATCGGTTTCCCTTCTCCACGATATCTTTGGACAAGAGATCCTTGTGCTCCCGGAGCGCCTCCTTCAAACCAGCAATGAGACCACCTAGCTCCTTACTGTATTCAAAGATCTCACGCTCGCGTTTATCTGCCTCCTTGTTCTCCGCAGCAGCCTTAAGCATCTCATTGATAGCATCCTGGGATAAAGAGGCATTGTTAATCTTTATTGACTGTTGGACACCCGTGTCCTGGTCGACTGCCTTGACATGAATCAGCCCATTCTCGTCTACCTCAAAGCTAATATCTATCTTGAGAGAACCGCGCGGGCCTGGTGGAAGATTGTCCAGCTCGAATTCCCCTAAGTAATGGTTCTGTGACGCAATCTCGCGCTCTCCTTGAAAGACCTTAATCTTGACCGATCGCTGATTGTCCTCTGATGTGGTGAATGTCTGTGTTTTCCTTGTAGGAATGGTTGCATTGCGCTTGATGATGGGGGAAAAGATACCACCCAGCGTTTCTAAACCCAGAGAAAGCGGGGCTACATCCAGGAGTAGGATGCTATTAACCTCGTGATTAAGAATTGCACCCTGCACAGCTGCACCTAGAGACACTGATTCGTCGGGGTTCATCGTTGTAAGCCCTTTTTGCTTAAAGAATTCGCTCACCTTTCTCTGTAGTGCCAGGCTCCTGGTGGTTCCACCAACGTAAAGAATCTTAGAGATGTCTCTTGGTGTCAAATCAGCGTCTGTCAGGGCTTGTTTGCACGGTGGGATGAGCCTAGCAACAAGAGGGGCTGTCAACAATTCGAACTGATCACGTGTAATGACCTTCTTGTAGCTCTTTCCGTCATAAAATCCGGGAAGAATGATTTCGGTGCTGACCTTTTCTGAGAATTGCTTCTTAGCTGTTTCTGCGCTCAGCTTTAAAGTGTACATCATGACAGGGTCTGCCCGGATAGCATCCATGATGGCTGCCTTCATGGACTTGGTGTCTGGGGCTCCTCGTGCAAATGTCTCAGCTATATCTCCGATAAGATACTCGACAAATCCGTTGTCCCAATCATCTCCTCCAAGAAACCCGTCCCCCGCCGTTGCAATGACACTGTACACGCCATCCCCGGAGCACTCCATGATGGAGATGTCGTACGTCCCACCTCCGGCGTCTATAACGACGAAGATTTCGTTCTCTTTGATCTTATTACTGCTGGAATTATAGTTGTAGAGCAGTGCAGCTGCGGTTGGCTCAGACAAAACCCGGATAACATCCAGATTGGCCAACTGTCCAGCCAACTCCGTTGCTCTCCGCTGATCGTTATTGAAATATGCAGGACAAGTAATGACAGCATGCGGCTTGTCCTCTATCTCGAGCCCCGACCGCTGCTGTACTTGTGACTTGATATACTTCAAGATTTCTGAACCCACCTCAATAGGGCTGACCGACTTGTGAAGGTTTGGAACGTTGATCATGGCTTCTCCATTGGGTCCCTGTACTATGTCATAGGAGACATGCTTTGCAGCACGCTTTACTTCTGCATCTGTGAAGCGCCTACCAATAAGTCTCTTACTGGCATTAATTGTATTCTTCACGTTAGTTAGAGCCTGCCGCTCTGCCTCTGCTCCAACCAAGGGGGTGTCGCGGGCCTCCAGGGGCAGGTAACCCACTACAGAGGGAACCGTTCGAGAACCGTCGAGCATGGGAAGGACGGTCGGCACGCCACTGACCATGGTAGAGACGCACGAGTTCGTTGTCCCCAGATCAAAGCCGAGGCACTTTACGTGCCGCTTAAGCATGGTCCGCAATTTACATTTACAAAGAAGCTTTTTCCACTTCTGGGTGGAGCGGAAAACACCCGAACAAGACGGATACTACGCATAGAATAATTATGCAATGCAACTCACAAGAACACTCATAAGAACTTAGGTTGATACAGCGAGGTGATAGCCTGTTGTTCCTGAACCGCTTCGTATGTATCACCTTGAATCTCAACCATCTCGCCGCTGTTGTTGATGTTCTCGGGGAAGTGCTTTGTGCGTGCCAATATTCTTTCAGAAAAGCCGCACTTTCCACGATCGCTCTTTAGCACTCCCATGAAGAAGGCGACAATGACCAGCGCAATGCCAAAGAAGGTGCAAGAAAGCATTCCTGTCTGTATGCCGCGCTTCAGTCCATACCTTGGATCACTACTACTGCTGGAGGCCGTGATGGTTGATTGAACGGTGACAGCCAGAGCTATACCAATGGAGTGCCCCAAGTTGGTCATGATGGAGTTCAGAGACCCTATTGTTGGGGCATACTTCGTGGGGGTGTTGGCCAGTGACGCAGTCTGAATAGAAATGAGCAGAGCGATAAAACTAATTATGCAGATAGTCCCCATAACAACGACAAGGGCCACGTGCTCATCTAAGAAGATAGCCTCGATGCACATGGCGACGAGGTAGGTCAGTCCAAAGATTATGATTATGACGCGTGCCACGATCTTCTTGTTTGCAAAGGTAAAGAGGGGGGAAAACACGATACTGAGGACGCCACCAATGGCTGAGAAAAGGCCGTTTTCAATAGACTTACGCTCATAGTACCGAACGATGATATATGGGAAGAAAAAGCGTTCTCCAAAGTAAAGCGACGCAGCCATGAGCATAGCAATGAGGTTCTTGATGACCGAGGGGTTGAACGCAGACTTCATATAGAGAGGGCACTTGCTCCACCTTGTGTTCCAGAAGAAGAAGACAACGAAGACACCTACCCCAAACAATAGAGACAGGGTCCCTGCATACCAAGGCATGCCCTCAGAGATAGATGTGAGCCCAAAGATGATCAGGGTGACCGCAGTGATGATAAAGATCGCCCCAATCCAGTCTATCTTCGCAGCCCTGTTACCCTTGATCCGAAGGCAGAGGAAGATGCTGTAGGTGGCGTGGAGCATGGAAAACAGCCCGATTATGGTCATCATGTACGTCCACTCACTCTTCTCAGCAATTACACTAGAGACCAGCGACGAGAAGATGGTCCCGATGGGCGTTGCAGCGCTATTTACCGTAAGGACGATGGGCAGCGTCGCCTTGCTGGTCATCATATAAGCCATAGGATTGCCAAGGGGTAAGAGCAGCGCAAGTCCGAAGGATGCCAGGAGCCGGCAGATGATCACCGCAGCAAGGCTAGTGGGGAAGAAGGTAATAAGAAACGTAAACAGGCCAAAGGTATATGAGCTTGCAATGTAAACGTAGCTAATGCCGAATTTCTCAGCCAGCTTGGGTGCAAGGCAGCCGAAGCCGCAGCAGATGAGCAGCTCGGAATGGATGACCCACTGGACAACAGAGGTTTCAACCCCCAACTTATTAGAGATGAGCGGAAGGTTTACCGCAAAGCACACGGCCTCCATGGCGTAGATTAGCTGACCAGGTGCAACGATCAGCCCAGCGATCCAAGCGGGAGTGCCTCCGAGCTTACTCTTTTTGCAGAAGGACTTGGGGGGATTCTGTGCCAAGGCTGCTGCCTTCATAGCTGCCGGGTCAGGCCCGGTCTCCTGTTGAGGATGAGGCATGGTGTACGAGGGCTGGCCTTGAAACGCTCCTCCCCCCTGGGGGGCAACTTTGCTACGGGAGAATATCTCATCGGATCCGAGGATGCCGTCGCCTTCACGCGTGAGCGGATCTGCCATGCGCACCTAGTTTTTTGTTTTTTTGACGAAGATTAAATGTAAGAAGACGACAGTCTGAAACATTACGATGATGCGCGCATGCACAGACACCTGCGCGACCTTTTCCACAGGTTGACACACTCGTAAGAAAGGTGCCTGCTGGCTCATATATTTACACAAAGGAGTTATATGCCCTCCTGAAGACCCGCAGCTCTTCTGCAGGAAGCTCCGCGACAAGTCGCTGGATCTGCAGGAGCACGTTTGCCATCTGGTCCTCTCGAAGATTGCACTTTTCAGCCATGGCCTTGAGGAGGCGTTCGCGGAGCTCCTCGTCTGTCATGGTTAGTGGGCACGGGGAATCTTCAGAAGCTTTTGCAGGCAGAGGTGAGTGGGTCTGGGCCTGAATCTGTCCGTAGCTGATGTCAGGGAGTATGTTTGCACCTGGAACGAGAAGATCCTGGTGGACATAATCCGAAGGCAACTTGTCCTCCTCTGCGCTCAACAGCCTCTCTATGTACTCTCTGGTGTTCATCCTTTTAAAAAAGGTACTGCTGTCGTCCTCTTTTTTTGCTCTTAAAGGATGACAACCCATGGTTACGCAGACAGAGCTACTCATTCCTCGTGTTCCTCCCGCAAGAGTGAATTTAGGAAGAAGCCGGGGATAACTCCTCTTCCAGGATTTCTTCCTACTTCCGCAGAATCTATCAGACTAGCCCTAAGCCTCTCGCTGCATGGAATGCCACATGATCGGGTGTTCGGAGTGTACAAGGAGGGCTACTATACTCTTATCAACACATACCTCTGGGATATATCTCGATTTAACCAGCTTATAGACGCTTTCAGTGAGTATTTGGTAGTGACACCAATCTCTCTGGAAAGCTTTTCCACCGGCCTGGTCTCGTTTATTAAGGTATCGGATGCTTTTTGCACCTTATTAGATTTTGTAATCCTGAGTGATAATCAGGAGCTTCGCGATAGTATCTGTGCACTTTATAAAGAAAAGTGCGCACAGCAGGATTCGAACCTCTATCCGTACGAACTGCATGTCAAAGAGATTTCTCAGCGATACATCGCTTGCATCGACTCAGAGCTGCACGAGGGTCTTACTAAGCAGAAGAATCGTTATAGGATCGCATACACCCGCTTATTGGAGATGTATTCTGAGGACATAGCGGCCGTTAACCGGATTCTTGGTAATGTTGGGGCACAGTTTATCAGCGACAGGAATATCTTAGGATCAGCCGGTCTTTTCCCTACCATTCTGACCTCTCGTCTGCTGTCATTCATCAAAACTTCTTTTCCACACAATGCTGACCTTGCTCCTAGCCCAGTAGCCATGCCACCTGTCCTAGACTTCCGCTCCTTTGACACAGGGTTTCCAGACTTCAGCAGCCGATCACCTGTCGTGCGCGTAAAGTCTATTCAGCAAGGACACGAATACAGTGCCAGAAGCTCTACATCCTACACTGCACGAAGGAGTTATGCAGATAACAAGAGCCAGCCCCTCTATCAAGATCCAATCCAGCAAAAACCTAGTTTATTCAACATTCGGGCAGAGCTATTGAACCTTATGTCGGCAACAGAGACCCAAGTGCACACCGATCACCGGCAGCAGCAACATATCACTCAGCGTTCCTCGGCTGCTGGCTTTTTCATCAGAGATGGAGCGGGCTTTGAAACGCAGCATATAAATGGGAAATCAAGCATAGTAGAGGGACAAGGGATAGATGTGGGGTTGCAAACAGAGACAGAGATAAGCCTTGGAGCTGCCGATGCAGGCGTCTGGACAGTGCCCATTGATACCAGTGATCAGCTTGTCAGTACAGACACGCAGCTACAGGTAGATACACAGACACAAGTGGAGCTGGAGAAGCAGCGAGAGGTGGAGATACAAACAGAAGCAGACGCAACGGTTATGCACTCTCTGAGTGAGCTGCATACTGCACTACAGAACAAGCTCGGATTTGATGATTCTATCACTTTGGCATACACTCTTCTAGAACACCTTCTAGAGCAAGTACATGAGGCCAAAGAACAGAACGTGTCTGACAGCAATTCAGAGACAGGAGCAGAGGATGCAGCAACACAAACCATAACTAGTAGTCAAGATGCTCTACAGGCAGAAACCTGTGGGACCAATACGGTAGTAACGAATATGAATTTGCACACAAGAACGTCGACAACTGGACCCCTTCAATCAAACACAGAGCTTTTGACTCCTGCAATACACGAGGAGAAGCCATCGGAGAATCAGTGGATAGCACATGACCCGGAGCAAGAGGAGACACCACTTGGGAATGACCATCTCTGGAAGCAAGTATTCGATCCTTACTTGGCACGAGTTTCATTTGCCCAGTGCCTCTCACAAGAAATTTCAGATGGAGAGAACTCTCTGCAACCTATTTTTGACACATGTGATCAATCATCTCTGATCATGTCTGCAGACGGAGTTGTTGGGGCGGCAATCTTTTCAGTTTCAAGGTCTTTTCCAGAGTTTATATATGATACGTTGACGAGTAACAGCTCAGAGTTTTATACATCTCAGTCTCAGCTCCAAACAATGGCTCAGATGGAAGAGGGTCATCCAAGGTACTGTGAGGCCGAACACATGTCAGCTGAATTGTCGGTAAATATGCAGCTTAAGCATGCTCCTCAAGCATGTAAAGAACATAGCTACGAAATACGCTACAACAACCTCTTGAGCAAGTACACATCAATGGAAGAGCAGTCCCTCAAACGGACTTTAGAGGCCGAGGAGTTACAAGCAAAAGTGGATGCGTTGACAGAGGAGATAGAATCATTGCGAGTAGAGCTACAGAGAGTGAGAGATAGATACGCAGTCGATTGTCTAAACAATTATGGGATGATAGTGCAAGGGTCAATAAGCGAGAACGAGGATTTGTCCAAGGATAGGTACTTAGCACGTGGAAAGTTAGAAGGGGAAGTAATTGCTCAGACAGCAACCCAACAGGAAAAGGGGCACCAATTGCCGAAGCAGGTGACAGAGAGTGCTGCCCTCTTCTTAACCGCTGACCTACTAGAATCTAAACAATCAATAGATCATGAAGTTTGCAGCAGTACAGCAGAAAGGATTGTGTGCTCTGTTATCAGAAATGATGTCGTTGCGGGGGTTCAAGACGAGGATGCGCTAGCAGAGAGCGCTATTACAATGCAGCCACAGGACAAGGCTGAACGTGACACATTAGAAAGAGAAAGGGGTCTGCTGGCTATGCAAGAAAATACATTTCTCTTGCAGCAACTCGATGTTCTAGAACGACAAGAACAGACCCTTCTTGCTAAGCTTAATCAGGTGTCAGAAGAGAGCCAAGCCAAGACCAAATTGAATAAGAACATACAAAGCATGCTATCGACTATCAGCCTGACTGTGAGTACCCAGTTGAGCGACATGGAGCAGCTGAATACTCTTGTTGACAGTATAGAAACGAGTGCCTTTTCATTGCGGCCAGAAATAAAGAAGCTCCATTCTTATCTTGCCAATACAGCCAGTGTGTCATCTCATCGGTCTTCTTCTGCCTCCTTTATTGACTGCCTGGATGACTAGTTTTTACAAAATTCAAAGTTGCATGGCAGAGACGTATAATCTTCAGCCAGGACCTCCTCGTGTTCTTATTGGGAACTGGGTGGAAGAAAAGGCGTTCTGGGACGCCAAGAAAGCTTACCAGCAACGCCTAGCCAACGGCGAGGAAATCCTTGAGCCCGCGTGCCAGACTCTCGAGCTGCAAGCAGGGTCCCTCTTTCTGGACCAGGAGTTTTGCACGACTAATAATGACTACGGAGACTTTACGCAGAGCAATAAGCCTGTGTACGGTAAGCCGCAGGTAGCGCCCACAAGTGTTGCTGCGGCACAGTTGGCGGCGGCCAAGAAAGAGGAGACCTGCGCACTGCTCGACCAGACAAAGGCACACGATATATTTGGTACCAGCGGAAAGCCTCTGGCTTCTAATGACGACATGCTTTCAGTGACACGCTCAACCTACTACAAAGATGAGCTGGATCCCAGGCCCAGGCTGCCCCTCTTTGAGGAGCACATCAAACTCTACAACACCAGCCGGCGCAAGTGCGATGGGTCTGGGCCCGTCTGTCAGTAAAGTGAACTACTATGTGCGGTTTACTCGTTAGAGAGATGCGTTCATATCATCATCCTCCTCGAGTGGCTCGTCTTCAAGCTGCTCCTCATCAGGTAGTAGTTCATCGTTGCTGTCCCCTTCGTCCAAGGGCCCGTCATCCAGAGGCTCATTCTGATCATCTTCTGCAAGACCTTCCAATGCATCCGGGATCGCTGCATCATTGTCTTCCTCAGCTACCGGTTCTTCTTGTTCAGGTACATCCATTGGGTCATTGGGATCATCGTGGTCCTGGTCTTCGTCTGGAAACTCTTCACCAAGGTCAGGATTCTCGTCATCAGGAGCGTCTTCGTTAAGCTCTTCTTCAGCCTCATTGGGATTGTCATCGTCGAGCGGCTCTTCCTCAACCAGTTGCTCTTCATCGGGAACTTCTTCTAATTGTTTTTCAAGTGCCTCCTCTGGCGCCTCTTCCAACATCTCTTCCGGCATTTCGTCTGGCATCGTTTTCAGTGCTTCTTCTGGTTCTTCTTCTAGGGGCTCTTCTAGTATCTCCTCTGGTTGTTCTTCTAAGGGCTCCTCAGCACATTCCTCGGTAGGCTGCTGGTTGGCGGATTCGTGCGACCCCGACTGTTCCGCTTCCATATGTTCTTCAGGGGTCTCATCGACCAACTGTTCATCTTCAACTTGCTCAACCAGCTCGTTGCTAGGATCTCTGTCCTCAACTTTGGAGGATGGGGAGGACAGGTTTTCAAGTGCCTTGTTGGGCGCTTCTTCGGAGTGCTTGCTTTCTTCGAGTTCTTCATCAGCCCGTTCTTCTGGAGCTTCATCTTTAACCGATGCTTCATCATGCTCTTGCTCATCCTCTTGCATATCCTTATTGCTCGACGAGTCTGCATGTGGGCCTTTATGAGAATAGTGTTCTTGTGCGTCTTCTGGATCCTCTAGAACTCCTCCATCACCTTGAGTGTCTGAAGACTGTTCCTCTTTGGGAGCTTCTTTGAGCGCCGCTGGATGCTCATATTCCTGAATCGGTTCGTTGAGGGTTAGGACTTGTTGGTCATTGTCGTGCTCAGCATGATCTTCGACTGGTTCGTCAATGGATGGCTCTTCTAGTTTGTCTGGAGATAGAGGGTCTTGCAAGTGTTCTGGGGCCACCTCCCCTAACACCTCTCTAGGAGACTCTTCCTCCATCTCAATTTCTGCAGGGGCTTCTTGCTCATTTTGATCATCATCATGGTGGTTTGACTCTTCAATAGGTTCTTCTTCAAGTGGCCTGTCAGGCGCCATATTATGATCCTCTTCATGGATAGGCTCCTCGAGAGTCATCAGGTGCTCTTCGTCATGAATAGGTTCCTCCACGTTAGGCTCAAACTCTCTGACCATCCTGGTTTGTGGAGAATTTCCTTCGATCTCGATCTCTTCCATATGAGGGGCATCTTCTGCTTCAGGTACAGGCTCCTCAACTGGTCCGCGTGCAGATAGCTGATGATCTTGCTCATTCATGAAGTCTGAGGAAGCAGAGTGGTCAGGAGCTGCCAGTGGGGCAGACACGGGCTCCTCAACCGGCCGTTTGTCTTGCTTATCATCTGGTAGGGGAGAATCAGAGTGTAAAGGCGCATAGCTAATAGTGGACACCCTTGGCTCTGCAGCCACAACATCCAAGTCGCGAGGATGAAGCTTGCCCTCTGCAACAGCAGCCTCATAAGGCTCCTCATTGACCTTAGTATCCTGCTCAGCAGCAGGCTGTGCCTTTGTGCTACGAAGCTGGGAGTCTGAAAGAGATCCCTCCAGCGTCTTCATGTGAGACTCCAGCTCAAAAACCCTCGACTTGAGCTGCTTATTCTCGAGGACAATCGATTCCATGTCTGTCTGGAGCGTTGATATCTTATTCTTCAGACTCGAAATTACCGTGAGTAGCTCCTGTTTTACTGTCTCTGCTGCAGCTCCGTCGACAACCATGGAGGCCCCAAGGGATCTGGTGGTATCCTCATACTGACCACCGCCTTCAACGTGTATGCCGAGTGCGTTGCGGAGGCTCATAGTACTAAATCGGTACGTATCAAGATATATCGTCTTGTGCGTACCACAGCCAGAAACTATATAGCAAAAGTCCTGCTCAAAGATGAGGGACGAGAGACACCTGCCCTCGGATGGTGCAAGACCTGTTATGGTCACCGAGTGCCACTTGTTCTCCTGAAGATCAAAGAGCCAAAGATCGGCGTAGAGCTTTCCTGCGTCGACGCCACCAAATAGCAGGAGGTAGTTGTTCCTGAATACAGCAACCGTGTGGTCACTGCGCATCTTGAAGAGTGACAGCCTGTGCCATTGATCAGAACTGGCGAGATATTCAAAGATAACCATGTTAGAAGACGTCTTCTGTGAGTATTGACTGCCGCCAATGAGCACTACTCGATTCTGTACATATGTCAACGAAAAGCGGCGCAGAGGATACGGCAGGTTGGCCGCCTTGATAATTGAATTTGATCGCAGATCGATTAGGTATGCGTCTGCCAGCACGGTCGAGCTTGGCGTTGCGCTGACGGTACCAGGTTGATTCGTTGCTGGCGTAACTGTCACTCCACCACACACAAGAAACTGGGCCTCATTGACTTGGCAAAGATTGTACCCGTTGCGTGCAGGAACGCTGACCCCAGTTAAGTTAAGATGCACAGCGTTTAATTCATCTGGGTCAAGAAGGTAGAATTGCAGATCACGAGATAGCTGATGGCCACGTTGATAGGTTATTGAAATGAGAATAAGATTGTTGAAAGGGGTGAGGCGCAGACCAGATAGTGCGGAGGTGTCTATCATGGAGCGAATGGGCCGCTCAGTGATCTTGACTTCTTCATGCGTGGGTTCAAGGAGCAAGAGCTTAATGCTCGAAGCGGTTCCTTCGCGATAGAGCTTAATGCCATAGTGATGGTCTCCGATACTGACCACCTGCGAAGAAAGTAGGTGGTTTGTGAGATTGCGCTTGACCTTGGAGAAAAGGACTCGCATGAGCGCCACTAATTCTGCTTTTTGGCTTCAGAGGTTGCCATTTCAAAATAAATTGCAATTAAAATGAACTTTACAACACTTTTAATCATGTTTTGCGAAACAATAACACAACCTCGCAGACGGCTGCTGAAGCGTTAAAGAGCACAAGGATGACGGCGGTGGTGTAGAACATAACTCGTATACACAGATGCGGCTTATGATGCGCCTTGGACAAATCTAGCATCCTGTAGCGAATCGATATTTCATTTTCTTTTAGCGCAGAGGTAGATTTAGCAGAGCCTTTCTTAGTTTTTCGCAACCGTTGTTTCTTTTTCTTGCTACCGCTCTCCTCATCTATCTCGTCACCAGACTCATTTTTCATAGGAGCAGAGCCGAACTCGACCCCATCTATGTTGCTTTGCTTTGCTCCCAGAGATTGCTCATGAAGTGCTCTTTTAAGTTTTTCTTCCAGAATGTCACCAACAGAATTCTTCTTGAGTAATGGAAGCTTGTAGACCACCATAAGCGGGAATAGTTGGAAAATAATGACCCCAAACACGTTCCCCATGATGCTGAGAACCTTGTCGATATTTGGTATGAGGATTGCCAAAGTAGTACAGACTACAGTTAATATGAAACCTACCAAAATAAATAATCCGTATCCGCGCCTGGTATATTTGTCGATTTTGAACCATGCAAGAATATTTGCTCGGATCGGGTAAAGCATAACTGGAAAGCTCGTTAGGATCACAATGGAGTAGAGGAACATGACGACGGAGATGACGGTGTCACCAGTGAAAGAGAGGAGGATGTTTGAGTTCACGGGTATACAGTCGACAACTGAAGGATCCGGGCAGTTTCTGTTGAACATTAGAGAGCCCTCAATGGCAGCAGCTGCATAGATAACCGTGACTATGGGGAGGATGATCAAGATCGTCAACTTCATGCTGCGCGTTTTGTACCGTGGAGACCCCGTGATGTCGAACTGAATCGGGGTTATAGAGGCATGGAGTGAGTACAGTGTGGAGAAGATGGTATAATAGGATATGATGTCTGCGATGTAGTTAGTTGACTCAGGAAACCATGGAACGGGTGGCGCAGCGTGGTGCTGCCCATTTAGATTGCCAGTGGTAAACCAACCGAAGAAGCGGACATTGAGTACTATAAAGGCAAAAATAACAAAGACAACAGCGAAAGAGCTGACGATGTTGAGGGCACTGATGGACCGGGGGATCGTCAGGGGGAAGATGATAGCCGCTCCAATGATGACTTTAAATGTTACACTCCACATCTGTGACTCTAGTACGGTGAGGCCTGCCAGGGTTATTAGCGAGGTTCTGATGTAGTCAGCCGAGATAGAGACATAGGTTATAGGGAGAATGCAGGCCAGCACAGAGATGTCTACGCTCCACATAAAAGCCTTGCCATAAAGATTCCTAGCGAGCTCCCGGGCACTGGCAAAGTTCCCGTGATAGTTGACCTCCGTTATGAGCAGAAAACAATACGTGCAAAATGTAAGCGCAATCACGTCATAGCACGCAGCCACAGCAAAGCCGCTAACAGAGACGACCTTCGGAATGGCAAGAAGCCCTGACCCGATGCAACAATTGAATATTGTAAAGAGCAAGGCGTAACGGCTCGTAGCGCTGGATTTTCGATAGATATACACGTGCTCAGTTGACTGGATTGTTTCTGCTATGTCACAGTCTGGCTTGGTACTTTCTGTAGACATGTCCCCGTCGCGGGTAAGTCCTCTAGACTCTCCGGAATCTAAAGTCATACTTTTTATACTTTAGCTCAACACTTAAAAGTAGCAAAAGACAACCGATAGCTGATTTACTATCCTAGTTTACTACCACGTTACTACCACGTCCAGACAACTGGTTTGCTGGTTTGTATGCTGCTATGCTGACATGCCGGTACACTTTTTATGAGAGCGAATGTAAATAGCCCTGAAGAACGGCACCCTCCCCCAATTGAATTCTGCTGGAGCCTGCCGATACGTCTATGCTCGATGTGAGTGCCATCCACTTCTTCATGTCGAGGGTTAAATAGTACGCATTGGTCTCTGTAACGCGCAGATACGCCTGCTGCCGGTAACTGTTCCAACCAGCCAACGAGATCAATCCATCATAGCCTGTTATTCGTGTGCTCTCGCAGAACATGTCTCCGTGAATATGCGTGATCCCAAAGACCTTGTCGGGCTGAAGGAGGTCCAGTGGGAGAAGCCCGGGTCCCTTGCATGTCCACACGAGAGAGTCGACACTACACGAGGCTTCTGCGAGTCCTCCAGTAACACCAACAGCAAGGTGCTGCCAGAACAATATCGAGAGAACAACGAGCACCCACATTTATTCGTGCCTTCTCAGAGTTAAACGTTTCACTGGACCATCGTTTCATAAGTGTTGTAGATTGACTTAAGTGGCGACCATTCTCTCGTAACACAAACCTCAAGCGTGCCACTAACAAGAGTTTCAGACTTTTGGAAGTGTGTGTCTAATGCAGGGGTAGTCAGCCATATCGTAAGGTGTTCAAAGGGGTTTGAACACGCTAGAAGAGCAGAATAAATTGAAATATGAGAGAAGTAACAGTAAGTCCCAAGGACACCATCATAAGGATAAGAAATGTTATCTTCTTAGTGCGGGGCGCTATAATCTTAACGCGAGAGAAATCCGGTAGGGTGCCCATGACGACGATCCCAACAGCATACTGGGTGTGTTCCAGGGAGATTTTCTCAGAGCCTTGAGGCCCGGCCAAGACTACGTCCTTCGCAATTGTTTCGTATCCAAGTTCCACGCTTCCATCCATACCAGAGAGTGTATCGTCAATGAGCATCTTCTTCTCTTTCATTCGAGAAGTCACACTCTTGAAGGTATCCAGCTGGGATATCGACGCTTCCCTGTTGCATGGCTCTATGCTTTCGAGGTCGTCTTCTGTGATTTCTCTATGTAGAGATGCCTTAGACTCTATGTTCCGTCTGGTTACTGCCAAGATGTCTTTCTCCACAGCGGCGCCTTTACGTGGTTCTCTTCTAGTCCCAGGCTCGGCTGCCTTGCTGTACAGGGTAATGCTTCTTAGTGACTTGCTAGCGGTGGACTTACGCAGGCTCTGCCTCTCTCTATCCGGGATGCCGTCACATTTGGACGGCGTGGTAGTACCTGAACACGAGGAGCCGGACGACGAGCTAGTTTCTGACGAATAAAAGTCAAGCAGGGCAGAAGAGTCCGATGACTCGTCGTCTAAGATATTATTCTCTCTGTAACGGGCTGCAATGGCACACAAGTCTATGTTCCGCCCAGCAGACATCCTGCGCAGGTAGGGCAGTTTATAGCGGATAACGAGAGGCACAAGTACGCAGACAATGCTGCCTAGAACGCTGGCGGCCAAGGAGGAGAGGATTGTCAGATTTGGAATTACCAGCGTGAGTGCAAGCGTGAAGCAGATGATAGGCCCGGAGACTAATAGGTATAGGAGACGCGTTCTGCATGGAATGGAGCCCTTTTCCTTATTGCCCTGCGCATGTAGGCACGCCAATTCGGGCTCTGAAAGTGTTCTTCCTATAGGGAGCTTTGGCGAGTATCCTGCCAGCTTATGAAGAGATGCCAACCAAACGTTTTCTTGTGCAACTGCGGAATTATCAGGCTTTCTTCTAATAACCTTTGATGCATAAGGGATCAGCATGTTTCCCAGGACAATGATCTTCACAACTGCCACGAGCACTAGGGAGGCAGTATAAAGGATCATGATTACAAGAACGCCAAATGGCATGATGTACTCCTTAGAAAAGGGATCCCTGTATACCAAAGACATGACATAGTTGTCTTGTAGTAAGATGCAATCCGTATCGACTGCCGTACAGGTACCATCGAAGAAGAACACAGAAACAATGGAAACACCAAATGACAGGACCAATATAACGCCCACTGTGAAGAAAATGGTGGACGCTGCCCACCGGTAACGGGATGAGTATGAGCCCTGCTGCTTGTTTTGCTGTCCGATAAGGGTAGGCGATATCCATAAGCAGTATAAGTAGTAAAAGGGAGAAAAGACTCCTGGTTTTGTGTGAAACTCAAAGGGCACAAGGGGAGCTGGGGGAGGGTCATGTCTGTAGCTGTGTACATATCCAGTCCTACGCCAATCTCCATAGACTACGCAAACACACAAGAAAACGATGATGAAAAGAAAGCCAGCGACGGCACACCCAATTGTAAGACCGTGAAGGGTTCCCCGAGGCAAGAGAGTAAACGGAAGAATAACGACAATGCAGTACAACAACTTAATGAGTATATAAACTATGGGGTCGACCTTTTGAGTAAGCTGGCTGAGCTGTGCATACGCACCAAGGGTTTGGTCAACTAAGGCTAAAATCTCTGGGGCAGGAAGGTATGTAAGCATCGTGCTTATCGCTGCAAAGTGGTAAGCCCAAGGCCTCAAGACACGAGCTAGAAGATCCACAAGCGACGATGACGCCATGTGGTAGGCTGCTTCTGCCAGTACGATCTGCGCGTAAACGGAGTATGCAGCAGACAAAAGCATCAAAACGACGGAGAGAGGAATCCCTAGTACATGCATAAAGCGTGGTGCCGCAAGGAGTAGGGGCGAAAAGCTGCAGAACAAGATTAGGGTGCTTGCTCCGACATACGCCTTCACACTCGATTCTCTCATGGGCGCTACACCTGAATGAGAAGCCTCCTTGGCCGTCAGCATGGGTAGGTAGTCTGTCCCTCAGAAATTCTAGTGTTGGAATCCCTGTGGAGGTAGAAGCAAGAATGAACTTTCGAGTGAAATGGCGAAAATACATTCCAAATAAGAAAGCAGAAGATGGGAAAGGGAACCACGCCTAAAACGTCCCAAATAGGCTCGGCTGCCGCCAGCCGAGTTACTCCTTCGTCCATGAAGATCTCTCACACAAATATAAAGAGTAAAGCGCAGACCCCGACCTCGTCCATGACCAAATCTTTGAACAGCACAGGTCAGCGCATTAAGGGGATGGTCAAGTCCCTCTTTGGCACTAAACCTCTCATCCAGGAGGATATGGAGCCCTCAGGGTCTTCTTCGGAGATGATTCCCTTGCCAACCAAGCCTATACCTGGCAAATCCCAGAGTTCGCAGACAAGTCACACTCCTAGGAGATCAACAAGGCAGTCCGATGACAAGTCTTCCACGCGTGAGACTGGACCTGCGCCCGTGACCGCTAGTAGCCCCGATGCACAGCAAGCAGAGACCCTCTTTCCTGCGGCGATCGCCACGCTTGCCACCATGGCCAACGCAGCACTCGCGCAGGCCCTCACGAACCCTCAGGCGTCTGCAGCCCTGACATCATCACTTATTTCGTCTCAAGGTCTCTCTACACGGGACTTAGCACTAACGACCTCAAATTTACAGCCGCCTCAACCTAGTATCGAGTACCCAGCCTCCTTTGGGGCTAATTACAATTCCCTAAGCAAATCTGTGACACAGCCACCTCCGTCTATTAATCAGCCATCTCTGCATCCATCGGCCGCGCCTACAGAGCAAGAGTATGTTATTTTTCCTGCGTCAATCATAAACATGTACATGGCCATGAGAAATAAGGGAACAGATGTGGCACAGAGCTCCGTACAGCACGTGAGACCAGCGATGGCAAACTCTTTACCGGTACAGCAAGCTACAGAGTCTTTTGTGTCCACGAAGCGCACGGTCCACTTTGAGGCTCCATCAAAGGATACAGTTGGCCTCTCCAATTCGACGGGGTCTATAATCCAAGGAAGCGCCCTTGAGATATCAGCAGGGGCTGCGGAGAAGGAGCCAGCTCCTAAGAAAGTCATCATACGTGAAGATCCCAAGCCCGTGGAGCCTCCAAAGCAGGATACTAGTGTCGCTGACGCAAAACCAGCTGTTCCCGATCAACCCAAGAATGAACCTTCGAAGCCGACTGGTACGTTTTTGTTTGGAAAGGCAGATTTTAGTGTAACCAGTTCAGCTTCAACAGCTAAAGATGGGCAACCGCCCTTAGCTGATTCTGCTTCTACATCCAACACTCAGAACAAGGCTGTTACTTATTCATTTAAATTTGGAAGCACCTCTGAGGATACGAAGAGCAATACATCCTCTAATCCGCCGGGGCCTGATTCCGATTTGAAGAAGGAGGAGACTGCAACTGGAGATAGCGCTGCATTCAAATTATCGCAAACAGACAATGTCCCGAAACCTCCATCGAAAGGTTTTGTCTTTGGTGCCCCAGTAGCGCCTGCACAGCAACCACCGCCTCCTTCAACTCAGCTAACCACAAAGCAAGAGCAGCCTCCAGAGCAAAAGAAGGATCACCCGGTCTTCTCATTCGGGTCTATGTCTGCATCGACTACACAAGGGTTTGGATTTAAACCCCCGGCAGATGAGCCCAAATCGACACCAGTCGCACCTACTGCAGGCTTCTCCTTCACTGCCCCCCAGACGGGCGCTAAACAGACAGGTGCGTTTTCCTTCCAGGTATCTACCCCTCCTGTGCAATTTGGAGCGACAGGAAGTAACGCCGCATCATCTACCCAGCCCGGTTTTAGTGGCTTTGGTGGGTTTGGCGGCGGCTCCTCTAGTCAGTCCGTCTTTGGTGCGGGCGTGTCTCCATTTGGTACACAACCTTCAACGACCGACGGGGCCTCGGGACCTCAGGCAGGATCCTTCGGCTCCTTCACCTTCTCTAATCCGTCAATCAAACCGCAGCTCTCTTAAGGCGCTTAGTTAAGGACGACACACTGGTGGGCTATACTGCTCATGAATGCCTTTGTAAAGGGAAAAAAGCTTACAAAGGAAGTGCTTTTCACTTCTATCAGAATCTTTGGGGTCTCCGGATGTTTCTACGATGCGGTTAGTGAAAAAGCGCTCTAAGTTCACGTTGTAGCGGGCGCTATAGCAGTGTGCTTGACAAAGCATATCTATCTTATCGATAACGTGGGCTGCACGCGCAAGCGGAGAGTGAGCATCTTCATACATTGTAAACAGCTCTTTATAGAGTGCTCCCATGCGATGGAGACCAGAGTTGCAGAGGAGTAGTACCAGTTCTCTCATAGCTGAAGCCTCTTGCATACGCTTTTCGGCGGCAGAGACCTTGCTCAGAGACTCGGGAATAATGTCACCGACGATAGACTCAGCCAAGTCGTGAAGGAGCATCATACAAACAAGACGTGTGCGCCTCTGCGGATCTAAGCTCACTGAGGAATCGAGGGCTACACAGGCCGTGGCGTAGCTGTGGTCAGCGACAGACTCAACACAGCCAATTTCGGGATGGAGTGTCCAGCCAGTTCGTGGCAGGCAGCAGAGCCGATCCAGTAAAGCGTAAAAAGCCAAAAACGACTGCACACGGGAGGAGAGCATTTCTTAACAGGCTCTGCCTGATTTGGTTTACTCCCTCGTTCAGCAGCGAGCTGCCTTTAAGAATTGTCTGTATATGTTACTCGTACGCACAAACGTTATGGAGTGCATGCTATAAAGGTAAGCTTCTAAAAGCCTTGCTCGTTCCCTAATAAACTCCGGCTTCCAGCCGCCCAAAGCGTAAGGCCTGTCGGGTGGGATGTCAGGCAAAGTCGCTGCAGGATAGGCCGCAGAGATTGCCGCGTGAAGCTCCTTGACCTCCGAAAAGCGGCAGCTTATGTGGAGCCTCCTGCCGTCCATGCCCAGCTCAATGTAGTAACTAATGAAGGGTCGCGACCCAGAAATAATAACAGTGCGGTGGCTCAACACCTTGACATAGAAACTGGAGCATGACGAGGTGTCGACGAACAGGGATACATGTCTGCCGCTATCCCTATGCTTGTTGCTTCTAACTATGGACGATGCAGCTCCATGGCCACTCCTTCTAATTGCACTCAGTGTCTGCACAGACGGATCATACTCAACAGAATCGGATTCTCTCTCTAGTTGAGCCTCGATGTTGTGCCGTAAAGCCTGAAGCTCCTTGTCGCGCCTTTCACGAAGGCGAATCTCACGCATCAGCTCTCTATCCAAAAGAAGGCCACTATTAGTTGTGTCTATCGCAGAAGACGTCGTAGAGTTGGACTCTATCTGCGAATTGACAGCGAAGCGTTTCCTCTCTGCCTCAAGTTTTTGGTACTCACGGTCAGCTTTGCGATTGGCCCGTTCAATCTCCTTGTCCATCCGCAACTTCTCTTCGGCTAAAAGACGCCGCAGCTCTTTCTCTTCCTGCCGTTTCTTCTGCTCCTCAATCTTTCGAAGTTGCTCTTCACGCAATTTCTCTGCCACGGCGATGTCTTCGCTGTGAGAGGACTCTGTTAGAGATGATACGGTTGTAGACGTCTCGCGCTCCATAGGCTCCTTCTTGTCCTTCTGCTGCTTCTTAGCAATCTTCTTATCTGCACGACGCGTCTCGGTAGTGGATTTGATGGTGGAGTGGGGCTTAGACGAAGAAGTGTCTCCGTTAATCTTCTGTGGCTTTTCTGCTGGTGCGTCTTTAGTTTCCTTAATGAGGTCGGGCTTCTTCTTGATTGCGCTAGTCTTCTTTTTGTCTGCTTCATGCTTCGGTTCCTTCTCAGGCTTCTCAAGCTTCTTCTCCTTCTTCTGCTTGGCAGCATGATGCTTTTCCTTGGCATGTTCATCCCTCTGATGCTCCGCTTTATGCTTGGTATGTGATTTGGGAAGATGCTTTGGTGGAGTGTGTAGTTCTACAACAGGTGTATTCAGCCTATCAACATACAGGCTATCACTATCCTCATTATCGACGACCAAACTTATCGCAGGAGTATCAAGCCTGGATACAACCAAAGAGTCCTCCTGCACTTCTTGTTCTGTACGTAGAGCTGCATGGCCTGTCTCGTCCTCAAGCCCTTGAGGCTCTTCCTCTTGGCAGTATAGGTCCTCCTCGGCCTGGCGCAGCATCTCCTCCTCTTCACGTCGCGCCTGCTCAAGCATCTCTGCCTCTTTGCGAGCCATTTCAATATCAAATTCATCCAGCGTCTCTTCCGGAAGCTGAAGTACCCCTTCCGGTGTAGGCTCATATTCTTGTTCGTGGACCGACACCTGCTGTTCAATATAAGGCTCTTCTTGGCATACATCAGAAGATTGTGCTAGCCCAAACGACCCATCGAGAACGTCAGGAGTTGCGACACGATCAACAACCAAATCCTCAGAAGGCAATAGCAGGCTCTCTGGCCCATGCGAGTCAGGTGGGGCAAAGTCGTCCGGAGTACTATCACAAGGAGTGACCTGACGATGGACCGAGCTTGCACAGCTATGTTCCTCTAGGGCTGGCTGTCCCCATTGAGATATCTCGCTTTTGAGTTCATCAATAAGGTCACTGTCTTGTATTCTCTCGAATGAATCCGATTCAGTCTTGTTAGAAATGTGCTCCAGAGGTGGAGCTGTCTCCATATCAGGCAAGCTCTCCAGGTCCTTGATCTCAGGGGTGTGTACTACCGCATCCTCAATGATAGCCTCCGCCTCACGAATGCTTCGTTCTGTCTCCGGGTCTGTTTGCAGTCTGGAAACAACATCCTCAGATACGTACTCATCAGCGTTGGAGAAGCTTCGCAAAAGCTCTACCTCCTGACTGCATTGCGGTTCCTCGCTCAGGACCTGCTGTAAAGACTCGTCACAAGGTAGAGCCATGCTTATCTCCTCGCGGCTCTCAATAGGTACTAGCTGTTGTGGTTGTATGTCCCTGAAGACTCTGTCCGCTCCAACAGCTGCGCGCAAACGCAGAATCTGATCTATGACCAGCATCTTCCTGACTCTGCGGAGATGCTCGAGCAGAGCTGCTGAGTCTTCTGCTTGAGCGGGGTCGACGACCTCTGGCCCTTGAGCAAAGGCTGTCTGAGGACTGGGGTCAATGGGGACTGAATCAGAAGGCGTAGGTACCCTGGAGACGCATATCGGAACGGCTGAGATGTCATTGTCTGAGAACGGCATAACTGGAGTCACATCAGAAAAGGCAGCCAAATCTGGGGCAGGTGCCTCACTAATTGCGGCAGGCGTCGATGGCGCATCATCAAAGCCAAAGAAGCCGAAAGCATCATTAGGCTCGATAGCGTCGGGGACCTCAGCGGCGCCATCCGCAAGGTTAGCCCCAAAGCCGAACATTTCATCCGGCTGCTCTGCAGGAGGGTCATTGGTGTTTGTTGGTTCGAGCATGTATTGTGGCTGGACATCATCGTTGTCGGGATTCTCGGGCCTAGGGGCCTCATCCTTACAGGTGTCCACGGGCTGGTCTTGTGGCTCATCATCAATAGGCCCTGCCTCCAATTTGGGTTCGTCGTTGTGCAGTTCCTGAGGATCATTGTAAGCATTATCTTCTGGCAAGCCATAGGCATATGCGTATGGGTTGGAACCATCACCGGCCACGTAAGGGGCGCCATAGTAGTCCATGTCCGCGGCCATTGCGTAGGGGTTCTGGTGGTCACCAGTGGTCTCGTCCTGGCTCGTCCCGTAGTCCCCCCATCCATAGGCTTGGTATCCGCCCTGCTCCTGATCACCGTCCATTTTTTTAAGATACAGAGGCAAAAGGCATCGAGGGGCGGCACTGCGGTCGTGTTTCACTTATTTTCCCCCGGCTGTGCGGATTCCTCTGTGGCAGCCACGCTACACTAGAGTATTCTTTAACAGTCCACAGGACTCCATGTGGGAAAAAAATGTCTTCACGGTTCACTGAGACGAGTCGGTATGCTAACGACCGAATTGACATTGCGTTTCGCGATGATGTTTCATTGGATGATCTTGAGGAGCATACCATGTCCCTCCGTATTGACGACGATCAGCATGCAACTCTGGGGTCTTCAACAGAAGAGTTTTCTCAAGTGACTGTAATAGACCTCTCCAGCATCGAAGCTAAGCGCAGGAGCAGCCTGCTGAGCGACTTTAAAATTCTTCAAGATCTGCACACTCGGCATTTCCTTAAATACAAAGAGTTATATTTCGACAAGACAAATAGTACACTATATATAACGCACGAAAAGGTTCTCGACATGCCTTTTGAAAGCTATATGAACAGTAAGGTCCGAGAACATGGAGACATTCCAGAGCAGGACATCCTCATTACCCTTGTTCAGCTTCTTGCCATGGCTCGGTACCTCTCATCTTTGAAGCTTAGCAACCCCGAATGGGTGCGGTACATCTTCCTGCCCGCACACATCTATGTCTCAGCGATGGGCATCCTAACGTTTGACTACGCAGCATGTTTTGAAAAAGCCCTGGCAAAGACCATAAGTGAAGACGTATACGAATGTCTTGCCCCAGAGTTTCTTGTTGAGCCATGGGGCTCTTCTCTACGGACATATAACTTCGACATCACTGGGACTCTGTCCTCAGGAGTTCTCCGCGATAGTGACAGAACCACGCCCCAGGATCAGAGTGTCGTATGCGCATACGACAACATCATAGACACATATAGTGCGCAGGGAGGTGGCTCGCTCTTACGAGGGTGGGAGAGGCTGCAGTCATTCGACGAGCGGTCGCTAGTGTGGTCCATTGGATATCTAGTCTTGAGCATGTGTATTTATAGCAGGCGTGAAGCCCAATGTCAGAGCTCTCAGGCACCCCAGGACATTGCGTCTATGAGTAGTCAATTGAAGGTAGATGGCATGACAGCCGATGAATCTATTCCATCCCTTGTAGCTATCGGTTTGATGGAGAAGGTGGAGGAAGATACTTTCGCCCAGACGACTGCGAAGCACGGCCGCGATGGGGACGCAGTCACAGCCTTTCTTCAGCAACGAATAGAGGATGGAAAGCGTCACAGCTATCTAGCTGAGACAAGGTATATAGAGCTAGACAATAGCGTACCGCAAGAGGTTTGCGCCATCCTTGACCAATATGACTTGCGTAGCGTGTATTCATTGGCACTCATTGACTTCATTGGACGGGCGCTGAAGGCTAGTGTGGAGGTACGCCCCCTTGTGAGTACACTTATCTCTGAAGAAGTGTTCTTTAATGCTCTGTCCGACATAGCGCAATTCTTGGAGTACCGCGACTCTCACGGCAACACGCCTCTCCATTTTGCTTGTGCCTTTGGGTGTGATTCGTTTATTTATGATAAGAGGAACACGCTAGTATACGCTAAGATGGGCAACGATAACATGCAGTCCGGCTCAATGATAGCAGCGTACATGGGCCATACCAAATGTCTGGAGGAGGTGGTCAAATATGAGTATAATTGTCGTGATGGTTATGGGAGAACTGCGCTCATGCTGGCCGCGTCTCAGGGCCACGTGGAGTGTGTGCACCATTGCATCATGGAGGCTAAACAAGTTGATAACAGCAACAAAACAGCAATGATATATGCGGCAGAAAACGGCCATTGGGAGGTGGTGGAGATTCTCGCGCCCTTTGAGTCAGGGCGCCGCCCGGACAATGGTGAGCCTGCCATCTGTGTTGTGGCTCGGAAGGGGTATGCACGCTGTCTACGAGGCCTGCTAGACACAGAGCAGGAGTTTTTGCCTGAGGTGCTGCGAATAATTACATCGCACCCGGCTGCCCTTGGGTTGAAGGAGCTTTCTGATGAGGCCTTGGTGAAGAGTGCGTCCGGTAACATCGTTAAGAACACGAGCTCACCATATTATGGCGAGTCATTCCTTAAGCCCGAACATTGCAGCTTTGTAGAATTCAACCCTCGAGACACTGATGACGAGCGTGCAAGGAAAGTCCGGGGATTGTTTCTTATTGTCAAGACCCACTGTCGAAGGGTGAAGCTGATGCACCAGTGGGAAACAGAAGAAGAGTTCGTTCAAAAGGTCCTGGACGGACGGAACGTAAAATACTCAGCAACAAATTCCAGTCAGAATCTTTCAGAAATATCCAGCATGTACATTTCGTTTTAGCAGTGATAGAAGTGCAGTGGCTGGACTGAACAGAGACTCCCCAGTTTATGGTCTCTGAGTCACCACAAATTAAGCTTGCGCTTGGATTTATTTTTTAATGATTTACCTGGACAACCAGGCCACTACGGCTATCGACCCCCGCGTGTTAGCTAAGATGGTCCCGTACATGACCACAAACTTTGCTAATGTTCACTCTACGCACCGTCTGGGGCGCTCTCTCCGAAAGGTTGTTGAGAAGGCCAGGGAGCAGGTTGCCGGGGCGATAGGTGCCGCGCCCGGGGAGATCATATTCACTAGCGGTGCAACAGAGTCTAATAATATTGCGCTCAAGGGGGTTTGTCACTTCTACGGTGATGACAAGCCGCATCTAGCAATTTCCCGGATCGAGCACAAGTGTGTCCTTGAGTCCGCGCGGAAGCTGGAGTCAGAGGGATTTAAGCTTCACTGGATAGATGTAGACGACGAGGGACTTGTCAAGTTGGACCAGCTCCAGGACCTCCTGAAGACCTACTACGACCCCGAGGAGGAGGAGTCGAAGGTGGCCATTGTGAGCATCATGGCTGCGAACAATGAGATTGGGACCATCCAGGATTTGGGGGCCATTGGTAAGGTCTGCGAGCAATACGAGACGCTGTTTCACACCGATGCAGCGCAGGCCCTCGGCAAGATACCTCTGGATGTGGTCAGAGACAAGATTGATCTGATGAGTCTCTCGGGGCACAAGATTTATGGGCCCAAAGGCGTGGGTGCCTTGTACATAAAGAGAACCGATGAAAAGAGAGTCCACCTGGACCCCGTGTTCAGCGGGGGCGGCCAAGAAGGTGGGATCCGTAGCGGAACTCTCCCAGTTTTCCTGGTGGTTGGTATGGGTGAGGCGGCAGAGCTTGCACAGAAGGAGATGAAGAAGGACGCCCTCCACTACAAGAGCCTCTTTGAGATTGCCAGGGAGAAGCTGCTCTCCCTTCCTTCTGTGAGGCTTAATGGGCCGTTTCCAGAGGACGCGATTCTAGCAGACAAGACAAAAGGCGCTCAAAAGTCTCAGAAGAAGGAGCCCTTCAGTAAGAAGCGCATTCTTAACAACATGAACATCAGCTTTTTCGGGGTAGAAGGGGAGTCTCTGATGCTTGGATTGGATGATGCCATTTGCATGTCCAGCGGAAGCGCCTGCACGTCTCAGTCCCTCGAGCCCAGCCATGTTCTGTTTGCGCTAGGGCTGGACCCAGAGTTTGCTCATACGGCTGTGCGACTGGGGACATCACGATTTACTACGGAGGCAGAGTTCCGCCGGGCATGCGATCTCATAGCGAAGCAGGTCGCCCATCTCAGGGATCTTTCGCCTCTCTGGGAGATGACTCAGAAGGGGATCGATACAAAGAGCATAGAGTGGAAGCATGACTAGCATGCTCACACCACTTCACCACCTTCATTGTCTGATTCATTGGCAAACGTAGCGAATCCCCTAATGGAGCCCAGTAAGCGAAACTTCGCCAGTGACGTCTCGTTGACCCCTAAAATCTGTCCGTGGTCAGTATCCTCGTTCATTAGAAGGCGGATTGTGTGGGAGCTCACCGTTTTCTTGCTGGAACCAAGCGCCCTGCGTTCATATTTGTTAAGATTGGACGCCAGCGCAGCCAGTTCCAGCTTTTCTACAGAGGGGGGTGAAGCAGCTGCGGATGTTGCGTCTTCGCATAGTAGGGGGTAGCAGCGATATGGCTGCAAGTCCATGGATAGCTCCAGTCGTACAACCTCTCGGCTGAGCATCCGCATGTAGTCACCGGCCCCGACTGGTTTGTTGCCGGTCATGAGGGGGCTTGCGTATGAATAAATTGGAGCTTGGAGTAGGAAGACCCGCCTAGGGGAGGCTATCGATGAGCCAAAAATGAGCGCGACCGTCACGTAGAGGCGGGAGGTCCGCAACGTGGGGAGGAGCCTCTCCACTGTCTCTGCGAGGCGGCCTCTGCAGGAGCGCAAGGAAGCGTGAAACTGACGCATTTGCCGCCCGACAGCCCTATCGGTTGAAGGTATCTGCCCCGCCGCCTCCAGAGCTGGATCGATCAGGACAGGAACCTGGCCGGTCACATATAGCAGGTATGCTGTCAAGCTGGCAACCAGATCAGGATACACTTCCGCGGGTATCGCGTTTTTCAGGGGAAGGGTGCTTGTGTGCTGGTCCATGAAATAGAATAAACTCAGACAGAGCAGGATAGGGACAGGGACTAGGTTCCTTGCGCGGAGCAGCTGCACGTGGCCAGGCTAGGATGGAGGGCAAGAGAAGGAGATGGCGTTACTTGTGAGAATCCTAACCGCAGCGCTCAAAATGCTATGTGTAAAGGGAAGGCCTAGCCATTCGTGTGGCACAGTCCTCGGACATCAGGATCCTCTGGAGCAACAGCCCATCCACATGTAAACTATGCTCGAGCTGTTCTATCACCACACAAAGTTTTTTGAGTAGTAGGTGTCCACGATTGAAAAGCGCGATGCCATATTTCTTCATAAATGCTATCACTGTACGGTGATAAAACGGGTATAATAGTGCGTGGTAATGTCACAAGTGCTACATAGTTCTATGTTTACAGGAATATTTATTCGGAGCTTGGAAGTTTGTTACAATATTTATCGAAGCATTCCTCCGTCAGGTAGCTTAGCAGGGTTGGACTTAAGGATTGTGGTCTTGGTGATTCCGCTTAGCAGTGTATAGGCTTCCAATAAAGGAGTGTAATTTTATATAAAATCGCGGATGATTAACACTTTGCTATATTTGAGCTTATCGTCAGCAGCTAACGTTGAGACGGAACCCCTGCGCAACTCGCCCTATCAGAACGGATTTGGGATAAGCTGTTCGTCGTCTGTAATGATAGCAGACTGCCAGCAGATGAAGTGTCTTCCCACGGGGCGGTACATTACGGTTTGCTCCTTGTGTAGGACAGGATTGGTCCCCATAAATGGGGTGTGCGTCAATCAAACTACTGCGCATGACTACGGAGACATAAGTGTCTGTCAAAAGAATGATGAAACAAATCCCACCCATTGTATCTCTTGTTCGAAGAACGGGTCCTCCAATAATTATTTTCTCTTCTACGGAGGATGCTATCTTGCTACCCGGTGGCCTGGTAATAGCTATTGTCTGTCGGCATCTAATGGAGTTTGCACCAGTTGCAACACCAACGCCAAGATGGTCTTCACCAATCCTAACACTACCGCACAAGAGAAGTGCATCCTCTGCTCAGACAACATCGGCTTTGGTGGTTCAAAGGGTATCCAGGGCTGTGCGGATTGTATGAACAGAAACTCTGCTGGTTCCACGGACATTCAGTGCTTGCGCTGCAAGGCTTACGATACTGCGCCAATTGACGACGCGTGCATACCCTTTGGCCGGCACACCTGCGCAGATGGGCACTGCACTCGTTGTTACAAGACTCACATTTTCCATCTGGGCGGCTGCTTTACACGGGGAGGGCCGCGAGCAGAGGCTGTCTGTGCTAGCAACAACCAGTTTGAGATAGGCGACTATTCGGCATGCAAAGCCTGCGTCAACACCAGCGAGGCGCCAGACCAGGGGAACTGTAAAAAACACTCTGAGCAGAACAAGTGCACGAAGAGCTCGACTGGAAGTTGCTCAGATTGTCTTCATAGCAACCCCGGTTCAACGTTCCTATTCTATGGGGGCTGCTATGATGCGACTGATGTTCCCGGAAGGCTGATCTGCAGTACCTCAAGCGGAGGCTCTTGTACTAGTGTCGTTAACAACTCAGGTGTATACTTGAACGGTAGGGCCTGCTACTTTTGTAATGACACAGCTAACGGTGGGATCTCCAACTGCCTCACTTGCTCTTATGAATCCAACGCGGTGGTGTGTAGCAGATGTGGCTCTGGCACTGCTAGGTCGCTAGATGGAAGGGAGTGCCTTAGCGACTGCGTCTTTCCACTGAGAAAGTATTGCAGTAATGATGTTTGTATTTGTGAGTGCGAGGTAGGTCATTACCTCAGTGGTAACACCTGCTTAGCGTGCCACGAGTCCTGTGCCTTTTGTACAGGGCCATCGGCGGACCAGTGTGAGGCGTGTACGCAGGGCTGGCTTTGGCGGTACGATGAGAACAATCACTTGACCTGCGTTGGCGTTGACGGTTGCGGGGACGGGTTCTATCCGGACGTGGCCGAGTCTGCCTGTATGCCGTGTGATATTAACAGGTGCAAGACATGTGTGAAGCAAAGCAACGTGCTCTGTACCGAGTGCTCTACTGGATACATCTCACTGAATGAAACTGTGTGTGTTGATAGCTGCGCAGGAGAGTATATGGAACCTAGCGCCACGGGAGCCAGGCGCTGCATTTGCCAGGAGGGATATACAAAGAACGCCGACAGTTCCAGGTGTGTACCGGTGCATCCGTGCCCCTCCGATACCAGTGGGTGTAGCAGGTGCGACAGCGCTGGGTACTGCATGAAGTGCACGAACACTGATCATGTCATTCAGCTGGGCAGAAAGTCCTGCACTAGCGAGTGTCCTCTCAATTCGTCGCCCCTGTACGAATACATATGTGTGTGCAACGAGGGGTCTGTTCTAACCAATGGTACGTGTACTATCGTGCCCACCACGACCAGTGGGGTGCCGGTTACGACAATGATTATCGCAATTGCCGTTATCGTTATCGTCGTGATCGTGGGTGTTCTCGTTGGGGTTTTGTGCTGGTACTTCCTGCGCAATAAGAGAAAGCGGTCGATTCGTCCACGCACTGTCTCCAAAATGTCCGAGAGTATGGGGCTCGTGGGCTCAGTTGACGACTTTTAATTCTATTGTTCGTCTCTTTTTGTCTATGTAAATTAATCTCTGCGAGCCCAGACAGTAGTAGCAAGGGCTCGTCTAAAGGTCCTGTTGTCTGAGCATTGATCGGCCACATGTAATGCTGGATTTACTCGTCAGCTATCTGCCTCTGTGAAGTGTCAAGCTGAGTTGTAGCTAGTTGTAGATAAATAGGCTTCATATACCTAGCCGGTCGCTGCCTCAGAGCCTTTCCAAAAGGCCTCAAGAGAAAGACCTTCTCATTGACAGGTACTGATAGAGCAAATCGTTTCTTACCGCGAAAGCAAAAATGGATGATCTGGACGTCGATTTCAACATGATACCCGAGGATGCTAAGAACCTGAGCGCATGCTCAAAGTGTCACTACGTAATGGAGAACCGGCAGTGGCGCTCGATCGATGGATGTCCAAATTGTAAGGAAGAGCGCGACACCCTCCGATTCCAAGGTGCAGTCGCTCTTCTTACCATGAACGACAAAGATTCATACATTCTTAGGCTTCTCCGAGCTAATTACAACGCTGAGCCAAGGATACCGGGGATATACGCCATCACGCTAGTAAGGCGTGCGTCTGCCGAAGAAGACGAGTAAATGATAATCTGTTCACGTGCCGTGCTCTTGGTGATATTCCTCTATCTCTTGGTTCGTCAGTAAAGGAATGCTCGCCCCTCCAAGGGTCATTGAAAAAGACGAAAGGTCAATCATCGCCCTGTACATCGAGAGCGCGCTCATCCCAATAAGCGTGTCGCAGACAGAGTCCAGGACTGCAAAGTTCATCGGTAAGAAAATATCTCCACACTGCATCAGGCAAATGTGGATTCTTCCGAGCATCCGAGTCGAGCCCACCCCAATCGCGCGCCCCGCATAACGGGTATCTATGTGGCCCTCTAGCCCACACGCACGCGCTGTTTTGCGGCCCATGGAGTTGAACTCTGCGCCCGTGTCGATAACGCAGACGACCGGAGTCCCATTGATGGAGACGCGGATGTACAGAGATGGAACCGCGTTGACTAGGAGTCCTGGATAGTACTTGTTGATCTCAATGAGGTCCTGGTACACCTGCTCCGGGACCCCCGTCTGTTCCTGGGAAGAGGTGTCCCCGGATATACTGTAGAGCAGTGTAGACTTTTCCGGGATGCTTGAAAGCACGGTCTCATCCCGGAGAACGCGGCCCTTGAACCAGAGAGCTGCCCCGGGGCCCGGTGGCGCGAACCCGTACTCTGACGCCAGGTGTGCGAGCAGCTGCCCCGCGCGTGCCCGCACATCGACAAGGGCCTCCACAGCAACGTCTTCTGCGAGCCGGACGTGATAAAGGAGCGCGGGAGGGGCCATGGCGGTGTCCGAAAAATACGAAAGGGACAGAAATTCACTACACCACTTACTTCTTGAACGTCTTGGAGAAGTACTCCTTCTTCTTCTCGGGGTCGGGGATGATAGTGTCGTTCTTCTCGGGGGTCCAGCCGCACGGGATGACGCCGCCGGTTTTATCAGCGTACTGGAAGGCCTGGACCAGGCGCATGGCCTCCTCCACCGAGCGACCCACTGGAAGATCGTTGATCGTGACGTGGCGAACGACGCCCTTGTCAGAGACGATGAACATCCCGCGGAGCGCAATGCCGGCGTCCTCGACCAGAACGCCGAAGTCGCGGGCCATCTTGTGGTTCGTGTCGGCGAAGAGGTCGCACTTGCACGTCCCGATGCCGCCCTCGTTCTGGCCCTGGAGGCACCAGGCGTAGTGGCTGTAGACGGAGTCCGTCGAGCCGATGATGATCTCCGCGTTGCACTTCTTCTTCAGCTGCTCAGCCAGATTCGAGAAGTGGATGATCTCCGAGGGGCAGACGAAGGTGAAGTCGAGCGGGTAGAAGAAGACAATCAGGTACTTGCCCTTGTAGTCAGAGAGCTTGCGCTTGGCGAACTTAAGCTCAGGGGTGACGACGTCGACCTCGAAGTCGGGGCAGGGCGTGCCGGGGATGGGGACGGGCATTTTAATTTTTACCGAGTCCTGTGATATATTGTAATAACCAGAACTCGAGCTTGTGGAAATAGAAAAAAGATGACACCACCGGCAGTCTGGCAAAAGTCTAAGACTTTGCTATCCAACAAATCACCAAAAGAAGGACACTCTTTTTGACTGATAGTTTTTTCAAATGAGGAAGGAGGTTGGTCTGTGTGCGACTGCTCTCACTCTGCTGGCGACTTTCGTCCCAGTCTATAGCACATGTATTTTAAAAAATGTTCGGCTATATTACTTGTGCAACCACAGGCATCGTGTTAGATCGCCTTAAGACCGCAACGCATGTCGAGCTGCACTTCTGCATTCGCTCTTGCACAGACCCACCTAACATAATGGCCACCTCGCCCACGGTCTTCACTCCGCTCCAGCTCAAGGACAAGCGCAAGGGCGTATACACACCAAAGATCACTGATATCACGCTGCCCATACCCCTACTAAGCGATCTGGATGCACACGAGCTTTGTATCTCCGTTCTTCTTGCAGAGGTTGCTAAGGATGGCACCACTGCATGTGCAGACCTAGTGCATGTGTGCTCCAGAGCCACACTTGCAGAGATCCTGGCTGGCCGAACTGTAGAAGAAACAGCTCCTTTCAGCAGCCCAGCTGCTTCACCCTGCACAGACCATATTAAACTGTCGCTCTCCTACCGCAAGCCGCTGAGAAAGGCAAACAGTGCAGCGTACGAGTGTCTACGGCTCGACACGCTCTTTATTCAATTAGCCGATATTACGCTTCCCCTCAGCAAGAGAAGCTATCTAGATGAGCAGCGGCTGTGTCTCCGTGTGTGTACCCAGACGTATGCATCGGAGTTCCCACTAGCTGAGCTTCCCAGGGATCACTCTACTAAGAGGAGCTACCAGCTGGCCTCTCCGGTACCCATTTCCATTCCCTACTCTCCTGTGATAACCTTTCAGGTTGTCTTTTTGTATAGCGTAACAGTCTCTGAAACATTTTTCCGGCTGAACGGTCTCCAGGTAGGATCGCCCTCTGCCAATTCCCACAGCTTTTGTGATTACGTGCCTATCTTTCAGTGCTCAATCAGCAGCAAGAAGAATTTATATAAGTATCAGTCTTTTGGTGTTCCGCTCTCCCTCTGCTTTCCCCCGAGTCTTATATCCTCTGACTTGGTGTCCTTTTATGACGTCATCTGTGCGTCCCTTCAATTGGCTGCAGACTCCACTCACAAGAAGGCTCCCCGGAGCCTCACAGACCTCTTAGGACACCTTAAGGAGGCTGTTATCCCACACATTTTTGAGGGCATCTTTCTGCGCGGTGAAGACATAGCCGATGTCTTTTCTCCTTACAGATCTACGATCACTCTCACAAACCATTCAAAGTCTGACTCTGCCCGCTTCAAGGCTTACGAGAAGATTCTTCAGTATGCAGGTCTCACTGACACACTGCTGGCAGCTGTCGGAAAGGACTGGACAGATCTGGCCGTGAGAGTGGGGACAGAGGTTGGTTTTTCACAGAATGTTGCACAGAACAAGATTCTGTTCGTCGCCACTTTTCTTTTGGACATGTTTGAGCCATACTCTTCGTCTGCAGCAAAGCGCAACGATACCATGTACCCTGACTCCACATCAGTATCGACGCCAGGCCTCTCCGAGTCATCTTCTTTCCAACGCTTTGAGTCCCTTAATTGTGCGTCGCGGGCCCGTGACATGCTCTATGCGTTTTCGTCTAAGCGGCAGGATAAAGATGCGGCAGCCTCGTGTCTCACGATTCTTCCAATTGAGTTTTCCTTAGCAAATGCATTAGTATCCAATAAGGTGTGCATTTACACCATCAACTTTTCCGAAGATGGCACAGATGCCAACCAAACCTTTCATGACGCTGCCCCCATAGTCATGTCAAAGCCCGAGCTATCTGGGAGCAATCGGGGTCTCTGGCAGTTCACTTTGGAGGAAAGAAGAGATAAGGCGCAGATGATAGCTGTCGGGCCTGTACTTAGCGCTACTCAATCGAAGGTGTCCATAAACCGCGTTCTGCTAGGATGTAAGAACAACGCAGAGCTCACCTTTGCTAACTATCTTTGGATGCTGCCGCAAGTCCTCTTTCTTCCCGATTCTGTTTCCTCCCAGCAGATGATCCGCGATCGCGTAACAGCGTTCGAAAAGTGCGTCCTTATAGCATGTCTCTATGACTTTGAGACCGGCGCACTCCTTGCCCGTGGAAGCCTACGATTAAAGAATGTCACTGATACCTTTATTTCAGCCGCAACATCTGATCTGGACGTCGAAATAAAGCTACGGTGGTTCTATGAACAGGAGTTTTCATCATCCGTTAAGGGGGTCGAGGACACGGTTACATTTTTAGCAAGTTGCTACGGGTTTCTGAAGGAGTTGGAGCCTGCTGGTTCTCCGCATCAATCTACTCATACCTCAGCGAATGTATCCATCTGTGGCAAGAACAGTGCATGCCTGGTCACCGCTGAAAACTCTAATAGACCGACGTCTGCGCCTTCCTCTATCCACGCAGAGGCTGCCAACTGTTCGCTGGTGCGCGAAAATTCTCCAGACTGCCCCGAAGACTTAAGTACTATTGAGTATGTTCGAGCCCAAGCGGAACCCCGACAATTCACAGAGCGGAGCGAGATAGTGAGCCAGGATGACAAGGGACTACGCACTCCTCGACTCTTATCAGGAAAGGAGATAGAGATTATTGACGGAACTATTACGTTTCAGCTTGCACCCAGTCAGAGGCAAAGTACATCAGGACCGGTCTGTGGCATCCCTAACAACACGAAAGACGAGATAGGTGTACTCAAACAATTAATACATACGTTGCGGAAGGACCTAGATCGGCTCACTCCCAAAACCTTTAGACAAGCGGTTGCTGCAAGCCCCTCGACATACGCTGGCCTAGAGCATCCGATTTCGGAGGATCTGCGACGGAAAGTGGAGGTCTCCACCGGCTTGGTGATGCAAGAGGAAGGCACCACATATGAATTATGTCAAACAATAGCTGAAAAGTTGGATCGAAATATCCTAGCATATCTGTTAGTGGATATGGTCAAGCAGAATGTCCAGCTAAGTAAGGAGCTTGATGGTACCAGAGACAAGATCGATGTTTTGGAGAGCGCCTGTACTACAAATGGTGCGGCGCTATCTAAATTGAAGGCCCTAGTACTGGAGCAGGAGCAACTACTTCAATATATGGAAGCGCAAAGCAAAAAGTCGATCCATACGTCAACAGAGTCAGCAGAAAGGCTTATTGCCGTTGAAAAGGAGAATGCACGGCTCACTGAAATCTTACGGGCCGTTACAGCTTCTTTGGGTAAGGATGGTGCTGCCAAGGTCATCTCCATCTCAAGGAACCCCGCAGGGTATACCCGAGCACAGTCATCTCCATCGCTAGATGACGGAAGAAGTGGTGTGTTGCTTAGCGTTAAGCTACCGCCCGGAAGATTGCCTCCGTTGAGTCCTGACCCAGAAGCCTTGTCTCCGCATGCTGCCAGCAAAGCTTCTAACGTTGCGAAAAGAAAGAGTCCCAGCCAGGCCGTCATCCTTTCGCGGTCCTGAAAATGGCGTCCACACGCTCTGCAATGATGTTCGATTAAATATGTAAGTAAAACTTTATGTCTAATAGGTTTACCACCCAGACGGTGTTGGACTCCGTCCTCAAGAGCCGGGGCCTGTCCAGCTCAGACACGGAAATGCATGAACTCCCTGCTAGGTGGTCAGCAGTGGCGTCACACCTGTCTTCTTTTTTGCAGTGCGAAAATAACCCGCTGGAGTGCTACACAGCGATGTATGAGGCGGTCATAAGCCAGCCATGTCTCTCCTTCGAGCAGGACTGCCAGTGTGGGTCGTGCTCAGAGCGCGTGACGGAGTTCTTCCATTTGGGACCTTGTTCTCACAAGCTCTGTAAAGCCTGCCTCAGAAAGATGTTTGACCAACTCAATGATGAATGTCTGGTCTGCAATGAACCTATTAGAGAGCTCGCCTTCTGCAAACAGCCTGGCTCCATGCCTCCTCCACCGGCGCTTGTGCCGCCGCCTCTTGCTCTTCCTACCAAGGCCACCCCTGCCCCTGCACCCGCCTGCGAAGAGTGCCCTGTCTTTGCTTCTATTCTTAAAAAGAATGGTCTGCCACCAGACACGTCCGGAATTGTCCATGGATACAAGAAAATCAAACAGATTAATTTACTGGAAGATGACTACATATCGTCTCCTCCTACGGGACAGACCCTTATTCCGGAGGAGGACTTGATATACCTCAGGGACTATATGAAGTTTCAGTTCCTACACTTCTTCGAGGAAGTCGATGCCAGCGAGACTATCTTTTGCGCATGGAAGGGCGGCGACGCGGCTGAGCACCAACTCGAGTGTCCTCTCCGCGAAGATACGTGCAAGAATAAGGCACTTGGTTGCAGCTTTATGCAGCCATACATCATTGTAGCGTATCACGGGATAAACTGCGAGAATATATGCCTCTACGAAAGTCAGCCGTGCCCTCTATGCAATAAGACAGTACTGAACAAGGACATGTACACCCATGAGGTCACTTGCTCTAAGAAGCTCATAGAAGAGCATAAGGAGAAGGTCAAGTCTTCGCAGAAAGAGTACATCGCTGGGGCTCAAGCTACTTTCGCTGCTGAGGCCTCCAAGGAAAACTCTCCTATGAAGAGCGCGTCTCCCAACAATCCGAATAGCAATCCAAGCATCGTCTCTCCTGAGAACAGGTCCGATGATGACATCAAGGGTATCACGATTAGGGATGCCTGCGAAAACATGAACGTGCTGGGAGAGATGTATTGCGACCTTGTGACAGCTGCTCGCCCAGATATATACTCTAGCACCTCCAGCGCTGTCAACTCTTCTACTGACGTAAGGGGAAGCAGGGAGCTTTTACGCGATCCAACGGAGATTGTTGTGATAGGGCCTGCTGAGCTCTCACCTGAACAGGTCAAAGACATAAAAAGAACCAAGTCTCCCAAGTCTCCGAAGAGGTCTGGTGCATCGGAAAAGAACGATAACTCGAGGAAAGAAAGGAAGGGAACATCAGAGGCGCGTGTCTTATCTTACGAGGTCTGCTCCACTGGGTCTGGCCATCCGTTTGTGGTCTACAAGATCGAGCTCCCAAGCCAGGACGGCGGAGAGAGCGTAGTCATCCATAAGCGAATGAAGGAGATCAAGGCGTTCCACAAGCGCCTGCAGCGCAACTTTCCAAGTATCACGCTGCCCAAGCTTCCGCAGGACAGGCCTTGGGCACTCGGAGGGAACAAGCTTAAGTTTGTTCAGGAGCGCTCCAGACTTTTGGAGGCATATTGTGGAGACATCAATCACAATGCGATGATATATAAATCGAGGATTTATAAAGACTATATTAACGAGCAATGCGCTTATGTGCCGATCACTTATGCTCTTAAAGAGTAGGGTGGCCGCTCGGCTGTGGAAAGAATATTCAATTTGACTGGCGGAAGACCGGCAGTAAATTACTTTAAAAACAATCGCCATGGAGGAGTTTTTTGGGTTTTCAGACGCGCCGGTTGCTCCTGGCCACGTCTCCGAGGAGGCTCTGTTCTTTGGCTTTGATGACGCCTCCGCTAACCAGCCGCAGCCCCCCGTCTCCATTCCATTTCCAGTTATCAACCAAGTCGCGACCATCCCAAGGTTTCAGGAGTTCCAAGAGTTCCAGGAGTATGACTCGCCAGAGCTTCGGGCAGCCAGGCAACCCAAGTTCCTGGATCCAGCACTATTTGTGGGCCCTGGGAGAGAGGACGTCATTCATGATGTGGTGATAGATGAGGCAAAGTACGACTTCGGCTACGACCTTGACTACCTGCGAGAAACCACAGATGAGATGAAGACCGAAGAGGACGAGGAGGACATAATAAGTAGGCTTCCCTACGGCTTTTCCTCCAACTACACATACAAGGACGATATGGCAGATCTTATGCGTAGCAGCCCTGTGAAAGACATTGTTCTCCCCCGGGTTGGTGTCACTGTAGAGTGCTCCGACAGTGACATGGAAGCAGAATTCAACCGTCTGCAAGCTATAGACTTCAACGAGAAGCGCAAGGACATAGAACAGATGCTTCGCATTCGTAGAGAGCAGGAGCACCAGAGAAGGCAAGAGGAAGAGCAAGAACGACTGCGGCAAGAGGCCCTTAAAGCTCAGAGCTCAGTTCCATCCCGGATCCCCTCTATTCCGGCCGCCGCCCCATCTGCCACTATTGCCTCTGATAGAGCAGTCGGACCTGCTGCCGTTCCAAGCCTTCCTCCCCTGTCTCAGCCAATGGTTGACGTTGCTCCGCAGCCAGAGCCCCAGCCAATTATGGATCTCCTGATAGCTCCAAAGGCAGTGGAGGCGGTGTATGCCCCGTTACAAGCTACCCCTGTACAGCCTATCCATACCCAATCTTCCATTTTAGTGCCATCAGCTCCACCAGCGGCTACTCTGGCCCCTCAAGTATGCTCTATTGAGCAACCTCCCTCAGAGGATCCTCAGCTAGAGGAAATGTTCGGATTCCAGTCACAACCCGATATTAGTTACTCCCCAGAAGTCAAGGATCTAGATAAGATAGAGCCAGACTTGACCGCAGATCCTGCCACAAATCCGGTTATCGTGGACCAGCCTGTCTCAAAGTCGTGGAGCGCAAGAGGATCGATACAGCAGCAGCTAGACAATCTACAGAGCGAAATAAAGCAACTAGAGCAAGACTCCATGTTTTCTAAAGAAGATAGAAAGCGGAGCAGACACGCAGAAGCCCGTAAATATCTCGAAACCAGAACATATACAGACAACTACGACGTTTTCAGACCGTCGCACCATCTACAGAAGTACTATGCAGCGAAGAAGCCAAAACCAAAGCCAAAGGAAACCATTTATTCCCCATACTCAGAGACGGAGCTATCGAACCAGCGCATGCAAGTGCGAGCAGAGCTGGAGGCTCAGAAGCACAAAGAGCAGCGGGAGCGCAACTACTACGAGAAAATTGAGATCAAAAGGCTAACAGCCATGTACTCCAAGCTCGAATCTGAATTAACCGTCAAAGCCATCAGTGAGGAGCTTGCACAAGAAAAACGTCAGGAATTTGAAAAGTACTTCAAGAGCGCGTCCCTCCTTGAAAAGAGCTCTGACATGTACACCAGCACACACGATGATAAGACCATACGCATACAGGTATCTGAGCATAACGCTTTGCATCTCCCCCGGTCCCTCTTCTTCACCCCTGATGGGAAGTATAAAAACTACGTTAGATACCTGGACTATAGGAAGGTTTTCGACCGCTTCACGCACACGCAGGTCCTTATGTTCATATTCGCGGTGTCCTCGCAGGAGCGAAAGTTGAAGTGCATTTCCAAGACTTACGAGGACTTTCATGTCCTTCACAAGGAGCTTGTGGGGGCCTTCGGGTACTCAGCAGTACCTGGGCTTCCCTCCTTCCGATCCATGAACATGGGTGGCGGTAGACATGAGGTCATTCATGACACTCAAAAGAGACTAACCAAGTACCTGACTGAAATCAACAACGTCCAGGCTCTGCGCACATCCGCCATCTACAGGAGCTTCCTCAAGCACCAGGACCTCAACTTTTTCCAGGGGATGCATCGCCACTAGCGCTGAGGACTACTTCCTCATGTAAACTTCTTTCTGCGGTTTTTTAAAAGGCGCCTTAAAAAAAAGTGTCTGACGGATGGAGGACATTGCCTACACCGACGGATACGCTGCGCAGTACGGAGATAATTATGCATATGATGGGTATGGCTATGGTGGTGACCTGGCTGTGGGAGATTACAATCCGTACGGAACGGACTATGGTTATGATGCAGGAGGCTACGACTATGGTGCCGGGTACGGTGGGTATGGGAATCAAGAGACTGGATATGGCGATCAGACATATGGATATGGTGAGCCTGCTGAGCAACCGCAAGACAGTTTATCGCTTAAGCTGGACGAGCCGAAGCCGTTTACTGAGCAAGACGATGGGAGGTCCCTCGTCGTCCGTACTGATGCGGCGTCTGTGTCCATGGATCCTTTTAGTGCGCCCATAGATACAGTGACAGAGCCCATAGGTTCACAGACGCACACGAGCTCCGCTTTTCCACCTGTCTCTCAGGACTTGCTGAACTCTATCAGGGTCCAGCAAGAGACTAGTGGAAACCTGAGTAAGTCTCCAAGCAAAATCTCAAGCAGGCCTGCCTCTGCTAGACTTGACGAGCTTGATAAGGTAATCGAAGAAGATGCAGAACAGCTTAATAGGGAGGCCAAAACAGATACTCACGTTACTGGTGCTGCCCCCGATACTAGCGATATGTTTGGCTTTACTGACCAACCGGCGGCACCAACAGCTACCGAAGAGCCTGTCGCAACTGCTGGTGACGACATGTTTGGATTTGGGCTAGAAAGTGACGCGCACGATGCAACGGTTCAGCCCCCAGTTGAAGATGCAGGGCCTGCTCTACCTGATAAAGAAGCTCCCTCCACTGAGGCCGAAGACGATATGTTTGGCTTCGCCACATCTCCTCAGGAGACCATAGCCAGCCCTCCAGCAGGCTCCACCGCCCCTGCTGCTGAGCCTGTTGACGACATGTTTGGCTTCACCGATCCTGCCGTCGAATCAGCGGCTACTGCAGAGCCAGGAACAATGGAGGGCGATGATATGTTTGGATTTGGCCCCTCAGAAAGCACACCTAAAGATCCTGACACTGATGCATCTGCAGTAGCTAAGGATGTAACGGTGGACGCTCAAGATGCTGCCGATGATATGTTCGGTTTTGATGGAGCGGGCTCCCCTGCAGAGGCTCCTGCACAATCAACCGAAGCAGTAGCAAGCCCAGTTGCTGACTTGGAGACGGACAGCATGTTTGGCTTTGATTCTCCGCCAGCCCCAGCAGATAATACTACTACTGTGCCTGTGGATGATTCGGCGGATGACCTGTTCGGATTTGGGCCTTCCACTTTAGATGCACAAGGTGAGCCCGCCCAAGATGCTCAGCCAGATATTCAAGATGTGGCACAAGTCTCCGCTGACAGCATGTTTGGCTTTGACTTGCCAGCTGATGCCTCGGCAACTGTGGAGCCATCAACTACCGGCCTTGCTACTGAGAAGCCAGAGGATTCTCCTGTCGATGACATGTTCGGCTTTTCTCCAAACGAAGCAGCAGCTACAGCCAAGTCAGATGAGGATCAAGAGATAACGCCGGTGAACACCAAGACTTTAGACGAACCATTGTCAGTAGCAAATGATTACACCCAACCAACAGCTGGGCCCTCAGATGACATGTTCGGCTTTGGAAACAGCGCAGATCTTCCTCAAACAGATTCTGTACCCCACTCTGGAGCCACGGCTGATAGCATGTTTGGATTTGACTCTGTACCAGCAACAGGGGCCTCGGTAGAACCACCAACAGAGACGCCAGAGCTTCACGACGCATCTCAGACACAACCTACTTTGGACATGCCAACAATTCCAGAGCACATCCCAACTATAGAGGATAACCAAACGGACCTGTCACATGAGAGTCAAAATGAGAGTCAAGTTGCAAGTGAAGAGTCTGATCAGCTAAGAGAGACCAATGAGACGCTGGAAGGAGAGGAAATGAATAAGGAACTGGCACAAGAGCCCGCTGTAGAGGATATGTTTGGCTTTGGGGATGCATCAGCGCCAGTGGAGGATTCCTCAACAGAAAAGGCCACTGAAAGCCACCCAACTGAGCCACCTAATTTAGCAGATCTTCCACCTCCTGTGTCTGCATCATCACTGCTTCCCGTGCAGACACTTGAGTCTGCGAAGCAATCCGCAAGAGCTGCAACTACCCCAGTGGCCGATATGGCCATTGATATAGATTCTATGATCTCGGCTGCACTAGTTCCACAGCAACCCTCCCCCGCTCCTGAACAGAAGGTCGAGGACCAAGTTCTTGACGAATCCTCGCCTAACGTGATAACTGCAGAGCTTCCTCCCATTGTTGTGAAGGGATCTTTAGAAGAGGCCAACGACAAGTCTGCCGCAGAGTCGCAACATGAACCAGTAGAGCTCTCGGAGGACCGTGACCTCAGTAAAGATATCGAGCTGGTTGCTCAAGATCCTCTACCGGCCGAGGAGGATACGCAGGATATTTTTGTTGAGCCAGCTGTGCCAGTTGAAGCTCTAGAAAGGTTGGCGATCAGCGAAACGTTCATCAAGCTCCAGGAGGAGCTTCAATTTACATACCTGATGCCAGAGCCTAACCGCGAAGAACTAGACAAGCTCCAGATGACTGATCATGAGCAGCAGCTTATTCAACTTAAGGACGAAGCGGAGCGGCTACAGAGAGAGAATAAGGTGCTCGCAGGCAGAAGTGCGGCTCCCAGGCATCTCCACCCTAACGAGTTTGATAGCAAATCTATCTCAGTTAGCTTCTTCGAGGGTCTTCTGAATGAGCCCACCCACAGTGATGGCATATCCCTAACGACTGGGGAAGAGCTTCGGCTCTTGGCGATTCTGGAGCAGGGAGACTACGAAGCACTTGATGCTCTTCACGGCATGTCTCCAGAGGAGCTTCAGTTAATGGAGCAACGAGAACGCGAGTTCAATTTGAAGCTCAAGGAACTCACCGACCGCCGAGACGAGCTGTTGTACAAGGATGATACGGAGGCTTTAAAACTCATTGAGGAAGAGATCTGGGCCTTTGTAGACGCTGAGGAAGAAAAGAAAATGCGCATCCAAGCGGCAGACGACCTTTTGAAAAAGCGTGCTCAGGAGGAAGAGGACCGACGTCGTGCTGAGATAGAAGCAAAGATCAAGGAGGAGCAGGATCGTGTTGCAGAGGAGCGCCGACTCCAGGAAGAGATGATAGCGCTCCAAAAGAAGCAGCAGCAAGAGTATGCAGAGCAGGAGACTAGGAAAGCAGATCTTCTCCGTGAGGCCATGGAAAAGGAGCAACTAGAGCGAATTGAGGAGGAGCAGCGCATAAAAGCAGAGGCACGACGACGCCTAATCGACGATCTGGAGGCCACAGCTGAACGCGCAGCCGCCGAGGACCGGATACGGGTTAAGGCTGAGTTGGAAGAAATGGCCAGGATCAAAAAGGAACTGGAGGAGGCTGCCCGGACGGCCAGCGAAGAGAAGCGAAAGCTTCTTCTACAACAGAAGGAGCAATTGGAAAGAGAAATGGCCGAGACAGCAAGACGACACGAGGAAGACGTGGCGCGTAGGCACAAGGAGCTGCAAACTCTTCATGAGGAGCGGCGGAAGATGCGCGAACAACGCTTAGCCAGCTCAGAACCGATGGATGAGCTTCTTCGCGAAGATGGCAACGATGCCTCTGCCGATCCGTTCTCATATGCGTCTCTGGACATTGAGCGCAGAATCAGGGAAATGAAAGCCCAGTTAGAGAAGGAGATGACCGAAAAGATGGCCCTAGAGCACGCTGACCTCAATGCTCTAGAGCAGGAGTTGGCTGCTAAGAAGCTGTCGACCTTACAAGCAGAACGACTCTTAAGCACGGCTGCAAGCGATACAGTGGCACGGCTCGATAACGAGGATCGTCTCTTTAACGAAGCAATGGATGCCAAGCGCCAGGAGCTGCTTCTTTTGAAAGAACAGTATGGACTCGTGCGTCACCAGAACGAAAGTCAGCGCGCCTTGCACCTAGAGGAGCAGAGAAAGGCTAAGAAGTTAGCGAGGTTAGTCGAACAAGTTGCCGAGCTAGCCGAGAAGAAGCACAATTTAGAAAGAAAGATTGCCCATGGAAACAAAGAGTTTCACAAGAAAGAGAGCAAGCTGGTGGCTTCTAACAGCAAAGGCGCACTCAAAGCGTTGAGAAAGGAGCACGCTAAGGAGCACGAGGCGTTGGAGACGCAGCTCTCTAGCGTCTCAGAGCAGTTACGCAGAGCAAAGAAGCAGCTCAAGGTACTTAACCCCCAGGGAGAGACTTCTGATATGGACCGATCTCTTAGTGTCAAAGACTATTTGCGCTCCACAGATCGGAGTGAGAAAGAGCAAGAAGTGTCCGCTGCAGATAAGGACCATTCCCAGCCGCGTCTGTCCGTCTTCGAGGGAGGCTCTCTTGGCCAACCTTCGTTGGTAAGCGGCCATGGAATTGGAACAGCGATGTCAACAGGTGTGGACCACGGAGATGGAGGGAGAAAGCAACATGCATCCAGTGACTTGCCTGTAGCGCTGCAGAAGCTGAGAGAGGAGCACGCTCGCAGGCTTGAGAAGATTGAGCAGCGACGAGCAGCCTTTGCTTCGGAAAGGGAGCAGCTTCAAGCCCAGGCACACGCGCTCGAGGCTCAGCTTTCCAAGCCCGTCAACGTTCCTGATTCTAAGCTACGCACCAGAGAGCAGCGCAAGCAGATCATTTTCGCAGAGATGAATAGAATGGAAAAGCTGTCGAAGGCACACATGGTTGAAGTTAAGCCTCAGATCCCAGAGAAAACAATCGATGACATTCTTAACGAACGCCGCAAACGACACGGGGAGGAGCGTGAGCAACTAAAGAACATGGCAGTGCGCTTTACATCTGCGTACGATCGGCATTCCCGGGTCTCTGTTAACATGGACAGCAGCGACGACGAATGGAATGACCTAGCTGCACGGACCTCCTCACGTTATGCAGATATTTCTGCTAAGCCACGCTCGATGCAGGCGCAGGTCCGCCAATTTGCATCTGATCGGATAGATCCTGCCTTCAATAGCTACATCGAGGCCCCTGTGCGACCTGGCTATGAGTCCTCTCTCCTCTCGTATGTGAAGGTGAGCTCTGACCCTACTACGTGCCACCCGACCAAGTTTGTGGCTCGGCTCACTGCACACACCTGGTGCATTGAGCAGAAGAGCAAGCCGTATGTGGTCTATACGTTTACAATCAGCACAGAGAAGGGTGTCTTTGAAGTAGCGAAGCGCTTCTCTGAGCTGCGTGAGCTGGACAAGGCGCTCCGTCGCGTTTTCCCAACAGTTACTTTGCCCAAGTATCCGTCGTCTATGGGAGGGAAGTTTACTGATGAACAACTGGAGGAGCGGAAGCGGCTCCTTGGGCGCTATATGAGCCAGCTGAATCAGATCGCGGTCATTAGAACAAGCCAGGTGTACAAGGAGTTTATACAGATGAAGGTGAGACACGATATCCTTGTATATCACCGGTGAATTGCGTTACGTCTCGTGTGACACGGACGTCTCTGGCTGGGAACCCTTCTGGGCGTATGAGACTTCACAAGTGGACTCATTGTCTTGTGCCTGGCAAACTCTTGAAAAAGCGGGAGTGTCGAGGGCCTTTGACTCTCCTGCCGTTGCGCGTGTGCTCATATACAATTCAGAGAATGAAGGGGCGTTGTAAATTGACGTTGTCTGGGGGTGTCCTGCTTCGGTGCGTTCATGGCGTCGCTGCGGTCTGTCAGGGCTGTTCAAGCTGGAGCCATCCCCGAGAGATGATTCGGCTGCTCGCCAGGGTTTGGCGGCAATGGAGGGCAAGACACCGACCGGCTTCTGGTGGACCATGGAGTCGCTGAGCATCTTGGTAGAGCTACCCGTGGACTTTGCCGAGCCAGACATCATTGTACGGGTGACTGACCTCTTCGGGGTCTTGTATATGAGCTTGATCGGGCTTTTTCCGGGGGACGACATGCTCTGAATTGCCATCATCGATTCGCTCTTACTGTACTCATGCATTATCTCCGAACGGAAGTCGCTGAATTCCTGGATGCTCTGCAGTGCAGGCTTTTCTGTGCACATGAGCATCGCCGGCGCCCGCGTGTTGAAATATTCTTCTTCCAGCTTTGCGATTGAGTGGGTAGGCTTAATATTGGGAATAGGGACTTTCCGGGTAGGGTTGCTTGTAAGCTTAGTGCTTCGCGCCCTTTTCTCAGGATTTTTGCTCTGAATGGCAGCTATCCAGGCAGCAGTCAACTCTTGCTCTTCACGCATTCGCCTCTTCACAGCATTCATGGGCGAGCCTGTCTTGGAGTTGAGATCACAGTAATCGATGGGACGCTGTTGAACAAGAAGCCGCGCCTGGCTATACTCCCCCGCTCCCTTGGTTATCTCAGTTATCTTGCGGTATACGCGCTTATTTTCCTTATCTACCTGCCGCGCATTTTCGTGCTCCCGAAACGGGATGTGGTTGCTGGTGAAGCGACTGATGTGAGTATATTGTTTGGGGGCTGCGTTATCTACAGACGGCTTCAGTCGTGCCAGGCGCTGCTTATCCTTAAAGTCGCGCTCTTCTCGCCACTTCTTATCAAGAATTCGAGACGCCGTTGGAATGGCACGATCCATTTTTAGGACTACAAAAAGCATTTACCCCAGTGGGACATAGTTATCAATATATGCAACCAAGATATGCATCAGCAGGCTGTGTGTCTAGAGTAGTAGAAACTTGCAAGTGACAGAGTTGTCAGATCCCTCTGCCCCTGATAGATTTTAGAATCAATCAATGCTACAGATCTACTGCGGCACGCATTAACTACGCACACTGGAAGGATGCATATAAGACTTAGCAGCATATCCTGTATTGTAGGGAGGGTTTGATGGTGCCGCGTATAAATTATAGATGTTGTCATCTCCTGGACCCTGCAGAACATTTCCCACACGAAAACTGAAGGCTGGCTGTTTATATGAAGGATGAGGGATACGCGAAACGTGGCCCTCCAAGTTGGTTGTTGGTGGAAGATATGGTCCAGATGCTGTGGCCATCTGAACTGTGGATTGATGTACGGGCTGCTGCATTCCGTAAGAGCTATTGATCATGTTGCGAATTGGGTTGCTGGAATCTGGAGGCTCTATGTGGTGACTCTGGTCACCAAGAGAGTTACGTGTGGGTACACCTTGAGAGGACGCCATCTGCTGTGGAGAAGCAGGCGCATTGAAGGATGCTTCCACGTAAGAGATATTAGAGGCACTTGCAAAGCTACCTCCGCCTCCTCCTTGAGCATAGCCCCCAGAGACTCGTCTTCCAGCTGTCGGTAACAATACCTTCGTGGGCGAATTGCCAGCCAGCACAGATGGGTCCGCTAGCAGAGAGACAGTGTCTGTTCCATAACTGTTAACATTGCTATCGATACTGGCTTCTATAATTGTATCTGTAGAAAATAAGTGAGGGTTGTGTTGTCTGACGCTGACAAACCCTTTAGACGGGCCCACCTTCACGAGAGCTCCCCTACCATTATCCTGCCTGACCATGTTCTGCGGAAGTGCCTGCTGGTTTCGAGAAGGTGAGCTGGTGACGTTGGTTGCAGCCTGTAGGGGTGAATGTGGGGAAATCGTTCGAAGCGGAGATAAAGATGAATCTCTCACAGTGTCCACCTCAAACAGAGTCGGACTCACTCTTAGTGGAGATGACTGTATAGGTGAAGCAAGTGACTTAATTGTTGGAGAGTTTCTTGACCCTGCATCTGAATTCATCATAGAACTTGCCAGAGGCTCTGTGTGTTGGAAGGCAGGAGAATTGCTGTAATCCTTGGCCAGGTCGTCATGCTCTCTAAAAAGATACTCTTGTTCGGGATCCTGCTGCTGGCTCTTACTTGGGAGATCTACGTTGGGTTCATCTATTAATCCTCTCCACGGTGGAAGCTGCTTGACCTTTCCTGGCTTTGAGGGTAGTGTCAGTGCTTGAGATTTAGAGGTCCTCGTCTGCCTGATTCCCTGGCTTGAAGACCTGTGCAAGCCGTTTGGATCTGCATCTGCGCCAGTGTCATCATCATACGATGCTACTGGCACCATGCTCCGTCTCTCAGCAGACTTTTGAGAGGCACCCTTTCCTTGCCTTTTCTCCTTCTCTGCTCCTCCTAAGTGCTCCTTCTGACTTGCTATTATGCCCCGCGCTTGAGTTAAGAGTGCATTCTTATTGGATACTTCTGCTCGAAGCTTGTTGATCGTATTCTGCAAGTCTAAAACTTTAGACTCCTGTCTCAGCAGATCCTCCTGCATTACCTTGTACGATTTTTCCAGTTGCATGTAAGGAATCAAGTGTGGACTGGGGACTTGCTTGTTTTTCGCCTCGTCCAGCTCTGACAGTAAGCGCGTGCATCTCTTTTCTGATTCAAGTAGTTGGTCCTGCAGGAACACAATTTGCTTGTCTTTTTCAAGGACTTCCTTGGTGTCCTTCTTCTTCTTAGCTTGTTTCTTCTTACCTTGATCATCTGGAGCCGGTTGTGCAGCTGACTGGTCTGTGCTACTATCCTTGACTGCAGTAGCATGACTATGTGCCAAAATCTGCTCGAGCTCATCTATTCTTAGCTGTTGCTGGGAGATCAAAGTAGCTGCTTTATCTAGCTCGGCTCTGCTGACTAGCTCGGCCTCCTGATCCTTCGTCTTTGGTCTACTTTTAGAAACTTTAGCCGCCTCGCCAGCAGCTTGCAGTTGAACCAAGAGGCTTTCATTTTCCTTGCTTTTTAAATCCAAATCGACTGTGAGCTTATTAAGCCTCGCCTTCAGGTCCAAGATCTCTTGCTCCATTAGTCCAGGATCTTTGTTGGATGACGTTAGCTCGGCACCCATAACGGTTACTGTGTCTGAAAATGTTACGCTGTTACTGCGACCAGGCTCGTTGCGTCTGCCAACCGACCCTTTGCGTGAGGTAGATATGGAGCTCTTCCTAACATCTAGAGACTCCGGTATCTGCTGTTCCTCTGTATGCTGTGCCTCACTTTTGGCCTCCTCAATGATACGCAGTTGCTCAGAAAACTTCTCGGTCGCCGCTATTGCAGATCCATATTTCTGTAATAATTTCCAACACTCTCCGCAATCTATAAATATAATATTATTCATTACATTCTCTAAGAATTTTGCTATTTCTATTCGTCCAAGGCGATGGGCCTCTTCTAGGACGGGGTATATCTGCTCTGGTGAGGGTTTGAAGTACAAGACAACGCACTGAACGCACTCTAAGGAATTTCCCTGCAGCGCATGCTCTAAAAGCCCATATCCTTTCGCATCAGTTTCAAAATCTGAGTACCTTACCAACAGTATGGCCGAGGAGAGCGCCTTAGCAGAGAGAGCTACCATGAGAGGGGTTTCACCGTCTTTATTTTTCAGCTCTGCCTCATGCTCGGCTAAGTACTGTACAATGTCTACGTTGTTAGCTTGAGCTGCTATGTGTAACGCATAGTTTCCTAATGCATCGGGTTTCCTCTTCCACCTCTCCATATTCATCCTAACCCCAAAGGCGTCGCCCATACGCGCAGCCTTTATAAGAGGACTGTCCTCAATTTTCTGCTCTCCTCTGTATGGCCCGCGCGCTCTTCCAGAACGCCTCGGCGGTGAATCGTCAGCGTGCATCAGTAAACGTGCTATTTTTAGAATTTAATCAACTAGCAGCAGCAGAAAGCGGGCGTTCTGGGAATAAGTTTACACTAAGACTAATGGTATAACAACGATAGACCAGTGGTGCACAATAGGCGATAAAATATAAATCCTAAATCCTCAATCCGTTGAAAAATCAAGGAATAAACTGTTGGTTTAGACCCTTTTATAATGAACAACAATGTGTTATCTGTCAAAATGGGGGTGAACTCTATCTCATAAGGAAGCCTCTTCACGTCTTTACACGAATAGACCAGCCGCTTATTGTATTTGAACGAAAAGAGCTTGCCATTATAAGTAACTATAGCCGATCCTTGCTTCAGAGAGCCGTCCTCCTTGCAGTCACAGTCTACCCTGTAAGCTTTATCCGCACACACCCTCCTCCACATGAGGAGAGAGATGTCCTTGTCCGATGCCCCTATTATTGTTGCATCTATCAGCCTGTCAACCAGGTTGGTTGCTCCGAATGACCCATCGGCTCGCACAATGACCCTGAGACTTGAGCCCAGGTCAAACGGGGTCACGCGGTAGACGAAAAGCTGGCAATAATCAAGCAGCTTGACGGGATTGAGCTTTATGAGCCCGGACTCGAAGAACACTCCATCTGCATAGGAACGAACTATAAAGACACTCATCCCTTGGTCTATAGCACCGTACACTTCAAACCCTAAGACGTCACCAACGACGTATGCCTCCTTCGTTACCCTCAGGCCAGTCACGTTGTTCTTAAAGGCCATCTCATTCTCAAAAGCGCGCGCACCCTTAACCGTCTCACTTGCTGACGACCCTCGATAAGATGGTGTAAGAGTGTTAATGGAAAGCTCGTGCTCTATGCTGTTGCGAACGGGTTCTAGATTCACCGAAGTAGACTCCAGAGGCTGAGCCACATAACCCTTTCGCGAGTCCAGCAGCTGGCTAAAAGACTGCGAGACAGAATCCAGCGATCTGATATCTGTGTTGTTGCTTTCGTTGGATGGAGCAATGGTAGGTCCTGGCATTATCGCTGGCTCAATCCCGGAACACTCTGATTCTCGTTCGTGTGGGCCTTTCTCCATATTCTGCAGCTTGGTGGGCTGTGAGGGAATGCAGACAGCATTTCTGTCACCCAGTTCCTCCGATTCAACAACCACCTCTGTGCTTTCCACTAGGTCACTGTACAGAGCAGCTGGGTTAATAGAAGTTATAGGTATCTCTATTTCTCGCACACAAGTTGGCAGATCAAGTGGTTGGGGAGAAATAGCGAGTTCCGGAATAGACTCAGAGGTGCTCAACTTGTCGGATACCCGAGAGGGCTCAGAAGGCTCGCTGTTGGTGATGTTAGCGCTCTGCCTACTGCTTCTGCGCCTTTCCGGCCGCTGAATGTAGATATCATGCGCTATGTTCTGTGTCATATCCATTACTTCCACGGTCGAGGACGTCATATGGTGAGTCCCTAGCCTACTCCGGTTCTGGTTGTTCTGATGGACAGCCGTGTTTGTCATGACAACTATGGGACTCAAAATACCCTTAGATGTAAGGATGTGGTCTCTGGCGGAGTTGCTAACTAAATCCTGATAGGACATGGGCCTGGAGCTGTTCTGAACGTTGTCGTCTGCGTCTAGTGAACAGTTATCTATGCAGCTGCTGGGAAACTCAAATTGTATTCTATCTTGCTTAACCTTTACAGCCGTAGAACCAGTGTGATCAGCGGGTTCATGGAAGGTGGTGTAGGACTCAGTGTAGTTGCTCTCCTGGAGAACAAGGCTCTTCGGGACTTCTGACGCACGCGACTGGTCAATCCGTGAGAGACGCTGCCGCGAGGCGATAATGTTCTTGCCCACGTCTCCATCCTCGGAGACATCTAGACTATTAGTGTCTGTTTTGGAGTCGTTGTACGCATTGATCATTACCCTAGAGCCTCTAGATGCATGCGGGTGAATGGCATTTAGCACAGTTGCTGGCTGCGAGATTTCTAACTTGATTCGGGATGAGTGTGGATCTGCGGCTGCGCTCGGTGCATTCTGGGCATCGAACTTTCCTGAACTCACTGCCAGCCGAAGCTGGTGGGCGATTTGCTCTAGGGCGTCTCGATTTTGATCGTCAGAAAACCGAGCTGACTTTTTGCCTGGATTCAAGGCAGCAGCCGGCGCAACATCTCCACCCCGGTGTTCCATATTCTGCCAAAGAGGTGATTGTGCCCCCGTCCGGTCAAAGTAGCCACCTCTAAAGGGAACTTTTTGGGAGGTAAATTCAGAGGTATGAGCTACCTTTGGCCCGTGGCTGTCATCATAATTGCAATATTCCTTATTTAAATTATGTGGTGGCGTAAAGGAACGAGGGTTCGTCCCTCTGGTCTCATGCCTCGACGAAGTAGAGCGGGCGCGTGGCGTCCTGGAAGAATTACGGCGCATGCTGTTAACATAGAACTCTGCTCGGAGCGTCTTTTTCAACAAGGGGACTGCTGACATCGCGCTCTGATTATCCGAATACCGCTCTGCATCGTTGATGGGCACCGGATAAAGCAGTACTTCGCATACAATGAGAATAGACCCATATAGACGATACTGCTCTATAATAGAGCTCCTCAGATCAAAGACGCGGTCATTGTCGAACTCGGGAATGTATACTCTTTCGTTATCATCGAGTTCTTGGTACCAGTAAATTTCTAAATCAATTGGCACCAGAGACACTATGTTAAGCAGCGCATGTGAGGTATCGACCTTTTCCAATGCGCAGGTCTTGATGATCTGTTCCTCCTCGACGATAATCCGTGTGGATAGAAGGACAAACTTCTCTCCTATAACTCCATGATAGCTCACAGGGACTATCTCTGTTCTGAGAAACATATTTGCGTCGCAAAGTGCGGGCAAATACTCGCAAATGGAAGGCTGATCTGTCACACTGCCTTGTTTTATCTGCTCTAGCACACACGAGCAGGCGTCCGGCACAGCAGAGCATAGACACTGATCTTCAGAGTCATCGGAGATGCAGCTTTCTGAGACTGTGTTGTTCATGTACAGGTTCTGGCAAGTGCTGCACACACTCGCGCACCTGTACCATGTCACGGTGGTGTCACCCTCCTCTCCACCTGAATAGCTGTACCTTAGATTGATTAGCTTGCCGACTTGGAGGTTTTTGGACGCTAGCAAGAAGTTTGCAGAGCGTATGGTGGGCCGACAGGAGATAATTGGAGGAGAGGCTATGTGCATTTCGAGCTGGACAGATCTTATGTTTGTCATCATTGTCTTTGTGCCAAAGTTATCCTGCAAGATAGACATGAGGATATTCTGGTGCTTGCTCTGCTCCAATTGCGTTCCAGCATGACGGTACACGTTCCCTGCTGCCCGTTGTGCTTGTGAGGTTCTTTCCTCTACTCTTATGAATGCGATGACATAAGTATTGGAAAGGAGTGAAGCCGGTAATACAAAGTCAAAGCTGTAAGAAACCAGTGAGGAGCCATCAGTACCCATATATCCTCCATGCGTAGCAGCGTACGAGCCTGGCCTGGACAGCCTAGAGATAGACGATGACCTGGTTACATGGCTATCTTCGTCTCTCCCCGCTCCAGAGTCGATTCGCTTGTGTACCCCATGAATCAGCTGTGGAGGGCAGCCAAAGCAGGTGTGATAGAAAAGGACCTCGACAAGCTTATACTTAGAAGACAGTAGCACAACATGAAAAAAGCACTGACTATTCTCGATATATACTCCTTGAGAGCTATCACTGACACTCCCTTCTGGTTGCACAAACCCTGCTCTGAGAATAGGAAGGACAATCCCCTGTTTGTGGAGGAAGCGGGAACAATAGGTCTTAAATTGTAGTGAGCTAATGGAGCTGTTTGGGCGCTGTAAGTACTCGACGCCCTCATCAGAAATCCACGCTGACAGACCGTGAAGCACCCTGTACGGAAGAGTGCTATCCACCTCTGCAAGGAAAAGGTCTTCTGTGACCATCCGTTGCTCTAATAGCTTGTGTGAGCCTAGCATGGCATTGGATTCGAAGGGCCTCGGGGCTGCATCTCCTCCCGCAAGAAGATGCCTTCCTGTTTTGAGGCTTATCCAGCTGGAGTATCTTGTCATGATATCAAGTGTGCTCATTGAGTTGACGCTGTTTATTCGTCTCTCTTGAAAAAACAGGGACATAATCGACATTGCTGTACAAAGGCTATCATCACAGACTGCCAGCAAGGTATCGGAATCGTCTGTCTCCCCGTCTGCGGTTTCCCCCAGCAATGGGGAAGGAAGGATGCTCTCTAGATTGTTTCCAACAGCACTAAAGATCTCTAGATTCTTCAGTTTTGCAAAGGGAAATTGGATAAAATTCTCCAATCTGTTATAGTTCAAGCTGAGAAAGGTCAGCTTCGGGGCATCTGGAAAGTGTGCCCATGAGGAGATAAGATTGCCATCTAGATGAAGGGAAATCACATTGGGAAGAAGGGGCAACTCAGCAAAGTTCTTGAGCTTTGAAGCTGTTATAGAGAGATGCTGTACTCGCTGGAATGGCTTGAGGAGCGTGACTAGAGAGGCAAATTCGCAATCTAGCATGTACAGTGACTTAATCTTAGTGCAGGAGCTAGCCTGGAGTACAGCACGGACAAACTCCCGAGTCAGTGTCTCCGTGAACCCTATAGACTTAATAAACAGGGTCACAGTGGTCGGCGGTATGTTCATCAAGGCATCGCGATCAGCGTCGACCTTGTGGAGTTTCTGGGTTGTGGGAAGAGACTCTATCATGGAAATAGTTTCAGTGAAGCTTTGCGGGGCGAAGAGAGAGACTCTTGTGTGGTGTGGGGCCTCTCCATTCATTATCATCAGTGTGTAATTTTTGCACAATTTGGCTCTTTTGTGAGATATTAAGTGATAAAAGTTTCCTTTTTTAAGATCAAATTCTGAACTAAAGGATACAGATTCTGAGCAAAAATTAGCAGGCTTTAAAATGAGCGATCCGACTATCCATGACGCTTACGACTTCGTGGCCATCTGCGGCGCAGGATCCTTTGGGAAGGTACACAAGGTGCGCTCAAAGGAGGATGGCCAGATTTACGCATGCAAGGAGATTAACTATGCTAAGATGAGCTCCAAGGAGAAGGAACTTCTGGTTTCCGAGGTCAACCTACTTCGCAAACTAAATCACCCCAACATCGTCAAGTACATCCGCAGGTACCAGGACAAGGCGGCTACCCTAATCTACATAGTGATGGATTACTGCAGTAAAGGCGACCTGTCCGACTACGTCAAGATGCACAAGAAGACAAACCAGTATATTTCGGAAGACAAGATCTGGTCTATCTTCGCCCAGCTTCTGATAGCCCTTGATTACTGCCACTCTCCAAACAAGCCCGATAGCTCTGGGGTTGGCAGGGTCATCCACCGTGATCTCAAGACGGCCAACGTCTTTCTTTGCGAAGACGGGTCAATCAAGCTGGGGGATTTCGGGCTCTGCCGCGTTCTGGAGCAGAGCACCATGGCGAAGACAAACGTCGGCACACCCCTTTACATGGCGCCAGAGCTTTTGGAAAACAAGTCGTACACAGAGAAGGTTGACATTTGGTCATTAGGCTGTATCATCTACGAGCTCTGCGCCCTCCAGCCCCCTTATGTAGCTACGTCTCTCGACTCCCTGAAGGCAAAGGTGAAGCGTGGGGTGCGCCCCTTCGTGCCCAACCACTTTAGCCCTGACCTGCGAAGGATTATTGACATGATGCTCATCAAGGAGCCCGAGAAAAGGCCATCCACCACCGAACTGATTCAACTGCCTGTCATAGCAAAGCTTTTACAGGGCTTGGCATACGATCCCGCCAGAAACTGTCGAGGTCTTCAGCGGGTCGAGCAGATGACCCCCGTGGACCGTGCTATGGGCGGAAACCTCCGTGCTCCTTCCCGCGGAATGGCTCCACCACCATCTGCAGGCTACAAACCAGTGAATGGCAGGTATAGTGATGGTGATTTGGATGCGTGGGAAGATCGTCTGAAGGAGCGGGAGGCAGCACTGGCCAATTGGGAGGATGCCATATCTGAGAAGGAAACGAATCTGAAAGAGCGTCTTGCTAAGGCCGGTTTGAGGTAGGCGGCTGATTCTTTGTCACTGGGGCATGTTCTTCTTTGTCTGTCGTCAGGACAGAATTCAACAGTGCAGTGAATTAAAAAACTTAAATGCTGAGACCATGCGAAGGGCATGTGGCCTCCACTGAGTGCGCGTACTGCTTCTTGAACAGGTACAATAGCCAGGGGCTCTACCTCTGCATGCACTGCAACTTCTGCGCCTGCCTGGATCACGTTAACATTCATCAGGAAAAGACCGGTCATGTGCACTATTTACATATCCTTTATACCCTCAAGAACAAAGAGGGGAACATAACTGCACGTGATAGGGTGGACATGCTGCTTAACAACAAGAACGAAGAGATTGTTAATCTTGAGACGAAGATTTATCAGTTTCCCGGTAGACAGGCTGTGCTATCTGTCCCCGACGAAATGATGGACTGCTACCTTTTCTTACTTGATGGCGAGGACGACCCTGACAGAACGTTGCTTAAAAAGAAGCCAGGCGCGTCTCTATCATCCCTATCCGACCACGCCCAGGTCTACGATCAACTAGCTTCTTCATGCGAGCATGTGATTGAGATACTTACCTCTCAACCGCCTGCGTATAGAGCTCACCACAACTGCTTCTCATCATGTGCAAGTTGTGACGTGTCAAACAACCTTTGGCTCTGCCTGTACTGTGGCCACGTTGGCTGTGGGCGCGCTCAGGCATATAGTGAGCTGGGCGGGAACGGCCATGCTCTTGCACACTATGAGTCGAACTGCGATCATTGCGTGGCTCTAAAACTCTCATCTCTCAGTGCATCTGTTTGTGAAGCATACTGTTACAACTGTGATGTATCTATCGATTCAATCTTTACTGTGCCAGACATGAGATCTATGCTGCAAAGCTATCTAGAGTGCACATATGGTCACGATGTTGCTGATTTAATGAATCGTACAGATGGGGCCTGTCTGTCTCTTCAGCAGCAAACGGAGAGGGTAGACGAGTTGATAGATAGATATGGGCTTGCAAAAAGTATGCAGAGTTCTCAGATCTCGCTGTTGGGCGTGCTCTCTGGCTTTAGAAATACCGGCAACACGTGTTATGCTAGTGCTGTCGTTTCATGTCTTAGAGCGGCAGGTGTCTTTCCCAGACGGACCAAGGAGCTCGAGATTGAGGCGCTCAATCACTATCACACGTGCAGTTTGTTAGATCCCATCGACTGCTCCATCTGCCAACTGTATAGGCTATACGTTTGGGGATTTCGCACAATAAACTACAGTGCCACAGATCTCCTGGCCCATGGATACCTGGAGAATGACCTGCCATACTTTATCATGTATTCAGACCCCCACATCACTCCTTTGATCAGATTGCTTACGCCATACTTTGCCACTGACGAAAATGTTGGGTTTCAGCACGATTCAGCTGATTACCTCAACAATCTATTAGACTTTTTCGACCACCATAGACCTGATCTAGTTAGAAAGGTGACTCTCCCCGCGATGAGGCGTGAACTAAGGTGTGCATCGTGCATGGGACACGTTTACAAGCCAGAAAATCAGCACGAATGGGGGATCTCCTTGACATGCTCTCTCTTCGACACCGTTACAGAATGCGAAGTGGGAGCAGAGGTGTCGATGCAGAGCTCTCTTAGAAGCGAGATAGGGGGCTATGCTAGTACGATAGATGGATTGCGCTGCCCTCTGTGCTCAGCCATCAACGTATGTGGCGAGGTGCCGAAGCTATTGCTGTCATCGTCATATCTCGCCAAGACCGAGAGCGCCTTTCCAGAAATACTGATCGTAAAAGCAATTAGGCAGTATTTTGATGTATCAAGGATGCGGTCATATAAACTTTTGACTAGATTGATAGACACTGACAAAATCAAAATCAATTTCTTAGTTAGTACACATACAGAAGAAGACGAAGAGAAGTGCAACACCGAAGCGTGGAGACAAGCCCTGGTGGCCATGGAATCGGGAGCCATGATCCCAGGTGTTCAGCAGAACCAACGTACAAATGTGGATGAACAACTGAGTGCCATGATGGACATGATGGTCGCAGACAGAAAGACATGTATGAAGGCTCTGAGACAGTGCAACGGGGATATAAGATTGGCAGTGGATGCAATACTCAACAACGAAGTGGCAGATGATGATCAGCACGATGCACATCACGAACTTCCCCTTCCTCAGGCTCCAGCACCTGCGATTGCGAAAGAGAGAATTGCAGAGGCAGTGCACAATCTTCGTCAAGAACAAGAGATAGACTCAGCAATGAACGCAGCAGGTGTGTCCTATGCAGAAAGAGATGCGATGAACCTTACATACAAATTGGTGGCCTTTGTGCTACACCGGGGAACAGAGCTCGACAGTGGGCACTATCTCGCCTACGTGCGAGCCAGCTTATTTTCGGAGGAGGATCTTAGCGAGATGCAGGTGCGTGAGCTTGTCAACAGAGACCAAGATTGGATGGTTTTCAACGACGAAGAGGTCACTCTTACACAGGATCCCCCGGTGCAAATGGCATACATATATTTCTATAAGAGGATGGCTAAGTGCTAATCTACGTGACGCAAATCCCTTGGGCACACTTTCGCCCACTTCGGATTCGGTCCCGGGCTCAGTTCCGCGCTCACCTGTAAATTCCTTTTAATGTTTTTGCAATACGTCCCAGGGGGGATAAATATACTCTGGACCCATGGACGAATACCTATCCACCCTCACTGTGAGCCGCATGCTCACGCCCCACTCGGCCATTGTCACCCCGCAGAGCAGCCTGGACAAGTACATTCTCCGTTGTCTCCCCGCGTCTTCCCTGGACCCTGAGGTTCTCAAGAATGTGATGTCGGACGTGGGGTTTGTTATCCGGGAAAAGTGCCATTGGATGGTTCAGTGCTTTGTGGAAAAGCTTGTCGACGATGACACGCGGATGGATCTGAGCACGGACAGCCGCAACTATTACGTCCTCACCGAGTGTTATGCCTCTGACTCTCTTCAGGCCCTTGTTGTCACGAGAGACAGAGTCAAAAAGCCCTTTACTGAGGACGAGATAATACAGACCCTCTTACAGCTCATTATGCCCGTTGAGTTCCTTATGAAGATTGGGTGGCGTGACAAAAGCTTCTTTAAGCACGTCCTCCACCCTAATCGTCTCCGTGTGAGCAACAACGGCTTGATATCCCTCGATATCTGCCATGCCATTGTGTCCAGCAAGATCGTCCTCGAACAGTTTCGTGACGAACAATCTTACATGCCACCTGAGGCCATCTTCAGCAACGCTTCTACATATGACGAGAGAAGTTTCATCTGGACAATAGGCTTTATTCTCTTTAATATGATGTGCTCCGGATACTCCTACGGGGAGATCAACTTCAGGGACGTGACTCACAAACCAGATTATGAAGGTGACACAGATGATGAAGGTAACGAAAAGTCTGAGAAAGAACGCATAGAAGGCATGGACATGTATCTCTATGTTAGCAAACGATTGAATACAGAGCTTTCGAGGTACTACTCCAGGCAGCTGAGGGAGATAATAAAGACGATGCTTTCTGCATACTACGGTGAAAGGCCCACCATTCTGAACATCTACGCCCGCCCCTTCATCTTTTCACACATCATGGACGTATACAAAATGAGGGGCGAGTTCTCTGTCGAAGGAGGGACGCCTCTGATGGTTGCAGCACGCATCGGAGACATGCACTACATTACCCAGTGTGCCTCGCAGTTTCACATCCAGGACACCAAGGGAAGGACTGCTCTTATGTTTGCAGCTGCCAATGGGTGTGCGCAGGCCTGCGACTATCTCATCCCGCACGAGTCCAGTCAACGGGACTATAAAAAGTGGACAGCGCTTATGTATGCCGCTGCAAATGGGCATGTCAACTGCGCCAAGCTCCTTTATATGCACGAAAACGGTCTTTGCAATGTCGACAATGATACCGCGCTGATTATTGCTACCGAGCGGAACCATGTGGAGATAGTTGATTTTCTGGCTCCATTCGAGTCTGGAAGGGAGCGACAAAACGGGGAAAGCGCTTTGGTTGTCGCGGCATGGCACTGCTATCCGCGATGCGTTGCCCTACTCATGCATACCGAAGCTCCCCGCTATGCGGAGAGGGCGCTCAAGGCCGTCACAGACCCTCTATGCATAGGGTCCGAGGCCAAGAAGCAGGTTATTATAGCAATGCTCACGGACTATCTCGGCGCGAAGGTCCTGCCCCTTAAGTATATCAGTGAGCCGCGCGAAGAGTTCCTCACAGAGAACATAGGGTTACTAGCGCAGACAAATTCGTTACACATACTCTAAATTGTAGTAAATTTTGCATGAGCGCTGTTGCTCCAAGTGGCTCTGAAATGGTCGTCGAGTCTCCGGATGAGCAGAGCCACGCCAGCGCGTCTTCCTCCTCCGACGACTATACCAGCGGGACGACTACTGAAAGCAACGAAGAGGAATCCGAAGAAGATAATGAGGAAGAAGAGTCTGAAGACGAAGACGAAGAGGATGAGTCTGAAGAGGATGAAGATGAAGAGGAAGAGGAAGAGTATGAAGAAGAAGAAGAGGAGGAAGAAGAGGAAGAGGAGGAAGAGAGCGAAGAAGAGGAGACGTCCGAGGAATCTGAGGAGGAGACTGGGGAGTCTGAGGAGGACGAAGAGGAGACCAGCGAGGACGAGGAGCAGTCGGCGCAGAGCGCGCTCGGCCGGTTCCTCGCAGAGCACAGCCTTGAAAGCGGGAGCGAGCCGGAGTAAATGCCAGCTGTGGGGTTCGAACCCACGCGGTCTTGCAACCAATGGGACTTGAATCCATCGCCTTAACCACTCGGCCAAACTGGCGCGCCCGCGCACACACACCAGACACGCACTTTCTGGCGTACTCTTATTTTTCACTCTGTCAGAGATTGTGTGTTTACTACCCGATCAGCGCCAATGCAAGGCTCAGCCGCCTGCGCATCCCCCCGCTGAGCTGACGCGCCTGCCGGTCCAAGACATCGTAGAGATAGACGAAGGATGCAAGCTTCTCAACGACATTCTTCTCGTCCGCCTTCGAAACGCCGTGTAGACGCGCAAAGAGCGTCAGGTGATCCCGGACGCTCAGAATGGGAATGTATGCGTCATGCTGAGGACAGAGCCCGATGGATTTGTATATCTCGCTGGGGTCTCGGCGCACATCCCACCCGTTTATGATTACCGTTCCTTTTGTGGGCTTGATGAGCCCCGTCATCATGGATATGGTCGTGGACTTGCCAGCCCCGTTACTTCCCAGAAACGCAAAGCATGTGCTGCGCGGAAGGTGGAAACTCACGTCTCGGACTGCCACAAATGCAGGTGGATAAAATTTCTGCAGGTTGCATACAATCACAGGAGTAGTGCTCCTAATTCCATTATACATGTACTGTCGCTCTGCCAGCACGTCAATGTCCATTTCGGCCTGGCCCGTCCGGACTGCGTAGTCGCGACCGGTGCGCGGAGGGGGCAAAGCCTTCTTCCGATGTGTTGGCATAGCATTCAGCTGAACATTGATTGGAGGACGAACGTAAGTGGAGGAGTCAAGGTAAGTTCCATCTGTTTCTTCTTCGATCCCACATCCAACCAGGGAACCGGGGCTCGTTTGGCACCGGCACCCTTCAACAGAGTCTGCTTCCAAGGCTGATATGCCAGTGATTGTGGAAACATCGGTGAGCATCGTAGCCGTGGCTAAGAGTTGGTCGGTGCTTTCAGGAACTGCTTTAGTCAGCACAAGCCGTGTGCTCGCGCTGCCATTTGTAAGCTGCGAATCGCGTGCGATCGACACTAAGTCAGCATTGTTAAGGTTAAATGTAGAAGCACCATTGGAAGACTTGCTCCTCTTACAACAACAGGTAAATATGAAGTTCCAAGGAAGAGGCACGCCGTTAGATTCTCTGGGAATGATGTAATCGAAATATATTGTCAGGAGGAAAAAGATTGTGCCCTCAACCCACATGCCAAGGATAAGCCATCGCATGGGGGAGTTCATGAAGCTCTTGAAGTCCTGTGCGCTCCAGCCCACAAAACCCAAGATTGCTGCGAAGCTCATCATGGGGGTGAAAAAGTACCACCAGAGAAGGTTTTCTGTCTGCACCTCTCCTTCTATCATTAAAACAATGGCGAGTACGATAATCAAGATATTTCCGACGAGTGTTGAGAGCTGAGTATTGGGGAAGAACAAGGAGAAGAGGAACGCCGTTGTGAGTTGTCCGTATGCTCCTGCCGTGAAGACCAGCAGAATCATGCCGAAGTCCATTTTCCTAAGCAGGCTGAGCTTGAAAACAAAGTAGCCTAGCACCACCATAACGCTATATACCAGCACCGCAAAGCAGAGTTGGTATATGAAGTTAGCGCACCAGTATAGCCAGGTAGGCACGCCGTTTAGCTTGAACATCTGTCGAAGACCCTGTTGACGGTCCAGAACGACGGGGAACATGTGCATTGGGACCATGCTCATGCATGCAAGGGCTAGCATAATAAGTGCAAGCATCACCTTCATCTTGTCCTCGCCAGAGGTTATGGGGAAGGTCCAGACCCAGTCCCAGGGCTGTAATCCAAAGCGAATATTGATAGACGTGGCAGGGCTTGTGTACGAGGCAGCAGGGCTTATACCATAACTTGCGCGTGCAATGGCCTCGACTAATCTGGCGTGCACTTCATTGTGGATGGTTATGGCCCGCGTATCCAAAAGCGATGTCTCCTCAATAATAGATGGCGCTTTTGCAGGCGGGAGAGTGATGGATGAATTGACTGATGTTCCGGGCATACTCATTATATCGTTAATCCCAAACTCTTTTGCCCGCTGCACGATCGACGTCGTATTAAACCTTAACCGCAGAGTCAAGCGTTTATAAGGATAGTTTCCTAACTTAGCAGGTAAGTATGAGTGAATAACGGGTCTGAGTACTTTGATCCCTCCTGTTTCTGAGTACGATTCCGCTGTATCAAACTCCAGAACAGCCAAGGGCACCTTGCTAAGTACGTAATTATAACACTGTTGTATAGTAGCCAAATCGGTAGGATCGACGTACACTCTCTTGGTAAGGTTGCCACACTCGACAGGCTCGCTGTAGCAACGATCATAGTACACGGTTCCCTCTGGCCTAGGTATCCCCCCGCTGCGCTGAATGTATAAGAGTTCGTCCAGTAGGGTATCAATTGTGTCATACTTAGAGTATCCATTGACAAAGTAAAAGTCGGGCTTTAGCTGAAAGTCGTCCGAGATAGTAGTAGTTGATGTGTACATAGGTACGGCAAGGGGCTTCACAGAGAAGTAGTCAAGGTAGTTTGTCCCTCCACTTGTAGAAAGATCGGTGAAGAGGCTGTCGAACTTGGTGCTCATGAAGGACGACATGGCCACGCTTACCTGGTTCTTGATCGACGAACTTACGGGAAGGCCCATTACTGTGAAGACCTTGTAGTCCACAGAAGAAAACGGAATGGTGGTATTATTGACAGTTAGATTGTAAGAATACACCATTCGATGGCCGCGCAAGGCGTCTTGGAGGACAATGGTCTCATCAATTCCGGACCCAAAGCGCCCTGTCTTATCGAAGACATATATCCTTCCTGTACCACCGCGCCTTTGCATCATGTTACTATAACGAATGCTCTTGGTCCCTAAGTCAGTTCCATTAGGCAAGAGGTCAGGAACCTCTGACTCAGAGATGGTACCTCCTCCAAGCCAAATGATCGGCTGGGAGTTGACCTTGCCTATGAACCTCTCGCTAGCAGGACAGGCCATTGGCTCCCCAAAGGTATCATAGCCATCGCAGTCCTCTATGTACCCGAAACCCCCAAAGCTCTTGAGCATGCGGCAAACAGTGCATATGGAATCAGATCGACTCGCTACTCTCTGTGCGAGGGAGTTCAGAAGCCCCATTAGCCAGGGAACAAATACGTCAGAGAGGATCCACCCCAAGATAATAAGAAGAACCGGGAGGAAAAACACGGAGAATATCCCCATCTTCGTGGAGGCATCGTACCGATACATCTTCGTCAGGAGCGCAGTGAAAACACGCGGCCGGACTCTCCGCGGGTTTAAAATTTCGTTAATCATTTCCGGGGTAAACTTCTCGATGCGAATCTCCTCTCCATTTATCAATGTATCATGCGCTTCGGCGTCAGTGTACTTCAGAAGCGCAGGGTCACTCATATCGCTGTCAACACTCACATCAGTAGCATGCTGTGGCAACTGTTGGTCCTCCCCGAGGGCGCTTGATCCCTGATTTGGCAGCTTGTTATCGATGTTCGAGGGAGAAGTGTGGTCCAGAGTAGAGGAAAGGTTTGCAAGTTCCTTTATGTTGACACCCTGAAGAGCATCCTGCTGGCTGGTATACTTATCCATTTGAGAAAAGACGCCTGCTTGGTAGATTTTTCCTAGCTTAATGAAGACTTCCTCTAGAGTCGTGCCCTCTAGCTGATAATCTGCCACGAGGGGCCCTAATGACCCGAGTCTATTATCCCCAAGGCTCAAAGAGCCAACCGAAGGTATGTCACGAACAATCTCCTGGGAGTTTTCATCAAGTGTATGCCTTCCCGTCTTATGTGTCTCCACAAACAGGATAAACCCAGGCAGCGCATACTCAGCCATTAAATTGACAGAATATACCAACGATTGGCCTGTTTGATTTATCAGACCAATGCGTGGCTGTGATTTTTCACGTAAAAAGTCAGCTGTGTCCGTCGTCTTGGTAACATACTCGATTTCTGGATACGATTGCTGCAGCCAGTATTTAACTAGTTCGGACATAACATTCGCTGCCTTTGTTGAAGAGGCTATGATGGTGAACTGATAACCACTTCCGTAGAGCCTCTTGAGCTCTAGAGAAGTGCCAGAGGCGATGACCTTTCCACTAGACATGATTGCAATCTCGTCAGATAGGTAGTCAACCTCTGTCATATCATGAGAAGTCAGCAGGATGCCCGGGGGTGGCCGATGAATTCGCTTAACGTGAAGATCCTTCCCCTTGGCGCTCCCAGTAACAACGGGAACATTCATGTGATTGCGGCTTGTCTTCTGGATCGCGCTCCAGACGATTCTCTTAGTTTCGGGGTCAGTCCCTGTTGTGGCTTCATCAAAAAGGAGCAGCTTGTGGTATCCACACGTGGCGATGGCAATGCAGAGGCGCCGCTGCATGCCGCCAGAGAATTTCTTACACGGCTTGTCACGATATTCGTAAAGAGCCACTTGTCGCAGGTGTTTCTCAACTAACATAGGTATTTCAAACTCAGGGATGTTGTGAAGTAAGCATACGAGCTTAAGATGCTGAACCGGAGTGAGCCCGGGCCAAAGTGTTGTGTTGTGCTGGGGGCAGACCCCTATTTTGCGACGTATGTGATTCATCTGATAAAGAATAGAGTAGTCGTCGATCCAGCCGTTACCTATGCAGGGATTGCGAGCCGAGAGAGGGGATTCTAAGAGGTTCTTGGGCGGTTTGTCGGGATGCAAAGACCCAATGATGCAATTGATTGACGTCGATTTCCCAGCCCCGTTTTGGCCAAGAAGGCCAAAGATCTGTCCGTGGCAGATGCGAATTGTAAGCCCCCGGACTGCATAGTGATACTTGCCAACCTTATTCTTGTCTTCCTTCGACCCACTGCAGGCTTTGCGGACAAACGTTTTCTGCAGGTGGTGTGTAACTAAAACTGTGTTCTTAAGATTGCTAGCTGTCATAGTATGGCGAAGCACAGACGAGACCTTGGAGTCCAAGGGAAGTAGTGAGCGCAGAACGGCCTCAAACACAGAGCCTGGAACAGGCTGTCGACCTGTGAGGAAGTCAGATTCGCCCTTCTGTCGTCTAGCTTTCCTGAAGCAAACGCAGCAGAGGCTCTCAGTCCCGTCAGGCTGCTGTGCCGTTGCACGGAAGGTATGCGGAGCACGTTCCAGCACGTCTCCAGTAGCGTCCACGAGTGGAAGATACTCGTCATCCAGGCTATAATCCACTGTGTGTGCGTTGGTTATACCAGCCTTCTTATATGCGTCACGCTTGGCTAAACGTCGACGATAGCGGCTTTCACGATCATCCAGTATGCTGCTGAGAGAGTACCCTTCACCAGATGTACTCCAATAGTCCTTTGTAAAGAGCTGCCATGGTTTTCTGCAGAGGCTTGAGTGACTCGGAACGGCCTCAGAGACAAACCACGTGATCAGGAAGTACAGGATAGTGTCCAGCAGCATAAACACAAGATAAACTACCGGTGGAGGAGCCCTGTATGTGCAAATTGATTGTTTATCGACTGGCTGATTGAGGCATGGGGACGACTCACCGCGAGTGAACCAGGTTGAAAACGTCCACGGGTTCTTCGGAGAAACCAGCTGCATCTCAAAGGTTCTCGGATTGGCATCGGAGGTGGGCATAGCGGTCTCAACCATCTGTAGAGTTGTCTGAATAATGGGGGTAAAGGGAAACAGAAGTTGAAGAAGAAATGCCCCAAACTGGTTTATGAATGTGGGATCATAGATTCTCTCAGGGGTTGTCATAGTGAAGACCATTGTCTCAACAAACGACCCGGCGACCATTACAAAACCAATGGACATCCCTAGCTTAATAGTACCAAGAAAAGAACTGAAGAAGAGCCCAAACATAGTTATCGTCGCCGCAGCCATAATATTGAAAACTAGAAATGATACAGGGTCAATCCAAGGATATACGTCTGTTCCTCCAGGCATCATATATGCAATGATGAAATAAGGAAGCCAGGTTATCATGAAAATGAGCAACTGGAATGAGAATTGGGCGAGAATGTATATGCAATCGTTAACGCCCATGAGACGGAGAGACTCGAACCTGCCTGAATCCTTCTCTGCAATAGAATTGCTCAGGGAGAGAAGAAACTGCATTAGAAAGACGGTAATTACGAAGAACTTGCTCATAAACTCATCTGGAAGACGAGGATCATCGTCACGACCGAAAAACGGCAGCTGAGTCAATCGCGGATTGAAGTCCACGCCTATTCCTTCTGAGACAAGAAGGATAGCTCGGCCCAGCGCCATCTGAACTCGAAGAGGCACCGTTGCTGCCATGCCACGTGATGCAGACATGGAAACCTGGTCCCGCAGGTAGAAGGCATAGAAATTTGGAAATGCAAGCAGAGTCTGGTTATAGTTGATCAGGATAGACAGGTCACTGAGGATTTCCTTGTCGGATGAGGGAACTGTTTGTCCACCAGAGGTGCCACTGCCCTGCTTCTCAAACGGAGCATCGAAGCCAATCATAAAAGTAAAGTGTTTAGGATCTTGCCGCAGGGTGTTCTCTGCTTCGACCCTGGTGCTGAAGCCCTGGAGGTCAGTGTCAAAATCCAGCCCCGACTGCTCGGCCACTTTCTTCATCACTTTTCTCACGTATGGATTATCTGGGTAGAAGCCTAGAGTCTTGCAATTGCGTGTCTGATCAGGAATTAACGTCCCGAAGCCATAGCGGCCGTTGGCATCGTCAAGGACAAAGCACTTGGGCACCCTCATGTCCTCGTCTGGCCAGATAGTAGGTTTGAGATTATCAGATGATTGATAGTAGGCAACCAGAGGATTTAAGTAGAGTACAAGCACAAGGATCAGAGGCAAAGCAAAGCGTAGGAAAAGTATCAGCCAGCCCCCCTGGATCATGTCCACATATTGCTTGAAGATGATGGCCCTGTATTGCGACGTGTATAAAGAGCGCGTCCTCATGCCGACAAATTTTTTAAACCGGTTTATGATAAGCTGAGCAACATGAAAGCCTTTGCTATTTACTATAAATTTACCTTCTGTGTTTTTCTAAGTATAAATGCTATATTTTTTCAGTTTTGTCAAAACACGAGAGCTTCCCCACCTGCGGTCTGTAAGTACGGAGCTCCTTACGTAACGTTTGTATTATAACCATGAGCTCATCTATTTCGTCCTGGCGTTTATCAAGCTCCAGTTTTGCTAAGTTAAGTTCGTGACCTAGTTCGACAACGACGTCAGCATTTGCACCTGCGCCTGCGGCTCCTCTCGAAGTCCTGGCATTGCTTGCGTGCTTCTTGCTTAAGTTTTGGGCTGGCAAGATCTGAGAAGAATCCATAGACGATCCTCCTCCAAGTGGTCGATGTGGGAGGTCAGAAGTCGTAAGAAAGACTGTATCGTAGACGCTTGACGCTGCTATGCGCTCCTTCATTTCTTTGATAAGATTCTCTTTTCGCTCTAGTTCCTTGCGGAGGTCAGATACTTCTGCCGTAAGCTGCATAATGCTTACCTGAGCGTCTTGATCTGATACCGTGGCCTCTATCGCCAATTTCATGGTCTCATTGTCAGTAGCCATTCGCGCCACCTCGTCGTGCAGCACCCTGGCCAGAGACTCCAGCTGAGAGAGCCTGTTCTTAGCCTCTTCGAACTCCAGCTCCTTGTCTAGTGCGGCGATCTTGATCTCCTCTTGGTCGCGGGAGTCTTTGAAGTCCGAGGTAGAAGTAGAGGGCGCAAAGATTGCATGCTTCTTTCGTAAACTTTCAACGAGTGAAAGAATGGTTCCTGTTTTCTCGATGGCTGGCTGGAGAAGTGTGTCCGCGAAAGCCGTGTCTGCGAGGGGGTACCCCAGGTCATCGTCCAACTGAATCGATCTGTAGAGGTCACAGCCACTGAGGGCACCTATGTCGACGCAATATCGTAAGAGATATGCTGCAATCTGATAGTGACCATATGCAAGGCTAACCATTATGCACGCTTTAGTGTATGAATCCCGCCAGTTCACCTTGTGCTCGACGATGTACTTCACTGTACATAGAAGGCCGGTGGTGAGTGCATGAAAAAGGACTTTCAAGTGTGCGGTGGCGAACTTAATGTACACATCTTGCGAAAGAATCGGTATAAAGTAGTTAAACCCCTCTGTAACGTCACGCACAGCTGTTTTGGCGTCTGCCTTCTGCGATTCTTCAGGCATTTCAAACGGCTGGAGGATGTAGAAGGCTTTAAGGCTATCGTTTTCAATGGCTATCATGCACGCTGTCTGCCGGTTTGCATTAACAATGGTGGCTTCGTCAGCTGCAAGAATTCCTATCATGCGTAGGTCGTTATTTCTTGTTGCGGCGATTAGGGCAGTGTTCAAGAAGGCATCTTGAACACCCTTAAGCCGCTGCTTGTGGCATTCTATGAATTCATAGTTACGGGACTCCACGGCCTGGAACCACTCTTCCACCAATGCATCCTTAGAGCTTGACCCGAGGTACGAGTCCAGGTACTTGAGTGCACCCATAAAACTCAATTTTAAAATGTCCACCGCCCGTTCGGAGTGGTTCGCCGCTGTATACAGCATGGACCATAGAAAGTTGCGGACAAATCTCCAAAAGTATAAGCAGAGCCGTGACGAAAGTGGCTTCACGGCGTTGCATATTGCAGCAATGTACGGTGACCTTGAGGCCGTCAAAATCCTTGCCACGGAAGAAGCCGGATTACTGTCAGTCAGTGGCGAGACAGCGTTATCACTTGCAGTGAGGAACAGGCACCATAAAGTCGTAAGCTATCTAGCTGAAATGGAAGGCAGAATTTTACTTGGCGACGGCCGTTCTGCGCTGATTGTGGCCATAGATGTTGCAGACCTCGACACCTTGCGTATGCTGGTACCGTACTCATTGAACTCAAGTCTTCCAACTAACGAGGATGCTCCAGACGGGCCTGCCACGGTCTTTCAGTACCTGGTTTCTATGGATTTTCACACCCTTATACCGCTCTTTGCTGAGAATATCCAGTTGACTGAGGCAGACTTTCTTCGGGGCCTGGAGATTGCAAAAGGCCGCACTACAAAAGGCTCCGAGCTTTGCAGAACTTACTTAGAGCAATATAAAGACTTACTTTTACGGCCAAAGTGCTTGAATTGTAATTCCTTAGCCTGTAAGGTTTCCCAGTTAGAAACTGACTTGAAGAATGCAGAGTCCTTGCCCAGTGCACTGAAGAATGAGATTGTGCAACTGAAGGCGGTGCTGCTGCGGAGAAACTGCTCAGTTGGTAAGTGCCTAGGGTGCAAGGCTGTGTTGACAAGAGCAGGCCCAGACGTCCCATGCCAGGTGTGCAGCTTTGCTCCTGGCCATACTGTGCGAGTGCAGACAGATGGTGGAGTTTCTTTGACGTATGAAAAATTAAAAGAGGCGCTCGATTTTGCCCTAGCGGAGAATTTGAGCCTTAAGGCAAAGTTGAATGTGGATGATAGCATTACCGGCGCTACTGGCCTAGATCCAATAAGAGCACTGGCCAGCATATCGAAGAGGCTGTCGTTAGAGGACAGAGCTGGCCTGTCAGAGGAAAACCTGACGTGTCTGCTGGCTGCAGTTCGTTCACTAGTTCAGCAGGTCAAGGATACTGGTGGAGGCACAGAAGAGTCGCACCGGTTATTGGAGTCTTCCGACTTGTCTAAGATATCGCTGACATCTGGCACCACTCCACATAGCTCTCCCGTGAATAGGCACCAGCCAAGCCCCAACGCAGCAGCATTGAAGGGTTCAGAAGCTACAGAAGATGCTGAAATGACCCTCCGGTCACTACTGAGGGCCTTGGAAGATATTCGATTTGGGTACCCTACTGCACTCATGCGAGCAGCAATGGAAAACAAGGTGGATCAAGCAAAGCAACTTCTTTTCCAGGCAAATTTGCGGGACAAGGACGGGAAAACAGCCTTAATGTATGCTGCAGAAAGCGGGCATACAGACATAGTCAATCTTCTCCTTGATAAAGAGGGATGTAAGGGTGATAATCAGGGTCGTACTGCACTGATGTATGCCGTAGCGGCCAAGTCATATGAGTGTGCCAAGGTTCTATCTCTAAAGGAGACAAAAATGATTACCAATAGCAAGCATAGGCACAAGGGAACAACCGCGCTCATGGTCGCAGCGCGTGCTAACGATGTGGAGCTGGTAAAGATTCTGATGGACAAGGAAGCCAACCTAACGCGCGATGACGGCGTGACGGCCCTTATGCAAGCGGCCCAGGCTAACGCATGCGATTGCTTGCGTCTACTTGCTCCCAAAGAAGCCGGAAGATGTACAAACGATGAGTTTCTCTACGGGCACGGTTACACAGCGTTAATGTTTGCAGCGAGTAATGGGAACTTAGACTCAGTTAAGGTCTTGGTGCATCAAGAGGCCACAGCCAGGCTTGCAGACGGTCGGCAAGCGATAGACTTAGCGAGCGATAAGGCTGTCATCAATGAGCTTGCTAAGCACATGCCTAAGTAGATAGAACTTTTTAGCGTACAATCTAGCTTATTGATTGTTTTTAATAGCGTCCTCAAATTCCAAAATACTTTCTCCAATCTCTTTTTGATAAGACAGAAGTTGCGCATAGAAGTGCTGTTGCTCAGAGGATGGGGGACGTAGATGGTCCTTTATCCCCTTGCAGAGAACACCAGAGTCGGCTGCTCTGCTAATAAAAGAGCAGAAATCTTGTGACAGCTCGCATAGATAGCGAAGCATTGCACTTATCTTATCGTCCTTCATGAAGAACTTAACAACTAGGGTGCATAGGAAGGTGTTCATTAGATCATTTGCGTGCACAAAACCTAGAAGTTTTCCGTCATTGGCGTCTTCCTTGTAGCATGCCTGTGAGATTTGTGTTATGTTGGTCATGAATTCAGATATTTTAGGCCCAAGGTGGCGGACTTCTAGAAAGAAGAACAGACGATCAAAAAAGAGAAGGAGTTGTGTGATAGTGTATGGTATGAGCTTTATGGTCAAGACTTGGAGCCCAAAGGCGGATGGCTCAGTATACTTTGGTGCGAGCCTGAGTCCTATGCTATTTCTTCCGTACGCTTTAGTAAGAACAGCCGATGAAGATGTCTTTCGCAAGCACAAGAGGTACGTAGACTTTATAACACTCTGGGTGTACTTGAGTGAGAGTAGTACCTTGAACATTTTGGATAACAGCTGAATATAATGGGGAGATAAAAGAAGCCCGATGGTGTTGTCGCAGGAGTACTTCAACACGAGGAGGCGGAGGATGGGGTTGTTGATGGCAAGAAAGTGCTTTGAGTATCCCTCAAGCTTGCTATGCTGGAGATGAGGGTACACTGAGAGCTCTGGGTCGTAAAAGGGCTGCCTCATCGAACGCTTACGTCTGTACCTGAACTGTTGGTCCATTGGGAGCAGCTCTATCTGCTGAGGAGTCAAGAGCCGCTCTTCCTTGTGATCTCCATCATCCTTGCCATGCTTGTACAGGAAGCGGTCGGCAATGAATTCGTGTTGGGGTCTATACTCTGTGTAGATTAATTCAAAGAGGCCCAGGAGCTCCTTCTGCTCGTCATAGACCGCCATATCGTTGGCTGCGAAGTCGTCTACAATGAATTGTAGCATCTGGTAATCTACTGACTCCGACGTTTCCACACCATCTTGGCTTGGAGCAAAGATAGGAGCTTCTCTGGTACCAATCTTTTTCTCACAGAAGTTCTCAAAGTCTAAGGAAACAGCGGGTGTGTACCTATAACAGAGGCTGAAAGCTTTCTCCAAAGCTATGTTAAATGCACGAGTCATTAGCCGGGTCGTTGTCGGTGTCTTCAAAGCACGCTCCGCACCATCGCATATGCATTGTGCAACATCAGCCTGCCTCAGGAAAGCTATCTCGAAGAGCATCTTGATGTGATTGAGAACTCCGTTTTGTAAGAGGTGTATCCAGAGAGACTGGCTCGATAAGCATAGCAATCTGCTAAGACATCGGTCAAAGCTTATGCGATCGAACACTTGAAAGTCCTTGAGTGCTATTATGTTGCGTAGCTCATCCAGTAAATGCCTGGATTCGCGGTTGACCCCAGATATTCTACCGCACCTAGCTATCATAACAATCTGCTTGGCATGATCTGATTTAAAATAGATAGGAAAGTGATTCTTTATCAAGGAGCATCCTGGAGCTACAACCGCAACATACGTGGGAGGAGACAGTCGATCGAGAGCGGCTGTGTAGCACTCTGCATCAAAGCGGAACAGAAACTCCTTGAGCTTACTATCTAACACATTCTGATTGCATGCATCGTCTCCAAGGTCCACCGGGACAGCAAAAAATTCTGAATAGGGGTCATTCAGATATCCATCTGATAAAAACGAGTATACCATAGATGCAACTTCCTGGGCCACAGGTCGAGTGATGCGAAGAATGGAATCATCGTAGTCCTTGCCATGTTTGCCGAGGAGGTTCAAAAGATAGTTATAGAGATGCATTCCACGGATGAGCACGGGCGTTTTGTACTTATCACGGTCATTTTTTTGTGAAGCAAGATTGTCAATGGATTGCTTGTGGAGTTGATTGATAGCTGAGAGGATTGAGACGACGTACCTGACCTCGTGCCGAACCTTTATGCAAGTTTGCAGATAGAGTGTTCTATCGGCTGGGTTCTGGATCCAGTCTTCAAACAGCGACGCCACATGAAGCCGAGAGGAGGTAGTGAGGTCAGAAAGCCCCTGGGCAAATGCGCCAAGAATTCTGCTTGGGATTCCCTCCTTATACGCTGCTGGAACAGAGGAGAAGAAGGACCGCAGCTCCACATCGACACAGATATCAGTGGTGTGGGACAGCGTGCCATCCACTACCGCGGCATATAAGAGGGAATACGCGTCTATCATGAAAACGGCGTGCCCTACCTCAAGGAGAAGCTGTAAATAAGACTGATCTGCTTTGAACAGTGGAAGGAGGTCTGTGTTTATACTAAATTGCTTAAGCCCATGGTTCACCACAGGCGATGGAATGCCGCATGTTGCAATGAAGATATCGGGCACGTGCTTCTCCAGAATGTGCATAGTTTCGTAGGGACCAGTTGTAGTGGAGCCAAGGGCCGACATCGGTGGAGTAGACAGACCTTGAAAACTAAAAAGTGAGCCTTTGACGCCCACCCATAGAATGCTGCCAATGAGCTATGCACTTCCAGACGTGTTTAGCTTGCAGTTCATAACTCAGGTGTCGAAGTACGAGGAAGGCATGCCTGTTTATTTTCAGTTATTTGCAACCTACTCACTGATAAGCGTGAAGGCTCTTGCTATCCTTCACACTCTCCATACCGAGTATCCAAATGTCTTTGTCGCCGCGGTTTCTTATGATTCCTCTGACGTGGTCCGGAGTGTCATTAGAGCCCACTCCGCTCTCAAGCGGATCAATGTATGCGTAGATAAGCACTCACAGGTCAAGGCTTTTGCTAAAAACAGAGGGGTCACTGGCATTCCAACTGCGTTTGTCTTCGATGGTAACGGCTCCATCGCGTGGGAGGGATACCCCACCGGCAGCGGGCTCCACGGGGTTCTCCGCAAGCTTAACCAAATACCTGTCCAAGTTCCTTGTCTCAGCACAAGCACAATACAGCCTCCAAAGTTCTTCAATCCAGAAATGACGAATTCTAGAAAGGATTGGCGTCTCCCCGGTGGAGGAGTCAGGACCGGAGAGATAGACCCCAACGCTCTTACAAAGAGCACCCGGCACGTAAAGCAGTCAGAAGAGGCTCGCGTTAAGCGAAGCAAGCGGCCTTAGTATGTTTTGGAATGTAAAGACCGATACACTTAATTTACTGATAGATCTAGACCGTCATTTCTACTTTTTATGTACTTATCATGATTTTTCTCTAGAACGCTTTGCACATAGGTAACGAAGTCTGGAGAATCTGTAAGGAACCGTATCAAGGCAATCTGACCGGCGTCCTCATCCACAGGTGGAGGGCTTATGTTAGATAGTGAAAGAGGATAGGCTAGATCTTGTTTAGTGTCTATATCCTTGTTCCTATAGTAGCCAGCCAGCCGCTCTTTGTAGAGTCTCCAACACGTGTCGTTGCACCGAAGACTCACCCTCAAGAGCGTCTCGCAAACCAGGTTAAAGAATGGATTTCTGTTTTTCTTGAGGGACAGTGATGGTAGAAAGGCGAATAACTTACTGTCCAATATCACCCTCTTGAATAGGTTCGCGGAGTCAGTGGCGAAGATAATGATAGAACTGAGGATTCGTGTAGCGTAGTGTTTTATAATAGTCTGTTGACCTGTTGTGATGCTAAAAAGCATGAGTTGAAGTGTGAGCAACGGGTTTTTTCCGTTTTCTGGGGGAGGAAATGCGCATGCAAAAATGCTAAGGGGAGATGGAGAGATGATTCTCCCCTTTATCAGATATGTCTCACAAAGATCTATGGACTCTGGACATGTTGTACTTATTGTACCCAAGTACGGAATGTGTCCACAGTAACGGTAATCGAATCTGGCATTCTTAGTTAGGCTGTCTCCATCAGCATATAAAACTAGGGCTTCTGTTGAAGCGCTGTTGGTGGCAAGATAGAGCATCTTTCCTATGTCATCGAGAATGCAGAATACACTGGCAAGATGCTTCATTGTCACGGATATGCGTGCCAGGTAACTAGAATCAAGTCGCCCTGAGACCATCCTTGGCATATGGTGTTGAAGAAACTGTGCCAACAGTTCTATGTACGCATCGTATATGGGAACAAGCCCCGTCTCTACTTCACTTGGAAACAGTGCTTGACCGAGCCTGATGCTTCCTATTCCAGATCGACCACCGCTTCTAGCTGTATCTGCTGACTTAGAATGGCCGTCTGTGCGTGTAGTTTTCTCCCCTGATATCGCTATAATCGCCAACTGTTCAATAATACTGTGTAAAGAGAACCTTGCAGACGAGCCCTTGCTATCGGTATCGACACTAATGCTATCGTACCTTGATTCATCAGTGCCAAGGACTTCGGCAATGTAAAGCCTTGGAGCACGTAGAATCATGCTAACAGAGGTAGAGGAAAACGTACACATGAGCTTAAGAGTATGAAGTGAAGACATACACAGCAGCTCCGGTGAGAACAAGATGCGGGCAACAGTTGGAAGATAGCGCGCGATCGATCCTATCAATAGAATACTCCCGCTGGCCATAATCTGGCAGAGGAGTTCCACTGCATTCGCTAGCACATCCTCTGTGATAGGAGAGACGCCACTCAAACGTGCCTTGTGATTGTTCAGCTCGTCCACTTCCTGTTGTGCACCGTTCCTGGCTTGCCCATCTTTTACGGGTCCTGCACACAACCAAGTAGACACCTCTACGAAGCTTACTAGAGGAGAATGTAACGGATTGGATGGACATGGAAAACTCTGTGAGGCTTCAAGCAGGTCTTTTGGTAAAAGATAATAAAATACAATATCCATAAAGTATGTAGCTAATAGAAAATCATTAATCTTTGTGGCAACGGACTTAGCTACTGGCGAGCATTTGCAAAGTAGAGAGCCTGTAAAATTATTGACATACGCTATATCAAGTAGCATAAAAAAGGGATTCAAAGGGATGCAAGTGCAGTGAACAGAATTGACAGTAACTGCATATCGTCTCGTCAACTCATCTAAGAGAATCTCTGTGCCGGTATTCGTGTTTGCTATATATTCCAAGGACAACATCATAGCATCCAGACTATCCATATACCGATTTGTTACTATATATCTTTCCTTGAGAGATTTGGCCTCTGTAACGGTCTTCGTGATATAGTCAAGGGCCGTGAACATGGCGTCAAAGAAGAGAGACTCAGGGGCCATCAGAAAAGAGAACAGGCTACTCTTAGATCTCCCTTCAGTAATTCTTTCTGATGCCTTAAGAATCAAAAGGGCACTTCTGGCTTCTACCGTATCCTTGATGTGCTCTCCACATATTTGGACTACCCCTCCACATAAGCAGAGAGGGATCATTGTTATGGCCGCCACCAGATCAATAACGCTCTCTTTAGTTGCAAATTTGGAGAAGAAGTTGCCGGTCTTTATGCTGACAAGTCTTTCTATGGCAGGAACAGAAAGAAGCTCCTTCACCGTCATTCTCTGAAGCCCGCCAAAGGTGGGTACTTGGAGGTACGCTTTGGCTTCTCCAACAATACAATAGCCGCTCTCTATCCGATCGGGCTCCTTTTGCGGCATTTTTGAGATGATCCGAGATTTACTTTTGGTCAAATCTGTCTGTACTCCGATCTGTGTAGCCTCTCGTGAGCGAGCCTGAGGACTGTGGGGCCCGGCTTGTAAATGACCCGGACTCTGGATACGGAGAGTCTGTACGGCTTATGGGCAGCCCGTCATAGCTCCTGGTGGAGTGCATCGTTGAGTCAGGGGTTCCATATGAAGTAGTGTATAATGCTTGTGAACTGTTATATGAGTTCCTACCCAGACCTCTTGCTGAATAGTATTGTGTGCTTGTTCCACTCGGTCCCACTACTGTCGTACTTCCGCGTCGCGGTTGCTCTGTTCTAGAACTAGATTGGAATGTGGCGCGGCGTTCCTTTATCGACGAGTCGAACAATCTGTCAGATATTTTCCCCTGAATGTTGCTGTTGGTGACGGTGTACATCATGGGAGGCGAAACTTTGTCGGGATATTGTCTTTCTAATGGCGAATAGTTTTGAGGATTAGTCATCCTACTATTGTAATCCAGGCTTAGCGATGAAACCAAAGGCTGTTGCTTGGGTGGTGCTGTATTGGGGCTGAATCTTTCTACGTCATCGTTGGCAGCAAATACGCTCGACACAGGAGCACCAGCGAAAGTCTTCGAAGATGGTAAGACCTCTGTCTGAGATAGCTGCGGAGTAGCTTCTCCTCGCATCTCAGTCTTTTCGTATCGAGGCCTTAGCTGTCTTGATGGCCCTAGGGTTGGCGGAGCCGTACTAGGACCTGCGGCAGGAGCAGCAATGGTGGCTGTAGGCCCAGAAGGTGTTCTTGCAGGCTGCGCTGAAGTCGGCTGAGAGCTTCTTTTACCTTTAGCATCTCTCCTTTTTGGTAGAGGAGTGCTTGCGCGCCAGTTCCTAGACCTTTCCGAACCAGTCTCCTGTCCTTGCCGGGCAGCAGTCATGCCCCCTGTCTGAGGAGAAGATTCAATAGGGCTACCTCCAAGCACTGGTGAAGCAGCCTTTGCAGCCACAAGCTTCTGCATAAATTGCTTGTGGTTGAAGTCATACGCAGCAACTTGTAAGGAGTGAAGTTCTAGCACATTTTTAGAGTAGATTACTAACCCCGAGTCCTTGATGAGTGTGTCAACAAGCTGCGACCTGGTATCGTTTGGACTATTTTTCTGGAACACAGCAAGACCAGACAGTGCAGTAGCCAGAATAACCTGATTCTCTGTTTGATAAATGCCTTGCAGTAGAGGGAGGTTTGCCAAGCGGCGAGAAAGGATGTGTGTCTCTGTGGCACCTGTCGATATGTTGATTAACCCTTGGACGATTCCCTTGCAGAAGCAATAAAAAGAGGTTCGACGCGGCGCAGGAATGTACGTCATCTCACTAAGGGACTCGCTTAATCTGGATGATTGCAGAAGAAACTTAAATAGTATGGGGCTATAATAACCTAGAATTGCAGTGTTGAGAAAGATTTGGGCAACCGCTGAATGAAGGATGGAGTTGTGTGGATTAGATCGCGCCAGCTCTATAAGGTTCCGATAGGACCCCGTGCGCTCTAACTCAAAGCAGATTTTAAGCATTATATTCCTAGTGATTGTCTTTTCAGAAGCGAAACGGGCTGGAATACTGTAGCCTGTGATATTGGGGTTTACGGATCCTGATAAGAAGCAATTCAACAGCTTAACGAGGTTAGAGTCGGTTGGGGTCGACCCAAATACCCCATAAAAAGAGTCATTTGTGTTCATTGGAGTGGACCGTACGGTCAATAGAAGTGCAAACGTTTTGAGAATTATCAAAAGTTGGGCTGTGACAGTTCCAGAGCGCAGACAGCTAGATAAAATATTCGAGAAGGAAACGACAGCCTCTAGGTAATACTGAAACAGAGGGTTAAGCGGCTTATCCTTGTCGTCCAGCCAAGGCGTGCTAGTTGAAGATGTTGGCTTGTTGCTCTTCGAGCGACCCCTGAGGTCAATATCAGTCGTCACACCAAGCGGTTTCTTAGATGCCAAGTCAGGTGACACCAGGGTGGGGTTGGCTTCGGCATCTTGCAGAAGGACACAGAAACAAAGCACAGTGAACAGCCCCAGCTGCTTGAGACGAAGGCTGTACGTCACTGGTGTGCTTGGGCTGGTGATGGTCGCTACATCAAAAGTGCACTTTATGCAGTCTGGCGCTATCGTCATCAAGACCGTCCTCTGAAGAGGCACCGGGGCCGAAAGTAAAAAACCCATTAGAAACTCAGCAGAGGAGAGAGCCAGCGAGTGCTCCATTCCTCGCACTTGATTCTGTCCATAGATAAATCCCATAAGAGTATTAAGCAGCCGCTCCTTCACTAGTGCATTACGAATCGTAGTTATAGGAGCAACTGTTCCAGAGTAACTAGGAGTAGTTGAAAGTGTCTCGGATAAAATGGTAAAGACCTCTGAATAATGCATTGCAGACAATAAGCGTTTGAAGAAAGAGATGTTGATAGGCTGAAGAAAAGTCGACAAAACGATATCTTGGAGATTTCCACACCTGATTAGGGTGATAATAATAGACCTAAGGCATTCTAACACCGATAGATCCTCTTTAGAATATGAGCTAACAGGGAACCCTCGCTCTGTAGAGCCTAGAATCATCAGAGGCAGGGTCAATAGTGCAGGGACAGAAGGAAGAGGCTGCAAGGCTGACGGAGTTGCGCGGCCCAGAGAGTCTATCATGAGATTGGCTAGATTAATTCGTTGCTCCACCGGAATCTGATTTGTCCACAGCTGCAGTTGTGTCTGTTTAGTAAGTATCCGCCACTCATTGTAGTACCTCTGAGCCCTGTCGTCAGACAAAGGCCCGAGAAACACAAATTCCGCCATAAAATTAACGTTTCCCTGTTGTAGTAGAATACTGAGGGGCACCATGCTAGCATCCAGTCCTCCACTAGGAGAGCTTCTTTCTAAGAGCGCACGCAAAAAATCAGTGCCCTTTTTGAAGTCGTCCCTATCTGTGAAAGGACGTTCTTGTTTGTTCAATCCCAACGTGGGGGATATAGCATGTGCTTGTGAGGCAGGAGCATCATAGGTGCTCCAGTATGTGCGCTGTGTCCCCAAAACCTTTCGTCTTGAGGCTATGTCGTACGCTATAACGGGAAGTCTCATTCACAAACGCAATTTTTTTTGTTCACAGAGCTAGAGCAGCAGCATCCAATAGCCGCACAACCTCCTAGCAAGCATCACACAGAACACGTTTATTCATGCTGAGTAAACTCGCTGGCTGGGAGGGTTTGCACTAGGGCGCGGATCCCGCCCTTAACCAGATAAACGGGCTTCTCCGGAAAGGCTGTCTGGATTGCATGGGCCGAGCGGTGGGCGCGCCTGCCGGATGACCTACAGTAGACAAAGCACGCTGGGGTGTCCTTGAATTGGAGGACAGTGTCCGGATTAGCGTCGATCGTGTTGACAGGGACGTGCATACTGCCATTGAGCACTCCGCCGTCCTGACCAAAGTCAACATCTCTCACATCGATGACTGCGGCGCCAGGGTGCTTCTCGAGGGTGCTCTTGAAGGCAGCGGCCTCAATGCTCGTGAACTTGTAGTCTTCACTCATTTGAAATACTTTTGCGCAGGAGAAACATTGAAGTGTAAATCTAAGTTTTTCCATAATTTACACATGGAGATAGACTGATTCGAGAGCAATTAATTGACAATTAGTTGAAATAGTCTGTCTTATTCTTTTGTCTAATCATCTGCCTAAGACTTGTGTTCGACGATGTGGTGCTGGTTGGCTTAATCGGAGAGTGGTCAGCAGGCCCGTGCCCCGATATAACGTCCCGAAGCTCGACAGACATCGACATTGGGTGTGGCGAGTTAATCCCTGAGGAGTATACTTGAAAATTAATGTTGTTAGAATCAATATCCGACGCCTTGGCAGCATCCTCTCCCTGCATGTTTCTCCGCGGTATCTGGTCGGTGATGCTCCCGCGGCGACTGCGAGAAGCCATTGTTGTTGCCACTGATGTGGCGTCGATGGATCGTCTCGAGCCAGCTGATTGTCTTCCACGGCTTACGGAACTTGAGGTACGGCCTACAGACCCGTCCGGCTCTGGCACTGTTATAGGCGGTGTATAAGAAGTAGAATAACCAGTAGCGTGGTAAGCATGGTTACTATTGACACTGCGCATGTTAATCGTGATGGACTCAACGGTTGGAGTGCTCACAGGGTCATCACTTGCCGCAGCACGGGTAGGCTGAGGAATGGACCCCAGTGACACCTTTCGTTCCCGATCAAAACTCAAGGTGCGAGGAGATGTCATCACCTTTGTGGTGCTGCTGCTTGCCTTTCCAGAAACTGTGGCCCGTCGCTGAACCGCTGGCGGGGCTGCCACCGCAGCAGCAGCTGTCTGTTGCTTTGAAGTAGGCTTAGATGTGCCGTCCGTACGGTTGGGGCCGGCCATTGCTGCAAGACGCTGCCTCAGTCCATCGAAGCGTGGATCCAGTGGGACAGTCGGTTCTGGATCGGTAGCAAGATCTTTGGTGAGCAAGGAATCCAGGGTAGGGGTTGGAAGCTCCCTGGTGGGAGCTTTAGGCTCCTTCATCTCTTGGGCCACCCTGCTGAAGCGACTAGAAGGTATTTTAGCAGAGTATGCGGTGACCGTGGGCACCTGTGTAGTATGGGTCGATATGGGAGCGCGCGAAGGCGAGCCTCCGTAGCTTTTCCTACGGACCTGACCGGTGTAAATGTTATCGATATCGCGTGCAAGACTGGGATTTGAGTCGTTGAACAGCTCAGGAGGCACATCCAAGAGTACAGAGGATCTTTCGCTGGCGTCTGCATCCATGTCTCGCATGATTTTAATGAGTCTTTCGTTTCTTGGTACATGCGTCGAGGTTGGGCGCTCCACCTCGTGCATTAGCATTTCTCGCTCCTTCTGCAGGCGCTCTCGTTCTCGGTTTATCCGTTCTCGTTCGCTCAAGTGCGATCCGCTTTGGCTCCGTGAATTTATTTCTGGGACTGGGATTGGGCGTTGATCCGAGATTATAGTATTTTTCGCGTTCTCAAGCGCATTCTTAAGAGTATCAGCGTGCCCCCTGTTCTTGGTTGGAGCTTCTTTAGGTATTCCCTTGTATTGCCCTATTCGCGCATTGGCAGGATCTGCTAGCACAGTAGTCAAAGAAACCGCAGAGGACGATGCAGGTGCAGACTCTAAAGTTGAAGCAGGAGTTGGTTGCTTACTGGTTTGATTAGTAGCAAACCTATCACTATCCGTCTCAATGCTCGGCCGTAGGGTCCCAAGGGCTTGGCTGGCCGCATTCTCTGTGGAGCTTACTAGGTTCGTGTAGGGTCGTTGTCTGTCCGAAAGTATTTGGTCTACACTGCGGCGTCGTGCCGCCGAAGGTTGCTGCACAGAAGCTGCCGGTGCAGAGTCGCTTGACGGAAGAGACGCTGGCGTATTGGCAGACACTGCTACCGCCTGACGAACACTAGCGTTCTGCTGCTGCTGATGAAGAACCAAATTTGCGCTTTTGTTCTGTCCAAGGCTCTGAAGAGCCTCCGAGAAGTCGTGCTTTCCTGTGTTATAATAGGAAACTGGCGTAGTGCAAGGCTGAGCAGCCTGCTCTGTGACCAGCGACTGCTTTGATACTGGATTTTTGTTGCTATAAGAAACATCGGAAAAGCCGTTGATTATGTCACTGAGAGATGCTGTCTGCGCATCGTTGGACGAGGCCTTAATAAAACTGCCAACACCTGTAAGAATCTCACGACTATTGCGTTGCATTTGAGTCCGAGCCTCTATCATGAGTTGCGAATCATGGGAGGGAGCTGACGAAGTGGTTGGTCCATTGGAAAGACTATTGTACTGGGGTATCATTTCTTTTGTTATATTCATTTTCCTCATAGCTTCCCTTACATCTGTCGGGTGAAAAACTGAAATATTGGTTTGATCAGACTGAAGCGCGTTTCCGATAAACTCGATGTGACTGTCGTTATATCTCTTTGGAGGACGAAGCTCTCTTGCCAGGAACTCGTGAGAGAACCTTGTAAACTCCGGAGACCCAAATAGTATCTTAATTAAGACAAGATTGCAGGAGTCTGGATGCGCCGCAGCATATGTTTCCAGCTCATCCAACGTCCGCGGGTAGGTTATGTAGTCCTGCGTCGGCTTCTCCTTGCCACGGATAGTCATGTGCGAGTACTTCGACTTAAACTCCCTGTCATCAACAACGCCAGCGGCCATACGAAGAAGCGTCTGTGCAAACATTACCATGAAAGAAGTCCAGGAGTCACGATCCTTAACAGGTTTGTAGCAGGAGCCAGAGGATCCCACGCTGGATAGGATTGCGGAGTATGAGCGCAGGAGTCCTGAGTTGAGAAGGATGTGGTGAACGACTGGGGGAGCCAGGTCACCGTACTCTGCCATGCACAGGACTAGCCTTCCGCCCAGGTAGTGGAGGGTAGACATGGATGGATTGGTTTCCATCAGGTGCAAAATCTTACTCAAGAAGCCATTGACACAGATTCGCTTAGCAATCTCGAGAGGACAGATTGGGTTATAGAACCTTGTTCCGTCCATGTGAGAAAAGATAAACGTTGCTGAGAGCTTCGTGGTGCTGGGCCCTCCGCTACCGGACTGGGAAGTGGGGGAGAGGTACCCGTAGGTGAGAGGGTTGAGGTCGTTCATGAGAAAGGCATTAAGGTCAAGGCCAGAAAATTCATTTGCAGGGGGTTCCCCATACTGCTTGTAATGCATAGCAATCTTAATGTCTGCAGAGATGCCCAAAAGCCGCGCCAATACTTCTAGAATCATGAAAACGTTAGAGTTAAAAGAAACAAACTTATTCTGCAATCTGTCTATGGCAGAAACGGTGTCGAAAAAAATATCATGATAGTCCACATTGATGGACCTTAGGTGAGCATCATGTAACCTGGTGAGTTTTGCTGGATTGGGAGCGTGCATGTAAATTGGATCGGCGTCATACGGCGCTGGCTTGGCCTTGACCTGCGTTTGCCGGACAACCCCAACTAACTTCGACAGCATATCTTGACACCTCAGGGCAGAATTATAGCACATCCAGGCCATAGCATAAACAAGAACGTTGCCTGCCTTTCTAATATGCATGCTGGTAAAGGATTGCGTTGTGGACGGGGATACAGGGGCTTTAGGTACCGTAGAAAGACTAAGCATCGGGATACCTGAGAATACCACAGAGGCGATGGTGGGTACGTGAACAAGGATAACGTTTATCAGCTCGTGAAGATTCTTGCTGAACACGCGAGTTAAGATGAAGGAGCAGTTATTGGCACTAGCAGTTGACGGCACCTCGTACTTGCAGAGAAGTAGATCAATCAGTGTCTCTAGTGTTTTATTTTCACGCAGAAGAGCATATATTTCGTTTTTGCAGGTCTGAGGGAAGTCGTCCTGACAAATAATAAAATTCCGCAGTGCTTCTGCTACGCCGGAGTTCTCTAACGCTGCGATCCAGTATCCAAGACACCTACTGCATTCTGGGCTTCTTAGGGCGGAAGTAAAAGCAGAAATGCGTGTGGGAGTGGAAATAAACGCCGTTACAATAATGACGAAATAGCGAGCAATAATGGGGTTCGGACGTACTTGGGGGAGCGGCACCCTGTCAGTAGTGAGGGTAGATGAGTAGTTCTGGGCCAAAAACTGAAAAAGAAGAGCTAAAGCAGTGCGATGAGAAATAAACCTGTCCAGAAAGGGCGAACTGTGCATGGTCTGGGAGAAGATCTCTGCAGCTATGTCGGCAAGCTCCATTCTATGAATTATGGGCGTGGTGTACACGACACTTGGCTGGATTCCTGGTCGTCCTTGGTAATAGCTTTCTATCTGGTGCTGTGCGGCTAAGTCTACACACATTACTTCTATTATGCGAAGAATAGTCTGAGGATTGCAGAGGTAGCTCAGAAGAACCTTATTATCTGCACGCAAATAGGGAATAAAATCGCTATGCTTGAGAACCCTTTCAAATTGCCCCGCTGAGATGAGCATCTCAATGGATCCGGTGGCCAGCGCGCCCTGAGAGCCTGGCTGCTGCCGGCCATGGGCCAAAAGATGGCTCATACCCGAAAGCATAGGATTTATTTTTTGAATTTAGTGGTCGAGAAAGCGCGTAGTGCGGCCCACACTAAAGGGTCGTTACATTTACTTCTCTTGTGTATGGAAGCATGGGGAGCGACAAGTGAACTCTGGACTAGACACGCCCCATTTGCATCGCACGGATGTTCCGCAAGAACCGGCCTATCGGTGTCATATAGCCGTACTTTCTCTGGTGGAAAAATTGGATCGAATAAGCAACGACGACGCCCACCCACGGAAGAACAAAGCTTGCTATTTCTTGCCACTCCTGCCTGTTAGAGTCGTAGGGAAAGTAGGTCAACAAGTTGAGAAGAAGGTAGCTCCGGCTAAGATAGTAGCAACTGATGGGTGCCGAAGCCACAGCAAGAACTAAAAAGACATACAAGCCTATGTTTGACGATTCGTAGAAGATCAGGGTCAAAATCACAGAGAAGAAGGCGTAGATATTTGGTCTTGTAATGTAAGCGTACATCAATATAAAAAGTGTCTGGGCACGGAGATACTCATGAACCGCAACTGCTCCGGGAGAAACAGTGGGAATGTCGGCCATTCTATCCGTTTTTTTCTTGTTTAAAGACATTTGAGGGCTATGCTTTTGACGCTCCAGAGGGGCCTACTGTCCATCATGTCCACCGTGAGCGTGTGGGCATAAATGTCTTTGGCGGAAACATTGAACAAAAGTAGGTACGAGGCTATGGTTTGAAAAATAAAGTGCACATGGCCGGCCTCTTGGCCCCTAGGAATTGTGCTTGCGCTTGAGAGGGACCTATGCAACGCGCTGGCCTGAAGGTATACGTCCATAAAATCTTTTCCATTATGAAGTATTTTGTCCGCACATGCCTCAAGTTCATCTGTCTCCCGGGTTGTCTGGGCATTTGTGTCAAGGTTTTTCTGGAAGACTTCTAAATAAGTACATGTGCTATCAACCAGTTCTATTGCCCTGTCAAGGACATCCACCATTTGTCTTAATACCGTAGCCATTTTTTTGTCCTCACTATGACCCTGACTCTCTCAGCGTCCCCGTCGCCCCTTCCTATTCGGCCCTCGTCAACGGCCGTTCTAGCCATTACAAACTCGGGGACAACTGGCTATTGCTTCCAACTGGCGGCAAAGTACAAGAACGAACTTAAGTATTCTCCAAAGCGCGGCTTCATTTCTGCGGGAGCTGAGCAGCTTATAACTGTTGCAGCTCTGAGTAACTTAACACCGGGGCTTCGGGTGCAGATCTACGCCGTCGCAACGGAGAAGTCGCTCGGCATTCCAGATGATGACATGGTCAAAGTGATCATCGACGGTGCTAAGCGGCTCAAGACTCCCTGCGTCAATCTGAAGGTGGACGTTGTCAATCTAAACGCTCACACTACTAAAGAGCACCTGCCCCAACTGCCGCCTGCCCATATGCAGAAAAACCATGGCGTCGCCCCCAATTTCGGAAACGATAGTGAGACCAGTTTATTCGACAATTACTTAACACAGACGCAGAAGAACTCGTGCTCATTAACAAATAATACAGACACTTTATATAGCAGCGATCACACTTGCATTTCCTTGATCGACTCCCAATTGTGTGAAGCATCCAATAAGCGGATTGGGCAGGGAAACAGCCAGGGAATCGATAAGTTAGACGTTGACGTGGGACAGCTTAAGCTTAAGCTTCAGACACTGGAGAATAAAGTAGACGCCATTCTGGAAACCGTGCCGTTGGCGTCCACATCCATTAAGCTGGGCGTTTCACAAAACTTCGAGCTATCAGAGGCTGACATGAACGGTGTTATCTCTGCCGTTATAGAGCGCTTGTCAGCAGAATTCAAGGCCCAGCTGGTCGCGTCTGTATGCACTGTAGCAGCACCGCATCCCGATGGATCAAAGCAGGAGGTACTTGTGCAGGAATCCTTGCCGAAAAAAGAAGTAAGTTCCACTTCACAGGAGGACGGGGAACAGTCGCAAAGGAAAGTGCCCGCTGAAACAGCTATTACTGATGTACGTAGTGCACAACACAAAAACCAACTAGATGACGAGATTGAGGCAGCAACGAATAATAACAAAAACAGCAATCTTAACAGTACATTGAATGGTACTGAGAGAGAAGCCAGCGGAGTAAGGGACAGGCTCTCTGGACAGCCACCTACTCCCGAAGCACCAAGGTCATCCCCTGGCACCAGTGTAGGGAAGCAGCTGCAAAATGCTCTGGGTCAAGTGCTCATACTATCCATTATATTTGCTATTGCAGCGTGCAGTAAGCTGTTGAAAAGAGCACTGCGCTCCAAAAAGGAAGCATAGACGCTACAAGACTAAGGCAGCAAGACCAGGGCCACAGGGCCAAGTACAGTGTCACGGTTTTTCTTCTTGAATGGTGGAGCCAATTATATAAAAGACCCCGATACCCCGCGCCAACGAGTCACGCAATCCCGTGATTCTGTCAATAAGCTCGTTCTTTATGTTGGAGAACTTTAGAGACCAGTCGAGCGCAACGTTTTCAAATATAAAGGCATTTATATCCGCTTTTATCATGCACTTAAGTATCTTAGTCAGAAACACAACGTGGGAAGCATACTCCTGTTCTGCTGTTGCTTGGGCTCTCGTAGAACCCAGCTCTTCGTTATCATTGATGAAACTAGTGAGTACGCACAGTCGCACGCGCACCTGGAGCTTCATACTGTTCAGGTTCCTGATAATCTTCAGAGTCAAGTCTGTGTATTGCAACGTGTTGACCGGGATTCCTGTCTTCTGCGTGATATCATCAATCAGGTCTTTATAGACAACAAGATCCAGCCTTTTTGACGTAAGTTCCTGCGCTTTTCTGCTGAATCCGACCACCACTGGATCCTCATCAGTCGAGTCAGTGCTCTCGTCTCTTCCGTGCTTCTGTGGCGGTGTTCGTGGGTCATCTGCCTCATCGGTGGTCTCGTCCGAGTCTACTATAAACCCGTCAAGTGTGGAGTCCACTTCAGTGATAGAGTCGCTTGTGTATGTACTACAATCCAAACTATACGAATTCTCCGTTCCTCCGTCGACAGCATCTGCACCTACGCGGCCGGAACGACCTCCCTTATTCAGCTCAGAGTCTTCTGGACGGGAATTCCCGTGAAACCTCCTCACCACATGATCGAAGAATCTGTCCCCTGATGCCGAAGTCGATGTCTTCTTCCCGAGCTCTGCAGAATTCTTACTACTGGCTTGTGGTCTCCACTCTAGTGAGCTGCTCAGTATGTCAGTAAGCATGCTATTAAGATGGTCCTGGCGATAAGCAGGGGCGTACTTAAAGCTCAGCTTGTTAATAATTATGGTGAGGGCTGGCTGGCCAATCAATAGATAGAACAGGAGTAGTATCTCTAGCTTTGTACTATATACTATTGTTATCGTCTCTATATTAATCTTTCTGATTGCTGGTGAAACACACGAAAGGAGCCCTCCCTGTAGCATATGAATCAGGTCATAAGCTGAAAAGTGTAGCGAAATGATGCAGATCGATGTGCTTCCCTTCATGCATTCACCAAACTCATCCTTGTGTAGCTTAGCAAGCAGCCCGATCCCATAGAGCTGTTGGGTGTTGGGTATAACTCCAGGAGCTGGGTGAATGTAGAAGCGGCGATATTCTTTGGAGTAAATCACAGGCGCTACGGCACGCAGCTGGGAATTTATCATCGGGGAAGCATGCGACCTAAGGAGATTGTGCACACACCGAATAAACTTGCTCTCTTTTGAAAGCTGGGAGTCATTCAAACCCATTATCAAGGATGCTCCCCAATCCACAGTGACATCTATGAATGGAAGTAGCTGATGACTAGACGTGTTCGCTTTGTTTCTGCAGTTGCAGTCACCTGGATCTGGTACTGTTTTGCTAACATCACTTGCCGTTATCTTTAAAAAGGGTTCAGACAGCGATCCCTTAGACCCTGTAGTGCCCATATCTGCAGTGCCTTTAATCAGGAGTCTGTCCATGCTTCGAGCGTAATATCCACCAGTTAAGTATGCCTTTACCATGGCCTGAATGGTGCGCTGGCAGATACTGTGGACATCTTCGTATGCCACATAGCTTGTTATGGCTGCACTGACATTCGGAGGAGAGAGCTCGCGCAACACTGGATGTTTGCGCAGTGCAGATCTTTTGAGGTCCAGTAGATATACCTTGCGAAGGACCTCATAGCTTATCGAGAGGATGTATCCATTGTAGACTAGGAATGTGTTAGCATTATCAACGTACTCGTCGATATACCTAAAAATTCTATTATGCTCGAAGAGTCCTGGTAATCGTGTGTAATCAGCGTCAGTGCAGTTCTCGCTAAACGATTCTAATGTGCCCATGGTCCGCTTCATTAGCTTATCTATACTGCGCCGCGGGGACGGGTATAGGTTGCTCTCCTCTTCTTCTGAATATGAGGCTGTCTGTATGAAGCTCACAGAGCTGTATTCTGTCGAGCTCCCTCTGCCTGGAGCAAGTTCTGCGTGGTTGTTTTCAAGTAGAGCTGCAGGATTCCGCGGGGCAGATGCATGTGTAAAGGTGATATCTGTCGCAGAAGAATTGAACTCGGGGCTTGCTCTGATCTGAATCTTAATGAGCTTTCGTATCAGCCTTGCTGCCACTTTGTCGCAGTAAAACGGGGAGCTCTTAGTTGCAAATATGCTCTGGATAAAGCAATCTGGATCGTCTGTATCTTTTGCTGCGTCGCGTGCTGCGCTACATATCTGACAATCGCGCATACACAAGAACCTCCTGTAGTTGGTGAAGGGCGTATCACTATCAGTAGAGCTAATAGTGTTGTGTGCTTCTTTATTTCTGGCCACGCTTGAGGCGGAGATTTCCGACTTGACGAGCTGAGGAATCAGGTTAGTAGATGTACTGCTGAAACTCGACATGGTGCTGTCGAAGTATGTACGGCGGACAAGTGTATACAACTCTGCTAGGTGCTCGTGGAGCATCAAGCAGTCATGGTTCTCTCTTGCCTCGTCAAACATACCTTCAAAAAACCGGCTATTCATCAATGCATCATATGGAAGGCATAACACTAGCGGCGTTTCTATCACTGAGATGGCTCCTGTCTTCTTTTTATTGTAGGATAAGATGATGGCGCGAGATGTGGGCGGCAAGATAAATGTGAGCTTAATGAGTCCAGACGGCACCGTGTGGAGCCTTTTCTTCGAATACCGGCGTTTATATAGATTGCTATCTTTGGCTGATGGTGTTATACGCAAAAACTTTAATAGGTGATTGAAGTTGGGCAGCAAAACAACGAGCTCCTTCTCCTTTAGTGCGTCTAGCTCTATAGTAATTTGGTGCGTCTCTACAGACGGCGTTCCTGATTGTTCTAGGTATGAAATTAGCTTTCGCATAATGAGATTAAAACTGAGAAGGGAAAGTGCTAAGGAAGGAGAGTATATTAGTCCCTCACGGCTGCTAGGGGTGCTTTTGGCATCTGTTCTGTCCAGCCTAATCTGATCTTCTTCAAAGCATTTGGTGATTCTGGAGAAAAACGCCCTTGCTCGCCGATGGGAGATGTTAACTAATTTATTTCCCCCCAAAGATTTGGCTATTAAAAGTAGGCAGAAGTACATATAGACTATGTACTTTGGAACCATGTAGAGATTCTTAAAGTTGCTGTTGTCCTCAAGAAGAACGTGTACGGTTGGGGGCAGTGAAAAGCCATGGGTAACCTCTGGAGTAAACAGGAAGGGATATCTATTCGAAGAAACCTGTGCAGGCGACGCATAAAAGCTTTGCAGCAAGCGGCTATTCACGGTAACTTCTAGCCAATATAACCTCGAGTGCAGCAGCCTGAAAATCTCTGGAATGGCAGAATCACAGGACAAGTGTGTTAAGGAGATGACCTTTTGGATTGACTGCAGAGTGCTGGCTTGGGTGTCTATAGTGATGTTCTTGAGCCAAAGGTTGCGAAGGCCCTTCCGTGGCTCGTTCAAGTGACTCAGTAATTGCCCCAAGCACTCCAGTGAATCAAATCGGAGATTTGCTAGCCGCAAGCGTGAGACAGCTAAAGCTTTTGCGCTGCTGAGAGGGGATGATCGTATGTACCCGTGCGAAAGGTCCAGGCTCTCTAAGCGCACGTAGTGAATGAAGATTTTCTGCAGTCTCTGAAATACTTGAGAACTTGTCAACTCCTTGTCATCTAAAGATATGCTCAAGAGAGCAGCATAATTTAATGACTTAGGGGGGAAATGAATCTTTGAGTCAACGTAAACCGGAAAGAGTAGGTAGTTCATAATCTAAAATTTTGACGCGGGATGGCACTCAAACGAATCTTATCGGTCAAGAATCTCAAGCCTCTTTGGGAGGAGACCACCATGGTGCGGCAGTGTACTAACTCTCGAGTGTTATGTTGCTATAAACTCGAAGACAATGAGGTGGACGATGACGAGAAAGCGCACCTCAAAACGCGTCTAGACCTTCTACTCACCGTCCGGCACCAGGGGATGCGCCTTATTTATGAGCCCACTAGTCCGCCTTATCTGTTCTACGCCTACTGTGGCGGGGGCAGTCTTCAAGATGCCTTCAAGAGCCATATTCTTCAAGAGACGAAATTCTCGCGTGACGAAATTTTGGACATGTTGTATCAACTTGCAAGCTTGTGCATCTTTTTGTACGAGTCCCAGACAGGCATACTGGATGAAAATAGCATAATCATAGATCCTCGATGCATATTCTACGATGATTACGGTATGTTGCGGGTGGAGTTCGGCTGCCCAATGTTCAAGATGGTCCATGTAAAGAAGAAATTTACAAGCACTGCAGATGCTGGAGATGTTGTGATGATGACATCTCTCCCCTTGCCCGATCTGTTCTACGATATGAGTGGCGCTATCGATCCAGAGTCTATGATGGGTGCCAACATCTTTAACAGAAGGGATAACTTCTCTGACATCGCATCGGATACAAGTGCATCGGTATCTGAAGTAGCAATGGCAGACTCTTCAACCAATGCTATCACTAACTCAGAGCATAACTCCAGTGTTCAGTCTAACACCCAGTCTAACGCCAAAGCCTCTAAGTACCTGCATGACCCCCTGACTCCTTACAGGCGGCAACCATTAAACACTGATATCTGTCACCATGATCGGTATGTACCACCAGAATATTACAACCAACAGCAGGACACGCCAGAAGGTGTAGTATGGAGTATTGGGCGGCTACTCTATGATGCCTGTCAGCTCACTGGATCAATTCACAAGACTGCTCTTTCATCACTGGATAAGGAGTACTACACAAAGGGACTGGACAAGGAATACGGAGCAGATTTAGCCATCCTTCTACGTAGCATGATGCAAACTAATTACAGGAAGAGGCCTACCTTGAGTTACATCTTGAATCTGCCCCTTCTCATGGGTGCTCGAAGGAGCTTTGAGGAGAGACACGGTATTGTGCGAACGGCTGACGGAAATACACAACTTATGATCGCAGCTGCTGAGGGGGACATTGCATCCGTCCGGAGATATCTCTACCAGCGATGCTACAGGAATAACCGGGGGGAAACAGCTCTGATGCTTGCTTTGAAGCACGGACAAGAGGACGCAGGGCTTTTGTTAGCAGATGAAGAGTGTGGATTTGTGGATACAGATGGCAATTTCGGGGCCAAGTATGCTCTGTCTAATAGTATAAGTACAGTGTTTCAGAAGCTATCTGTGACAGAGAGGTTCCTCCTAATTAAGTACGGTATTACACACTTGATGATTGCTGCCACCAGCGGCGATGTTGCAGGCGTATCCTCCTATCTGGAGGGCAGCGCAGGCTTGGTCCTCAACGGACCAGGAACGACAGCGCTAATGATGGCGGCGTCTGTTGGTTCGACAGGATGCGTGGAGCAGCTTGCGGCATACGAGGCCCGGATACAGGATGCCAAGGGAATGACCGCCATGATGCACGCTGTACTTCGCGGACAGACCGATGTGGTCTGCTTTCTGAGTCAATATGAGGCTAATTATTTGGATAATAACGGTATCAGCGCCCTTATTCATGCTGTCTATGAGCATGAACGGATAAAAGAAAAGATAAGACAGGAAACTAAAGCCATCCGGCCCGGGAATATAGGCGTGTTGAGTGCCAGGTGTGGGCAGTTGCTTTATATTATTTCGCACCTAGCACCGTTGGAGGCGCGTCACAGAACCTCTGGTGGCTACTCTGCACTTATGCTCGCGGCCCAGTATGGAAATATTCGCGCTGTTGAGTCACTTCTTAAGTACGAAGGTGGACTGCAAGCAGAGGATGGAACAACTGCCCTTATGCTAGCTATCCGCTATGGGTACACATCTGTTGCTAAAGTTCTGGTACCAATTGAGGCGGGGTTAACTACCAACGGTAAAAGCACCCAGGGGGACAAGTACACTGCACTTATGGAAGCTGCTGTATGTGGGGATCTGGAAATTGTCAATGCTCTTGCTCCAAAAGAAGTCCATATCGTACAGACCCCAACAACGAAGTTTCCTGCCGGGAAGACAGCTGCAGATTGGGGCACAGAGTCAGCTGTCTCCGTGGACACAAAAACAAAGCAAGACGTTCTCTTTGCTCTGATGATCTACCAAGAGCGTGTAAAACTTGCTGATTCACCCGTCCAAAAGACATTCAAGGAGTTCCTTATGCTGCTATCTCCACTTATAGTTCTTTTGGTCATGCTTCTACGCAAATATGCAAGATAGACTACTTGCTACGTCTTCTTGCCCACGAGGAAGGACGGTAGCCTCAGGTACTGGCTCATAAACTCTCGCTGCGTCCTCTGTGAAAGGGTGGGTTTGCACCCCAGCTGAGAGACACGTCCGTGCCAGCGGGGTGTTGTGACAAAGATGGGCTGGCCAAGTGCAACTTGAAATCCATTGCAGTAGTGCCCGTCGCAATCGTGGAGAGACTCTCCGTCGTACCGAGGATCTGGCGGGAAGGCATGTGGACCGCTGGACCTCTCAGTCATCCCCTTCCTGCACCTGTGACACGTCCTGGGTGTCCATGGTTCTGAGGCCTGTCTGTGCATTGTGCACGGACTCGTGTGCTGTCTGTAAGGATGGCACACCAACCGGCTGTCAGCAGTGCAGCCCCGGCAAGATCCTGAACTTCTCGATCGCCTCCAGTGAGAGTGCAGACTGCGTTAGCCAGTGTTCTGTTGGTAGTGAGTGTGCAGAGTGCGTGGGGGAGCTCTTCGTGAGCCTGGACGGGCAGTCGTGCCTGGAGGAGTGCAGCGGGGACAAGGTAGTGGGAGAGGTGTCCGGCGGCGTGCGGAGGTGCTGGTGCGAGCGGGGCTTCCTGCCGGCGCTGGACAGGTCCGGGTGTGTGCTCCCAATCGAGTGTCCTCCTGACATGCCGTCGTGTGCTGCCTGCGATGAGTCGGGCAGGTGCCTCTTGTGTGCCACCTCGGGCCACAACGTTCAAGTAGACCAGCGGACGTGTGCAGAAGGGTGCGGTGCCAGGGCCTCATCGAACCAGGGGGTGTGTATGTGCGAGACTGGTACAATTCTTGATAAGGGCGTCTGCGTCCCAGCCAATGATGTAGCTAAAAGAAAAACGGCGGCAATCGCAGGAGGGACGGTGGCCGGGGTAGCTGTCATCGGCGTTTTGGTTGGTTTCCTTTGCTGGTGGTTCATTTTTAGGGGCAAGCGCACCAGTGCCCCATCAAATGCTACGTCCATCACGCTGAGTCTACGTGGTAACACAGTGCTCGCCAATGCATAGGTCCGACAAGCAGCAACTGTTGTCGATGCACAGACTGAAGGTCGTGCTCTATGTCCAAGTGAACGGTTTATGCGCTGACTCTCTGCTCCCTACAAAGAAACAAAGGCCTTTCTACTAGAGATGAACTACCAATAGAGGAAGTCGATGAGTCTCCGACTACTACAACCACAGCTGCAGAAATACCCGTTATGGCGCTAGCAGAAAGGTTGGGATCGGTGAATATGCACTTGTCATCATCCAACCTGTAGTCGTCCCCGCGCTGATAGTGCCTGCTATCTGTGTTACACCTGACATTCAATTCATTCGGTTGCAACCGAATAAGTCAGCTGGTGACGACCCGTACTGAGCAACCTACCAACTCGTGGCCGACAGGGCCATCTCGATGAAGCAGAGTAAACCAGTGAGTATATTTAAAAAGAAAGCGGCAAGTCCCTAATAATTGAAATGTCTGAGCGTAAGGTGACAGATGAGCAGGAGAACACGAAGCACAAGGCAACGAAGAGCACACGCGGTCGTAAGAACAAGCTGAAGAAGCGCGAGAACGTTCGGGAGGCCATTAAGGACGGCACTCGGCCACACCATGTGAACATGAAGGCATACAGCTTTAAATCCGTTGTAGCAGCGCGGAGAGTAATACAACGACAGGCCAATGCGCTTCAGAAGGCTGCAAAGCTGCCGTATGTGGCGCGCTACGGAGACTACCCGCCTCCGGACCTGGTTGCGATTATAGGCCCGAAAGGTGTTGGAAAGACGACACTCACCAAAGCCCTTGTCAAGGTTGTAGGTGGGTACTCCATATCAGACCCCACAGGGCCGATAACAGTTGTGGCATCCAAAACAAAAAGAATTACCTTCTACGATGTGCCCGCATCTATACCAGCGATTCTAGACATATCGAAACTTGTCAACTTGGTCATCCTTGTTGTGAATGCAAAGATTGGCCTCGAGGTTGAGCACTATGAGTATCTTAACATACTCCAGGCCACTGGGTTTCCCCGGGTCTTCACCGTTTTCACGCACTTAGACGAATTCCATAAGATCAAAGCTTTGCGGGGTGAAAAGTCTCGGCTTCGAGAACGCATTTGGAAGGAGGTCCACCCAGGATCCCGGGTATTTTACATGAATGGGCTGGCGTACGGAAGGACATACCATAAGACAGATATAGCCCTTCTTGCACGTATTCTGTCACGGCAAGAATATAAGCTAGGTCTCAATTGGCGCGATAATCACGCCGGCGTTCTGATAGATCGTATCGAGGATATAACGGACCCCGGACTTCTGAGCAAGGTTAATCAAGAGAAGAATAAGCTCGTCAAACACACGCTTCTTGTCTATGGTTATGTTCGAGGGACATATATGGATCCTGCGCAGCATTTTTGCATTCCAGGAGCGGGAAACGTCATCGTCAAATCAATGAAGCAATTGCCAGATCCCTGCCAGTGTTTTGAGCAGCAGAAAAAGGATGGAGAAGGCCGTCGCTCGCTTTCCTCTAAGACTAAGACAATATATGCACCGTTCAGCAACATGGGTGATGTATTCCATGATAAAGATGGCCTGTGGTTGCGAGTACACGAGACAGGTGTGCGCTGGAAGGACGAGAAAGAGGATGATCTTCCTACTGGTTTAAAAATGCTGCGAAACTTAGAGAACATCGACCCTAAAGAAAGAGACAAAGCCGCGCTTGGCATCCGTCTTGTGGATGACTCGGATCAAGAGCTGGATTCACAACAACACACAGAGGACATAGTGCAGGCTTCGGAAGCAGACACAAAGGAGGAATCAGCGTCACAAGCTCAGGACGAGGAATATGAAACAGAGGAGGAGCAATCTAGTGACGGAGAAGAAAATGCATTTCTTAAGGAGGCACAATTGGTCCAGCAAAGTAGCCACGTTAAGCAGACAGAGCATGCTGCCGAGCATTTAAGTTTTGAGGAAAGTAGTGATAACATTGCAGACATTGATTACGATATAATGATGGCTGGCAAAAAGGAAAAGATAGCTAACAGTGATTCGTCTGAGATAACTGGTAGCGACGGCGTGTCTAATGAGAACCAGAGTGAGGGTTCCTCTAGTGACGAATCCACGGGAGGCAATACCGGCGTAACAACTGAAAACCCGTACGCATCCATCCATCTGGCAACTCCAGTGGGGGCTAAGATTGCATTGGAGGACCTTGTCTATAACATGGATGGGATCTTAGCAGAAATGAAGACGAAAGGATTATCGCCAGCTATGACGCATACAACGAGATCTGCTGCCATAATGTCCAAACTGGTCCCCTTGTTTGACGACGATGGCCCTGACATCTACGGTAGCTCTGCGGCAACCATAGATAAGTTCTCACTACTGCCAATCTATGACCCTGGAAAGGCTGTGCAGTACGATGGGGCAGTTACAAAGTCAGGTGGATCGGCGCTCTATACCGGTATCAATTTGGCGGGGAAGAACTTCTACAAGCTGGAGTCCCACAGAGACATCAGCAACATAATACCTAAGGATGCCGCCTACTCTCAAGCGTTTACAGAAACACTTCAGGGTTCAATCAAAAAGCAGCTTTCAGGCCTGCGCCTGGCCGACCTTGACTGGAAGAGAACAAAGAATAGTGTGTGTACCGGCGATTGGGACATGGCCAAAATTCTAGACGCCGTTCTACACGGTGAAGTATACAAAGGAAAAGAGCATCAGAAGGATGGAGCTGGTGGTGTCCATATTGCAGAGGATGGTGTACTCGAGATAGGCTACCAAACAGGTTCTGAAAAGCCTGCTGATGCTGATGCAACGGAAACAAACGCCTCAAATGCTAAATCCCAGGTCGGCCTAGAGTACACTATTCCTCAGTCGAAGCGCGGGAAGCACGCCAACCCGTCCGCTGCTGACAAGAAACTAGCAAATGATACAAACGAGCTTCTCGAGGGCCTGGAGCTGAACAACGATGGTATGGAGAAGAATCAGCGAGAGGCAGATGAGGTCAAAGAGAGGAATGCAGCGTTCACCAAGAATTTCACTGACGAGTCTAGGTTCCCACCCGGGACGTATCTTCGGATTGAGCTAGAGGGAATAGACCACGAGTTTGCCCAAAACTACTCATCAATTAACCCGCTAGTTCTGGGGGTTGTGCTGCCCGGCGAGCAGAACTATGGGTACATAACCGCCAAAGTAAAGAGGCACCGCTGGCACGACAAAATCCTCAAGACCAAGAACCCAGTTTTTGTGTCGTGTGGTTGGAAACGATATCAAACCATTCCATACTACTCCATGGAGCAGCAAGGATCGATGGCAGACATCAACACCGACGAGGTGATGGAGGCAGGCAGACACCGGATGCTGAAGTACACGCCTGAAAACATGTATTGCTACTGCACCTTCTGGGGCCCGATTGTTCCAGCAAACACAGGATTTCTATTTTTCGATACGATTGATGATACACAGAGGAGCTTTAGAATCGGTGCCACAGGTACCGTTGTCAATACTGGTTTGCGCCATATGGTGTATAAAAAATTGAAGCTTGTTGGAGCTGTTAACAAAGTCTTCAGGAACACAGCCTTCATAGAGAAGTTATTCACCTCAAAACTGGAGGCCATGGCGTTTATCGGAGCCGGAATCCGGACTGTGAGTGGAATACGGGGTATTATCAAAAAGGCAGAGAAGCAGCCCGAGGGCCTTGTGCGGGCATCCTTCGAAGACAAGGTTGCCCAGTCAGACATCATATTCCTTCGCACCTACGTTCCAATTACCATCATCAAGTTTTGCTATGAAATGCTCAACCACTACTATGTGTACGACGAGTATACCAGAGAGTACATCATCCCTGGAAAGAAGAAGAGTCATTATGAGCAGCCTCTCCGAATAAAGACTTTTGCAGAGTTGAGACACGAACGTAACCTTCCGATCCCAATAAATCCTGATTCCATCTATCTGCAGAAGACGGCTCGAGTAGTAGATCAGTTTATAGAGGACGAACACAGGGAGGAGCTCCTCAACATGGTGCCCACGCGACTGTTGAAGTCGCTTCCGTTTGAAAACCAGCATGAGATTGTCATAGCGAAGAACAAGCCCAATCTGATTAAAGATGAGTTCTTGAAGAGCCTCGCCGATGGTAGTGGTGTTGAACACGAACGTGAGAAGGTGTTAAACGATCTTCTTGTGGTTAAAAAGGAGCAGGACAGAAAGCAGGTTGAAATAAAGAAGAAAGAAGAAGAGGAGAAGAGGATAGAGGAGGAGATAAAGGCGATGCATATTCGTGAAAAGACGAAAGACTTACGGAAGCGGAAACGCATAGTGCGCCAAAAGCATGAGGAAAAGAGAATTAGCGCCAAGAAACTTTGAGCACCTAGCCGAAGATATGCTTCGCTGCCCCCTCTATATTGACGCGCCCGCGGTAGCCTTCCACCAGGAGCTTTGCCTCGGTCGTGGTCGCATAATACCCCACACCCTTTCCATCTTTGTTGTGTAAATGCACCTCATGAACTAAGAGTTCCTTGGCAACAGAAAGGTTATTTGCTTGGAGGGCAAGCATGCACGCACACTCTCCAGACTTCCTTTGCATCTTCGCCTCTTGCGGAATTAGGTGAAGCACGGAGTACAGATCTCCTACCTCTGCAGCTATCATCAGAGCTGTCCCACGTGTGGTGAGTATCCCCCCTTCGGCCTCCAGGAGGAGATCCACAACCTCCCTGTGTCCTTTTTCAACGGCACGCATTAGTGCGGTGTAATCGTCATTGTCTATCGCTCCTGTCTCTGAAAGAAGTAGCAGCTTAACGCATTCAGCGTTTCCGGCAATCGCAGCGTGCATTAGGGCGGTCTTCCCCTCTCTGTCTCGCTTGCAGCGCTCACCCGACAGCAGAGTTGGCAGTAGTGCAATAGCATTATTGACGGCAGCATACATGAGACTAGTAAATCCCATGGTATCTTGAGCACCTAGCTCTTGGGTCCCTTGTACCATAAGCTCTGTTGCCTCCACCGACCCCTTCATGGCGCCATACATAAGTGCTGTCCGGCCACGAGTATCTGTCTTACCACTCTGTAAAGGAATCAAGGCAGTCAGCGCGGGCACATTGTTAACACTTGCCGAAATCATGAGCGGTGTGACACCGTCTGCGGTAAACGTATTATTTTCAGAAGCCACCAGTTGCTGAAGCACGTAGCAACTATTTGACTTAATTGCATACATCAACGCTGTCCATCCATACTTGTCTTTTTGATTGGCCTCATAGTTTAGTAGAAACTCCACTGCTTCTATGTCATTGTCTGTGGCAGCAACCATCAGTGCCGTGAGGCCTAGTTCAGTGCGGCACGGAGACTCTGCAGCAACAAGAAGCTTCGCAGCTTGAAAGTCATGCTCTTTTATAAGCAAGTTGTAAGCAGTGAGTCCGTGGAGACAGTAAATCCCTTTTTCTAGAGGAAGGAGAAGAGATACAATGCTCTTGTGGCCTCCACGGGCAGCGTAATACAGGGCAGTACACCCGTGATGGTCCCGACGCCTACATTCCAACTTCAGTAACCGTTTGGCCATGGCATAGTTGCCAAGAAATGCAGCATACATTAGTGCCGTTCTACCCACGTCGTCGACAAGTGTGCTCTCAAGGCTGACAAGCTCTTTAAACCGTGCGGTGTCACCTGCCACGACTGCATCTATAAGATTGCTACGCACCCTGCCCTCTTGCATGAACATAGCTGGTGTCCTAGAAGTAGTTTGAGTGTCCCTTCCGCGCTGTGCACTTTGCTGCTTGCTTGAAACAAGTAACGATGCGGATTGAGACTGGACGGAAGGGGCTGTAATGTGCTGTCGGGGAAACGGCAGAGACAGTGTCTGCTCAATAGAGTTTTCATCCAAGTCTAAGAAAGGCTTGTATCGGAGAAGCTCGCGAGCAGTGACTCGAGAATCCTCGTCCTTGGATAACATGTGTGTGAGAGTTGTCTGCAGGGGAGCTGGTCCTGTGATAGTAAACACAGGAAAATCTGCACGAAATACGATCGACGAAACGTTGTCATTCGTGAGCAAAACCTCACCTTGTAGGAGAAAGTAAAGTACGAGTCCAAGAGACCAGATATCCGCAAGACTGGAAAAGGGGGTGCTCCTGAGAATCTGTGGAGAACGGTACAGAGTAAGATCAGGTGCATAGTTGACTATCTTATTCAATCCCAAAGACCAAAAGAGAGGCAGTATTGACAACATAGGCACCCCAGTGGGTGTCACATAGATATGCTCCAGAGAAACACCCAGATGAACAATGGATCCTCCCGTTGTAAAGGGATTGTGTAGGTATTCTAGTGCATCTAAAATAGCAACCCCTATTCGCGTAATTTCCCACGGGTCAAAGTTATATAGAAAGATGTTTCCGCGCACAAGATCGAGGAGAGACCGTCCAGGATAGTCTTCCACAATAATACAGAGCACTTTCTCGTCAACATTGAGGACGTATTCTCGCAGCGTGCATATATTTGGATGGCGCATCTCACTTACTATGGATACTAAGCTCATTAGCCTAGTATAATTAGCAGGGACCATATCCGTATATCTTATAATAACACAGCAGTGTTCTGAGCCGTCCATGTGAGACTGTGCTCTTGCAACGCAACCCACAGGTATCTCCTTTATCGGCTCGGTGATGGTGTAGTTTGGAATGCTGGGTAAAGTGTTTGTCATATATTAATGCCTAGATGACTTGGCTTTGGGTTTTATGGATTTTGGTATTCGGGCAGAGACAACCAGTCTGCAGGCTGTCTGCTTCTATGTTTAATGCTCCAGTTAATACTCATGTACCCTGTTATGACAGTTGATTTAGCAGCGTAGCAACTGTACGTGGTACGCATTAAAAGGGTAACCTGAGATATGAAAGACCCCAAGCCTCGTACTGAGCCTCATGTTAATCCGCTTATGGTTTGCTATTGAGTACTATAATGTACATGTTCATTTCTTTAGTGTCAATGGATGCAGATGGCTTGTTATCTGACTTCACCATATCTACTTTCGGGGTTACAGCCTCATTACTGCTTTTGCTAGAGCTCTCTCTCGTGGCAGTAGCTGCATGTCTACATGGCTTGCGAGGGACCCGAAGAAATGCAAAGGTTGATGGCATACAGTCTGGCTTGCTTATTCTGCATACGATAGAATGGAATAGAATAGAGCAGCATGACGTAACATAGGATAACCCTCATCTCCTTGAGAAGCGGACAAACACGGACACTTCGACTACCAAGTCACCAAATTAGATGTCAACGATTTAAAAAACTATGGACGAGTTAACGTCTGCTTTCATGGGAGGCCTGCCTGAGCTGTCTCAAGACATAGCTTTTACATATAAAAGCGAAATAAGAACAGTTCTTGCACTAAAAGATGGGAGCATCTTTCCCGGGGCTCAGCCCGTTTCTTTGGAGCCACGTCGCGGCCTTCCGGACATCGTGATTAACAGCTATCTTCTTTGTGAAAAGACTGATGGCACAAGGTTCCTTCTATATATTCCTGTCGACTTCAACGAGCCAGACATGACACTCGATCTAACCACTTACACGACGGAGTCTGATGGTTTGGTACTTCCACGGAGCTACTTCTTGATAGACCGTGAGTACAATTTTCACAAGGCTGAAGGGATGATAAAGATACGGCCTCTTCTGAAGACCCTCAACCTTCCCGAGAGCTTTGCTTCTGATGCTTACACCATCCCAGAACAAAAGAAAAAGCTTCTTACTTTCTTCAATTCGTTTACAGCCATGTTCGACGGAGAGCTAGTTGGCGACTTCTCTAACGGCACAGTCCAAGATCATGCCCCAACCGATAAGCCCAATCAGCTCTGCTACTATCTTTTCGACGCACTATTCATCAATGGCACATCTATACTCAGTAATAATTTACGAGAAAGACTAGCGGTTGCAAATGCCCTGCCAGAGTACTTTGTTCATCGCAAAACAAACCAACTCCTATTCAAAACAAAAACTTTCTACGAGAAGGAAAACGTTGTGGATCTGTTTAAGCTTCTCAATTTATCAGGCCGCCACTCCAGACCACTCTTGCCCCACCACTCAGACGGCATCATCTTCACAGCCGTGAATGAAGCCTATCAACCTGGGACGTGTCAATTTATTCAGAAATGGAAACCCTTGTACCAGAATACAGTTGATCTCCTTCTGCAGCCAGTCAAAAAGAAGATGTATGTGCTGAGTCCAGAGGATTATGGAGTCCTGGAGAAAGGAGCTACGTCGAAGCGCAACGGTGAGACATTGGACAGCTCTATCATGGGAGCCATCCAGCAGGTGATTGGGAAGCTCTTGAAAGGGAAGCCATCGGACGTGTTTATAGGCAGGCTGTTTACTGCTGTATCTGGTCTGCTAGACTCTACGCCAATCGACGTTATATCGCTAGAAGAGAAGAAGTATGAGAATCTGGATAAGCGAAACACTGAGGTTCAAAGAGAAAACAAACCAGGGCTCATAATAGAGTTCTTTTGGGAGCAAGACAAAGAAATACTCACATACACAGACGTTACAGACTATCTCAAAGAAAGCTATCCAGAGCTGCAGCAACTGTTTGGATCCATTGAGGTGAAGCGGACCCGTAAGGGTACGTGGGTCGGCCAAAAGTATCGTCTTGATAAGCTGCTCCCCAACGACAAGTATGTCTATGAGAGTGTCTGTCGCGCCTATAACGATCACGTTAGTGAGGCGGATCTGATTGCAATCTTGCTGGGAACGAAGCCGCTACCACAAGGCGGCATCATAGGAAAAGTCAGCCCTTATCTTCTTACCCGTGTCCACTGTCCTGGCTATGATTAATTGGAGCACCTCTGTATCTGTGCTGCATGCACATTGATGCGTCTACTTCAAGCGCGTAAGCCCGTTGTTCATCACGTCCTCTGCATCCTTGATGCGATTACATACTTCATAACTATATGACGTCTCTGCCATTAGCAGAACCCGCTCGGCTATTTCTGCTATTGAACGGCCGGGGAGAACCCCTCCAATTCCCTTCAGTGAGGCCAAGTAGGCATCTGCCACATCTACAAGCGTTCCGCAGCTGACATATGCTAAAGCCTTGAGACGATTGATAAACCAGGATGTGTGCAGAGAAGCCCCGGCAAGGAAATACGTTGGAAATGTCTTAGAGGTGTCGATGCAGAACGGAATCAGAGGGACGTCAGAGCGCACCTTATCTAAAAGCTTTAATGCTGTCTGACTTAAGATTGTCGTGTCCTCTGCCATTGTGTCCAGGAGGCTTTGGGCAATGGCAATGAATGCGTAATTAAATGGCACAATGCTCATTGCTGCAGCAATGTCAAGCATTCGTCCGGTGCACTCCACTATTTTATCGCGTATCTGCTCCAAAGAGAATTTATGTACCCTTCCATCCACATGGCTTGCAAGCATACTGGAAAGAGAGAGAGCAAGACCACACCACGAGGGAAAGTTGAAGGCATCTAATTCCACAGCCCTCGTCAATGCTTTCAGATGGTCTTGCTTCCCCGCATAGAGCATTATTATCCCCATCGTTCCCAGAAGCTCCGATGAAAAATAGTTAGTAGAGATGGTGGATGCTGAAAAGCTGATTAGTCTAGAACCTATAGACTCAACCAATTGCGATACACCACGTGCGGTCTGGGGTAATGCAATCCCAAGGTAGTCTGTTGTGAAAGACCCTGAGATTGAGGAGGTGAGGTTGGAGCTAGTAGATGAGGGGCTTACTGGTTTAAGTGTTTGGAACTCCAGTGGGTTGTGGTACTGATCCGCGTCTTCCTCGTCAAGGTTCCGCTTAATACTTTCAAAGACCTTGGCAGCTACTGCAAACTCGTCTTCGGATGGCTTTTCAAATGGAACGATGAATGGAATGCAATCCTGAACCGGTACATGCCTTGCACAGAGGCTTAAGATAATGCGACACATGTATATGTCGTCGTAGAGGCTAAACCCAGTTAGCACGGGACAATCGAGAAGCCCGCCATAATACACCACGGGAGTCTCTATAGATCTGTACATGGCATGCGCCTGCAGGAGCATGTCCAGGCTCACGCGAGAATTAAAAATGATAGACGTAAAAGTGAGGGCTCTAATGTCATTAAGGAGCGTAGTGCTAACCGTACTGCTCTCTGGGATAACGCTGAGGATAGCTTCATTGGAGGTAGATTGTTGATTAGTGGTTCCTGTTTTAGAGTGAGAGTGGGACTTGGTGGACGCGGTGATGGATGTAGACCACGAAGGTAATGGAACAACACTATTGAAGTCTCCCTGAATTGCGTGTGCGACTGCAAACCTTGGCAAGTTTTTGTTTATGATAGAAAAGATAACCGGGACTGTGTGTGTAGATGCTCCAATTAAAGCAAGATTCCCTAATAAGCCTGGAGCATTGATATCCAGGGATTGATCCAGGAGGTCTAGATAGGATGTGGCTATATCATCAGCACTTCCAAGCATATCCTGAAAGAGGACGTACGGGTTGAAGTCCCCACTCCCCTTCGTCACCAAAAATGTATCCCGAAGAAGCAGTGACTTTGCGTCTCCCAGTCTACCTTCTAAGATTGCGCATCGCGCCAAAATGATTACTCTCTTGGTAGTCATAGAAGAATACTGCTCAGGAAGCAAGCTGGTGGAGATATCAAGCTGTGCTAAACATTTTTGTGCAGCTGGCACAGACCCCTCCAACAGCAAATACTCTGCCAGAGCAAGACGAAGGGCGATCATAATGTACTCGTCAGGTACGTAGTTTCGTGAACATTTATCGTGAGCGCCAAGGGGGAGATTCAAAAGAGTTACACCGGTATAGAAAGATGCATTGCCTGTGGAGTCCTCAACTTCAAGGCACGCTCTCCTAACGGTGCCGATCAAAAGTGACTTGAGTTCGTTATACTCTGCCGAAAAGTTCAAGACTCTGAACAAATCCATGCATGTAACTTTTAGCAGGATGCGCTCTAATATCTGCCGCCTGTCGTTAGGTGTAGCTGGCCTAAACTCAAAATCAAAAAGGTCGTTTGCACAGTACAGTAACGACAGTGCAAGGTATTCATCTTCGCCTGATGAAATGAGTTCGTGACAAGTAAGAAGTACAAGTCGCGAAAGCATAATTGTGTCTGTTCTTCCTGCAGCATCATGCAGAAGGGGTATACTGAACACACGCAGGAGACTACGGGAGACGCCTGCTTTGTTTCTTGTGCAAATGAATGCTCGTAGGAGCCCTTCTACTGCACGCTCAATGAGCATGGTATGCTCGCCTCGACGTCGGCGCTGCCTCTCGCGGACAAGTGCAGCAGAGTAGAGCTCTATGGCTCTGGCGGCCTCGTGCCGCGCCTTGCTGTAGAGAAGAGCATCTCCGTATTCCAGGAGCTCCTCTGGCTTGCGCTGCTTCTGCTTGGCTTCTGTGTATGCCTCCTTAGCCGCGCACATGAGCTTGTGGTGTAGCTGCGCGATGGGCATGGCCTTCCCAGTCGTCTTCACGTATGAGTCTTTGAACTCTCGCACATGCTTGGTAAGGAGAAGGTCGATTGCAGCAAACGGCTTTTGTCTGTCCACCCCCGACTTGTCGACGCTTTTGCTTCTGCTATTCGCATTTAAAGTTTGATTGCACGTGTTGATCACCTCTGCAGAGCTCCCATGGGTAGATTTATCCAGGAAGACCTTGCGCATGCACTCTTTAAAGCGACAAATAAGCGCATAATCATCTATATCCGCGTCCTGAGCTGGAGGAAGGGCACTGTCAATGAACAACCTCTTCATAAAGTCAGAGGTGGTAATCATATATTTATCTACGCTATTATGCCCATTTTGGAGGCGAAGTAATAGATCGCTGAGAGGTATCACCCTTGTTCGTAACTTAGAGAGGATTGTGCTGTGATCCAAAATTATCGGAAGGGAGCCAATGTCCATATGGCCCAAGGGACGTGCAACATTTGTGACGATAGGATGAACGATAATGCCGAAGTTAGAGTTAAGCTTACTCTGGATCCCTGCTATATCTGCTTTAGAGATCACGCCTGTGGGAAGTCCCTCCAATTGAGACCGCATGGAGGTAATCTGCTCTGCAATGAGTGCAGCAGTACCTTCTGTATAAACAAAGGGTTCAGCGGAGAAAGGGACGATAATCTGCTGCTTGTGTAGTGGGACGCCATCGGTGTCGGATTCTGGCACTTCAGAGAGTCGTGCAGACTGCGGTGAGGTGCGATCCATAATGTGTGCCTGCATGTCTATGCAGGCCTCGCAAGCAAGGTCTTCTGGCGAAAGGTCAAATCCAGAGTCTGGTTGCCCCCCTATGGAGGTCCGTCCTGGTGCGCTCCCGTCAATCAAACAGTTGAGTAAAGTGCCATCCGGTAACGCTTCCAATCGCAGCATAAGACGACAACAGCTATCCGACCCAGACAGTACGACTGAGCGCATTTGCTGGAGGGCCTTCCCAGATAGATAGAAGACTTGTTGTGTGTTATGTCTCTTAGCATAGAAAAGAGGGAATCGAAGGAATTCAACCCCGTTCTCTACAAGTATTGTAACTTGTTTTACCTGATTCTTTGGGTCCAGACTGGGGTGTCCGGCCTTCTGCTGCTTTGCCCCTGCTCCTTTACCAACCATCCCAGCAGAGGATTCATCGAGAGCAGCAACCTCCTTGGCCACCGTGTCATAATGGACCAACAGCGCATTAGTATAGGTAGCCTGTAAAAGCTCGTGAAGGGCGTTGTAAGTGTCGTTAAATGTTACTCCGCCATAGGTAGCAGACTGGGCCGTGTCTTGCTTTCCGGTCTCTGCTGGCTTTTTTGATGAGCTGTCTCTTTTAATAAGACTAGAAGTGGGCACCCCCATATGATAGCAATCTGCAAGCAATCCTAACACTGTGTTCGCAATGGATTGAGGGTCCACTGGGTTCTTGGCGCCGACCTTTTCTCCAGATCCAGACAGCTGGGAGACAACCTTCATACCCGAGACAATAGAACTCTGGTCGAATAGAAGCTGAAATTCAGGGAAGACGATTTGGTATCTTTGAGATGAAGACAGACAAACTACGTCCTCAACAGTCTGTATCTTTGTTGGCTGTCTAACATCCTTCTCCACCCTGTCTAAGTAACCATTGTGGATTGTGGCAAGAGGAGTGTCATGCAGCCCTGGCAAATAGAGAGAAAGAGACCACCCGAAAGCTGGAAGTGTTGACTGCGTGATCTTACCCAGATTGGAAAAGCTTCCGATGAACTCCACTCCACTCAAAACTGGAGCAATCTTGTGTAGGTTGTGATAATCTGGGTTTGGAATAGATACCTTAACGGTCACTTTGAGGGTCGCTGTCAATCCGGTGGAAAATGTGCTGGTGAACACTAGTGGAATGACCTCATTGGATACAGAATAGGTATGATCGGGTAACTCCGTGCTGTTGTCAATTAGATGACTGGAATCCATTATGTCCCGCAATGCTATCTCTGCATATGCGAAGCACGGAATCAAACTTAGCTCGGGATAGGAGACGTCATCTGCAGGCCGCTTTGCCTTCTTTGGGGGCTGGACAGCGTTTATAATAACGTATATGAACTCATTGTATGCTACAGAAAGTTCGTCCTCGTGGGTAGCGCACATTGGCCGAAAGGTTGCTGTCGTCTCTACGAACCTCTTTGTCTCTGGTTGAAATAGAAGTGGTGGCACGAAATCAACATAGACGCTTTGCCGAAAGTAGACGACAGGAATGTATTGAGTGAGGGGGTCAAACTGCCCCGCCTGGTCCGCGAAGCCGTGGGAGGTGAGCTCTATAAGCATTTTAAATACTTGGCTCAATTTCCCTCAATTTCTGTCTGGCAATTTACAGCACCTTGGCCATCTTGTGGAAAAGGGTCCCCCGCGCCTTGAGCTCACTTGCAGGAATAGCAATACACTCTGTTGCTGTCTCGCAGACCGCTGTTCGGGTCTCTCCCTTACCAATAAAGACAGACTCACAGCCGAAGATAGAACCTTCCTGGAACCCGTCTCCGTAGCCATCAACGACAATAAGAAGGCAGCTTGTCACTTCGTTTGCAGTCACTATTGAATCCCCCTTGGCAAAGACCTTCACCTCCCCCAGAGATGCGACAAAGGATGTCTCGTCATCAGTCAGAGAGGTGAATTTGTCTTTCAGGTAGTGAACTATTGCATTCCCTGAAAGCAGGGATCGCCGCTGATTGAAAATCATCTTTATGTACGCTACTCTGGGCAGCACAGCAGTGCAAACCTTGGTAGGTTGATTTGCAGTCGCCTCTGGTGCTCCAGCTTGAGACCCTTGACCTTGAACCACTCCAGTGGGCTTATCTGTTAGAGGATCATATACAGATGCAGTGAAGTGCAACTTCCCCGGAACCGGAAGACAGCACTGCTCTCCGAAGAACTGCCCCACACTCAAGATCGCTGCATCTCCGTTACGATAACGTGCAAACACCTTCCCAAATAAGATGAAGACCAGCCCATCCGTTGGCTCATCCACTCTGTAGAGAGTAGAGCCCGGAGGATACTCCTTCAAAACAAACATGGTCCTCAAGTTAGACATAAGCTGCGGGCTCAGAGATGATAGGTGCGGATGTGTCTTGACAAGGTTAAGAATCTGGTCATCTAGCGCGACATTGTTAAGCCTGATCGCATGCGGAGCTGTGCAGTCCAAGGAAACTGTCCGCTCAGAGGTTCTGGCTCGTTGTATCATGCAAAGGCGGTAGACTATTGCAGCAAAAGGGTCCTCTGGCATATCCTCTAGCAAGGTAAGCAAGCACTCTCTAAAAGCCATGTTCACCTGGTGGGTCGATAGATATTCGTCTAGTTTCCTGTGAGACTCTTGACAGTGTGCGTCTTTTCTAAGGGCTTCCACTAGCAGGGTAGCGAGGTCCTGCTCCGGTCGCTGTACTATGCGACGATTCTTCATAAGGTCGTCCTCGTCCTGGCTAGCCATTCCACTTCTTCCAGAAATTTAAGTTGAATTTTAAGCAGGACACTTTATCTTTGTGACCTCACTACGCTGTGCACTACACTGCATACTACACTGCATAAGCGCTCTACAACTAGGTGCTCATGAAGAATAAACAGAAATCGTATACCGACCTGCCCAATAAGGAAGTCCACCTTGAGCAGACGTTCCGACGTGGTTTCAGAGATCGGACAACTGGTGCCACCAGCCCGTTATTAAAATGTCCTAAAGCTGAGAGTGCCTCCTTGCCTGGTGGTGGCTTGTCTTGCAACTATTTATACATGATTATGTGGCCAATGTGGAAGGCTTATCTGTACATTTTTCTTGCGCGTCTATTTTACAACGGCACACTCTATGTTTTTCTCGTCTTACAATTCCTTATCAGTATCCATTTTTGCGGCTTTAACGGCACGCTTGCCTTTTGCAACTTCATTGCTTTCAGGGAGCTAATCCTAAACATCTCTAGCAACACCGCGACACGGGTCTTTTCATGCGCTGCACAGGTTCATCAACTAACCAATGACTTCACGTTCGTGAGGGGGCTATTAGTGCTGTATTTTCTAGTCTACATTTGCTACTCTGTCTTAATTATTCTGATTGTAGCACTTTTGAGGCAGGTATTCGGTGATGTTCTCAACGTATTCCCCGCTATCATAAAGCGCTTTCCACAGTATGACCCAGAATTGCTGAAAAACTATCTCTCTGTAATGAGCCTGCCACTTCAGGGTCTAGGCTTGGGAATCTGTACCTTTATTAGCACAGAAAATAGATACTTCTTACCCGGCATAATCGCGTTTTCGTCTGTGCTGTGCAGCCTCTTCTTCCAGCTCCTCTTTCTGCTCTCCAGGACCAACATTATCACGCACATCCAAGGTTCTCCTAGTAACGTTGTTTTGCTGCTCGAGGGCGTCCCTCAGATTGTATTTGGAATCGCTAGTGTGGTAGCAATTGTCTATGTGATCTCTGTTGGCCGCGCACCCCAGCTCAGAAAGTATAATATCTTTCTTCATTTTCGCTATATCCACCGTGTAGATTTTAGCATGATAGCCAAGATGGCCAGGAACATGGTCGCTTTAACTCTTCAGCACTCTATCCAGCCATTACTACTTCTCTCTATTCAGTACAGAGTGGCTAGGACGTCTAATCCATTCGAGTATTACTGCATGCAGATGCTTTGTGTGGTCATGTACTATCTTTTGACGCGATGCTCTGACACTATGGTGATGTCCTCCAGTGAAGCTTATGCGATTGTCAGGGGAGTGTATGAGCAGGCAGGAATAGCTGAAAAGTCTTGGCTGCTAAAGCTTCTTTTCCTGGGGACGGCGTTGGCGTCATCATCACTGGTCTTGATATTCTTTCAAGCCTACCGAGAAAAAATCCTCACACTAAGCATACCGCTTGCTTTCCGTATGCATTCCAATTTGTTTTCCATGTACTTCTCCAACTACAACGCAAGATACGCGACAGCAATTTGGACCTGCCTCATTCACATAATCACCAGCATATTTGTTACATATTTTAACGTGAGCGTTTTGTTTGAGGAGTCTCTACTGTATAGCCTCTCGATGATTGTGTATAAATATACTCTACTGGTTATTACGGTCTGCGTCACTCTGCAGCACATAGCCGGTGACTCGGCGCTGCCATTTATTTTTCTAATTATCAACGTGCTTACTCTCCCTCTCTACATACTAAGGTCGTTCGTTAGTTACAATCGCATGGCTCGTAAATCAAAGCAGACTATTGAAAAAGAAAAAGCTGTTTGTACAGCCATTTTCTATGATGTGCTGAAGAGTTAACAGAAGCATTAGATTGTGGAGTTTTGCTTTTCTTTCAACACACAACAGGTGTTGAAGTTTTTGTTGGAGCAGAGCTAGAATGTAATGGAGTTGCATAGGTACTTATCCATTGCAAGGGCCAATGTGCGTGTCGAAATGGGTTGGCTTCAAATTTTCACTGTTTCTTCTCCACAGGTATCATGATAGAATAAAAAAGCCAGTAATTCATGCCTGATCACGCATTCTGGAACACTCAGCCAGTCGTGCAGGAGTTGGTTGAGGCTCTAGAGGATGGCGACATGCCCCAAGATCTTATTTCTGTGGATCCTGCCCAGCATCCCGACACTTCCATCCCACTCCCGGAAAAGTTCGTCTGGACGGCTATTGATCCCCACGATGACGGCCATATGGCCGACCTCTACAAGCTTTTACACGCGTATTACGTCGAAGACACCAGTAACATGTTTCGCTTCGCGTATTCTAAGGATCTTTTAAGATGGTGGTTGACAAGTCCTGGTTGCAAACCAGAGTACTCTCTAGGAATACGCATAGACGACCCAGATAGCGAAGGCCACGGAAGGCTCATTGGTTATATTTCTGGGGTCGTGAGTGACTACGCCTACTCTAACGTGGACGGAGGCGAGGTCTTTTCTAGGCCCATGCAGAGTATTGTATTTCTGTGCCTCGATAAGAAGTATCGTAGTCTAAAGTTGGCCCCGCTGTTAATTCAAGAGATCACACGCCGCTCGTACAAGAACGGAGTCTTCCATGCCATATACACGTCTGGAACGTCTCTGACCGCTCCCATTCAGGTTGCAACCTACTACCACCGCATTCTCAATCCCCTGAAGCTGGCAAGAATTGGGTTTTGCACGAAGCCTAAAGCAATCAGCGACAAGGAGTTTGCCTTTTTCTACAAGCTGCCCTTTCTTCCCACTGCTTTGTCATCGTGCTTTCATGTTTGCACTGAAGCTGATATCCCTGTTCTCTATGATCTCTATCTAGAGTATACTCGCAGAAAGTACAAGTTCAGGCAGATCTACTCCAAAGAAATGTTCACACATGTGGTGACGCACAGAAAGGATAGCATCCACACACTGGTGTACAGAGAGAAAGAGGGAGGGCAGCCAGATGCGTTTATCACCTACTACATCATCGACACGGCAGTCCTGGCCAAAGACATCAGAAAGCAATATCCAAACATGCGTAACGGGTACATTTACCTTTATTCTCTGCGCGATGACTGCAACCTGTCTATAGGCCAGCTAGTCCTCGCCCTTATGCACGATATGCAGAACAACAATATCGATGTCTGCACTGCTCTTAACGTAGGGCTTAACCCCAGCTTCTTCTCCACCATGAAGTTCGCAGAAGGGAGCGGAAAGCTGAATTACTATCTGTTTAATTTGAAATGGCCGAAGATGGCCTTGAAGGACATAGGGGTCGTGTTGATATGACTTGTAAATAGAAAACACGACAAGGTATATCCACGGCGCTGGGGGTATCCTACATATCATCGGACTTCTCGGTATATTCCTCGGTGGACGATTCATCGGTAGATTCTTCAGCAGACTCATCGGTGTGGATGATCTCATCTTCGCCATCCGTGCCGAGGGCTTGACGGTCCTGCTCTTGGGCCTCTTCTTCCACTTGGCGTCTGAGATCGTTGAGAATGTCATCAGAGAAGCGCAATGGCGCCAGCTTCTGAGATAGAGAAACCAAAGTGTTTTTATATGATATTCTATTGTGAAATAAAGATTTAAAGCCCGAAATAGCAGGGATTGATCGATCAGACTTAAGGACTTCTGGGCGCTCCTTCAGGAGTGTATTCACCCATATCAATATGTCACTGACATATTCCGTATTCTCCACGCAGTTTGCGTACTGAAGGAGAGACGCAAAGACGCTATGAACACCCTCCTCGGAAAGCATTTTTGCAGTATTGATTCGAGCCTGCTTGGACGTTGTTGTCAATAGTGCATGTAGCCGGTGCTTATTCTTTTGAGCAATCACTTGCTCAATAGGCAAGACGTCGTCAGATTGAGAGGTCTCCCGGAACTCGTCAATGTGAACGGGTGGTGCAGCTATCGCGGCTTTTGGTAGTACGGCGCTCTGGATATTGGGGTTTGCTTCATTGAAGCGTGTGAATTGATTGAATATTTCAGCATTTGCACCGGTAGCAGCCCCCTGAATGGCTTGATGAGATGACTGCAGCAGCCGTGCTGACACATCTGCAATGGTACGCTTCTCAGTCTTTTGCTTCGCCTCATCAGGATCCGTCTGATGATCTTCGACAAAGAAATAGTCTTTCAGGAGGTTATTTGGGACATCTTCTGTGATCAGTGATGGAAGCGTATAGTTCCCCTTAATGATGTAAATGGCTGACTTGGCCCTTAAGTACTGTGGAATAGCTGCCAAGATGCTGGAAGCCAACGTTCCTGATGCACGTAACTCCAGAGCAGGAGGCACAGAAGGGATTCGCGCCCCCTTTTTGGTCACCTGTTCTAGGCTTGGAAAGGGAAGGATGAAAAGCGAGACAGAATTAGAAGAGCAAGCGGTGATTGCATATGTTACACATGCATGTTTAGCCTTCCCATAACTTGCGCTGAGAGTAAGTTGTGTCTGGGTATCAGAACTGACTAAGCGCCCAACTCGAAGCAAGTGCTCTTGCTTGTAATAGCCCAAGAGGCTTATTATCGATGCATTTCTCATGGAAACACCAATCAGGCAATGCTCACATGCAAGTGCAACCACTGAGGACTGAAGCCCAAGGAAGTTGATCCCAGTTTGGTTGCAATCTAATATGTAAAGCCCTGGGCCATAGGCTATAACGCACGACTGCTCCAACAGCCCCATGTGTATCTCTGAAACAGTGGGCTGCGTGGCGGGAGTGAGCGAGTCTGGTTGTGCCTTATTCAACGGACTAGAGTGTCGGTAGGGGATGCTCAATATGTTGACTTCTTTTTGTTTGACTAGAGACCCACTTTGGCCCCAGATACCCTTTATGAGTACTCCATCAATGTCAATTGATAACACATAAGAAGCGCCTCTGGGAGCGACAATGGCAGCGACTGCAGATCTGTGAGAATAATTGGCTGAAACAAACAGCGATCCCTCACTCGTCCAGGTGTAAATACTTCCAGAATTGGTTCCGATAATTGCCCCCTGTACCTCTGACCTTTGTCCTTCGGCCCTGTCCTTACCGTGAAGAGCCAGCGACGTATCGAAAAGCATAGCGGTGACACTCATGGTGACGAGCTGAGAATCGGTGATGTCCCGGAGCCACATCCCAGACGTTGCATCCCAAAGCCGTAACATCCCATTTTGCTGGTAGACGGCGAAACAGGCCTTACGACTGTCAGTAATTAACATTTATTTTTGCTGCTGGGGCCTTTAATAGCATAATGCTTCCTGCTGAGGCTGCCTCAGAGCTTCTAGAAACCACTCTGAGCCTAAGCGTAGAGCCCTATTTATCAGGGGCATGTTCCTTCCTAGACATTGCAGAAGAGCAGGTTCAGCTTGTTAGCGAATGCTTTACCCAGGAAATTCTTTCAGATACCTTAGAAAATCACTACGATGCGAGCAACCATAGCATCGGAAGCGATAACGATCGCCAGGCGCTTTTATTTGTCCTACTTGTCTTGACGACTCGTGGAGGGACAGGGGTGCCTCTAGAAGATTCTTACATAGCCACGCAGCTCTTGGCGCGGTTGGTGCCTCTGTCTGCTGACTTTATTGACCTGATACTTTGCGCATTTGCCGGGGTAATATCTTCTGGCATAACGATCCTTGAACAGGCATCCCTGCAGGGAAAGGCCCGGTCGAAGACCCTCTCTTCTCATACTCAAGCAAGTACCCGAAGAGCTACGCAGAACATCGTCAACTCACAATCCTCTGTTGGCAGCCAGGAGGATTATACTCTGCTTTTAGATATGGATGCAGAACCTGTCGATCTCACAGCCACTCCAGCCACTGTAATCACGGCTATAATCACGGCCTTCAACAGTATGGCTGCATTTTTTCGAGAATCGCCCAACTGTACGCCACAGCTGAACACTCTGACGTACCTCCGAACTATGGCCTCGGAAACAGTGGTACGCCTGCTTAACAAGCCTCTAAAATATGTTACATACACAGAAGCTCCGGCTCCGGCTATTATAAAAGCCGTATTCAAGCTACTTGAGGCGCTGATGGACTCGTTGACGGCTTATCGCGGAGTCCTGCTATATGACGTCGTGAGACTACTTGTTCTCAATCCTCATGGAAAGCATAAAGTAACCAGCTCTCTCTTCGTAGAATCAGTCAGCTTGGTTCAAGCTCTGAGTCATGAATGTTTATGCAGAACATGCCTTCCACTGTCCTCGTCCACGCTTTTCTCATCTGCAGATTTAGATACCTTTCTATCAGTTTACCTTCCGCTGCTTCAGTTTAGTTTGTTGAGCATTCACGACCTCTCCGCCATCCGACTTTGTGGTGCCTCTGCAATAGCCAAATTGATAGATGCAATTCTATGCACATTTAACACTACGGGAACTGAACCTAAGATATCCGCAAAATATCAAGAGTTGTTTTTCAGCAGACTAATCTCATTCTTCCATGCCTTGGTCAATCAACCCAAAGCTACCTACAAGTTGGCTGTGCTTGATCTATTAGCAGCCATCTTTATCAACAAAGCAATCTGTCTTAAGCTTGAGGCCTCTACTGATTTTCTCGAGCGGATTTGCATTGATCTCCTTTTCCCTCTCGCATGCGATCAGGACGACTCTGTTGCAGCATCTACCCTCAATCTGTTGACTCGTTCATATTCTAATAAGACTATCTCAAGATACATCACATTATTAGTTTATCCCCTTTGCTTATCTTTTACGCTATTGTTTCGGGCAAATATTAAGTTGCATTTAGTCATTCAGTCTGTTGCCTTGCGGAAGGCCACAACATATTTTCTCGGTAGCTGCATTATTTTTGACACAAGCAAGCTCTTGGATGCTATTATCCCAAGGTTAAAGTCCTCTAATAATCGCAGTACCAATAACAGCGATAATAGAGATGCCGATGAGCCTTCAGAAGAGCAGCATAGCTCACCACCCTCCCCACAGACTTCACGACCTAACGGTGAAGTTAACGCTGAGGAGGAGCCCCTGAGTTTGTCGATGTTGAATGACTCTGCAGACGACGAGCTTTCGCCCCCTCACCAAGCAATGCTTACGTTCCTGAGTAGCTCTCTATCTGATCGAGGACTAGAACTTCTTTCTATTGCTCGAAATCGCCTCTGCGGACTTTTGAATAATCTCAGGATCAGTCACATCAACGTTTCAATCAAAGATCTTTTAATGGACGAGCTTTCTGTTAGATGCCAGGACTCTTCACCTGTAGTACGCAAGCTAGCTATCAATACCATGCTAGAGTGCGCCAACGTAATCCCTCTGTCTTTGTGGTTCGAATGTGTATTCAATTCTCGAGGCGAGTCAGTCGACGGATCCGCAAATATTGTTTTAGAGCATGCCATGAAGATCCTGCTCCATCCAATCCTGGATTGTTTACCAAATAGCGACGTTTCTACTGGCTCTGTGGAGTGCAAGATTTCTCTTCTGTTTGGAGGCGTGCTATTTCATCTTGCACCTAAGTATGAAGGTGCTGAACAGCGTGTAACTATCACCAGTCTTTCATATACCGTTCGAAACGTGCTAAAGCAGCACAGTCTATCTGAGTACCTGCAGCTGTTGGGTTGTGCAATAGAAACACCGTTAAAGCTCACACAGACTGACCAAGTTGCTTGTGGGGCACTAGTTTTAGCAATAGGCTGCACCACTATGCTTGTTCATTGTTACGAAGGAACATTTACCATTGATGATGCTGCGGCGATTGATCTGCCGTTTTCCTACGTGGCACCGTTAGCAGCCACTGGCTCTATAGGGCCTGTGGGATTGGCCACAATCTATAACCCGATACTATCGGCCTCACTTGAGACAGATACCATTGGAGTGGGTCTCTCGTATTTGCTTCTGTCCTGCATATCATTACTGTCTGACTTCTTGCAAAATGAGGACCCGCAGCATATAAGTAGTCTTATGTTTGCAATTGATAAAGATAATTTGGCAAGAGTTTTTCTGCAGAAGATTGATTTGTTACTTGGATTCTTGGGTCTTAAGCACCATAATGCTAATCTTGTTGAGAAGTCCCATGTGTTCTCCGATAGCGTTGTTTTGATTATGAAGAATATTCTGGAAGGTATTGCATGCTTTCTGCACATCTATCAGCTATCCGACACATCGTTAGGTGGCCAGTGCAAACGCTTTTTGCTTAAATGCATTCCTCTGGTAGATATTTCTATGCACATGCTTCATACAGTCTTTCCAGAGCTTTCAGATGCATTAAATTTGGAGCATGATGGTCCTTCTGCTCAGTCAAGCGTTCATCAGGAAGAGCGTCCAAGAACAGAATACGCGTCCTTTTCACTTGGCTATCTAGATGCAATAGTTGGCCACACATCATGTCTGTCACAAATTGTCAGAATAAGCATCTCTATTTTCTCTAATGAAAACCTTCCTTCCACCATCGCAGAGTTGCAGGCATTGCTGTCTAATGTCCAGGCGGCTGTCTTGGCACGATTACAGCACATAGCGATCAATGCCTCTGCTCTTCTGGAAGGAAAGACAGATGCATCAACATCTACTTCCACTTCCACTTCCACTTCTACAATCATTCAGCAATTGACTGAGGGACTGGCTCTAAACTCAGCAGAGCTCACCGACCTTTGCAACGGCACCCCTCCTACTTGTCAGTTGTGCGCCCATGTACTAAGAAACATAGTATCTGAGGGATTGGTGGAGCAGCTGGGAACTATGAAAAGTGCTCAATTTAGCGACATCTGCCTCGGGGTAGCATCGTTAATAGGAGAATTCAGGGCGCACATGACAGAACTGGTACGTAAAAATAATGACAATGGCTCACCAGATCTCCACGTAGTGTCCAAGTTGCTTCAACTTTGTGACAATCTTTCCGGCACTCTGATCAGTTGCCTCGGCTACCACGTCCTTCACCTAGACCCTTTGAAAGATGCGCCTGCACTGACTGCATACCTCTCTTCCTTGTCACACATCTCACTAAAGCATTGCAGTCCACAGGCTAGAAACAATAGCCTTCTAGCATTGGCGTCTCTGTGCTATCTTGTCCCAGATATGGCTGGAGACCACCTTACTATTCTGTTGCCCCTTATGGAAGAGTGCTCTCTTCTCATTCGCCGCCAAGCTCTTCTTGTTATCAGTGACCTTCTACTTAAGGAATACCTAAGGAAGGAGCCCGCTTTACTTCTAGCTTTGTACTCTCTCATTGCAAAGGAAACTAACTACGAGTTTCGTCTATTTGCGCGAAGAATATGTATTGAGCCTCTGCTCAGAAAGGTACCAACATTCATAACCCATTCGTTCCTAGATGTACTGCTGATGCTGTCTGGGTCTCAAGGCTTTACTAGATGCCCTATTACTCTAATTGCACTTAAGATCATAGAGATAACGAGCTTTTCTGGCCCAGAAGGCCTTCGGGGTGTGCACAACACTGACTCGGAGAAGGAGTTACGTGAAAAGCTTGTCAAAACACTATCAATCCAATCCAGTACGCATCGGCACGACTTCTATGTTTTTCTATTAGCATTGCTAACCCCTCCTAAGCGTTTTGAGATCTTATCAATCATGCTCAGAGAGTTCTTAGATAAAATAGACGATTATTCCACACTTCTATCTGTATACTCTGCACTGGATGACATTCTGCAACTGCTTGTGGCCGGGCTCTTTGACTATAAGGTTGATACGCTTGCTTATCAGCTTCCTGAGTCTCAACATTCACAAGATGATGGTCTTTCTGCAGAAAAGGTGGCCCTTGTGGCGTCGGTAATTGGACGCCTGTCAGACAAGTACTCTCTTGACAGACTTCTCCCTGCTCTTCTACGAATCTACTCTCTATGCAGAGACAATCAGCTGTCTCTTACTGTGAAGCTATCCGAGGCAATTCACTCTGTTCTGCGGCGTTCCAAGATATCGATAGTCGATCTTAAGGAGGGCTATCCTCAGTTTGGTGCCGAGTTGTTGGAACTAAAGCTGCTAGATGACGTAGACGGGGTACGATAGGCATGGTAGCCGACCAGGTCATCACCACAGACTTTCAATGCAACTTCATTGCCTATGAAGTGCAAAGAAGTCACTACGCTCCTCTAAGTAACGCATATTCTGCTCTACAACCTTTTGTAAGTGATGAACTCTACCCTCTAAGTCTTCTATATATTCTACAACATAACAGGGAAGGTCTGCAGGAAGCTTCGGCCTGATTGGGTAGCCCATGACTTGAACGAGTTGCTAAAGTTACAATTTTTCCTTCCTGTAGACGGAAGACAATTCGGCAATTGATGCAAATATCAAACAGTTTAGGTCCTTATCTGTCGCTGTATGCCTTTCTAGCGGCTTTTTGCAAACGCCCCCACAGCTGCCTGCTCTAATAAACTAGCTGGTGCTTTTAAGCAGTCCACGTGGCTCATTACTCCTTACTATGTCGAGAGACCCAAAACACAAATAAATGCAGTGGCCTTCACCAAGCACTTTGTATACCGGCCCCATCCTGGCACCAATGGTGCGAGCAAGCTTTCCAGGGATTCGTGCGCTTGCAGCAGCACTGGGTGCATCGGCCGTTTACACCGGTGCAATCGTCGGAGACAGCCTCAGAGATGTTGTCACAGAGGTGGATCTGAGCAACATGATTGCCAAGATATCCACGACACGCCGGTCTGCGGGATCCCCATCGTGTGTGATCATTTCTGTTCCCATTCAGGCCACAGAGACGCCGGGGCAGTTCGAACCGGCAATACCACTGGTTGTGCAGCTGACCGTCAACGAATATGACGATGTCGATAAGATTTGTAGCATCCTTGCACCATGGTGTGTGGGGATAGACCTGAATCTAGGCTGTGGGGCCCAATTTGCTGTGTCAGGTGGAAGGGGACAGCGTCTTGTAGACAAAGCAGAGAATGTTATAGCGCGATTCTTAAAGGCGTTGCAGCAGATCGAGGATAGTGGTGGAAGACGCATAAGCTTTTCGATAAAGCAGCGGCTTTTGGGTTCTGTCGAAGAAACTGTCAATAAGATGTGTGCATTTTACAAGCTTGGGGTCAATTGCATTGCAGTACACATGCGCAGAAAGGGCGAAGAGCGAGGCTGCACACACGCAGATTGGGGCTCCTTCTTTCAAGTGTTATCCGGATTATATACTTGGTTTTGGACGGTCTTTTGTCAAGGTGATCTCCAGCTCTTTGAAGATGCTCTTAGAACATTTCACGTAGTTGCGAACGGAGACCTGTTTTCGCGGGAGACCATCACTGACTTCTTCTCCCTCTCTGAGCAGTACTTTTCGCAATTACCCACAGATATACAGCCGTACTTATCCAGTCGATATGGACGCCTGACTCCAGTGATGCTGGCTCGAGGAGCCATATCTGACTTAAGCCTCTTCTCCTTTATACTTGAGCAGAGAGGAGAATCAGCTAAGAAGGCAGATGCCTCCGTTCCTGCACATATCTCTGAGGTGCTTTCTTTGTTGCAGCCAACCAACGAGCCCCTCTGCTACCTCAATCAAGCAAAGGCGCTTCTGCAAGTGTCTGAAGCCACAAGTTCCCACTTCAACAACTACAAGTACACAGTCCTCAACGGCATAGCTTTTGTCAGAAGCCATGAAATTTACAAGTCTAATACTCAACGCCTTGCATACAAATACTTCAACCAAGAACTGCAAACACCAAAAACATACGGGGAGTATCGCACCCTGTTGAACAGATTGTCATCGAAACCATATTCCTATTGGGCTACATTATTACAAGAACAGACAAGACCGTCTACGGAGAAAGAATGCTATCAGCCTCCTGCTCCTTCGCTGACGGCGCCTGAACAGGAGGAACGGAATCACAAATGTTAGAGCTACGATTGGTTGGATCACAGACAGGGATGCCATCAAAGAATGTTCCCTCCTTTCCAACAGATTTAGCATACTCCCGCACCAGCGCGTCGCTGTACATGTCAGAAAACTTCCCTGTCAACACAGGATATGTGCGCTTGAACTGCTCTACGCTGTCCATGTCAATGAGAATCTTCAAGATGTTAGCAGACGAAGGAAGTGCATAACGCACATAGGTAGGAGAAGAAACAAGATAGTCGAAAACGTCACCAGAGCCGTTTTTCACTGCAACCATGAAGGCGTAATCGTTCATGCCGCCCTCAACACGGCTTTTCACCTCCAACTCAAAGAGCTCCTTGTTACTAGAGCCTGTCTCCCCCGCCGCCTCCATAATGAGCTTGACAACTCCAATGCAGTTCATAGCACACGCCATGAGAAAAGCGGTCATTCCGAGATACTTATCACCTGGCATTCGCTGCGCCACGTTTTGCTGCAAGGACACGCCAAGCTCAACGCGGACAGTAAAAAGCTTCTTCATGAAATCGAGGTACGTGAAGATAGATGTGTCACTAGCCGGTAAAGACGAGCAGCGCTCTACTAAGCGCATAAAGCATGTATAACCGCGCTTATCCCTGAGTCCTAAGTCCTGCTTCTGTCCCGGGGAGTTGAGCCTCTTTACACTCTCGTTATACAGCAGATTAAACATATCTATCTTTCCGCTCATTGCTGCGGTCATCAAGCACGACTCGCCCTGGTGCATACACCCAAGGAACTCCAGGTTATTCTGAGCCCCCTGAATGTCATCTTTGACTATAGCATTATGGAGTTTGTGCTCCGGAAAGTCCTCGTACTGAGCAAGGATATCTTCTATGCCACGGTAGTTTTGCTTCATCGCGAGGACACGGGCATTGTCGTTGTGCTTGTTCAGCATCCCCTTCTCATGGGGAGCGAGTAGCTTGACACCGTCAATGTAATTATTGGTTGCAGCTATCATTAGCGCCGTCTGGTGCTGATCGTCATATACCCGAACACCATGCCCCAGTTCGACAAGGACCTCAACCACGCGCGTCACCTTTAATTTTGTCGCGAACTGCAGGTGTGTTAGGCCAAGGACAGTGTGTGCCCGTGAAGGAATGTTGTTAGCTAAGTGCATTATAATGGTGTTAGTGAACGGAATCTCAGTGACCGGCTTCATATCAACCTTTGTCTTTAGATCTGCTAGGATCTTCTCTATGGACAGGTCATCCGTTTCCAAGTTCAGATCACCTCCAGTACCCCCGACAGGCTTTTCGGTGTCATCCTTCTTAGAGACAATAGGCTGGCTTCCGAGGACGTAAGTATCTCCGATTTGACTCAGATACTTGATGGCGGCAATAAGGCAGTCGTCGTCGAACTTATCATTGATTCTCCGTTCGAGAGGAGCCAGCTCAGCAACTATCGACTCTCGGCCCATCCGAGCCGCGACTAGGAGAGCAGTAACACCGCTGTTGCTACTACGCATGCCCGCCTCATATGGTATGAGGATGCGCGCTATGTCTGTTTGGTTCCGGTATATGCTTATCATGAGCGCTGTGTAGTAGTCTGCCTCTTGCTTAATCTCTGGAAGAGTCATATAGTACAGCTCCCTGGACTCGTATGGGGCCAAGATGCGTACGACGTCGACCGCATCTACCTCAACAGCGTGCATGAGTGCCGTATACTTGCAACACTCACATATCTTTCCAATCTGTCGCTTGAATTTGGATTTGACGTTGATGCTGGGAGAGCCTGGCCCCATGGTTGACGGCGCAGAGTCATCTCCTGGTACTATAGAGGAGGACGAGGGATGTGGAAGCGACGTGCCCGGCATATCGAGCCGCTTCACAACGCGCAAGTTCGTCTCGTGAAGCATAGACTCCACATTTGGGACCACGAACGCACTATCCTTGAAGATCTTGGACTTCTTGATCTCTTTGGCAATTTTCCTGCGCTGAAGGTCTGCATTGTCACTTGTCTTGATTATCTCCTCGCAAGTAGCGGAGCTACTATTGATTGCCGCCAGCATGAGTGGCGTATGCGTCATGCGCTTGCCTGTCTCACCATACTCAGAGAGTATGTCGATGCAATTGGCACTGCCGACCTCGCAAGCAACCTCATACGGAGTTAGCCCCTTGCGGTTCTTGATGTCGAACTCCTCTGGGGCCAGTAGTTTGCAAGCCCCAACACTATTCGCTCGCACAGCGTAGTGAAGGGCCGTGTTTCCTTCATCGTCACAAGCACGAAGTAGCAGATTGCGCGTGTCCTTGTTGTATAGAAGAATCTCTATAATTTGGCGGTTATTACTAGCTGCAGCGACCATCAGAGCTGTTGCATTCATTGGCTTCAGGCGTGCCTTGAGTTCTGAAAGCACCTGAGGCTTGAAGATCGCATACGATCCACAAACAACCTCATCCATTATCTTAACACGGTTGAGCATGCACGCTATGAGTAGCCCAGAGGCGCCCATACTTGAAACAAGGCCTGCTTCCGCTTCAAACAGCTGCATAAAGCAATCGTACTGGTTGAGCTCTGCGGCCAGCATGAGCGCAGAAAAGCCGATATGACTGAAGAAGGCCTGAAACTGCGTAGCCGGTTGTGTGTCAGAGTACGTTCGCAGCATGATCTTTGCCGACGTCGTCTTGGCCTTACTCAGAAGGGTGAGTGTCTCATTGATGATTCCCTCAACCCCTTTCAGCGTTGTCTGCATTCCTGGAGTGGAGTTGATTTTTGCCTGCAGAGAGCGGCATCCGTCACCGATGGCAATGATTTTCTGAATGGCCTGCTTTGAAAAGCCCAGAGAGACAGACGCGTCTGTATCGGTCCCAATAAAAGCCGAGATGTATGCCATGCAAGTAGAGATTATATGCTTAACCTTTGTCTGGTCCTCATTCGAGATGGTAGCATCACTCTGGAATGCAGCAAGGCACATGTCCTTGATCTTCCCCAGGTTGTTCTGGATAGAGAAGAAGAGGTCCTTAACAGAAACCTCCTGATTTGCGGGGGTATCTCCCAGACCAGACTTTGACAAGGTATCAAAGCCGGAGAATGTGGGCTCAAAGCCCTGAAGATTTGAAAATGAGCGTGATCGCATAGCAAGGGCCGAAGTATTTATGCCGAGAGTGGATCCCACTGCACTGGTCGCAGCGTCGAAGTTGACTTTAGAATCCACGCGCCGAAAGTCTGAAGCTCCGCCGTTATGAGAGGCGTGTCTGCTGTGGCCAGCAGAAGAGATAGGGCTCTTCATCGTGGAGGCATCGCTGTTGGCCTCCATCAAGGCACTAGCGGTGAAGATCTTCTCGGCATTTTTGATAGCCTGGGCCGTCTTCGCCTCAATTTCCTTTGCAACCTTCTTCTGCTGCTCTCTCATAGACGTAGCGAAGTTCTTGTAATTATTTTTGGCAGTAAGTGTGGCATCCTTCACCTCTTTTGCACGCAGGGCCTTCATGGTCATCTTCTTGTTAGCAAACTCATTATTGACGGTGGCGTCGTTAGTAGATGAGTACTTATGCAGCCAGACATCTTCGGGTGTAATAAAGACATTGTCGCCTTCACCACCCAGCATCTCCTGGCAGAAGGACATGTCAGAACTGTATTCTATTTCATTGAAAAGATCGTGTAGCTCTCCGGTGGCCTGAAGCCCGCATTCAGTTTCTTTAAGCTCGCACACGTAATCTGTATAGCCACGGGCAACTGCATACATCAATGCGGTTGCTCCAGATGCAGAGTAGAGCCCGCCCTCGCCACCAGGAGCCTGCTTAAGGATTTTCTCTTTAACGGTTGCAGGAATCTGTAGCGATGTTATATATTTCTGCTTCCGGTTACGATTCAGATAAGGCGAGGACAGAAGACGGACAACATCGAGGTTTGAAGTGCGGGTGTTGATTCCTGTTGTCTCTAGCTCCTTCCCTGTTATCACCGTCCCCACAGGTAGAGACGGTGTCGGCGAATCGACAGTGCTGACCGTAGCAGGTTGCTCCTGAGTACCACATAGCCCAGGCTTTGTGGTGGCAACGGATCCTGCTGAACCTGCCGAAGAAGCTGCAGTTTTATAGTACGTCATTGCTAGCGGTGACATAACAGCTAGCATGAGTGCAGAGTAGCCCTTCTGGGTCTGAATACACATTTCCCTGCTACTAACGATTGTGTTCGTTATCCTAAGGTCTCCTTGGACGGCTGCGTACATGAGAGCCGTGAAGCCATTGATATCAAGGTGGCCCAGCTCGCGGATCAGCAACTCCTTGGCTATGAGAGGATAATGGAGGCGGGCGGCAAGGATAAGCGACGACTCCTTGTTCGAATTGGTCATCTGTGTCTCAAAGGTGGAAAGAATCTTGACTGCGATGAGGTTGTTGGCCACTACGGCACAGTAAAGTGCGCAGGAGAGCGTCGGATGCGCGGAGGACATGCCTACTTCCTTGACCATCAGTTGACGCATGCAAGATATGTAGTTCATAACATAGTGAAGCGGATGCTTATCATAGGTCGTCACTGGCGCGGGGGTCTGATGTCTGGGGGAAAGTATTGACTGGACAGATTGCATGGCAATGGTCGAAGAGGAGGGATCGCCTACAAGGAAGGTGGTAGTGATAGGATTGGGGCTGATGACGCTAGAGGACGTAAAGCCTCCCGGCGTAGACGCTGCTGTCGGGGACATAACTGTGGAGGATGTCGGGTTCTGCCCTGTTATATCTGCAAGGATTGTGGAGGCCAACGCCTCAGTCGTTTGCTCTGGCGCAGAGGCAAACGGCTTGTAGCTCTGGTAGCTAGGCATCAGTTTAGTGAAATCGTCCGGATGACAGTTCAAGAGATCGTTCAAATCCAACTTATTAAACTGATCTGTACCTCCAAAGCAGTGCATGATGCGGGTCATGGCGATGACGGTGACCATCAGAGCAGACACCCGGTTGGCATCGTTCGTACAGAGGCACGCCTCATAGGGAAGCAGCAGGTCCAAAATCTCGCAGTGTCCAAGGGCCGCGGCATGCATGAGAGCTGTCATGCTGTTCTGATACGCACCTAGTTCCTTCTCTGCATCAGATCTCTCCAGATATCCCTCCTTTAGGTTGTCACAAAAGTCTTTCACGTATATGTAAGAATTGTTCTTCACAGCAAGGATAAGGGCGGTGTTGCCAAAGCTGTCTTTGAGGCCCATTTCCCCTGCAAGGGGGCGAATACATATACCTTGGTTGGCAATCGCTGCATGCATTAGTGCGGTACGCCTGTAAGGCCCTGTCTGAAGGCCGAGTTCCTGGATAATTTTCAACGACGACGCGTTCTGATTCTGTGCCTTGACAATCCCGTTTACCGCATGAGCTTTTCCGTTGGCAGCAGCGATCTGGAGGGCGGTCATGTGATTTACCGGGTCGATACACCCGGTCATCGAAATGTACTTTTTAAGGATGTCTCCGTTATTCTGCATCACAGCTGCCATCAAGGGGGTCTGAGCGACCTTGTTTTCAGGACTTGTAGTATCTGCCATTTAGAGTCGGCTACTACTTTTTAAAATTTTACCAGTTTTTGATGTTTAAAATTTTTGACGAACATTCGCAATTTAATCCTCGCGGATTGTTTAAAGGTGTTCACAAGCTCAATCGTCAGAGAAGTGTAGACTCCACCAGAAGCATTTACTGAGCAGATGGAGTGACTGCTAGAAATGCAAGTACTCCAGGGGTTCTCCTCTCATGTATCTTTGTTCTGATTGTTGCTAAAAAGACCACAGATAAAACATGCTTGCCCGTGTCAACAGACACACCGCCGATTCTGCTATGCTTACCCGACGGGTTGCAGGTTTCTGCTGTCGCGGCTTCGTATGCAGCACAGAAGCTTTTAACCAGTCCAGAACTTAGTGGCCTGGGAGTAGATACTCCGATGCTTAACTTTGTTAGCAGATCTGTCAAGTTTTTGGACTCGACACCTACTGTGTCCACTCCGCCGTCCACAAAGCCGATCGGAACGCAGAGTTCCATCTTTACTGGTTGCTCATCTGCAGTATCCGCAGTACCTCCATAATACCACTCCAGAAGAGCGTGAAGGCCAGTATCTGTGGGGTCTAGTTCTCTGGCAATACTCATCCCCAAGTAGAGCAAATGTGCAGAGAAATTGATCGTGGTGTATCGTACGGACAGCATAAGGACTTCCTTCTCCCATACTGTGTGCTCTGTCGAATCGGTATCAGCACACACTGGCTGCACTACCATGCTCAAGCCATCCGGTTTAAGTTGTGATAGAAATGCATCCGCAGACCCCAGATAAACGTGCTTTGGCGTAAGAGTAATGTGCGACAGTAAGTTGAGGAGCACTGTGTCCGCTCCACTACGGCTGCAGAGGAGAGCGATCTGCATGCAGAGAAGAAAAAGCGGAGCATCCGCAAACATGGACAGGTTTGCCTGCTTGTAGTCATCCCGCAGCTTATCATACTGATGGAGGGGCAGTGTACGAAGAAGAGAGAGTACTCGGCGGGGCGAGGTCTGACAGAAGTCAAGGATTTCCTGAACAGGGCAGACATCCATGACGACCCCCAGCTCAATGTAGCTTCGCAACACGATTCGTAGGTGCAAAAGCTGACCGCGGGTTGCCCTGCAAATCACATCCCTGAAATTGAGTAAGCACAAGATACGGGCGGTGAATTGCAGCTGAACGTGTCGTACTCGCGCTATCTCCTGCTCCAGGTAGTCTGCCAAGTAGTTATGACCTCCCTTCTGGTACTGCATATCAATAATACCAAGCAGTTTAGAACTAAACAGATAGTTTTCCTCGTACTCTAGGAAGTTCAAGAAGTGCCCCTGATACTCTGCTGTCTGCGATGTGAAGTCCTTCATGTTGTCTATTTCATCTTTAGCTAAGATTATGTACTTAATTAGATCCCTGGTATACGATTCGCCCAATTCTGTGTCTCTAGTACTAAGGGTACCTGTCTGCGCCCGCTCACTAAGCTCGAGGATTTTATTTAAGACTGATATTAAGGCATCAAAAGTGTACTCAAGCTTCTCGAGCTTTCTAATGATCTGCTGCTCCGACATACCCCTGATGCTCCGTCACCGTCTTCCTTTCGCCGGCAATTGGTTATAAGTTTATTTTTTAACGACAGATCATGTGGACAATTGGAGTGTCTAAAGACGTCTGCGCTATCTGAGGCATACGGGGTGGCTAGGGCCACTTGTTCTTAAAGCAATGTGATGTTAGATTAACTTATCTATAAAAATCATACCACCGGGTACTATTCGTCTTTTCGACTGTTTTGGCGTTCTTTGTTGTCAGCCGATATCAACTAAAAGCCTCACTAAATCACCGTACCCTCCGCGCACCTTCACATAAGATCTCAATCTTGCTCCCTCTTCTGCTCTGCACAAGAGAGTAAGTATTTTACTAGTCGTATTTTAACAATTGTATTTGCTCAGATTGCTCAGATGTTGCTGAGTTTTGAGACTGTCACGCTACCATGAACTCGAATTCTAAAAACAAAACAATGTCATGCTGTGGAAATCGGGACGTGGCCCCTGCAATAGCTCCTTTGAGTGAGGATTTCTTTAGTAGGAGCGTGGAGCTAATCTTGCCAGGGCACAGTTCCGATATACGTCTAGTTTATGAGAATGATCAATGGCAAAACGCTGGCATAGAAAAAAGTGTGGAGTACAAAAGTCTTCTAGAGCGATGTAAAGTCCTCGAGCGAGAGAAGAAGGAGCTAAAGGCGAAGTATGACGAGGCTCTGCGAAAGCTCGCCATTCTATCTCTCGAGCATGAAAAGCTTCAAAACGCCACAGAAATACACGTTAAGAAGAACATATGAGAACACTAGTGCTATATGGCCTGTGCTCTTGACGTTAGCACAGGTTCAGCGTATGGGATACGTAAATTTTGTAGTGAATTTTACAGTGAATTTTGCAGTGAATCTTGGGTCATGTCGTGCGCATGTAGACAGCAGCCTGTGGAGACGTGCGGGTATTCCACGGACATCTGGAGCATGACTCCGCAACTGAAGCTTTCTACTGCATCTGGTCCGGTGGAGATCACCTATGAAGATGGCGTCTGGAGCTGCAATAACGCTGCAGACACAGACATCCAGAAGCTTCACGACAGCGCCACTAAACTTGAGCATCAGAAAAAGCACCTTGAAGACAAATTACGATCCATTGAGGAGGAGTGTCGCAAGAAAGAGCGTGCCATTGAGCTAATCCTGGGCTCGAATAAGTGCACAACTGTGCCCCGCAGGAAGACACCCGTGTTTACTGCTGTACCTGGGGGTTATTCTGAAAAGACTCTGTTTTCGGAAGTCAGGAGCTCTGCAACACTTTTGTAGACAAACATAAGATCTAACCAGTTGAGTGTCTCTTAACACCCATTGGTCATGGATTTGACAGTATGACCTTGTTCTCTATCTAGTTTTGATCCTCGCAGGACAGAGGTGATGTAACCTATGTCCTCCGTGTTTAGAGCATCAGGGCCCATTCTTTCTACAAGCAGAAGCACACAGTTTTTAAGCTCGATAAGCGCATCCTCTTGCTCCGAAACCCTCCGCACAAGATTTTTGACTGGCTGGGCTTCCGGCAACATATCCAAAAGCATGGAGTAAAGCTCTGCCCTGAGTTGGTTGTTGGCAGTGGAATTTTTGGTTAGTAGATCATTGATCGATATGGGGCCAGACGTATTGAAGCCTATAGTCCCCTCACTGAGCTGCATCGACGTGGTTGCTTTTGGCGCAGCAGCTGTGTGCGAGTGCTGCAAATCAGACCTACGCAATAGTGACCTAGTCATTGAACACTGAGACGCATGCCTACTCTCTAATACTTCCTGCGGCTTTGTGGCGGCCTGACGGGAGGGGCTGTAGGTGATCTGCGGCGTCGAGCGGTCAGCCTTGACAACTGCAGACATCGGCCGTGTGGACCTGCCCGACACCGTGGACTCGTCAACAGTGTAACTGTGATCATGATAGGCGCTATCCACAAGGGAGGACTGCACCACGGTCGGGCTTCCTATACAGCGCTTCGCCGTGTCTGGCCTGCTGCTGGAGCCATTGAGGCCGAATGCTAGGCTGCTTGAAGTTAAGGGGCTTCTCACAGACTTGGAACTTGCTTCAGCAGCCAGCTTGGTGATATTTCTGTGAGTCCTTTCACTAAAGACGGTGGTGTTGCTCTCTACCAGAATTAGTTCCTTGAACAGTTTGGTGAAAAGCTCAAAGGATCTTGGGGTTTCTCTGAGCACTTTACTGCACTGAAACCAGTTGTCAACGTGTTCTTTATCGGCATTCGCACTAGCATTCTCAACAACGTTAAGTTTTGCGAACACATTGACGCATAGACTAGTGAAGAATTTGCGACTGTTCTTTGTCCCACTAATTGGACTGGAGATGGTTCTTGTACGTTCTACAAATACCTCTCTGATCGCACTCACAGAGGGAAGAAGATCTTCTTTGTATTCTGAGTATATCCCGAGGCAGTCGAAGGCTTTGTTCATGACTGAGGGAAGAGGGCCCATGGCATCTGACAGAGTAATTTGGGAATCTGCCTTTTCTCCGTGTAAGAGAAGCTTAACACGTTGCAATGAGCTGCAGAGAAGGAGAAAGGCTCGAAACTCTTCCAAACACATCCTTATTTGTGGCGTGTCGGCATACAGGAGATCTATATACAATGTTATAGATTCTAGAGTGCTGGTGACGAACAGGAGGAAGACGAATAACGAGGGGAGAGTCTCTAACAAAAACTTCGCATATATCTCGCAGACCATCTCTTTATCACTCGTACCATATGCATTTGCAAGGATCAAATTATTTATGAAGATATTGGGGACATACTGAATTTCCTTCAGCAAGTACGGAGCTTCAGATGAAGCCAGAGCCTTAAAGAACCTGCTCTCCTCACCCATACCCGACTCATATGCAATTCCCTTGATGCTCAGGTGCGTGCACCCAGGCATCAAAGCGCGTATCAAGGCCTCAAATGAGCTCTCGGCCCCTTGCTTGATGGCTAAATTGGTCAGGTTAAGTGTATGCAGTGTGGGATTTGTAACGATCTTCCGTTCAATGTTTAACTTTTCGGCAGACGAGCCAACGCCAGCGGCATCTACAAAGCTAAAGCTAGAGATGCTAAGTGTCGTAAATTCGCAAACCGACGTTAAGAGCTGAATCAGCAAGCCTATAGCGGAGATGGATACATCCATGCACTCGCTTAATACTATGTGCTTTGTGGTGCTCATCGTGGGCACAGAAGCTTTCAGTGCCTGGGAAACAGCAATAGCCCCTCTGGACCCGTGCAGCAGATCGTGCAGCAATGGGGTTGCATCAACAACCTTCTCGTTACAGCGCAAGGCTGTGGCAACGTGGGATCCTTTGCTAGGAGACGCCATTTACACACAAAGAGCAACCTTTATGCTAAATTTAGTTAAAAACGCGTGAAGCTGTCAAAATTTGAGGCGTGAGACAAAGATTTTATGATCTAAGTCCTTGTACCTTTGTGGATTGCTACAGCTTGAAGATTCCTCGGCACGCCTGCGATATCACAGCGGGAAAAATGTCTCCTTTCAAGTCGTTTCTATCGTCAATACAGTTCCTGGCGAGGCAGATAAAGCTAAGCATAGCGACATCTACCCCTGCTTGGCCAAACGTAGCCTTATTTTTTGCCAGATATTGACGAATGGTACTAGAGCACTGGTTACACTTGCTCATGATCGCATGGGTCATGAGCTGGGGGCACATTAGAGTTGCTGCTAGTGAGGATGCATATAGGAGCATCCGGTCGTCTTCGTTGTTCTGCACAGAAGCTCCTCCACGGGCAGTATAGTGCAGGGTCGCTAATCCATTGACAAAATCCAGTAGCTGAATATAAAATGACCCCGTTTCAGGGGGCAACGAGTTCGGATATGCGCCAGCCGGAAGTGGAAGCATGCCAACTAATGCAATAATGGTCTCTAGCAGCATAAACTGGGTTTGAAGGTCTAGACTATCTTTCGGCCTTATTACAGAAAAGACTGAGGCAAGATTTGTCATGAGCGTCCGCAAAAAGGTGGTCACAATCCTTTGCTTGGTTATGGCATCAATGTGTTCGTATTTCATATGCTTTGTAATGAGGACGTGGCAGATATATACGAGCCGATGGGTGTATGCCGCTGTTCTAGGATGTTCAGAGCTAATCTCCCACGCAGCAACATCAGATACCTTGCTCAGCAAGCCCAGTACTAGAGCGTACCCGTAGCTGTCCAATTCTAACGCAGACTGTGCATCGCCAGACTGCCCTTGCATCTGTGAACCTAACCGTTGTGAGAAAAATCTGGACATAAACACAGAGCCACCTTCGCAGCCGGTTGTAAAGCAAAACAAAAGATCAGCAAGAAGAATATAGTGTTCTAATGGGTGGTCTACTAACTTTTGGCTCTCCTGGCGAATAGACGCCGTCTTGCTATCTGCTTTTCTGTAGAGGGCGTACAGTATTTGCACTGCATTCTCAATATGGGATCCTTTCAATGCTGCACCAGGATTTCTTCTCTGTAAAAGCATCAATAGACAGGCGATATAGGCTTTCGATGGACTGCTAGATGTCAAGAAAACGGACTTCTCAGCTAGCATATACGTTTCATTAAATGTACTCTCCAGCTCGCGCATACTAGCCATCAGCGCAAGAGAGTGCTCTAGAAGACCATCAAGGACCTGATTTGTTGCAAGACAAGTAGCCCGTGGAATATCGGAGTCACTGCGCGGGAGCAAGTTGAGTCGTCCAGTTATTAGCTTACACATATGAGCAAGTAGCATTGTGGTATACACATAGAAGTATTCGACTCCCCCACACCCTTTTTTGCGCTCTTGAAGATGCAGTGCAGTACTCAGCATGCCCTTGTAGAAGAGCTCGGTGTCATCTGTTGACAACGTTGAGAACTGCAAAAAACTTCGGTAGAGCCTAGAAAACACGTAGCACAAACATATCTGCATGCTTCCCTCAGAAACTATCACGGCTGGGCAATCAATGAAGGAGAACAGAGTCCCCATTGAAAGGGCGCCGATGTGCTGGTAATCGACCATGCGGAACCAGGCTCTGGAACGGTGTCCTTCAGTAGAGCCTCTTGTGACAGCATCGACATCTTCTGCACCTGAGAACGGTCTTACGAACTCCTCCAACAAGCTTACTGTACGAATGACAATAGTCTGAATTAGTGGCCTATTGTTTTCCGGCAGCGAAGCCACACGGGTAACACTTACCATCAGTCGAGAGATTAGGTCAGCGATCAGATTAGCTAGTTCATGTACGCCCTTATGAATATTTGGTGACAGTTGGAAAATGCGCTCCATGAGTACGAAAGCATCTAAAAAGTCCAGAAGGCAACAAGAGATTACCCCAGGCTTAAACACTTCTGAAAGGCCTTCAAGCTGTGTCTTGGATGATAGCTTGGCATGTACTTTCGGTAGTAACGCTAAAAGTCCTGTTGTACTTGGCACGAAGCACAGCTTCACAGCTCGTGAATTTGCAGCCGTAAGCCCATTTTCAATGCAAACCATGAGCATGGTGTGGTACAGTCTAAGGATTTGGGAAGTTGTGAGCGTAAACCCATCTGGTGTGTAGTTTTTCTGAAAGAAATATAGACAATCCTGAAAGAGAGCCAATATATCTACCGCTGCTTGCTCCGAATGTGCTAGTTTTGAGCTGCTGTCTAAGATACCGGACAGCGAATCACAGAACAAACTAAGAAGCTCGTTATTGTTGAAGGAGTCGACGCTTCGAGAAACATTAGCCACCGCGCACAATAGTCCATAGCGCAACACAGGCTCTGCAAGCAGAAATTCTGTTGTGGCTACGTGGTCCCCTAACGCCTGCAAACAGTATGCGAAAGAGATCCCATCTTTCACGAAGGCTCTCATTTCTTCAACTAGCTGCGATTTGGAGTGCTTTGAAAAGGCATAATGAATAGCTGTGAGTTGTGACTCTGCACACATGTCAGCAAAGCAGCAGTCAGACTCATGCATCGCTGTCGTGCCGGATGCTGCTTTAGCCTTGTCTGTGTCATATAGATTGATTGCTTGCTTGGTATATGAAATGCTATAAAGGCTTCTTTCAAGGCGCTGCTTCTCCCAGGGGGTAAAGATGACCTTTCCCTCAAAGATTAGTGTGCTGATAGAGTTCCTAAGAAGATTGCGATACTTGACCGTGTGGATGGCGGATAGGAAGACGGTGTCAGTCCGTGGAATGTTTGCAACTACAGACAGTTCGAATATGAGGATCCTAAGCATACCACCGCGAATGGCCTCATTTGATGAAAAGAGGGTGTAATAGAGATCCTTAGCCGTGCATAGATGATAGAGTATGGTGGATTGTAGATTAATACATGCTTTATCGGCTGTTTGTAGATTGTGATCGTCTCCGTGATGGCCGGGGCCACCAAGAATCTTTACGCCAAGGCTTGCTGCTGCACCAGATGAGTATGCCGACTCCAAGAGGGTACAAGAGTAGAAAAGAGCCAAGAGAACATACACTGCCGCGGTCGGGGCAACGGCTACAAACATCGTTGCTAAGCCACTGATAACAGATGTCATGGAGAGCAGTCTAAGAATGGCCATTTTCATTTTTAAAATAGAATAATAGATTGCTGAATGATTTGCCTCTTTAAAAACTGAGAGTGCCTTAGAAACAAGTCTGCGGGTATCTCTCGTCACATACACTTTGGAGTCCTCCGACCCCCCTGCCACCACAGTATAAAGAAGCTCATAGTAATAGAGGCAAGAAATGGCGAGACGATACGATCCAGTAGTGTAGAATTCTCCGTCATCTACGCAACTAACAATCAAGCTGACATCCTCCAATGTTGCGACCGTCTTCGCAGTTAGCTCAGGGAGGAATTCGGCGTCTTCTAATAAGAATTGGCTTCCACACTGCCCTACTATCTCAAAAATTGGCTTAAAAACAGCCTTATCGTATGCTAAGGTAGAAAAGGTCAAAAGTGCCTGCTCCATTGAAGAGTAGGATAGGGCTATGTTATCTAAATCGGAAAGGTTCATGATGCCGGCCAAACTTTGATTTTCCATTAGAGCATTTGATGCAATTGATCGCACTTCAGGAACAGATAGTGTTGAGAGAGTTAAAATGAACACGTCGTAGAAGCACAGCCTTTCAGAAATTGTTGTACCATCATCGCACTCCAGTGGCCTGGGGTACTTTTGATATCCTGTGCATAAAGAATCATAGAGTAGAGTAAAGGCCTCCTTGTCGGAAATCTGAAGAAAAATCAAGGGGATGTGTCCGCAAATAATCGAGGTACTGTGGGTGTCTTTCAACCAGTCTGCAATCCAGATTCCAGTGTCACTTGCTGTTAGCAGTCTAGTGACAACAGTCCGAAGGTTCTGCGACGACGTAACACTCCGACGATTAACGGGCACCAGCTCCCAATAGAAGGGGACAATAGCAGGAGTACATGCCGAGGTTGTAGTGGTGAACGCCAGTGCAACAATCTCTATATTTCTCTGCAGCAGCTGAGCAGGGCAACTAGCCACGACACGAAGGAGAGCCTCCTGGAGGTCATCTTCTGTGGCATTAAGCACTTTCGTGCCCGAGACATCCTCAAGAGATATATATGCATCGCAAGCGCGCAAATTGGTGATAGAGAAAAAGCTTGTGAAAATGAGATCTGCGTGGTCGGGAAATGCAGCTATCAATAGCCAGATTAATCTGAGTAATGCGCTTTTACTACTCTCCCCGAACTCAAATGCTAGAGTCCTGGCTATGTTCCGTAGATAAGTAATAATCCATGTCACAGGTTGAGAAACCTCTATAGACCCTAATATGCCAAGAATCTTTCCATGTTCCACCGTTTGCAAGAAGACGTCTATAGCGCCATAGGCTCTGGAATCACCACGCTCAACTGAATAGCACAACCTCAGGAACTCTACTGTTTCTGCGTACACCTGCTCGAGGCCTCTAAATATGTACGAGTTAGGACCATGCTGTGGCACTGGGGGTGGTGCATGGGGTGATGCTCTAGATGCCTGCGTGTTAATGTCTAAGCATAGCTCCACAATGATGCGCTCCCAAGACGAGAGGGGAAAGCACACGGATTTAAGATAACTTTCAGCGAACCTTTCTACTAATAAATCAAAATCTGCACCCTTCTCAAGAGATCTCGCAATGGTGCAAGTAACAATGAGCAGCGTTGCCGCTCTAACAGTCGGGTTCTCAGAGGAATCCCTGAGGCGGCGTGAGCAGAATTGGAGTATTGTTTTTTGGAGGACAGGAGTCATGGAGTTGACGGAGTAGAGGAGCAAAGCATAGATCTCAGGGAAGGGTTCAGACATAAGGCTGTAAGTTAGCTGAATAAACTCATCTGGTATGGATTCTATTCGTTTATGGCGACGCAGAGCCAGAAGGAACAGCTGCAAAATAACTCTGAGAACAAGCTCTTCTTTTTCACTGTTCCGCTCCCGTGCAAATCGCAATAGAGGCTTGTACGACAAAATATCGGAGCTATCTCTTAGGCCTAGCTGGACATGAAGTGATAGTCGAACGAGGCTCCGTAATAACTCCAAGGGTGGCTCAGTACAATTACCAAGCTCCCTTATCAAGTTCATTTTTGAATTTTTGGTTAGAATTTTATTCATTTTGCAAGAACTAGGACTACCTGTTCGGCGGGCGGTGTCGGGGATGCCATAGGCTCCATGAATAAATTGCTGGCATGAGGAACGAACAGTGAGAAGGATTGAAAAATCATTTACTCATCACAATTGGATTGCGCACGATGCAAATATGAGCTCTGCAATTATGCAACTTTAAAGGTCATAACTTATAGATTGCTTTGTACAGGTGCTTATGTTTGCATGCGCAGGCCAAGCTCATGCGCAGCAGCAGGCAAACCGACCATAGTTTGAGGCTCTACGCTAACATTTGCTGCAAAACTTAAAGCATAAAGTAATACAATCATCCAGAGTTAAAAGCCCTTTGGTATCTGCTTCTAGCTCAAGAAAGAGACCATCACGGTGGAAATGGATTGGGTCGGGCCTTAAATTGCTCAAACACAGGCCTCGCTATACATTTTTCATGCCGTTTGGAAGCAGAGATGGACCTGGGCCGAGTCCCAGATGCCAACGGATAAATGCTTTCAATGGTATTTGTGGAACTGACTCGGGCACTTTTGCTAAAGCGCCGTGTCTGAGGACTGTCATAGGTTTTCAAGCTAGCTGTTTTGGCGCTACTTGATCTACAAGCATGTACACTTTGGGGGTGGTCATGAGCCTTCAACCGTGCCTGTATTCTATGTCCTAATGCATGTATTTGGTTAATGTCGGACTCCATCGCGTCCAGAGCTTTATCAGTTTCTCCGCGTAGGATCCATAGCTTATTGAGAGCCGACTTTTTGGCTGAGATTGCCTGGCAGAGAAGCCTTATTTCTTCGCCGCGCTCCCACGTTCTGTTGGGATCCTCCTTGGCAATTTTAAGCACCTCATCCAAGTGCTGCTGAAAGCTGCGGAGCTCTGCTTCAGTACTGGTGATTAAGTCTGCTATCATTGGTATTTGCTTACGATGAATAATATGTAGTTTGTTGCTCTGATTACCTGTGCTCTGCTTTTTCCGCATGCGTGACGAACTCTTTCGAACGCTTCTTCTGCCTGAAGACTTGCGTGACGACGCCCGAGAGGACCCACTGCTGGAGGGAATGCTAGTGTTTGGACTTGATAGTAGCCTATGAGTCTGTGGAGGGTTCTCAGAGATGCTGGAAATTGGGGTGCCTTTAACCGTTGTTTCTTTATCAGGTATGTAAGACGTTGAGGTGAAGCCGTTGGGATAACGTGTAGCTTTTGCTATATTCATCTGTGTTTGTTTGCTTGGAGTTTTAATGGAAGCAACTCTTAAAGCTGCGCCTGGAGAACTTTGCAAGAAGACGCTATGTGATGTAGGCTCTCCATGTACTTGTTGAAAAGAATCAGATGTCCTTGTTAGGTCTATACTCTGCACTGGATCATCTAATTTTACCACGTTCTTGTGCTTGAGCTTTGTAATAGGCTGGACATCAGTAGTGCTGTCGACTGTGTACGCTATCGCAGACGTATCTACACTAGGTCCAGTAACAGATGTGCTATCAAGCTCGTTGTGAGACGAAAGCGGAGACTGAAATTCGTCATATGCTATTTCGTGGACGATGTTTGCTAGAGTGACACAGCTTTTCCGTGTTTTGTCAAGGTCTTCTTGCATGGATCTGAGTTCTTCTGTCAACGACTCAGAAGTCATGGTCTTCTGATCAAGACGTGCTAATAGAGCATCATATTTTCTCTGAAGATCTAAAAGTTGCATTCGCGTCTCACCCTCAGTTGTAATTCCCTGTCTACCCAATGTGCTACTGTCGTCCATTGGCCTCAGAAAGTTAGATGGTGTTGGCGTAGACGTGCTGGGATGTAACTGGTCCTGTTGTGTTGTAAATGCCTTGTGGGCCTTGTTGACACTCTCTTTATCAAAGACTTCCGAACGCTTTTCTCGCAGCATAGATAAGCCAGTTGGTATAGACCCCAAACCACTGAACTGCTTACCTCTGGAGGGATCTGTGCGTACACACCATGAAGCGGTAGGAGAGGGCGTCAGTAACGGATGGACTGAAGCTTGTGGAGGCGGTGCAGAGGATGGAAGGGCACTAGATAGCGACGCGCTGCTGGGATAATCATTGGACGATGCGGTAGCAAGACTTGGGGTTTTAATGCTTGAGGAAGGAGGACTGTGTAGTGCAGTGAATGTGCCTGGAGAAGTGAATGGAAAGGTAGGGTGTACAGGTGGTGGGCAGTATGAGGCCAGACGCAGAGCCTCAGAGAAAGATGGTCCTTGCATTTATGGTTTGATTGTAAAGATTGCAAAAAATCGACGGAAGCCAGTAGCACTAACTAGCGGTCGTACAATTATGTCTAAAGCAGCTACTGCGCCGTCGGTTTCGGAAGATAAGAGCATAGTGCAGCATTCTACCTTCAGAGCGTCCCCCTTTCATAAGCGACAACGTAGAGAAAGCATTCTAACTATGTTAGCAATACTATATATGGATGCTGGTAAAATCTTGTTATACCTTCTTCTCAAGATACTCCAGAGCATCCTCTCTTTTTGGTACATGTCTACCCTGTCAATCACAATTAATGCATACGCAATTGCATCTCAAAATACCGGATTTTATAGATTGACGCGGCGGCATATACATCAGGAATATTTTAAAACATTTGAGGAGGGCTACCGTGCTGGGTTCTCATGGTTAGTGTATCGCATGATTGACAGATTTCTAAATCAAAAATCCCTAGCTGTCCATCTAAGCAATGAGGTCGTCGAGAACCCATTCGGTGACACAGTATGTGGCATGGAACACGCCCTAGTGTACATGTGTGTGCAGTTTTTCATCTTGTCGTTTTGGTCATTTTGTTACTCTATCTTGCAGGCGTATATTCAGCGTATATCGAACGTGATAAAGGACATTATCAACAATCGGATTTACATATCCTTTCTTTCTGTCCTCCTAACTCGTCACCTTTCTCAGCCGTACCAACAGCTGGAGCAAGAGTCTTCAGGCGAGCGCGCATCCACCCTGAACGAGTACTCTCAGACCATGGCGAATCTCATAACGGGTCTACTTGAGAAGGCCATTCCATCTGTCAGTTACTTCTTAATAATGCTAGTGACGACTCTTTTAAGAGAAAAGCCGTCCTTGAATAGCCTAAATGACGAGAAGACTAACGTAGCCAACAGAAAACCGAAAAGAAAGGATTCCAAAAAGCCTCAGTTTTCTTCTATTGCCTCCACAATCCATGACAGACACGCCCTTGCACTAATACTTATTGCCCTGTTACCGGTTCCTTTTAACGTCTTTGTGGTTGCCTCCGTGGAGCGCCAAAGGTTTGCGCTCAGTTCTTCCCGCAACTCTGCTAAGATGCAGTCTGTTGCCCTGCTAACCGAAGTAACTTCGCGCTATAGGCTAATAAAGCTGTATGACGCTGTCTCCTATGAAATAAGTAATGTATGTAAGCTAATGCACAAGTTCAAAAGCGTTGACATTGTCAACATTCTTTTGAGAAGCACGTCTAGAAAGGTTAAGAGCCTCACTAAAAGGTACACGTCGTCGGTTCTAACCCTGGGATCGGCTATTTATTTATCGCTAAACATCCTAAGCTACAGGCAAATCCAGCAGATAAGATACATAGTAAGCACAGTCACAACCCAGATAACAAAGTTATTAGAAATCCCTGGAGTAATAGTAGACATTCACGAGCACTTTGGTGTGATTATTAAGGAACTATCGAAACCCCAAGAAGCGGGACTATCAAGTGATAACACTGTTGGGTTTGCGGCCACGTGTGCATACTTACAACAGCATTGGACGGATATTACTAGATCCTCTTGTAAAGCTGATTCTTCCTTCAGTTTGAAGGCTTGGACTAGGAGCTTCTTTAAGAGAGCAGCTTGCTACATCAATATCGGTATTATTAAAATCATTCCACCGGTGTTCCGTTACAAGTATCCAGCTAGTCTTGTGACCTCAACAAGTCCGGATATCAATGAAAGGATGTATGTGCAGGAGCTCATGGCTGAATCACAACAGTACGTCACCTTGCAAGAGCCTTTCCCTTTAACTCGGCCCATTCAGCCATGTACTCCCACATCTATAGAATTCCGAGACGTCTGCTTTTCTTACAAAACGGGCTGTGATATTTTGCATGGCCTGACCCTGTCTGTTCATCCCGGCCAGAAGGTTGCTATCGTGGGGAGGTCTGGGATCGGCAAGTCCACGATCATCAACCTCTTGACGCGGCTATACACCACACCCCAGCCTCAGGACACTTCGTCGCCCGGAATCTATCTCAATGGCAGGGCTATAGGGTCCATCCCACGCGAGGAGCTACGGAGGCTTATAACAGTCGTCCCGCAGGATAACATACTCATCAGGGGCTCTGCCACGGACAACATCGCCTATGGACAGCCTCGCAAGCTCCCGGGCTCCCACGCAGAAGAGGAGCAGAGGCGCTACATCCGAGAAGTCATTCGGCTATGCTACGAGGCTTCCCGTGTCGCTGCGGCTGAAGAGCTCCTGGGAGATGCACCATACAGTGGAACTCTGCAGGGCCTTTCTGGGGGACAACGCCAACGGGTAGGAATTGCCAGAGCTGTCGCACGTGGAGGCAGCGTTCTTGTGCTCGACGAGGCGACGTCGGCACTCGACGAAGAGACAGAGAAGCGGGTCCTCCAACAGCTATTCCGCTCACTGGACCGCAACCAGAGCGTCGTCATTATCAGTCACAGACTCTCCACTCTCAGGCATGTCGACCTGATTTATATTCTAGATAATCCAGATGGCAGTGGAGCGCGCGTGGTAGAGTCAGGCTCGTACGACTGGTTCGTTGCCGAAAGCCAATATCTGAAGGATGCAGGCCAGGATATCTCTGACCTTGTGAGTAACTGTGGCTGTAGCAGCGCAGGTGTTACCCCAGGCTTCTCCCATGCAACTCTTGATGCAAAGGGGGATCTGTAGAAACAAAGCACACCTGGTGGCGAAGACGAGTAAAATAAAAATGCCAGCAAATGAACACTGCGCAGATCTGATTTCTCGCCTGTTATATTTGCGCTCCCCACAAGCTCTGTACATAAATAGACGCGTCGAAGAGCGGTCTACATAAGACAGTTGATAAATAAAATTTTGTTGTGGGCTGACACGCATTCACCCTTTTTGTTGAAGCCTAATGATAGCAATAATCATAATTTGTACCTTGTAAAGAGTGCTTCGTCCCTGTCTAAGCTCTATCCTGAGTTGCAGGATGAGGCAGAACGACGCAAGGCACAGGAGGTCGGCGAGGCCTCTACCGCCGATGTCGATCTGCTGCACTGCAACAGCATCTATCTGATGGAGCAGTACATACCCCACAGTGCGGTGTTCAAACTATACACATATCGAGGCATGATTATCCACACAGACTTTCGTGCTCCACTTCGTCTCCCAGAAGCCTTTCATCCAGGAGGATTGTACGAAGCATACGGAGCTTGTGACACTTCGGAGGCTAGTTACCGGAAGATAAATTCACAAACGTGTCTGGAGATCCAGACCAGCATCGCATATGCTCCGACTCCCGTGGAATGGCGCCTGGTCCAGAGCGTTGCCCAGCTGATTTACACCTCGCTGGGATTGTCCATACTGGGGATTGATGCTCTTTTCGTTTTAATTTCATACAATCGATTTCACTTTATTTTGACCTGAGAAACATAGATAGATTGGTTTAAAAAATATTTATTTTGAATTTGCCTTTTGATCAAGTACACGTCAAAGATAGTATATGGATTATATTTAATTAAAAATGAAACGATGCATTGCACGGCGAGAGCTTTTACCGGGGCCATTTTTGATTCCAATCGTAGTCTTTCCTTTTATTGTCCTATTATCCTCATTGAAATTCTTTGGCTTGAACTCCTCGCAGAAGAAGATCTTGCCACTTAGCGCATACTTTTTACTCATGATTCTCATGAGCTTTGTGGAGCTTGGAGCCCTGTCCTTCGCTTTCGCTCTGCTCCATTACGCCTTTTGCCAAAAGCTTCCTTTGCCACCAATTTTCGTCAATCTTTTTTTGATTGTTATCTGCTTGGGGCTCTTTGCAGGAACTCTGTATGATCTTGAATCAGCGAGAGAATGTCAAACTATTTTCACACTGTCCGTACTCCAAACCTATGTCTTCCACGTTGCATATCCTTCCTGGCCACTTCCGGACAACTATATTGTTGGACGGAAAACATCTACTGAAGGAATGAAGGTTCTATTTGAAAGTATCCGACTCCATTACAAGCACTGGGCCATTATTTTCAGCATTATATCTGCTTTAATAGTAGCTACCATTATTACATTGGTAATGAATTGGGACACCTTCGTTTTTTCTCTCTTTTCACGAAGAACGCTTGTGGCCCAGCACAAGCGCATTCCCGCTCGAGCAGACCTTGCAGATAAGAGCTTACGGGTTCTAAACAGCATCAGTGGGTTCTCTGTGAAGGCGCCTCCAGCAATCCATCAACTTACCAAATCAGTCCTGTTCTACTCTGAGCAAGCGATTACAAGTCAGTCCATTGAAATGCAGAAAGCCCAGACACTGTCTTCAGTTTCTGGACAGCACCAGAGCGAAGCCAGTGCCCTAGGGACGCGTATACTTGATGGAGTTGCAGTTTCAGAACGGCGAAAGTTCCCTGTCAAGCTCTACGATAACCTCTTCACTTCTCCAGAGTTCCTGGTTGCTGCCGTGTGCACTTTATTTTATATTATCATCTTGCTTGTGATGATCGTCAGAAAGTCCGTACTCCCGACCTTCCTTGACAGGGGGGCTCCGATGTCGTACATATTTCTGAAGCAGATGGGGCCGTATCAAGCGTCGCTGTTCAGCACTGAAGATACCTATACCGCTATGGTCCAACGCATCCGGTCACAGTACACGCTGTCTCCAGAGGAGTGCTGGCTTGACCAGCGGGAGCCCCCCGTTTATCCTCTTCTCTACGCGTCCCACGATGTCTGCTGTGCGTATAACCGTGCCGTTGAGGGCGTGGACTGCACTGCGCTAAGATCAGGTCCTGCTGACCTGAAGCAAAAGATAAGGTCCGACCCCGGGCTTCAGTCTGACCCCCCAAACGTCGTCATTCTTTTCTGGGAAAGCTTGAGTCTGAGTCCGTATTTCTACACAGACGCGTTCCTTCAGGGACAAGAGCAGCTCCTGCGCTCGGCAGATGGTATGCTGAAGGCAACTATCGTCCCTAACCTGCAGAGGTTCGTACAAGATGGCATTTCCTTTGTTAATTCGGCCTCCTTGGGACTCCCCACAGTTTCTGGATGGCACTCGCTGATGACTGGCCTGGTCCCCAACTTCTATGGGGTGAATATGATCACATCTGCCGTCACAGATGTTTATGGGCTACCACAATTCTTTTCAGATGCAGGATATAAGAACTTCTATGTTAACTCTGGCTCGTTTACTTTTGACGGACAAGATGCCTGGGTGACTCGCCCAGGTTGGTTTACTGATGTTGTATACTATTACCCAACAGACGAGCAGGCCGAGGAGCTTGGAGTGGATCCAGAGAGTGTTCCTCAAACACAATCTTGGGTTGCAGATCGAATAACTAACCGACAGTTTATCACTACCTTCTCTGACGTTGCAGAGAAGGATCCGACCAAACCTATTCTGGGTGTTTACATGAACGTTGACACCCACACGCCCTTCACCGGGTTCGACAAGGAAGAGTTCTACTCCGACGAAGTACTGGATGGCATGATTGCATCCTGCCAAGCCGATCCGGAGACCCCCGAGTGCAGGTTCCTGTTGGATCCGTACATTGTGAAGTACGCTCGGGTCCTAAAGTACTCCGACAAGTACTTCCTCGGAAAGACCCTGGAGTTTCTAGAAGCTCATCATCCCAACACCATAGTCGTGATTGTCGGGGACCATGGCACGAGGGTCTCCATTGATAAGAAGCGTCTAAGAAAAGGCGTAAGTGATGCTTGGACATACAGCGAGGAGTGCCTTACAGCCGCATTTCTCGACGACAACGCCTTTGTTACGGGTGCATACCTACGCTACCTCGGCGGCCCAGGAAAAGGCACCTACAACGCACGAGTGTATGACTTCTTTGAAAAGTGGAGAGGGACTGCTTATATGGGCACCACAGACAACCGCGAAGCAGTGCACCTGGCCTATCTTCTCGCTGTGGATGAGAATCGACGCACAAAAGTGCCCAGCTACCGACTCACACGGAACCTGGCAGACGTCCTGCAGAACGCATCTCTGGGGCGTGCTCTCAGTCCGTGGCACAGTGTTTCTTCTGTTGGTCTCGGGGTAGAGTACAGGACGGAGAGGACGCTCTATCGAACAAACAGTCAAGACCGATCTGGAGCGCTGCAATATGGGGATATTAAGGGCCTCACATGCATTGACATAATTGATAAGGGTTCAGGGCAAGCCCGCAAGGACCAGGTCAGAACAAGTCACACACTCCGTGTGGTAGAAGATAGCGATATGTACAATCAGGCGATTGAACTTGTCCAATTCCATAACTTCCTCCTCACTAACGGCCGGATATTCCACAAGTCGTTCTCCAACACAACGTGCGTCGGTGAGTCGTATGTTGCGGGGACCGATGAGCCCAGGTGCTCGTTTCCAGCGCCTGATGGAAAGCGCGCAAGCCAGTGGCTATTCGGGGCGATTCTGGGCGTCATGGCTGTTATCGGTGCCGCAGTCGGTGGGGTACTCTCTTCAATAGCTTACTGTTGGCGTTACAGACACCTACGCAAGTTGCTAAAGGAGAAGAAGGAGACATCTATTACATCAGAGCTATACTGAGAGCTGTGTCTTCCATAAGGCCAAGGGTTTGTGCAGATCGGCTACAACTCCAGTAAATGGTGGGGATCTAATAATGCGTATATTGTGATAAGAAGTGTATTGCTCCTGGCCACTCCTTGTACAAGTAGTCTGTAATGTTCCTTCAACTGTTCATGAAGCTTCTTCTTCTGTATATCCTTCAACCCTAGATATTATGCTTTGATCTTTCCACAAGATTAATGCTTGTGAACTTAGACAGAAATAGTTGCCATCTTCTCTTCAGGTTCTCATCAGCCTCTCATGTGCGCCAAATCCACGCCCCAAACCGTAACAATCTGTGTCTCTGATTCCGGTGTCTGCCAAGAACTATTGCTAGGTCTCAGAAAGCGCTTGGTACTCAGATGACTCAATAGCTTTTATTGCGATGTAACTGCTCAACCTTTGGTCGAACTATGTCGTCTGTCGTCTGGTGCTGAAGACACCCAAACGACAACCACGACACATTCCAGATTGGTTTACAAATTAAAAACCTAGAGCCTCTAGTACCATACGAAAAGCCTGTCTATCTTCCAGTAGACGTAAATGGGCCGTCCTTCCGATGATGTTGTTCAAGCCACTCCCATTTTCCTTCAGCTCTCCGGCGTCAAAACAGACGATTGCCTGCTTAACGACTGAACTCTTTATATTCTTGGCCAAAAGGCTGCTGATCAGCACCTGATCTTCTGTTATTCCCATTCCAGTTGCACACCGAAAGGGCACAAAACCGTCTCCACACGTACCAACAAAGTAAACCTGCTTGAAGCCGGGGAACTGAGTCGCTGCAGTGTAGATGATCCCATCGCTGGAGCAGTCCTTCATCTCCTTGATAACGGGCATCTTTCCGGTAATGAACGGGACAGCCATACTCACAAGATTGCTCTTAAATGTTGTCCCTGTAATAGGTGCATTGATCGTCAGAAGAAATCCCAGCTTTTCTTGCTGATCTGGCGGTAGCATGGATGCAACCTTGAGACAGAGCAACCCGCCCAGGCTATGGCCTATAAAGTTTATGCTCTGCAGGGAGTCCAGTTTTACATTGCGAGATGAAAGCTTGGAGAAGATCTCATTGTATATTTTGCTAGCGTTCTCCTTTGAAGGTGCAGCAGAGCTGTCTGCATAGCTCTCACAGAGGATATCAAGAGACTTTCCCTTTCTGAAAGTAGCCAGGCATTCGCTTATGGCCAGCATATCTAGATGCTGTGCTTGGAGCCCGTGTAGATATATGTAAACGTTAATCTTATCTAAATCGGCGCTAAGAAGCTTGCGAGCACTCTTTACATTAGAAGATACGGCGTAGTACACATTGTTGGCAACTGGTGGCTCTAATGATGCAACAGTCAGCTTATCATCAGTGGGCGCCGACCCCTGAGTATATGAGCGTACGAAAACAATGGGTGCTTCAATGACATATTTTTCTGGACGCACATACGGGTAGAGCTTCCTGTTTTGCATTATGATGTCTAGAAGTTCTGACTTCGTTGGCATAGCAGAAGAAGTGGACACCGTAGGTTTGTATGGAATGTTCCCATATGAGGGGTTAACGGCCCCAGAACTAGCACTCACACTTGCCGACCTACTGCTTGCTCTGCTTGACTGTTCTGATCTGTCACTGTCCTCAACCGCATCCTCAACGCGTGAAGTGATCATGGACGTCTGAGGACTATAGAGTGCCCTAATCGCCTTGCGATATTGGCAAGCCAGCTCTGTGTAGTAGGAGTCATTGTGGGCGTCGGGCGCTTGAAACATTGCCTTGAGATCCTGATGAGTCAGGTAGCCATAGAACTGCGCACGAAAGCTTGGGAGCATCTTAAGGTACACAGATCGTGCTGCTTTGAGAACAAATGCTATGTTGAGGGGGGTTACCGCCACGTTGTCGATAGAAACTACTACAGAATTGAGGATCGGGTCCTTCTCAACCGTACAACCGCAGACATCATAGAGGATCGTCTTCAGAGAGTTGTATCGCTGACTGATGTCCGTGGACTCGACCCTGGACTTATTCAAGAACTTCTTGAGTTGTCTTTCTGAGCCACCCTTTCCTGTGTCACGTTTCTTTCCAGCATCATCCTCTTCCTCCTCGTCTTTCCCGGAAAGAACCCTCCGAGGATCCTCCAAGTTGTCTGAGAGATCTGTCGACTCTGAGACAACCCCATTCATGTCATAGATCATGAGCTTTGTCTTCTCTGACGTTAGGAAATTGCTCACAAAGCACTCTAGCTTGAAATTATCCGTCACGTTAAAAGTCTCAATGTGGTAGCCAGCAAATGGAACACAGAAATTATCCAGGTAGCATCTCCTCTTCATCACCGTGCTGAGCTTAGGATTTTCGAACAACGACTGGTCAAACGCTTTGATGTACTGGCTCTCATCGGCATTAATTATTTTTTCGACACTATCGAACTCCTTGGGAAATGGTACGTAGTATAGCTTAAAGGATATGACAGCACATGAGATTTGTCTGTTCTTAGACCCGACGGTGAAGGTTAGGATTGTGTTGAAGTGTATTGTCTGGTTGCCTTCATGAATGTAAAAAGGCTCACTATGGTAACAATTTTGTTCTATACCAATAATCTGAGTCGTGACCTTGTAGCGGGTGAGGCAATCCTTGGTCTGCGTTGGAAGAAGAAAGGACTTTATGGAGGAGACGGCCACGTACTTGATTTTCCTGTGATCCTTTACAGAGACCTTGAGGACGTAATACCCTCGAGGAGCGTTGTAACCGACAAACATCGATCCCACAACAACCTGCAGGCAGTATGCATTCAGCTCAGATTTCTCCTTCGACATGCACACTGGTCAAAACTCTTTTACAACCCGTGCAATTTTATTTAAATTTCCAGTTTTTTGCACTATCCAATGTGCTTGCACAAGTTAAAGTCCCTTGGAGGCCTTAGAGAACACGCCCTAAACCGGAAAACGATTGCGGTTTCTGCAGGTGCGATGGAGCTTTGCCTGAAGAAGCGGCAACACCCTTAGCTCTGTTCCCATGGGATTGAAAGTCACCGGCTCCCTTTTTCCTACCCTCCTTACCCGCTTTTGCGAATCCATTTGCGGGTCTGCCTTGTAGATGCGATGGTCCTTCTTGTGCACATGCTCTTCCCTTGGTCCCGCCAACTGCGCCGGTTGCTGTTCCTGAAACTGTGTCTCCTGAAACAAGGGTCGTGATACCATCGACAGTACTTATCTGGGCTTCGGGCGCTTTTCGCCCGTGGAGTACTCGTTGGTAGGACCCACGATTCGATTTCTGAAGGACTGCAGACATAAGGAAGGCTTTTTATTTCACTATATGATGTACTCTGTGTTGACGCGCATACATTTGAGAGCAGCAATCTGTTGATCAGTAAAAACGCAACTTATCTGATCAAACTTCATATAGTACAGATTCCAGAACCACAGGAAGAAGCGCTTCACAGATTGCACGACGGCCTCGTGCTTGCTCGCACCCAACTTGGAAAGAAATATGAGCGCATCAATTACGTGTACTGGTATGTGCTCATTCCAGGACTTTAGGAACGCAGAGATGCATTCAACAACAACCAATCTCTTACTAGGCTCCCCGCGCTGTTTGCCAGCAGCAATGAGATCTGCAAGAGCCTGCTTCTGGAAGGCTGACGACATCCCACTCATAAGAACGGTAAAGAATTCACCCGTGGCGCTTACTAGTTCGTCATGCTGCACAGTGATCCCGTACTCTATTATGTACAACTTCATCACTGAACGTGTAAGCACCTCTAGGGATGCCCCCAGGCTTCCTGCCTCATCGCTCGAGAGCATGTTCAGTGATCCTATCTTCAACAGTCGTGCAGCTAACTCATATATGCAAATTATAGAGCGCCACCTTCCTGCGTACTTCTGCATTAGCCCCGGGAGTGTTTCGAAGAGTAGCCGTTGGATCAAGTCCATGGGAAGCTCTGCACTGACAATCAGAAGGATCATGGCCGACGCCTCTGCTCTCACCTCTGTTGAATCCTTGTGAGTTTGGAGATTTACCAGAGAGTCAAGGAAGTTATGGAGTATGAATTGCGAAAGCTGGATGCTCTTTCCATAAATGCTGGCGCAGGCTGTTCCCTGCACAATCGTTGAAATTAGATTTGTGTGCCTTTTTTCATCCTGTGCTGGGTCTACAGACCATGCTTCAACAGCCCTGTTGAACAGACTGCAATATCGCTGCAAGAGAGTGCTGGTTGAGTTCTCTTCTTCTTTTTCTGCTGTTGCTGTTGCTATTGCTGCTGCTGCGTTAGTCTTGGCCTTCAAAAGAACGTTCAGAGATACCCCGAGAACAGCTGTGGTGGCCTCGCGTAAAACTTTGAGCGCATTATAGAGTTCGTTCTCCATCACAAACGTAACAACTTCCTTGGCAATCTGCTCCTGCAGATCCCGATTGACCCCATACGCAGCGTCCATGAAAAACCCCAAAAACAAAAGAGCGCTGGCACGCACATTTGCACTTGTGCTGGCCTCAGCGAAAGCCTTTTTAATGTAAGAGATATACCTAGTGACTATAGAGTCTAACAGCCCCTTTGTATTATGGTCAAATAGCAGGGTTATAAGGACCTGCCATGTTTCTCCTGTCTGCACATCCTCCTTTTGAATTATCTGGCTGAGAATGCTCACAAACAGTGTTGAGGCCTCCTCTATCCTGTGCTCTATGTTGTCCATGTACTTCAAAGACTTGATGGCTGCTCCTACAACTTCAGCCAGTATATGACCGCCGCACTTCTGAAGCTTTTCTGCTGGGGTCTCTACGAGATACCGCTCTATATATCTAAGCATGAACATGGCAAGGCTGTTTTGATCTCCAGCGATGGCACACAGATTGCTCCAGATTGTTAGGAAGATTGCGTCTAAATCCGTTACAGACATCTCCGATTCATCATCGTGTGACAGGTGTTCCTGACAGTTGAGAGTTGTGAACTTCATTACCACATCAGCAAGCTTCTTTTGAGTATCTGGTTGTTGGAGATAGCTGCGCAGGTCTGAAAATGAAGCCAAGTGGAGCTCATACTTGGTGCGTGCGAAGGTTACAACTTCATCTCGATATTCGTAGAACCCTAGCATCGTGTCTGGGAACTTATAGCCACAATTGTTGTACGGCTTGTAGAAAATGGTCAGCTCGACAATGTCGCTTAATAGCGGGTCCATCAGCATGACATTTCCAGCCAGGATGCAATCAAGAAGGCGGTCTACAAACTCGATGGCCGTTGGAAGTCCATACGTCATTGCTAGAATGTGTGACTTAGCCGACACATACACGCTCCGCCATGCATCGCCGTGGATATCTGGGCTGGCGATCATATTCTTCTGTGCATGGGACAAGAGGTCAACATATGCATAGGCCTCCCTCTTTCTGCGGGAGCTGAGCAGGGCTGTGTCATCCGCCGAAAGGGGCAGTATTGTCTTGAGAGGGTCCGCGCTCATGAGAGGACAAACCCTCGAGGGAAGCCTGACCTTGTATAGCTCAAGCACGCCTTGCTTACCGTGCGTGTCAGATTGATTCAGAATGGAAATGAGCCCCAGGCCTCCTAGACTCAGTTCCATAGCAGGGTGCGTAGGCTCCCAGTACATCATGTAGTTTGCCATTTCATTTGCATCGACATGGACTGTTTCATTCTTACACTCATATAAATGCTTGAACAGCCGGCTAAAGTCATCGAACCGACTGCTCTTCTTCATATAAAAAGTTAGCGACTGAGAGAGATGCAGAAAGTATCGCACCGTTCTAGCAGCGCGAAGATGTGTCATGTGTGTGCCCGAAGCGGGGAGCGAGGGAGTGGTGGCCTCTTCTCGTGTGTCCTCAAAGGTGTCTTCTTCCGGGTTGATGGTTTGTTTCTCATCGTCAGTTAGCTGTGCGATCATATCAGCAGTGCTTGCCTTCAGTCCAGAGCTGGCCATTACTTCAGCTAACACCTTGTTCATAAGATCCTCTGTAATTTGAACACCCTCCTTGGCGAGGAGCTCCAGTCGTTCAGACACCTCCTCCATGATAATTTCTTGCATCTTTGAAATGTCGCTTTCATCGAAGTGGGCAGCTTCGGATCCGTTGTCTCCGTTAGAGGTACCGTCAGCAGCATCACTAGATGAGGACGATGGTAACAATTGATCTGCACGGACCTCCTCGTACTTAGTCAAGTACTTGCAGCACGGCTCTATCAATCTAGAATAAAATCTATAGCAGTCTCCTTCAATGTCCAAGACATTCATCAATCTTCCTAACACATAAATGGCCACCTTTGAAACGCTTTCGTCATAGCTCACAGATAGAAGAAGGATATATTCCGCCATTTGTAAGTAGTACCTCAAAATATTTGGCGAATTATTGTAGCTGTCTGTCTCTCCAAAAGCGTGCCGGGCAAGGTGCAGACCCATTCCTCGTAGATTGCGTTCGTAAGTACAGTGGAAGTCTGGTACGAGCGCATACAGTGAGGAGGAACAAAGTTTATCGGATATAGTTCGAGCCACAATCAGCGCTTTAGTTAAGTTGTATCCTGCCTTGTTTGTCACTGCTATCTCAATCGTCCGGGCTATGAGTTTGGCATATCGCGGCTCGACAAGAGAAGACTGGAAGAGCTTTCCCAAGTATTGAAGAAATCCCTCGTAAAATGTCTCCTGTACAAAATATTCTGGGGCAGGAGGCCTTATTTTTACATGAGCTTGCTTCAAAGGTGGCTCCGTCAATGCAAAGCTAGTGGTAGCATGTAATACTTTGTGCTCATTTTTCCGTAGAAAATATCCGTAAATATCAATCAGGTCTATGGTATCTGTGTTGTCCAAGCAATTGATTGAAGAAGAGGAATTAGGACCGCGCAACGCCAGCTTGTCTTTCAAGACTTCCAGCAACGCGTTAGTGAGCTCTTCGGGGTAATCACTTGACAGAGGAAGGGGGAATGATCCAGCCTGATGCTGATGTGCAGCCTGATGTTCTAGCACTCCACGGGCTCCTGTTAGGGTGTGCATCCAGTTGCACAGCGAGCTCTCCCTTGACTCAGTAGGCCCATCTACGCCCATATACAGATAAATACGTGGATCAGATGGCAATATCTTGTACTTACGCATCTGCTCGTGCCGTAGAGAAAACAGTGGCGCATCGGGGGAGATGCCAAACGACTCACAGTATTGTATCATTTGCGGAATATGAGGGGTATGCAACAGATGCTTCTTCCGTACTGAAGTTGTGTCTGGATCCTTTGAGGGAGTGTAGAAGGACCTCGAAAGCAGTGCTAGCACCTTAAAGATCAACTTGTATGACCATAGGACGTTCTGTATATCTTCCTTCTGCTTAATTTTATCATCGAGTAGCTTGGTAAAGGGAAGCATGAGCGTCATCACCCAGCTGCGCCCCTCCAGGGTTGGTTGCGACCAGATAACTTGTGTCTGGGGATAGATTTTCAATCGGTGATATAGAATCCTGGCCTCCTTGTCCTCTGGTGTGCAGAGAGATAGGGGAAAGTGCCTATCAAATGGCTGGCCTATGGTCCAGTCCATAGGGTATGGTAGGGTCAGGGCTCTGCAGGACGCCCTTAACACTTTGAGGAGGTGTATATAGAGTGTCTGAGGATAGTCTACGCACTTGCCGGAAGAACGCTGCACAAGCTGCACCGTGTCATCCCGAGTCAGGAGAACTTCAGGCTTATCCATCAGAGACAGCAGGAAAGAGCGGAGCTCACTTCCCCGTGAGTGCAAGTGCACACAATGGTCAAACCGGACCAGCCCCTGGAGTAGCACAAGCGTCCACTTCAGGGTGGAGAAGCCCTGGAAGTGGTTATCGAGAACGATTTTATATAGAGTATTTAACATACTATTTTTAGGGCTCGTCACTGGGGAAGAACCATCTGGGCGCATACCAGAAAGCAGTCCCATAGTAACGCCGCTAAAGACAGCCTGTATCTTCTTTTTTATCGACAGCAGCTCATTCTCCTTGATAAATGCAAGAATGCGTGGAATGATAAGCCTATTTAGTAAGGTAGGAGACATATTCGCCAAGAGTGACGCAAAGGACAAGCGGAGAATGTGTGGATTGATTGAGATTTTAGAGTTATCATATACATATGGTGGTTTGAAGCTGAGGTCAGCGCTTTGCTGATCCATCTCCTTCGACACTGGAGACATCTTAGATATCTCATTGAGCTCTGCGAGCAAGGTGAACACCTTATCTAAATAGAGAGAAACAAGGTCAACAAGCTGGGGGTGTGCATCAGCAAGCTCTTGAGTAAATGGGATCGTTGAGAATAGGTGCAGAAACAATAGTAAGGAAATTTGACACAATTTGAGGTCAATTACTGATAAAAATCGACTATAAACTGAAAAAACGAACACCAGAAACTCTGGAGTAAGCTGGTCCATGGTGTTTGGGCCACACACGTGGGCCCAGGGATCATCAATCAGGTGAGTAAGCGCAGAAGGAACCTTTGCACCTGAATCATGGGCATGGCCATCAAAGCATTTCTCAATAAACGCTGGCATCGCATGTAGTGTCGTGTAGTACGCAAACTTGTAGCACGCTTGACGGTCCTCCAGTTGGTGCACAGTAGTGTTTATAAGCCACGCCAACCGGGGCAGCAGCACAGATGGATAAACCTTAAACAATGTCTCAGTGATAGAGATGCATATAGCGCGATTTGCATATTGGTAATTGGCCGGATTAAAGAGTATGTCACGGATTATATATACTTGGGGATAGAAAATGCCAAGATCAATGGTAAACAGAAAGGGAAGGAGGCCTTGATAGATAGGTTGCACCATTCGTATATAGCACTGCTGGGTAGTGTAATGAAAACTCAGGGTGTGAGCAAAAATGAAGATGAATTGTCTCGTTGGAACGGCCAACTTCTCATAACTTTGAGGAAGAGATCGAAAGTAATGCAGGAAAAAGTTGTAAAAAGGGTTCTTTCCGGCCGAAATATTATCCTTGATAAAGTTCTCAGAGGTGACCACCTGGTTCTCTGCATTGGAAGTCATGGCCAGAAAATTGTTCCAGCGCACACCGGCATATATCATATTAAATGTCAGGTCACTTGTCATGGTGACCAGTCTATCCATCAGCATGGGAGACTTCACTAAAGTAAAGACCCACTCGGGGATGACGAGTTCGTCTCGGTACCCCTCCTTAGGCTCTGAAAAAAATATGAGGTCTGAAAGTGCCGAAGAGTCTACCTGATATCTAAATCCGGAGTAAACGCTTATGACTTTAAAGATTACGTGAATGTAGCGAGTGGTGGTAAAATCTATATCTGGGCGAGTATTTAGTAATGAGGTGAGCATCTGCATGAGAAAAAATGTTACCCCGTTATTCTGGTATGCAGAGAGGAGGTCTATGAGCTCATCAACAAGGCTCTGATAAAGGTCGTGTGTTGCGAGCAGAAATGAGGAAGTTGTCTCAATTATTGATTGCATGGAGTCATCTATTGATGCATATGCGGTGCTGAATATAGGATGATTGAACTTTAATCTCTTCTCTGTAAGATTCTTCTTGTAGAGATAAAAGCCCATGAGCGGTAGTGAGGTGGTCGACGGGAGGAAATAGGTGAGAAAACAGACGTACCTAAAGATACTGTCTCTTCCCTTTACTGTTGCTATGTAATGGTCAATTTCTTCTCTGATGGAAGGCCACTCAGAGACATCATAGTATCTGGCCAGAATAAAGAATGTGTCCTCACACGCTATGCCAAATCTCTGCTCAGTGTCGTAGTTATCTGTGAGAAGAATAGATGTCCCTATGAAGACCTGCCGTATGAAGAGCTTCATGAGGGGGCGCCAATCTATAACGATGCGCGGGGGCGGGTCGCTCTGTAGCAGATTTGCGCCTATCTTAAGGTACCTAGCAACATCAACGTACGGCATACACTGACTTTCTGAGATGTCGATGGCCTTACGTAAGAAGATGTCTGCCAAGATCACCCTATCCTGCTCGCTGAAGCGGTGCCCCGTTGTTCTGAGGCAGAAGTACTTTTCCACATATTGTACCATCCCTTTATCGTCTCCCAAGTGTGCAGCTTGAACCACGCCATTGATCAGGGACGCAACGGCCCCCTCGGATTCTTCACGTGCCCTATCCCTGGACTCCCATGGAAGAAAGCACCAACTGGTTAGCGACGCAGGGAGAGCATTTTGAAACATGCAAAGCGACTCACTCATTGCGGCTTTTTGGAAATTTTCCGACATAGGCCAGGTTTTAATACTAAGGATTACTACGGATCGCGTTCTCTAATAAACATTACGTAAGTAACATGCGGGGTTTACTATTCTGGGCAAACCAGTACGAACCAGCCAGCTGATAAAATGAACGCGGTCCTGGCTCCACCCCTACCGGTCCAGACCGTCCAGGCAGATCTAACATTTAACCAACAGAACATCCAGCATAGAGACACCTCCTTCAGTATCAGCTCTGTTCAGGATCCATCCGATGCTCAGCACTTACAACACAGAATAGTTAATCTGGACGAGGTCAGTCTTAGCGAGTGGCTAAATGGAAGCATAGCCTCTCCGAGCCCTCCCATTGTACTATCGCCGAAGCTTCCTCACTTTCTGCCGGCAGGTGTTGGTACATCGACCAATCTGAGCTCTCTGGGCTCGGTACTGCAGGAGCTCAAACTAATCAATGAGCGATTTTGTGAGGAGGAGCTTGTGAGCATGTCCATACAGTTACTGGATGCACTTGCGGCCTCTGAACTGTATGGGAGGACGATCGGCAAAGAGCTTGCAGGTGGCTTTATAACGCTGGATACGGTTATGATGGACGAGGGCCGAAGCAACTACTACCTCACTAGTTGCAGGTACGGAGTCGACAAGACTACTCACACGCTAATCCACGGACGCAACGGGGCATTAGAATCGCTCTACATTCCGCCGTGGGGAATCCCCAGCCAAGCAGAGCTTAGACAGGGAATGACCACACGGGGCTCCTTCGGGCGTGTTCCCTCTTCTATCTCCTTTTGGAGCCTGGCAATTTTGCTTTGCGAGTGTATCCTGCTCAGATCACTCCCAGTACACAGGGTCCCCCAGCAAATAGGGGCATACCGAAAAACCAGCCCTACTGGTATTGCCAACCTTATCGTAAAGCTAGCAGAGTCGAATGGATGTAGCAAGGACTTTGCTGAGTTTATGCGCAGCCTAATGATGGCCATGCCTAGCAACATTATAGAAGTAGGGCCATATCTGCAATACCCAATCATCCAAAAGTATATATCTCAATGGAAAAAGGATGGGACACACACAAACATTATCAGGAGATACGAAAGTTGGTATGCAAATGAAGAACTGAATGAGAGCAGCGTGAGCGGTGATTCCAAATCTCCCAGAAGTTGATACTGACTATTTGTCAATGGATTCACGAAGAAGAAAGTCCAGCGTAAAAGAGTTTCGACAAGTCGAGGGCCTCTCCGACACAGTTCCAACGGATGACCCTATAAGCGTAGAGTCTGTGCAGAGCGAAAAGTTTGTGGGATACGACCGGTTACTATCTAGCATTCTGAAGTCTCCACACTGTGAATAGTATACTTCGCGGTCCTTTGAGTAGGGTATTCCTTCCGGCACATAGTCTGCGCACACCATGAAGCACTCCATTGAAGACGCTCGGCTTGCGTCTGGCTTGGATATATCGACGGTCTTGAAAAATGACAGCGCATTCCTTCGCAACAGGGACTCCAGGCACTCTCCCCGAAACACTTTTGACACAAATGTTCCGCCGGGTGCAAGAATTTGCCGTGCAAGAGTCATTGCATGATCCACAAGGCCAGCCTGCACATACTCATCCAGATCGTGGACACCAGTTACGTCCGGCGCCCCATCACAGACAACGAGCTGGCACATTTCGCCGTGACAAAGCTCTATTATCTTATCGGCCACCTCCTTTCGGGTGATGTCTCCTTGTATCTGAGTCACCCGGGGAAGAGGGGCCATTGGAGCCAAGTCGACCGAGATAATAATGGCATCGGCGGGGAGCTTGTGTGACAAGACCTGCGACCAAGACCCCGGGGCAGCGCAAAGATCCACGGCACGCGTCACCCCACGAAAGAGGTCGTACTGTTCATCCAGTTGTAAGAGCTTATAGGCGGACCGTGCACGCCAGCCCTCGTCCTTTGCAAGTCGGTAGTAGATATCGCGCTTATCCTTCGACATTTCTTGTGCAGCCTTTGTGCCAAAAACTATTAAAATCTTTTGATAAAATCTCTTGACATCCTTTTCAATTAAATCGAAGGGTTAACAGAATGTCGGGCCGAAAGGGGGATGAGGGCGTGATTTACGTGGGCCATCTGCCCCACTGCTTCATGGAGCGGCCGATGAGATGCTTTTTCAGCCAGTTTGGCAAAGTCTTGCAGGTCCGTGTCTCCCGCAACAAGGAGCAGAAGTCGCGCGGGTATGGATATGTGAAGTTCGCTAGCCGCGCGGTGGCAAAGATTGCAGCAGAGACGATGAACAATTACCTTATGTTTAATAAGATACTGAAGGTTAGCTACTTGGAGACGTGGAATGACAATTTATTCTGGCATGGGTGTGAATATGAACGTCAACCCACTCCCCACCGGGCCATATACAGGGAAGAGTACAATGCGCCTAAGAACGAGGAAAAGTGGGAGGCAGAGATGGAGACGGTAAAGAGTGCTCGGTTGCGAACACTAGGTAAGCTAAAGGACCTAGGGTACGAGTACGAGATGCCCCCTCTGTTTTACCATGCACCAATGGACGGTAACGAGGCAGAAAACGCAGAGAATGCAGAGGGCAACGAGACAGAGAGTAAACAACCGTATCTGTGTCCCAGTGTTATCACTTACTGATCGTCGCTGTCCGTATCACCGACGTGCTTTTCTCTAACAGCATCCCGCGCATCAAAGGCCTTCTGCCTGATGCGGACGTTCCAGCCTAAGCACCGCACTAGCGCCCGAAACCAATCTGTGCTGCTATCCAGCTCATTGATAGTGGGGAAGCAATGCTCGGAGACCTGAATCCGAAGAAACTCGCCTCTCAGTAACTCTAGACGCATGCGATTGTCAAATGCAACGGCACAAGAACCGCGAGAGTCTCGTGGCTGCTTCAACTTCAGAACGCAGGATCCTGGTAAGCAAACCTGTCTTCCAGACATAACGTGTGGACAGATAAAGGTCAAGAGCATGCAGTTTAGGGTAGGGTGAACCGGGACACCTCCTGCACTCAGTGCATACGCCGTGGACCCACTCGGGGTGGACACCAATGCCCCGTCTCCTTGTATGGTTGTTACAAACCTAGAGTCCACGTAGGCGTCCAAAGTACAGATGGGGTCGGACACGTCTTTGGACTCTTGGCGCATAAGGGATATCTCGTTCAGGACTGTATAGGATCTCTTCTTCTGACTTGTCTGAGCATTGCGCATGGAATTTGAATGAGGAAGGGCCGGCACGTGTGAAGCCGGTTGCTGGGACGCGCTGCTGGGCGAAATAACAGCAGCATAGAGACGCGTTCGCTCGGTGATAGAGAAAGGAGAGTCAAACAGGGAAGAGAGCTTCTTGTCGATATCCTTGGGCGAGAAGGGTGTCAGAAACCCCAGTGAACCACAGTTAAATGGCAGGATAGGTGGACAATAGCGCTGGAAAAGTGAGTTGATGTAAAGCAGGGTACCATCTCCGCCGATGGAAATCACAAGGTCTATACTAGACGTATTAATTTGGTCCGGGTCAAAGGCCGTAATACCAGTATAGCGCTGAGCAACAAGAGGGTCAACGTAAACCGCTATGGATTTGCGCGAAAACCAAGCAAAGATGTGCTTCAGATGCCACTCAGACTCTATGTCATTGGGCTTTGTCACTAGAACGACCTTGCTCGGCGGAGACTCCCAGGTCCACAGGCCATTAATATACTTGACGAGCTTTCCAATCCGCTTTGGGTGCTCTTGATATTTCGACAGATTCACGTTGGCCATCCGGCCAGTCAGTGCCTGATTCCCTAGCATCTTGGTACCCAAAAGATTTGTTATGCTCGGAGGCATGTGTTGAGCAATGCTGTGCATTGAGCTCCTTGAAGAAATTGGTCTGGAGATGGTCCTGCTCACCTGGCTCATATTGCACTCAAAACTGAAGCTATCCGTACTCTCGCAGTTGGCTATTTCACTCGGTTCCTTTGAGTCGCTGTCACTAGAATCGGAAGTGAGGGATTTGGACAGGTTCTGTTGACTATAAATGCTACATGCACTGAGCTGTCTATTGTGCTGGGATGCCTTTATGGGGACAAAGGTGGACGTTGTGGACATCTCATCTGTGGCATCGCTTGTTGCCAGCTGCTGTTGTAAAAAGTCAAAGGGGGTGTCGGTAAAATCAGAAATAACAGGTTCAGCGACGACAGGTAAAGAAGAGCCAAGAGCCACCTCTTTCTGACGAATCAGTTCCAGAAGTTTCGGCAGAGGAAGCCTCTGTGCCTTCTCTAGATCGTCGCGGATAGCACTCAGCACAAGCTGGTCCATTAATTTTATGTCATTTGAAGACCTTCGTGAGCTAGAGAATCCTTGGTTCTCCTATGCATATGTCGGGCACACGAAGTTCATCCGGCAGTTCTCTAGCTTTTACAGTGGGCGATATCTGGAAAAGTCCTTCCTAGGGCTCGAGGATTACATAGGCTTTACCGCCATGCATTTGGCCTGCCTTTCGGGAAGACTGAACGTTGTTCAGCTTCTTGTTGATAAAGAGCTGCCATTATATACGCATAGAGACGTGACTATCGAGCTCCTACCAGTGACAGACGACTCTTCTCCACCGGTGAGAACAACACTCTACAAGGGTGCCTCCGCCCTTGCTATAGCTGTCGCGCGCGGGCACCATCATATCGTAAAGTTCCTTCTGAGCTACACAGCCACAGACTTCAACGTACTGGAATTATTGACAAGGTCCTTTACGTCAAAGGATCCCGCAAACATTCTTAACGCTACTCTGAGCCAGAACAAGGCCATTCTGGGGCCCCTTCTGGCTATGAACGACGTCGATAGCGGCTTAGAGCCAAGCTCATAAAACATTCTAAACCTCAGTAAATAAATGACGTTCAAGAGAATCCAACCTCAAGAGCTCGACGCCTTAACTTCTACAAGTAATAGATTTGTTGTTATAGATGTTCGGGACGATGACTATGACACGGGTGGGCACTACAAGGGGAGTGTTAACATCCCCGTTGGAGATATTCTGGACGGAAGAAAAGACGTCATGGAGATGCTAGACCGCTATGATCTGATTGTCTGCTATTGCATGCTTTCACAGCAGCGCGGTCCTGCGGCTGCTCGTAGTCTGTGCTCCGCCTTTCCTCAGAAGAAGATATATGTTGTTACCGGGGGCTTCACGGCCATGCTCGAGTACTACGGGCCGCTGGGCCGGATTGTCGGATGTCCCGTAGAGAGTAAATAGATAACTGCGGGCTCTGCTGTGTCATTTACGTCTAACTACGGGGCGGAGGGTCTCTAAAAGACACTTGCCTGGTGCCCTGCCGCCGATACGGCCGTTCAGAGCGCCCAGACAGCGGAGTGCGTGCCCTAGAGCTTCCTAGCTGTGGGGTCTGACATTGACTGTACGCCCGATAAAGGTCAGCAAACTCTTCCTTGTACGATCTGAGTTCTGAAGCCGGCTTTAAGGAGCTTGTTCCCTGGCTGCTAGCCCATTGTGAATCGACTATGCTCCTCCTTGTCAGGTCCATGGTTGAGGCATGAGCGCTCATTCCCAGCGACATGCCCATAGTACCTTCTTCGGTCGGTTGCCTTGTGGACAGAGATGCACCTACAGCTCTTATTGGTATGACGGCGTCTGCCTTTTTATTTGCTGCTTCTGGGATTGCTGCTGAAGGGCCTGTCTCCTGACCTTTGATGTCTTCAAAGTAGTTGCTTGTAAGGAAGAGAATACTATTTAACTTGGAGTTGAATGCCTCCCATGTCTCCTGAGCCATTTTCTCGTCTGCTAGCGTTGCCATCGTGTACAGATCTTCAACAGATCGCAGTGCAGCCACATTTATCACTTCCCTACATTCGTTAATAGATGTATTCATTCTAGAGATATGCGTTGTGAGAAGGCTTTCGTTTGTTCTCAAATTCTCGACTCGAAGAGACATCGACGATAACTTTAGAATGTCCAGTAACATCTCCTGAAGCGATGTATTAGGAATCTCTTTAATTTGTGCCTTCAGAGCATCAACATCGCGAAATCTGGACTTACATTGCAGATCTAGATGGGATAGCAAGTCGCGCAGCTTGTGTATTTTAGCGTTAAGGTCTGATATTTTAGTGTTGTACTTGAGTAATCGCCCAGCAGAGCCCGGGCCCTTCATTACCCCCTTTTCGCACTGGGCACGTTCCACCTTTGCTATAGCCAGTTGATACTTCACATCGAACAGCCGTTGCTTATTTAGGTTGACCTCCTGGATAAGCTTATAGACCTCCGCGCCGAAATCCTTAATTAGTCCGTGGAGAGACACAGAATCCAGGACAGTCGACCCCAAAATTTCAGGCTCATCTTGGGGGAGCTGGTCTTGCTTACTATCGCTTCTGGATGGCAGCGTGGTCTGGTGAATCATAGCCTGTAGTGTTGCAACCTCTTTCTTCAGCCGTTCATTCTCTAGCGTTAGCATCGAAACCCGATTGGCCAGCTCTGCTTTAGAATACACTGCGGACTTTATGTGCCGCGTCGCGTTGACCTTTATGGCCTTGGCTCTGCTGGCATACATTAGGGTGGAATAGGTATCATCAAAGTGGTATGCGGCCGGTGATACGTTTGCAATCATAATTGTCTTGCTAGCACCGCCCAAGGAGTCCTTCAAAATGCGTGTAAGCTTGGAATTTCTATATGGAATGTACGTCGTGGTTTGAAGTGCAGCTGCAATATTTGCGTTAGATCGCTTATTGCTTGCTTGCACGAGTGCATTGATACAGCTCCCCAGGACCAGAAGGCTCTTGTTGATATTGATGCCTTCAATGAGCCTCTCTCCTGTCGCTGAGGTCTTCTTCGCCCGCTCGGAGCCAGCCAGATCTATCAGAGAAAGCTTGCTGATAAGCTCCTGCTGTGTGTCCATGCTTTTCTGCTCTATGCGAAGCTGTAGAATGGCGTGCGAGCGCGAGCTCGTTGCATTTTCCGCAGTAGCCGCCTGCGTGCGTGCATGGGATGCCTTGTGAATGATCTGCAGAACATGATCGGAGCTATCTGGCTGGTGTTCTGTTAGATCGACAATGATTGTCTCGCTGCCTCTGTCCTGGAGCGCAAGGGTTTTTGCCGGCGTAGTGCTCAGGAGGTCGCGAACGTTCTCATTATAGATCTCAAAGTATGAAAGATAAACCGAAACTTGCCAATTCTGCGCCCTGCGAACTGCGATTTCTTCGTAAAGGTCTCGAAGAGTATTTTGGATGACTCCTGGCCCAGATGCATCCGAGCCAGACATTGTGTGAGACTTTCCTGCACCGGTGGCTCCGTAAGCAAAAATGGAGCAGTTGTAGCCGTCGAGAGCTGGCCGAATGAGACGCCGGCCTGTGTCCTCGTATATCTGTCGATTTGTGGACTCTGTGCCGAACACGTGACTGTACGAAAACATTGTGTCACGGTATCTGTGGGCGCCAGGGTTGTGCGCCGCTGTGTGGCGGGGCTTTGGGTCGAAGACGAGCCGCTCGGCGTCGACGACAGAGACGACGTCGCGGGTGTCTGCCTGGGCCAGTTCCTTGCTGTTGAAGGGACGGACCCGCACGACGACGTAAAACGAGCCGAGAGGGAAAGAGTCCGCTTCGGGGTCATCCATGGAGAAATTCGATTTTTCGATTTTGCAGGCCCGGGCCAGACCGCCACTCCCCACCCCGCAAACAGCCCCTTTGCAAGAAGGGATGGGGAGCACGTCTGCTGCTGTTTCTCCCCAGCGCGCCGGGATAGCTCAGTGGTAGAGCGTGGCACTCGTAATGCTAAGGTCGTGGGTTCAACTCCCGCTCTCGGCTTTTACTCACCCGCCCGCAGCGTGCCGGCACAGCGCCGCCGAGAGTCCCGCGACCTGGCTCTCGAGCGTCGCCCCGAGCGCGAGCGCCTCCTCCACGAGCGCAAGGGCCCGCACCGCCTCGGCCTTCCGCCGCGGCTCCACTTCCGAGGCCATCAGGGCCCGGAACACACACTGGACCACGTCCTCGGCTGAGCATCCCGCAGCCAGACAACCCTGGATCTGGCCATACTTCTCCACGTACGGCATCGGTCGCAAGAGTTCCCGTCCCAGGGCAGGATGCGGCTTCGCCACAAGCTTATAGACGTCATCCGCCGTGGCGAGCTCCTTCTCTGTCATGAGGTGGAGGCTCTGGAGGACGTTGATGGCCTGGCGCAGGTCCCCGTCGGTAACCGCATGTATAGCGGCAAGGGCCCCTGGGGCCATCTGCATCCCCTCTGCATCTGCAATCTTCTCAAGCATAAGGAGGCAGGATTCGCGGGGCACAGGAAGAAAGCGGAACGCACAGCACCGGCTCAAGATGGCGGGAAGAAGCTTCTCTGGATAGTTGCACAAGAGACAAAAGCGCGCGTGCTTGATAGAGGTTTCCATCAAGCGGCGCAACGAGGCCTGTGCGACGCTCGACATGTGATCGCACTCGTCCATGATCACGATTTTGAACTTAGTTGCAGACGAAGACTGCTGGCTCAGGACGCTCCCACTTGTCACAAAGCCCTTTACTGTCTGTCGGATCACATCAACGCCAGAGTCATCTGACGCGTTGAGCTCGAGGACATGAGTACTGACGGCGTCCCCGAAGAGCTCATTCATCAGAGCCTTAATAAGAGTGGTCTTCCCAGTCCCTGGCTTTCCATAAAAGATCATGTGCGGAAGACGGCCCTCGCGGATGAGCGCACGGATGGCGGCGATAATCAGCTCGTGCGACACAACGCCCTCCGTCGTGGAGGGTCGGTACTTCTCAACCCAAGGAATCATTTACTGTTTTAAAACCTAGCATGCAGCCGCCTGCTATAGCTGCAAGTAGCAATTGTCCGTTGTATGCTGGCGATAATACCCGAAGGGCCGCCTATTCTGTTCGCTAGAAGTTCTTCATTGCACCGTAAGCACAGGGTATGTTGACAAATCTTTGAGCTAAAAGTAATCTTGAGGTACAGGAAAGAGCTTGAAGAAATACAGTTAGTAGATGTGGTAACCATTTCCTTTCTGGCTCTCCTTGTCTTCTAAATATCTAGCTATGTGCATTCATGCGATTCTTCTTTGCCGATTGACGCCTAGGTTTTGCACCCTGGACCTCAACGGACCCCAAATCTGCTTCAGCATCAACAAAGTTAACGTGCTGATAATGCGTCTTCCCCTCAAGAGCAGCTTGTGCATCGTTGGCATTACTCTCTGTTGCATAGTCCTCCGCGCGCTTTCCATCAGATTGGTAAAAGGTGCTCTCGCTCTCATAAAGAATAGAACAAGCGGGAGCAAAATTAAAGTTGGCTGCTATCATCAGAGCCGTGAGCCCAGCGCCGTATGAGCAAAGCTTGTTGCTGGTGAGTCCCGACTCATTCTTGTGGAGAAGCTCTATAATGTTAATATAATCTTGCCTTGTTCCACGTTTGGTCAGCAGCATTAGCTCAATTGTTTTCTGAGCAGCTGTTACGTTACTACCAGCAGAAGAGTGATACGGCGTTCCGAGCTCGCGGTCAGTATGTGTGTAGCAAACCTCGACAACGCCGCAGCTTGCAGCATGCATCAGGGCAGTGTACCCGTCCTTTCTTTGGGTGCATGCTTCAGATTGATAGAGGCTCTCTACAACCCCTACATATCCATTTTGGGCTGCGATCATTAAAGCCGTGCGTCCGTAAATGTCACGCATCGTGACCTCCACGAATAGGGTCTCGATGAGAAATACAAGGTTGTAGTGCGATGCCCACATGAGGGCCGTCCATCCTGCCTTGTCCTGCATCTGCTTTTCGTAGGGCAATAGTATGTGGACCATCTCAACATTCTTATTGATAACAGCCAACATGAGTGCTGTAAGCCCAAGGTTGTCCTGTGCACCAGCCCACGTGAGCCTCTGATTAACCATATCAACGGATCCACTAATCACCGCCTCCATGAGAGGGGTTCGTCCCTGGAAGTTAGAGTCTTCCTGAATGTTTAACCGGAAAGACATTGTAGGATGAAACCCGTTAATAGTTGTCCCGCACCACCTGTCTGTTTCGGATTCGGCCGGTGTCACATACGAATTGTCCCCAAGCAGCTCGTGGCCACTGGCCTTCGTATGAACAAACTGGTCATTCTGCTCCACTTGAGATCGCGCCTCGTGAAGCGTCCTCGAGGCTCCGTCGTGTGCCGGCCCCGTTCCCATAGTGTAATACTCACCCTCAGGGTTATTGAAAGAATTATCTTGATAGATGTTTTGAGACATGATATTCCGTGCTCGCATGGACATGGTTGTAGGCTCTCTGATTGAGGCACCCGCAAAGCTCATCATGCTTTTCTCGGTCTCGCTCATGGTTGAATACGCTCTCCGCATTGCAACAGCGTCTTCCATGCGCGTCTGGAACGAATTAACAGTGGGCTTTATGCGACTAGAGCGCATTACTGCGATGCTGCTTATGGTTTCGTTAGCCACTGGGTCACGGATAGCGTCATTGGATTGCCACGCATCATTGACTTGACTCCTTACTGATGCATCTTGCCCGACGCGAACAGAGTCTGTGTTAAAAGCAGGGTCTATGCGGACCGATTTAGTGCCACTTGAGGGGTTCACCTTTGGGTCCACGGGGACTATGCTGTAATCGTCACCGGTTTGCGGTATGTCGGCATCTCTGACCCGCGCCTGGTCGATAGAAATTTCGTTTTTTGCCTTTGCAATGGCCTCCTTGATACTCTCGCTAGTATCCACCCGTGAACCATTGTAGCTAGAGTGAATTGCAGGATGGGGACCCTGCTGGGCCGATGGCGGAGCAAGATTGGCCGGAGAGCCGTTATCGTAGTCTTCTCCATCGTGGAAAACCTCCCCATAGAAGTCTGTTTGATCCACACGCGGCGTTATAGACATATTGATGTCATTATTTCGAGGTGTATGGAGATGTCCACTATCGTCATGGTCGGAGTCAGAGATGGGCTGCATCTTGCTGAAGTTAATGTTATCTGCACCTACCAGCTCACCGTCATCATAGCAGTAAGTGTTTGAGCGATAGACTCCGTCGTGTGCACCATGAAGCCCTCCCAGAGAGTCCGCCCTCATTGATCTACCCTTCAACGACTCGCGAGTGAAAAGCGAGCCATGGTCAGTCGCCGTCACAACGGGCTCGTTCTTAGTAGAGGCACTCCCTGGACGGGGTTCTGATACAGCATTTGGATAGGCATCCTGCAGTGATATAGATGAAGTTAGCTCATAGCCGTCTCCAAAGACAGGATTGTCTGGCACAGGGTTGCTAGAGTATCCATCCTCTTCGTTTTGTTCAGGAACGTCTCTAAGATTGGAACGATGGTGCAACTCGCTGCCTGGGATCTGCGGAAAGACCTGATTATCCCGTGAGTAAGATTGGTGAGAATCGGGGTGAAGAGAAAGATTGCTGGAACGGTTCATGGCCTGCTTAAACGTACCTGCATTGGGTGGAAGCCTAAAGTCGCTACTTTGCTGATCGTACTGCATCTGCTGACAAAAAACGTCACCATCGAGTGACGGCTGCCCGGTGAGAGACTGCGTAGAGGTCGTCGGAGAAGGTATTGATCCCTTGCTAGATTTCTTGTCCATACCGACGTGCTCGGGATCGTTTACGCCATGAATCCCAGAGTTGTTCAAGGAGGATAGCAGTGGAACAGTGGACAATGCGCTTTTGATCGCCGTGGTGGGTGTCTTGTGACTGAACTCCACTTGTTCGAAACTAACGCCGTTTGCAGAAGGATTGACAAGGTTGATTAAGTTCTTAGACAGTTCTGCATTGACTGCAATTGGTGGCTGCTCAAGCTGGGGAGGCACATACTTTGGGCTTGAACTGTGGGAGACGAGACCAAGGTTGCGCATTGCTCTGATAATAAAGGGGTGCTCCATAAGCTCGTTAGACGTAGGACGATGGGCCATATCAAGCTGAAGAAATCTAGATATCAGAGACTGAAGAGAATCAGAGTAGTTCGCCCCGGCGTCTCTCAAAGAGACATACTTACCGCTTGCAACATTGTCGGCAAGCTCGCTGGGCGTCCTGCCCCAGAAGCACGGCTGTCCAGTGCACATGTAGTAAATCACACACCCGAAGGACCATATGTCAGACTTCAAGGAGTAAGCCTCCTCGCCTGATAGCACCTCGGGGGCCATAAATGCAAGGTCGAACAATGGGAAAGAAGAAAACATTACATCAACGGCTGTAGGAATGCTAAAATTGGAGATTTTGAGCTGATTGACGTTATTGAACAAGATGTTCCTAGGGGTGAGCCGTCTGTGCACGATTCGCCCAATTTGGACAATTTCTCCTTGCGAGTCCTTATAGCTCTTATTCCAGGGGCTGTGCAGATAGATCAACGCATCGGTTATTTGCGCGATATAGTCCCATATGGCCGCCTCGCTGAGTCTTTTACCATTGCAGTACCCGTCTTCGACTACTGAGTAGAGGCTCCTTGGTAGATACTCCGTCACTAGGGTGAAGGTCGACTTGTAGGGAGCGTAGAAAATGTCATAAACCTTCATAAGAGTTGGGTGTTCTATATGCTTTAAAATAAACGTCTGTCCGATAACCTCTGAGTGGTCTGCAGCAGAGGCGGCGTAGTATGCGACCTGCTTCCCGAGAAGCTTCATGGCCAGATGGGTATCGTGAAGCAGAAAAACAGTCTCTGCACCATCGCTATTAAGAACAGAGTCGACTGTGTATCTCTGAGGAAGATCCGGAGCAGCTTCGGGGATGTATCGATCACCTCTAGAAGGCATGTAGACACCAATTACTCTCTTTTTAATTTCAATGTTTTCCAGATTTTAGCGGACAATGGACACACGACTCATGGAGGCTGCACGTTCTGGCAGAGCTCTTCCGCCAGATTCTGAGATACAGAGAGATGCAGGCCAGCAAGATAAACACGGCTGGACAGCTCTTATGTACGCTGCCCAAAATGGACACACACACATCGTCAAACGCTTGGCTTCCCTTGAAAAGGGGATTCGCGATCATTCTGGACGGACAGCTCTGATGCATGGTGTTTCTAGCGGTATGCAAGAGGTAGCAGAGCTCCTGATTGCACATGAAGCAGCCGTCGCTGATAATACTGGGCGCACAGCTCTAATGATCTCTGCAAAACAAAAGCGTGTCGGCTTATGCTCTCTCTTAGCTCCCTTAGAGGCAGGGATTCAGGACCAGGCCGGCTGGACAGCTATGATGCACGCTCTTGATAGCCGGTTCGATGACATCGGCCAATCTCTTTGGGGCGATGACGGTGGTGCAGCTGTTGAAGAAATCTGTAAGATTCTAGTTTCAGCAGAGGTCGGAAAGTCGGCCGTTAATGGAATGACGGCTCTCATGCTTGCTGCAGAAGCTGGATATGAACACGTGTGCCGCCTGCTCATAGAAAAGGAAGCGGGGCGTAGCACTGCTTCGGGCATGACAGCAATGATGCTAGCTGCGCAGTATGGCAGCCACCGCATAGTGCGAATGCTCTTGGCAAGAGAGGTTGGGCTTATCACTCAGGAAGGAAAGACAGCACTCATGTGTGCGGCAGAGTTTGGACATTTCGAATGTTGCAAGTTGCTCCTCGGGGGCGAGGGGCTCATCCATACCCAGGATCATGTGACAGCCCTCATGTACGCTGCTCGGAGTGGACACCTGGCAGTAGTGAAGCTTTTACTGCCTCTGCAGCAGGGCATTGTAAGTGACACTGGCCTGACTGCCTACCTCTGCGCAGAAGAGGCTGGAAACTCAGATTGTGCAGAGGTATTGCGGCCATTAGAAACTACTGAGGCGGTCCGCTCTCTTATCCTGCAGTCCACCGCTGGTATCAATCTAAAGACACCTGAAGGACTTACAATCGCCGATCGCTCGCTCTTGCTGAATGATCTTACAGAGACTCGGCTTAAGAAAACAGGAACACGTGCAGGAGGGATACTACAGTGCGAACTTGTAGAGAAGGAGCGGACAATCGGTATTCTCACGAAGCAGCTCAAAAGGGAAAGAATCGCCTCTGAAAAGCTAGAGAACTTGGTCCGATCTTGCAAAGAAGAAATCCGCCAGCTCCAGCAACAACTGCAAGTCCAGGGTGATGAGGTCGAAGCCCTTACACGCCAAGCTGCTGCTTTGCCTGACCACTTTGGTAGAGATGCTGCGAAAGCACACACCTGCCTGCCGATCCAGCCCAGCGATCTTGCTTCTTTTGACATGGGTCAACTTGAAGAGCTGGATCGCCATCTTAGTGACTCGCTTGATACTGTAAGGACAGCAAAGGTGACTCTTGCAGCTGGATCTCGCGCAAATGCCTGCCTTGTCTGCCTAGATAACCGTGCAACGATCTTCTATCTTCCTTGCCAACACATGGTCACCTGTCGGGAGTGTGAGGCCAAGCTCCGCGACAACCGCTGCCCGCTCTGTCGGGTAGTCATAGAGGCCTCCTATGTCGTATACACAAATTAGCAACGATTCACTAGCATATCCCGAGGGTTAATATCTGTTAACACCGTTAATGTTGAGTCCTTTAATGTGCTCTGTGAGGCGCCTTCGGAACTCTGTCACTTCGCTCTCGCTAAGATTTATGTCGAACAGATGTGCCCAGCCGCGGCGAAGCCCGTTATCATCCAAACCAAAACCGATCAGCCATGAACCCTTGGGCATGGGCGTGTATCCATAGAACATCTTGGTATCCGCGAGTGCTGAATGCTTTTTGATGGCGTCCACATCCTTAACAAAGCAGGAACAGATCTTAGCGTGCTTGATCTGCTCCTGAATGGAGAAGATGGTATGCCCCGAGTCGACATACTCGTCAATAAGCACAACCTCACGCTTCTCTTTGAGCTGCTTGAGGTCCTCTTCGTCAAACACGACAGATTCTTGCCTCGTGCCCTTGTACGACGAGACCTTCACGAAGTGGAGGGTGTACGGGAATGTAAGATGAACTGTCAACAGCGATGCATAGAGATAGGCCCCGGTCAACAGGGCGACAAGTGTGACAGGTTCTGCGACGTCCTTGTAGTACTCGTTCATTCTGCGCGCAGTATCTGCTGCAAGCGCCTTACACTCCTCAAAAGTGGCTAGAAGGTGGAATTTCTTCACCTCTGACTCTAGTACATCGTTACGGTCCTTGAAAAACGTTGAGAGTACATCCTTGACCGGCTTTCCTGTCACAGAGCAAATCATTTTTTCTGCTCATTTTTTTGAACTGCAATTATTAGGACTGGTTTGTGCGGTTATGTTAATTTGTGATTACAGGGTTTGTCCCCGGATCATCTGACTTGCAAAAGAATCGTACCCGTGTCTCTGGTCCACCATATGGGGGGTTTGTCGCTCGGATTGTAAGGGAGGGTTTCTCTGGTGGCCTCAGCGAAGATTGAAGGACATCTGTGGAAGGCTGAAATATGCTAACAGTGGTGCTGCCTTTTTCGTGAGCAGACCCTGCGGTAACTACTTTAAGAGCTACAAAGGGGCTGTTTCTAAAACTTGTTGCTAAAAACTCACCTTCGTCGGAACTAGAAGAAGAACTAGACGATGCAGACAGAGGTGGGGTAAGAGGTATCACGACAGGTTCAAACTGAGATGCCTGTAATTCCTCTGATTTGCACACATGCTTGCTTGTTGAGCAACTCCTAGACACCAAGGACCGCTTTATGTTGTCGCCTGAAAGGTTCTGAATTATAATGCTAGCATCCACCGCGTCTCTGTGATCACAGTCTCGAAAGGGCGCTGACTGTGGCTCATACTGTGTCGAGGCAGAACTTGTCGAAACGCGCATCTGCGCAAAAAGAAGCTTCATGTCCAACAAGTTGAGCCTTGTCTGTATCTCTGCTTCAATGTGTTCCTTCCCGTCCTTTGTGCCCAGGAGTTCTTCAAGCAGCCTTATGCGAGCTTCTTGCTCGGCTCCTTTAGCTTCACCCGAGGCAACATCTCCTTGCAGATGAGCGATAGTGTCTTGAAGTTTAGAGATAGTATCTTGACTCTCGTGTAGTTTTCTCTTGTAGTCCGAGACCTTACTCTCTGCTGAGCTTATCGTCTTCATAACTTCCGAAACAACCTCATTCATATCTTCTGCTTCCAGCTCACGTGCTGCAAGTACTTGAGTCTGCTGGTGCAAACGCTCGACAAGGATGTCGCAGTAACGCTCACATTCTATTGCACACAAGTAAGGAGACTGTGGGGGAGAGCATAGGCGTGAAACAGAGTAGGAGTTCTCCACCACGGATGCTTCTTGATGGATATGTTTGAGTAGCTCGTCAGTTTGCATAGATACCTCCACACACGCTTCGTGTTTCTGTGCGAGATTTTTATAGTCTGACAGTATATGATTATGAGTACTTGGTGCATCGCTCATCACACTGTTGCTTTCAGAGGTACAGCGCGGCTCATTTCCGGAACACAGAAGGCACTGTATGGACTTAAACGCAATACTAATTTCTTCACATTGCGTACTCGCTATTTTAGTATCTGATTCTATGATTAGCTTTTCGTCTGGACCTAGCATGCGTGACTGGAGGGCTGCCAGTGTGCCGTACGGTGCCACGTCAACCTCGTCCGTCTGGACCCCAAAGTACTTCATATCGGGTGCGTCCACTTGAATTGCCGCGAACACCATCGTAGTAGTATCTTCTACTGAGCCGAAGTCAGACCCTTGCTCTTCATTATACCCTCTACATCGTGGAACATGTGAATTATCACTTGGTCCAGTAGACGGGCCAAGTGAGTTCAATGGTGCACTCCGTAAGTCCATCTCAGAAGTCCTGTCTGCATTACTAGGTGGCTGTAAAAGCTCACATTGAATCGCTTTGAAGGATGGGAGCGGAGCTTCAATCTGAGTTCCGGTGTGAATCTTCTGAGATCCGTCTAGCTCAGCATCTATCTTTCCACACCCACCTACAGATGACTTCCCTTTTCCAAGGCCGGTAGACTGGGTAAGCAAGAGTGACCTGATGGCAGCATCAAGAGCAGATTCGGGCGTATCCTCAGCGCATGTGTCTAGGTGCAACTTCAAGAGGATGGAACTGGGAATAATGGTACAATCCGCTCCCTTGGATCTGTCGTGAACACTTTTCAGTTGCAGCAACCTCCGATATTCTTCGTCTGCTTCTTCTTCCACGTGATCCACACTTATAGAGGCATTTGGAGGAAGAGTGTCGAATTGGGAGTTATTATAATTTGTTAACTCGCGCAGATTTCCTGTCTGGGTTTCGTCATCCACGGTGAACAATTCTCTCACAGTCTGGACAGATTTAAACACTAAAAGCTCATGCAGATCTGCTTGGGTCTCAGCATGGACAAAGAACTCAGCAAGATAGGTTTGCGTGGATCCGTGGGCAATATCCCCCAGGTCTATCTCCGTGCATGACACAGCCTTGTCCAGATATCCCGACGCCCTTAATTCCTCAAGCCTGGCCCTTTCTTCCCGTTGGTGCCTAAATGCATCCTTCAGCAAAAGGTTGTCTGCCTGTAATTCATCCCGCTCCTTCGTCAATATTGCCAACTTTTGGCAGAGTTGCTCCTTCTCTTCCGTTATTACCTGATTTTCAGAGAGGATGTCATTGATACGACAGGTCACTGCTTCAATTGCAGAGCACTGAGCTGCAAGTCGATAAGAGGCCGATTCAGTTGCAGCTAAAATATACTTCTGAGCATCGTCTAAAGATGGCGCTGTGCTTGTGTTCATATATGCACAGATACGTCTGGACACTTGCTGATCGAGGCCATCGAGCCTTGATACCTTTAGGCCATCGCTTAGCTGTGCTTGCATAGTCAGTAAAATAGAGAGATACCTTGTTGCCTCATCATGGAACGCTCGTGCTGCATGCTCTGTCATGGTTAACCTGCTAAGTGTTTCAGCGTGCTTTTCACTTACCTGGTCCTTTTCTTTAGCAAGCTGGGCTAGATCTGCTTCCCTCTTGAGTACCAGTCCATGCACGTCATCGAGTGATGGAGCTATCGCACAACTTGCTTCAGCGGTCTCCTTTGCGTGGGCCAACCGCCTGAGGTCAAACATTACATGGAAGAGCTTTCGCCGGTAGGCGTTCAGAGTAAGGAGATATTCTGGTATAGCTTCTGGAACAGGAAACTGCACGGCAGAAGCGGCCTCCTGCCTATTCAACAACTCGTCCAAAATTTTCACTTGTTCACGCAGAAAAACAACCTCATCGATCTGACTGCTTAGCATAAAATCTTGGCGTTCAGCAGAAGAAACAGTTTCTACTGATTGCACCGCTGACTGCAGCAACGCATTGGATGCCTTCAGCTTTTCTACCTGCTGCTCAAGAGAATCTAGCTCACTACGTAGTCGTTCTTCATTCTGCTTGTGACCTTGTAATTGACCCTGCAAAGTGTGGATATATGTACTATCCACGATCTGCTCAGAATTCTTGAGAAGGGTTTTGATCCGCCGCAGGCGCTTAGCCTCACTAACGTCTGGTGCACCAGACATTGATTCAATAGTGTCATCGTCTTCGTCGCTGAAATCGTATGCGGTCCGCCGCCGTATCTCTTTGTAACATACATCTGTTTGGGACTCCACGGTGGCATAGGTGGGACAGTAGTCCGGCATTGTCGCTTGGTCAACAAACTGCTGCAATACCAGCTCTTCAACGGGTGCCTGGTGATGAGATTGCAGAAACGGTTCTGTTGCATCTATGGAAGGTGGCGGTAGAGGTCTAATAATTGATTCATTAGCTGGCTTACTCGGCAATGTGTGTGCTTCAGTGTGGCGCTTGGATGACTGGGACGATGATGCTCCATTTCTAGAAAATAGAATGACTTGTTCATCAATTACAAGTTTTGTTCTAGCTTTCTGAGCAGCAGAATGAGAGTTATCATAAGAGCGAATGGCTGAGTTAGCTTCTTGGGTACACGAAGTAGACGGCAGGCTATGGGTGTTCTTACCTGTTAACTCAGATAGAGTCAGCTCATCTGATCTAATAAGAGATACACTGAGGTCCTGCACATCTCTACCATTAAATTTTTTCAATTGTGGAAAATTCTTAATAATATCACGGTATGTTTCCCGTTTCATCAAAGGGTTTTCGCGGATGTCCAGAGACTCTAAAGACTTAAGGGATAGAACGGGGGCTATGAGATCTAATGAGTATATGTTGTTATGTGAAAGGTCAAGGCTGCGGATGGATGTAGGGATAGTGCAGGCCAAGCGTACAATCCTATTATGACTTAAGTTAAGTGTCTGAAGCTTGGGGAACGGAAGAACTTGATCTACATCGACAATCACGTTGTGACTGGCATTGAAGTCTAAGAGTTGAAACATTGGCAACAAGTCATTGAGCGATGAGAGCCTGTTGTTGGATATGTCCAATTGCTTGATTTGCGGGGAAAGAAAAGACCGTAGATCGGCAAGTGTTTCGATATTTTGCCCCGATAGATCTAAAATCGTGTCTCCTCTATTCTCCTTTCTTCCTTGCGTCTGTGTTGAGCCAGCTCTCGCTGTTGGAGAGCTCATTTTTAATTTCCGATGAATCCCACTGAGTTCATTCGCCAAGCATATGCGTCAAACATCACCGCTGAGCGCCGCGCATCACTAAAGTCCATGTTTACTAAGGCTGACGTAGATAACTCTGGGTACATCTCTATCTGCGAAGTGCAAAACCTGTTATCAACGGAGTCATTCCGCTTCCCTCTGCAGAGCGCACGCATGCTTGTTCGCATATATTCCAGCCAGGGACAGATCTCCTTTGATGACTTTATGCAGATAGAGGGGTTTGCGTCGTATGCCATTGACGTCTTTCATGGCGAGAAGGGAGATAGAAAGGCAATACAAAGAAGCGAAGTAGCCGATGCACTAATGCAGATGAGGCTCAACTTCACTTCGGAAACATTGGAGATGCTCTTCAAGCACTTCGACACTAACGACTCCGGGAGCCTGAGTCTACCCCAGTGGATTCGACTGACGTCTCTGTGCCTTCTCGGCAGAAGACTCTTCACCGAGTGGGATGTACAGGTGAAGGGGGAGCTTACTATCGGCTTGGAGCAGGTCCTCCTCATAGGGACGTGGTTCACTGAGTGAACAAGAGCTGGTTTACGCCAAGATTTAGCTTAAAGTAAAGCAACGAATGACGAGAGCAGGGGCGACGCCGTCAACTGGGACCTCAAAGCGTATTATAGCCGCAGCTCCGTGATTTGTTAGGTGCTCATAAAAACTCGAACTAAATACTGTGAAGTGTCGGGGTGTCTCTCGGAGCGTGGAGACGGAAAACCAATATTCCAGTTCCTGGTTTGGCCCTCCAAGTTGCTTGGGCTCAAAAGCATACTGGAAGTCCTGATGCACGCCGTCCAAAGCAACCTCGTGTCCCCGGAGGACAAGGTCCACCCCGGTATGCTTGCACCAAGTCCTAAAAAGGTCGTACGAATATCTGTACCCTAGCCGTCGTTGCGAGGGTTCGTAAAGAGTGCTTGGGGATTTAAACCTATGAGGGGCAGGATCGTTCCACGTTAGCTCTCCAGCCAAGGGATCAACAATTGTCAGACTCCTTTGCAGGATGTTCTCGTAGCTATCTATTCCCAGGTAGAGGTCTAGCTGCCTACCGTATTCCGTATACACACACGGTGGCCCTCCGTGACAGCAGAAGATGGTTAGAGACTCTTCCTCTAAGCGGCACTTAAGCATGTGAGCCTCTTGTGAATCGGCTAAGTCATCCAACTTGGCTTCGTTTGTAGCACCAGCCTGTCCAGCCCAACTAGTGACGCTACTCACCATTGACGCCAAGCACATGATCTCACTATTAGTCCATCTAGTCGAAGAGCTTGCAGATGGGATGACTCGGTTGCAGAACCTTTCAAGAGCTCTGCAAAGTGATTGCGGTAAATAAATTAGCCGGAAAAAGTAGGGTATCGCTGCAAATGTGTCCTGAATTGCTTGGTATATAGGGCTGTGAGACCCATAGTATTTGTATATTTCTTTTGTGAAGCCGTAGATTCTATTCATAGCGTCACATTCGTGATTGCCTCGCAACAATAGTACGTTCCGGGGATATAAGTACTTGAGAACGTAAATAAACAGCACGCACGCAAGGCCGCGGCTGCCTCTATCCACATAGTCTCCTAGAAACACGTACACAGACGAGAGATCCATCGTAAACTGACTTCCTCTATCATCCCCCACCTCTTGAAAGCACTGCAGCTGGACATCCTTCAGCATGCACAAATCATAGAACGCTGAAACGTCCATGGGGGATCCATGAACATCTCCCAAAACGCAAATCCGTTTTCCCTCGGCCAAATAGTGCTTTATGTTTCCGTCTCGAGCAAGCACACCCTTCATTTTCGACAAGAAAGGCACCAGACTGGACTCTGTGTAGTACACGTTGTTAGCAAGAACATCTACTTTGAACGATTCCAAAAGGAAAAAGCGATCCTTTAGAGAAATTCCATCAAACTGAGGAAACAATTTGTACTGGGAGCCGTCAACGACTGGGGGCATTTGCTCCAGTAGCACGAAGTCTTTTCGATATGCATCAAGCACCTTTTGGGACAAAAAGATATAGCGATTGAGTGCTTCAACACGCATTTCAGCACCTACATGTCTCTGGAGAGCCGCACGATTGTAGTACGAGAGAGCCCTCTCCAAATTGTTCTGGCATCGTAGAGAATCTCCGATGAGTAGTGACAATTCCAGCGCCTCGGGACTTGATGGCAAGTACGAATTAAGTGCTTGTTCTGCGGCCTCCACCAGCGCGCTGCTAGGACCGTCGTAGAAAAGCTGGACCAAGCTCTGAATCATGTTTTTTTGGGATTGCCCGTGGACTATGGCTTAGTGGTGGATTGTGTAGGCTAGAGGCCGTGGTACGTGCGTATTAGCCGCTCGTGCATCCGTGTCCACAAATAAATATCTGATGAATTCTGATCGCTCCGCTCCACTCCGCCTATGGTTCTCAGCCGCTAGCAATGGGGACACAGAGTTCTTGAAGCATCATACGGAGGCCTGCAAAGGAAAGCTAAACGAGGCCGGCTTAACAGCACTTGCGCTGGCAATCTCTTCTAATCAATTTGAGTCTGCTGCATATCTTTCTGAACACGAAGCCACTGTGCGATTAGCAAAAAGGCAGACTCCGCTGATGCTTGCAGCGTCTCTGAATCGTACAGATATCCTCCCTCTTCTCCATGCAACCTATGGGTGGCAGGACGAGGACGGGAAGACAGCGTTGATGTACGCAGTGCTAGCTAGCAATGCACTGGCGTCTGTGAGGCACCTTGCACCCCACGAGCACGGAATCCAATCAACTGTTTTCGAAGTGACAACGGACGATCTTGATCTCTTCGACCGTCAGATGGAGTCCCTGCAGTATGTAACACCTTACTTCTTGTTTGAGGGTGCTATGGTCGAGGCTGTCACCGCTCTTACTCGCGACAAAACGGCCCTGCACATGGCCGTACTGGCGGGCAACGTAGACGCCTTTTCGGTACTCCTTCCCTTGGAGTACTCTATTGCCAACGCCAATAAAGAGTACTTTACTATGCTGCTTTCAAGATTAGACCCAGACACTGCTGCACTCTTCTGTCCGCTTATGACGGAAAATGCCCATCTAATCAGGTCCATCTTTGGAGCCAAGTCGAGCTCTACTGGTAAAACGGCTTTGTTGTATGCGATAGCAGAGAGAAATGCTCCGTTAGTAGAGTTCTTTTCAGCCTATGAGCTGCAAACTAGCATTACAGAGGCTGACATAGCCTTTCCTAGCCCCGATCAACAGGGAACTATAGCTGATAGCACGGAGTTGATAGAGAAACGGACATATAAAGGGTTTACACCATTTCACTATGCGGCACTGACCGGAGACCAGCAGATCGTCTCTACTCTATTTAATTCAGTTGGAAGATTGGGAATCGTCTCTCTTGTCGAGCAGACAGATGACCTGGGTCGTACTCCACTGCACATAGCAGCCTCGTTGCTTAATTTTAATTATATGGAGGAGTACCTGACCTTTGCTTCGCAGAACATGTTGAAGCTTAACATACAGGATGCGCGAGGCTTCAGCCCCATTGACTATGCAATTGTGTCGCCCTTGCTTGGAACTTACTGCGCAGAGTATCGAACCGCAGCGTCGAAGAGAAGGTCACATGCGTCCTATGGTGAAATAGTCTCAACAGAAGTCCCCTCAGACGTTTCTGCTGCATTCTCCAAGATCTTAGATAGCACGGTTTCTATTTATCAACGGGAAAATAGTGACCCCACTAATCTGGAGAAGAAAGTGGCCGGCCATCTTGTGTTAGCCGTATCAAGGTTCAACTGCATGGCTGTGGATAAGATAAGCAAGTACTGCGATGCACAACAGTTGAGCGAAGCCCTCCTGGAGGCTGCCAAGCTGTGTTTTAATGAGGTTGTCCCACATCTACTTGGGGACCCGCGACATACCAATTCTGCCCAAGCCTCTGCTTCACTGTTTGCAGCAACTTGTGAAAATGGTCCCTTTAGGTCACTATTTCCACGCAATGAGAAAGCCCGCAATGAACGTGGGGAGACAGCTCTCATGCTGGCATGCAAAGCCCGCTGCTTTACAAATGCACTGATCGCAGTTGACGCCGAAGCGGGTCTCAAAACGTGCAACGGAGAAACCGCACTCATGTTTCTGGCCTCTTTGGGAGAACTTCCTTGCGAAGATGAACAAAGATCACTCTATAGAGAGCTTTCTGAGCGCTTGGTTTCTGCAGAAAAGGGCTCAATAGATGTGCGCGGCTATACAGCCCTGATGTACGCGGCCAAAGCAAATTCTCTGAGCCTCGTACACCAGCTACTTCGGTGGGAGTACGGGCATGTGGCATTTGACCAACTCACGTCACTGGCAGTGGCAGCACAGCATGGAAACGTGCAAGTTGTGGAGGCAATGCTTGCGTATGAAAAGAGCAAGCTTCTCGATGCAGAGCAAGATAAGATTGAGACCAAGTCCTTCACAAATTTGCGTGTGACAGCTCTGATGCTCGCTGCTGCCCGTCCTAACAACTCACGGATGTGTCAGCTGCTGGCTCCAATACAGGCTGGCATTCAAGACCAAACGGGATCGACTGCCCTTATGTATGCTGTGAAGAATGGCCACCCAGCTAATGCCAATGTACTAGCGTCTTATGAGCACTTAAAGATAGACGAAAAGGGATACAGCGCTCTTATGTACGCCATCGATAAAAACCAAACTCCCTCTATCCTCAGTCTGATTGAGTACGAGTGTGGCATTGGTCTCTCCAGAGGCACAGGGCAAACAGCTATGATCCTTGCCGTGAAGAGTAAGGTCATAAGTATAGGCAGCAAACTACAATACATCAAAGAACTAATCGGAAAGGAGGGTGGTGTCCAAGACAAAAGTAAAAGGACGGCGCTGATGTATGCAATTGAATCAGGAGAGGAAGGAAGCGACCAGCTGGCACTCCTGTTAGCAAAGCACGAGAAGGGGCGGCAAATGGCCGATGGAACTAGCGCCTTGATGCTTGCAGTCAAACATGAAATGTACGGTGTTGCCTTGGCCCTTACGGCATTCGAAGTGGGACTGACTACGAATACTGGATACACCGCCCTCATGTACTTATCAGCGGGGGAGAATCCATATCTCTTAGCAGACCATAAGAAGGCGGACTACGATCAGCTGCTTCGAAAATTAGTCTTGGCAGAGGCACGGAAGCTTGATAACGACGGATGCACCGCCCTCATGCTTGCAGTCACACATAGAAACACACGCATCATCAAGGAGCTTCTTCCCTACGAAACTAAACAGACTAATGCGAGAGGAGAGACAATGCTTATGTATGCAGCTGAGCACAATATGGTAGAAATCGTCGAACTGTTAATAGACTATGAAGCTGGCATGCGTGACAAGGATGGAGAGAACGCTCTTATTCACGCGTGTAAGGCAGGCATGGTCGATGCGGCAATCGTTTTGGCAAGGTGTCCGGCCGAAGTCGACTGTGTTCCGCGAGACGGTGTAGAGGCTACCCCCATGATGGTTGCCGCTGAGTGCGGGTTGAGCTCTGTCGTTATTGCCTTGAAGCAATCGTGTGTTGGCTTTGTCTGTACAAAAGGGCCGTACTCTGGGTACTCTGCACTAGGTTTAGCGATCAAGGGAGGCCATGAAACCATAGTAAAGCTCCTCTACGACGAGATCCCTCTGTGCATGGGGTCACAGTACGGCGCCATAGAGTTGTGCATCCGCTTCAAGAGGGAGAACATGCTCCTATGGATCCTAGAATATTGTTCAAGACACAGCAAATTGGAAACAGCAGCGAAGTCCACTTGCTTCCCCAAAAGCACAGAGGTACACATCCCAGAGGCTAGTCTGGCTGCATCATACTTTTATGGGTCATCAGTGGGAAATGTGCAGATAATGCACCTGTCGGTTGAGATGCTTGGAGAGAAGGCTGCTGACATGCAATGCAGCAAGCCTCTGAAGGCCCTTGATGCACGGTTCTATGCACTGCTACTGCACAGGAACACAAGTGAGGTCCTTGCTTGTCTCAAGAAGCGGTGGGCCTGGGTTCTAGAGGCGATTCATAGATCCATTAAAGAGGATGCTTTGCTTCTTCTCTTGGCAGACCAAATACTATATATGCTTCTGGACGACATCGACCAGGATGAGTTACATACAGAGCTCTCTCTTGCCCATCGGCTTGAAGGGGCTTTACACGAATTGTCCCGCGCACTCAGGGAATATGAAATTGACAGCTGCTGTGTCTGCATGGATGCAGACGCAGACGTGATCTTTTTCCCGTGTAAGCACATGATAGCGTGTGAATCTTGCGCAAAGGGTCTCGCACGTTGTCCATACTGTCGAACTATCATAAGTGAGATTTTCAATCCGTACTTCTTGCAGCTCACGGACAACTCAAAGCATCATTGCGCCATAATATAGCCAGCTAAGGTTTTAGGTGTACTTTTGCACAACAATTTTAGTCAGGTTTTGGAGAAAATTATAGATTTTTATGATTCCCAACACCCCTTGGATGACAGTGTCAGTAAAAGGTATCAGTAAGAGGAATGGATGAAGTCATCACCTAAAGTGCAAACGAAGGCCTCCACTCCGTCATCATCACGGTTGTGCCGCTACGCACTTTAACGTGACCAACTGCCTTGAGAAGAGCCTAAATCTGCGAATAAACCAAGTTCAGCACTAGCTAATCAAAAGATTACACGACGAATTGTTGGGGACCTCGGGGAAAGTTTTGGTTTTTGGCCAACATGCGAGGCTGTGGCTATGCTGTGGTCTCAGTATTAGTAAAAATTCTTCCATCATTAAAGTGTCTGCATCCTAGCAGACTAGCAGCAAGAGGGCACAGGATTATAACGCGAAGCGGCTGCCGCCCCACAAAGGTCAATCATGGCTCATAATTAATTTTAATTGCCTTTCATCTATTGCCTGCCTATCCCGAAGTTTTTGCGGGCGGCACCTGCATTTTAAATTAGAGCACCACATCGCTGGTGACAAAGCAGTAAGACTCAAATGCTTAACACGTTTTAATTCATTGAAATAGTTAATTACTTAGACTGGCACTGAGCAGTGTGGAATTGCCCATGGCGTGTCTAGGTGAGGTTCACAGGCAGCTTCTAGACGTAATCCAAAGATCTCGCGTAATCGACCAGCAAGTCAGGACGATGAGGGAGACGACGTTATCACGCCCAATGATTTCCTTGGACATGTCAATAAATAGCAAGTCACCGGCAATGAGAATGGCTTTGAATGACGAGCCGCCTGACTGCGACGAGTCAACGCTTCTGGCTGATGCAATATACCATCAACACTGTGCGTCGGTGGCAGCACCAGGGATGGCACCGGAGCTCACCAGTGCCTCTCACTTGTCCGACGGCGTAGGATCCCGGCAAGGCGATGCGATAGACTTCCTAGTTTCTACGCTACAGAGGGTGGTGCACGACGCAAACGCTGTCCTCCGTTACGCGAAACAAGTAGGCCAAGCTAACGAACTGAGAGACACGATTCAGCCTCAGGCGTACGCTGACCCCATCCCCGACTACTTCTCCTTAGTGGAGCGGGCGAGACAGAGTGGGCATAATGACAGCGTCGCATACAATCCCGTCGGAGGGTTTATTCGATACGTATACTCTCTGATAGACAGAAATGCGGCCCTCCAACGAGAGCTTCAGAGACATGCTAAGTTATGTAAAGGGTCTTATTAGCCATCCTGGTAGCTCGCTCGTGGGTGGCCCGGATGGCGCGTCTCTGCCTGATCCAACTGGCGAACCATACGCTCAAGATTATCAAGGCGAAGGCCAGTGCGACCCCAAAGAGGGCTATGAAGGTAAACTCAGTGCCAGATAGATTAAATATGGACGAGCGGACGCAGATGCCGGACTGAATGGTGTTCAAGAATCGATATCCTTCTTCACACTCCGTGCATTCTATGCGTGAATCGTTTGTGTCGTAGTAGCAGCGTGCACAGTAGACTGTCCCTGTCGCAGGATTGTTGCAAGACACGCAGTGGGCACCAATGGACACTTGGCCGTCTGGACACGCCGTCGCCATCTAAATTTTTGTTATGCCGGCGGCAGGATTTGAGTGAAGGAGCTCAGCCGGTTGGCTTGGATGCGTTCTTTTGTATAACTCATCGCAGGGTCATACGGGGCAAGAACCTGTCATCACAGCTTTTAATTTAGTGCGATTCTGGAAGTCGGCAAAAAACGATATTAAATTGGAAATTCAAGTGAAATTTCACGTCTGTCCTTTTGGATGATGGGCGTGAGAGACCCACTTTTCTATGTCTTCGTTGCATTCTGAACATTGCGAAGTGCCGTGTCCCGGGGAAGGTCTCGCCTCCTATTAGCTAGGGCAACCATCTGTGGTGTCCCTAGCATTCCCTGCTTGAGCTAGGGATCATCCAGTCGCTGCTTTGTCGCTCATTCTACCTATCACACGGACCTGATACTTTGAGATAGAGCGATCATCCTTGTCAGAGGCTGGTATACTGTTGTAGAGTAATCAGATTAATCTATGCAGAAGGTGACCGCTTTTCTTGACAACGGAGGCGTGCTGCGGCAGTGCCCTGACAATGCCACCGTTACTCTTGTTGATGCTCTCACTCGTAACGGTAGCCCGGTAGTAGTGGTGCAGACTGACGATGGGATTGCGTCCCAGGTGCCACTTCAGAACTGCACACACGCTACTGTGGCTGGTGCTGCGCTCTACCTTTTCGACAAGGACGTCACGCTCTTAGTATTACTTTTCCAGTCCCAAGCACAGGCCGCCAAGTTTACTGAGACCGTGGCCAAGCATGTCAAACTTCTGGGGGCAGGGGGGCTCAACATCGAGGAGGCCCTACACGGAAAGAAGGCCGACTCTGACCTCGACTGCGACCAGGAGACACAAATACTGGGGATACTAAGGGACCCTTCATTTCCGGAATACGTGGACGCTGTTGAGAAGATTTTGTGCCGTATGATTGTGACCAAGTGAGGCATCGTATGCTCCAGCATGCTACTGGGCTACTGGGTGCTTTTGGCCGTTCTGGTTATTGTCTGCTCTCTTCTTTTCCGTCTCTTTACAACTAAAATAAATGACCGATACTTTTCATGCTTTGCAGCAAGCCGAGACAGAACTCCAGTTTCTACAGTCGCAAATAGAGTTTGCACAAGCAGATTATCAGCATTTATGGAACTTGATCACCTCCCTGCGCTCGCAACTCGAGCAACACTGTGTGACACCCCTTGCCATAGGACAGTTTGTAGAGTTTGCAGACGAAGACTACGCGGTGGTACAAGCGTCTACGAACTTCGGTAACTCTCTTGTGCGAATTAGCAGCTCTGTTGACCGCCTCAAACTGAAGCCGATGTCTACCCTGGCCCTGGCCAAAAACTCTCTGGCTCTACTGAAGGTTCTCCCGTCGGACAACGAGATGAATTCCAATGTAATCTCCATTGAGGCCAAGCCAACGGTCACATACGCAGATATCGGTGGATATGACCAAGCAAAGCTGGAACTTCGAGAAGCAGTCGAGTTTCCATTGAAATCCCCAGAGCTTTTTGCAGCCCTAAACATACAGCCTCCGAACGCCGTGCTTCTGCACGGGCCTCCAGGCTGTGCTAAGTCTCTCTTGGTGAAAGCATGTGCGAACAGCTGTGACTGCACTTTCATATCTGTCACCTCCAGCTCATGCGTGAACAAATACTTAGGAGAGGGCCCCCGCACCATCCGTGACATCTACCGGCTTGCCCGTGAGAATGCGCCGTCAATTATTTTCTTTGACGAGATTGATGCCATAGCCAACAAACGCGGGGACTCGACGACAGAGGGAGACAAGGAGACTGCTCGCATCCTGATGGAGTTGCTCACCAATCTAGATGGATTTGACAACGATTCCAACCTTAATAACGGCAAGATTGTTAAGACGATCTTCGCCACCAACAAGCCCGAGATGCTCGACCCTGCCCTTCTTCGAACTGGCCGAGCAGACCGGAAGATTTTCATGGACTACCCCACGAAGCGGGATAAGCGATTGATCTTCCAGACGTGTTCTAAGGACATGAAATTGGCCAACGATGTAGACTTTGAGATCTTCGTCATGCGGGGAGAGAAAATCTCCGGTGCCGAGATAGCCTCCATCTGCACAGAGGCCGGGATGTCTGCCATTCGCGCTAATAGATACACAGTTAACATGGCCGACTTTGAGAAAGCATACTCTATTGTAGTTTCCAAGAGACAGTCTGCTAATAGACAGATCTTTGAGTAAATGCCTCCTGGCCTCTGCTGTGTCTTTATACTTGTGTGCATATGCATGTAGACGGGCACTGGAGTGGATCTCTGAAGATTTTAAAGACTGAAAAGCTTCAGAAGAAGAAGGAAAATGGAGCAAAATCAGAACTTGTGTGTCCAGACATTTCACATTCTAGACAAGGATGGAGATAACCGCATTTCTATGGAGGATTTAGAAGCATTTCTTTGCACGCTCTATGATGAGGGGGCAGTTGCAGAGGTTAACATTAGAGCCATTATTGAGAGCCTGATCAGCACGCGGGAACCGGCGCTTGACTACGTAGAACTGTTAGACTTCATTCGTGAGAATGGCTTGCTTCACGGTCATCAATCAAAGACACAGATGACACGGGCCATTCAGCGTCTCCAGGGCACGCGCTTCTCCTTCAGCACAGCCGATCTAGAGTCAAAGATGCTTGACTTAGGATTTGAGATAACGCAACAGGAGATCGACGATGTTCTGGAAACATTCACAGGAGCGAAGGACGGAGAGGTTACCGGGGATATGTTGGCGCACCTGTTCTCTCAGCTGTGCGCATCCGACCTGGTCTAGCAGTCTTCCACGAGTATAGAATAAACGTAATGCTAGTTTACTTCGCACTGGACGGGTCTGGGTTCGCAGACCAACAGAACCTGTAGGGCTTGATGAGTGTCTCGGCGTAGTCACGAAGATTGGCTATCCCCCGCACTTCATCGTGTCTCAGTGGACTAAGAACAATATTGAAGTCGTCATAGAGCTCATTGATTTGGTCAATATACTTATTCTGCATTCGCGCCCGACTCCTGCACATGGAGCAAGGAGTGGCAGCATTTGCATCGAGCACAAAGTTGATAACTATGGCGTGACAATCCATGTCCAGGACTGCAAGCCGCTGAACAAGCCTCTCTGTCTCATAGAGAGATAGAAACTCCGGTATGCAGACCCCTACAAAGGTGCACAGGGATGGGTCCCGAAACTCAGCAGAGATCCTTTTGACGACGTCGATCTTCGGGTAAGTCTTGTCAATGAGGCCAAAGATATCGTTCTGAGACAGTCCCATGGTTTGCATTACCATCGAAAGCATCCCTCCCATGTTATCCTTCAATCTGGTGAAGATTTCTAGCACCTTGTTTACCGTTTCTGGCAACTCGAGGAAGCGCAGAGTGTGGCCTGTGGGCGCCGTATCAAAGATAACTGTAGAGTACTCATTGGTATCTATGAGCTTAATTAAGTTAATGAAGGACCACATCTCATCCATCCCGGGGAACGTTCCGTCTTTAATAAACGAGGAGGCACATGTTATTAGGTCGTTGAGGCCGCCAAACATGTCGCCTTCAGATTTGGACTCAGCATCATTGTCAGCGGCAGAGCCTGTCTCCTTTTGAACGGCTTCAACTGCAGACTTCATCTCATTAGAGGCATCGACCTCCATTGCATACAGGTTGGGAATCCCGCTGACTTGAGTCGGAGCCTTGCCAAACTTCTGGTCAAAGGCATCGGAAATGTTGTGCGCAGGATCTGTTGACAAGAGCAGGAATTTCTCATTAGGACGGGTCTCGGCCATGAGGACAGAAAACGAAGAAGAGGTGGTTGTCTTCCCAACGCCACCCTTTCCCCCAAAGAATATCCATTTGTATGTGTGCTGGTCTAGTATGTCGTGGAGCGATGGGAGCATTGGGAAAATACTAACGATGAATTATTTTAAAAGTAGATTTTTGGCATGCTTTTTCTATTCCTGATTGACTTGTTCATAGCCTCTGCTTCTGAGTGTGAAAATGCTAGTGATTGTGAAAAGTGCCTTACCGAGTGCTACAAGACACACTTTTGGTGCGTCGATGATAATACGTGCCGTCCATTAACTAGCACCGGAGCTGACCTCGACGACAGTAGCGCTCCATTTGGTACATGCAGATTTTATGAATCTCACGATCTTATCTTCAATGCAACGGAGTGCTGCTCCACGAAGCCCGATTACACTAGTTGTACAAAAGGTTCATTAGTATCGTATTGCCAGTGGTGCCCGACATCGTCTCATGGCACACCACAGTGCCTCTATAAGTATGATACGACTCACAAGGCTATGGTGTGCGATGTCCCTCCAGAGTCGTTTGCCAAGTGCTCGGGATTCACGTCCTGCACGGACTGCACAAATAACCTATTGTGTGTCTGGTGTGAAGAGAATGGATCCTGTATCCCCAAGGACTCTCAAGAGGATCCGCAGTCAAGTTATTACTGCAAAACAACTACGGACAATTGCTGTTTTGACAGAAGAACGTGCGAGGAATGCTCCAATGACTCTGGGCCCTTCGACCATCAAGTGTGTGTTTGGTGTAACGAAGAGAAACAATGCAAGACGCTTGCTGCCGCTTTGACAACGTGCAACTCGACCAACAGGCTGGGAGTGAGGTACTGTGAAGACAGGTGCTACTCCAGGTCTTCCAGCTGTTCGCACTGCGTAGCAGATCTTGGCTGCATCTGGATTAGTAATCTACACTGGACGCAGTCTATCGGAGTCCCTAAAGACCTCACCGAGCTCTGCACAGCTGGATCCCTTTCTGGCCCCAAAAGCAAAATCATCAATTACCAATCTAGCAGCACTGGTCGCTATGAATTCGTGGTGCAAGAGTTCTACCATATGAATTGTTCACTTAAGTCGTCCTCCTTAATTACTTTGATATCTGTTCTGGTGGTGTCCATCGTAGCACTCATCATCATTATCTTAGTTATTACCACAATAGTAAAGCGTCTAAAGTACGCCAAGGCACTCAAGAATGCACGCGAGGAAGCGGCTATCATCCCCCAGGACAACGATGGACAAGAGGACAGCGATGAGGCAGAGCGTAATGAGATAGCCCGATTAGTTAAGCCGGTGTCCTGGGAATAAACTGTTTAATAAGCTACTTAGTAAACCTGTTGTAACACTTAATGTACCTCTTAGTCGTGGTCGATTTGCGGACCCGAGTTTGAGTTTGGTAAAAATGTCCATAACGAGGCTGACACGGCCACTTATCGAGAGTGTGGCCAAGACTGTTAAACCGTATGGAGACGTGGTAGAGCTCGATTTTCAGCGTAACAATATAGACCTACTCGAAAATCTGCAGCCCCTTTCTCTCACGGAATTGGCCATACTGAACTTGTCCTACAATAGGCTTCAGACGCTCCAGAACCTTGTGCCAATAGCTACTCTCAAAGAGCTAAAAGTAAGCGCCAACTCCCTCGTCAGTATTAACACAGCACTTCCCTTTCCAAGGCTTCAACTCCTCGATTTATCAGAAAATAAAATCTACCAAATAACAGCAGAACTCCCAGAAAGCCTGTTAGAATTGGATCTTCGAAGCAATCTAATATGTACGTTTGAAAGCGTAGCCCCTATCTTTAAATTACATAACCTTACCGTATTGGACTTACGACAAAATCCAATCGTCGACAAGTACATAAGTAACGAGGCATTCTACACATACGTCACGAAGTTCCTTCCCAAGCTAGACACCCTGAACGGCGAGCCAATAGCCGCCTTCCGACAAGCTGCCATTTCTCAGATGCAGCTCTCTAAAGCAGAAAGTAGAGTAGATAGATCCAATGCTATTTACGATTTGACTGAATCGCGCGTAGCTGGAGTCGTCTCTGCAATATCTCAGGCATCACAGGTTGACAGTCGGTCGGAAGTGCAGGGCAGTGGACAAGCCAGGTCCCATCAGCCAACTTCTGTACGTGCCTCTTCTGTTCAGCAGCAAGATCCTGGCATTAACATTAAAATATATTCAAACTATTACGACAAAGGGGGACCTCAGTCAAACAAGGGGCAAATTACAGACTCTCAGCGCATGGTTAATGAGCACGTTATTCTATTTCGAAGTCCGTCCAATAGAAGGTTATCATACAGCCAGGTTAACCCTTCTAATCCTCCAGAGAAAATAGCTCGCGCCATATCACAAGAGCGACTGGTCACTACTGAAAGTCTTGCGACAAATACTATAGTCCTGCAACAAGAAGCAGGTCAGCAAGGTGTCCACCACAAATATAGGGCATCGACAGACGATTATAACATGGTAGCTTCCTCCAGGGCTTCTGAAGCGCAACAAAATCGACAGGGCATAGCTCCAATCGCTGTCCAGAGGTCCCGAAGCTTTCGAGCAACTGGTGAATCTACCATTCGGGAAGTGCAGGCTACAGAGCCACTTCTTTTGCCACATTCACACCCGACCGTTCACACTGAGGCACAAAGTTTGTCATCTCAGAATAAATCTACAATAATGTACGAACAAGTTCCTGGAACTTATCAGAGTACTGACACAGATATGAGGAGCACCCACGTTGAGAAATCTGACACGGCACTCGTCACACAGCTACGCCGGAAGTGCATGGAGCAAGAACTTGAGATACATCGGCTCAATCTGGAGCTTAACGCAGCGTCGGAGATCCTTGGAGATAAGGGGGTTATTCCTGGTCTATTAAGTCGGGATACTACCGTTACAATGGCTAGTAAGCTGCGCAATGAAGGAAAGTTATTCATCCCTACTATTTCTGGGCCGAACGAATATGCTAAGCTTCTTTCTCAAAGTGACTTTTCAGAGATAGCATTACTCAAGGCACAAGTACAATCCCTCGAGGAAAGCATATGTGCCTTAGAGAACGACTCTATAGTAACCTATCCTCATCCAGAAGCAGAGAGACCTGGACAAAGCTCGCTTCCTATCGCACTATATTCATATAGACGCAAGCTTTTCCACACCATCCTCGCGGGAACACGTCAGGCTAAAGAAGCTAAGAGCAAAATTGCTGAACTGCAAAAGACAACACTGGCACTCACAAAGCAGGTCAAGGAGAAGGAGGAGCTCGAGCAAGAAGCAGATGCCAAGACTCGTCTCCAGAAGGTACAGCTCAAGGATGCTGAGCTCCGCAAGGAGGCAAAGCAGAAGACAATAGAAATGTTGTCGACTGAGCTGAGTCAATATCACAGTATGTTTGAGGTACTGTCCGAGTTACATGCTGGGGGAGATAACGGACTGGTTTCCTTCCTCCAGCAGAACTCCGTACTGACCGTTGTAGAAATGGTCGAAAGAGCGCTTGAACTAAGCCGGGAGAAGATTCATAATGTTGACCAGTCTGTACAGGCCATCACGACAATCATTAGTCGTCAGAAACTTCGCATCGAAGCCTTGACAGACAAGCTTGATGATTATGAACATAAGTATTCAGCCCTTCTGTCAGAGCATGAAGATCTGATGTCTCGATATGATGCACTAAAAGACACCTACAAGAGCTTGCAGCTCGAGAAAATAAAGTTAGAGGCAGACTCCCTGGATAATAGTGCACGGAGAAGACCTCCATGTGCAAATTTTGCAGTGCAGGTGAGGCCCAGATCTGATTTCGCTGCAGAGGTAAGTAAGCACCCTGCTACGTTAGAGGATGTACATACCTTGAGTGATAGAGCAAGCGTTACAGACATGCAGGTAGCACACGAGCTTCCACCAAGCCCATCCGTTTATATTGGGCCAGGAAGAAGCGTGCAGCAACCAGAGTCATCCCCCAAGACAATCTCGTCCACCTCTCGTGCACCGACCATCTCTGCAGCTATGGTAGCATCACAGATCACCAGATCAATGATGCAGAACTCTCATCAGTCGGCTGGTGACTCAATAAAATCTCCAGCAAGGCATTCAGCGCCCACTCATCAAGAGCCCCTTCCTGACAGTATAGTTTCAACCGTGGAGCTGAATACTAATGGGAAGCTACAGCCGCCACAGTCTGATGAAGATTTGTTTGACATGAAAATGGCAGAGAGAAAGCAGCTTGCGGCGGAGATGAAGGAATTACAAAGCATGACCATCCCAAGAAGTTCGTCCTCCAATCGAAAACGTGCAGAAAAGATCATGGGGATGTTATCAAAGCTGGACTCGTTAATGTAAATGCTTTCCCCATCTTGAAAAGCCGCTCTTTGTGCATGCAGCCATGGTCTCCAGAGGTGATCGAAGATGGCGCTGTGACCGATGAGGGTGACTAATAGGATGGCAGTGAGCTGTACTTTTCTAGCACATCGAGGGCTTGTCTGCATGCATATTGCTGTTATTGAGCCAGTGCTTAAGTTGACAAGTGTTTATTCTTGCTTCAGGAATCTAATAACTGGTAGGGCTTCCCCATGAGCCTGTTCAAGTAGTTAATATAAAACGATGGACTGAAGGTTCTAACCGTACTCTAACGGCAAACTGAATACTAAAATGGGGACAGACTCTAAGGAACTCTAGAACAAAATTGGTTGCTTTTGATAGTGATCTCAATTAGTCAACTAGCTGCCTAGGGCATAAGAGAGCCGGTTCACCTTTAAAGGAGCTCTCTGAATTGCTGCGATTCAAAAAAGGTTGAGAAGAAACAAGATATGTCTCCTGTGACAACTGAGTTGTGGGGGCGTACTGTCCATTATGTGTCTGATGCGCATACAAACCATATCTTATCAAGAAGCAATGGCTACGAGGGGCACCATCACAAGCCCCCTGCCTCTGTCCGTGCCCTACTACAGGATATTTCAGGTTTACCACGGTACAGCAACTACCTCTTTTTAGAGGGGGCCGATTCTACTGCCACGCATGGGAAGGTCTCTAGCCTAACACGGCTCTATGTCCCTATTATCAATCGCCCCTACTCCGTCGTGGGACCGACCAATGTTGCTACTGATCGGCTGGGAATAACTGACGCATCGTTCTTTAACGAGACTATCAGGGTCTCGAATTCGTTTGGGCCACGGGCTCGGGGCTGGAAGTGCGCCAGCAGCCCCACCAGCGATGTTGCTATTTGCATATGTCCTGCGCTCACATTCCGAAGATATCTAAAGCAGAAGGGTAGAGATACAAAGTCTTTGCTTGATTATTTAAAGGCTACCAGCTCTGACTCCCTTCTCTGCTTTAATACAACAACAATGGAACTGACACACTCTCTCCCACTAGCGAGCATAAATAATATTGGGCCGTGTAGTGATATCTCTCCCATTCCCTTTGAGATTGCTGCTACGTATCTATATTCATTCATGGACCTGGCGCCTGCCTCTGCATCAAATAAGAGTGCCGGGACCTTCCCGCCAGGGACATATGCAGCTTTGCTGACTTGCTGCGACAGCAGAATCTATCTTGTTATTGTTGCAAACTATAAGCTCAAGTATATTCAGCTATTTACTGTCCTTCAGCCAGTCCCCAACCTTTTTGCGTCGTCCATAACAGCTCTGTCTGTGCAGCTATTGTCAGCAAGTAACTCAAACTCTGAGGTCCCGCGCCTTTTACTTCTCGCCAGCGGACCACTTGCTTTGGCAACCCCGCAGCCAGCGATTGTGGGTCTACTTAGCGGTGTAAAGGCCAACACGCGGCCTCCACCTGTTGTATGTGCATATACTGTGCACTTTGCAATAGATGCTAGCTCACTGCCTCACGTTACCACAAGTGTCTCATTGGTAGCATCTTCGTTTATGGATCTCCTTAGCGTGGCCATACAAAAAGGAAAGGGATCTTTAGCGCAGATCCCTACACCGCTGCGAGTAGTGAAAAACGGCAAGGGGCCAGAAATCATTCTGGCTGGGCAATACAGGTTGTTCCTCAAGCCTCTTTACTTGAGACGGAATGGGCCGAAAACAACCCAAGTGGCCCGAGAAATTGCCGAGAGTGCTGTTGCAGATGTCTCTGGGATTTCTGTCGCGGCCTCTATAGATGCCAAGTCTATAACAGGGTCTGTGACAAGTAACTTGGTTCCGTATCGCGCTGAAATGGTGCGCGCCTTTGGACGCAATCTCTGGTACTTCCGCCGTTCCTTCGAGGACGCATCGTCCTGTGCTAAGAGATCCTTGTTACCTGATCCTCGCACCTTAACTGTGTCGGCGCGGTTTCTACTTATAGATTGGCTGCTACTGATTGTCTATATTATTGGATTGCTTGCATACGGTTTTTATGGGATTCTGATCAAGGTACTTGCACGAACCGAGAAGCTTACTATTAAAGTCAACAGGCGCGAAACACGAGGGTCATATGCTGTTCCTGTTTGTGTTCATCCATTGCTCTTTAATAGGCCTGGTGGGGCCTACCATTGCCTCATCTTTCTATCAGATGAGTCGGTTATAGGAGCCAAAACGGTCACTTTTCTCCTTGATCACTGTCATAACAGCGCTCCAGACACTGGGGTCAAGCTTCTACAACTTTACTTGCTCGATAGATCGACCCTCCAGTTGCCTAAGAACACTCACATTACAAGTTTAAGCACCAGACCAATTTTGCTTCACAATGATTTCAAGACTACCATTTGTTCGGAAAAGCCACCAGAGTATGTCTGCCCCCAATTACTCTACATAAAACAGGATCAACCAGGGGATCAATCTGCGAAGAACCGGCTCCTATCCGAGATGCCAGAGGAGCTTTCATCTGCAATCAAATGTGCAAGCAGCCACCTCTGCGAAAGCATTGGAAACTTCGATTATCGAAAGACACACACCCTTCTGGACCAGGCTACAGAGCAATTGGCTGTCAAAGCGTCGTCCTCTTACTTATACTGTTCGTCTGTGCAACGCTCTTCTTTGAACAGGACATCATCAAGTGTGCGATCTTTGCATAGTACCACCGTGGACTCTACATTTGGGGCACTTGATGCTTCCACAGGAACTACTCCATTACTCTACTTGTGTATGTTTTCCTACTCGTCAAATGTCTTCCAGTTGAACATTTATACAGTTGATAACGGTATTTCGTGTTGTTATAGCCTGCCTATTTCTTTAGAAGCCATCGAAAGCAGCCTGAAGAATCTTGATGCCCTGCCCTCGTTCGCTGACACCGCCGATTATTCTGAGCTTTGCCAGGCCGGGCACCTTATGGAAATGGCCAGTCAAACAATCTCATTGAGTAGCAAAGAGGTGTCCACCTCTGTCGTTGCCTTCCATGACTCGTGCGCAGACGATACGGGAGATTCTGATGTTGACCAGACACCGGGAAAGAAGCTTGAGGCAGTTGTTTTAAACCGAAGCGAAACCTGTCGCTTGAGTCGAGCATCGCGCATCCGCAGATCACAGATGATCGAGCGGCCTCTCGTGATTTGCGCCGGCACTTGTTCACGCCAAACTCGGGAAGACACAGTACGTGGTATCGGCTCTTATTTGATTGACTATTGTGACTTAGCTGACGGTCCTTCAAAGACTGCTGTTTCTGAGTGTCAAAGTCCGGGAAATGCAGCGGCTCATAGCCCGTGGCGACAGCCCCAGTCGGATTCATATAGAGTGCTTCACTTACCAACGGTCAGGGATGACGCAGCTTTATCCTTTTCGTTCACTGGTTCGGTTGCCAAGACGAAGTCGGTTCTTCTTCCGCACAACCCTGGCTTGTGCGGGTGCACCACGATTGAGGTTCTCTTCAACACAAAACAGAGCAGTCGCATTGCAGAACTGGTGTCACTAGCGCTAGCAGAGCGTACTGTATTTAAATACAGGTCAGGGACCGCCTATCCCCAAGCAGAGATGTTTTCTTTCAAGTCCGGATCTTCTAACGATGCAAAAGCTCCGGGAGCGAACGTCAAGCAGGCCATCGATCTTATGAATAGATATATTAGAAATGGAAAGCTCCTAGTGCAGCCGCACGGTGACACGTTGAGCACGTCAGCTAGTCAACGCACTCTACCCAAGCTCGATGCCCCTGGTAGTGAGCTTGCCCTTTTGTCCATGCTTCATACTGTGGCTACCAAGGACACTTCGGACTTTTATCAAGACTTTGCGACAGACTCTTCCAGTGTGATAAATTGCTATGCATTGGAGGTGATGATCACATGGTTTGCAAAGGGTCCCGTTGTTGCATTTAGTATTCTGCAGAAGACAAGCATACTTGATCTTGTGGCCAACTACCATCAGGTTCTTGCTCTCCTTTACTGCATTGTTAGGCGAACGTGTAGGTTCATATGTGATACATTTGTACTAAGCTATAGACGAACTGTTGCTCTCCACCGCTTTCTATCCTTGGTTGAGTTGATGAGTGTCCAGGTGGGCCTCACCAGGCTGCTAGAAGCATGCTATAAGAGGTCTGTTCTATCCATTTTAGAGACGATTTCCCTGTCGGCTGTTTTTAATGATGAGTTCCTCTATGAAGTAGAAGGGCTGGTAAAGTCTCAGAATACCTTTGCACACTACTATGATCCTCATCATGTGTCAGATAGGACTCCATTTTTTGTAAGCTATAACTCCTTGCTACGCTATGTCCGTGACTTCACTGGGAAGGATTATTCTTTTCCAGATAGCTACGAAGAGCCAAGCTTGCGGAAGGGAAGTCCAGAGTACATCCGGCATATTAACGCGACCTCACTTTTTGTTGCAACAGGTCTTCTGTCGGACATTGTTGGACACGACACGCCCTGTCTTCCGGGATTTCTGATTTTCTACCTACATCTGTACCTTTGTCCTCAGCAGTATGACGACGCAAGTGATGTTAATTTCGCTATTCATCAGCGCCTTAAGAGCAAAGCAACACTCTCTGCTACCGAAGTAGCTAAAATTGCCACCAATGCCGCCATATATAGGGCTCTTTCGCAGTTCATTAACATGCTCATTACTTCTAAGGATATATTTATCAGTTTTGATAGTTTCCCAGATCATCTTGTCTCGCCAAGTACCAGTGATGTGATTCTTCTTTTGAAGCTGTGGCCTCTTTCACGTTACATGGGTTATCAGACAAACAGCAGCTCCAGTTTGATGCGCCATCTCTTAACTCTCAACACTGCAACATCTATCTTACAAAATGCCAAGGACCTAAGCGAGTTCAAATCGAAGCAGTCCTCTCCTGATATTGACGAGCAACATACTAGGCTACAGAAAGCATTTGAAGACAGTGTGGCCCATGCATCTTCATTTGTTTGCCGTGAGCTCGCAGACTCATTGATATGTGCTGCATTTAGCAGCCCTACGTACACGGCCCTCCTTCGGGAATTGAGTAGCAAGATTGAGACTCAGGCGGGAGCTGCCGATCACGCAGTGCCTTTGCGCCCGTCTATAGATGCTGTGGATTGTTGGGTTGATGAGGATGGTGACCGGGATGGTGACCAGGTGGGTTGTCGTCAGACATATGCGCAAGCGGTGAAGCTTTCCTGCAAATCTGACGAGATCATACTTGCAAGTCCTACACTGTCGGCGTTCCTCGATAGAGAAACTGTTCACTTGGGCAGTGATAGTGCAACATTACAAAAGGCTCTCATAGAGCAGCTAGAGTACTCCGGTCGTTATATTGGGTTCTTCACTTCTTTATACTACTTTATAGGGTATAGCTTCCGATTCGATGACTTTCTATCTACCGACCAGTCCCTTTCATTTGTGTCCACGCCTGTACTAGGGCGATGCACACCGGTTACCACTCTCCTGAAGACGACTGTCCTTGAGGAGGACGCTCACAGTCAGATAACAAATGCAATCCAGCTTTCTACTGTTATTGTGAAGTGTCTCATCCCCCGGATCAAGCGTGCCATCCATGAAGCAAGCGAATACACCCGCGCATATATTAGTGATCTGATTGACATTCGCACAAAGGATGGTTATGTTGAGGGGATATCTATTCTTATGCGCACAGTTCTCAACATTACCGAATTGCCTTTGAACGATGTTAGTAATAAAGACATGTTGAAAATAGCGCACGTCGACGCCAGCTTTAGGATGTATGAACTCTTCAAGCAAGCTCTTGAAGATTCTATTGTCGCGAAGCCTTTACTGGAGAGTCTTCGGGAGGAGCTCAAGCAAAAAGACATGCTGGTCGTCCTTACCACTCCAGCACTTTTTGCATGGAAAGATTTCTGTTCTCTCTCCTCCTCAGCCTCTATTTTTACTGTCCTTGCGTGCTTCAGTCTTTCTGACTCACTCCTCCCTACAACGAAGTCCGTAGTCTGGCTGGGTCATTATTACACCTCTGCCTTCGTCACTTCTCTTCTTTCGTCCATGCAACCTAATGGTGGAAATGCTTCCATAGACCTCGCTGAGCTTCTCCAGGGTCCTCTTCCAAACGCCTACTTGATTGGAGACGAGATTTCTGGAGCCATTGATGCTATTCTTTTGTCGTGTATCAACTCACAAGTAACTGATGATATCTTTCAAAATACCGTTCTAGTTACAATTCTTCACGGAGTCCTTCAGACGCCATATGCAATGCAAGCGATAATTGCTCAGTATCAGTATATCAAGCTGATGATCAACACAGAACATCCATCGAAGTCTTTACTGAACAAGCTGCTTGCCTTGCTTGTCGGTCACACAGAGAGATATCTTTTTACTAGCTTCGAAAATAACCCGCCAGCACTTCCGCCGTTCTACCCGCTTTATACGCACTGCGGTCTCGAGTCTCATTTTTCCTATGATTCCTTTAAGCCCCTTGTAGCACTTCTGTACATGATTGCGTTGTCAGAAGAGAATGTTGCAAGGCTTACTCACGCTGAACAAAAGGACCTCTACAGCTGCCTCATCGACTGCATCCTTACTCCTAGTGTGCGGAGGTCGTCCACAATGACAGAGAGAATAGAATCAATTGCCTCTCTTCACAGTATGGCTACATCTGGGATAGTACTTTCTCCTATGTCACACCTCAAGCTTCGCGTAATCCAATCTACTGAGAAATATACAGATGTTTATAGGAAGATGTGCTCCAGCTTTATCTTTAACAACTCAAGCGCGGGCGTCTCTTCGGAGCTTGAGGAAAAGATACGGAGCTTGCTGGCGCTAACTGAGAGTGGCGAGCTGTTTGACGGTGTGGATGGACCCGGTATCTTGATAGAACACGCGCTACGCTCCAGGGCCAAGGAAGTCCTCAGTATTCTTGGAATAAAGTTCGACATGTTTTCGCTAATACTGGAATCGCTATGTTACCACCTACAGGAGACATACAATAAAGAGTTTGGCCCATATGTTGCTGGTGACGACAGAGAGGACCTCCGTGCCGGAGCAGCCAGGCTGACCAACGCAGAGTCCTACAAGCTTATCAGCGACGTTGCCACATTCTCGTACGAGCTTTTAGACAGTATTTCTCTCGAGGGTTCTACCCATGCCAGTGCACTTCTTAGAAAGTACGCTGCATCGTCAGCATTCAAGGGTCTTGCAGCGCAGACTTTGTTCTTCGTTGATGCAGATATACTGCATACCAAGGTGCCTCTTCTGCTGACTAGCATTAAAGGGGTATCGAGTAGCTTTGACAGCTTGAATTCTGATTTGAGCCCCGAAGCCACCAAGGATTTAGCAACAGCCCTGCTGGGCGGTGATGTTATTGGTAGAAACATTGTGTCTGACTGGATTGACGTTTATCACATGAGCTTCAACTACTACTGGAGGCACCGGAACAACGCCTTGGCCTTAACCGGAAACGCATACTACCCGTCCTGCGTTTCCCGCATTCTTGCCTCTTCTGTCTGTCTTCTTTCAACAAAGACGTCTTCAAGCACAGAGCAGAGCTCTTCATTTGATTATGACTCGTTCTTACTGTACCTATTATTAACCACGGCGTTCTTTTATGTTTCTGTGCCTGCGTCTTTAAACGCAGTGCAATCTGATGTAGCCTTTCCAAAGAATTCTGGGATATATGAGCAGCTTCTTTACTATTCATCTACAACCCCGCTTCCATTCGTATGCAATGAACCACAGACCGAGGGCACAACTCTTACCAATGTGGCTCGTAATATCATAAGCAAAGGGAGTCAATCCAGCAGCCTGTACAGCTCCATCCGTGATTTGCGTGCATCCAGGCGACACGATCTCTATTCACACAGGAATAGATTTGTAGCGAACATGATTAAAGAGAATAGTCCCAACAAGAGCGATGTTGCTTCTGCCTGCACACTGTCAACTCTCATGACTTGCTGCTATGTCTCGTTATTTTTGGAGTATGTTCATAGGAAGCAATCTACAGACGGCGGCTCACTTCCTACTCCAGGAGATAGCATATATAGAGGCCTTGTATCGTTGGTCAGCACAGCTCCTATTTCTAACATTTGTGACCCCAAGGCCCCGCTTCACTACATGGGCATTCCCATTTTTCTTCTAGCGCAACTAAAGCTTCCATTCGTTGATAACTTTATGATCAGACTCACGAGAGAATCATGGGCTTCTGAGCCGATTGCCGCCTTCTTATATCTATCTCTCTCAAACTCAGAACGGCTGGTCACAGGCCTCTTTTTGTCAAACTCTATTTCCTATACACAAGATTTGCCCGGAATGACGTTACTATCGTTTGCAGTTAGGCTCCTTGGCCTCGAGGTAGCCAGAGCGGACATTTTCCGCCAGCCCATGACCACTGATGCCGTCGGACGCCTACTTGTCAATGCATACGCGAGTCAGCAGTCATCCAAGCGAGAGGTGACCAGTCTTCTATCTCTCAGGGATCTCAGCGATGACAGCCAAACAGAATACTTTCATGGGATGCCCTACCATCTTTTCCTTCTACCGGCACAGGTTTCTTGGACTGAGGTTACAAAAGCGATTAAACATGCTATAGCTGCATCTACTTCTATCTTTCCAGACAGCTATTCAAGTGATCGTTTATATTGCCAGACAATTAATAGGCTTTCATCTTATGCTGGTAATACTTCATGTTTACTTCCGAAGGCTCTTAGCGAACTTGCAGATCTAGCTAGCGATCCCTGCTGGCAAGACCAACACGCGCAGCCCACGATTCTCTCGCTTCTGCGGGACATTCTTTCTGCTCTGCTCTCTATCTGCCACGGTCTTCTAACTCCAGGTATTTTTTATACAACCGTTGCCGTGATTCTTCATGCATTTGGCGATGGACCTTCGTCGGTGGCGGGGGTGTCTGACCTCCTCAAGAACTTGAGAGCTTTTTCAACCGATTATCTATTTCTCAACTACATTCTCCGTAAGTACTGCAGCCAGTCTGGTGAGAGTCTTGAGATCCTTCTATCCCTTCTGTCTGCATTTCTTTCTGCTCTTTCATTTTCAGAAGATACTCGGGCAGCGCACCGCCTTGCGGACGCCTTTGCTTCTAACATTGTGCACGGAGATCCTGCAGACCATGTATATGCGCAGAAGATATACTCATTGTATGTCCTGTTTGCCCCACCTGACAAACAGTGCAAGACTGAGTTTTTGCTAGAGGCGCTGAGGAGGCTTCCTGCGTGCAGAAAGTCATGGTTTATACCCTGGTTTACGAACAAGGCAATTGTTCCGGCGCTAGACTTGCCTCATGAACAGGTCCGCGAAGTTGTCCGACTGGCTTACACACGTAACATTCTCTCTGATAGTGACCCTAGTACATCAAGCAATTTGCTGGAGTTTCTGGACTTAAGCTCTACCGTGGACATATCGCGCATTGTTACTAATATGTTGACAGAGTCATCTATCGTCGTCAAAGCAACTAGTGTGCTCTCTGCAGTACAGAACTTTGTCACAGTTAGCAAAACGTCTGGAGCAGAGAGTCTTTCCGCTATATCGCAAGCCTACTCTAATATTCTCCGAGGAATCTCATGGCAGGTAGCTTCTCTAGAGGATGTTGTTACTCTTTCGAATGTTTTGCAAAATCTGATGGATCTCCTCCTTGACATTGTGCCCGATATGGCGAGGGCTTATATCAGCGCTGTGCTGGCGGGTGATTCCACTTTGTTTATTGCCGCGTTTCCAGTCGCACACAATCTTGCACCTATGCCAGTCCCCTTATCTGCTAGGAGGAGTATCTGGAACGATATCGAAACCAGGAGCCCAACACTCGCTCCTGGTCCTGGTGTCTCCAACTCAAATGCACAGTCCAATGGATGGGTCGTGGAAAGTGACTCCGATTCTGCTGATAACACACGTGCAGCGGACACTCAAAACTTGCAGCCACCACGAGCCCCGACAACAGGACAACCATCCCAGCCCCATCCAAAGACAGGCTGGGACTGTAATACCGATACCACCGATTATAGTGCAGATCCAGATATCGCTGAGAACTGCTGGGCTGCCGACCTGACTGACACAGATTATGAGGCGTGGTCCTCTAACGACGATGTCCCGGAGTCAAAAGAAGTCACTGATCCACTCAGCGCCAGGGCACTTTATAACGTCTCACAGCAGGGCGCTCCTTCACTTGGCGGTTCCTCTTGCAGACAGGCATATATACCAATAGACGCCATTGAAAGGTGTGCAGCAATGCTCAGGCAGGCTATTCGGCTGCGAAAGACAGCAAATCATTATGTACCTTTGACAAAGAATTATTCTCTGCACTTATTCAAGGGACTCTTCACTTCCTTGGATGGCGGGATCCCGCCTACTGCACGCTTCGCTCTTCTGAACCTAGACCATGAGAGTGCCATCATGGTAGTGAAGGATTTCATTATAAATGCATTCGCAGGAGAAGAGGCGAGCCTAACAGTTCCACATCTTGTAAGCCAAGAGGCTAGAGCATTGATCTCTTCCCAGACTCGATGCGACCAGCACATACTGAGCTCTGTTGGAGTGTTTGCTGTGCTCAACACCTCCTTGATATTTCAGCACCTTTCAGAGTTCATTCTATCATCCTATGTCTTTTGCCATGGACTGCCTTCAGACCTGCCAATATTTCGTGAAGATACTATTGAGTTTTTAAGATGGGTGTCTGCTAATGCATTAGAAATGGGCCTTGATGAGACTTGTGCCATCACCTACTATACAGTCACTATCATCGACAAAGAACCTGATCTGGCCCTCCCCTTAGCACACCTTTTTCTTCGTTATCTTAAGGTATATTGCTCTGAAGAAGAAAAGCATACACTAGTTTCAGAAGCAGTGACGAAGCTGTCCTTGAAAGACTCTGCACTAGTTTCCTCGTGGTTAACAGTGTCTGCTTTGTGTCTTTCCTCCGCCCTTTCTAGAACCGATTCCTCAAATATTGCCAAACTGGCTGTGATTCAGAATCTAGTCTCTGGGGCAGCGGACATCAGTTCCGAGCATCGATTGGAAGAGGAGGCTACGCTTCAACTTCTCTCCAAGCTTCAGCGAATCCTTGCACAGCTTTCGCGTGAGTTTACCTTAAGCACGTTGGACCGTCTTGCAAACATCACGGCGCATCTTACCAACCTGTCTGAGGACTATCTGAGTAGCAACCGTGAGGCAATACTTTTATACATCAAGGTGCGCTATACGAGCGATGCAACTATTCTAAAACACAAGCTCTTAGCACCAACCTACGAGATTGGCTCTGTCCCCATCTCGAATGTGGATATCACTTCTTGCTCTCCACCTTCATGCGACACTTCCTCCAGTGATGACTATCTCCAGCGCTCTCTTGTCACAATCTCGACTATGTTCCCACTCTCTCCTTCTGTAACCTCGCAGTCTCAGGATCCCCTTCTTGAGTTTTCATTACGAATGATTGCCTTAGAGTTAGTACGCTCCTCGGTACAGCTTCCTCTGGCTCACTACCTTCTTTTCTGGGAGGCTGCAGAGGCTCTACTATCAAAGCAGTGTAGCTCTTCGTCTTTCAAGAAGCTGCTTCCAAAACTGGAAGAGGACTCTAGCAATAGAGACAAGTTTTTACTTTTCTACACTGCGTTCTACACCACAACTCTTTCCGACATAAATGAATATAGAGACCAGGTGCAGGACAGGCTTGAGCGTCTTTTGCAGCTCACGGCAATACTCTCCAAGCCAATGCTTAATCTCAAGACCCTGTGTGTCTCACTTGAGCCCAACCAATATCTAGAAAGCCCAGTGTCCCTGCCAATGGTATCCTTATTGGGAATAGGCGCCCGTGGAAGCGCCCTCCTCCAGAAGATGCAGGGGACTGAGTTTGCAGATACCATAAAGACACTAATGGCGATTAAAGAGGATGTTTACAAGCTAAATCTGTACAAGCCAAGTGCACAGCTTGCTGGGGCTTTTCCTCCAGAGCTGGATGGAATATGCACAGGGCTTCTCGGGGTTTATGTTGGAATCTCTGACAATGACGTAGAGGCTAGATTGGCAGAGAAGCTCGGCTTAAGCCTTACCAGCGACTTTCGGCCATTAGCCATTCTACGAAATATAGCATCAAAAGTTATTTAAACCAGATTCTAGCGTCGTATTGAGCTGGCTACGAATATGTCTTGATGAAGATCGCAGAGCCGCGTCAATGATGGGGTAGCTGCCGATGGTATCTGCGGCCGTGGCTACCGGTTCAGCAGCGTCATAATAGGAGTGATTGGAACTAGTACCAAAATATCCTGCTTCTAAGGCTATGATTTTCTTCATCAAACGACGGGTTTCTTCGTCCCGCAAATAAAGCTCCTTCTTTAGTAAGCCAATTTCACTCTGGTGCATGAGTATCTCGTTTCTGAGTATAGAGATCAGTTCATCTCGCCGCGCTAGCTCCACTTGCTCACGATTCTCTATTGACCGAAGCTTGTCGGTGTTTGCACTGTTTGCAGAATGCATGGTTGCCAGTAGTGAGTTATAGGACCTATTCTGGCGTTCTGTGGCGTCCAGCTTGCCTTGAAGATCGGCCAATCGGGCTGTTAGCTTTTCTGTTTCGTCTTTCGCTGCCGCTTCTGCCTCTGCAAGAGAGTTGTCTTTTTTCTTTACATCCTCGAGTAAAGTAGCCTTATCCTTCTCAAGAGAAGAGAGCTTATCACGGAGAATCGAGACAGACTGCTTCTCCTTCTCTAGCTGCTCCGTCAATGCCACACATCGAGCATTGACTTCAGTCAGTATCGTGGTGGTAGCTTCGTTGTGTTCTGGTGAGGGGTCTGTAGATGTGTGCTTATTGGCCGTCTCGATGTCTGCCATATGCGTCCTGGCAACATTGGTATGTGCGCTCCCTAGTTCAAAGCGTGTTAAATCCTTCTGCAACTCTGCTATTCTGCATTCGTTTTCCTCAAGCTTTTCTGATAGTAGTTTCTTTTCCACCTCCAGTCTCATCCTAGCCTCTTCCTTCTCAGAAAGCTTCTTTTGCAGCTCGACAATCTCGCCCTTTGCAGACCCAAGATCTGCCTTCAGAAGATTAATTTGATTCTTGAGCAGTTGTGTTGGCCTGGGGATCATGGTACCGGGCACCATCATGGCATCTTCCGTGTTGCTGCCCAACGAGCTCCTCTTGCTGCCGTTGTCCTCTTCTTCTGAGGTAAGATCTCGCGGAGTGGTGTTTTGGCTGGCTTCGTACTCGCGCTGAAGCTGTTTTATCTGCTTTAGAGCATTCTTTAGCTTTGTCTTGTCACTTTTCAGCTTGTCATTTTCTTGACGAAGATGTTGGTTTTCCTGTTCCAACAGGTTATCGGTCTTTTCCATATGCTTAGCCCTCGAAGGCGTAGAGTCTACATTCTTAAATTGCGACGAAGTTGGCGCAATAGATGCAGGCATAACGACATTGTTAGCGTCTGACTCTGAATAGATAGTCTCTTCGACAAGTTCCATTTGTATCTTGGGCATTACAGAATCAGTGTGCACGTGACGGGATAATCCTGTTCCAGTGCGCATTAGAGCGCTTACTTTGGCGCTGAGTTCCCGGTTCTCTGCCTCAAGAGCACTCTTTTCCGCACAGTGTTGCTCAGCAATGGTAGCTTGAAACTGGGCTTGTTCATCCAACTCGGTCGTCACTTGTTGCAGCTGCGCTTGGAGCGCAATGATCTCCATTTGCTTGTCCATGACCTGTTGTTGATATGTCAACTGTAGGGCCTCGATATGCTGCGAAGCTTGAAGGGAAGATTGTGGATAGTCAGAAGAACGAGCATCACGCTGCCAATTGACTGACTCTTTAAGCTGGGCTCCAAGCTCCAAGATTTGCTCCTCTAGGTCAGAAATCTTTTTCTTGAGTTGATTAGATTCATTAGTAGATAGCTTCGCAAACATTTCACGTAGATCTGTCTGAGCTTCTAGAAGATTAGATTTGGTCATAGTAAGAGTATCTTCAAGCTCATTGACGTAGTTTCTTAGATACTGCACTTCTGCAGCATACTTATCTCGTTCTTCCTGTAGAAGGGCACTATGAGCTTTCTCATGCTCCAGCTCCTTCTCAATCTCTAACTCTTTCTCAAGTTCCCTTTTCGCGGTCACTTCATTAAGTTTGATTATTACGGACGATAGCTCCTGGTCCTTAGCATGCAGCTTTCTTTTATGTTCTAATAGCTCTTGCTCTGTTTGCGCAAGCTTTTCTTCGGCCGCCCGTGCTCGTGTTTCAAAGAGTTTAGCCCTCTCTATATGGTAGTTCAGTGTTGCCTGCTCGGAGCTGTTAGTCTTAGCAGTCAACATCTGAGCAAGCTCCTCCTTTTCAGCCAAGAGACGATTGCTTGTGATCGTCGAGTTTGCCAATAGCTGCAGGAGCTTACGGATCTTCTGGGCGTCTGTGGCATCCGGATAGGTGAGGTTAAGTGTCTGCTGAATGGAATCAATGGATACACCCTGGCGTCGAAGCTGCTGTTCGTCGTCTTCTGTAACTTCTAGGCGGCTGAGTTCACTGGTCATGGATATACTAATTGATTGAGATAAGTCTGGATCTTGTCGCGGTGCTGGATCAGGCTTTTTCTGAGGAGGTCTAGTGAAGGAGCGCCCAGAGGAGTTGGCAGTCAAGTGTGCAAAACGGTTAGGGCGTCCAGTTCCCTCGGAAATCACCACTGCCCGTTTGTTCGGCGTAGTGCTCAGAGTCACCACGTCCTGAGAAGTGCTAGAAAGCTCGTCAACCTCGATGGCTCCGCAAAGTGCGCTGCCTGAGAGCTGCGAAGTCTGTCTAGCGAGAGAGTTGTGAGAAGGAAAAGGGGCAGGTTGAGCAAAGCGCCCGCTCTGTTGGAGTTCAGACAAACCGTCTGTATCTTGATGGCTGGGGGTGCCATAGTTCATTGTACTCGGGGTGTAATAGTTCTGAGTGATGGCGGGGAAAGACGGCGGGTGTATCACTGGGGAAATGTCCGTGCATGTTGGGGACGTCATATCAAAGTCACCCCTGCCAGAAGCTTCATGCACAGCCGCAGTGGAACCCGTTTGCTTTGACATGAAATTTAGAATTTTACACTGGAAAACTATGGGTTCTTGTCGCAGATGCACTTAGCAGACTCTAGGCGTGTTGTTGTTATGCTTCCGCAGCTAATGCTGGGAGTATTTAAGGCAGAGCTTACAGAACCCGAAGCCGCATCAACTTGTACCGTAAGAACTGTATCTGGCTTATTAGCCCCAGAGACCGTTAATGTTGATGTGCTTCCAGCACCGTTCAAAGACACACTATTTGCACCTGCAGGGGAATCCTTTATAACAACGAAGGAGACAGTAATCTCCGAGGTACCGGTTAAGGCAGAGATTGTCAGGTTCGTATCTTCTGTTGAATCCGATTGAATATGAGCGAAGTGATTAGGAGATGCATCTGCCTCTGCCGTGATGTTAACGCCGCGCTCAGGAGCCAGAGGTGTAACCGTTACTGGACCGCCGGTAATAGAGAATGTATTTCCAGCTCCTCCAACGCTGAGAGTGGAAGTCGTAATGGTTTCTACCGTCAAGGTTCGATGAGCAATTGTATCGACCGTCATGGACTCTGTAAACACGAGTGTGTTTGCAGTCAGTTTAGAGTTGGAAAGAGACATCGTCTGAGCATGTATAACGGGTACGTCTAGTTTTTCTGCATTGAGGGTAGTTGCATTCAGCTGTGAACTAATCTCTAGGGTCGTAGCGTTGAGAGTGGCTCTCGCGCTGGCACTATTCTTAATAAGAGAGACGTTGAATGCAATGGTCACGGCCTTGATTGTGTCAAAGAATGCCCTAGTGACCGTTAGTGCAGAATTAGAAAGAGTTGTGCCGCTGTTCAATGACTCCAATTGAGTGTCAACGGTCGTCACGTTAATAGAACTACTTCTCTGCTCTAAAAAGCTAGGCGTGATTAGCGAATACGTTGTTGGTGCACCTGCTTGTCCTGTAGGTGGTGCTTGTAAAATCGCAGGGTCAGACCAGTTGCTGTACCCCACCAGAGCTTTATTTGTCACTGTCAGATTGGCAACCTTTAGGTCAACTAGCTTGATGTAAAGGACAACAATCAATATTATCAATATTATAGTTAATAGGAAAAGAATAATGATGATTATGTAAATCAAGAGGTGTTCACGCATGACGCTCAGGCACCCGCCGTGTCTCTGCTCCTTCATAATGGTTCTAGATTCATAAAGGGTCGACTCCTCATTAATCAGCACGCGAGACTCGGCGGTGTAGACAGCATCGTCTATTGATTCAATATGGGAAACAGCTGAAGACTCTGCGCTCGAGATCTCTATAAGCGGGCCCGTACGTCTTACTGGTACTACTTTAGCTACTGTGATGGCTGGCAGCGGTTCTTGTGACTGCCCTGTGCTCTCCGAGGGCGGTTGATATGTCTCCTGGTTTTGCGGGATTGCATTAATCGTCTCAACAGGCAATGGAAAAGTTGTAGTAGAGAACCTCTGAAACTGTTCCCTAATAGTTGGATGCAAAATAGCCCCGTCGAAGTAGAAGACGAAGCGGGGCGCCCCGAAGGAGGCGGCCTCGCGGGCGGCGGCGGGGCGCTCGAGGTACGCCTGGACCTTCCGGTAGCGGAGGTACGTGAGCTCGGCGGCGCGGCTCCCGGGCTGGGCGCGGAGCTCGGCGGCCGGGGGCGCGTAGAGGACGAAGCGGCGGTCCCGGACGAGGTCGCTCCGGCCCTGGGCGAAGGCGGGGTTGACGAAGACCGAGAGCGCGTGGCCGGCGCGGGCGCGGGTGACGACGGCCCCGAGGAAGAGGTCGCCGGGGAGCCGGAGGGGGACGGGGCCCGCGAAGCCCAGGGGGACGGCGACGGCGCGGAGGAGGGGCGGCCGGGCGAGCGGGAGGGCGTCTGGGCGGGTGCAGCTCTCGCAGCGGAGGCCGACCCGCCGGGCCCCTGCGGCGAGGGCCTCTCCGGGCGCGAGGACGGCGCTCGCCCCGGGCTGGGAGGGCGCGCCGCACGCGGGGCAGGGCCCGGGGAGCCCGAAGAGCGCGGCGCAGACGGGGGCCGGGAGGGAGCGGACGAGCGCCGGGAGCGCCCCGGGGTCTGGGAGCGGCCCGAGCTGCGCGGCAAGAGGCCCCAGGTCGAGCGTCCCCGCCCCGGCGAGCGCGGCGCGGAGGAGCCCGGCCCAGAGCTGCGGGGCGTCTCCGGCGGGCGGGGGGCCGTCGAGGAGGGCCTCGAGCCGCCCGAGGACGAGCGCCTGGTGGACGACGCGGAGGAACGCGCCTGCGAGGCCCTCGGGGTCGCCGGCGAGGACGAACGAGGGCGCGGCTGCCGCGGGCGGGCGTCCGTCCCCCGCCGCCGTGGGCCGGGGCGCCGGGTCGAAGAGGCCCGAGGGCTGCGGCGCAGACGTCATTTTGGGCGGCAAAAAGAGCCGAATACGGTGCTCGAAACCGTGACCTCGACATTACTAGTGTCGCGCTCTAGCCAACTGAGCTAATTCGGCACGGGCACCCCCCAACGCCTGAAATGGCTATTGTCTTTTTCCTGAGGGGACCGCAGTTTACTCAGAGCTCCTTGTCCCCATCGGGGCGAACCACCCGGCCGTCCTTCCCGAGCGGGACGCCTGTGAGCTGCCGCGTCTTGTGCTTCTTGAGGAACTCGATGATAGAGCCCACCGGGTCCTCTCCAAAGTCTGCCTGGAAGACCTGCTTCTTAGGGCTGGCGTTATCATAGATGACAATCTTAGGGCCAGCAGAGGAGTCCACGTCGATACCCTCGAAGAACTGCTTCCACGACCCAGTATCCGAGAATGTAAGCGTATAACGCATTTCGATGAAGGAAGTCTCGTCCTTCGGGTTGAGGATAATCTCTCTCGCAAACTTGGAAAGGGTCTTGAGGAGCTTGTTGTCCCGCTCCGTATCTAGTGCAAAGATTACAGTTGGCCTGCCACGCTCGTGGATCAAGGCCGCTGCATTGTCCTGTCCCAGTAAGGGAAGAAAGGCGTACCGATGCGAGGCAACGAACTTCTTGATATAATTGACGTTACTGTTCTCCGTCCCCTTGTAGACGATGTGTTCTCCTTCGCGAACAGCAGTCAGCTTCCATTCTTTTGCCTTGAGGAAACCAAAGAAGTGTTCACCCTTGAAATCTGTGAAGTACGACTCGTAGATCTCCTTATACTCAGGGGCTTCGAGCAGGAAGTAATTGAGAGCACGGACCTTCCGAGACTTCTCAGCGCAATCTTCAACACTGTCACACTTTGTAAGAGTTGGCTCGAGCATGGAGTCGGCCCACTTCATCATCTCGTCCTTCTCGCGTGCCTTTTCATACTTAAAGACAGCGCCGCTGCTCTGCAGGAGCTTGATGGTCGGGTAGCCGTTAACACCGTACTTCCCGCAAATGCTACTGTGGGCTGTGCAGTCAACTTCGGCCACAGGCATTGTCGTGTATTCGTTGGACATCTCCTCCCAGGTGGGAGCCAGCTTCTTGCAGTGTCCGCACCACGGAGCGTAGAACTTTACAAAGAGGTTCTTGTGCTTCTCGAGCTCACTATCGAAGTTGTCCTGCGTGAGAACGAGCACCTCCGCGACAGACACTGCGAGGAGAAGAGCGAAGATGGGGGGAATCATACCACAAGTTTTAAATTGACGCTTCTTTTTTTGATCATGTCAAATGACGGTATACCTGGCTTCGGAAATGGCCTATCTATCACAAAATGTGGCGTAGGCAGTGCAGACGCGTGCGAGGAGCCGGCGCCCAAGCAATTTCGTCCTAAGCTGGTTCATATCGCTGTGGCCCTAGGGTATGTCGGAACGCGCTACAGTGGCTCCCAATGGCAGGCACCGTCGGCGACACATCCAGATATTCGCACTGTTGAGGGGGAGATCTACGCTGCGATAGAAGCCGCAGGGATTCTGTACGGACGGGACATCAAATCCATTGGATGGACTCGGTGCTCACGCACAGACAGGTCTGTTTCAGCTGCAATGGCGGTGTTTTCGTTCTTTGGTCCTGGGCACCTTGACCTTGTCCAAGCTCTCCAGCCCCATCTCCCCAAGGATATTTCTATCTTTGGTACCGTCCGGGTTCCACCCAAGTTTAGCGCCAAAATGGCGTGCACAAGTAGGACCTATGAGTATATGATGCCCCTTGTGTTCCTCTTACCCAGCTCTCAGGAAGAAGCCTCTGAACCATGTCAAGACGTGCAGGCATTCTTTTCGTACTTGGACAGCCCATACTCTGCCGAGAGCACTGAAACCGTTAGGGAAGCGTGTTCGCGGTTATATACTGCACAGCGTCATGATATCCTCGACTTCTTGCGATTGGATGACGAGCTGCAGAAGATACGGACTCAGGTTCGCATCCGTGCTTCACACGATTCACCTGCAGTAATATTTGACACAATGCTTCAGCCCTTCTTGCAGCAGCTAGTAACAACTGCTTTTCTAGCCAAAATACGAGCGTACCACAACTTTACAGAAGACAATGTGCAGCCGTCTGCCAGCAGCAGAAAGATCCTGTCTTGCTCAGTGTCTCTCTCCGCCGCCTTTGACTCTCAGACTGACGCCATAAAGGACAAACCAGCCGCAGAACTGTATACGAAGGTAACCATCTGCGGCCAAGCATTTCTCATGTACCAGATCAGAAGAATGATGGGAGCTCTTGTGGCTGTTCTTAGGGGATGGATTCCCGCATCCTTCTTATATTTTGCTTTCCAAACGCGCACCAAGCACTTGCGTATATCGACGGCACCTGGTTCCTATCTTCTACTCAAGCAACCCAACTATGAGCACCTTCTATCGAAGAAGGACTTCACTCAGCATGGTGTGTTTGTCTCTGAAGACGAAAGAATCAAGGACTTGGCCGAACGCTTTAAGGTAGAGAACATTTACCCTGAAATAGTGCGACTTCACAAGGACATAATTGCAGAAGGCCGAGTTCAAGCTATTCTTGATGAGATGGAACACGAGCTTTGTAAGCATGGAAATGGCTGGGCACAATCCAAGACCCTCTTTTGCGATGACATCCGAACACAGGCAGACATTGTCAGTAGGACGATTACAATCTAAAGAAGTAAAAAATTACCATGGTATGGAATAAGCCAGAGCTTCTACAGGAGATCCTCGAGCTTATCCCTCGCGCACGGTACCTCACAATAGACTCAGAGTTCTTCTGTGGCCAGGAAATGGCTATGCCCAGCTTTCTTACTCCCGAAGCTTTTTATGAAAGATATCGGGAGCACCATCGGAATCAGTACATTGCCCAGCTTGGCATTACTATCGCCATTCCAGATCCATCTATTTCGGCATCCGACTCCATCAATACTCAAATTTATTCTCCAAACAAAGCTTGTGAGAGGCTTGGACTTCCTCACCTCTTTGACTCTTCCTTCAGGCGTTTCTCGCTGAACACCCGGGTCTCAGAAGTCACTAAATTCTCGGTCGAAACCCTTACTTTTTTGAAGTCGAACGGCTTCAGCCTCGATAATTGGCTCGATACAGCAGTGGATCTAACCACACACCCCAGGGCTGTGATTGATCAATGCGCACAATTCTGGACACGCATCTTTGCAGCGATAGATTCTGTTCACGGGCCAAAGGGCTTCGGGACCGCTGGAGCAATAGCTCCTGAAGTCTTTCAAGCATTAAATCCAAATGGAAATCCAAATGGGAGCCAACCGGACAAGAAGGCGTCAAGTGGGATAGCCAAGAAATGCTTACAGGATGCGTGTGGGCTAAGCACTAATTTCCTTGCTCCTGTGGCACACGCGACAGGGTTTGCTGAGGGCTCTATCCCGCAGGTTTTCTTCACATATACAGCAGGTTGTCTCTATGAAACAGCTGTCTCTATAGATTATAGCACCCTCTTTGACTATCTTGGCTTTTTCTTGTCTGAGTTCCAGCGTGAGAACGCCAGCTTCAATTCAGATAAGAAACTTGAGTACTACATCACCATCACTCCTGATAATGGATATCCCTATGCGGTAGTCGCAAACTACGTTGATCTGTTGCGAGAAGATATCGACTCTCTGACTGGAGACTGCTCTCTAGATCTAGAGGCTAAAGTGCATGCATCTGCTCACTACTACCACCGTAGTAACAAGAGCAATCCAAAAATACTCTTATCCATACGTATTTGGCGCACCCGGGAAGAGGCTCAGCTTCATACGCACCAAGTGATCCAAAAGATGAAGACTGAGCTCTATGGTCTGCGGGCATTTACTGATGCTGTCTGCAAACATAACGTGCCTCTTGTGCTCTTTTCTGGCTGCACTGACATTTACTTGACACTGGCGTCTGTCTATGGAGAGCACTATCTTTCTACCTATGCTCAGTTTCTCACCTTAGTTTCCAACACCTTCCCGCGCTGTTTTGACCTGAAGATCTTTGTAGACTTGCCTCCCATTATCAATCACCTCAAGACCAATCTCTCCTTAGGCTCTCGTTCCTTGTCACAGATCTTCAAGATAACATCGTATGGTCTCCAGTCAGCACAGTCAGATGCAGATGATAATAACATGGTGCACGACGCGGGCTACGACAGCTTGATGACAGCTCTTTCATTTGAATGGGTTCTTGGCCACTTCCTCGCCATAACCGGAACAATCTCCCTCGATGATCACAAGCGTTTGCTCTACAAGGTCTCTTCTATCAAGGTCAACAAAGATCTACCCACAACTGATCTTCCATTATTTTTCAATTACTGCTGGGATAAGTTCTACATCCACCAGAGCGCGTTTCCATATTCATTAAAAGATCACACTTCTCCAGTTAGTAGTGTTGACACCCATCAGCCAACTCTCACCCAGTATGTCCTCTATCCCGTCAAAGACCTTAGCGTTGTGGTAAAAGCGCTCTATCCCCTCTCATCTCACCTCAAAAAAATGTACCCCGACCGTCCTTGTCACTATTATATTGAAAGAGGCAGAGATCATGGCCGTGTGTACATTCCCACAACACACCCCGGTGCTGCCACAATCCTTAATGAGGTCATCAATGCAGAGAGTTCTGGAAGTCAATATTCTTATGTAGACACAAGTATCGCTGAGCTACACACGCTTCAATATGCTCAGAAGAGCTTCTGAACAGCATTACAGGGCCAGTTCACAGATCAATGTTCACGAAGCTCCACAGTAGATCCTGGCTTGAGTGCCTCCGCACCCGCTATAAGGATTGCGTCACACATCTCACGGCCGAGGAACACTTCTCCCTGATATGTTACTATGATATTAGGACTAAGACCAAGGAAGACATTCCTTCCGAGTGTATTTCTAGAGCTTCTAGAGTTAGCAGCAGACAACCTTTGGGACATATTTGCCGATGTGGTAGTCATCGAAAGGAGGGTCTGTGCAAAAGCCTCTCTCATAAACCTGTTGCATGTGACCTTATTAGATCCATGAAAGGTCTTTGGTAGGCAGCAAATGATGTTGTTAGTCTGTGAATTATCCTCTTTTCTCTTTCTATGACTGAGGGCAGAGATATCATTGATGAGAATCAAGGCGTCTCCGCAGTTATCTGTTCGGCGATGGGGTCTCTGCAAAGCCACTTGTGAGAACTCTGTGTGCTTGGTAATGTACGCCTCATATGCAGTTATCGACCGGAAGACCTTAGCATTAGGATACCGGAGTTTATAGAATTGGGTGTCGTCCCGGGAAGATGTGCTAATGATTATGGAAACAGCATCCTCGTAGTTAGACACCGATGTTATGTCTTCAAAGAAGCGCATTTGACTCTCCTCCAGTGCCAAAGGATTCGCAATCAAAAGTGTTCCGCTCACCGGAGACAGGAAGACAATCATGGGCCTATCCAGGTAGACGAGATATATGTTATCAGTGATCTTTTTAATTACTGCGCTGGTGCACTTTAACGATACGTGCGAGCGTGAAAGCCCAAGCAACTTCTTGTTGTATCGTCTACGAGCTGTTAAGTGCGATACAATGAATAAAAGCAATAGAATGCTGCCTATGACCGCCAAACTTACATAATTACGCCTCGCATACTCCTGTAATTCAGTTGCCAAGCTTTTGCCGGCAAATGGCCAACTTTGCATTTTAATAGAAAATGCCTCCAGCCTCCACAAAGAAGCCAGCCGCGAAGAAGGAAGAACAGAGAGTCGAGGGGCATGGAAAGTTCTGGTTTCCAAATGGTGACATTTATATAGGGGATTATTACGAGGAAGGACCCATCAGAAAACGCCACGGAAAGGGTCGGTACACTATGCATTGCCAAGAGGACATGGAAGACCCAGAGGTTCCCGAAGAGATTCGCTCCCAGGACATCCCTGCGCGGCTCCCACAGGACATAGTTGCTCTGGACGGGACGTGGGATGCAGATGCGTTTATTGAAGGAACGGTGCGCTTTGCCAGTGGCGCATTCTACACTGGAAAGATAGATAGAGAAGGATTTTATGTCAGCGGTGGCCGGTATACTTGGCCGGATGGGAGCTGGTATGAGGGAGACATCTCCCGCAACATACTCCATGGCCACGGGAAGTACTATTCTTCTCACACAGATACAGTGACAGAGGGTGCCTTCCGGAATAATCACGGACCAGGCCTTGATGAGCGCTATGCAAGCCTCAATCCATGCCAACCTTAAATGTAAAAGTGAATAACGAAAAAGCTTGCCAGCTAAGGCCGACTACGCGATGATAGAGGGAATTATCGCCTATTTGCAAGGCCTTGTCGACACAGACGAAGACAAGGCGTATCTTGTGAATTACTTTTCGGCCAACGAGTTCCAGTCTCTACTTTCTGGAGCGACGACCCATACTGTAATAAAACTCACTAATTTCCCGGGAATCGATTTATTTCTACAGAACATCAAGGGCTACCAGTTGTTGTTGTCCTCTTATAAAGGCGACGCCCGCTATCTACTACTTTTGTTCCATAGCGGCAAGGTCACACACTTTTCCGAGTTCACTCTTTCAACGGTTCACCTACTATTGGATCAGCTCCCTCTGTCTACGTTTCAATATCTAGACACTATTGCGAGAATCCGATTTCTGCAACAACTGGCTTCCTCATATAACGTAGCATTGAACATTTTCCCCAGCTATCTTACGCCCCTGTTTATTGAGACTTTTCATAGCACTGTGCTCCTCTTTCTGCGTTACTATCCTTGCGATCCTAAATCTATTTCGGGAAAGGCAGAGGCATTGCAGGACATCGGTATTAGCCAGCTTACAGTCGAGGGACTGGAGCAAAGCATGGCAGACATTCGTAACCTTGTTGCCGGTACAAGTGAGGCAAAGGCGTCTTCTCCAGAACCTTTGCAAGTTTCTCTTGGAACGCACCGCGAAGTAGTTCTACTTCTTAGTGTGTACCTTTCTACTGCTCTGGCGTCTTTTCATGCTCTGGCTTCGGAGATTGCCTACACTTTCTCAACCTATTCACATCTGCCAACGCTTACAGACACACTGTTGTACCTGCACCAGATGATGTCTCGAGTTGCATATGCACTGAGCTTCTTAGAGTCCCCTCTCGTTTTAGAACTGCTTCAGTTTGTTCAGTCAGCTCTGGAGGGCGCCAGATTATCTAATCCAAAGCAGCGATCCAAGACTCTGACAGATCTCGTCACTGCAGAAAACAATATTATTCTCCATCTGCAGTCGCTGAAGACCGATTTCATCTCCGTCAAGGCCTTACTTCATAGAAACATGCGTCTTTTGGATGCTATCGTTCCCTTCATTTCATCTATTCACGACATTCTTTGCCCATTCACTGTACAATTGTCGTGTGAATTGCACATGATATGGCCTAAGAGAGATACGGTGGTGTCCACAACTTACTTTTACGAACTGCTGCATCAGTTGTTAAATCTTGATTATAAAACCATTCTCCACACAACAGAGACAATGTACACTATCGCCAATTCTCTTGATCTTCGTCGGGTGGATGGGAACCCTCTGATTCATGATACTGTCGAGGGTGTGCAGAAAAGACGACCTCACGATCTATCCCTCTCACCACAGTTTTGTCTTTCCATCATAAAACTATTCGCAAATGACATGGACCTTTGTCTCACAAATCTAATTCTTCTCTTTTGCAATGAGATAATAGACGGTTCATCCTCAAAAGACGACATGAATACACTTGTATCTGCCCTGTCTTCTCTGGCGTCGTTGACACCAAGTAATGGTCATCGTTTTAGCGCCAGTACAACTCTTGACACAGATCTAGATCTTGGCGACCAGTCGAAAGAGCCTGCTGAATCTTCTTCAGGCGTATCTAGAACGGTCGAGGTTCTACAACTCGTACTTGCTATCACTAAAATTGAGCATAACTCCATGAGAAACTTTGTGTTTATGACAGCTGAACCAGATTTGTTCCAATCCTATATGCAGCCTCCTTTGTCCAACAATGGTTCCCATCACGACGGCCCAGACAGTACAGATAGCACAGACAGTATACTTTATGGTCTGCAGATGTCCCACGTGTCCCTTCCCAACCAGTCCTTTTCGGCATCTGGGTCTGCGTCCACAGAGGCTGTGTTGGGTCATTCACAGAGCCCTCTTTACAGCACCTTAGCAGGACAACTAGCGCCTCAAGGGGCAGACGCTCTTCATAGATCTGACTGCTTGGCAGCGTGCCGAGCCAAAGAGCCACAGCAACTCACTGCGGATGAGATATTCGATATGAAGGTGGCTGACATACTAGAGGCACCTATTTACAGGCTGTGCATAACAGAGTTTGCGCCTCGATCTATCGCCTCTCTTTATTTTCTCATTCGGATTGCTCATGCAGCGTACTTCTCTTATTCGCGGCTCCAGCTCATTTTTGTGCAGCTCTATAGACCTGCTTCTGGTCACAAGGAGACTACTTTTATGCAGGCAGTTCAGCCAGGGTCTTTGCACCTTGAAGTTACATCCACAGCAGCGTACAAGGCAAACAGCGCGGTTGCGGCAGATATTTGTCTCTATACCATTGCTCTGCGCAACATAGTAGAGGCATCTGGGCCGATTGAAATCATTAAGCTGGCTCTCCTTAACTATCATGAGTTCGAAGCCCTTCACCCAAAGGAAGGCAGGCTGTTTCAAACTATTATGAACAGCGATACCTCTTTCATTCATACTGTTATTTCGTACATCGTACAAAAGTATCTGGTTGACACATCACCAACAGTGGGCCTCTGTGCCTTGTTTGTTGACTCACAAGCCCAGCAGTTACAATTCTGCAAGGAGATGGAGCTGGCCCGTAGCAAGGTTCTTTCTCTCGACTCATCTTTATGCAGAGAAAAGCCCCTTCAGAGAATCCCAAGTTCATGTCTCGACAAGTCAGTAGAAGTTCCTAATGGCACTCACTTTGCGCTACTCATGGAACAGATTCTAGAAATGTGCCGTGCACAGCTTATAGAGACCTTTAAAATCAATTATACCCTTCGTCTGCAGCTGAGCGCGACATCTGCACTCTCTTTTGTGAAGAAAGTCTCGTCATACATTATGTTTATGTTCAAGGGACGAGCAAGAGAGCTGATTCAATCTTTTTATGACGGAGTGATCAAAGTTGCAGCCGAGACTATTCGGCAGACAGAGGCTTACTTCCATACAGTTTTATGTAAGTTTGAGACAAACACATTTGACGAAATACTAGACAATCCCAGGCGCATAACCTTCTTGCCCAAATGGCCACTCTTCATCCGGGGAATCTTGGAAGCTGTGGCAATCATCAATAGATTCATAACAGCAACGGATCTTTCCATGCATTCGGAGATTCTCACAAACGTTGCCCTTCGAGATGATAAGTTGCGGTACAACATGAACAAGTTGGCACTGCTTCATAGCCTAAGCTCAGACATAGGGCTGAAGGCTCTTAAAGCTTGGCTAAAGGATTCATTAGAACACTGTCACCAACTTAAGTGCTTTGTTCTACGCTTGTCGGAACAGTGTGCGCCATCCATGCTATCATTGTATATGTCGGATACGCTCTTTAATTCTTTAGCAAAGGCCTTACTCAGTCGCGTGACCGTGACTTATGAAGTTAATGCCCCACAGCATGCTTTGCAATTTGCTTTAGAGCTGGAGCTGCTTGGTCGCTTTGGGATTTTGAGGATTACAGAGCCTTTTATGTGTCGCTTTCTATTGAAGGAGGATTTTCTTTCGCTAATTGATGTAATCTATACAGAGTTGCAGAATCCCGAGGACCCTCTAGAGACACTACTTGTTGGAGCTTCGTTCGTGGGAGAGAGTGTCAATACTCCTGAGCACGAGAGACTCTCAGTGGAGTTGCTATCACAATCATTCTCTGGGCCTACCGATTCAATCTCTAGCAGTGCCAGTGCTGGAAGCGAACTTCGAAGACCCCTACTCTCCAAGTCTGAACCAGGCCTTGACCATAACTTAGCAGCATTACATGCGTCTTCACAGGAGCAAGCAAGACCAAGTAATATCTTATTCGCCAAAGTTTTTATTAGTAACTATGCTTCCATAGTCTCTAGAGTTAAGGTGCTTGTGTCTCTTGTACATGAGATTCTTCGCACCCGTAGACGCTATTCGAATATACTATTTGCAAACCCATTTCTCCTATTATTTGCAGGGTCGCATTACATTTTGATAGAAAAGGAGTTGGAGCTGTTCGCCGCTAAGTTTGATTGGCTTTCCACCGAGTTTCAGGTGACCGCTGAGCGCGTCTACAAGGCCGTCCACAAACTGGACAGCTTTGTTATTGCCCTTCAGTTCATTATGAAGGGTGTTCTTCGCCCCATTTTTAGAGAGCTTCGCAAACCAGCAGCAATTCAGAGGTCTGGTAATAAGCAATGCTCACTTGCAGAACTAGAAACAGGACTCATGAAATATGCCCTTCAGCGAAATCTCTTCGTAGATGCTTCTGTCAATCGTCTTATTGACGCTATCAACCGATGCCAATCGATTCACGATGAATATTATCCATCTGGAAAGCTAGCTCTACACTACTATTCTCTCTTTGTCTACATTCTAGGTCCACTTAGACAGAGCCAAGTACTAGACCGAGCCGGAATAACCGACAGCGAAGCAAGAACCATGTTTTCTAATGCACAGAGCTCGCTTCAAGAAGTATACAAGCAAGCTGTTGTTCATCCAACGGAAGTCCTTACCATTTGTCGCCATGTGCAGATCATGCTTCACGAGGAGCTGTATGCGGTTGTAAAGACCCAGATTTCTCAGGCACTCTTATACCATATTGAAAAGCTCTCATCTTCGCTGTTACACGTCATTATAAATCCACAGACGGGGCCTGTCATTTTGTTGACGTTAAACAGGACTGCTTCAACATTTACCACCAGCCCCGATTATACACTGCTGCCAATAATCATATACACTATTATATCTAGCCTTAAAGTTATCCTGAGCTCGGCGATTCATTCTGCGTGCAGCCGAGTGAGAGCAAATCTGAGCTTGCCAGGGATGGCGGGGGCCTACAAATCGGTAGAGTCAAATCCACTCATTATGCGTTATGAACCTGAGTCCAAAAATCCCTTTGATATCTGCAATATAGATGATGATCCTCTTGTGCGTGCCGTCAAACTGGAACACATGTCTCCAGCACCCCACTTAAGATCGAAGTCTGTCACGCCTCTGTCCCGCTCCAGAGAGCTTCGTGAACAGCTCCTGACATCCCCCTGTCCACGGTCTTTGAGTCAATCGATTGCACGCAGATCTGCTATGTTCGAAGAACTGGCCATCCTGAGCGCCATACAACACGAGACCGATATTGGGGATAATTCGATAAGTCTTTTGCAAACGTATACCAAAGTAGATAGCGTCATAGTCGAGCAGAATATCGACTATGTCGAACTATTAGGTGTGTCCCGAGACACGTATGAGCTTTCGCAAGCCTTGCGAATATATGGCACCTTTCATGAGCTATTGATCTTCGTCAAGAAGCTTATTCGGTCCTTTGATGCAGCGTCTTCGTCGTTCTCAGTCGCACAAAAGACGTGTCAGCAACAGCTTCTTGCTGGGGCTACTGATGCGACACAAGGTAACTATCTGGAGGCATATCATGAGATGATTCGGGCAGCTTCACTGTCTAACCGAACCATCGGCACACTGATGGAGGCGCATCCTTTGACTACTTTCTACGCCAAGAATCCTGTCGGCTCCGTGGTTAAGATAAAAGCCTTACATAACTTCCAGGACACCGGCTACCTATTTAGCCGTCTGTCTCTTCTGGAGAACGACCTGCACTTGACACTGCAAGCAATAACTCTTCTTGACGTTCTCAGCATTGAGCTGATCAAGCTGAGCGATGCAGCTGCTGGCGTGCTCGACAGCAGAGACGCAATCCAGATGATCAAGCATGACCTGGATACCAAGCGGCTCTCGGAGGCCCACAGCTTTCGCCTGAAGCTGATGCTCTTTGTAGAGACGCTCTATGATGTATTCAAGCGGCTGTCTCCGGAGCTTGTTCTCAAAATAGAACAGGACGTCTCGTTTGACTACCTTTCTCGCGTGCTTCACGGTATAAAGACCTTTGAAATCCTCAATAATATAGTTCTTGACTTTGTGCAGGTCTTAGAGCATCTCTTGGAATTCATTCCAGAGCGTGCTTATTATCACGAGAGGCTAGAGCTGCTCTTTCCTTTGGATGACATGTTTATCGGAAATATTAATCTTCTCTCTGTTAACATTACTAAGGTAACGAACGATGTGCGAACATTTATTAAAGAAAAGTACCCAAAGTTCACAGAGTCCATAATTACGCAAATAAAGTACAGCTACGGGGACTGCCAACTACTAAGAAACTATCTTACGGAAGCATCTCCGTGCTCAAATGTTTTCAAATCGTTTGGAGAACTGTGGGGACAACGATACCTGGTCCAGCTAAAGCCGTACCTACTTTCCAATATTACTGAGTTTACGTGGGGGAGCACCAATCTGTATCGGCAGATGTCTGACTATAACCCCGACGTTCCGTCATGTGACGAGTCCACCAGTTTATTCAATAGTTCTGGCAGCGAGTGCGAAGATAATTGTGACATAGAGGGGAATGGCTCACGGCAAACACTTATTCACGGATCAGGCAACACCGTGGATGCCGCGACTTCTAGTATCTTGCCATCGACCAAATTCTCTTCGCGCACAACGTTTCTAGATGAGGATTCAACAAAGTTGCTGTACAAGCGTGGAAGACACGAGCTCTCCTTGCGCAAAGCTCCTCAGCGATTCCGCGGAGTGTCTCCGGCTCAACGAGATCCGGAAGAAAGCTACTCGGACACATTTAAGCATGACTTTGAACCACTGGATGCGGCAACAGATGTGCAACCTTACAACTTCTTAAGCATAAATATTCGATGCATGCTCGCTGACATCCATAATGTGCACACAAAGGCGCTCAGCGCAGAGTTGATCCACCAGTTCAGGCACGCATTGTTTTCATGTATCAAGCCGTTAGGAGAAGAGACCTACTATATTGTAAGCAACGTGTTCAAAGAGGCTCTATGCCTGCCTCAGTTTACAGAAATATGCGTGACTGACACTGATATCGCAAGCATTCTTCCCTCTTCAGAGAACCCCGTCCAGGGTTTATCGCGTAGCAGTCTTAGCCTTCTTCTCAGAAATGAGATCACACACGCTCTCGCAGACAGAAGCCTGGGCTCCGCTCTAGGAGGTTCTTCAGATGCCACCGCTTCTAGCCGCCCCACAAAGCCGCTGTGGGTAAGGTTGGTATCGTTCCACACCTTTCCTAAGGATGACACACGTTTCCTGAGCTCTATTGACTACGATAAATATGTTTATTGCATACAACTTAATGACTCTGATGCCATTCCAACAAACGAGTCTATTCAGAAATTTCTCGAGACATACGTGGTATTGCGGAGTTCACCTAATAAGAAAGCGAACCGCATACGGCTCAATAATGTCACCACTATCTCTGAAAGTCTCTTGTTAATGAATTCTTCAGGCGAATCACACTCTTCAGACAGCAATGACACAGACGATGTGGTGGATCAAGAGCCATATACACAACTATATAAGCTGGCTATTTGCAATGATGGATCAGCTTGTGCTTCATCGGAGAAGGATGCACACCACAAGGAGACTATTCTGCAGGAACATGGTCTGCACACGATCCCCACCGTCTTCGGTTCCTACTCTCTTCGCGGATTTATAATTGTCGTCTGGGAGATCACCCAAGTTAATACGCGAGAATATCGCCACCCACCTTTTCTATCCTTTACCATGGCGAAGAAGCTCAAGGAGCGACTCTTCGAGAGCATTTTACAATCTAATATTCTCATCCTCCAGCTCAATGAAAAGCTGGAGACATGCACGAAGATTGCTACCGCGGTTAAAGTTCACGGCTGTCTGGAATTCCTTTCGAAGATACCGGCAGACCAGTATCGCCGCATCCGCGCGGATATCTCGTGCACAAAAGGATTGCTTGTGCTTTTCACAAGGTTCATCAATCTCATTCTGATCCTCTATAGTTGTTCCTGGAAGATTCTCACCGCAGAAGTAGACTTTTCACTCACTACTCCTGAAGGACTGATGGCTATAGGAGAGGGTGTATCTCCAGCCTATGAGCAACTCAGAGAGATAGGATCGTCTATCCCAGGGAAGCTCAGTAACCAGATAGCGTCCATGTCGGCGCTTATGACTGCTATCTACTCGTTGTGGACAGATTATTCTGTTCTCAAAAGGGCCGTGCATGTTCTGCAGACCACCAAATCCAGAATAGAGGGAATCTCTACATATGATATGACACCCACCGTAGAGCAAGACTCTGTTTTCCTCAATGACTTCTACATCCAAATCCTCACGAACGAGCTTCTGCACAGCAACCCTAGTCTGATCAGAAACTCGGGAGAACGCGGGAAATTTACTGCTGGCGGTGTGGAGGGCCTTGATTGTCAACTTCAGGAGAAGATTGATGGAACTTTTCGAGGAAAGGTGATGATTGGAAAATTTCTATTGACATATCTGCAGCTTTTCTTCTCTTATGCCATGACTATCTCTCTCATGCCATTCCGGCACGAGATTTCTCACAGGTATTACGAAGTTGCCGGGGAGCTTCTCAGTCTATGCTGCCTGTATAGGGACTTCTTTATACCGCCCCTCAGCACCATGCTGTCCTCTAGAGTTAAAATCGATCTTTTTACTGAATTGTGCACCACTTGCCTGGAGCCAGCAGATAGTCTAGAAGCACTACCCCTTGGGTGCTATGTTGACACCCTGTTTACCCACGAGAACATTGAGTATATTGATAGATACACCTCTGAGGCAAAAGAAACCACCGCTGTGCTGCTCGACTATCATGCACTGCTAACTGAGCATAAGGCCGTGCTCTCCATTGCGACGTCTAACTATTGGTGCTTCTTCAATGGATTCGAAAATTCTGTGCTTACGCCCATATCTTGCCTCATACTGCTTAGGGAAGAAAAGGTTCAACATCTTTGCAATCTGATTCTCAAAGTCAAGCATCGTTTGCAGTCCATTGTAACCCGCTTTAACCGCTTCAGGTCGCTCCTCTGCACATCACCCGAATATCGGTCGCTCCTCGATGTTTATACCAGAACGAATCTGCTGCTGAAACTCCTATCTCTGATGAAGAAATCTGGCCATCAAATCGAGAGCGTGCTCAAGGCTGCTCTTCTTATACGTGCAGACGTGCCTGCCCGTCTTTCATCTGAGCAGTGCACTAGAAGATATGCACCAAACTACTTTGATATCGTTGACGAGAGAGTTTGGGACGCAGGCCACATTCCGCTGCTTTTCAATGTAGATCAATACAAGGCTATCTCAAATACTCATCTTCAACTGACTGCTAAGCCAAGGGTCAGTGCTGCTGGACATCAGGAGAGTGACCTTACAGTCTCAGGAAGCTTAAGCGTAACAAGCATCCACAGCGGGCCAGATGCATCCGTTGTAACATCTGAGTATGATAGGCATCAGGACATGTCTCCGTCAAATTCTTTGGGCAGTGAGCTTCGGGTGGCAGAGCTCCTCGCCATGGCAAAGCCCCGGGCACCTCTAGATAGCCCATTTGAACCCAATGACTTGAAGGACACACAATTATACAGCACAAACATCTTTCTAAATCAAAGTAATGCAGTAAGGACCGTGCCATGCTATATAAAAGACCCCGGTACTAATCTAATCTCAATTCATCCTCTAATCAAGTCGCTCAGCACACAATTTACAGCTCTGGCTCCTCAATCTGCAAGCTCCACAGAGGCCCGCCCATTCTTGCTTCAGTGCGAAACTTCTTTGTCAGGAGTCGAAGAGAATTATGCGTTTACCAAACACTCCACTATTGCGGCTCCAGACCGTCCACTCTCCAATGACCAGTTCAAGCAATACCTATCCGCAGCCCCTGAGACCTCTTTTCCCTACGAAGAGGTCAACAATGTCTATGTGCGATGGCCGAGCATCTTTACCAAGGTCAATGCTGACCTTTCTTCGTCTGGATCTGGAGTTGTTAGCATCAAGTACACTATAACAGAACTTGAGTCGTTTATTTCAGCGGCTGAAATATCTTTTGCGGCCTTCTTTGATCGTTGGAGACGCTTCTATCCTCCTCTACTTTCATTGAGTGACGCCGAAATGCTTCAGCTCTATACCTATACCTACGACAAAAACGTCTTGATGGATGAGTCATATTACGCCCTGCTTACCTCCAACAATCACCTGTACATTGCTCCCTTGGAATTTGAGTCAGAGTTGACGCAAAAGCACTTTGCATATTGTAATAAGTTTAGGGAGAAACTATCTATGGCAGAGTTTTATATGCTGCCCAACCATATGCAGGCTATTTTGGGAAAGTTGTTTCCAATCTCACACATGAGTCAAAGCCCTGGCAATGCCAAAGGCATCTATAGATCTCTGACTTACTACAGTAAGCGAACATCTCTGCAGATTCTTGGCTTTGTCTACGGGATGTCAAGACGGTGCATTCTTGGTACCTTTCTTTCAGATATGTCTGTGCTGTTATTCACTCAGAAAATTGTGTGCTCTGTCGACGTAGATGATAGAATAGATCCTGTAAGCTGCTCTGAACTGTTTTACACAACGTTGATGCCAAAGTGTACGGATGATTCAGACTTCCATGCCCGCCCGACTATTCCTCTATCAACGTTTGTTGTTTTGCCGTACATAGATCAAGAGATAAAAGCATCCATCAAGTATCTCTGTGTCACCTATGCGTGTAGGTACAATCTTGTCCAGACAGATTCGTTTATAAACTACCTTACCACGACAATCTCCATTGGGCAGGATATCAAGACCCCAGACAACTTTATTTCGGCGCTCTTTAACCCTGATCCAGCCGTGTTTACTTCATTTGCGAAGCGCTTGCTGGTTTCTATCCTCGATTTGCAGCCTATCTCCAAGCTCAAGGCATTTGTGAAAGAAGAGTTTTTATTAGCCATAGGCCATTTACCGGATTGCATTATAATTGATTTGATATTGTGTCGATACACCCTTTTAATCTCCAATTATTTATTGAGCTATTCAATCTCCTATAAGGAAGGTCAAGCTGACCCCACCAAAACCTTCATAGAAATAGTTGATGAGCTTCACTACTATTCCCGTATATTCTTCCAGCACAGGATCCCCTATCTCCGTGTTGTCATTGAGAGTCTTTTGCAAGGAGCCTTTGCGATATATAGAAATCACCATGGCCTTCTGGATCTCCTACTAAAAGTTGCCCAATCCGTAGAGCAAGCAGTCAATGATCTCAAAATCACTCCACTTTCTGTCTTTATTCACGATCGGTGTACGCTGCTCCTGGCCACGACTCCAGACAATGACTTGGTCGGCGATATCCATGACATCTTTTTAAGGGCCTCATCGCTCCTTCACCTCCACATGATAGAGCAGGCCCACGCCCAAGATACAGCAATTCACGAGCTTGCATGGGCACTTACTGTTCTATTAGGTGAGGAGCTTGCTAAATCGACAATAGATTCCAGTGCTAGGTGCATACAAATAGACGCGTCTCTTATTCCCGATGTTACTAGCAAACTGCCGCCCGTACAGATAGATTTCCCGGACACACGTGGCCTTCTTGCTGGCCTTCTTTTCGGTTACATTGAGCGGCTCCCTACGCCCCTCGTTCTGAAGAGTGCTCCTTCTGTGGAATATATAACAAAACCTCCCAGGTGCTGTTCTCTGGGGGGCTCAGTTATTCCAGACCAGTTGCGCAGCTATATGACTAGCACAGATACAGGTCCGCCTGACTTTGTGCCTGATCTCTACAGAGAACCTGTCGCCAATCACCACCTATATTCGTATGATGATCCTCTGGTACAGTTGTCCACCTCGTCCTTGTGCAGGTTGTCGTCTTTTCGTCTTCTTGTTAGAGTGGCGTACGCTTTGGAACTGAAAGAGTTTAACTTAATCTGTCCACACCCAGGGCTCTACTGCTCGTGGATTGTTAGGAATACAATAGCTGAGTACACGCTTTGCTCCGTTATCAATAAGGTGTATCGCTGGCCAGATCTATACAGCACTGTCTATACTCCCGAGAATGTCCGACTGTCCATTTACTTCTTCTCTCTCTTGACAGGGCATTACCTGATTGACAATGAGTCCGATTTATATTCTACCACAGCCGCGTTCCTGCAGAAGCAGGTGGGGGATCTTTGGAGGTCTCTCATATGTGGTAATTACATCATTCTTAGGCAGGAATATATGTACAAACTTAACTCACTACTGATCGGCCTTTATACGAGTATTTCAGAATTTTCAGGCACACCTCTGACAAGAAAGATGTACCGACAGTCCAACAATATAGGGGTCTTGAACGTTGGCCAATCTAGTCGAGCCTTTATTGCTAACAATATCAATCTCATGGTTGTTCCTTTTGAATTGCGTCGGACAGATGTCACTGAATTTTCCGCTACATGTCCAACTGTTATAGGGCCTCTTTCCCGAGTGCTTGTATTCGGCACGACACCACTAAAGGACACGCGTTATGCGGACTATATTATTGACTGCCTTTTTCCTCCTTCATCGGGCTTAGCTAGATCTAAACTTGTTGACAGATACGCATTAGTGGATGAAGCAAGAAAGAGAAGTACCGATGTGACCAGGCCCTCACTCACTGAAGCCTTCAATCTTCTTCCAGTTTCAATATTTGAGTATTTAGATAAGGCTGATTCTGAGAAGGACCAGTGCTCACCTAGTAGCAAAGCAGCTCTTGATCCGCACACTGAGCGCAACATGGATGTTACGCTTTTTACACTATTTGCTCTGTATAATTGCATGGCAGTGTACTGCAAGGTCAAACCAGATTGCAGCGTAATTGACGAGCTGTGCACTTCTCTTGCACAGAAGATTGTCAGAGTCCTTAGTGTCTTTCATCGGCTTATGGCAACGCCTCCAGATTCCGGACTTCTTGGTGCTGCGACAGTTTTGAGCAGACCAATCATGGAGCTGTGCATAGCCATCTCCCTGAACCTCATGCGGATGCAGTGTACTGCGGAGCATATTGAAGATGAAGCTTTATCTCTTCTAGCCCTGCTAACTCCAGCTGGAAGCACATCGCTGAGCAAACGAATGCTTAATCGTCTGTCATCAGATGCCACCACTCTGGAAAGGGACGAAGCGTTTCTTCGCCTTCTGAAGAGACTATTCCAGAATAGCGACGCTCATCTCACTCCATTTGGCAAGGCTGTATGTGCTCATCCACTGGCGGCATTTCTCATGCTAACAAATTACGCCGACACAAGTCTTCTCAATGATTTAAGTCTGCCACAAGCCCATCCATGCTATTCTATAGTCGCTCTCACTTCTAATCCCTTTGTCCAAATTGGCTACGCCAGACTTTTGCGTCCATATTCTCCGCAGATTGATCGCCTCCAACACGTTTACAGTGTAGCCGATGTTCCTATTGTTGCTCTTATCAGTAAGGTACATAGAGATATGTGCCGCTCTCCCGCTGTCAAGATACAGGACGAATCTGCGCCTCTGCCGCCAGGACAGCTTAGACATGCTTTGTTTCAGAAATACATCCTGTGCGAGGAGATCCGAGCAGATGGAAGCGTTGACGTGAAGGTTAACTATCTGTATATCTCTCTCATCTATAGAAGGTTGTTGCAGCTGGCTCAGTTAACAGGTCCACCTGAGATTGTGCTGTCTGGACAAGTAGTTCTGTTTATCTTAATGATCTATAAGCTCGCTCGGATGCTTTCTTTCAACTTTAGATACATTCTTGTAACAAATGCCTCGAATTCTAACACCCTTTATTTGATGACGGAAATAGCCGCGTCTGTCTCGTGCGAAATTGAAGCTAAACCATACTACAGCCCGAATTTCTATATGTGTAAGCAACTCAAACAGTTGTCTGCTCCTACTCCATGCCCCAAGTACGAAGCCACTGAGCAGCTTGAGCAAATAATTCACCAACGTTATGCACAAGAGAGCACATCGAACCAAGGAGGTTGCTTGTCCAGTATTCTATCTCCTCTTGCTTCTCGTCGCGCTGTAGCTACACCAGTAATGTCTCAGCCAGAGCCTCCTCGTACGCAGCTAAGAAAATCTGGCTTGCAGACTGTGCACCTTCACAACTCAGACCTCAGCGCTGATACGCCGTCCAGCGAGACGTCTAGTTTTACTGACCAGTCCCAGACTGTTGCACATCAGCTTCCTTTTGATGCAGCCGGGGGGACGCGTAGGTTTAAACAGTTAGTTGGTACACGGTTGATGAGCTCGCAGCCAGGAGGCTTTGCTTTTTCCTCGAAAACTGATAACAGCATTGGAGCAGGCGCAGAAAGAAAGCGTAGCTTCCGAAGTAGCTCTGCTTCGGTGATATCCGGCTTCAAGTCGTCAGCAAGAAGTTTGTCTCGCGGTATAACAAACCAAAGCGTTGATAGGTCGTCGCACTCCATGAAGCGTAAAAGGTCTGCAAGCACAGGGCATCTTTCGTCTTTTGCTAAAGAAGTCGAGGGAGATACTAGTTTATTATTGAAGACCAAAGATGCAGGGCTGACGTCTTGGTCTGTCCAAAGTGTGTGTCTTGAGTTTCCACGTCGATTCTTTACGCGGTTTGCGCCAAAGATCCTTGAGGCCACTAATCAGAACGCAATGGGTAGCGTTAGCTTCTATGACACGCTGACTGGGGAACGGCTTTCTGACATTAGCGAAGGAAATCATAGAAGGAGCTTGGAACTAACTTTAGAAGATTCTATTGCTAATCTGTATACTCACGATCCGCTTGCAGATTCACAGTCAGCTATTGAAAAAGAGCAGAATAATACGTTTTCTCAACATGGCAGCCACATGCTAGTTGAGCAATCCAATGGCGCCTTCAATCTGAGTCTTCTCAGAATAGAGTCAAGCGCTAGAAGAACCTTTGCAAGCCGGATTTTAACGAGCCAAAATGCTGAGACAGATGACTGTCCGCAACTACTTACTTTCACAAATAGTGCCGCCAGGGCCTATGATCCTATCTCCCCGGAAGAAGCTACGGTGTTGAACTTTATAGCAGGCCGCCAAGGTCCTCTCTTTATGCCCACTAAGTCTGCAGGTATCAGCAGAGTTCGTTATATAGCTGTCGGAAGTATCTCGTCAGCGGAGACCATTATGGGCTGGAAGGACTTTACTCCTCAAGTGACGGATGGGCCATATAACAGAATAGCATACCCTGGCAGCAGTGCTTTTTCATTAGATATAGATACTCTCATTACTTGTCTGCCAATTGTTATTTATACTCGTGAAAAGGCAGTCTGGCCGATTTCCATACAGGCTCTAACGATCCCTGATGCACTCAACTCTCTAGTGTCTCTTCGACTCTTTCTCACGGATTCCTTACATAATCGGATTTATGGAGAGCAGAATATAGAACGGGGACTTTCGAGAGCTCAGCAAGAAGTCTCTCGTGCCGTCACACGACTAGCAAACTCACACCACGTACCCATAATATTACCTCCTCAACCAGGCACATTTATCGCTGCACGTGGTGGTGCTCTCCAAGCAGGCAATGAGTCACAAACAAATGAAGGCGCGCATAAAGCAGGCAGTTTAAGTATGAACGTCTATGGCGGCTCTGTTGTTACCTCGACGGCTGCAGCATCTCATCTCTTTCATGCGCTGACATGCTATGATACTACGAAGAACACATTCCCGTATCTATTTGAGGTCTACAATGAAACTGTTCTTCAGCACGTATCAGATTGCCTTTGGGCCTATCTCATCCTTCCTCTTCTTCACGAGATATTCATTGTTAACAATCGCAAAAAGCATTCTAATGATTCCAGCGATATGAGACTGTTTCAAACGCGACACTATGAGTCTTTCGTCGATTACCTTCGGCTGGAATTAGCGGAAATAATCACGCATTACACAAATTCTCTCTCTAAGTACCATGTTCTACATGAGAACAAAAGCACATTTATTCTTGTCAATCTCAACACAATTTTTTGCCTGCATCAATCCGAACTTTACGAACTGTCTAAGATTACACCAAGCACCACTAAACACGAGGCAACCCAGATGTTGCGGGCAGCCCGCTCAGCAATCTCGTCAAGTGACGAGCGGAGAGCAGACATACTGAAGAATGTTGTGTTCTCGGTTGCATGCTCTGTTTTCAGATATATGTGCACCAAGGCTGCAGTTTCTCCAAAGACATTCGACAAGCTTATCAATTACATGCAAATCATTCCTAGCTACAGCATAAACGATCCACTGGAGAAGGTTCTTGCAGAAGCCAATTTAGCCACGAACTACTCTGATTTGCCGGAAAAATCTGTAACAAAACTCACTTATAATCCCATTAACGATGCATTTAATATGCGTGTAATGGCTCATGTCAACAGAGCGTTGCGCGAACTTTTCCTTTTATATCGAGTGGATCCCCCTGCGTCCACAATTAAACAAGATGAAGCCAAGCAGCTGTCTGGCGCAGCTTCCAAAGAGAAAGAGACACGATTTTCTCCATCAGATGATTCCCTAGATGACATCCACAAGTTTGAGGACACAGACCTTGAGGTGCACACCAAGGACAGGCGTCCTTCCTATAAGGTTGACTATGAATTAAAGTATGAAGTTTCAAACTTCTTTTATGGAGGGCTTTATGGACCCTATCCGTTGATCAATTCTCGCTTCTCACCAGAGCTTCTTTCTTTTGTCCCGTACTGCTTTCAGGACACGCTGCGGGATGGACATGTCACTAGCTTACCCAAGGAAGCACTTCCTCATGCGCATTTACTAAACAGGATGAAGCGCGCTAAAGGGAGCAGCATCTTTCTTGAGAGCTATAAGGCTCCGATTCCTCAATTTCTTAGTTGTGCCTCTGTACTACGTAGTAGAGTGTTGAGCTTCGTGCTGAGCACCACTCAAGCTTCTTCCGATCCTGTTTTGTTATGTGCTGGAGACTACGAGGCCGATTTGCTTTATCACTGTGGGATAACATCCATCCACCCCGATGAAAACATCTATGGGTCAACGTCTCATAGTTATCTGATTATGTCCATCGTCGATGAAGACATTCTTTACTCTATTGTCGACTTGACCGAGCACATTTGCAGTCATCACAGTTATGTCTCATTAATAGGACTTATCATTGTCGTTTCTCAGCAGTTTGTGCAAACAGCTAGGGATTTGCAGTACCTCTACTCGCTCGCACAAACCCTGCCGTCCATGATTCATCCCAGAGTCCTCTTGCTTGTTTTTCTCCCGCATAATTTCCTGGAAGCTACACCCTGTCTCCCTTATCGCTACGAAGCGCTGTATGTCCATCCGCCAACAAGTACCCAGTTGCTTACTGTTGCATCTTACGATCTAATCTATTCAATCGCAGAATCTGACATCGCTTCACGAGACAGTAGGCTTCCACTGAAATTCCTGGCAACCTTTGAACCACGTCTCAAGTACGCCAGTTTGCTCACAAAGCAATTACAGGCTGTATTCAGAGACTCCCTTCTCACGCAAAAGGTCCTTGCGATGGCCTCGAAGCTGATGCTAGATGGGACATTCTTGAATGCACATTCGTTAAGGGTGCCCTCGTGCAGCAATCTTTTGGGGGATATCTTTCTTTTGTCTGTTAACATAGTCCTGGTGATGCAGAACTATGGTGAAATAGAAGATGCTTCGTTCAAGGAGGCACTACTAGCTGTTATTTATCGATATGTCGTTTCGCCGTCCCCACGTGACGTTCTGCCGTACTACGATTTTGATGCAGTACCACACACCCTCACTACCATGCCTGCAGATTTTGTCGAGTACGCTGTCAGACTCCTACAACCCGGACGGATGTTGCTGGAGTTCTTGCTCCTGGGTGCAGAGAGCTTGGAAAGCGAGTATATCTATACCGCAGTTCTTTCGTCTCTGCGAAGCACTCAGGTTGCAATTGTAACAGAGGCACAGACCAATGAGTTAGTGGCATCAAACACTCACCTTCTAAGGGTCGGAAAAAGGCCACTTGTCCCTGTATATGCTTCAGCATCAGCTACATCTGACCTACCAAATTATGGTCAAGCTCTTGTACGTGGTGGCGACCTGCTTCTCTGTAGTGAGGCATATAACGCATCATCCTTCGCTGTTCACCTGGAGCACTTTGTCTCAACCCGCTGCGTCCGCATGATCCGGCTTTATGCCACGGACAGCGGATCATATATGAAAAGCCTCAAATATGGCCTTCACCTGTTTATGCTGCGCCAAAACTTGCACACGTCCCAACAGGCTGTGATAGTAGATTGCATAAACGATAAGTCTGCAATGGAGATAATTGAGCGAGCAATTTACCTCTGTGTGTACACCAAGTCAGTGGTGGCAGATAAGGACAAGCCAATCAAGCATATTGTGCTGCTACTTTCGAGCCAGCAAGCAACTCCTATGCATACCTCTTCTGGGCTCGGAGAGAGCGCATCCTGTATTGAGGTCCTAAACACATCTGCCCGTGGAGAAGCTGCTTCTAATGATAGGGATCTCAGGAACCTAATTTTAGCACTAGCTACGCCGTATGCTGAAATATTCAGCGCCTTGCCTCAAAGGCTCCGAACAGACTTTATACAACGAACTGGTCTTCATAGTTCGCGAGACATCCATAATCTGCTATTGTCTGTATTCGTCCTAGTTGTAACGACCCCGGCAACCCTGGACTTTTCTCTCTCTCAAACCAATGTCGTCCCCTTTGGTCTTGAAGATTATCCCAAAGCCTTAGGGATCAACACACGATTGTCCCTCCAGCTTTCCTTTAATTTGGTAGACAAGCCTACTGAGAAGTTACAGATTAGACAGAGGGCGTCTGAAGTCTCAGAGTACACTGAGGCTCGCCTTGGGAACAACGGACATGCAGGCTACTTTGCATTCTTATTAGCAGGGTCACATGATAATATAGCGCTTTGTGCAAGCATCCTAGCCACGGAATTCCCGGTAATGATTCAGTGGGCACAGACCCGTCTGGGTGCCGTCTTTGCAGGGCGAAGCCACGGGTTCCTGCTGAAGGATCATCTACCAGTTATCAAGGTCACAAAGGGCTCACTGGAGGAGTACCTGTCATCACTTATGTCCACCAATGTTATTGACATAGCCACGTTCTTCTATGAGGCCCTTAGGCTGACCGGCTCTCCTCAGCCCACAGCATACAGTATCGTGATATTTACGCATTTCGTTCTTCAGGAATTTAAATACAGGCTTGCACGCTTCGTTGACTCACTTGATCAAATATGCTGTAATCTGCAAACGGCCCAAAATCTTAGCTCAGCCTCTACTAAAGAACTTAACAGCGTAAAGAAGCAGTCCGACATTGAAACACAGCAAGTCGAGGAGATTGCAAAAGAGCTGAAGCAAGCAGACACAGACATCACACAAATGATCAAGAGGCTGGTGTATAATCAGCGGCTCTTTAAAAACCGCCAGCGCAAAATAGCCACCTTGACTGCTGAAAGTAACAGATTGCAGAAGCTTATCAGTCAGGCCCTTCCTAGACTGAAGACTGCAGTTAATGCGGTGAATAAGCTGACAAAAGATGTTGTGGGCGGAATAAAGGTCCTGAAGCAGCCGCCCTCAAGCCTCCGAAGAATAATTGACTGCCTAGCTATATTGATGCATGCGCCCCTATCCAAAATATCTCACGACATACTCCAGGTGACTCTTCCCCTAGTCTCACCTGACTTGATGGACGACGAGCTCGCCCTGCAGCGCATATACGATCGTGAATCGAACAAAGCATCGCGTCCGCTGCTCTTCTTTATCGGCCAGGAAGTTATTAGTCAGGTTCGCCGAAGAGCTCCTGTCCCAGACGACTCAGAGCTGGATGATATGCAGGTAGCAATCAACGCAGATATCGCGATGATGGAAAACCTTAGATTGGTTAGCTACAGCGACTATACCAAGCAGGTTGAAGATGAGTGCTGCAGAAAGGCTTCGGACGCGCCTCAAGACGCTTCCTCTCAGCTCAGAGCTGCCAAGGACGCCTTTGTGGTAAAAGACCTCGGTAAGCTGCTCTCCGACGTTCATGGAGCTTCTCTACTTGGGAGCACATTTCATGGGTCGGCTTTTAAGAAGCAGATGTCTCTTGAACTCAGCTTTGCGGAGCGGCCTGATATTTATATAGGCAGGAAGATTACCGATCCTTATCTAACGGCAAACGATCTTCGCATGAACATCCCAAAGATTCTATCGAATGTTGACATGCTCCGGAGTGCGTCACACATCTTCAGCTTCTCTGAGCTAGGTAACGATATTTTGCATGTCCTACACCCGTTTAACTACGAAGAAATATACAATTACGTACTTGCCCACGGAGCATTTGTTAGCGACCTTACCAGGCCTATTGAACTAGAGACCAAGGGGAGACGGTCAGAGAAGAAATCAACTTACAACCTATATACCACATACCGATATTCGTGCATGGTAAGGGACCAGTGTGTCATCAGCTCTGCTCCTGTTCTTGTGAACTTCCACGATGGAACAACACTAGAAGAGAGCAGTGCATCATCCAATGCCATAAACGTGACATTCTATGCGCCCAAGGATTCGTTTGATGAGCTACAATACTTCCTGCAAGCAACAGCCTTTTCTGAGCGGATTTGCAGGTTTGATCCGACGGTTCTAACAGACGAACAGATAGAGCTGCTGGAACCGTACCTGGCACAGCCTGATTTTAATTACTATTCTGCAGGGAAGATTTCTCAACTTTGCCAAAGCATGATCGAGTGGCTCAATGCAGTCGTTTCTTACTACAAGTTGGCGTGTGCGCTCCACCCTGTTTATCAGCGCAACGAGTTTGTGCGTTCATTCATCAACAACTTTACTGCAGAATCAGACAATCTCGCTGTAATGATCCATCAAGATGAGGAAGCAATTGTCGCGATGCGCAACAGAAAAAAAGAGCTTGTCAAGGAGCAAGATAGGCTAGGGGCTCGCGCCAAAGATACCCTAACTCACGAGCGATATTCGCAACATATCAAATCAGAAATGACGGAAAAGTATGACACATGGCTGACAAACTTTCAAACAATGTGCGGTGAACTGAGCAGTCTACTGATCGATGCTGTTGTGTACTCCACTTTTGTCTGTGGGGGGTTCACGGTATGCAGTTCGTTCAAGCGTGCACTGCAGGAGTCTCGAGCGTCTCAATTTTGCAAGGCCACAGTTCCTTTATCCGACACCGAAAAGCATCTTTTCTCTCAATACGGAAATACGATTGTATATGGGGATACTCAGCATGGAACAGAAACCTCTATGACACCGCACGCTCACAAGAAGTCGACCATCAACTATCTGCTAAACATAAGCAATGCAGCGCAGTCATTCGTAAGTCATTACATAGACAGCCAAAGACATACAAAAGCACGGCCATGCGATCCGGAGCAGTTTTCGCTAGATGTCGCAGATGCTTCAGACGATGATGCCTTAGACAAGTTCAGTGAGCAGGTGGCAGAGAGTGACTCCGCTGCAGTCTTGGCTCAGGGGCTTCACACTGACTATGCTATATCCCTGACGACGGATGTGCTTGCTATCGCTCACAGTACCGGAATCTCTCTACCGAAGACGTATCATATTTTCGTCGAAGGGGATATGTTTACCTCCTTTGGCCTAACATATGGATTTGTAACACAAATAAGGCCTCTTACAGACATCTTTCTCAAGCAAGACTTCTATCCTCGAGTTGATGTCACAGATAGCTCCGACGGCTATCTGCACACAGGTCTTCTTGGGCTTATTTTGCACTATCCCCTTGCATTCTATGCCATGGGAATAACAAAAGAAGAAATTCTGCAGCTATCGGCACTCTTCACATGCCCATTGGTCCCCCTGGTTTGGGATCCTCGTGGACACTTTGAAGAATTCCTTATCAACCTCAAGGAATATAGCCACATATGTAGCCAGAAAATACGAAAACTGGTGAACTCCAGCTACCTCTTGTCTCCTGACCAGCTTCGTCAGATTTACCACCGGCTAGAGGAACCAGAACTAGTAGTGTACGATTCCTTACCTGAATTCCTTGATTCCTTGTTATCAGACTGTCCGTCAAATAGGGCCATAGGACACAGCTACTCCAACCTCACGGTTGCATACATTACGCCAGATGATTTGTTAGGGAAGACTCAACACAGCAATATGACACTATCATCAGTTCTTTCACAGCTTGTCATGACATCGGCTATACGGGGTGTACGCCACCGAGTGATCTTAGTCCTCAGAGGTCATAGTCTGCATGCTATCCGCGACCAAGCACTTGATTCCTTTATCAGTGCAGACGCCAGTGGTATTTTCGCACACTACGAATTTTCTTATCAACTGCACTACCAACTTGCTCGCTCAGTGGGACTCTCGTGTAAGGCCCCCTGCCTTTACCGGAACATCTTAACCGATGCTAGTGCAGATCTTCTAGAAGCATTTCTGGATTATGTATTCTGCTTTACTCTATACATGCGAGCTGATAGCACAGTCAATAAAGAGGATTACATCGCGGTGCTTGTTTCTGCCAAGCAGAACGTTCTACTGGCCGGACAAAAAGTGGAGTCCATTCTTGACAACGTGGAAGTCGTCATCCGGAACTTTGCTAACATAGAACATACCTATAACATAATTCAGCAGGTCCTCTGCGGGCATTCATTCACCGTTAAGCTTTCTGATGGAGGGGACATCGGTGTTGACAACCTAACCGAAAGGTCTCTGTCAGAGAGTGGTCTGGAGGTGACGCAGATAAGCGTTCCGCTCTCAAATCGCTATCAGGAGACTACAGTGACACGAGAAATGCTTTCAAAGTTGGCATTTCTCTATTCATTATTCTACGACAAATCTACAACGGACTTGATCAATTACCAGCTATACAAAACAGTCTCTCTACATATTATGCAGGACCTGCTAGCGCCCCTGAACCTACGCACATACTTCCTCGTAATCTCGCTCTACGGTGCCCACTACCAATACAAAAGTGTGCACCCGGGTATTATCAATCTTCTCATCGTATTGCTCTGTGAGCTGGACAAACGTACAGACATATTTTTTGACCCTTTACAATCATCCAGCGGTACAGCCCACCTCGAGCTAAGATCCTCTGGGCCAAGTATGTCAACGTCAGCAACTGAGAGCGTTATAACTAGCAGTGGAGAGTCATCGGACAGTGAAGTCTTGGCTGATAAGTTGTACTTCGTCACAGGCAGGCTCCTCACAATGTTATCAAGCTTGCCGTTACTTGACGCACTAAGACACGAATTCAAGCTTACTGGCACCAACATTAACTTTTGGAAGTGGTACATCACCTACTTTGTGGGCAAATGCAGCAGTGCACAGGCATCTGAGGGCGCATCTAAGGGGTATCTTGATCGTGACAAAATCCTCTATCCAAGCAGCTATCAAGACGTGGTTGCAAAGATCGCTGTTAGCTTTGGTGGTGGTGCCGTTCTAAGGGAATCGCTTGCAGACTATATAGATATTATAACCTTCTGCTTATTTAGTATCGGCGTCAAAAATTACGAAGAGATCTGCAATCAGAGAGTGTCTAATAATAATAATAACAACAAGAGTCAGTTCAGTCCTCGCCTAAATTCGACACAGGGGGTCTTCATGAATTGGCTGATACACTCTTTGGACATTTTGTCTAGGCAACTCACGGACAATGGCTGTGTAAAGAACTTCCTCTATAAACGGAAGTCGCCAATTGGTCTTTTCCTCAACGACTCGTATGGAGTGGGGATAGAGGCGACTATCTATAGAGAGATTAACTACTTCTTCAAGCGCAACAACATGCTGAGACTGACACAGAAGCGGCATGCTTCAAGTGGCTCTCATGTTACTGAGCAGGCATACATTAGTATCGACGAAACAAATCAGGATCCTCACCAGTGCAACATTTCCACATTTGTGCTTCCATCTTCATTGCACATAGGCAGGACCTTCTCTCTTGAGACGCTAGTCCATATATGGAAGTGTCTATCGATCTATGAATACCGGACCTCTGTAGACCAGTCTGTCTTTGATTGCTTTGTGCAGGCCAACGAAGCTACAAGGAGGACATATTCCTTGACAGAAATCACACTTCTTCCTCGCAGCTGGCCAGCTGCCGTGCGAAACGAAATTATGAGCCGCATCAGTGACTATTCCACAGGTAAGTGCATGACAGGGAAGAGGAGTGCCGGGGAGTCATCTGCAAACAGCGAGAGTATCTGCTACAGAAGCAACGGAAACAATCTAATTCTCATTGACTATGATGCAAAGGAGCTCGAGAATATGCACGCTTCCTTGCATTTGCCTTATACACATGCACGGTCTCTGCGACGGCAACCCTTGCTGCCCAGTACTCTCGCAGAAATAGTGTTTAACAGCGCACAGCTCATCAAGAGCAACATTTACGAAGGCGTCACTCAGAGCAATACGCTTAGGCGCTTGGTTGAGAGTCAAACATTCGCGCGAAATGTGGACACGATTCTGGTATGCGTCATGCTGATAGCATTTCGTGTTAGCAAGTTCCGGAGACTTTGGCATCTTGGCAGAGAAATACAGGTGTGCATGGAAAGGATGGGGTCTAGCCTTATCCTAGCGCTCAACAGTAATGCCATCAAACCAGTGGCAGAGAGCACAACAATCATGTGGGCTATAGCCTCTATGTATCTGCAGCAAACTTACCCAGAGGCTTGTCTCACCGTCATGCATACTTGCGTAAAAGTCACAATAAAAGTCACAATAGCAGATGAGGCATTCGAGGTCCCAAAACAGGAGTTCACAGCGCTCGAGAGTCTGATTTTTCTTCTCCGGTGCATGTAAAGTAAAACAAAAACAATTTTACTGTAGTTTGAACATTCTTAATTTTAATTCTCGATGTCGTTGTCGGACTTTGACTACGGCCAGGAGCTCGTTGAGACCCCAGAGGAGCTCAACGCCCTCTTTGAGAAAGTGGAGGAGGCAGCCCATGCGTTCCGCCAGCTTGACCAGGCGCAGGTCGACAAGATCTTCTATGCCGCCGCTTTCGCAGCCTCGAACCAGCGTATCCCCTTGGCAAAGATGGCCTACGAGGAGACGAATATGGGTGTCGTCGAGGACAAGGTCATTAAGAACATGTTTGGGTCGGAATATGTGTATAACAAGTACAAGAACATGAAGACCGCTGGGATTATCGAGGAAGACAAGGCGGGCAATACAATTACTGTTGCAGACCCTCTTGGCATCCTCGCTGGTATTGTGCCCACCACAAACCCGACGTCCACTGCCATCTTCAAGTGCCTTATAGCGCTCAAGACGAGGAACTGCATCATCTTCTCTCCGCATCACAGGGCCGTCAAGTCAACCATCCACGCGGCACGCATTGTCCGTGACGCCGCCGTCAAAGCTGGAGCACCTCCCAATTGCATTGCCTGGATTACGAAGCCTTCCGTTCCCCTTGCGAAGGCTCTCATGGGGCACCCCAAGACTAGCTGTGTCCTCGCTACTGGCGGCCCCGGCATGGTCACTTCGGCCTATAGCTCCGGCAACCCCTCCATTGGTGTCGGTCCGGGTAATGTCCCTGCGCTCATTGACGAGACGTGTGACTACAAGACCGCCGTGAACCAGGTTATCAATAGCAAGTCGTTCGACAATGGCGTCGTCTGCGCTTCAGAACAAGCCATCGTCTGTGTCACGAAGGAGATCTACGACAAGTGCATCGAGGAGCTCAAGTTCCGCGGCGCCTACGTCATGACGGAGGACGAGAAGCAGCGTGTCAACAAGCTGATCCTGCCACTGAACGAGGCCACTGGGAAACATCAGCTCAACGCCGACATAGTCGGACGCCCTGCCCGCGACATCGCTGCAAAGGCAGGCGTCGTCGTTCCTGCGGACTGCAAGTGCCGCTGCATCGTGGGAACCTTCACAGAGGTGCGCCACGACGAGGCGATGTCCTGCGAAAAGCTCTCCCCAGTTTTGGGTATCTGTTGGGCTGAGACATTCGAGAAGGCCGTCGACATTTGCGGACAGATGATCGATATGGCTGGGGCAGGCCACACAGCTGCGATTCACACAGCGCCCCACAGACGCGACCGCATTGAGTACTTCACGCACCACATCAGGGCTGGCCGCATTGTCGTTAACTCTCCGAGCACGTTTGGAGGTATCGGCGATCTCTACAACTTTGCGATCGATCCCACCATGACTATCGGCTGTGGCTCATATGGCAAGAACTCCGTCTCTGAGAACGTCGGGCCGAAGCACCTTCTCAACTATAAGAAGGTGGCCATTGTGAGGCGCAATCCGCTCTGGTTCAAGGTTCCGCAGGTGATGCACGTCGGTGAGGGCGCTCTTGCTAAGGCTGCTGCGGACCTCATCTCCCGCGGGCTCTCCAGGGCTTATATCATCACTGGAAAGGTCATGCACGATCTTGGGTTCACGGACAAGATCATCAGCCCCCTTACTGCAGGCAACGTTACTGTCAAGGTCTTCACAGACGTCCTGCCGGACCCTGACCTTGGGACCTGCTATAGGAGCCTTGCAGAGGTCAGGGATTTCCAACCGGACATGATTATCGCTCTTGGCGGTGGCTCTGCGATGGATCTGGCGAAGATGGTTAGGCTTCTGTATGAGCATCCGAAGGTAGACTTTGCCGGGCTTGCGCAGCGCTTCATGGACATCCGCAAGCGCATCTACGAGTATCCCGAGTGCCTGGATCTTCGCACAGCGAAAACGTTCAGTGTCGCAATCCCGACGACTTCTGGAACAGGCTCTGAGGTGACCCCGTTCTCTGTCATCACGGACGAGAAGGAGCACGTCAAGTATCCCCTTGCGGACTACCAGCTCATGACGCACATGGCTGTCATTGATCCAGAGCTTGTCCTGACCGTTCCTGCATCACTTGCTTCCTGGACGGGCGTCGACGCCCTAACTCACGCTATTGAGTCGTACGTGTCCGTTATGGCGACTGAGTACACCATGCCCCTCTCTCTCCAAGCAATCAAGACAGTCTTCGAGAACCTCGAGAAATCTGTCGTCAGCAGGTGCCCGACTGCTCGCGGAAATGTGCATCAGGCTGCGACCATCGCCGGCATTGCGTTTGCCAACGCTTTCCTGGGTATCTGCCACTCCTGCGCCCACAAGCTCGGCCAAAAGTATCACATTCCGCACGGGCTTGCTAACGCAATAATGCTCCCACACGTCATCAGGTACAACGCAGTCGACGATCCCGTCAAGATCGCCACGTTTCCGCAGTACCTCTACCCTGTTGCTCTCGAGCGCTACGCTGAGATAGCCGACTACTGCGGGTTCACGAACAAGAATGACGGGAAGAGTGTCAAGGAGAAGACGGAGATCCTCATTAAGAAGATCTACGACCTCTATGAGAAGGTAGGGATTGACGCGAAGATCAGTGCGTGCAAGGAGGCTCCTGTTGAGGCAGACTTCTTCGCCGAGGAGAACCTGGACTATCTCGCATACCACGCCTTTGACGACCAGTGCACCGGTGCCAATCCGCGCTACCCGCTGATCGAGGACTTCAAGGAGCTCTTCCGTGCGGCCTGGTAATTAGTAGGTAAATTGAGTGAGTTTGTCTACCGACCCCGCAAAAATGGATAGCGAGCATGCCACTCGGCGGTGTCTCTCCGAGTGTCTAGGGACCAGTATCCACATGAGTCCTATCGCCACTTTGCTCTTCAGTAGCTCGTCATTGGTCAATTCTTTGATCGCAGGACTATTCACAGAGTGGGATGGAAAGGATCCTATGATGTTGAATGAGGCTACCATGAAGCTTCTGGGCACGTTGACCACTAATCGTGAGCCGCTTTTCAGCTCAACGCCCAAGGGTGAGCTAGGTCTTCTTCTCTGTAAGGCGGCGCTCTTGATGGTGAAAGAAAGGGACTTCTATGTTGCCTATGCGCTCGTATCGGCTATTTGGCGATCGCTTCAATGCACACACGAGCAAGAGACTTCTGGCGTATCTGTTTGTAAAGGAAGACTTGCATACTATAGAACCCTGGAGGCATTTCTGAGCGCATTCTGTTATCTAGAACTAGACGAATATACTATTGTTCCTTACTCGCTTGGTCAATTAGCTCAAAGGCAGTGCCTACTGACGTTCACCCACTTCTTAGAGTACCTCACAGATGGACCAATTCAGCTCAACGAACTTATTCAGCTGCTCCATGTGCAGCTATACTCAGCAGTTATGTTCGGTCATCTGGATATGTTACATGAGTGCTATATCGTCACATTGTGTTTGTACTGTTTAGTGCTGGATCTGTTATTGCAATTAAATCTATTGTCCATTTCAGACACGAGCCAATCTGACAGAAGTTGCAACAATTATACAAGTGCAAAACTTAAGCATCTGTATTTACAGACAAACAAAGATAGAAGAGTGTTTGATGAAGAAACTGCTACAACAATAACAGCCTTGTTAAGCGACATTGATGAGACGTTACGAGGACAGTCGAAGGATAAAAGTGAGTGCTCCCAGGGGGAGACCCTTTTAAACCAAACTAGAGGGGACTGTGCAGTGAAAACCCGTGAGCTACTTGCTAACTATAAGTCAAGTCATGTAGCAGAAGCCATATATACGTTAGATCAATCGCTTGAGAATAGGCGCCCATATAACATATTTGGAACATCCGGAATTACTATAGCCCAATTATATATCGGAGTCGCACTTCTGCGAAGCCTTATTGAAAGTAGCTTCGGAATAAGCACTCATTTGGCAAACGCCACGTTGCGTGACAAACCTTGTAACAAGATGTGTGAGCAAATCTCTGATCTCGCATCATTCTTTCTGCAGGTATCTGAAGAAATTCCTCTACACATTGGAACCGTCTGCTCCCTCAGGCCATGCCAATCCCTCGATCAACGGATTGACAGGCCAAAGCCTGAGAGCATACGGCCTTATCTTGCCATGCTCAATCGATGTAGCAAAGGGCTCGGCAAGGAACTACAAGTTCCTCCTCTGTTGAATGCCTCCATGATCAAGTCTCTTTGTGCAGTCATGTGCTCCTGTCTGATGCTGCTCTTGGTTCCTGCCAATGCGGAGTCGACAAGTATCCAGTTGGAAAGCGTTATAGACTCACTTAGTATGCTCAGCACTCACTGTACGAATGAGCTCCTGGTAATCTACACGTCTTTGGAGATCTTAAACGCGTTTATCGTGTCCAATTGCTCAACACTCCTACTGCATGACATTTCGGAGAGTGTAGGGGCACCAGACGATTTCCAGCTGTCTACTTTTAAAGACACAGCCAAGCTATCGATAAAACGAATATCATCGAGCCCAAACAGTCAGTACGATTCTCATCTGAATAAGATCTGCGACCAGGTGCCAAAGAAGAGCTTCTGTGACGACATTGACGGGTGGGTAGAAGCCATCGTGGACATCATGTATACTATCTCCAGGCAATCTATATCGCTGACCGCGGAGCTTGTCTCTCTGCTACAACGACTCTGCAGGCGTGAAAGCCTCACGATCTTGCGTCTTCTATGCTCCAACGACGACAGGAGGCTCCAGATAATCAAATACTTGCGGTACTTATGGTTCTTAGCTCAGAGTTATCGAGATAAAGTCCTGTGCATGCATCAGCGTCTTCAGGGCTACAGCTACGCTGCGCACACGCTGCCACTCATAAGCAACTCCCTTCTGCAGCGCACAAGGAGCTTTTTTCCTCTTCAGAGTGTGCTCCTCGATCTGTATGTGATAAGCCTAGAATGGTAGGTATATCTTAGACTCTTCTACACAGTCCAGTATGTCCAAGATCTCTGTAGATACGTTCCCACTGATGCTCATCTGGCCAGTGTCATTTAATTCGATAGTGTTCCGCTTTATGAGCAGTTTATTGCCATGCTCGACTTGTAGTATGGAGTTGCTGAACGCCTTTCGGAGGGCCTGTCTGCGCTCGTCGCTATTGTCATAGCGGTTCAGAAGTATCAGCTCTGCGGAGTCGTCATACGGATGTGTCGATTCCACATCTAAGGAGATATCATCATCAATTTTAACAGAAAAGTATCCTCGAGCGATGCTCATCTTGCGATCAATCTTGTTAAATACGAGGTTTCGACATACGGGAAACTTAACCTTTGGAACCTGATCATGTAGCGAAAAAGCGATGGTTTCTCCAGTTGTAAATAGTAGGCTGTTGCCAAAGTCTGCAAAGTGTCCGCTTGAGAGATGCACCTGATGTGACTTCTTGGAGGTTGTGACAATGTACTTTTTAAATCTGCCGCGTAGGATGTCTGCCATGTCCTGAAGCTGCATAATGGGCTCATCGAGAAGAAAGATAAGGTCACACGCGCATACGACTGAGTCAGATAGAGTAGTAGACGTCAGTATTCGGTATGCCTTCTCGCTCTTCTCCAACTTCATAGTTTCTTCGCAGTGCATCTCAGTGGAGTTGGCATCTGATAACTTGTTGATCGTGGCTGTCTCCTTCTTCTCGGCGATGATTGTCTTAATGGATGCAGTGAACTCCTGAACCTGACGATGCCTTGCCATGCAGATGTTGTTGAGATGAGAAAGCGGTATGTCAAGGAATGGTAGGTTGGTTCCAGAGCGTGTCGAGATAGAACTGGGAAGTGGTGTATCGTCCTTTAAATGGAGGGTATTGGAGACGGGTATGTTGGGCTTAGAGACTTTAATCTCTGGTTCTTCTTTAACCGAGAGTATTGCCTTCTGTGACTTTTGGCACACAGATCCATAATTTTGTAGAAACAACAACCCATACTGATCTTGCTTACCCTCAAAGTTCTGGTCCTCATCCGTCTCTGTTAGTGTCCGATATGTTAGATGTAGCTCATCTGTCACTGAGTTATAGACTATGGCTACATCCTTTAAGAAAGCTGTTATCAAGAGTATGAACAAGTCCTTTAGTCGTTGTTGGAACGCTATGCTCTGGGTCCCTATATCTTTTAAGGCATCAGGACTGGATCCAGGTGCCTTAGGGCCACTAGATGGTATCTGGGTAGCTTGCGCTGCAAAGGCGTTGGCATCAGCCAGGAATGTAAGGTAAGGGAGCATGCAGCCTTCTTGTTCTACAGCAGGAGATTCTATGCCGAAATAGAGATTAGGGGGGACCGCAATGCTATGTTTGGTAAGTACACTTGCTCGCAGGTCCATAGAGGATGGAGCCGGAATCTCTACGCCACCAACCTTGACGATTGGACTGCGTCTGATATTCTTACTTCGATAGCCATTAGCATCGTATCCTATGGAGAGATAATGGACGAGAACAGATATGAACGTCATGTCAAAGCGGATATGGGGAGGTGACTCCAACGTAATGTCTTTGTAGGCATCTGTGGGAGGTATAAAGACATGAGTATCGGACATTCCTAAGATGGTGCGCAGTAGAGAGAGGCTGAATTCCAAATCTATCACAGGATCTAAGGTCTTAGTCACGGGATTGAAATATTTTGAAACTACTACGCCAAGAATCAAGCTTACGTTAGTTGTGACATATCTTTCCTTTGCCTCTGGGGACAGAGCAGCTCCATCTGCTGCATCAGACTGATGAGACTTTTGGGGTCTTTGATCAGTAGTTGAGTCAGCGAGCTGTTTTTGATAAGCTTCTCTATCCATGATTGTTAATTGCGGGGTTGAAATTTTGGTTAGATGAGCGACCGATTTCCCCTGGCTTTTAAGAAGAATGAGGGACAAGAGCTTGTAGCCTGGAGAGCCTCTGGCAATCTTTGGTAAGTACGGACGGATAGATGTCAGCACAATAATGTTTGCGGGGTTAGATGCAAAGCCTCCAGAGAATAAGAGCTGCCTTCCGGGACCAGACAGAAAGTAGGGGTCTGGAGTCAGTATGAATAATGGAAAGGGTAGGGGCACATCAAGTTGCTGTGCTCTCGAAGTAATATAAAATTCTGGGGTGATGATACCATCCATTCCAATGGTGCGTAGATAAGATACGTAGTAGAGAAAGACTTGCTCATCCATCAAGAGACAAATCTTGTAGCTGAGACGCTGCTCTTCTGCATCGGCTCGTTGATCGTTAGATTCAGCAACCGGCTTAGGTGTATATGTTTTTAGTGCAGTGCTAAGCAATGCTAAGACGTTAGTAAAGCCAGTGATACCATCGCAGACGAACATAGTCTTAGAATACCGCTGTATAGATTGCATAGATTGCGAACCGAAATCTGTTAACGGTGTGAAGGCACGTTCTAGAAGTTTAAGCATAGCGTGTGAGTCTAGCAGAGGAAAGTTTAGGATGCTCCTCGGAACATTCAAAGGGGTTGAAAAGCAAACCTCTCCTTTAAGATAGCGGCTGCTTAAGGGAAGATCCAGAGCGACTGAACGCTCCAAAGATTGATATGCGCCTCTATTCTGAAGTATGTCTAAGCTCTTATGGCGACATGTCGGCATGCAAACGATCTTATTTGTCGAAGGAGGCAGCTGGAGAGACCAGAAGTATTCATCTGCATTGATTCTGTGGTAACTTCCCAAGATAGATTGCGTCACTGAGATGACGTTTATCTCCTCAGGTGATTGGATGAAGGAAGAATTGAATAGTCGCTCAAGCTTGAGGTAATCTAAGAGGATGAAGTCCAGAACTGGCTGATGACCTTTCATATCAAGACATAAATTGAAGAAAACATTCAACACAGTAGCGTGGAGCGCGGGAACAAGATTGGTGGGTATAAATGTCTTGATCTCCTTTCTGCTCAAAATATACAGGCAGGCACCTGCGTGTTCCAAGGCAGCCGATGTGAGGAGTATTGCGCTGATGTTATCGATGTGGTCATCATACACTCGGAGATATGTCTCGTAGGGTGCAGCCAGGCCACAGTCGACAAGAAGAAGAGTGTCGTTTATGGTCAGCAGATACGCATGCACCCCAGTTTCTTCTACGTCGAAAAGCGGCTGCAGCTCGCATTCCATCCCTGCTGAGTCCTTTTATAATTTTAGCTTCAACAGGAGTAGCTAAGAGAAACCTGCATGTTTACTTCTGGATCAAAGCAGCAAACAGGATGAGCTTTGTCACATCGTTCACCTTCTGCGGACAATAGGCTTGTTCGTGCTGCGAGGCAGAGCTCTCACGGGTGCACGCTTCGATTGGGTCGGCTTGGTGATCGCACGAGCGGTGGGGCGGGCTACAGCAGAGCGGCTAGCATTGCCAGTCACAGAGCTCCTCGATTGGACCGTCTTCTTGGGAGCCGTCCTGGAGCGGGACGTTGAGGCCGTCTTGCTAGATGACCTAACCACTGTCCTGAGCGGTGTTTGGCTGCGGCTGTTTGGCATGTTGCATTTCCTCTGCGCATTGTGTGCACTGTTGTGCATGTTGCTCTTGGCCTTGCCACAGTTGGAGGCGCTACGAGCGTTGCAGCTTGTCTTTCGTCCCGACGCATTGCGGACTACTGTCTGCCTGTAGTACGTGCATCCATCTCTCTCGAGAGTTGTGGGGCAGTTTGTCGGCGGGAGAGCAGTGCAGTAATCGCAGTCTGTTGTTCCACAGAGGTAGATTCCGGTGTAGGTGTCAGGCGCAGCTGTGCAAACGAGATCGGTGTTGCACTGGACATGAATCTCCATCATGTAAGGCAGGTCGAAGAGATCTGCCGGAACGTCGCCAGTCAGCTCGTTGCAGTCAAGGTGGAGCTCCTTGAGGAATTGGAGTTCGTTGACGCAGGTGGGGATGGGACCAGTGAGAGCATTAATACTCATGTACCAAAACATCATGTGGGTTAAATCACAGATGCACTCGGGAATGTCACCCGTCAGCCCAGCGTTGTTAATTTGCAGGTACTGCATTGAGGTGAGGGCACAAAGATCCGTCGGGATCGGGCCCGCAAGGTCATTATTATTAAGGTACAGCGACCTCAAAAGTGGGAAGCAGCCTATGTCGGCAGGGAGGGCACCAGTGAGCCCCATGTCAGAGAGGTCGATCCCAATAACGTTATTGTTAGAGTCGCATGTGATGCCGGTCCAGCTACAGTAAGACACGTCGGGCGTAAGCCAGTTATTCGACTTCCAATTAGCACCATCCAGGGCATCGTACAAATTGGTCAGGGCCTCCTCCTCGGTGGCAGGGCAAGCGGCGCGAGCAAGACCAAGAAGTCCTAGAACAAGGGCTGCGATCATTTTATTTTCCCAGCCACTGTTGAGCTGCTGTTATCTGTTGACCTCTACAGCATCAGTCTACTGTTTCTTTTTAGTTCATATCTTAAGTTAAGGTTTTCTCGTTCACAGTCACTATTTGTCAGAACCCATGCTCTCATCAAAGTGGGTTGTAGATGCTTTTGGCTCTGTGTTCCTCTTGTGACTCTGGTACTTAGAAACACCTTGTGGTTCTAAGGTTCACAGTTGTGCTTCAAGGCCCAAGGGGTATCCTTTATAGTGGACTAAGACATCTGTGGAGTAGTAAACCACCATCCTTTGAGACTTCTTTGAGATTTCTTTGAGACTTTTTCGTGTCACATCGATCACATCCCATGTTTGCCATAGAGCGCACAGCTGTGTGAATTGGCGGCCAAAAGAAAAATGGCTTTGCTTCTCTTTCTACTGCTTCTTTCTACTGCCTTCGTCGCACTTGTATAGCCTCTGGAGATGACTTTTGAGAGGATCATTAATAAACTGTCATAAATCATAATTTATAAGGTCCCATATGAAAACTTCGCTTGCGGATCTTCTGCGAAAGCCACTTCTACGGCATGCATTTGATCCCCACGAGCGAGGCAGCAATTTATCCGGAGACCGGGACAGGCAAGGAACGGTAGACCATGGTCAGAATCACGCTCATTGTGTGCAGACCCACCATTCATCACCCAGCTCTGCAAGCGGGGAATGCATAAAAATGGAGCCCGCTCAGAGCCATAAAAATCAAGTGGATCCTGAGGACCGGCTGCAGCCGCGCTCAGATGGTCCAAAACCGCCACAGTCTCAAGAAGCCGGTGTATGCCTTACTTATCAATTGCCATACCTTTCATTTGGAAAAAGAATGATAAAGGTGTTTCCAAATCTCAACATTACTAACGCTCACCGTGAATTCATGGTTCTCTACGAATTTGACTATCGATTGACAGAATTTTCGCTCATAACGTACCTGACCCAAAAGAGACGAGCATTCCTCAGCGAAGTGGACCTTTATGCAGAAACAGACTTGGGATCTCCTGAGGATGTGGAGGCATCCCAGTATCTAATCCTTGCCAATCTGATTTCTAGGCCAAGGTTGCGAGGGTTTTATCGACCGCTGAATTCTTACTATGCTGTTAACTGTCTCCTTTACCACGATCCACAGCCAGCTAAGACCCTCAAGACGTCGTTTCTTCAAAGCCTACAGCAGCAGTCGTTACTTAACATGCGATTTGCTGCTGAGAAGCGGGAAATGGCTGCTACCCTTAAGCAGAAAATGCTTTCTTTGACAACCGGGAACTTCAAACTCTCGATTGTTTGTAGACATGAATCGCCCTTGATAGGGAAAATATTTGGCTCTGGCCTACAGAAATACATGCTTCCTAGATCCCAAATACTGACCACTACTGGAAAGCAAGGGTCCTCGGGAGTTAACAAATATTCAAATCTGCCAGACTTTGCCTTCAAAACGTATACTGATGACATGATCAATAGCCTAATTTACATGTACTTGCGCCAGTTTGAAAACGTGTATACATTAGAAGATGCCCGGCAAAAGCGGATTTTCCTGCCACCTGTCTTTTTGACGTTACTGTTGGAGATAACACGCTATGAGCTGCATGTCATGTCGCGATTGGGGGTGGATCCCACCGTGACCCTCGAGACTACAACAAATAGGAGTACTGTGGAAGCCCATGAGATCTCAGCAATGCTGGACTCTATTCTCGCTCGAACTAACCCCTCAGACATAGACCCAGCATGCACTGTCAATTACAGCTACCTTTTCAAGACCGATTCTTTTGCCGAGTCCGGTTCAGCAGAAGCCCAGGAGGCACTAGAGACACTTATAGAGTCACATCCCGGCTTTACAGAGCGGCATAAGGCGCTGCTTTATCAAGCAGAGCTCGGGCTGAAGTTGATAGAGTATATCTTGAAGAATACTGGGTACGAGAACAATCTTCACTTTGAGCAGCGGCTGTACGACCAAGTCCACATCCAATATCCCATAGAACTCACCACACAGCCTGTATCCATTCAGCATGGTCGATTAAAGAACTACCAGCTGGACGGTGTGAAATTCCTCGTGTCTTTGTACCGCTCGAGCAATGCCAATCTACAAGATCTTCAAACTGGGACAGGAAGCTCTGGCTGTCTTCTTGCAGATGACATGGGTTGTGGGAAAACAGCGCAATCCATAGCCTTTCTGGCGTACTTATCAGACAATCGCATATCTACCGGGATGCACTTGATAATATCCCCACTGGCTGTGTCTGACAGTTGGGCCACTGAGTTTCAGACATGGTTCCCCAACTTCTCTATTCTTCTCTACAAAGGTGACCAGGAGCAAAGAGCAAAGTATCGGCGACATATCCTGACACTATCCAAAGGCAACATCAGCGTGTTAACGGATTACGGCGGGCCAGCAATCAAGGATAAGGATTCTCGAACAGCATCTGGCTCAGCTGGGTATTCTTCAGGCGATTCCGGCAAGTCCACAAATCAAATCCTCTCAAATATTAATGCAATCGTAACGACCTATGAGTACGCCATCAAAGATCGGAGCTTTTTCAGGCAGATTGACTTTGACGTCGTTATTGTTGATGAAGCGTCAAGAGTTAAGAATGCACGGGGAAAGCTCATAGACGTACTAAAGAAGAGTATCAATTGTAGGTTTAGAATCCTGCTCAGTGGAACACCTATACAGAATAACCTTCGGGAGTTATTCACCCTGTTAGGTCTGATTCATCCTGCCGTATTTTGCGATTATGATCGCTTTGAAAGCATATTTGGCCAAGTGTTCTCACTGGCACATACTGGACGTAACTCAGACCTACACCATGCACACCATGGCTACCATGGCTTCAGAAGACGTGCAAGCACTGATAGCGCGCAGCTGGAGGTATCCGACATGAGAACAGGTGCTTCTCCCTCTCTCAGCTCTGTCCAAATGCAAAGCATGCAAAGCATATCTACTACAACTTCTCAAGCTGTGGGGCGCCGAAGCAAGCGCCAATGCGGATCTACTGCAGTCACCTTTGCAGATGACCTTGGTGAAGATGAGCTAGACAGCAGCTACTCTTACTCAAACAAGGACAGCAGCGAAGACGAAAATGATAATGATTCAGAGCTGAGCCGGGTTTCTTCTGTGCCCACAGAGATGATGGTTCCGATAGGGTCCACTGCTAGCTTAATTGGTGCAAAAACAGCTTCTTCCTTACCAGAACTAACTCAGGATCTGCCCCAAAACGCTCCCATTACAAAGGACAACATTGCAGAGGTCGCCATACAACTGGCTGAGAACATCGATAAGATATCTGGCCTGACAAACTCACAGAAGACATTCATCGTTGAGAGACTTCACGGTATTTTGAAACCATTTCTTCTGCGGCGTGTTAAGACTGAGGTTCTTGCACAACTGCCTCCAAAAGAAGAGATTATTATCCGTGTCCCGCTGTCCGCGTTTCAGCTATTTTTTTATAATTTGGCGATAGCGAACGGGCGAGCCATGACTAATCCAGACTTAGCATCCTCCCTGCCAGCAAACTTCATTCGCAACCTTGACATCTACTTACGATGTGTTTGTAATCATCCATTTACCGCACTCGAGCATGATAAGCTCCAGTTGCTTTATAACTTTTATCTGATGAAAGCCAAATCATTTAGTGCTAGGCACAAAGCAGAAAATACTGACTTTTATAGGCAGTATGGGGGAGCAAAGGAGGAGGCATCGAAGGACGCTACTGCTTCAATGCCTCCTAATAACTTTAATGTTCTGGAAAATATGTATGTTAACGACCAAATATGGCGTGTCTCAGGAAAGCTAGAGCTTCTAGATAACATTCTTGCAAAGTTGCACAAGACAAGCCATCGGGTGCTCATCTTCAGTCAATTTAAAAAGGTCCTCGACGTCCTTTCTAGTTATTTGCATTATCGCCAGTACAAGTTTGTGCGCTTTGATGGCAGTGTCAAAGACGTAGACCGTAATAGCATGATTCGGGGGTACAATAGGGAAGATAGCAAAGACTTTGTCTTCCTCCTCAGTACACGTGCGGCATCTCACGGACTAAATCTCCAAACAGCAGATACAGTCATTATCTTTGATTGTGACTACAATGGCACGTATGATCAGCAGGCTCAGGATCGGTGCTATAGGCTTGGACAGGTCAACCCCGTAAAAGTGTTCAAGCTCTATTCAAATACGGCGATTGAAAGTAAAATGTTGTCGGTGGCGACGTCAAAACTCAGCCTGGCCACGATTGTGATGGACGCGGGCACATACACCACCAACGCAGGTGATAAGACCGACGGTACGGCTGGCGCAACAGTGACCGGGGGTGGAGCGCGCAAGAAAACAAAGATGTCAACGCAGGAGTATATCCTCGAGGTTCTTAGTGCCAACTCTGTCGTTCCAGATGACGTTCACATACCGACCTCCGAAGAAATCAATCGGTATCTGGCTAGAAACGATATGGAGTTTCAAGCCTTTCAAATGCATGACATTGAGACGTCCCTGTACTGGCGGAAAAGAAACTTTGACGAGGACGTCCCTCGGCTGGATCCAGAGATTCCATCTGTTTTTTCTGAGCAGAAGGACCAGATTTACGAAGAGATGCGAGAGATGAATCTCTTGGAAGATAAGCAGGAGGTTGTAATGCCTAACATGCAGATTCCTTCAGCAGAGAGCGGCGGTAAGAGAAGCCATTCTGCTGGTGCTGATTCTAACAGCACTACCAGCGATTATGACGAAGACGACAGCCTAGACGAGGGATTGCTTGCTTCAGAAACAGATACCGGGGGGTCACAGCAGCGGAAGTTAGTGCCCAAGGTACTCAAGAAGACACAGTCTATTAAGAAATCCATGAGCCGGTCTCTCACGGCACAAGACCTGTCTGAGTCTGCAGTTTTCAGTTTGTGCATGCAAGTGGACAAGTCTCTACGAGACGATCCCGCCTTCCGTAACTCGATAGTCCTCAGCTCTACAATTATCCAGAAGACATCCGTTGTTCTGACTCCTGTCGTAGATACCCCTATAGCCTGCTTTTTAATCGACCATGGACACTCAAGTGGTGTCCTGTTTCTTGTCTCGACAATGGTCGGGATGGCAGATCTATTGCGCCGCGAGGATGCATATAACAACTTAGGGGCTTGCGTAACACAGTACGTATCGTCAAATCTTTCTAGTTTGTTTGCATGTTTCTCTCGACAGAGCTTGGTTAAGCAATCTGCTGAATCGGTAAGTCTTGCACAGCACCTTTCTTCGCTGGTCATGGCCCCGGGCTTTTCATCACCAGGCAACGCTGGCTCTGGGAGCTGGGACTCATATTTGTTTTTGACCGGTAGCGAATCTATTTTGCAGACAGCATACACGTTTCCACTGGCACAGCAGGGCCATCCTCTCTCTACGTATCAACTACTTTTCACGAAAGCAGCACTATTCATCATGGCCCTGAAGCTTGAACGGGACGTGTTCCACAACGATCTACTCTCCTATCTTACAACTGATCTAACTAATGCCAAAAAATACACCGGGATATCCTATTCCAGTCTGTTATTTTATTTCTCATCTGGATTGGCTGTTGCGGTGGAGGAGCAGTCTCTTTGTGCTCCAGATCTCCTGTATAGTAAGCCTTCATCTGAGAGTGCTGTTCTAAACGAATCAGCCGATACAACCTCTTTATTCTTGCGATCAGATCGAGCATACACGGATGTTTATATTAAGCTGGAGTCTCTGCCGCAGCTCTCTGGAGATATCGATGTAATAAGGAGAGGGTATGCCTGGTACAATGGTCTATCACAGTCACAGAGAGACCAACAACCGTCCTATCTACAATACTTATGTAATGTCATAGACCATTGCCGTGTAGGCGCTGCTTCACAAGATCAATTGGACCCCCTGCCAATTTATGTGCGAATAACGACTAATACAGAGAGGCTGCGCTACCTGTACTCTTCTGCACGCAGCAGTGGGGTAACCACAGATGTTCTTCGTTTACTTTATGCGACTGTCTCATTCCACCTGCGCATAATGGCCATCTTCAACTATCTGATTCATCTGATTGATCCTCTTTGTGCTCACCCCAGTGAGGACAGCGTTGACGTTTCTTCTACTGTCGCAGGTGACTCTGAACCCGAATCCGGAAAGGAAGACTCTAGTAAGGCGTTACTCACTTATCGGATTCTCTCCCAATTTTGGATACTACCAAGCAAAACAGAGCTACCATCTTATTACCACGCTATCCCTTATCCGCGATCACTTGCTTACATATACTACAAACTGATAACGCTGTCATATTTATCCCTGCATGAATTCGTAGCAGATATGCGTCAGAGTTTTAAAAACTGCCTGCAATTCAATGAGCGAAGCTCAGCTTTTTGTGAGCATGCTAAGGTGTGCAATGAGCTCACTTTCCAGCAAATCTCTCAGCACTTCCAGTACTGTAATGCAAGTAGTGTAATATCTTGGTTTACCGCCTATGAACGGCGTCTCAGCGTAGTGAAGAAGGGATACACTCTGTTATCTACCTTTGTAGGTTGCGGCATATATGAGTTGCTGAGCCTCCCGATCACAGAGGGCCCTGGGCCCTTCCATCTTGAGATGGATGGAGAAAAGTGCAAAGGGCTTATACTCTCCTACGGGTCTGGTGCAGATATGGCTGGGTTGTGTGCCTATGATATCTTACGGTACGCCATAGCTGCAGCTAAGGAGGGTGAAAGCGGCACAGGAAGTACTGTTACATACCCAGACGCCTCTGTCCGTCACGTCAAGAAGTAGTGTTAGGTTTTGTTGTAGCCAAAATGCTGCAGCCAATGAAGCCGCTGATGGTCACGTTGCGGCCTCAGATGGCGTAAACTTCGTGACTTTCTTGGCGACCTCTGCCTTTACCCATTCCAGCGCTTCAAAGGGAGATGCGATCTTTTTCTGGATCTTTGCGTACGAGTCCTGCAGTGGAGGACATATGAACACACGGTACAAGAGAAGCGCACACGAAAAGTCATGTTGACCCAACCAGTAGAAGTATAGTGACTTAAACAGTTCATAGTAGGGAACCCATAAGAAAAACTGATCAAGGACATACTCCGCTGCCATAGAGAGAGCGAAGGCTATCCAGAAGGCACTTGCGTCCTGAATTCTCGCTGCCAGATCCGTGGGCATTTCATCGTCTTCCTGATATTCATTGCACAGCAGGCGGATGAGACAGTATGACTTGTACGCAGGAACTGCCAGAAAAATTAATCCTCGGACGGCTCTTACGACGGAAGGTAAATCCATTTTTGTGGTGGATTTTAATTTTTCATGTCTACGTATACCATCTATGGAGTCCCCACGTGACCTGAGGCGGCTGTGGGACTGCATTTTGGCCATGGGGGACAATGATGTTTACTATTCCGAGGCTTGCACAGGCCTTATTGTCACAAGTTTTTATGGAGAGAAGTTGCAGATGGTACTAAAATATCTACGAGACAAGTTCTTTTCTTACACCTGGTCTACCTTGGAGTCCTTCAGCCAGGATGACTCCGCCCATACCAGGATCACAGCCCTTAAAGGTATCATTAAGTATTCCCGAACCGTATGCTCATCAATGAGCTTTATTCATTCACATTATTGCAAGGAGCTCCTTGTTGATTTACTTACTCCTGAGGCCAAGGATGCCTCGTTTAGCTATAACAGCAAGGACCTTCTAAGTCCCATTTACAACCGTCTTTGCACCCTCCGTGAACTGTATTGTCCTAGTGCATTACGGGGAGCCAGTGTGCAAAGACCCAACCTTTATATTGAAGGCATTCGTGTAGCAACAACGCCAATCAAGGAGGTTCTTCTTCTCTATAGCGAGCTCTCACCAAATCACAAAGAGGAAGTCCAGGAGATGGTAGAGGGAGCGCTCTTATTTGATGCGGACAGGTACTTATTGGACTTCACAGAGTTTGTATCTGTACAATTGAACGCACCCTTAGGTTGCCATGCAGTGGAGCTCTTTCATCGCTTGTCCATCTTTGAAGAGGAAATGCTATCTGCGCTGCATCAGATACTTCCAGTGGAATCCAAATTCGATCCAGCGCAGACCCTGGCTCGAGTGTGCAATGCCGCTATCTGTCTAGGCGTGAAAATGCATCCCGAAAGACACTGGGAAGGCATAAGAATTATTGTAGATAAACTAGTAAAAGAAGAGATTCCTGTATGCAGTACAATGGTGTCATTTATGGATCATACCATCCTTGCCTTCATAATGAACAAACGACACAGAGAGTTTGTGGATATCATGACTAACATAGTATGCAGAGGACTTACTGCCGCCAACGACGTACAGTGCCTCTTTAGATCTCTATTCAGAGTAGACACTTTGACCAATCATACGGGTGTACACTACGCAAAGCTCTTGGACACAATCCATAATAGATTAAATAGTGTTATCAGCAATGGAAGCTGCTCCATCAAGGAACAAATAGGACTATATGCAGCAGCGTTTATCAACTTCCACCATGTGAGGGGAGAGATGGAAGCCCTGACAAAGATCATGCCTCACAAACCATTATTCTTTTGCAAACTGTTTGAAGAACGGATATTGTTGGATCTCTTTTCACGTATGACTGCACTGCGACTGGGGTTAACCTTCATGGATCAACATCTTGACAAACTATCCTATATTCTGGCCGAGCTGGAGCTGTTCACGGTGCTAGCATCCATATTTACGCCATGCCTTACTCAGCTGTATGCATACGTGCTTACCATTTCAACAGGGTGTAGAGAGGCACGTCAGATTGAAGCGAAATCGAAAGCTTTGTATGCTTTTGTCACGACATCAGGGTGGAAGAGCTCGATGCCAAAGATAGCTGGGCTAATAGCTACATTGGTCCAGCCAGTAACATCCAGTAATGTTGAGATAGGATTTTCGAATATTCGCTTGCCAGAGACAGTAAAGACAGCCCTCTGTGAGGCCAGATTTGCCGCCATAAATGTCGGAGCCGATGACAGGCTGAGAGTGGTCCGCGAAGATTGCCTTCGCAAACTAACAAGAAACAGTTGTGACACAGATTGCTTAAATCAATTGGTAAGTGCAGGTTACTTTTATGTATCAATATCTCCAGAAGATATGAACTTCCCATTGAAGCTCACAGATTCCTTAAGCAACAGAACCAGAAGCGATAACAATACCAATAGCAATAGCGGTAACAAGGAACCAAAGAAACTGGAGATCATGGCACGCCTGTCGCGGATGGTGAAGACATCAGGAAGGATCTCTGTTGAAGATCTGGTAAATGCTTGCCATGAACACTATAAAGCAACCAGTACCATTACCAAAAGCGAAATATCAGACATAGTTCAGCGTCTCACTGAGTCTGACGTACTAGAGTGGACGGGAGAGAAGATGCTGCAATGGCATGATTAAGAATTTGAAAACTCTTGAGGCTCTTGTGGTTTGCTGACGCTGTTATGTCGCTCAACAGCGATGAGGCACACAAAAAGAAAAGTAATGGCCATAAAGAACACCCCCAAAACAATCCCATACAGCTTGAAGTTGGGCCCGAATATATTGCTTATTATAATCTCGTCTATGGGATATACCTTTCCACAGGCTCTAGTGTTGTTCATGAGCTGGTAATATACCATGCTAGCCTGTGAGTTCAAATTACTTATTATAGTTTGACACAAATCACTGGTTGTGGCCGTGGTGGAAGAAGATGAAATTAAACATCTCATGCTCGCAAAGAGTGACTCAGTTTGCTTCTGTAAAGGCATGAGAACTGTGATGTTTTCTTTTTCGATACTCTCAAAGAAAATATCCTGAAAAATCTTACGATTCGGGGCGAAGATTAGCCGGATGTGAGTGCAATCAGTACCTATGGCGCTGTTTTCACGCAGGATAGTGTTAGACGCGTTAAACATCAACATGAAGGATGTCACAGTAACAGACGCTGTGTCCCAGTCGACCAGTTCAACAATGTTGACAAGGTACCTAGCTATATCTATGGAGCCGCCGCCTAGGTGCATTGCCAAAATAAAGTCAGAGATAAGTGATGACTGAAATAGTTCTTCGGCGACTCTCAGCGTCGTCTTTCCCTTGTGAATCATCGATATGCATGTCGAGCAGTTGTATACAAGCACCCCTTTGCCGTCTACCAAGTTTAGTGCAACTGGGGACACGAATCGCGCGGGCTCTAATGGGCTCTTAAAACCAAATATCAGAAGCTCTGGCGACAAGGAGTAAATGGGCACATTGTCATGAGTCTTAGTGAAGGGACAGGCTGCAGAGATGGTCCTAGATATGTAGACAGAGATAGTCTTTGTTGATATTACCACTCGAACATTGGAGAAGCAATCATAGTAGTTAACCGTGCGTAAGCCGAAAAGCCGATTAGTCAAGATTGCATACTTGTTTCCAAGAGAAATGTTGAAGGTCATGTACAGGAAAACAAACGGACTGCTAACAAGAGAGTAGTAGTTGGAGGTGCACTCATCTTCACAATGAAAAGTAACCAGCGCATCGGTCAGGATAGAAGACGTGGGCTTGATAGATTTCTGCAAGAACTTTCTGAGCTTGTTGGTGGAGCTGTCCAGATATATGAGGGTGAGGTGATGGTCTATGATTGCACTCATAGGTATCATGGAGCACTTGTAAGACGGGTGCAGCTGGGCAAGAAACACAACTCGGGACTTCTCCATGAGGATATCGAGAGTTTGGTCGTTGGAAAAACAATCCCGATAATTATAACTGTCGACCTTCAACGTCATAATCTGTCGGGACGCAAGTAGCTGAGAAGTAGCGCTCGAGACAGATATATGAACGCCTGACTTGTAGGAGACATCACACAAATTGCGGTGTGAGTCGTCATCGTGCCATGAGAAGAAATCAATAAGCATAGTATCGTTGTACGAATCCAGCATTACCAAAATTTGATCACGATTCGACGTCAGGAAGTGGAGAAGGATCTCTCCCTGAAAGCTTGCACAAAGGGGATTTTCAAGATTAGGACTGAATCCTTGCAAAACGAAAAGACACGAACCATAGATCGCGGTTCCATTCATCAGACTTTGAAGACACACCCCCAGATCTTGCTTAAGGAAGTCATCAGGGTATGCTATCTCTGTGTCATAATTATGAAGGGAGACCAGCATGAGCAAGAAGAGCATTTTTCATGCTAGGACAAGCTGGCTCTTACAGAAAAAGGAAAATCTGAACTTTAAAATCTTAAAAATCGTGCATGGAAAAAGAGATCGACTATGCAGCTCTTGAGCAGCGCGCTAAGGAGCTTTATGCTCAAATCCAGGACGTGAACGTTCCAGATAGATTTAAAAACCCTTCCAATTTTTCCACACAAAAGGTCAGTCTCGACAACTCAGCACCACTGATTGCGAACGGATCCCAGAGCCTTTCGGCCACGGCGACAGAATCTAGAAAGTCAAATGCATCCATGTTTTATACTACTTCTAACAGCGAGTATGGAGACTTCACACCCTCCATAGTTGAGATGCCCACGCAGTGGAATGGGAACAAAATTATCGTGAGTCGTCAGCAAAATAATGTCGTCTATCGATACGACGGATTCAACACCGAGGTCGACAAGAATAGATACATGGACCCTTACGTCACTATCCGCCGCAAGTAATCAGTTTTAAAATAAACATTTCTTTGTCACGTTTTAAAGGCGCCACAGATGATGACCTCTATGCGCCAGCTGGGCAAGAATAGACACTATAGAACGCAATCTCCGGTCTCTGTGGGCTTCGACTTCGGAGACACTATCCCTGAGTTGACGTTCCGGGCGACAGATTGGCTCTTCGCTCACCTTCCAGCTTGTGCAGGCCACTCTCAGATGGTGTGCCCCGGAGCCATGCTGGTTGGAAATATGACTGAAAAGCAACTCAGTAAGCTTCGACGGACCATTTTTGTCTTCCAGGCAGACGGGGTCCTGTTCTCGAGTATTGAGGTTGTGCTTGCAGATGAGCATTTAGATGTCTTGGGATTCTGGCACCTAGAAAGCACTAGTGATTTACTGGTTGTCTATAAACAAGGGCTTGCACGCGTTTTTACCCTTAAAGGCTGGAGGCTACGAGAATTGCGTCTCTTCAAGAACCCGAAGACACAGACGTCTGTTCTTGCGGCGAGCTTCGCCAAGGACTCCTTTATTGCTCTGTTTAATGAAGGCACTCTAGTGTTCTACGAGAACCTCGCTGGAGCCATATTTTCCTCCAAGCAACCGCGCTCCCGCTCCATACGGCCGCCAATCCTGTCAACCATATTTGCTGGCGGGGCCCCGCAAGCAAATGATGTAGCGTTTTTGCGCCTGGTCAATGGCTCTGAAGAGTCTATGGACACAAAGTTTGTTATTCTAGCTACTACCCCTGAAAGCGACCCTGATCCACGTTTGATATTCTTCCCTTTAAATACACAATCTATTGAGTCGTATTGTTACACTAGTTCAGAGCTTTGTAAAGCCGTTCAGCTGAGCCCCGGTTCCGTTCTCTTCACGAATGCCGTATTACACCACAGTTGCGACTGTGTTATAGTGATTGATGAGTACTCATTGTCTTTGGTCGTGATTAACATATTGTCTCTGCGCAAGGACTTTGCCACAGGTGCCCCACGACTCCAGCTTTTCTTTTCGGTGCCATCCGCTGGAGAAAGGTCCATTCAGGTCAACCGAGCAGCAGGTCTTTCGGGGCTCCACAGCTCTGCTTTCCTCTGTTCTTTCTGTGATATTTTGCCTTGCTATTATGATAACTATGGCGGTGACGGTGAAATACGCATCATAATTCCGACCTCTGCTCGCGATCCGAAGGAGGTTCGCCTGGAGAGCTTGGAAGCTTCCAGTGTATTTTATATGGAAGGGTTATTGAGTGGGTTGCTCTACAAACAAGATGACCCCGATGAAGCTGCCACAATGCACTTTGTTCGACTTAACCAAGATCTTTATAATATTGAGACTAGCGCCGAGAACCACCCTGGGGCACTTTTATATCAAATCTCTACGCAGCTACGCAATGCCAAACAACATGGTTCGAGCTATGATGTCAAGGAAGTCTCATCAAACATGTTACTCCAGATTCTTGAGCCCCAAATGAACGTGGCAGTCACAAGTGTCTTACATGCTATTTCATCCATCGATGATTGCAAGCAACAAATGGAATACTTGAGTGCAGCAGCTTTAGGGAAGCTCTTCCTCAAGGCAGACGAGTTCCTGAGCATAACGGAGCAGTATGATGACACGCGTCGCCGTCTGCGTGTGCTTGGGGACTTCAATCGACATACTGTTGGTGGAGCGCTGCCTGCCGAAGACTTTTTCGGCAGATATGCGGTCCACACCTTAGTGGGATACTACTCGTCCCGCGGAGATCATGAGCGTGCGCTACGGACTACTCTCTATTTCTATAATAATAGCGAGGAAGCCATCAATCTCACATTTACCGTTCTCATGCGCCTTGCGGTTGACTATTTTCTCAATCCTGCTTACTTAAAGCAAGACGAGAGGAACATCATTAAGGTGCTCGACATCAATCTGGGACGCTTCCCCACTGTGACCGGAATCTATAGAAAATTGATTGACTTTCTGGTCTCTTTAGAGTGTTATCCGCGAAACGAACTGATACTGACTCTGATCGATAAGGAGCCTGCGATCTACGATCGTATAGCATTACTCCTCACAACCAGGAACTATAGAAAGGCAGCAGAGCTTTGCCTACAATGTGGAGTTGCAAGCTCTTTGACACACCTCGGCTATATGCTCTGCAGAGACAAGGATATAGGGGGCTACGACATGAATGCAGCACTCACCGTATTTCTTAGGATGTTCTCGCAACAGCAATCGCCTCAGGATCACTCAATTCAGACAAGCCTTTTCACCTGTCTCCTTCACATGATGATCACAGTCCTGGAAGCAGAACGGAATCTACCACAATTGTCCACCTCTGAGCAGAGCACTGCCCTCACCCCTGCGTGGGTTAACTATGAGTTCTTTATTAAGCTATCCAAGTCACTGTCGCTGGAAACGGAAACCACACTGGTAATGCTTACAGCACTGTTCCACAGCTCTGCCTTTGGTGGTGACTGCAATACTATTATAGATGCTTTGCACACCCACGCCACTCCGCCACGCGCATACCAAGTCACATGCGACAATCTATTGCGTGCCAAGAGGTTTATTACATGCTTTATGGATGACGATGTCGTGGAAGCTAAGGACAAAAGCAAGAAGTCTAAGGAGAGAGCGCGTGGTGGTGTAGATCCAAATAGCTCTAGCAGCCAACTAAAGTCCGTCACAGAGGTAATGAATGACACTGGAAGACAGATTTTTAGGCATTCTTTTGCTATGCTTGCAGGTGATGTTGGAAGCGACTCTGCGAGCAAAAGTACTAAAAAGTTTTCTATTACTGATCTTCCTAAAGCCAGAGAGCTCAAAAAGCACATTACAGGTGACTTCAAGAAGGACGTCTCAGCCGAACTAGTGTATTTGTCTGTCTGTGAGGGCTTTGTTATGGCAGCGTCTAAAGAAAATGCACAGTCACCTATCAATGTAAAGACTATGAGGCTGCTTATGGATGCCTTGCACGAGTTCTGCACATCAATAATTCCCAGTAAGGTTCTTGCTGTCATTGCATACCCTCTTCTTACCGTAATAGAACAAACCCTTTCAACAGAAGTGCATATCACACAGTCTAATATCTACAGAGAGTTGTATGGATTGCTCGATCCTGTCTCCAGAGCCAGGGCTGCATTGCGGTCTGGCAAGGCAGATGAGCTTGCTGCTGCGCTAGAGAGTGTTGGATTAGCAGACATGGAGCCCTTCAGCATAGCCTCCATGTCACTGTCAGCAGAGCTACAGGCAGTAATAATGAAGGCGCGCTCTCTTAAGTAGCCTAGTAAACTACTCTTTCCCCCAATCCGCCATAAGCTGAGCTTCACGCAAAGCCATGGAGTGGCAAGAATCTTAAAAGCTATGGAGCACAGGACTTCACGGGAATCTAGAACCTTATCCTGGAGCTCTTGTCTTTCCCCGCCTGTAGCCGTACTGTCGGGTTCTACCTCTGGTAAATTTACCCACTATCAAAATTCTTTGTGGGCGCTGAGAATCCTGGTAGATGCTGAGCCGCCTACAGAAGAATGGCCAGTTAGTCACTGATAGGCCAAATCAGACACATGACGCAGTTGTTCTGTTACAAAGGAAGGTGACTGATTTGTCGCAGATCCTTTCACAGGTCATGGGGCAGCTGGAAGTCCAAAGCGACGAGATCTCCCGCTTGAAAGAACGATGCTCAGTAATGGAAGGTTGCAACAAAGATCTCCAGGCACGTGCAGATGTGTCGGAAAGAACTGCAGAGAAATTGCAAAAGGCTGTCTTGAGGGTAACAAAGGGCCTAACTGAGGTGGCCAACTCTACGTTTATTCCCTCTTCTGGCGCACCTGACCCAACAACGAATGGAGACCGCAGGCCACTGCTTCAGTCTAATCCATCAACAACGTTAGGTGCCGGCACCAAACGCGCTGCCTCCGGCAGATCATCTACTCAAAAATCACGAAGGTCTGTTTCAATAGATGAAGTTCCTAGCGTAGAAAACGAAAGAATGGGTCTAAACCATGGACCAGATGCTCCTGTACCCAGCAACCTACGGAGCCAGACCCTCAAGCTATCTCATCTAAACACAACCGCAGCACCACCTGCACAGGGAACCAATCAAAGCACCGCAAAAGGGCCGCCATCTTATGCCAGCGTCGTTCAGAATATCAATACGCGCCATGTAACAGCTGACGGCAGAGTCCTTGAGCGGATAAAGCTAATTTAGTTTGATAATAATTTAATCTGGTAAGTTTCAGTGTTTGCCATATGCAGTCGATAGTAGCGGTCTATAAATATAGACACAGATGCCTTGCAGCTTACGCTTCCGTATCTCATATAGCCGAACTGAGAACAAACTCTTTGAATCAAAGTTTTGGCCACAAATCTGTATTTCTATTCATATATGAAGCACCCTCGTGAGGCATTATCTGGTGCCGAGTCTCTGGTTAGGTCACTCTGCGTACCCTCGAGCTTTTCTGAAGAGCACTCCCACCTGTCTGCAAAGATAGAAACAGATTCGAAAGCATCGTCGTCATATGGGCTGCAGGAGATCTTCCTGTCAGAGCACCTGTCATTGGCTTCTTCCCTCTTCTGTCTGGCAGACTTCAAATGGGCGTATCTGGATTGCCTACGGGATATGTGGAGCTCTAACGCTTCTTGTTCACACTTAAAGCAGCTCCATTTTAGAATTATAAACAGCAGCCTAAGTGGGCCCGGGGATTTGTAGAACGAGTGAACATTCCACAAAAGCATGCACTTATAAAGAGGAATTTCCCAAAGGAAGCAGTCGCCTATGCGCTTCTCATCTGATGTTCTAGCGAAGATGTCTGGTGGAGGAAGTGGGGTGGTCACACACTTTGTGAGGGATGGAGAAGGGACCAGTCCGACTGGTCCGGACATATAAATGTCCTCGGTGATACCTGGGTATGGTCTAATTCCGTGGCAACTGAGTGCAAGGGCGATAGAAGACGGCTCTATTGTTGAGTTTATCACGCGCTCTGTACTGTTTTCTTGACATATCTTCACAGACACGTCATGCAAAGAAGACAGTGAGCTATAAGAAACAAAAATAGACAACCTGACTGTGTACCTCTGCTCTGGTTGCACTTCTGTGCCACGCTTTTCTGTGAGCTCGTTGATGCTCCCCATTAGCTCTAGACACTCTAAGAAGGTGCTATTCGGCCTGGAGTGATGGTACGATCCATAGACAGTAATGTATAGTAAGAAGTCCGCTGTCCTAAGATAATCTAAGAGGTCAGACAAGGCATCCTTCATGGTGGCGAGGTTCTTGGATCGTGAATCAGAAGATGTGTTGGGGGAAAACAGACCGTAGAGAACAAGTGAGAGGCACTGAATTCTAAACGAAACAAAGAGGCGGACGTGTTGGAGAAGACAACATGGGAATAAATCGTAATTGTGCTGAAAACTGGATCTTCCAGTGCCATCTGCCACAATGACAATGTGTTGGGGTAGCTCCGTGGGCAGTTGACGCCGGATAAACTCTGTTAGCATGGAACCAACCCCCATTTCAGCAAGTCGCGTGTCCAGTCCAGAACGGGTTTTTCATAAATATTTCCCCATCATCTCCTGCAACATAGGGTCTGAAAATTTGCCATAGAGCAGTGAAAGCGCTCGGTTGAGCACACGGCTTGTTGATCTGTGACCCATGAGGTTTAGGTTTAAGGACTCACAGATAGATATAATTACATTAAGCTCTTCTATTGAAAAATTAGTATCAATCCCAAGGCATGCTTCGCACATGGAGATGACATCTGCGTATACTTGGATAAAGAAGGGGTCGGCAATGTTAGGGTAGAAACGTTCTACAATTGCCACAAACGCCTTGTAAATGGCTGAATCACGCCAGACGTGCCTACAGTCATTACAGCTATAGTTTGTAATCAAGTCAGCTGATGCATGAAGAATGGGGGTGTCTATGGACGCCTCTATCTCATCTTCAACAGATGGCTGGCCGTCTAAACGCTGCGTGATAAGTCCAGAGAAAGCAGATAGGCATGGAGCTACTGTGGTAAGCGCAGTGATGTCGGAGACATATGTATTTAGCTCCACAAGGCACTCTTGGGCATAGTTGTTAGTATATGTTGGACAAATGGAGTCCGTGCTCATATATTTGTAAAGTTCTATGGCTCTTCCAGCCCCGAATTTGATATTCTTCTCTACCGACTGATCATAGATGGGAATGTTCTGCTGAGGTATCCCAAATTGTTCCAACGAGTTCGTGGCGTCTGTTTTACTTGTGCATAATTGAGTAGCAGATGAAGGATGCTCTAGCGTATTGCTTATGTGAAGATAGGAGTGTGCTGCATACATAGTTGTACACTTAGACCAGGGGGAGCTAGTCAGTATTTTGTCCTGAGTGACAGAGTGAAGAAAAACATGAAGTGGATTAGAGTAGAGATTGATTGCTAAAGAACATGGATAGCTAGTGTTTGCTTTCTGAGTGTTTAATAGGATTCCTTTGAGGGCCAAAAGGGAGAATTGAATTGCATTTGAATCACTAGGATTGCTTGTTTTCAAAGAAATGGAAACCTTTTCTAATAAACAACCAACAAGAGTAGAGTATTCGAGCATGCAGTGTGTCCTTAGCTTGCTCAGCAATCGCTTCCACCACTCCACATGTATGCTGTGGAGTTGTGAAGAGTCGGAGAACGAAGGTGTGTTGATATCTGACGCGATTGTAAGTAGATTGATGTGTAGTAGACGTGTATACCGATGGTACAGAAGTACAAGCTTGTGGTTGAGGCGCAGGAGTCTGGCCTCATATAGACATGCACACATGTCTTTAGGGCGAGGGTGGCACAGATTGATGGCCAGCTGAGATAAATCAACCGTTAAGTCAAGTTGTCGTTGAAGTAGCATGTCAAAAGCCGCAAACGTTACCTTAGTAGACCATCCCTCAGCACTGGAACAATATGAAGGAATGACGGAGTATCGCCAAGATCTGGACAGGTGGCAAATTTCGTCGATGTCTTTAAGGTAAAACGTATAGCTCGGCTGTGGGATGCACTTAAGAAGACCGGTAAGATCTATAGTGGACTGCATTGGAAAGTTAATAGATCCACTTATCGGGCGGCTCAAATAAGTTAGCTCAAGAGAGAGACTAGCACAGTCACTTTCTAAAGACTTTTGCTCCAGGTCCTTTGCTTCAATCATGGGAGTAAACTGAGATGTGAGTTTAGAAGACATTGACTTTTTGCTTACCACAGAAGTCACACTACTATCAAGATCCGCTGCTTGCTTCTGTTTCTTCCTTTTTCTCTGGAATTGTGAAAGCAAGACCTTCCGCTGTGAGACGAGGGTGTCGATAGATAATTCTTTGTGCCTAGGTCCTGAGCGTTTCTGAGGTGGCTGCTCGTCTAGTTCATCAAAGGCTGTTGTATCTGCCACGCTGGTGGTAACGGTACTTGTTAGGAAATTATCAGGAGAATCATTGACACTGTGCACTTCCGAGTGCAGTGCATTGAGATCGGTAAGTGTTGGCGGCGCAACGACAATAGGAGGAATGCTCGGCTCACCAGGACTACGGGGTTCGTCTGTGTAGTCAGTCTGGCAAGTGTGCATAGCACTGGGAATGCGTGCAGGATTGGCAAGACGCCGAGAGGTGCTAAGGTTGGTAGCGGATACATCCTGGTGAGTATGGGGAGACGGGGTGCTATCTGTGGCCTTTGAAGTAGTTCTTGCAAGTGTGCTTGCCCCAGATTTCGGGTCGTTCAAAGCTAGCGTTATAAGTGACGAAAGAAGTGAAGTAGGGTGCAATGAATCCATACCCACGTCCGGGTAGTTTTCCTTATTAAGACCGGTCCACCCGCAAAGGGCCTCAACATCTAACTTTGGGGCTTCAGGTAGGCCTGCTATTTGTCTAACACGTGTATGCATATATACGCTAGCCAATTCAGCATATGAAATAAAGCCAAAGGGAGTATCTGCGTAGCCTCCAGACCCACTCATAGGAGATATAACATATTCCAACATACGATCTATCGTCGTTCGAGCCGCATGCATATCTGTTAGTATTTGCTCCTTGCTTAGGTCAACTAATGACAAGGCCATGTAGTGAAGAAGATACTGTGCCTGCGACTGGTATTTAGAAATGTAGCTGGATACCGGAGGGAGCTTCGAAAACTGCTTTAGTGCATAGTAGGCTTGAAAATTACAGACCTGAAATGGTAACAGTGCAGAGTAGGCAATGTACATGGATCCATAAGATGGTAATGCGACAATAACAAGTTGTGCTGTGCTTAGAGAGAAGGGCTGGATGAAGAGTAGATAGTTGGCGTGCACTAGAAGGATAAACTTATGTAAGGTAGCAGTGACATACTCGTAGTTAAAGAGATAAGTAGAGTCGCGTTCTGCTGGTAAAGTCTTTTCATGTGGAGCATTAGCTTGAAACGCTGTCCTAGGTGCATCTTCCGTCACCTTTTGTAACGGAGTAGCAAGAGAAAATGTGAATATAGATGCAGTGAGGCACGCGCATATCTTAATCATGGTACAGCCTAGAGAGTGGCACGAAAAGATCGCTATAGGCTGTGGGGTAGTCACCAGATCTATCAAGACACTCTTGCACTGTATGGACCCTCTGCTAGGGAACGGGTGCACCTTGTAGCGTGCTGGAATGGTGACGGGAAGGCGCCTGATCTCGTTCAATTGATTATTGTACCAGCGATAGAGCCGAAGGACCAGCAGTTGGGTAGACCCTCGGGCATCGAGTTGTCCCAGCAACCGAGCGTACATGTGTCTCATGCCGTTTACGTCTATGTACTTATTTGCAGCAGTAGGTAGTTCAATAATAAGCACATAGGGTGGAGAACCTTGAACATGCAGAGCCTCCCCAAAGATGTGGAGTGAATCAGCCACCGGCCGAATGATAAGTTGCTGAGTTTGCAAGCGGGTGCGCTTAATGAACAGCTTGGTAAGGACAGGAATATACGTCAATAGCAAAAGATATGAAGAGTCTCCCGGAAAGCATACGTCAGCAGGACTCCGAAGGCGAATGGAGGCGGTGAGTCCTTGCTGTTTAAGGTTAGTGACCGTTATGGTATACTGATATCGTGCACCCCAATCACGAGTAACAGTTGAAATGGCAAGAAGATGCCCATTGGGAGAAATAGCTGCTGAAAGTATGCGGCTCGTGGAAGGAAGAGAGGATAAAAGGGTAGCGCTCTTATTATGCTGGTGATCGTGTAATAAGATCTCTGAGAAAATACAGCGCTGATTTTGCAGACGGCAAATAATTTCTCGAACCAAAAGAAATCTGGGTGAAGTCTCGGTGCCGACATCAAGAACACATGGTCCAGAGTGAACTCCAATCACCCGGAGATTTGCAGGACCCTCTGTGGTCCCTGAAGAACGAGGGAAGAGGCGTTCACGCGTTATCGTTAACATCCTCTTCTTTAAAAATTTGTGCTACTCTACTCTACCCTATCGTTCTCAGGTAATTAATGATATCATAAAAAACAGAGAGACTTGTTAGTCGTGCACTCTACATAAGCTCAAGCCTAGAATTTAACAGATGTTTCACGGAGTAGAATGGAACTAATTATATTTGGGATTGATGTTTTATAGGTCTCCTGCTCTTTTTAGAGTTGCACTAAGCTGACGAGGTTTCCTCTTTCTTTGCTTATGGTTCATGCTTTTCTGACGCTGATTGGATTTGCTTGCAGGTTATTACTGAGCTCTACTACTGTTTCCGCTTCAAGTGAACTTTCTGCCGGCCGCGTTATACAGTATCATTGAAGATTTGTTATAACAACTATAACTCAAAAAATGACGTCTGCGCCGCAGCCCTCGGGCCTCTTCGACCCGGCGCCCCGGCCCACGGCGGCGGGGGACGGACGCCCGCCCGCGGCAGCCGCGCCCTCGTTCGTCCTCGCCGGCGACCCCGAGGGCCTCGCAGGCGCGTTCCTCCGCGTCGTCCACCAGGCGCTCGTCCTCGGGCGGCTCGAGGCCCTCCTCGACGGCCCCCCGCCCGCCGGAGACGCCCCGCAGCTCTGGGCCGGGCTCCTCCGCGCCGCGCTCGCCGGGGCGGGGACGCTCGACCTGGGGCCTCTTGCCGCGCAGCTCGGGCCGCTCCCAGACCCCGGGGCGCTCCCGGCGCTCGTCCGCTCCCTCCCGGCCCCCGTCTGCGCCGCGCTCTTCGGGCTCCCCGGGCCCTGCCCCGCGTGCGGCGCGCCCTCCCAGCCCGGGGCGAGCGCCGTCCTCGCGCCCGGAGAGGCCCTCGCCGCAGGGGCCCGGCGGGTCGGCCTCCGCTGCGAGAGCTGCACCCGCCCAGACGCCCTCCCGCTCGCCCGGCCGCCCCTCCTCCGCGCCGTCGCCGTCCCCCCGGGCTTCGCGGGCCCCGTCCCCCTCCGGCTCCCCGGCGACCTCTTCCTCGGGGCCGTCGTCACCCGCGCCCGCGCCGGCCACGCGCTCTCGGTCTTCGTCAACCCCGCCTTCGCCCAGGGCCGGAGCGACCTCGTCCGGGACCGCCGCTTCGTCCTCTACGCGCCCCCGGCCGCCGAGCTCCGCGCCCAGCCCGGGAGCCGCGCCGCCGAGCTCACGTACCTCCGCTACCGGAAGGTCCAGGCGTACCTCGAGCGCCCCGCCGCCGCCCGCGAGGCCGCCTCCTTCGGGGCGCCCCGCTTCGTCTTCTACTTCGACGGAGACGTTCTGCACCCAGACATTAGGAAGCGCTTTAATGCGCTAGCCTCTGATACTGACCTGATTGCGATTAATCCATCACTATCTGCTCCACATCAGCCTCCAACCCTTTCGCAGCCACACACGCTATCCTCCCCCAAGGAGCCAGAAACTGTTGATGTCACACTTAAAGTCGGTGGTGCTACCAAGCAAACTCTAGCTGAACAGCAGCACACTCTTGCCTCTCCGTCCCTAGATTCGAGACCGCCTTTGAGTACACTTTCTTTGCACAAATCTAGCCAACTAGTTGGTGAATCGACTCCTTGGAAAGAAACCAAGACGATCTTATTGCGCCCAGACTTTGTTCAGGAAAGGAAAACATCGTGTTCAGATGAATTTCGTGAGCACATGGGCATATACATTCTGATTATTGTTCTAGCAGTTATAGTTCTTGTTCTCTTCATCCTCGTGATTGTTCTCTATTCCAGATTGATTAATTTGACTGTTCGCAATCTACTTGTCACAAATTTCACGGCAATAGGTGTCCAGTCACGCTTAGACATCCCCAACCCAGCGCAGTTCACGTGCCCAAGTGGGATTCAAGACGTGAACGCAGTAAGATACTGTGAGCAGATGGCTCCTGATGCAACCGTTGGCCTCTATGCACCAACTGTTCGAACCGGTACATTCAATTCTAAGCAGTACAATGTGACCAACCTCTACTATTCTAATATCTTCCTTCTTAACTTTACTCAGATAGCCCCTCTGAATGTCTCCGAACTCATAGCACAGAATATTATGACAAATGACGTCACATATAGTACAGAACTTGTCCAGGAAGGGACAGCAGAGTTCCGGACCGGCCAGGTTAGTGTCCAAGGCTTTAGAAGTGCAGATTTCACCAACACAACGCTGAATTTCAGTCTTACGAGCCTTTCTGCTCTTCATGTGCGTGGCATCTCCTCGCCAAGCTCTGTGACTCCGTCGACTATAGGAACTGTCAATGCCGGCAAACTAGTGTTGGCTCAAAAAGATCCAATCACTCCAATCACCACCTTCAGTATAATAGGAGACGTCAATGTGTCACGCCTCGTTGGAGGCTCTACAACAATCGGACAGCAGGCACTAGAATGGGTGTTTCAGAACGTATCCGCTTCCAAGCTAGTTACCACACCCGTAACAACGACAGTCAAGACAATCAATGGAATGGATACTCCTGTCACATTAGATATAAACCTCAATGATGCTTTGTCCGTGAAGACTCTCACTCTTCTTAAGTCGGGTACGTCGGCATCGATCCAAATATCTGCTGCATTTACCATCAGTAAGGCTTCTGTATACAATTGCACTACAGCCTTGCTGACAATTCCTAGTGCCACAGCGACTCCGCCCAACACGGGAACTGGTTTGTATATCAAGAGCCTCTCTGATAAACCGTTTCCTCAGATATCTGCTCTGGTTGTGGGGAATATTCGGATTGACAATGGGGGGATATGCAACGCCAATGACCCTCCGGCATCTACGACGCGGACATGCATGATATCAAGCGCAGGCAGCAGCAATATCGGGTCTATGTCTGCCACGACAGTCACTTCTACTGGGCAGTTGAAGAGCTCTTTCTGCCAATGCACATGAGGGTTGAAAAGCATCATATGGTTTCCATTTACATATCTTGTAACCTGTAGATTGCGGATACAAAGGCAACAAAAAGGGTGTGCGGGAGTCTGTGTTTTGACGTGAATTCAGGATGGTACTGGGTGGCCATGAAGAAGGGGTGTGCTTCTGTTGGTAACTCCACAGCCATAGGAAGTTGGTTGGTGAAGTCCATACCACTTATTATCAGTCCGTGCTCAGTCAAGGTATCAATGTACTGGGTGTTGACGGCGAACGAGTGCCAGTGACGCTCCTTCACCTGAGGATACTTGTTGTAGCACTCGGATAGCATTGTGTTTGACTTAACTGACACCAGAAGGTCGCCCAGTCGCATAGTGCTATACTTTGCGGTGGTACCCGGATTGGCCGCGTTCTGCTGCTTGTGGAGAGGTTTGATTTGCCCGGTCTCAAGCATCTCACTAATGGGAATAATGAGTTTGTGCGGAGTGTCAGGGTCCATTTCCGTCGAGTTTGCATGGCTGAGACCACATACATTTCTCGCAAACTCGCACACCATCATCTGGAAGCCAAGACAGAGACCAAGTATTGGCTTGTTGTGAGTTCTTGCATATTTAATCGATAACATAAGGCCGTTAACACCAATGTCTCCAAACCCACCAGGAAGAACAAACCCGTGGGCCTCTTGTAGAATGTCATCACAGTTCTTTTCATCAAGAGCTGTGGGATCTACCCACAGGAATGCGAATGGCTTATCATGGTAGTATTTGTGCATAGTAGCCCGCAGTGCTTCCAGGATAGAGAGGTAGGAGTCCTCTCTTGCAACAAACTTCCCGACAATTGCTATAATGCAGGGAAGATCCAAATGCTTAAGGGTCATTTCATGGCGAAGAGTTTTTGCTTGGGCTGCACTTGCAAGCATCTGCTGCAAACTCGTCTCGACTTCCTTTTTCTTCAGATTTTCAATGCGCAACTTTAAGTGTCCATCAGCGTTCGAGGGGTGATGATGCTTTTTGAGCTTCAGTGTTACGTGGGTACTTCTATTACGTACAGATGCGGAGGACCCAGAATTATGAGCCAAGACGATTTCTCCAGGAACTTCACTGGTAGACTCACTTGGGCCTTGCAATTCTGAGTGAGCTGTCGGTGTGTGCGCGCAGGAATCTGTGCAGTAACTATGGCCACTCTGGTAGCTCTGGTAGCTTTGATGGCTTGGTAGGTCTTTTGCCGTAGCTGTAATCAAGGACCCAAGGGGCATATTGGTGTCTTTCTCTGCAAGAAAGGCATCTCCATAGTTCTTGACCATCTTTGCCACGCTTTTGGACCCAAAGTATTTCTTCTGTGAACTTAAGTGTGACTTATCAGCAATAGTACTAGTGTCAGACTCGGAATCATACAGTGCCATGTCCGAGATGACCTCTTCGGAGTGGTCCTCGTCATATATGTTGGACGCCAGGCGCATGTGCGTTAACTTCTGGCTTATAGACTTGCAGCAGAGATCAGTTGGGGATGCCAAATATGTAAAAGTTGCCTCTGTGATGGCCTCATTGACATCCAGCAAGTGTGAATTAAGGGTACAAATGGGGCACACTTCTGTATTCTTTGCGGTCCCACATATCATGCAGATGGCACCAAAAATGCCTTCAGCTGCGTGATCCTGCTCTTCAGTAATGTTCGCCAGAGCGTTATCGAATCCTCTGAGCACCTCGTCCCCCAATTCCACCACCTCTTCGCGGTCCACCCTCATCTCCACGAGGACATTCCCAAGCGCCTCCATCTGACCCGTGCATTTGGCCATCTCAATAGCTTTCTTCATATCTGTTTCAGCTGTTAACGCGCTCTCATCAGTGAATGAAGGAAGAACCGCCATCGAGCTGACCAGCTCTGTTGCAGACTTGGCAGCAAAGGCCTTGAACGCCCAAGCTTTGTTCCATTTGGCAATGAGCTCTTTCAGCATTATTTTCTCGTCAGACATTCCTTTAGCGTCTACTCGCGTTGCATTGATGGTGTATTCATCGTCCAAAATGTCTGTGCTATTTAGGTTCTGAAGTTGTATGAGGTAGTCCGGGGCGTACCCGCAGAAAAGCTGCATTATCTCTGGCTTGATTGCATCAGGATTTGCTGTGGCCATCAAAATAATGATGCTGCCTCGCTGCGGAGCAGATGGAGGTGGATCTTCACTGCAACTCAGAGACAGCAGCCTCTCGATGGTTCTAGTAAAAATTTGGGTTGAGGGTTGGCGCACACCGCCCCCAATCTCAACGATACGAATGGGGATTTCATAGGAATTCATACCTGAAGAAGGTGGATGCTGCAGGGTGGGCTCCATCTGGATGTACGTAACAAGGTAATCCAATAGGTCCTCTTCGAAGGTAAGCCGTGTAAACCCGGTTTCCTGTTGCTTCGCCTGTTGAATGTACAGCTGCTGAATGGCCTGTCCAAGGGTTAAACATGACGTTCGCGGCAGCTCTCCCGTTATACTTCTCTCAATGATCCCCACGTCATAATCCACCTCGCCACCGTCCCATGTGATGAAGGCCTCACCCTCCTTCTCTGGAGAAAGATTTCCAAAAGTTAAAGATAGGGTTGTGGAGAGCTTTAGGTACGAGAAAGGGATTCTTTTCTGGTCTAGATAAGAGGCCAGATAGGCCGACAGAGCTGTTGTCTTCGCATTGTAGTCATCTGTGAGAATGAAAATAAAGCGCTGGACGCCCTTCGTTACATCTGCAGAAAGAGGCATGGGAAGCTAAGTTTTAGGAGCTAAGTTTTAAGATGTAAATTTTCTACAAAATTGAGACGGGCTTATAGACTAAGGCTAAGTCTTTCTATGACAAAGCGGGTCCACACTCTTTAGAACCTGAGCTATGGCAAAGTAGCACAACGCTGGCCATAAAATATCACTTGAGAAATTGAACGTTAGTTGTGTGGAAGGTTAGTATGTGAAAGCAGAGTGTATATTTTTTGAGGAACACACTACAGATTAGGTTTCGCCCAACTGTCCTCGTTCCTAGCACGAAGCCCACACCATAATTGCTAAAACGGAAACGACAATTCAATATTTCAACTCAATTTTTCGTTAATCAATAATTTAGCATAATGAATTAAAATATGAAAAAGGTCAGCGGCGATAATCTAGAGTTAATCTAGGGTAATACAGGGAACTGCAAACATGTTCCTTTTATCCATTCTCTGGCTTCCTGCAGTGGTCTATTCCGTTGAAACGACGATAACTCAGGGAGAGAGGCTCTGCTTTGTAGAGGAGCTCCCGACTGGTGTGAAGCTTCAGGGCTCGTATGGAGCGAAGAGCCCAGTGGAGTTTCCTGTTTCAGTGACTATCTTGTCGCCAAACGGAACACTGTATCGATCCGACGATATCCCAGAAGAAGCCCGCTTCTCTTTTTCTGTGACAACGAGTGGCACATATCAACTCTGCTTTATAGGCCAAGTCCGGCGCGAAGGACAGAGGTCTCGGTATATATCGATTAACCTTGACGTAGGGTCTGTCTTTGGATCATCTTCGACATCTGATGTTGATGCAAACAAGCTCCCCCTCATAGAGTCTATCGTTTCAGATATGAAGGAGGTCAAAGAGGACTTTTCTTACATGAAGCACCGAGAGTTGTTTCTCCGTGCTCGGATCAAGAGACTTGCCACATCCGTCATGATGGTGTCTACCCTTTGCGTTCTAGTTAGCTGGGCTGGTATGATTTTGATAGGTCAATGGACGCGTATAAGTGTCAGGAAGCACATGTGAGCGCATCAAGCTCTCCTCTCCCTGTTGAAGTGCTGTGAGATGGACATGTATGGTGGGGTAGTGTACGGTAGAGTAAATCCAAAATTCAAGATTTAAGAACAAGGAGGCCAAATTTTTAGATATTGCTGTTCCTAATGGAGCCTGCTGTGGATTCTGTTGACCGCGATAAACGGGGTGAGTGGGGTGATCCCACGCAGGACGTTAGCCGTGTTGGCCATGTTGGCCTCTTAAATCTAGGTAATACCTGTTTCATGAACAGTGGACTCCAGGTTCTTTTGTCAAGCAAACACCTTATAGGGGCGATTATGAAACTGAGAGAACGAGAACAGAGCGATTTCAATGGGACCCGTGTCAACGGCAGGGAAATGCAAGATGCCTTTCAGAACCTTATTGATGCATCAAGAGGCAACATGACAGACATTTACAGGCCTGATAAGATAAAAGACGCTGCATCAAGACTGAATAAATCCTTCAGGGGGTATGGACAGCAAGATTCATTTGAACTTATTCAAACAGTCCTGGATGGATTGGAGAAGGAGACAAATAAAGCAAAGGAGGTACCATACAAATTGCTAGACACAGATGGAATGGGGTACAGCAAGGCACAAGAGCTGTTTCGAGAGCACCACCACATGAAGTACGACTCGCCAATCACGAAGGTCACATGCACGGAGCTTGCCAAGTGCGTCATGTGCACGAAGTGCCGCGCCAAATCATACTCCTTTTCCTACTGTCAAGCACTTCTCTTGGACCTGCCCATCAAGGAAAGTAGAACTGAAGTGAAGAAAACGAAAAAGGACGAAAAACAGGATCGGGGTAGTGGTAATAGATTGAGTCTCAGTGCACTCATCAATAACTCAGAAAAAGTATACACTGTGGACAACTACTACTGTGCAAAGTGCAAGACTCACCAGCGCGTACATGTACGGGAATGGATATCCGAGCCAGCCAAGTGTCTTATCATTCAGCTCAAACGCTTCAGAAACGAGGGACACAGTGTGCTTCCTCGGTTTCTCTGGAGATACAGTAAGAACGACTCGTCCGTCGAGTACGAGGACACGCTGGAGATACAATCCCTCGAGTTTGAGCAAGATGGTGTCGAAAAAGATGACATGCAGCCTGACAGGGCATATTCAGGATCTGAGGTGGACTCCAGTGCAGATCCGACTGTCTGGGAGACCCCGTTGCATGACGATAGTAGTAGTGAGCACGTAGTGCAAGGAATGATAGCCACGGCACTAGACGCTAAGGCACCGCATGTCAGAAGCTACAAATACCGGTACCGAGGGGCATCTTTGCACTCTGGAGGTCTGGGCGGCGGACACTACACAGCACTCTGCTACGGCTGCAACGACAAGTACTACTACTGCAACGACTCGAGCGTCACAGTAGTGGACAGAGGAAAGTTGGACACCCGTGCATATGTGCTTCTGTTTGACAGGGTGGATTGCTAGAAAATCGAGGCTAGACCTCGCCGATGTATGGGATATTGTCATACTCTCGTGGAATCGGTAGATTGTAACGCATCAACAATGCTTCCTCCAGTTTTCTGATGCTTATTCCGTCTATTAGCTGCGGGCGAACGTGCATTGGAAAGTTCTGCGGGGTGTATTCTTGCTCCTGTTGTGGCCTATCTTTATTGCAGATTTCAAAGTCTGTGACGTGAAAGAAGAATGACATTCTGATCCAGTAATCTACCAAGAAATATATGCTGTATTCTATGCTGTCCGTTGGGATGATGCATTCGAGCTCTCCTATGCGCGACTCTGTGCTAGAATCTGCGTTATAGAAATCTAATACACCTCTTGGGTTGCTGCCTTGAGATGTGGACGCGGTATCTTGTAGCTTGATCCACCCCTCTGTGACGAGCCTCATAAGGTATCCGTTTCTAATGTGTGTCATCACCTCATATTTATATGGCAGATTGTAAACCAAAATCTGCACCCAGTTTATGCAAGGAATGATGGAGAGCTGGTGGACATCCAGCTGCTCTGTTGTGAGGCGCGGAGGCATCTGGGATAGCGCATATACTCGCGGCAGACGTAGAACATCTGCAAATCTGACATGTAAGCGCAGACCTTCGCGGATGTGAACCGTTGTAAGGCTCTTGGCATATCGTGAAAGGACAAGGGACCGGCAACCACTCCCCAGCTCAGACTTGGAGACATAGTGGAGAAGAAGCTTAGACTTGAACTTTTCTACTTCATTGCTTTCGTCGTAGCTCCTAGAAACCCGCTCCCCGCCTCTCTCTTCCTTCATGGCAGAGGCCTTCAATGAGTAGAGAAGATTCTTCATAAGGGGGTAGTCGCGGGCAATGGTGGACTTGTTCAGGTACGGATCCATTTCGAAGACCTCATCTGCTCCAATGCAAATGTCGCGGTTTATGGAGCGGAGAGTGCTAGAAGAATCATAGACAAAGATACTATTCAGAATAATCCGTGCCAGGATCAGGTTCAGGCCTCGAGAGAAGAGAACCATGGCCGCTGGATGAATAACACACCTGTTGGCATACTTGCCGCCTGAGGAAATTCTCCGGAGCCTATCCATTGATACAATAGGAAGCGCCTGAACCAAGAAGCTGAAATACTTGGCTTCTGGGACTAGTTGATGGAACTTTGCAGGATATAATTTGACCCCCTGGGTGCCCTGTTTTTCTTGTTGTGCTTCGCTAGAAGCCTTGGATTGCTCCATTGGTTGTGTTTCAGCCATCACTGATCAAAGGCACTCAAATCCGGAGACAGGATCCTTTCAATAAAGTAAAGGGATACTTTCTGAAAATGAAAACTCTGCAATTTATTAATAAAATGAGACTTTTAAGTTTAAAATAAATTCTATTAGATTGAAAGGCAACGAAAAGTTAATCTAAAACAAAGTTTGTCTTTTAAGTTTATCTTTTGCGATCTTGTATTACTGTACATGAAAGATCGGCAAGAAATAAAGAGGGAAGAGCTACTGGTTCAAGACTGTTAAAAAAGCATGGTGAAGTTGGGAAACATTCAGGTCACACACCACCAAAGGAAATCATGGTCTTGGTGTTCTTTAGTAAAGAGTGCTATTACGCATGCAGCCTGTAACACTTCATAGTGCAAGTTGGAGGTGACTATGTCCACATCTGCAAATAGAGCTGGTAGAAGTCGAGCAAAACAGCATATTCTACATTATATCACAGTCTATTAGCTCAATCAAAGAAGATACCGTGCAGAATCTTTGTTTCCAGTGCTTAGAAGATAAAGACAAGGCTCTTCTTAAACGCCTGACAATGGCAGACTTAGACCGCTTCACTAGGGTGTCACAGATTGCAACCTTATTGCAAATATATGGAACGAATCAACAAAAGCTGTCGAGTGTTCAGTACTTTGCACGCAATAGTCTCTGCTCGTTTCCCTCGACTTCTTTTGTCAATGCCTGGAGGTAATTCATTGTCCCTTGCGCTGCCGCAGTTAGCTGATCAATCTCCTCGATGTTCCTTGAAATGTCCATCCAGCGTATGTTGCTATGGGGCCTGTGCTTCGCTGGTACTTCTGGACGCTTAGGAGCTGCTGCATGGAGGTACTGTGCCATGTTTCTATAGTCTTGAGTCCCCAGATCTATCCCGGAAGTAGAGATACCTGAGCTAAAGATGGGCGGCGTGTTGTCTTCTAGCCCTATATTTGAACACATTTGGTGGTTAACAGGTTGCCGAGGAGGATACGGGTCATTTATGCTTAACGTGGAGCCATTCGCCATGGACGAGATCTCGATGCTCTGTACCTGAGGCTGCATTCTCGTTTGCTTTTGAGGTGCTGGTTTAGAACTTGATGCTTGTGACGATGGCTGTTCTAGTTTTTCCATGTCCTGAGGCTTGGCCTGTGCATAGGGTTGTTGTTGAAAAGCTGGTGGTACCTGGGGAGTCGATATGACTTGAATGGCAGGGTAGTTTGGAAGATTAAGGTTTCCTCCATACGGTTGAAGCTGCGAAACAACATGCTGAGGTTCTAGAATGCGGGGTTGATGAATAGCTAAAGAACCGGCAGAGTGTCCTGGTACACCTGCGAAAGGCATATGAACAGGTAGGGTTATGGCATTTGGTCCTGGAGCTGTGGGGAGATATGCAGATTGCGGACGGATTTGAGAGGTAGTTAAAACTGAAAGTGGGCGCTGCGCCGAGCGACTCGATACTGGACGTGAAAGCTGAGGTCGAAAACTATACACAACAGGCCTGCTAACATTAGAAGTAAGGGAATACCCTGGGTTTGGAGGCAGATTATTGGCCCTGTTGTAGCCATAATGCATTGGCGGAGGAATCTTTACAGAAGGAGGCTGTGGATAGAATGGAAAAGGTGGTGCTGGTGCTGGCACCGAGGTAGGAGCTGGCGCTGGAGGTCCTGCAGATCGTGGCGGTGGGGGTAAGGGTGGAGGCTGTGACGGATGCTGGCTCAGAGGAATAGAGGATGGTGGCAGTGGCGGTGGCGGTGGTAGTGATTTGGCATGTTGCAGGGGATTGATTGAAATAGGGCTGCGCTGGTTCTTAGACGTTGGAGCAGTGATATCTAACTCTGATGCTATATGCTTCTCAATAGCTACGTCATCTATCTTCACTGCAGATGTGCTCAAAACCTCACCAATCTCAGGACTTCTATTAATATGAAAATCGTCCATGTCAAGGACACGTTCTTTGCTTATGAGGGGAATCTTTGCCTCAAATGGAACATCGTGGCTCCTTGTGACGTCTTGCCTTGGTTGTTGATGCTTCGCCTGGGAAGTAGACCCAGAGGGCTTTGGCTGTAAGACCTCAGATGCCTGGTCAGGCATTATATAGTAGCTTATCTCCTTGATGGAGTCGCGCTGGGGACCACACATTCTACTCAAAGCATTTTGATTGGTCTCCAACTCACTACAGAGTCTCTCAAGATTGGACATCTTGCAGACGTAAATATTCATAATTCTGCGCTTTTCATTCTCGTCCACTGGAGACTGATCTATAAGCGATGCACTCTTCGAGCAAGTGACAGTTTCAAGTGCTTTACTAGATATGGCAGAGAAGGAGGTAAGGAAACAACGAAGCAAGTGAATAGCCACTGAATAGTATCCCTCTCTGGCTAAGAGGAAAATCCCATCTTCTAGTCTACCTATTGCTAGGAGGAGAAGCGCCACACAAAGTGGTGTAAACAATGGCTGGATAGTAGGGGGCAGATTGTCAACATAAGTCGTATCAGGAAATGTAAATGAATAGCGTACTCGGCCTGCAATGCCGAACGAACTCAGAGGTGCAGCAGGCGGTGGTCCACAGTGGCATCGAGGCTCTGTATAAACATGTCTTTGAAACGTTAGGAGATAATTGAAATCAGGTAGTACATTGTATGCTGTCACATAGAGCAAGAAGAAAATGAGTGAATCTAGGAGGGTGGTATCTGCCCTTGCACGCAGAGTTAAAAGAAAGTCAACGTCGGCATGCGCCAGTGGCGATCTGTCCTTCGCTATATCGCAAATAGCCAGCACCTTGGCGAGCACGCTGCACTGTACCTCTGTGAGGTGCGCCGTAGATGAGGCTGTCTGTATAGCGGTATCGGAAAAGCTTGGGCTCGGTCCGCAGTAATCAGAGTCTCCAGAAAGCCTCAGGAGATATGCAACAACTGCAAGAAAGCGGCCCGTTCTCCCAGCTACGTATGCTGCATACAAGACTTGCGCATGGGTAGGAGTAGAAGACTCCTGTGCAACTGCTAGAGATTTATGAGTTGTCATGCGGCAACCAATATCTTGGGGCCAAAAGGGGTTGTAATCCCTGATTACGTTGAGCACTGATTGAAGGTAGAAACGGTTGCAAGGGCCATTGGGGGCATCAAGTTTGCAGATAGATGTACCTGTGAACAGGTAGCCATATGAGTAAATAATAGACTCTGGAACAAAGCGCGATTGTCCTCCTTCAGACGCACCCACAAAGCGCTTCTCTAAAGTTAGGCTGGAACTCTGCAACACAGAAAAGGGTTCCAAGGATGGAAAGTATGCATTGATAATATAGAGTGGTAGAAGCGGAACTGCCACGTTTTTTGGCTTATTAAAAGACCCAGAGGAGCTTGTATAATTCTGAGGTACCAGTATGGAGAGCATCTGCACAGCAGCACTGTCAAGAAAGTAGAACTGGAGTTGTTTTGCCAATGCATGAATACACAATAGAAAGAACGCCGCTTTTTGTACAAGTTCTCTGTGAGCAGGGTCCTTGGCTTCAAAGCAAAGTGCTTGGTATACACAATTATCATATGTTAAACAGCAATACCCACAAGCTAGAAACAAGCATGTGGACGCGGGAATTGTATAGCCCACAGATCCAATACTCTTGTATGGAAGTTGGTGGGGCTGGCTTGGTGCAAGAAGGTGAGTACGAGCAGCGATGAGGGCATAGCTAGTACGGGCGAATAGCGCTGTAAGCTTTAGTAATGATGTGGTCATAAAACACAACGTCTTGGTGTATTTAAACGCATCCTCAGTGGAGATGGTGGGCTTGGATGTGCTCTCTGCGCCGTCAGAGTCCCCCGTAAAGATGTCACTGCTCTCACTAGAAGTGGTAAGAGAACCAGAGGCCCGAGAGGAAAATAGAACTGGGTAGCTGCCTAGCTGCTTATAGAAAAAGGAAAGGATGTTGTTGTCAAAGGATGAAGCAATTGATTCGGCAATGATCATATATGTCTGCTCAGCAGCCACTAAGGATATGGACGAAAGCTCTTTCGTATATCGGCGCCGAAGTATATTCAGCGGAACAAGCACAGCTTCACACGCATGGCTTCCAATCGCTGAGTAGGCACCAGAAGCTATCTTAGCCAAGTGACAATCATAGTTTGTTGTCTCTTGGTAGTCAGCCGAGGTGGCAATCAGGTCAAACATCGTCTTTACAGTCATACCAACCTGCGCTCCCAAGGCCTGGAAGAATAGTAGCACCTCTGTTGCAACGCCTAGCTCACGCACGCTGTCAGAGGATTGGTTGGGGTTGAGCTCATCACTGAGCCCTTCCTGGAGCTCCTTTGCCTCAAGAGGAGAGGAAGAAAGCAGGAGCTGCTTAAGCAATCTATAGCTTTCAAGAGTATAAGAGAGAAAAGATATTGTATTGATTTGTGGAGTAAACTTTGGATTGGCCATATAATTGTTACTTCTATCTAGATTGATATGTGCCGATACAGGAGGAGTCTCACGTACCAGCTGGCAAGCAGAAATGGTGTGAGTGGACAGCGCCCATCGCTCTGGGTATTCAATCGTAAGCTTGTTGAATGGAAGAACTATCTGGAAGATGGTTAGCTTGTGTGCAAATCTGAATGCCAGGAAGCGTCCACCAAGGAACTCAAAGCTAATATCTTTGCCAGCGAGAGAGCTAGATGATGTTGCAAAAGATATCATGGGTCCGCTGGCGACAGCTGCGGAAGTGATATCCTTCAGGTCGACACGAAATAAAACCCCATAGATGGCACCGAAGATGAAGACTCCGGCGTATCTCATGCAGTAAATGGCTCCGTCAAGACTCCAGCTGATGCGGACAGGCTCCAACGAACAGGAGCGAAGTAGGTGAGGCATATAGGCCTGCATAATTGCGTGCAAATTGTGGGTCATCACATATGACCCGTTATCTGTTTCTAACCATTGTACGTAGCTGCTTAACAAATTGCTAAAGTGTGCATCAAACGATGGCATGAGTTGCAGGCAATTACACCGACACGGCATGGGGACTGGTTCATTAGAAGCCTTCTTCTCCATTACTGTGCCCAGATTCGTGTTCGGAACAATGGACAGACTTGGCAAAGGTTCACCCTTAGAGTCCATTTCTAGACCAGCTGAGGAGCAGCCTCGACACCCATGTGAGGCACGAGTGTCCTGTCGCTGGCGCGCACCCATAAAATGGTTGGCTGGGGACCAGCTCCAGGCCAGCTGTCTGACACGCCTTACTGAATTGTTGACATGTAGCACAGGAATGCTGAAATGTAGCCCGCTATACACCAAGACAGCAAAGGCTCCAAATGGGGAGATGGAGCAGCTAAGAGAAAGAGGCACTGTGGAATCAAAAGTCACTCGGAAGGTGATCGTTGGCATCTGACGGAGAGTCCAGGTCCTCCTCACACCGCCTCGCAATGCCAAATCGTCAATGGTGCAAGGAGAGCAGGAATAGATACACCTCTCTAAGCTAAGCTCTGTGTGACTGCCAACCGCCCGAACCACGATTAGAGTAGAGTCACACTGCAGATAGTTATCGGAGTCAGGAGGAAAGCAGCAATCGTATGCAACAACGTAAGGAGCCGCCTGCGCTTTTGATTCTCCGCAGTGCGATAGCATGCTAAAGGGGCTTGTGAAGAAGTAAGTGTAAGGCCTTCCAGGCAGAAACTCCACGTGGTCAAGAATGGCCACCTCCCCGCTTTCGTGGATGATGCAGATATCCCCATAATCACTAACAGAGCAGGCTATGATGTCGTCCTCTGGTGATAGTATAGGGCATCTAAAGCTCGCGGCATGTAGACGTGCGTTACGAGGGCGCATTTTGAGTAGCTTATGATAGAAGCGCTCTGTGTTAATGGTAGATATCGGAGTCTTTGTCTTCCAAGGCGGAATAATTAAGACCAAGTCTGAATGAAGAATGATGGAATGGTTGCAGAGGATAGAAATATTGACACTTTTGTTGGGTGAAATGGCAGTCATCTTGACCAAATTGTAGGGAACGCTGGACATTAGCAACGAGCTGATCAAGCGGATGGCTACTGGCTCCTGAGGGTCATAGCGGTCTTCAAGGCGGGCATCCCCAGGTGACCATGTCGTGATATGTGTCGAGAAGTAGGTGCCCAACAGGAACTGCGCCACTGCTTGGGGATCTGCGTCCTGGCACATGAGACTCCGGTCAGTGGGGGTCATGAGTTGCTCGAGAGCCCGGATGTAGAGCGGCTCTGCTTCTGAAGTCATGTTTCAATGCAGCTGCCACTAGCGGAAGAAAGAAGCCTAGAAGTGCAGTCTCTCTGGTAGCTCGAACGCCTCGAAGGTGGCAGATATTTGATGGTGCTTTTGAGATATAGTCACATTTGAAATGAAAAATTTACACAAATACTTGCAGGAGCTACGTCCTGCGTTGTCATGCAGCCCTCGCTCAAACGATCCACCAACATAAGTAGTCTGGCATCACGGCAACGTGTGTACGTGAAGATCTTTCAACGATTGCGACCGCACACGCTCATTCACCTCATAACGACATCCCAAACGTTTTATACGCTCGTTACCAACTATATAAACAGTGGTTCATTAACCTATATTGCATCGGAAAGCCATCAAGCAGAAGATCTCCGAGCATGGCTTGGCCTGTTGAAAGTGCTCATGATATCTCCAAAGACTAGCCTAGTGCTCCCCAGATTCTTTTCCGTCACCAACATTTTAATGGAAAACCTAGATCGTCAGTACTACATCTCCTTGCTGCTCGAAGTAGTGACAGGACTTTTATTGCGGTCGAAAACCTTTCTTTCAGAATTGCATTGCAATCTTGATTTAAGCTGCGACATTCTATTCAAGATCTTGCAAGAATTGAACCTCCGCGTGCTTGTCTTTCACCGACCCTACAAAGAGTTGTCTCGAGAATACTATCTAGAGTTCAATAGAATTTTACAATCCTTTACATTAAGCACCGATAGTTTCTGGAATAGCGAGTACAGCTCTAATCCGCAGATCAAGGCCCTGGATGACGTTGCCACAGAGGTGTTCCACGTCTGCCGCAATCTGACCTCTCTCACTATACCGGCACGTGTCATGGATTTCATTCTGCCAAACAGCCTAGAAATGCAAATTCTCGACGAGGACTACGAGATCAACCTGACTCATCTTTCAACGGTACTTGTTGTGCGGGCTGGAGACCTTGAGCACGAGCGTGTTCTTTCCCTGCAGTGCCACTTCTACAAGCATCTCCTCTCGCTGACACTCGACATGGAACAAATCCCAGGTGTTAATCACCTCTTCCTGACGCACAGACATCTCCAGCGACTCGCTTTATATTCCTCAACTGGATTGGTGGAATGTCCACTGCTGGTGTTCCCCTCGCTGCGGAAGGTTACCATAGAGCTCCGGCCTTTAGAGCAAGAGCATGCGGGTGTTGACAAATTCATAGGTGTATTCTTGACTATGGAGGCATTCATCTCCCTGTTTGCTAATTCTATCAACATATCATACATAAATGCAGTGTATTCGGACCAGATAACGAAAACGGACATCACAGAAAAGTTATATGGTTTACGATATGAATCTCTAACATTTCTGCGGTTACGGTTTTTCCCAGTCAAGTCGGAGGAGCTGGAAAGGCACGGGATAACATCTGCAGCTCTTGCACGTCTTGCACACAAGATGCCACGACTCCGAAAGCTGACCTTGTCTGGCTTCAGAGACATGCTTGGTGACACTCACGTGGCATGCATTCTGAAGAGCTGTCCTTTCTTGGAAGAACTATCTTTAACGGGTAGACATGACGTACTCCCTAACACCAAGCCATACATCTGCTCGTGCAACACACAGCTTCTGTGGCATTCGCAGTCGGAGACAGCTGAGTCCCTGGATGGGTCAAGTGAGCACTCGACTGTATACACTGCATATAACCGACACTTCCATCGAGAGGCGACATGTAAGTCTAGCATGTTGGTTGCCGCAGAACATCCCCCCTGCTGGACAGGACCTGCCGAAGAATCTCAGGAGCCGGCTAGCCCCTATCTCACATCCAAGCTCGCCGTTCTAAAATTGAAACAGATCTATATCACCGACGTAACCTTTATCAATCTGTATTTGCTAGGGGCCGGAGACAGTTTGAAAGTACTATGGATTGATGCACTTCCACGCATATCTTCTATTGGTGTAGGTTTACTGATTAATCAGGTGCTGCTATATGGACCTCTGTTAACCACTCCTGTGCGCCAGATCCCCACCCAGCCAGCAGATTTCTCTGACCAAGTATACACCTCTCTGACCAAACGTGCCCTCTCAGAACACAATGAGAGGTACGTAAGGGGGCTGTGTTCGGATTTGTGCTCGGATGCAGAGTCGATTGAGGAGTCTTCGCCAAGCTCACATTCAGAGTGTACAACGACGATCACTCCTACGCATGATAAAGCCAGTGAAGCACTCGACAACTTAACTGATTGTACGGCCAAAACCAGTACCGCACTTAGCACCTCTTTTGATATAGATTCCCTATCAGCTATTTACAAAGAGACAGTCTTGACAGAAAGGGTTAGAGATTGGTGGGTCAAACGACTTCAAAGGCTGGACAAACACATCTGCAGATACCAAGAACTTTTGAAGGCACAGCGGGACAGGCAAACCCTACTTAAAATCACAAATCTATCCTTCAGCGACTCATATCTACCGCTCTATCACGTCCCCAAATATGATATTGCATTTATAAGCGAGTCTGAACCTGTCATTGATAGCAGTCAGCCATATATAAACTATGTAAGTGGCCCATATGATCAATTAGAGTACGATGCTGTACTAACTATGTCCTCATTCTCATCGCTAGACAATGAAAAAGATAAACCTCAATCTGACTCTCTTCATGCCAATTTGTCGACGCATAGATTTAACGACTCCGTTAGTCATATAAACGTTGGACTCAAAGGTTCGTCAGAAGCGTACAGTCCACACATGGCCTTTGTCATCTTCAGGACAAAGCATCAACCGTTTATCTCTATGCGCTATCCTCGGCTCAATGCCGATTCAATATACTCTCTATTTAGTGCGCATGGGGTATGTCGACGAACCTTCAAGAAGATCGTGGGCCAGAACAATACAGGTACTCTCGGGGCCCAGTACCGCATCGTATATGATTCGGCCTTACAGACTGTAAGTACGATTGAGTGGACGTCATTCACCCCGCTACAATCAAGAGACATCTCCATTGCTGATGCGACGTTTTTTCCACTGGCGCATAAGCTAGCGAAAGATAAGACAATGCCTCTTCCTGCTACCCTGTTGTCATGGATCCTCTCGGAATACTTTGAGTCTAGTGCTCTTGAAAAGGTCAGCGTGGCAAACTGCGAGTTGGTAGATGGTAACTTAGTAACGTCACTGGCTACAACAAATACGCAGTCACTCCACTCTCTTCAACTGAAGCTCCTTTTCCCCGTTCATCACACAGCGTTCCATACCCTTGTCCTACACCACAGCCACAGCCTAAGGTACCTCTATCTACTTCCCTTCTCTTCCGAATCGGAAAATGAAAAATTTATTGATGCGGTGAAACAGATCTCTAATATACTCACGATAGATTTAGATTGGAAGACGGAGAGGAGCCTTCTATTTATTTAGCGGGCTGCTATGCTGTGTACCCAGTACGCTGGTTTATAAAAATATCCTCTCTAGATCCCCGCAAAATTGATGTTAAGGCAATAAATGGTATGAAATATTAAAACTTTTAAGGTTTTTTTGCAATATTGAATTGTAATTTTGATTAGTAAATTGAAGTGGATAGAATTGTATAAAGAGTGGAAGGCGAGTAGATTGCAGACCACTTTTTACAATCCTGTGTCTTTATCTTAGAAGATTTAATATGGCGCCAAGGCAATACATGGTTTAGCACTGAAGGCTATAAGTAAATGCTTAACGATAGTCATACTGTACTGTGAACCTGAACCGAAAAAACTAACTTGAGCCAAAAGAAGGGTGCAGGAGAAAATGAGAGGCTCGTCTCCTTCACAATATAGGAAAACTGGGTTGAGTGCACAGCTTGCTGCACCCCCACAGCCACTCCAAAGACCTGAAGACTGGGCTTTACCAGACAGCCAGTCTGCCGCTCGCGTCAACGCGACTAGAATTCCAGAGCATTATTGGCGGGTTCCTAAGGATACTCTGACATACGTTAATGGTGTACCTATGCGACAAACAGATGCCGACACAATTTTTCCATCGAGTGAGCCGCGGACAGAGGCAGAGCGTTTATGGTTGTACAACTTTTCTTCCGACGTCCTGAGTCATGTGACAGGCCGTGCGTCATACTTAAATCTCAACAAAGAGGGAGACATTCGATTTGTACTGCACGGGATTAATCTTCTCCAAATCTTCTGCTTTGAAATATCGCGACATGTGGCCTGCATAACGCTTGACAAGCAGACGTATCCTTATGAGAAACTGGCTGAACTACTTGTTTCTATCTCCCACTCACTCCAAGGCCTAAATGAGAATCTGACCCATTACGCAGCAAATGAGGCATCACATGCGCCATTACTATCGGATCTTTCTAACTTTTATCGATACACTAGTCCGGGAACAGATATCACTAACTTATATGCAGACGTCCGATCAACCACAGCCATAGACACAGAGACATCATTGGCCCTTATAACAGAGTTAGAGCGGCGTCTCAGCGAGGAAAAGGAGAGCGCGAAGAAGCGCGAGACTGAATTAGAACAACGAATCAAGTCCCTAGAATCAGAGCTTGCTGCCCAGAAGAAGAACTCCTCCCGGTTAGAGCTAGAGCTCAGTGCCACCAAGACTATCAGAACAAACATCACATCAACACACTCATTAGGGAAGGGCCTCAGTGCTAGCGCGAGCAATTTGGCCCAAGGCTCCTCTGCCCCAGGAATATCTGCAGAAGATTCTTTAACAGACCTGAAGCCCCATGCGGCAAGAAAGCCACATAGCCTGAACACTGATATGATAACAACGAACATCTACTCCTCATTTGCCCCAGCTCCAGCTCCAATGACTCAAGCATCTTCCTCAATCAGACTTTTGCCCCAAAACGTCACAGATATATATGGGAACATTAGCACAATGTCTATGCAGCGTAGCCAGCCTCGTGGAGAAGGAGCAGTCCTCCAGCGCATCAGCGAGATGCCGGTTTCACACAATCTCACCGGGCAGCAGACTCTTGGAGACGGTGCTGATTACACGGTGCTACGTAGCTGCACAGGTGGGTCTCAAAGGATGCTTGATCGCTTTGGAAAGCGAGAAGCTGACCTGGATCACGTAGAGACTGTCCCAAGCACGCTTGAGGTGTCCAACTGTCGTGACTCCAGCAGGATTGAGCTCCATAGCGGAAGGACAGACCCGTCACAGAGGTCGTCAGCCATCTTTCAAACTATAGGCAACCTAATGTCTGCACAGCTAACGGCGTCACATCGCATTCCCAGTCGTCCCCAAACGGCCCCAGACCCAGAGTATCCTAGTCTTTCTTACAGGAGCACACAAGAAATCGGGCCGTCCGTCAATTCATCAATAGATATAACAAGGTTACAACGGAAAAACTGGGCTGATGTAACAATGAAAGACACCAGAGGGAGGGCATCTGAAAAGCTCATCAACAGCTCCGGACACCAAGACGTACCTGATCCCACCGCTACTCTTGTTCTTCCAAAGGGCTTAGCAAGCGCTGCATCCAAGTTTTTAGGGGCTATCATGAGCCTTGATGAAGATGACGCCTGGAGGCTGGAGGCCAACCTAACCCGTCAACTGACAAGGAATACATTAGACACGCCCTTAGCAGGAACTTACAATAAGGACCTTGGCCATGTACTGCTACGACAATCGAATGATACCCAAGCCTTTTCATTACTTAATCCTATATGCATGTCACACGAAAAAGCTATCGGAGAAATAGATTTATCTGCAGATAATTTCAGAATTACGTTTCGAGCTATTCCAGAAGTAGCCTCGGGGCAGAAATCACTTTTTTCCGGCCAAGTCGCACAAGGTTGGACAGACGATTATTTACAGCAATATATGCGTGAAGTGGATCTTACCAATACTGGCACACATTCGTCTCGACCGCTACTGCTCAGCGGCCATTCTAATTCCTTGCCGGCCGCGTCTTCATCCCTCGCTGTCTTCAACAACTCGATTGAATCAGGAATAGTAGAACCCCAACATACTCTTCCACAACCACTAAAGTCTGCTGTTGGACGTCATATTCCCATCCTGAGCAAAAATCGCTATATAAACCCTGAGGTGAGGCCCAAGACTAGTTTGAAGCCAGCAAGAATGTCCAAACGTTCCTCTACCAGTACATCACCAACAAGGCATAATATGTCTACTGACCCCGTGGCTGAGGTAGAGGCTGACAATCTTCCTCCCAACCAGTCAGCGCACGAGTTCATTACCGAGGCAGATGCGTTCCAGGGGATGATAGCTCTGGGAGAAAAAGATATGTCGCCAGCACTTGCAGATCCCTCTGCACATACAGTTACATGCAGAACTCTTTATTCTAAGACGCGAGCAGAGCTACACACTATTTATCGACATATCTACTCCTTAAGGAGCACAGGAAGTGACACCTCAGTGGCTGATCGAGGCTCAGAAGAAAAGATCCTTTTGCAACCTCGCTACATAAGCCAGTATACAAAGATAGTTGATGCCCTGCTGCAAACAGAGAACGGATTGCAATCAATCCCCTTCATAAAGGGCCCATCTTATCTAGAGTCACAGTATGGACAGAGTGATCAGAAGAAGGAGTCTATCATGCTTCTAACACGAAAGCTCTTTTGTAGTGACTCAATTTTCTCATTCACTACCAATGATAACATTTTTCAGGCTTTGAACGAGCGTATTGCTACTGTTTCTCAACAAGAGCTCCGAGACGTTTTATGGTGTGACTTTCTCACACAATGGAATTCACTGACCAACGGTATTACTGGACAAGAGACAAAGCAAGCTGCCCTAATATCGAGATGCCTTGAGAACATGTGCCGAAAGTGGGACATACTGCCTCTTATCAAGCTCATTCTATGCTACAAGTTCGACTTACACACATCAATCCGTTTAGACGACCTAACACTCTTTAAAACCGGGAATAAAAATGGATCTAGTTCTGTGATGCAAATGTTTACACATCCAGGATTCTTTTCTGGGGCAAGCAAGACATATTTCATGGGTCTATCTAAGACCACGCATCTCTATAAGATCCTAAAGCCATCTATGCGGGTATTTTGTGCAAAGCTGGACTCAGCAGCTTCTAGAACAGCATCTCATGCTAGTATCAAGTCTACTACACAAGCTAGAATAAGTGTAGAGGAACAAAAGGGCCTTATGCATCTACGATCAATCGTTTCAAGTATTGGTTATGTACTTCTCGATCTACGCGCAGTTTTGGGGATTATTCATGAGCTGATCATTCAAAGGCATGCATCTTGTGAGCTTTCTGCCAAAAAGGACGCTAGCTACAATCCTATGGACAGGTTTGTTCTTGAGGTCTTCATGCACCACAATTCTATGGATATTGATAGAACACATCGCGCACTAATTTCTTTTCTTCTTAGCATTCAAGTCTATGTTCTCTGTGATCATCTATCAGAGGATTTTGGGGCAGAGTGTAAAGATGAGGACAACCAATTGGATAGTCTCTGGCCAGGTTCTAGGCACAGCCCGACACGTCCACTTTCTATAGCCTCGCATGCAGGTGCAATGTATAAACTGAATGAAGCTGGTGAATCCGATGAAGATGAGACATCTCTTTTCGATGATCCTGTCCTGGATGACGCACCCGTGAAAGTCAGGCCAGCATCAGAGGCATTAGGCATCTTCCAATGTAACGAGTTTCTTCTCGTATTTCTGGAAATGCTTTCTTCGTCAGATCACGTCATCACTGAATACCTCTGTTATTCCTATATAATGCTCCATGAATGTAGTGGCGCCAAATATCCCTATCCATTTATCGGCTTAGACTCGGTACTCTTGTTGATTAGAAAGCTGCTTCCAGAGCTTCCAGGGCCATATTTTGCATTACTGAATTCGTCGCTCAAACACATAGCTGTTACTGATAGGTGTGATGCGCCCGTATTAGATGTAGGCACTGTGCTCCGCATACTAGGCTCTCAAAAACGTATGGTGCGACTTATGCTTATGAATGCAGTCGCAGAGGAGTACGGCCGCTTGCTCACCAAGGAGACTATTCCGCAAGCAGGACCTTCTCTCGAAGACATCCCTAGAGCAATAGAATCTGGGGACAGATTGATACCAGATACCACCTCTCCAATGACAGCTGGAGGTCGTCGTGATCCGACAAAGAAACCCAAGTCGTCGATCAAACAAAAGCGAGAGAACAAATCCATCGATGAGTTGAAGACGTCCTGCTACCTCGACGTCCCAATCACCTATGAGAACTTTGTCACGGTAATCTCTAAGACAGGAGGCGCTCTTTTCCCAGCAATGACTGCTAAATACTATTATGCTGCAATGTGGAATGCAGCTGTCGACAAAGCTGAGTCTACTTCCACGCGTCCATCTACATTAGGATCGGGGTTGGAGCCTGGGTCCCACATCAGTTCAAGCATGCCATCCCTAAGACGTATCTTCTCTATACTTCCATATGTTGCATACGAGCCATTTCCTTGTCTGTTCAAGATCCTCTCTCGGAAAAGCAAATTATTCTCTACGCAAAGACTTTACTATGGGCATGAGGTAAGCGCTCAGCATGATATCCAGGCCCTTGTGCTTCGGTATGCCCTGTGTGGAGATAGATATGGGCATATTCAAGAGCTTCGAGGAACTCTCAAAACCATTGTCTATGAGCTGGAGGCTCCAGTCAAGCGGCTTGTTTCCATGTTGACATGTGAGGCTAATGGATTGGCATACAATATGGAGCCATTTTATATATCTGCGCGTTTGTCTGGCTCCATCACCACCACCACTACCAGTGTTTCAACTGTCTGCTCCCCTGAAGCTACTAAGTGCTCTATTAGCTCTCTATCTTATACAATGCCAGCTAGGAGACACCTCTCTGCAATGGCTATGCAGCTGACCGCACTTTATGCCTCAGCAAAGCTCACCATTGGAGACAACTCGCTTCCAGACGACGCTTTGGTGGATGTCATCAGCACAATAAGAGAACTTAGCATTCAGATGCACATATCTTACCAGTCCTTGCGTCCTTTCAACAGCAGCATCACTGGGCTCCTATATGAATTACAAGACCGATTACAAGGTGTTGTGCGCTGTGACTCTTACTTGTGCAAAAATGTTACAGCTGAAGAGATGCTTCGGGAAACTTTGGGCGTTGACAACATCAGTGGGCCACTGGCACGGATACTGGGCATGGCACGCAACTCCATACATATCCAGTAGCTTTTCTTTCTCTGCGCTATCTCTGCCATAGTATATTGTTTTATCTTTTTGTGCACATTAGTTTACACCGGTTCTGTAAGTTCAATTAGGTCATGTTGTATACTAGCGGACTACTCTGGGAAATCAAACTCACTATCTCTCGGGGAGCTTTCTGTTACGCTCAACCCTGCAGTGGCTTGTGACATGTAAGAAAGGCTCTCTTCCCTTCTAATCTTTATGCGGATTTTCTGAAGGTAGGACTCCACGTTTTGGCGGGTAAGATTGGGAAATTCGTCCTGAATTAGGTTCAGAATGCGGGAAGGGGTAGCCCTTGTGACTCCGAGTTGGTATATGGCTGCGTCTGCCTTCTTCCTGAACGCCTCTGTCCATGAGAATTTGGTCTTAGCTGGAGCGAGAGACATTTGCGGCACTATTCTGTTATATATGTTTAATAACTCCATTAGGACGCTTTGGTTCATCATGTCACTATAGGTTATCATGCTTTCCTCAGTGTGCGTGACTATTGCCACAATCTTTCGTAGTGAGTGCAGTAACTGGGCCACTTGTTCGACAGTTACGCCATTTCGTGCAAACTGGGTACACAATGGACAACAGGAGGTTACGGCGATACTTGAATCGTGGCTGTTGATGGATAGCTCTTGGGAGACTACCTCTGTTTTGGATGGAATGATACTGCTGTTCTCTAGTCTATCAGTCTTTGCTTTTTGTGCTTTCATGTGATAGTACGCCATACGCACCGCGACGTTCTTGCTGGTAAGGCTAGTGCTCTTCCTAATTCTATTGTCCTTTTTTGCACTTGACTCGGGCATCTAATAATTGAAGTGTTTTTTCTCGCTAGTCAAGTACCATCCAAGCCTATCGATTGGATTGTTTATTTTTAAAAAGGATCAATCATAGACAATCTCGGTTTTAGTGTAAACAGAAAAGCGAAGGAACAGGTCCGAGTGACAGGTAGGTAACTCCTCTATGTCTCTTGGTGTCAATCTATCATCTACAGACCTCTTTTCTGCAAAGAGTTCGTAACAGTTAAGACTGACAAGTAAGAATACTTAGACCGACAAAATCGATTGAATCGACAAATGCACTCAGCCCAAGTGTGCTCTCTGGCTCTTATGTTTACTGATGGTACAGATGCATGCCATATGTACACACTAGGATGGGCTCTGCTTAGAGTAATGGTAACTATATTGGTGCTACACTACTAGATTCACCCTACCAGACTCATGATGTCATCTTCTAGGACGTGGCGGTAGTATTGTGTCTTCGGCATGTGCATACTTGCTAACTTGGATTTGTGGTCGCGAATTGCACGCACCAGTGCGTCTCCAGATGGAATCGGCAACGCCAGGCGGCAATTGATGCCGGGAAGAACAAGCGTATCCTCAGAACCATCCGCTTTTCTAGCTACTCCACAAAATGAGATCATATCTTTAATTATCCCTGGTATGAACTGAGCGCCTTGATCAGATGTTTCAAATATCCAATGTGCGTCTCTCGAGAAGATCGTGAGGACTTTGTAACGATTTTGGATCTGGTAAATGTCATCCAATGGAACCGCACTGGCACCATCTAGCTCGTAGTAGTCTATGTGGATGGGGTACGTGCTCAGCAATTTGTTCTGGTAGTAAACTGCTAGGCGACAATACCGGATACAGGCCAACTCTAGAGACGAAGGAGAAAATCGTGCCTCATCATCCTTTTCTACCAAGTAGTCTGGGTCCTCGAATCGCCCAATCTTCTCTGTGCACTGTTCAACGCTTATTCCAAGCAAAGTGGTGTAAAACCAGATGATCCTGGCTATTATAAAATACATTACATAGTAATAAAACGGCACCTCGGTCTTGTAGAGATAGCCTGCGGGCTCGAAGAGACGATAGTACGGAAGTAAGCCAAACTCGAGAGCCCAGCATCCTAGGAGACAGCGAAGCCTTTCGTATGCTTTCCTCGTTTTATCATTCACTGAGAAAGCACTCTTGATTGTGTCTAACTCTGTAAACCAGACCATGAAATGACTATAACAGAACTTTCTATAAATTCTGTCCAAATTGAGGACATTTCCCAGTGAGGTGGCCATGGCCAACCTGGATAGTGTGTCAGATGCCATATTAACTACATCGTTAATAGACCTGGATAGAGACTTGCAGAGCAAACTATCTATCCGGCGAACATATTCTATTGCTTGCAGAGTAACAATAGAGCGATTAACACTATAGAACGTGGATAGCTTCTCCACAATGGTAAAGGGCCGCTTTTGAATGCACAACTGATAGACTGATAGGTATGCATCTTTAAAGAAATCTACACCGTTCCCCAGTTCGGTTAACATTGCAAAAAAGAATTTTCGAGACGAGTCCATGTACCTATAGATACCCTCAGGTGAGAACTGTGTAGAAAGAGGCTTTTCTTTTTCAGGGAGAGTCCTGGAGTCCAAGCGTGCGATAGTGTAGACGGCGTAAACCTTAGAGTGGTACATATTATTATGATAGTAGTTGGACAAGTACTTTGAATAGTTCAGCTCATGCAACCAGGAAAAGGATAGGTCAAGGGCCTGAGTAAGGTGCATAATATCTTCAAGGAGCTGAGAGGAACGCTTGGGAGTGACACCGTTGGCCACGCCCGCGGTAACTATCTGAATCAGAACAAAAAGACTGGTCTGGTAGTATGCTGGAACATCTTTCCGGGACTTTTCTTCCAGATTTAGGACTTTTATAAACACTCCGTAGGGGAAAACCGCACTATATCCATCATAAAAGATCGACTCTATCTCTGAAAGACTGAGGTACATGGCGTAGTGCAGTAGATCAAGATTATAATCATCGTTGTGCTTGCATTTTGCGGCAGAAAAGGCATTCCTGTGGATTGAACCTAATAAGACAGCAGATAGAAGGATTGCATAGACGGAGAATAAAATATAAAGTTGAGTATTTGTTATGCCTGGTATGGATGAGCGTACGTATGCCAAGAGGGTACTTTCTGTTTCCTGCGCCGCCTTCTGCACCGTCTCGCTGGAGGCCCTTGCTTTAAGATAACTTCTTAGCAGGTCAATAGCTTGCGCAACAATGCCATGATATGAGAGGGACACGGGGACCATGGACTCCGTGAGGCAGAAGAAGTCACAAAGCACCCCATAGACTGCCTCTTCAGGCGTCAAGGCGCTGATCAGCTGCGTCAGGGAGAGGCGAGTGTCCTCGTCTTTCAGGCAGGAAATGGCATCAAGCGCCGGGTTTCCATACTCTGGCACTCTGAGGGCTTCTGAGAAAGACAGTGATGGGCTCATAAAATAAGTCTTGGGGGTGAGATTGGCAGCAGAAGTGAAGAAGTCGGTAGTGACATCAATAAGCTTTTCCGGCTCGGGCATCCTCTTCTGTCAACGCAAGTTAGTGAATCCTAATCAATAATTTGCAAAACAAATACAAAATATTTTGCAATTTTAATTGCTTGCAAATGACCAGTAATCTAGGTCTTACGCACTTGGGGGGTCTGGCAACTTCTTGCCGGGATGAATTGCTGCGGCGGGAAGCGGGGCTCCAGGATCTTTGTTAATCGGTCTGTATCCCCTATGCTGTCGTCCTCTTTAGATGAATCAGCTGTCATCGAAGAGAAGTGTCAGTACACATTAGTCCCTCTAGAGGATCTCGAGGTGGAGCGGTGCTCCTCAGATCTCTTCCCACAGTCGTCCACTTTATTATCATCCTCATCAGTAAGCGCAACTCCTCCTTGTGGGCCTCCTTTACTTGAATTCGACAACAGTAGGCAACCGAGCACCTCTGCAAGTACGCAGTGCTATATACCATCCCAGAACTCTGATTTCCCTGCACAAGGTAGCGTTCTTCATAATCCTGATCACTCCATCGGCGAGGTTTCTTCTAAAGAACCATACTCGGTGGATGAACACGGAAATCAGCTCTATCCCACGGACTCCAAGGGCCGTGAATACTATGCCTCTGCTGATGGTAACGAAATCTATGCCCTGGATAACTGTGGTTGCGAATATTATGCAAAGAGAGCAGATTCTCAGGAATATTACGCTAAACTTGCCAACGGAGACGAAAGGCTGGCCAAGAATAGTTTGGGAGATGAGATGTACGTGACAGATTTGAATCATATGGAGTTATATCCTCACACGGCGTGCGGAGACCCTATTTTCGCTAAAGATGCTGACGGGAATGAAATGTACGCTTATTCTGGAGAGCTTAGGCAAGAGATATATCCGTGTGATCAGCGACGCTGGCAGGTCTATGCACGCCTTGCCACTGGCGCCCAGGTCTATGCCAGAGCTGCAACGGGAAGCGACTATTACGCACAGGATCCATTTGGAAGCGAAATCTTGGCTAAGGATGACAATGGGTCAGAGTATTATGCATGCGACGGTGCTAACAATGAGTTCTATCCATTAGATGCAATTGGGAACACGATTTATCGTCGTGCGCTAGAGAATGGGAGGGAGTTCTACGCCCGTGCTAAAAATGGCGACGAGCATTATGGAAGCAACGCATTGGGTGATGAGATCTATGCGACTGATGAGTCTGGGAACCAGTACTATTCATCAGACTTCACAGGTAGACGCATATATGCCAAAGACCGTCACGGCCTTTATTATTCTGCACATTCCATTACAACACAGAGCACCCACACTGTTGCAGATGACAGACAGGCAGCAGTGGACGAGGACCCAGTACAACTTCTCTCTGCAAGTAATTAGCCAGTCGTCAAGTGCATTTACACCTTAAATTGTGTTTTCAATGACTTGTCACCGTTTCATGTTTTCGAGAAGCTTCGGGGGGACTTCATGCTCTTAGAGAATGAGAAAGAAAAGGTCCCACTCTTGGAGTTGTTATTAATCCTGGAATATGTAGTTTTAGGCGTCATAGTCACTGCACACTCTTCATGCCCTGCAGTGGACGCCCAGTCCTGCGCCGTTCTTCCGTTTGTATCAGTAATGTTTCCTTCAATCTTATTAAGAAGCGCGCAAATAGATTTGTGCCCATTCATTGCGGCGTACATCATGGCGGTATATCCATCGTTGTCCTGCATGCCACCCTCGACCTTCATGAGGGCTTTCACCAGAGGCAAGTTACCCTGCTCTGCGGCCATCATCATTGCGGTTTTATTGTCGATGTTTTTCAGGCCGGCCTCTAGTTTCACAAGGGGCTTCGCCAAAGGTATCTGGCCGCTTTCCGCTGCATACATCAAGGCCGACGCCTGAGTATCAGGTGTTTGAATAGCGCATTCGGCTTTAGCTAACAGTTTCACCAGTGCTGGCCTATTGTTCAGAACAGCGTGCATCAACGCCGTGTGACCATCTTTGCTCTGCATTTTGGCCTCATGTGGAAGCAGTAACTTTAAGGCCTTGCCTTGGCCATATCTAACAGCGGATATAAGGGCGGTCTCGCCGTTTTTCATCGTCATCTTATTCTCCATTAAGAGAAGTTCTTTGGTAATCTTCACGTTGCCATTTCGTGCTGCATACATGAGTGCGGTGTCACCGTTAGCGGTCTGTTGCTTTGCATACTCCTTCAGTAAATCTTTGACCAGCTTGACGTCATTGTTCTTGGCGGCCTTCATCAACGGAGTCATTGTCATGCTGACTGCATCAGCGGTCTCTAGGGCTTCGTCAGCCTTATCAATAAGTTGCGCAGCAAGCTCACACATGCTCTCACCTTGGATAGTTGGGTCCCCCTTGCTAACGTACACGTGATGTAAGTAACCCCCAGATGCCTTGATTCTTTCGCCTTCTGCAAAGAATGGCCCATTTGCATATGAATATCTCGATCGGAGAGACGTGGCAGTTGAGTCAGTAGAGTCCTCACACGTACTGGAATCCTGCACTCTTGTCGCTGCCTTGCAGAGCTCTTCATCAAGAGTAGGGCTGCAGGGCGCAGAGGGATTCAGGTTTTCTACAATCACCTCATAAAGAAGGGTGCCATCCTGTACCTCTTGCTCAGTCGCAGTGGGAAGCCGGGGAAGGGCGTTCATGAGCTTTTCTGCTGTCTTCTTGTCCTTGCATATCACCTCAACTACAGATGGATCAGCGGCTACTTGGTCGACAAGCATGGGATCTGCGACAATCTCTTTCAGCACCGAGTCGTCTTGAGATAGAACTGCCACTACGTCCGGATACAAGCAGGTCTTGCGGAGCAGCTCAGGATTCATTGTCAGGGCAGACACTAACTCTGGATTGCCTACCAGCGCATCAAAAAGCTTGTCTGACGACAGAAGCGCCTCTAGCAGATTCTCGTTGTCAGATAGCAGCCTCCCCAAGGAAGGATTAGACTGAACAGCCATAGACAGTCTTTTGTTCTTAGCCATAGCATTCTGAAGCGCAATAGAGTATGGAGGCTCCTCCATGATAGACGGAGAAGGCTCTGGTGAAACATTTCTGTCAATATGAGACGAGGCAACAGGCGTGGACACTATCCGCTTAAACCTTTCCTCATCCTCACCATCTATGAGGTGACCATCATCTCCATCGTCTGTTCTACTTATGTACTCTATAAGCTCCTCAACACTCTGCCCAATATCCCCGACCTCACTGAAGTACGAATTCTGAGATATCACAGAGGTGGTGCTGGACGACAGGACCCGGAGCTCATCGGTCAGGCGTTCTATTCGCGCATCAATAGCACGCTCCCAGTTGACGTTTAGCTTTCTCAGTTCTTCATCATCGTTGATTATAGTTTGAAGCTCGCGCATAGCACGCACAAGGTTATCAGTCTTCTTGTTGAGCCTCAAAAGCCCTGGTCGATTCTCTATGAGAGTTTGGTGGATTGCTTGAATCTTATCTGTCAACTTCCTTTGATAGATTTCTGCTAGCTTACTTCTTGTGCTAGCAGACATCAGCAAGTGGGCGCCAGAGTCAGACTCACGATTACTTGACTTATAACCACCGGTAGGAGAAAAGTCCGGTTGTGGAATCCGGCTTCTGTGAAGACCGGACTGGCTATCCATCATGCTTCCGCGAAGATTGGCGCCCGGTGTGCCAGCCATCCGCGGAGTCGCGCCCGAGACACTGCTTCTGAGGGCGTTGCCGCTTGTGCTTCCAGCGCGGCCTGACTTCGGCGTTGGATATCGAATGTTGGATCCATTGTTTGTTGGATAATGCTGCTTTTGCGTTTCTGCTGCGATTTCGTCAAAGGTCTTGCCACCACGACCGCCGAGAGGCTTCCACGGACTGGGTTCTTCTTGCCTACGCCCAGATCGGGATGTGGACCCTTTACCTACGCCTCGAGGCGAAAAGGCTTCTTGCTCATGACCGGCAAATCCTGTTGGAGGCCTCTTCGTGCTTCCAGCTCGTGCCGAGGACACAGTTGATCCGGAACGCTGTGGGGCGCTTTTCATCTGTGACACAGAGCTCTTACGTCTATTTGCAGAAGAGCCCTTCGCCATTTGTGCCTCAAGCTTGTCTCTGTGCTGGTTCATCAAGACTATATCATTATTAAGAGTATCGATTTGGTCTTCCAGGGCCTTCTTTTGGGCAATGTTACCTGGCGCACAATCTCTTGCCTCCATGATCCGGCGCTCGAGGATGGCAAGCTTGTTGTCTATCTCCTGGTCTAGGACCTGTTTGAGAGTATCTGGCGAGATTCCTGGGGACTGCGGACCCTGCTGACTTACGGCCGACGGTATCTTACTAGAATAGGTTGGGGCCTTGGTTGTCGACAAGCGCAGCGACTCCCCGCTCTCCTTTATGAACTCCGACAAGTAAGACAGAGCCTCGGGATTATCCCGTATAGTAGCGTATATAAGTGCAGATTGACTGTCCATGTCGTAAATCATGTTTGTGTGGGTGGTGAGCGCGCGCATAGCCTCGACAGCATTTGCTTCGGCTGCAAGAGCCAGTGCGGTGCGCCCGAGGGAATCCACGTCGTAGCGCGTTTCGGGCATCAGTCTCCGAATCACGGAGGAGCAGTCATTCATAGCGGCGATCATCAAGGCCGTCTGGCCATCCTTGTTGTGGAGATGTCCCTCTAAGGCGTGCAGGTGCTTGGCTCCGTCTGCAAAGTCTATTTTCGAGGCAATCATTAGGGCAGTCTCTCCATCGTTGTTGAATATGCCTGACTCGAGAGGGGCAAGGAGTTTTACCATTTGGATATCCCGGGATCGCACTGCCAGCATAAGCGCGGTCTCCCCCTGTGCATTTTTAGTTCCCTGAAACGTTTTCATGTTTTTAGATACGGCGTTATGACTCCGATCCTTTATGGCCTTGAACCAGTCGCTCGCGGTTTGCATGACTTTTTATTCAATATTTCAAATTTTCGCTTCTGAGCAAGCAAATTTGCGCGGACTCCGTGTAGCACGCCAGGATTCGACCGTGTGACATGTGCATGGAAAACCAGCCATTCTAATTGGCCTTTTATTGACCTTTTATTCCAATATATTGTATCCGGATGCAATCTGAAGCAGAGATTGAATCAGGTGTATTGCCACTGAGAGGGCATCAACCGCAGGGGACTCTATCGTGAGGGGTGGCTTGCCAACAGAAAGACCACTTTTCTCTAAAATGTTTTTCAATTCTATCAAGTTTTTAATTTCCCTGAACGGGCTGCTGGCAGAGTAATCACTCATGCACAGATGAATCGCACTAATGCAGTGCATGCAAAGCTCTGTAGTTGTCTTTTCAGTAAGGGGATTTAGAGGATCATCCCCTAGCGTCTGTTTGATAAATGAGAGCAATCCTGATCTTAGTTCCTCTTGGAACGTACAGTCTGATTGCTCGGCATAGGAAGACATGTCATTGGAATAAACTGATCTGCGACCCTCCATCTGGAATTCTGACGGCTCCGGGGTTATAGGAGTCGTAGTTACACTGGGGGTACTACAGATATTATTACAGGTATAACTGTAAGGGCAATGCAATCGCAAAATCAGCGACTCAGAAGCGGGATTACCGTACGTTAGTATTTTCAGTTGAGGTGAAAACGTATCACGGGCATCCAATAGTTGCCTGCAACCTTTTGTTCCTATGTCGTTGTGGTTTAGATGCAGCTCACGCAACGGTCTATTTGATCTGGAGGCAAGCTCTATGAACTTTCGGAAGTGCTCCATGTGTTCGTCGCACAAATTGCAATTACTCAACTGCAGTATTTCTAATGCAATGCAGCGATCAAAGATGGCGAGCAGAAGATCATGAATGGACTTAGAAGTAAACCTGAAAGAACCGGAGCAGGATAATTTGCTGAGCTGGAGAAACGATACGGGAGATTGTGTAAACCAATCTATCATAAGGTAAACCTCATCCTGCAGCAAGCGATTCCCAGCCAGATTTAAACACTTCAGGTTTCTAGACTCCTTGATGCCTTCAAAGATTATTGCCAAAAGGGTCCTTGTGAGTTTGCATCCTTCAAGGTCCAGGCTATGAATAGGGGTATACAGCCGGCGGACCTTACGAGCCTTACTTCCCGCTACTGGATTTTCAGCTATCGATTCATGGGATAGCCGCTGTCTGATTGCAACGGCCATTTCCTTTGTTAGATCAACTGATTGCATGCTAATCTTCCCGTCTTCATCGCTAATAAGCAGATTCTGAGAAGATGCACGTTCCAGTGTACAGGATGTAGAACTAAGACCTGAAAACTCTGAAGAAGCAGCTTTAGGCCTCTTATTGGACTTAGACTGAGCAGGGTAATTGGCGTAAAAGAGCGGGATAATGCTGTCTCGGATGGTATCAACTGGTTTCCATGGCTGCATGGCACAAGTAAGAAGCAAAATGGCTTCTCGGCTGATCGCTTTAAAAATGACAGTAGAAGCGGAGATCTTAGAAAGGCACCCTGCGCGGGAATGGCTTCCAAAGGGACACTCCTATGACCACAAGAAGATACTACCAAGCCTTTCAGCCGAGATTTGCGGATATCTACAGTACAAGGCACCACCGCCGGATCGACAAAGGCAGGTACAAAGGCTCTTACAGAAGCTAGAGGGAAGGATTCGGGCTTCTGAGATATTTAGGGGCTATATTTCTACGTCTGGGCCGTTGCTGCGCGTCGTAGGCAGCTATGCCAACGGAACAGCATCATGCACGTCCCCCATCGATGTTTGTGTGCTGATCATTACACCAAACTCTATGGAAACGGTTGCCGATCCCAAGCTTTGGTTTGCATTTTCTAAGATACTCTTAAACACAGGGTATACCCTTGTCTCAACACAGTTTTATCAGTCTATTGTCAGAACTGTTGTGGTGCATACTGAACTGCCCGTGGCACTTCACTTTTATTATCATGGGAAGGAGCTCATGAACAATACAGAGCGTGCCATCCAACTGTTCAAGGAAAGCCCATCTCTTCAGCAACTGCATTGTCTCATAAAGGCCATTTGTAGACACAAGTGCATACATGGGTTCACTCATGGAAACATTTCTTCTCACTATATTTTTCTTTTGATTCAAGCCTTCGCACTAACCCTCCTCCCCAAGCAACTCACGGAGACTGTCGGCAGCTTGCTTATCCTCTTCACCAATTTTATCTCTAACTACGATGAATCTATCTATTATGCAGACGTGCACAGCGGCAACATCTTGTGTGAACAAAAGATACACCGAACAGAGCCGTACTTTGAGGTACGTTCTGCTTCTTTTTATGACATGCACGATGTTCCATACAAATATTGTGTGTTTAAGGATACAATGATGGAGATATCCCGGCTCCTGCGGCATTACGAGTCGCCAGGTGTGGCAGCACCAATCAGCATAGTATTTGAGCTTTGTGGATTCTAGCTGCAGAAGTATATCCCAGCATCATAGACAGCTACCACCATTGTTTTGTCTAATAGACAAGCGAACAGTGGGCGTCCCTCTGGACACTCCACTGCACAACGAGGATGCAACATTAGAGGGCCAATGGAACCAGGGGAGGCTGCTGTGGTAGCGTTACCAGCTAGGTCTTCTATGTCGTTCAAGGCGTAGAAGCTCACCTGACCGTACCTATTACAATCTATAAGCATATTCATACCACCAACCGGAGACAATCTCATGGTGCACTGCACGTCCATGAATGACCATGACGAGCAGGGCGTTGCTTTCTGATACTCGTATCTTCCTCGGCTCATATTTACGATGATCCATTGATCCAGCTGGTGAACTGCCAGAACAGGGTATTCTAAGTGCCGCAGCACTGACTCGCACGTATACTCAAGCTCAAAGAACTTAAGTCGGCCTGAACACACTTCTTGTAGAGCAGAGACTATACTTTTGTAAAACGTGCTGTGATTCATGACAGCCTGTGCTGCAGCGGTCTGTTTTGGAAAGATATTGACTAGACTGCCATCTAACACGTCCTGCTTTAGATGCTCCAATTCTAGTAGGAAGTCTGGGATGTAGTGCCCTTTGTAGGCTGTTAGGTCTAGCGTTGGTTTGCTAAGAAGCTCTAATGATAGCTCATAGAAGCTGTACCCATCCAAAGCTGACTTAATGCAAAAGCGGACGGAACCAGATGTCTTTTCTTTTGACGGTATCTGTACTATACCTTCGATGTCCCCGTACGCACGTATAAACCCATGCATGAGGACAGGGCTGAACATCGTGCCCTCCAGCTGGCATTCTGCTGGATGACACTTGTAGACTGGCAGGCGAGACCCGTCTATCCCCACTATCGATTCGTTCTGATACGTGCTGAGAGCGCTGGTGTAAAAGCGCGTATGAGGGCGACAATTGCACGCTATACCGCTATCATTGGCAAGGGCAAGCAGGGCAACAGGAATATGATAGAGACAAATGCAATAGTCGTCTCCTCCAACTAGCAGTGTGAGAAACTCTCTGGATGTCTTTGTAACGGTTGACTCAGCCGTTTTACTCGATTGCATTAGCCAACAAAGACAAGATGCGATATCGGGGGTGCAGCCCAGATGGCTATTGCGTTCGAACGATGATTGTAAATATACTATGGAGGGGTTTGCTTGGGGGCCGAAGCAAGTCACATATTCTCTAGGGATAGGTCTTGGCTTCGTACTTCTCTTGAGTGGACGTGGTGAAATGTTCAGCTCGGCACTGAGGTATAAGTCCACTGAAAGATTTGACGCTTGGGCAGCTGCTTCTACGGCTTTGGCAAGATATTGGCCGTAAATTTGTTCGCAAGAAGCACAATGCCTTGGTGGCGAATGGTACATGCTGTATATTCTGTGGTACGTCTGCTCCGTGGTCAGCTTTTCCAATGAGCTCTCATCCATGCGGACAGTTTCGTCGAGAACCATCTGGGCTGGAGCATTGACGTGTGTAGATCGCCTCTGTCGCCGACCGGCTTGTCTCTGAGCAAGGTACCCCATGTGGTCCAGTAGGTCTGTGAAGTGATCGTACACAACAGAGCATCTACACGTAACGTTCGCCTTCTTATAGTCTGGCTGGAAGACACCGTACCCACTTCCCTTTAGGACGGCTAGGACGGTGAAGGTCTCTGTGCTTAGTATCAGGCATGCACCGTTATCCAATCCCGCTGCGAGCAAGGGGTACTGTGGACAAAGGCAGAAAGATATGCAGTATATGCTGTTGTCCCCGTTGATTGCGGGGCTCACGTGGGTCTTTAGGGACGGATGCGCCACATGTATGTACCTATCGGGTGGTATGCGAGCACCTTTACCCTTTACCTGGGATGTCTCAATAAGGGATGCAATGCTGTTGTACAAAAGAAGAAGTCCGTCCTCAGTTCCCAAAACAAGAGAATCACATCCCTGGTATCTGTATGTAGCAAGACACGCAACCGGGTGCTCTACATTTACCTGACACAGGACATTGGCCTCAGCAGTTATCGCGGAAACGTAGTTTCCATGTGCAAAAATAACATAGCTTCCTAGAGCAATTGGGACCGTGCTAAGCCCTGGTACCTCGACAAAAATACTAGGAAGAGCTGGTAAACCCATATTGTTGGGATCGGCAACCGTGATCTGTGGACGAAGCATCATCAGTCAGGCTTTTAAATTATCACATGCCAGAGTGTCTGAGGACCTGGTCCATCCCCCTAACAGTAGACCAAAGCTTCGTCTTGGTGGCCAAGATTACAACAGTCCTAGAGTTGCCCGTTTTAGATAACCGCCTAACAGACCCCACTGTGCCCCACTCCATTGCTGAAGTGCAACTGTTTTTACGTCCTCCTGCTACCTCTTTGGAAGAAATCTGTAATGTAACCACAGGCCACGTCTATACAGTAGTGGCGCTGTTTGATGCCCAGGGTGAGTCTTTAGTGCTGCGGGCTGTGATGAGTCGTATTGCTACCGCCCTGACTCCCTACCTTATAAGTCAGAGAGACGAATACTTATCGGTCGAAGAACTGTTCTCTGCACTCCAAAAGGAGCATGGGACATCCTTTAAGATACAGAAGGAAAACCTTGGGACTATCCTTGTGGCCCATCTGCCTCAACTTGCTAATGCCAGACTACGGCTGAATATGTTATTAGAGATTCAGCAGCTTATGGATGCACTGGCTTCTCTGACGACCTCCACTATAGTGTTTCTTCAAGGATTGGCGAAACACATGATTAACACTCTCGACTCGGGAGAACTACCATTGAGCACCCACATCATTAAAGAAGTCGAACAAGCACGTGAAGCCTTGAGGACTATTGTTGATCGTTGCCGTGAATCCGGGGTTCTGTATACGAGGTATGGAGTCGAAAAGATTTGTAAGATTCGGAGGTCACTTGAGTTGCTATCCTCTGAAGCCCTTCTCGGAAGGCCTTTAGAGATGAGGGAGGAACAAGGAACAAGTAAATGGGGTTAAAATTTAAATTATCAATTCAAGCTAGACAGAGTGGCCAGGGCCTTGATGCAGAGTGAACGGAGTAGAGCAAACTATCACACCGGACAGAGCATCCCGCTGACAAGAGAGCACGATTCGTATAGAACGGACCACTGCCCCGTTCCGGTCAAAGCGAAGATACATGGTGCAGAGCTCATTGCTAAGGAGAAGATCCATATCAACTGGGATGATTCTAATTTTGATAACTATTTCTATGATGACAATGATGACTCGCGGAATATGTGTGATAATGCTACCTCTAAATCTCCTGCTCGAGCCGTCTCCATACCAAGGTACACTGTAATTTATTCAACAGGAACGACTAGTACATCTTTACGCAGCAGCATTGATGAGCCAGGGGTTGACTTACAAAAGAGAACCATGGCCGGGGAGCTGAATTCTATTGACTCGAACTCCCTCTCTCAAATGACTGGTGAGATGATCATTCAGGAACATACAACTGCGCCTCGAGCAGCGGGTCCGCGGCAATTTTCACACAAAGGTGTACCAATGGTCAGCGTGCCCAGGACCGATCATTCGTCTGAAAGGAATTCCACGCAAAACATTGTCTCTCACGATACAGTATCACGCGATAGCTATGCAGATTCTGTGCCTGTTGCTTCTTTCGAAGTAGGGTACCGACCAGAGGCCTTTCCTAAAGAGCGGCACTGTCTCTCTCGTGGGTCCCGCTCAAGCTCATCCCATGCAGATACAGAGCGGTCAGCCTCACCAAACAAACAAAGACCACAAGTTGCACATCAATCCACACCATGTATTCCTGAACATTCTATTAAAAACACATCAGCACCCAATCAAATGTACCTACCTGGAAGCCCTAACACATCGTTTCGTGAGATAAAGCCACCAGCAGTTGAAGTTGTACATTCTAGAAACTCTGCTGGCACTACTCAGCGGGCATATCTGGCTACTTCTAACTCTCCGCCTCATCCTACGCCTGCTGCGGTAGCTGCACCTACACCGGCTCCTCAGCAGCCTCACGGGCAAGGTACTCATGTGCAGGTTCCTAAGCAAGCATACATCACCACTTTTAGAAGCTCCCTCTCTACTAACATGTCTCTGACAAGTGATAAGCCGTTGTCATCTAGATCTCCTCACCGTATTTTCAATCGTGAAAAGAAGCCTGGTGCATCTGAGCCACTGGCTACCAATAAGGCAGGAATACCTCAGCCTTACCAACATCCTCCGCAGCCAATCCCGCAGCAGTATCCCACAGATGGACCTCTACCTGGCACCTATAGTGATCAGGTTCAATCACGTGCCGTATCTGAGCGCTTGACTCCACGAAGATCACTGATTTCAACAACAAATATCAACGCACTTAAGCTCCAAGACGCCGTTCGCCAAGCAGACGAGCTACATTCACATGCTTTGAAGCAATCGTACACCAAGCGTTCTACATTAGATGATCCATATTCAGAAACACTAGCAAGGGCAGAAGCCATCCTCTCACCAAAACGCGTAATCCCAGCCACTCACGGAGGAGCACACAGCAATCCTCCTATTCTTCCAACCAAAATAGAGCCGACCACTGGCTCTGCTATGCCACAAATCGTCGATATTAATAATAGAATCAAGGAGGCAATGACAATTGCTCGCAATGCTTTGTCCAGCCAGCAATCTGACAACAGTGCACGGAACAGCGTGTCAAGTCCTATTAGAGGGGTCTCTCCTATCAATCCAACATACGCCTCTGCTTCCACTTTTGCTTCGCCGATGTCTCCTGCCGGAAGGAGGCAGGCATTTCCAGCCTCCGAGGGAGTTTCCCCGTCTCTTCAACTTGCTAAGAAGTACATTGATGTAACAGGTGTTGCACGGATCAATTATGAACGCACAATGTCTCCTTCACGTGGAGCCAACAGTAACATCTCTGCAGAGATGCTTTCGCATCGTGTGGTCGCGGATTCTTCATTTCGATCATCGGTGCACCACTATCCTCCATCACGTACATCTAATGCTCGTCCAAGTGTAGATGAGACGGAAACAGCTAATTACTTCACTTCACGGATAGCCATACAACGAGATGGAAAGCGGGTTCCTTCGTCCACTCAAAGTCTAACTATAAAGGCTCCGTCTCCATCTAGAGGTAGACAGTACACACCACTTTATTAGCGCACGACAGTGAAAACTTATAGGAAGCATTTTTATTATTTTTCAGGATTGGTATACTGGCATATAGTGGGCATTTTTGTTAGTGTATTTTTGTTGGTAAAGGCCAGTACTAGGTAATTGATTGTGGATGATGGCGCACTCAGTCTAAAGCAATCTAATATCTCTTAATTAATTGCCGTGCTGACAATAGATGATAAAAGCTAAATCAACTGCCACAAGTGCGATCATCCCAACCCACCCCACCGCCCAACAACCCACCAGCTGACCTGGGACCACGGCTGAATGGACATAGAGAGACGGTCCCCTGATAGACGGGAGCATTGCTAAAAAGAAGCGACGACCTGGGTCTGGCCACCGTGAAGGAAGACCAAGAAGAGACACTACTTAGGGTAGACATACCTGCGAGAGGTCTGGAACCCTGAAATGACTGACGTGTATACATAATCTGGGTACGCTGCACGAAATGGCAAAGAAGCGCACCAAGCTCTGGATGCACTAGTAGAGGGAAACCTCTAGCATGTCGTCTACAACTAGCCTTCGTTTTCAGACACGATTAAAAATTGAGCGAGACTTACTCGTGAGACCTCTGGACCACGCCCCCAGGCGGGCTCAGCACAGCACGAAAAGCTCCTTAAGTACATGCATTTATTCTGTGCCCTAAACGATGAGGTAACTTTCTTGGCTATGGCTGAGCAAGCAGCTTAGTTTGTGCTGATTCTTAGGCTTACACTAGCACTGCTAAGGTCTACTACTTGCACTTCTGCCTGATCTTACATTTCCAATGACATCCGTTGGCCTAAGGACATTCCTGGCATTAAAGCCCGACAAAGCCTAGTAATGATTATGTGATGTGTTCCTCTAAGCTATGTGTGACTATACTAAACCACCTACTGTTCAGATTTATAGCCGGCACGCACCCGTGTCAATGTGAATAGGGATGCTGCCTATTGCCCAATAAATGGAGTACACTTTGTGAGAGTGCTTTTACCACTTTGAATGTTAAATAGGGGTTCCGATTCCTGCATCTGTAGGTCCCTATAATAACCACGCTAGTTGGACATATTTCGGATGAAAACTATGTAGTCAAATGATGTTTATATTACTGTGATAAGCCCTTAATTCTTAAATTAGATGAATCAAAGCTGACACTATTATTTGTCTGTGGTTTGAATACAGATACTATAGGAATATGAGATTGTTAAACGGCTAGCTTCAATGTTACTAGGGATTGTTCTTCTTTGTGCAGCTGTGCTAGCTAAAGAATGTGTGCCGCAAATTTCTGGATGCGCCGAATGTGATGAATCGACTGGAACCAAATGCACGCGCTGCGACCCGGCCGGCAACACGCCCTTCCTGATGGAGACGACGCCGGACGGCGGGGAGGGCACGTGCGTCGGGGACTGCACACAGACCCCGGGCTATTACGGCGACGCCAGCGACGACCAGAATAAGAAGTGCAAGAAGTGCAACGCCGCCTGCGCAGCGTGCTCTGGCGCAGAGGCCACGAAGTGCACGCGCTGCGACCCGGCCGGCAACACGCCCTTCCTGATGGAGACGACGCCGGACGGCGGGGAGGGCACGTGCGTCGGGGACTGCACACAGACCCCGGGCTATTACGGCGACGCCAGCGACGACCAGAATAAGAAGTGCAAGAAGTGCAACGCCGCCTGCGCAGCGTGCTCTGGCGCAGAGGCCACGAAGTGCACGCGCTGCGACCCGGCCGGCAACACGCCCTTCCTGATGGAGACGACGCCGGACGGCGGGGAGGGCACGTGCGTCGGGGACTGCACACAGACCCCGGGCTATTACGGCGACGCCAGCGACGACCAGAATAAGAAGTGCAAGAAGTGCAACGCCGCCTGCGCAGCGTGCTCTGGCGCAGAGGCCACGAAGTGCACGCGCTGCGACCCGGCCGGCAACACGCCCTTCCTGATGGAGACGACGCCGGACGGCGGGGAGGGCACGTGCGTCGGGGACTGCACACAGACCCCGGGCTATTACGGCGACGCCAGCGACGACCAGAATAAGAAGTGCAAGAAGTGCAACGCCGCCTGCGCAGCGTGCTCTGGCGCAGAGGCCACGAAGTGCACGCGCTGCGACCCGGCCGGCAACACGCCCTTCCTGATGGAGACGACGCCGGACGGCGGGGAGGGCACGTGCGTCGGGGACTGCACACAGACCCCGGGCTATTACGGCGACGCCAGCGACGACCAGAATAAGAAGTGCAAGAAGTGCAACGCCGCCTGCGCAGCGTGCTCTGGCGCAGAGGCCACGAAGTGCACGCGCTGCGACCCGGCCGGCAACACGCCCTTCCTGATGGAGACGACGCCGGACGGCGGGGAGGGCACGTGCGTCGGGGACTGCACACAGACCCCGGGCTATTACGGCGACGCCAGCGACGACCAGAATAAGAAGTGCAAGAAGTGCAACGCCGCCTGCGCAGCGTGCTCTGGCGCAGAGGCCACGAAGTGCACGCGCTGCGACCCGGCCGGCAACACGCCCTTCCTGATGGAGACGACGCCGGACGGCGGGGAGGGCACGTGCGTCGGGGACTGCACACAGACCCCGGGCTATTACGGCGACGCCAGCGACGACCAGAATAAGAAGTGCAAGAAGTGCAACGCCGCCTGCGCAGCGTGCTCTGGCGCAGAGGCCACGAAGTGCACGCGCTGCGACCCGGCCGGCAACACGCCCTTCCTGATGGAGACGACGCCGGACGGCGGGGAGGGCACGTGCGTCGGGGACTGCACACAGACCCCGGGCTATTACGGCGACGCCAGCGACGACCAGAATAAGAAGTGCAAGAAGTGCAACGCCGCCTGCGCAGCGTGCTCTGGCGCAGAGGCCACGAAGTGCACGCGCTGCGACCCGGCCGGCAACACGCCCTTCCTGATGGAGACGACGCCGGACGGCGGGGAGGGCACGTGCGTCGGGGACTGCACACAGACCCCGGGCTATTACGGCGACGCCAGCGACGACCAGAATAAGAAGTGCAAGAAGTGCAACGCCGCCTGCGCAGCGTGCTCTGGCGCAGAGGCCACGAAGTGCACGCGCTGCGACCCGGCCGGCAACACGCCCTTCCTGATGGAGACGACGCCGGACGGCGGGGAGGGCACGTGCGTCGGGGACTGCACACAGACCCCGGGCTATTACGGCGACGCCAGCGACGACCAGAATAAGAAGTGCAAGAAGTGCAACGCCGCCTGCGCAGCGTGCTCTGGCGCAGAGGCCACGAAGTGCACGCGCTGCGACCCGGCCGGCAACACGCCCTTCCTGATGGAGACGACGCCGGACGGCGGGGAGGGCACGTGCGTCGGGGACTGCACACAGACCCCGGGCTATTACGGCGACGCCAGCGACGACCAGAATAAGAAGTGCAAGAAGTGCAACGCCGCCTGCGCAGCGTGCTCTGGCGCAGAGGCCACGAAGTGCACGCGCTGCGACCCGGCCGGCAACACGCCCTTCCTGATGGAGACGACGCCGGACGGCGGGGAGGGCACGTGCGTCGGGGACTGCACACAGACCCCGGGCTATTACGGCGACGCCAGCGACGACCAGAATAAGAAGTGCAAGAAGTGCAACGCCGCCTGCGCAGCGTGCTCTGGCGCAGAGGCCACGAAGTGCACGCGCTGCGACCCGGCCGGCAACACGCCCTTCCTGATGGAGACGACGCCGGACGGCGGGGAGGGCACGTGCGTCGGGGACTGCACACAGACCCCGGGCTATTACGGCGACGCCAGCGACGACCAGAATAAGAAGTGCAAGAAGTGCAACGCCGCCTGCGCAGCGTGCTCTGGCGCAGAGGCCACGAAGTGCACGCGCTGCGACCCGGCCGGCAACACGCCCTTCCTGATGGAGACGACGCCGGACGGCGGGGAGGGCACGTGCGTCGGGGACTGCACACAGACCCCGGGCTATTACGGCGACGCCAGCGACGACCAGAATAAGAAGTGCAAGAAGTGCAACGCCGCCTGCGCAGCGTGCTCTGGCGCAGAGGCCACGAAGTGCACGCGCTGCGACCCGGCCGGCAACACGCCCTTCCTGATGGAGACGACGCCGGACGGCGGGGAGGGCACGTGCGTCGGGGACTGCACACAGACCCCGGGCTATTACGGCGACGCCAGCGACGACCAGAATAAGAAGTGCAAGAAGTGTGCAGAAGGCCAAAAGCCTAATACTGCAGGAAATAAGTGCTTCGTTTGCCCAGATGCTAACTGTGAACGATGTGATCAGAGTGATGTCTGCGCTAGATGCAGTACCGGCGCACCACTGGAGAACGGGAAATGCCCCGCCGCCACGCCGGGGTGCCACTCCAGCTGCGACGGATGCACCTCTGACGCCATGACGAACCAGGCCGACAAGTGCACTGGCTGTAAAGAGGGACGGTATCTAAAGCCAAACCCTGCAGCTGGGCAATCGGGAACGTGTCTTACTGCTGAAGAGTGCACCTCCGATAAGACGCACTTCACCAAGGAGAAGGTCGGTGACTCGAAGGGGATGTGCCTCCCATGCAGCGACGCAACACACGGCATCGCGGACTGCAAAAAGTGTGCCCTCAAAACGCTCTCTGGAGAAACAGAATCGACAGTTGTGTGCTCTGAGTGTACTGACAAATGGCTTACTCCTTCGGGCAATGCATGTTTAGAACAGTGTCCTGCTGGAACATATCCTAACGATAACAATCTTTGTACTCCTTGTCATGATACCTGTGCAGAGTGCAATGGCAATGCGGACGCTGCTTCCTGCACGGCTTGCTATCCTGGGTATTCTCTCCTGTATGGATCTGGCACAGCCGGAACATGCGTCAAGGAGTGCACTGGTGCGTTCGGCGCCAACTGTGCAGACGGGCAGTGCACGGCTGACGTGGGGGGCGCGAAGTACTGTGCCCAGTGCAAGGACGGGTACGCCCCGATCGACGGGATCTGTACAGCAGTGAAAACTGGGAGAGACGCGAGCGTATGTACGGCGGCAGGCGGGAAGTGCACCAAATGTGCAGGAGAGTATACTCTCATGTCGGGCGGGTGCTATGGTGTGGCGAAGCTTCCTGGCAAATCGGTTTGCACGCTTGCTAACAATGGAAAGTGTACTATGTGTGCTGCAAATAGCCAGGCACCTGTGCAAGATAAGTGTCCGGAGTGCTCTGAAGGCTGTGCAAAATGCAATGATTCTAATGCCTGCACTGAATGCCTTCCTGGATACTATAAGAACAAGAGCAGCGCTTGTATACCATGCAGCAAAGATAGCACACCAATCACTGGCGTGCCTAATTGCGTAAGCTGTGCTCCTCCAGCTGGTGGCAATGGCGGTCCTGTCCTCTGTTATCTCATGAAAGGTGCCGACAACACCGGCGGAAGCACGAACAAGAGCGGCCTTAGCACAGGCGCCATCGCGGGCATTTCCGTCGCTGTGATTGTTGTTGTAGGAGGCCTTGTGGGCTTCCTTTGCTGGTGGTTCCTCTGTAGAGGAAAAGCGTAGATGTGTACTTAGGTAGTAAACGTATCCACGTGGTGCAGTGAGCCGCGGTGACGCTTGAGCTTCCAGTGCAGATTGTTCATTAGATAGCCATGTGTCACTCTTTCAGCGAGTGGTAGCTATTCAGTAAGAGTTCACGGTGATCGTAGTCTTCCAGCTCTCTTCACGCAGTGGAACTACCGCCCCTATTTGATAAGTGACAAGATCAAGCGTGTCACAGTGTCTGGCCAGAATGAAAACAGGTTATGCATAAGCGAGTGACAATAGCTGCTAAACCAGCTTTTAGGATGTCTGGTAATCGCTGTATTCAGAACACAGCAATCTGAAGCAATTGCTACTCTCACAATGCTAACCCAGTTTAGAGAATCAACGTTAGCTCACCTATGTTTGAAGCATTGCCAGAGTGCGGACTCAATCCGTTACTTTTCCATCGGTTTCCGTTATGCCATGCTCTTCAAAATGAGCAAGTTATTTGCTCCAGCTATTCCTAGCAGATGTCCCCGACTGGCTATATCTTTATCCTTCGCTAACAGATCCACCAACAAAGGCACATCCCTCTTACTGTTTAGGATTACCAATGCGTTGCTGCTTTATCACTTTTCACTGACCAGCCCTTTGATAGTGTTGGAGAAGGCTTTACTTGTTGGTTACTGCAACAATCTGCCAAGTGTACATACCATGCAGCGGAGTGCTTCTTCTGTAGCCTTGTGCTGTGCTATTCCTACACTAGCCTAAGCATTGTTTTTATCTTGTGTCGAGAGTATCGCATTATCTATTCTCGAAGACTCCAGGTCCTGACAAAGTACACACCAGTAAACCACCTCTCCACAGCGAGTTATCCCAGCAACCAGCCCAAAAAACCTCGCCTTCATGTTTGTCGTTGCAGCCAAGCGCTGCTCCACCTCCGAGGAAGGGGGACTCGAGACGTTCATCGGCCGCCAGATCGACGCCGCAAAGGCGCCTGCAAGGGCACATGTACTCGTGCGATCCGGTACGGATGCTACATTGCTTAAACAGACAGCCCTAGCTGAAAACAAAGCAGGATCTATGGACGTAGGATGTTACCATACGAATCCACTCATAATCCCAGCTAAGCAGAGCTCTAACGCATATCTTTCTACAATTCACTTTCCTCCTGACTCTAGTCGAGAGCCCGAATTGAAAAGGTCTTATCAATCGAATCCCACAGCTTCTCTGCGCATCTATACTCCCAATTATTCTACAAGTACACTTGATATACGTTCCGAAAAGACACATAAGCAAGCTTCAAATTCAGCCTTACAACCTGTACTCCCAAAGAGTGCTAAGCGGTGGGCTATTCAGCGTAACGGAGAAGGTAAAAGAGACCCTGACTCAACGCGACTTGGTCTAAATGTCCCCGCCGGCACATCAGCTCTTGAGCTCAAAACTAAGGAAGAACTGTTGTTGTACTTAAACGATGTAGAACAACGCCTCAAGTCAGCTCTGGATGACTGCCTCCCGGCTCTGATGGAGTCCACGCCCAATGTAAATTAACCGCCAAAAAAACTAAGTAGAATTCGTCCAAAAAATGTCTGCCCCGCCTGATTCTGCGTTTGCTACTATACTCACCCCGACTGCGCTAGGCTCCATCAACCAAGAGGTCCGTGACGCTATTATGGCCCTCCAGAGTGAGTTGGAGAGTGAAAGAGAACGGGCCAGGAAGTTCGAGAATCAAGTTGCGGTCCTCTCTAGCAACGATCCCAGTGGGCTCTACAATAAATACATAGACATGGAAACTACGAGCGAACTGCTCAAGCAGGCCGTTCAGAAGGCTATCGAGGAGCGGGAGGCGCTAGAGAAACAGTATCAGAGTCTCAGAGCGGACTTCAGCTCACTTCAGGCGGATCTCGCAGCCAAGGAGGAGACACTACGGTTTCTAACGGACGGCAACGATGCCGCTAAGCAGCTGTCTATGGCCAATTCGGAGATCGCCGCCTTAAAGCTTGAAATATCAGATTTGGACGGTAACTTGAAACGCCTTACAAATGATGCGGAGAGGTTGCGCGGTGAATGCGAAGATCTCCGCGGAGAGAATGAGAACTTGAAGAATGCGCTCCATCGTGTAGACGAGACCATGACAAATATCCGCAGCCACCAGGATAGCACAGCACCTGGCTCGACACACGGAAGTGCCTATGATGGTAACGAATTCTACAGGCCGCCGACGGGCAGGGATACCAAGTCTGATGACACCGATGCACCAGATTACCAGAAGCTGTACTTACAACAGAGCGATCAGATCTCGTCTCTTCAAGCAGAGCTTGAGAAGCTTAGATACCTTGCTAATCCCGATGACCAGTACAGCAGTAACATTGCGTCTTTGAATTACCAGGTGCACAAGCTGTTCGAGGATAATAAGAAGAGCCAGGTACGTATCAGCGAACTCACTGCTCAAAAGGAAGCCAGCGATGCGATAATTCACAGCCTGGAACAAGAGCTTGTTCACCTTCGCTCCGGATCTGCTGCTGGATCTGCTGACCAGGCAGAGTTAAGTAACCTTCGAAACAAGCTGACGGCGACGGAAATAGAGCTTCGTTCTAAGAAACAAGAGGTCGAGACTGCACGAAGCGAGAAGAATGCCATGGGGGCGGACTATTACGCACTCCAAGCTGAAATAGAGCAATACAAGAAGCTAGAGCACGATCTAAGCGTAGATGTGACGCTTCTCCGCCAGCAGTTGGCTGAAGCGCGCGGGCAGGCTCCCGAAACAGGTGCTCTCCAGGCAGAGCTTGGTAATCTTCGTCAACTTTCTAATCGTCTCGAGCAAGAACTTCTTGCGCTCCGAAAAGCTCTTGGGAGCACTGGTATCACTGGGGTCGAGATTCAACTTAAGCGCAAGGACATAGAGATCGCTCGCTTGAATGAACGGGTCGAGCTACTTCTCAATACGTCTCCGGAGGCTGGCGATACCGTTGATAATCTCTCACGAAGATTGATGAATGTTCAGGAGGACCTCAAGACCAAGGAACAGTTGCTTTCGAACTACGAAAACCACCTGACTGCAATGAACGGAGTGACACCGGATAAAATCGAGGAACTGACCTCTCAGATCAACACGCTAACTGCGCAGAACAGCGAGTTCGCTCATATGTTAAGCCAGCAAGGCCGCGGTCAGGAGGTCGAGATCATTGAAGGAAAGAATGCACGAATCAAAGAGTTGGAGGACGCAATCAAATCTTACAAATCTATAATTGACAATCTCGTAACCGCCAACGTTGCGTCAAATAAAGAGGTCAGCCAGATGAGTGAGGCCCTTGTTCTTCATGAGCAGACTGTCGCATCTCTCGCTGAATCTCTGCAGACAGGAATGGCCCTGAGGCTCGTGAATGCTCCATCAGATCAGCAAGCGCCAGCTACTATTGGGGGCGATGCTCTTCCACTAGTAGTGCCAGATGAATATAAGATTCCGGATGAGGTCAAGCAGAGCTCCGATCCCAAGGTTCTGCGTGATGCGCTTCAAGCGACAGAGCAGATTATAGCCAAACTTTACGATGAAAATGTATCCAAGACACATGACATCGAGCAACTTCATGATGCTTTGAAGTCTCACGAGCACGCACTCGTAAGCATCAGGGAGGCTAACTTAGCGAAGGATCAGGAAATCGACCAGCTCAATGATGCGTTAGCTCACCAGGAAAAGACAGTTGGGTCTCTTGTTGCCACACTTTCACCCCGATTGGGAAATTCGGCCATCCGTGACCGGGATGGGCTCATTCAGATGGGCAGCCCGGTCTATGATTACAGTGACATGCCCCCATCAGAGGCTGAGTTGGAGATGCTTAGAGAAGCTGTGAAGCATGCAGAAGATACGATCGCTGCTATGCGTGAGGCCAACGCCGCCAAAGACAAAGAGATTGAAGAACTTGGTCAGGCCCTAGCTCTGCAGGAGCAGACTGTGACCTCACTCTGCCAAACACTTTCTCCCAGTTTTACCGTGGGACCTGGAGCTGTTTCTTCTGAAGATGAGGGTCCGCTTGACAACCGCATCAAAGTGCCCCCTGAGACCTTGGAGAAGCTCCGGGACCTTGAGCACGAGAACGAGAAACTTAGGCACGACATGCAGTTGCTTCAGAACCTTGAGAAGTACCTTCCAGGCGGTCATGTTTACGAGGAAAACGTGGAGAAAGGCGACGCCGGTGCTAATATGGCTTACTTACTTGCACACAAGGACGTCGAGCTGGAGAACCTCAACACAGAGCTTAAAGACCAGCAGGATGAGATAAAGCGTCTCAAGGAGGCTATGTTCTCGCGCGAGGAAGTCATCGCTAAAGTTTCTTACATCGATGCCAACAAGTCCAAGGAAATTGAAGACCTCCACGAGGCTATGCGAAAACAGGAGGAGATCGTTCAGAACCTCTGCGCTTCCCTGTCTCCAGATCTTACTGCAGCCATGGCGATGCAGCCGCGAAGTGGAGATGCCCCTGACGCTGATGATGCGAGACCTAAGTACAACATGGAGGAGCTTATTGCGGAGTTGCAGAAGAAGATCTCCGAGCTGGTGGGCGCTGAGCGCGTAGCCGAAAAAGACGCAGAGATCGACCGCCTCAAGAAGCAGCTGGCTTATCAGGAGAACCCAATTCTCGAACGCACCGCTATTAACGAACTTATGGAAAAGGAGACACACATCAAGAAGCTCCAAGATGTTATTGAGCGCCAAGACAGGGTTATCGATGAGCTTAAAAACACTGTGATCCATCGCGAAAATGAAATAAACAACATGTCCAGTGCAAAGGCCAAGATAGAGCACGTCCTAGACCTGCAGGAGAAGAGTGGCGAGGCATCGAGGGCGAAACTTACAAACCTTTCAGAAGCATTGGCCAAACAAGAGAATCTGGTTGACCGCCTGTTGAATTGTCTCTCACCAAGCCAGCGCGAAACGTTCCTCAAAGAGGAGGAAGAGAGGAAGAAGCTGAAGGCAGCACGTGAGGAGGAGTTGGCCAATACAATCCGCGATCTCCAGGAACAGCTTGACCGGGCCAAGAATGAGGGAGGATCTACTAAGGAGGCGAGTGCGCTTCTTACGAAGGCGTCGGGCAAGATGATCCAATGGTTCAAGGAGCGCCCTAAGGACATGCCGAACGCCCTGGATATTTTTTCTTGAGTAGCACTTGGCGCTGATCGTGTTTACTCGTTCAAGCGTGTAAATATATTTTCTCTGTAGCTAAGAGCGTACATTCACAAAAGGGATTATCTCAGGACTCAGGGCATGCATGTATTGGTGCCTGCACCGAGCAAAGGCCTCGCAGAGCTCAGGGCCGCAGATGTCCCAGACAAGCTGGCATATCTGCAACGCCTCAACATACCTTCTCTGAACAAAGGGATAAGATCTAGCAAATCGGGATGATCTGAGATTGGGAGACTCGTTGATTTTTACCAACGAGCTGCGTGTAAAGAAGATAGGCTGCAAGGAAATATCAATACCGCTATGACTATCTTTGATGGAGAGTTTTCCCGTGGGGAGCAGTGTATGTGTTGGCCGCATCTTTTGGGGGAAGATAGATGCTTGCTGGTTGTGTGTAGGAGATGCATCGTCTAATACGCTACTAGATGACTCTCTGTAGCTCCCTGTGCTATTCTCACTGATCTTCTCTGTGCCAGTTTCACTTTGCTCACTGGGAGCGGGCGTATCTTCAGAGAGGATTGTAGAAAAAGTCTTATCAGATGTCGAATAATTAGAAGAGGGCGTTGTACCACTGGAAGTATTAGTAGCGTTAACACATGTCTGGATCATACTGTTAAGTTGCTCCTGGAGGACCAAAACATCTTCCCCATTAAAGGTCTTTATGATCAAATCTTCGTGGATCATGCAGAGCGGCTCTTCTATACCGGCTTTGGCGGATAGATTCCTTGAAACTGAAATGCGGTATGATTCAGAAAATGTATTTTGCTTAGTCAAAGCAGAAACAGGCACCTCCTGCAAGTCTCGGGGCTTTGATTGCAATAGTGTCAGCTGTGCGTTAATAAAAGATTTCCACGCGTTTTCCCATAGCCATACGGTGTTATCGTTTAAACTAGGCCTAGAGAATGCAATAGTTGGATTGGTCATGGACACAGGCCAATTGCAAGGGAGCTTGTTGACGAAAAGGTGATGTGCGAGACACATATCATTGCCATTCTCGTTGGAAGACTCATGTGAAAGTGGTACTACAGAAGGCAGCGTAGAGACCTTTTTCTTGGTAAGTGATTTGAGGCACTTGCTAATGTCAGAAAAGGCTGGAACGCTAGAAAACCCGCCCAGCTTGCACTGAGCTTCTTTTTCTTCTTCTGATAACGGAATACCTGTAACAGAATATCTATTGCATAGAATAATTGGGGGAGGAGTCTGGGTTTTGTATGAAGGCAGATCTGTATGCCTGCTCCATACCAAACGGTCGTTTGAAGCCACAGATATTCCAATTAAGGCACGGTTGGTAGCTATGCTCTCGAGATACTGGACAACTGAACCCTCAGCATCAGACTTGTAAGCAAAGTGCATCTGACTGTCAAGAAGTGATGGAAAAGCAGTTCTGGATCTGTGTTCTCTATCTCTACGAGGAGTATCCGGCTTGTACTCGCTAGATGATGTTTGTGACATGTCATCCGTGCCTTCCGATGCACCGGTTGACCAAGTTGAAGGGCCGGAAGCAGAGTTAGCGGAGCTCGGTGTCGCTTTCGCTGGGGTTCTCGACCTACTATCTGAGTAAACATCCTTAAGTTCTAATGTCCCATACATCTGCTCACAGTACCGTATCGTAGGTAGCAGTTGTAGTAATGCGTAAGTATAAAATAAATAATACAGGATGACAGCTCGCGCCCGACGCTCCTCATCCGATACGCCCTTGCGCATCTGTGACGAATACACCGACGTCATCCGTGAGTAACCAGAGCCCTTAATGTCTGTGTGAAACTTCCCTCTTCGCGAGAGGGAATTGAAGTCTGCAATCACAGAACCAAAGATATGTACTGAGATATCTATCTGACGTCGAAACACACTGTTTTGTATTCCCAGAAGCATAAGAGAATCCTTTGTAGAGACCTCAGTAAGCTGAGATAAATCAAGAGAGAGGGAGGCTAGAGAGGCTGCCATGCTGGTTTCGATACTATCTTTAATTTTGATTAGGTTTAGCGGCAGAACTGTGGACACTGGGCGGAGAGTATCCACAATAGCCTGGAAGAATGGTTTCTCTTTGTGCTCAATGCACTTTCGCAGTATGCTGACAGAATTATTTTCTCCTGCTGCTAATAGATTATAGATGGATCCGGCTACAGATTTAGAGTGGTAAATTATCTTATTCTTAAGTCTGAGCCAGTCGTTATCGGTAGGATAGAGCAGCCCAGTTATGGTGTTTCCTATCATCCAGTTAGGTACGAGGGAGACTCGTGAGAAGGGAAAGTTGGGGTGCGCCTGCGTGTCTGTAGCCTGGTTAGAGACTTGGGAGGCTCTCTTTCGAGAGCTAATAAGTTGAGCTAAAGCAGCGTGTGCACTTGCAATTGCCGAGAGAGACATCTTAGCCTTGGGCTTTTTTGTATGCACATGTTCGGCAACCTCATTAGTCGCTACATCCTTACGGCCAGGAGAGTTTTGGTCCAACTTATAGCCGTGTTTCTGAAGAGATATTCGCTTAGTATTGTTTTTTGCACGTGCCTTAGAGTATGAGCTTGATGAGAGTGGATTGACGAGAGAGCTTTCACGTAATTCTGGTTCCAATCCATGCTTTAAGCTGACGTGCTGAGGCGATTGCACTTTAAGATGTGGTTCAGGTTCATCAATAGAACCATCCGATCCTTCCGTATCGCTGAAAATGAATCTCAACGATCCATCTTCGCCACGCGAGCCATCACTTTCATCGGAAGCGGTGCTTGAAGAATTGGTTGATTCGTCTGGCTGGGTTGAGGCAGAGTCTGCTAGCTCATTAAGGCACGTTGCGTATACATCTGTAGTATAGTGTGTTATCTCATCAATCCTAGTGCCGCAGTCGCTTAGAAAGTCCGAAGACTCACTCAGATAATTTTCTTCCAGGTCTTCCTGTGATGATTGACACAGCTTTTTGAATGATGGGGCAAGAAGTTTGCGCACGCACGATACTGCTTTTCGACGCCAGCCAGTCTTGTCTGCATCTATTGCAAAGAAGAACTGCCGCCCCAGTTCCATAGTTAGTGGGTGGCTATAGCCAAGCATATCCCCAACTATTTTAAGTTCAGACCCTATCCTTCCAATCGTCTTATCAAAAAATGCACCGGATACCCACTCAAGAATGAATGCTTCTCTGAGTATTAGCTCTACTGGTTCCATATTGATTTTAGAGTAAAGTAGCTTTTTGCTCTCTAAATCGACACCCCGCGAGCATTGGTCTTTGAGGACTGCGCTGACGTAACTTTTCCTAAGCAAACATGATAGATTGTAAAACTGTTCTAATTTCAGCTCTTGTAAAAATGGCCAATTTGATGTGCCACTGTCTATGGTATCACTCTCAATCCGTAGCAGATTGCCTAAGCCTGCCTCGATGTCCCTTAGATCTAAAGCATGTGCATCTATTTCTCCCGGATTTGCCTGAAAAGAAGCTGGCTCATATTCGCGTTGAATGGTCCCTAAAAGGGAGGCGTCCCATGAGACCCAATAGATGTCACCATCCAGGTCGCTGCCTGAAAGGCAATCTGTCATCGGACGACCTTCATAATACTTTGGAAAGCAAATCACTCCTCTGTACATTCCCCTGATAGCTTCTTGTGCTACAAAGGATGGCAATACGGGCTTTAAATTCTGCCTGGACGCTTCCCGCCTGAGCCTTTCAAAGATGTTGACTGCGTGGTAAATTCGGACATCGCCACGATAAAAGCAGGGGTTTTTTGCTACGACTACACGACCCTCGACACAAGAGATATTTAGTCCAACAGCAATATCAGATATCTGTAAGTCCAGATCTGGTGGTAGTAACGCTTCCTGCTGTGTGTCATTAGACATTGCCTTAAGATGTGTTGCTGCGGCCCATTTAGAGATGGATAGCGGCTCCTGCAACCCGACATACACCTCCCCCTCCTTCAAAAGGTCAAAACAATCGTAAACTCCAACGAATATCCGCGAATCTGGTACATAAAACCGCATATTTGCTTTCATACTACGTAGCTGCATCATTTGCAGCTTCATAAGAAGAAACTGAAGACAGGGCTCTGTAATGTCCACGCCAGCCATCAGCATTTGGAGAATAAGCTTCCCGGAAGAACTATGAGATGCTCTACTGACCAACTGATAAAGATCTGCTTGGTGTCTGCAGCGGTCCACGGGCTCCAGAAACAGAAGCGTCTTTTGCAAATCTTGATAAACCAGATTGAGAAAGACATCATCCGGAACGCCCATCTCTGATAGTAGCACAATAATCTGCATATTTATCATCCCCTTTGACGGCTGCGCCACTCTGAGGATTTCTAGCGTCTGCTGGGTCTCAGTGGGATTAGGGATGCTGAACTTAACTTGAGACTTATGGAACAGGATGGTCCTGGGTGGCAGAAGAGCGTTTAGAATGAGCACTCCCTTTGTGCCGGCCCAGCGCATTTGCACTGCAGAAGGTACCTGAATCAAATTTGAAGCTGTCTTCAAATTTGGTTGGAGATGTGGTACAGTGTGTTCACTGTCCTCGTTAGTATCAGCGAATCCATTATCATAGTATGTTTCTGTATCCTTATGCAGTTGCTCGATCTTAAGCTTGTCCAGACAAAGGGCTATCTCGAGCATGAGATCGTAGCTTATCTCTCCTGCGCCATCAGTAAAAACGTAGCCATTATATTCCTTATCTGATACAATCTGCACATCCTCTTCCCTTACCTTTATCGTAGGTAAGGACTTACCAAAACATAGGCCTCTTCGTGTGCATATCTTGCAGGCCTGGACCTCCTTAATATCCCCGAGCCAATTTATTGCAAACTCGCGGAAGATAACAGCACGTGGACGCATAAACTTGTTCAGAATAGAGTCCAAATGGTCGATGCTGGGAAGAATTGGTGATACGTAAAACGTGTAAAGCTTGGAGCTCAGATTGGCGTAAAAGGACTGATAGTATTTAAAGTCTCTGATAAAAGCAGTAAAGCGCTGCATATATCTATACATTAATTCATAGTCTGGTGCCCTAATAAACCAGCACTGTTGCTCCTTGAGCTGTCCACTCCCTTGTGCATAGTAAACAAAGACTGAACCACCGAGATAAACACCAGTTGTCAATATATTATAGATTGCTCGTTTTAATACAGATGAATGGGACGAGCGTGCAAATCTCCTGTTGGTTAACGAAGGAAATCCGGCCCTAGCAATCGAGTGCTGTATTCTCTCTTCGATCATGACGGGCTTCTTATGTACCTTATGCCTTCGTTGAGCTGGTGATCCTGTGCGGTCAGGTAACTCAGCTCCATGTCTTCTGCTGTAGGGGCTCACAGATCTCTGCGGTGGTAACGAGGACGATGATCGTGGAACGGCAAACTCTACTCGTAAGAGGTGGCGCGAACCGAACTCACGAAGATGCCGAGAAGACATTTCAAGAATGGGTGTCTGGGGTAGAAGCAGCGCATAGACCCGCTCTTTTGTTGCAATTATGACTATGATAACTTTGAAGACTAAGGCACTGATATTTTTTGGGTTTGGGGCACCGAGAACAGACCTGAGGCGAAGAGGCGAGTGGATGTGGGGGCCAGACATGGTTGCAAAGTGATCGAGATGAGTAAATAAACCCAGCTCAAACAGATTGGAATGCGAAGCGTCTGTTCTGTCATCGGTATATACCGAGAAGACGCTACTATACGAGTCCTTGCTTACGGTGCTGGTATTGATGTAAATTAGAGCTTGTTTGTGCTCTCCTTCCAACTGTCCATTGTGTAGTACAACTAGGTCGTCAAGCACTTCTTGTGCATAGATGGGATCAACTTTATGACACTCTGTGACCAGGTAATTGTACGCAGCTAATAGTAGCGAAATCTCGTCTTCATCATTCTCTATTGCTGAGACTTGTAAATCGTACAATTGGATAATTATCCGCGATTGATCTAGCGCCCTAAATCCGGCTGAGTTGAGATGGAACTGGTCAAGTGCGTATCTCAGCGGAAATGATAGACTAAGCAGTGGAAAATCAAAGCCTCGTGGAGGAAAGCACCCCGATGGCGCAATGTATGGATATTGAGCATGTAGTTCGGACGCAGAGGGCATAAGCCCAGATTATCCTGTTTTGTCTTAAAAAATCTAGATAGAGCGAAGCGCATGAATGAGGATGACGGGCTATCGAGTCTAACGGTGCTTGTCCTATCTGATTTGAGCGGCGACGATCGCAAACTGACACTTCTATTAACAGAATTGATCAGGAGGCGGCAACTTATCGATTGCATCTTTGTCACCGGAAGCTTAACAAACGGAGACCCACGGCAGTTTAACAATACTGACTACATAGCTGAAGTTCTAGTGCGCTACAAAGTCGTCCTGCAGACACTCCGGCAGATCTCCCCATTAGTTTATTTTGTCCAGGGAGCCAATGACCCCGTGCTGACAATAAAAAAGCTATCATCTGGCACTCAAGCAGAGAGTATGGTATTAATGAGGTACCCAGATAATAACGAGTGGTGCATGGACGTCTCCTTCCAGGCAGTGAGACTCGCATCAAATCTGGTTATTGTTGGCTCTTCAGGGTCCAGCGCATCACTAGATTCGTGTGCCAGAGAAGCATATGATAATGGTGCCGACATTCTATGGTCAGATACAATGAAGCAGGAGCTGACTGACACAGACGACCAGAAAGAGACAACCCCGTCCTCCTCTTCTTCTTCCCCGACTTCATCTTCTACCAGTCTACTACAACGGCTTCTAAACTTTGAGCTCCAGGTTACACTGTTTGATGTCTTGCGATCAGCACTTCTGGAGTTGAACACAGTTCAACCGTCTTCAGAAGCATTTCTGCATAATATACCTGTGACTAACACAGTGCAATCTGTTCTAAAGGACGTAGACCCTAGGCTTTTCTACACGACACGGACGCCTGACGAACTCCGTGCTCTAATTACATATAAGCACAGCACAATGGCTGAACCGTTCAGACATAGGCATATGCCCAGCGGCTCCAACAGCTGCGTACAAAGGCAATCCCAGCATCCACCCTATCCTTTTGGCCCTTTCTTCTATCCTTATGTTCTTTATGAAGGCCTAAGTAACTTTAACTCCTACACAACTGACGCCCTGACACTGGCGATTCAGTATGCTCAATCATTCAATGATTATGTGGTAGACACATCTGCTGAGAGAGATTCATTTTTGACTTATAGCAGAAGATCTGCTGCGTGGATGAATACACACCTTCTACCCCAGCTTTATGAACCCCTGCCAGCAAAGCTTTCTCGCCTTAGTGATGTGTCTGGACAAGCGGCTCGAAGCCTTCGCCCCACGTTTTCTTCAGACACCACAACAGGGCGCGTCAATCTCTCCCTGCACTATTCTCTTGACATACTACAGGCGCATACTACTTTTCATGACGAACCAATGGCAATCTTCATTAAATTCCTTTTGAATCCCAGTTTGTTAAACCCTACAGAGAGCATGTACATGCGGATTTATGGGCCATTGTTCTGTCATAGCGTAGACTCTTTGCCAGGCAGCGCCTTCCAGAAGCTAGTAGCCTCATCACCTATTGAAGCAGATCATTTTGTGTCTTCCACCGCAGTGTATTCCGATGAGGGCACAGATATCTTATCCCTAGCAACGCCGGCCAATAATGCCATGGACGATATGCTCAAGAAAGAGTGGATGATGAAACACACTATTGTAGCTATTAGAGATGGAACTTCTCACGATTTGCATGATCTTTACAAGGAAACGTGTGATATCGTTGATGAATTCTCCTCATCAAGCGACGCATCTGCACACAGCACGTCAAAGTATATTCGCTCCATGTCCACGCATTACGTAAAGACTCTGTCGAACCCTTCTAGCACCACTGCTTCACTTGTATCTAGTTTTACAGACGAGGGTGCTGTGAGTACTGTAGATAGTAGTTCCTCTGCAAAACTTAGCTTCTCCCATTCGCCAGTACTAGCTCCCATCACTCTGCTGGCTAAACCTCGTTCCAACTTTGTCTCTCCGAGCAACGTACAGAACTATTCGTCCTACTTAAAGCCAAATAGAATAAAGGAGTCTCCACAAAGTCCCTCCAGCTGCCTACCAAAGTCACTATCTGTGCTCCCCAAGCTTGGCGAGTCTGCTCTATTCAAAAAAGAGTCTCAAACTAAAGATAAGGGCATGCGAGGCTGGCTTAAGTTAGCTCCAAATTTATATGATTATTTGCCAAAATCTTGGACAGATTGGTCCAACCTCATGCAATGCACGAGCAACGAATTGTCACAGCTCTATTCATTCAATGCGTCAAAGGATTCCGTAATTCTCTTAACACATCAGGGGCCAGCTGGATCGCCCACCAGCTATGAGTTCGATCGAGACAAAGGAGAGCTCCTCGAAACAGGGTCATATGGTTTGCGTGAGCTCCATTGTGGGAGGCTGAATGTCTTACTCCATGTCCATGGTCGCGCAAGAAGGCCTCTAGTACGACTTTATGAAGTAGATGATGTCATGGTATTCAACCCCGGTACATTCCGCGATGGGCTCTATGGTATATTGGAGCTCAAGAGAAAGGCCGGCATCTGGCAAGTGTCTTCAGCCTCAGTCCATAAGCTCATGGCAGAGATTGGGAGTGCTTGACAGCTACTCTAAGGCGCATTGCCTTTGTTGTCATACCAATGTCAAAAAAGTTCTTCTGAATTTAAAAATGCTCCCATCCGACTTCCATTCGGATCACTTCAATGAGCACGCAAATGCCGCGGCGATTGAGAGGATCTTGAGCTCTGCCTCCTCGCGCCCTGACGGGCTCCTCTATGAGTACGAGGCGTATGAGCTCTTCGAGCTAATCGGCATCAAGGTCCCCGAGTTCAGATACTTCCCTCTGCATTCGTCCCTGGCCTCCCAGATCAAGACCTTCATGAAGCCCAACCAGAAGTACGTCATCAAGTGCCACATCCCCGGGTGCCTCCACAAGACGGACATCGGCGGGATCATGCTCTTCAAGGACCGCTCGAACATCGAGGCTGACCTGGAGCCGTTTGTCAACAAGCTCAAGAGCGCCGGCCACAACCTCGAGGGTGTCATTGTTGTCGAGATGGCGAAGTTTTATGACAGTGGGATGTCAAACGGCGAGCTTCTGATCTCTGTCTTTGAGGACAGCAGTTTTGGCCCGTGTCTCTGCTTTGGCCTTGGCGGTACAGCCATAGAATACTATGGGGACGTTATGAAGCAGTCCATGTCCACCGTTTTCCTTCCGGTCTTCTTGAACCTCAAGGAGTCTAAGCCAGCTCTTGCAGCCATAGAGCGTCTTCCAGTCACACAGTTCTTGCTGGGCGAGGTCCGTGGGAGCAAGGCGCAGGTCAGGTCCTTCAAGGACATCGTGAGCCCCCTCGCTAACCTTGCTGAATGCGTCAGGTACTATTCGAGATTCAATCCCAAGTCTAGATATGTTGTTACGGAGTGCGAGATCAATCCCACGGTCGTTGAGAAGGGTACTGGCTCCCTTTTGGCCCTTGATGGCGTTGTCCGCGTCGCCGTTAATCCCAACTTCGGGAAGCCGGCCCGCGAGATCTCCCTGTACAAAGTTGCAAAGCCGCTTTACAAGATGGGCTATCTCTTCGCCCCGCGCTCTGTCTGCTTGGCGGGTGTTTCTACCAAGGTCGAGTACAACCCCATGACGGTTGTCTGCAAGAAGTTCCTCAATCTTCCTGATGAAATGAGACCCGAGATAGTTTGCATTCATCCCACAGCCAAGGAGATTTTTGGAAATAAGGTTTATCCGAGCATTTCAGCTATGATGGAGGACCGCAAGGCCTGTGGCCTCGGCAACGTCGATCTGACTGTCGTTGGTATTCCAGCTGCCTCTGCTGGAGCGATGATGCAGGAAATTATTGATCTGAATGCAACCAAGGCTGTCTTTGTCATGTCCGGCGGTTTTTCTGAGACGGAAGCGGGTAAGGAGAGCGAAGATGGACTCAAGAGGTCTCTAGCTGCATTCGGGAACGACACAGAGCGCCGCATGATCATCAACGGCCCGAATACTGTGGGCTATAAGTTCTCATTCGATGTACCCGATGCTGACACAATAGACAGATTGAAGGCGGAGGGGAACCATCTCGATGCGTTCAGACTGGAGTATCTTCACGACCCTGCCACCCATCTCGAGATCAACACCGTTTTCCTTGCTTCTTACAAGTCTTCTGGCCTTGAGCAAAATGGACGCCGCAACTGTGCGTTGATTGCCCAGTCCGGCGCATTCATGATCTCGCGCATTGGGGATCTTGCTAACCGTTGCAGGCCGCGCTGCTGCGTTTCTGTTGGAAACCAGCTCTGTCTCTCTGCGACTGACTGCTTGGAGTGGCTACTGGACGAGAACATTGCCAGGGATGCTGGCTGCACAGATGAAAAGCTTCTTTCTCTCGAGCGCTACAAGCCAATGATGAAGGTTATTGGCATCTACTCCGAGGGCTTGAACCCATTCGAAGGCATCCGCCTTATCTATCTGATTGCCAAGGCAAGGAGTCAGGGGAAGATCGTCATAATCTACAAGGCTGCGCGTACCGCTGAAGGCAGCTCTGCAGTTGCTGGCCATACAGCCGCGTTGGCAGGCAATTACAACGTCTTCAACGAGCTGGTCGACATGGCCGGCGGGTACAACGCCACCTCTGCAGACGACTTTGAGGATGCGTACTATACGGCTACGTGCATCGTGGATAGGCTAGGATCCCTGGATGCTGCTGTCCTAAGGCGCGAAAGGGCTGCGAAGGATAATCCGGCGCCGCCAGAGGTTGACTCTCATGGGCACAAGAAAGCAGCCCCGAATCCTTCTGCAACCTGGATCAGCGGGCAGTCCAACGCCGGCTACGAGAAATGTGCAATGGCAGATCACATGTTTGCTCTTTCAACGGTCAACTGCTCCCGCTACCTTTCACTTCCGCAGTTCGATGAGCCGTCGAAGCTGAAGATTGCCGAGCTTTTCAATAAGTATAAGGTCGGGTCAGTCGTTGACATTCAGGACATCCTGGACACGACCGCTATTCTTCCAGATCTTGCGTATGACGAGATTTCGCGCGCTCTTCTCTCCAGTCCCGCGGTGGACGCAGCCGTCATCGGGCTCATCTCCGAGACGCACGTCATTTGTACATTGGGCGGTGAGTATGGTGCTAAGTTCAATGAGGATTGCGTAGCGAATAAGGAGTCTGTTGTCAACAGGTATATTAACATTTGGCATGACCCTGCGCTCCAGAAGCCGTGGGTGTTCTGCAACGCTGGTGGTTGGAAGTATGACGAGCTGAAGGCTCACATGACAGCCTGCGGTCTTCCTGTTTTCCCTCAGGTGGATCGCGGCTCAAGGGCCCTGACTGGAATCATCAGGTGTTGGCGTGGGCGTGACTGCCTCTATACGCCTCACGATTGATTTTCCAGGTGTAAATAAGGGCATTAGTTTACATACCGAGGACGACAGGATTGGGAGGCGTTGGCTTTAGGTGACTTCGTTCTCCTCATACTGAACGATAGCAAAGCAAAGGATGTAGGATATTACACAGAGGATGAGGGTGCTCTGCTCCGAGACTGTCTTGGTAGTGCAACGAGGGGATCCGTACTTATAGATCTCATATATGATCTCTTCGACAGACCCGCTCAGAATCTGGAGGTAGACTAGAAACGTTGTTGAAAGGTACAAGCACGTACGGGGCTCCAGCTCGTGGCAAATCTGGGAAAGGACACTGCATAACATTTGATAGACCGACGAAGGGATGTGGGGGATGTGGAGGTGGCAGCTCTCCAAGTTGGTAATTGCCCTCAGGGCGCCTGGGTCCGCCCCTGGGGTGCACTGAAAACTGATGTAGACAGACGGTACCACCGTTGTCGCAATGTATAGGGCGTCATCGGCCGTGCACGGTTCCTCACAGAGGGAGAACAGGTTCTGAAGGTCTCTAGAGGTAAGCTTGTCATTACAGCGCGTCAGGTCCAACCCGTCTGTTAGAAGAGAAAGGAACTTGATAAAGTGCTTGAACGCTTGAATATGTGCTGCACCACTAATGTATCTTCTCAACGTAGTTAAGAAGCGCACCAGCTCAAAAATCTGGAGAGAGCTATTGCGGAAAACAGGCTTCTGAATGAGCTCTATCATTCCAAGGCATATGTTTCTAAGTGTGTCGGAGGAAAATGGAGGAATCGTCCCAGAGTCATTCTGAGACGTTGATGCAGACACAGACGATGATGAACCCAGGATTCTGAGGCTGTGGTACAAGTTCCACTGGAATGCAATGGAATCATATAGTCCAAGGAAGGTTCCCATTTTAGGTTTAGCATTAACAACGTACTTAGAAACGATCGTGCCAATGAAATTAGAGAAGTCAGTCAGTACCTGGGGGTTACGGCTAAAAGCGTCATCCACGACGTCCAGGCCATTATCGCGATAGATGTTGTACTTGTAGTTATACTGCTTTATCTGCACCAGTGTCCGATTAGGTATAGTCGCGAGAATACGCTCGTCAATCCTACCATTGATGGCCTTATGTCGCACAAACCTCAGATAAGCTGAGTGCTCCTCGTCGCTCCAGACCCGGCGAGGTGCGCGCTTCACTGGCTGCTTTCCCTGGTTACCAGACAGCATTGCAGCATCAGCGGCCGCGGCGCCCCGGTCTCTTTTCTTCATCTCCAACCGGCTTGGCTTGGAAATAGTAAACCCCGTTCTGTCGTTACCACTGTTGGCACAGTCCTCTGACAACAGCGCACCTTTCACTGCAGGATCAGAACCGGTAGCATCAATAACAGATTGCCTAAAAGGCTGGACAGGGACAGGAGCAGAAGTGGGGGCAGCCATCTCATCTAGTGTGGCCGCCTGCGGAAAGGACAGCACAGGTTGAAACGAAGGAACAGCCATGCCCCACGCTGGCACTGCAGCCTGAGAGGACCCCTCTACAGGAAACAGCGGGTACAATGGAGAAAGCCCGCCATTGGGGTTTGCTGAAAATCCAAACGGCGGCGCCAACACGGTCTGAGATAATACACATGCTTGCTGATCTATAGATGACGTGTTATCATGGAGCTGACACGTGCTCATTCAGCCAAGCAAGTTTTTTATTTTAGAACGTATTTATATTCATAGAGTTATTTGAATCACCAAAAGGTGCCATCATCCGCAACGGGTTTACTGACAGGTTTTGGAGAACACTGAGTGCATGATGAGATAAACGCCATAAATGTAAGTTAGCCCGTACTGTGAAGGGCTTTATTTATCGTTTTTAGAAATAATCTGTGAGATATTCAAGAAATACAAGCACCCTTCACTGTCGCCTGCAACAAGAATTGGCGCCGGAGATACCGGCAGAATGCAGAGTGCGGTCACCTCACCAACACTAGTTGTCAAGCTGACCATAGAACCTAAACCCTCATCCTTAGCCAAGAAGATTGCGCCCGATTGTGTTCCAATAAAAAGAGTGCTGTGTACTTCGTCATACAGCATTGCTAACACGTTTCCAACGAGTGGATCGATAGAAATGCTGACAGGGTCATTCAGCTCCAGACGTCTGATACCTCCCTGGCGTACATCACAGACATTCACACTGTATCTATAGCATGTATTCTTATAGGAGATAAATACCCACTTGCTACCGGCGCAGATACGTGGTTGGATGCCTAGCTCCCATGCCTCTATGTAATCTGTGAATTCACATTCATCCCTGGCACTATTTGCTGATTTGAATGGCTGCAAATGGACGACGTCGTGGGTTCCAGTCCCTACATCTATATTATATACTGATACTGTCCCTTGTTCTGTTATGGCGGCGACGGTTACGCATGTACACCCAAGGCAGCCTGGGCGTTTAGCAGGAGTGACATCTAGAAACACAGCTTCAACATAGCTTTCACCGTAGATTGGTTTGGCAGAATATATCTTTCTAAACAGAAATTGCGTTCCTGCTCTATGTGACTTATCGTAAGATGGCTTATAAACTTCCCAGAGCACCATGGTATCCTCTGTAACACGCCCAGCAATAGATAATGTCACAAGATAGGCGCCATCTGGACTCTGGCACAGCCCCATGCAGTTACTCCCAGGAAAGTTGCAGCACTCTGCAATTTCAGGGAACTGCGTTGTTCCATGGAGAAGTCTATCCTCTGACGAGGTGTTGTATCCTTCTGCAAGATCCAGAAAATGGGAAAACCTTCTCAGGTCGTCGAGAGCAAAGACTGGAGGTCGCACAAAGGAACTTGTCGCTACTTCTCTCTCTGTCCAGAGTGGTGAAACAGTGAGCGAAAGTTGTGCTGGCATCCCTGCTATGGGATTTGTCACAAATACATTGTCTGTATTGGACTTCGTAGATCCGCTCTCACTTTCGAAGGGACCTCGGAGCCATCCGGGCACAGTAATGATACGGAGGACGTTCTCGTCTCCAACCATTGCGAAGCTCTGTTGATTGCGAGGCTCTAGAGCCAGGATGTCAAAGATTGAGCAGCCATGAATGACACACCAACAAAGGGGGAGTGTTTCAAAGGAGACCAGGACGCGGAAATCAGAAGAAGACGCTGATAACACAAGGGTATTGTTCAAAGATGCTATAGAGCCTGCGGAATCAGTCATAAATAGGCTCTGTATCCGACTAATTCTTCCTGTGTGACTTTCTGGAATGTTATACCGAACAAACCTGCACTCCTGTACATCATTGCATCGAGAGTAGGCCACCAAGGCGCCGTCCCCAGTTATCCCAACGATATACTCTGTCGTGCCCGCAATCGAAACGAATCCCCGACCGATTTCTGTTTCTATCGTTCCAAGTACCTGAAGGTGCGTCGCGTCTATGTGGCCATCGCTTTTGGTTATTGTGTACATATTGATGATGCGATCGCTTCCACTTGTGCACAACAACGTAGGTGATAGTATAATAGAGCTCATCATTTGGCCACTGTGCAATGGTAAAGTTGTTAATGAATAAATGGTCAAGAGCTGTACGTCAACAAAGAGTAAACGAGGCTTTGAGTAGAGAAGCGTTACTAGAAGAAGGAAGCCCGTTCCATGCGAGGAGAGAGCATCACTCAGAAATTCTGAGGAGGTGTCTGCGGGGAGGGCCGATAAGCTTGTGACGGCACAGCGCGCCTCAGCACCAAGGCTCGCGTTTATTGCAGCAGTCTGAATGGGGGTAATGACTCGATTGGCAAGATCAAAAACATACGTGTAGAGAGCACCAGTAATGGTTCCAAAGGCAAACAGAACAGTACTTGTATGGGAGCTATTATCTAATATTGAAACTACGCAGGATTCTGCTATCTGTGGCCATGGAAGACCAATCTGGCCTTCCCGATTCGACCCTCCATACCGATATGTGATAGAGTAAGATTGCGTACTGATGAGTAGCACCAAGCAGCCTGTAAGATCTGTGATAGTTACGACAATGATGCTGTGGACAGCGCTGACCTGACACGAAATGGAAGTGATGGTACTGGATGTAACAACAACAGGTGCCATAGCAAGGTGAAGCATGGCACTGCCTTCTGTGACATGCAAACAACAGACCCCGATGGATCCATCACTAGCTCCGAACACTAAGTGTGTCCCATGGGACGCGATAGCAGTAAGCTTTGATGGGAATGCAACCACTCGCGTATGCGATGCCATAAAGGGTGGGACCATTGATCTCACAACAACTGATCCCCCAAGCACAAACACAAGCCAATCCCCGATAAGTTGATGACCGTTCCGAATCGCTCTGGGGGAGGCATTCATTCGAAGCATACTGGTTCCACCACTCTGCAAACCTACTAGGCCGTCCTCATCCTGTCTCTGTTGGCCCATATCTCAGCTCAATCTGTCTGCGTAACAAAAATGAAAAGGACATTTTAATAAAAGGACATTTTAATAAATAATGCAATCCATTTTAAGTGATGAGCGAGGACAGTGGTGGCCCAAGCCGTGCCTGTGCCATCAAGGTTTATTGCCGGATACGGCCCATCATCGACCAAGAGACAGCAGTTATAACTGGTGACTCCCGCAGCAGGACGCTTACTCTAACATCACCGGGGACTGCAACAAAGTGCTATCGCTTCGACCACGTCTTTGATAGCCACGCAACGCAAGCCGATGTGTTTGCGAAGGTTGCTAAGGACGTCATCCAGCGCGTGCTGTTGGGTTTTAATGGCGCTCTATTAGCCTATGGAGCAACCTTCAGCGGTAAGACATACACTGTGTCAGGCCCACATTACTCTTCATCAGAGCGTGGCCTTATTCCCCGGACAATCAGCTATTTGTTTCAATTCTTTGAAGAATCAAATTCCCCAACGTTTACGATTGAGAACTACTCTATTAGCATCTCTTTTGTTGAGATTTATATGGAGAAGCTGCGAGATTTGCTAGCAGCGCCTAGCGTTGCTGAAGGGGAGCCGTCACAGGACCTGCATATCTATTCGCTGCCTGTCTATTCACGCTCAAACTCTGCGTTACCGCCCACTGAGAGAACCCGAGTAGAGATAAGTGGATTGACAAAACTTCCCATAACATCCCCTCAGCAGGCGCAACAAGTATTAGAAAGAGCCAATTCAAACAAAGTCGTGGCCAGTAACAGAATTAACCAGCACTCATCTAGATCTCATACAATCTTAATTATAACCATTAACTACACATTCAGGACTACTGAGGCCCCCAACCTACTGCACCAGCGTAGTTCGAAGCTCCATATTGCAGACCTGGCCGGCTCTGAGTCTATACTCCGGACTCGGGCTGAAGGCGAGCGTCTCACTGAGTCAAAATACATCAATACATCCCTGCTGGCACTGGGTAAAATAATCAACCAGCTTTCAACTGACTGCAGCCACAAGCCTGCGGAGTACACCACGCTTTTAAGCAAAAACTCCTATGCCTTGCTTTCTCCTTGCAAGCACATTTCATACAGAGACTCTTTGCTGACCCGCATACTCCAGAACTGTCTGAGCGGTGATTCTATAACCGCGATTCTAGTACATTTCAATCCAGACCTGTACTCCTTACATGAGAGCCTATCTACACTTAAGTTTGCCACAAGAGCAGCACACGTGAGGACGTCGCCAATGCAATCGGAGTCTGTCCTCAGTGAAAACGTTGTGCCAGGCACTACAGCTTCTTCTGCTGACTCTTGCATTTCTACCGAGCAAGACCTGGATATTTATCAGCTGAGAACCACTAGTATCTATAAAGATTCTTCCACTGCGCTTTGTATTAGCGAGCTTCGGTCTCTTATCAAGACTCTTTATACCAGTGGTCAAGCTGCTATCTCTTCTAAACAACTTGCAATCCTAGCTTGCGCATTAGACAGCACCCTCAGTGACGAGGCTCTATGCTATGAAGTCGCTCGGTGCACAACTGGTCAGGAGGAATCCGTCAGCACCTTATCATCTTCGGTATCTGAAACACCCGTGCAAGATGTGCGTAAGAAACTTTCGTTTATCGTAGCAGATCCACAGGCTGAGGAAATCCAGCGTCTTCTGTCACTCAATATCAGGGAATATATTCCTACAGAGACATTTAATCGGACAGTCAAAGAGATAAACGCGTCCCTTTCAGAGCTGTACGAAAGGATTGAGAGTAGGGACCCTTCTACTTTTTGTACCATTCTTGCAAATATGAATGACGTCCTCAAAGCGTCCTACAAGTGGATTTGCATTGTTTCCGTTTTGCGAATCCGTGTAGGTGGAGAGACGCTTTTAGTACATGCGATCTCACACGATTTTCTGTCCGTTGTAGAACCCTTGCTTAGGGTGTCACCACCTCTGGCGACCGAGAAGGATCAAGACGGGTTCTTCCCGCTTCACAGATTGATGCGGATTGCACCGAAAACACTGGATGCACAGCTGTTCATTAAAACATTAACCACCTTATTCGAATACAGTCCAGAAAATGTTATACTAGAGCAAGCTCCCGACGGCAAGGATCTTGTGAGAGAATTTGTAGAAATCTGCTCTGTAATTGACGACGAGTTTGGGGCAGCAATCCTACGTGCCTTTGTAGCAGAAGAAGTTGATCTGGTGTGTTCTTCCTCAGTGGGTCGCAATGTGCCTGGAAGGGACTCTGATAGGCAGCATCTTATATCAATACTAATAGAGCTTGATATGCCGATGTGTGTAGGATGTGTCTTTCAGACAATGAAAGCCAAATTGGAACCCTTGGTGACTTCCCACTTGTCGGACCATGTGCTCAAATCATGCCTAGACTTGCTCAATAGCTGCTCGTTTGATGTCCTCCTGCAGTCCTGCTTCTTGCATGACAGAGGCGAGATCCTACAACACGTTCTCGACAGTTTGGGGACGCCCTATAGAATTGCACTCATAATCATGTCTGCTAAATGCATTGCACTATCGCTGACGGAGGGACGATACATCTGTACAGCCATTGCATTACGAATGTTATATGATCAGAACACAGGTACTAAGTCCAATGAACCAGAGTCTAACGAATCTTCGTATGCAGTTGCATTGAGAATATTCTTTTCGCAGGAGGTCCAATGTGATAAGAAAAGCATGTTTGCGTTTGCCAGGGGATTCTTGGACAAGTGTGCAGCGTATCCAATGCCAATACATGCTCATACTCAAAGAGGCTGTACGGCGCTCCTGGAACTCCTTGTAGAGGATTTTCCTGGCAAACGGAAGTTTACTTGCATTCAGCAGGTCTATGAAGTTCTGCTTGAGCTTCAACGATGTAGCGTTCCCAGTGTTGAGGAATATGAACAAATTCTTTGCGGCTGGGACAAGCTCTCACCCACTCTTGTTCGCCAGGAGAAGCTAGGTAACTATGACTTTTGTGAGCTATGCATCAGGACGCTGAACCCCCTGGCATTCGAGGTCATGGCGGCTAAGCTCCTCAACATCGATTCCGTTCTGGGTGCGCTTCAGCGATTTCAGTGTCTGTTTCCAGCAACAATGGAAAAGTGTCGCCAACTTGTGGGGAGTAGCGAGGACTGGGGAGTATTCTTTACTAAATTAAAAATGAAAAATGATCGCACCACAGACGATTGGCCCGGACCACGGTGCAACTAAGCAAAGATTGGGGGTTACTAGTATCAAGACTTCTATAGGGGAGCTATATGTGCAGCAGCATATAGACAGCGCGCTAGTGACCATCTCGGAGACGGGTAAAATCAGTCATGTGATTCGTGTTGTTTCTGTTGGATCTCAGCCGGAAACCACCATTCTATTTGGAAGCAGGTGCGAGACAGATCTTAGGCTCTTGGCCCGGGAGCTTTGGCGGAAGCTTGGCTGCGAGGTTATTCTTTGCATAGGTGTCCAGAAACGAGCGTATCCAGAGTTAAAGAAGATCCTTAATCTATAGCTAGCTTTTACTGTGAATTATTCAATTTTTCTAATGCCTAACGAATGCCCATCTGGAGCTTTCACGGTCAACCTGAAGCCATCGCAGAGCTTCGCTAAGCTCACTGAACGACAGCAGCAGTATGCTACGTTCCTCTCCCTCGCCGCCTTTGCTGGAGCCCCCGTCCTCTTCGATCAATGCTCCCAGCACACGCGCCGCATCCACGCGTTCCTTGCGGAGTACTTGAAGATCCACATAGAGGCGCCTGACAGGGGAGCCGCACTGAAGACTGTTGAAACTGCAGTTGGGGTAGATAACCGCGAAACACTCCAGTATCTGCACGACTACGCTGGACACTTTTACTTCAATTGCTCTGAGTATCTCGGTCTAGGGGATACGAAATTCATCCCACGCTGCACTAAGGAGAGCTTAGAAGTCGTGGTCAAGCTTCTGGGAGAGTCAACACACAAGGGAACAGGGCTCGTTGATGCTTTCTATACAGCGAGGGACGGAATGTACGATACAGCGCCCGAGCAGCTTTCGCTTGGCTTCCACCCAGCGGGATGCACAGCATACTACCAGCCGGCGGACTTCTCAGAGAGCGAGGCCAAGCAGATCAACGATCTGATGACGGCGAAGAAGATGATGCATGAAAACTCTCATGTGATACGCCACGACACCTGGTACGAGATCTCCCTCGCCTCCGTTGAGGTTGCAGAGAGGGGTGAGCCAATAGGAGTTTGCAACGGCAAGGAGGTTCACGTGACCCGCGGACGAGGGTCTGCAGAGCTGGCCAAGGCATGCTACTGGCTCAAGAAGGCGCGAGACTTCGCCGACAACGACTCGCAGAGGAAGATGCTTGATGCCCTCGTCGAGCACTACAGGACAGGGGACTGCGACCTCCACAAGAGATACTCGGAGCACTGGGTCCAGGATAAGGACGTCACTGTTGAAACGTACCAAGGCTTCGTGGAGACGTACCGCGACCCCAGCGGTGTTCGCGCCGAGTATGAGGCCTTCGTCGCATGTGTCGACCCCGATGTCTCCAAGGCCCTGCACAACTTGGTGGAGCGTGCCTCAGAGATACTCCCCCTTCTTCCTTACCCACGTGCCCTGGAGAGAGACAAGTTTATCCCGCCCGTCTACAACGCTATCAACATTCTATGTTTCCTTAATACATTTAGCCCAATAGGCATAAACATACCCAATTACGATGACACGCGTAGAGATATTGGCTTCAAAAACGTTACGCTCCACAATGTACTGATGAAAGCAGGCCCAGCAAGGATCCTCATTGACTTTGTTCCACAAGAACATAGAGAAGCATATAGCAAGGATCTCAGTACAGCGATGTTCTTAAACGTCGCACTCCACGAACTCTTCGGACATGGGACAACAAAGCTCCTACAGGAGAGCGATCTGCAGAACGGGATTTTGAATCCTCTAGATGAGAATGGAGGGAAGCTAACAACATGCTACAAGGATGGAGAGACGTACTCAAGCGTCTTTGGAGCAATGAGCAATGCCTTCGAGGAGTGCAAAGCAGAGACGACGTCAATGTGCCTCTGCACAGAGGAGATAGTACTGCGTATATTCAATATTGCTCCAATGCGTTTTAACACCATGAGACTTGCGCTAATGTACGAAATGATATGTCATGCCTTCACAAATCTTCCCCTCTACAATCCTGCCACTAACACCTGGCTCCAAGCACACGCACAAGGGCGTTTTTGCATACTCCAGGCCTGTCTGAAGTGGGCCCCTAACTCTATTAAGTTGGTGGAAGCGTGTGATTCGAACGGTAATCTGATGTCGCTACTGGTTCATATTATTGAATCAGAAATAAGCACTATAGTCAGTGCATGCAAAAAGCTATTATTACATATTGCAACCTACAAGGCTTCTGCTAACGTGGAGGCCGCTCAAAAGTTCTTCAAGGAAATGACTCATATGTCACCTGAATGGCTGAAGAGAAGGGAGTATGTTTGCAGCATCAAACGTCCAAGCGCACTGTATTGCGATTCGATGATCAAGACTGTCACACAACAGGATGGTGCATTGAGATACACACTTGCTGACACATGTGCGCTTGATGATCCCACACCATTGGATGTTGCTGTCGGGCTTTGTAACAACATCCTTGTTTCCTCTGCTAACTGACTATACAGTGTCTATATTCTCGAGCTTAATCAGCAACTGCTTGTGAATCATGTGGCTTCTTTTCAAAGCGCGGAGATACTCTAGTTGATCAGCTTTAGCTGTGACACCCTTCTCTGCCAGTACAGTACAGAGCTTGGCAAACAGGTCCCTGGTGCGCTGCTTGACTGCAGTGGCTATGTAGCCATCCGTATCTGAGTAAGCGGCGCTCACACTCATTAGAGTGCACAAGATATGACACTCAGATAGCTGTCTGATAATCTGATCTATTTCAGAAGAAAGGGTGAGTTGCGCAGACATCCTGCTGTACTCGAAGAATGCGTTAAGTGTCTGCTTTAGCAAGTGGATTATTCTATTGATGTATTCGTGCAAAATGGGGTCCGATGTCTCTAGGCCAACACCTAGTTGGAGAGACAGGATAGTCTCAAAGAGACAACCCATAGCGTAGGCCTCTGGCTGTGCAATCATGTCGATAAAAGATTGTGCATGATTTGTTTTCTTTCTAATACCATGACGGGAGTGGATTTGGTTGTACTTAAGCTTTAAGAGAACCTGGAAATCACCGTAAATAGCCTCCAGCTGGGCTTCAATCAACTCCAGAATGTAGGCTTTGATGGAGAGCATGCCCTCTCTGACAGCCACTCCGTGGCTAAGAAAGCGTTGCTCTAGGGCTTCTATAGCGTTGCTCAATAGAACCAGTGTTGGTATGTGCTGTTGTAGTAGAGGACACATTTCTATAGCGGAACGTATAAAGACCTCTATTGGGGTGAGTGTATGTAAAAGAATGGCGTGCTCAAACTCCTGGATAAATGCCTTTTCTGCCCCCGTGGATAGACTATCAAAAAGGGCGCTTTTCAGCTCTTTCCATTGCTGAAACACAGTGAGAAGTAGCTGCAGAAATACAAACTCTAGGGGGACTTGCCGATGGACACGTTTCTTGGATCCTGATGAGGCAAATAGAGCCATGTCGCTAGATTGGGTGCCATCTATGTTTGTAGTCTTTATGAGCTTGGATAGATTGATGGTATTCCAGTGTCTGAGCTTCTCCACAATCAGACTCCTGTCTATAAAGAATCTGTATCCGTAAAATACAGGTCCAAGCAACGCTGGAGCCAGGTTGAACTTGGCTAGCTTTCTATCCATGGCATACAGATACTCCCCAAACCTGTCATAATATCTCGTTGCCGCCATGGTAAGTAATACTTTATCACAGTCTGGATTGAAATTGAGGGTGCGTGCCTTCCATGTCCAGCACTCTTCCGATTGAATTTCTAATCGTTTCATGATCAAGTAAGTTAGGTGCGAGGACTCTGAGTATGGTCGCTGCTCCCCATCCATGCACAGATTGCAGAAGGGCTCAAACACAGAGAATAGGGTGATAGGTGGGAGCTTCCATTGCTGCTCTCTCGGTGCACTGGACAGTATGCTCTGAAATCCTGACTTCAGTATGGACAAGTAGCCCTGCTTCTTTGCCTTCCGTTCCAGTGCGTGCAATAGTTCTGCAAGGCTCAAGGATAGATCGGAGGGCTGTGGTGTGAGGGTTAATTGAAGTCTAGTGGAGTAAATCTGATTTTCGTTACATTCTAAATCATTAGTAGTGAAGCTGGAATCTGGGTAAAGTTGGCGGGCCACTGAGTTCGCTCTACTTCTTTCCAACGATTGAGGCGAGCTAGCACGAGACTTCACAGCAGGTGTTTGCACGGTTGACTGCGCTCGACTAACCCGTGCGCTTTCTGTCAGAGTTTGAGAACATCGTGCAGACCTGGCTGCTCGTCTACTCATCGCTCGCCGAGCCTGTGATGAAGCCCTGTGTTTGGTAATACAGGTCTGACAGAACCGCTCTTCGAGCTCTTTAAACGAATAGAATTCAATCCCAGTAAAATCACAATGGATTGATGGATTGTTTGAGATTGCTCCCATCTGATGCACGCTCTCCTCAGCGCTGCCTAGCAGAAAGGCAGAAATAACCATCCCCAAAATCCACCGAAATGTCGAGCAGGTTTGGAATAGTATCAAGAACCATCTGCTCTGGACGCTGTGGCTTCTGATCCGATGCAAATACTCGGATAAAGACTGCTGAGATTTAAACAGCGAGGTATGGCGCTCTAGAGAAGAACCATGCCGAGCTCTGTGATTGGTCTGAAAAATCCCCAGAGGAATCTGACATGATTCCACAAAGGAGTGTAGAAAGTCGACAGCAACGGGCCAGAGGAACGACGTGTCATCCAAAATCTCGTCTATTTCCTTAGACAAAGTCGAGAAAAGTATGTTTGCAAGCACGGGAGGCATGTACTCATTGTCTGCTTTCAAAGGAACAGTCAGATCGCACTTTTCGTTGAGTAGAAGATACGCATAGAATGACCTAGGTGATTGCGTCTGTGCATCGACAACAGTGTCGAGCAGTGAAAAGGAATCCAGGCTGTCTTTAATGGTAGGTTCGACTAGATTCAAGAGCTCTTCTGCTGCCTGACGAACAGACGTCAGCATTTTTTCCATGCCCTCGTAACCAAGGGGTCCAATGGGTAGCAAAGGTCGAGTTTACTTATCACAACTTTCTAGAAGCCCCTGTAAATGTAGAGTCTCCTCCGTGCGATGCTCCCGCTTTGTACGAATCATTGAGAAGCTTTAAGATACTGTCGCATTGACTAGGATGGCCAGAATATTTCAAAGCTCCCGATCCATCATAAATAAATGCATGAGGGATGCCGTTAATGTTCTCCCGGGATGCTAGTGCCTTGACGTCGCCCGACGAATCTACTGCAAGGTTGTAGTCCTTTGTAGCTGGAATCTTCGAGGCGAAACTTCTAACTGTCGCCTCGTCTTCATCAGAAACGCTGAGAATGTATACATTCTTATACTTCTTAGCCATTTTGGAGAGATGAGGAATCATCGCGCGGCAAGGGGGGCACCACGTGGCAAACTTTTCGATCATAATGGGTTGGCCATATTGGTACTCAGATACTTTGTTGATGTACGTCAATTTTTGCAGGTTGACAGGAAGCCGAGCAGAGGCCATCGGATCAAAGGTTCCTATTTTTTTCTTGGACGGACTCGACTGTGCTCCTGTAGCCCCATCATGATTGCTTCCCAAAGCTGGCTTCTTGCCCATCACAAAAGCATAGATCACCGCGTAGATCCTGAGGACAAAGGCCTTGATGGCATCGACGAGCCAATGCCCCATCTCAAGCTTTTATTGATTTTTTGAAAGGAATGGCAAGCGGATAAAGCAGGGCCTTTGGTGCATGTACTTTTGGGATGCCCAATAAGGTTCTCAGCGGTACATATTGGAGAGACTAGCAAATTGTATTTCCATCAGCTCCTCCTCTGCTACTTCCGTCTCCAGTGCCACAAGCAACGCACTCTTTCTTTCACTAACAGATGTGACTATGTTTTTGCGCACGTGCTGAAGAAGGTTGGCTTCGAAGTCCGTTCGTGGGCCTCGCGTGGCCATTTCTAACTGCTCTTTCAATGACTCCAGCATTCTAACTACTGTTTCATGTGTCTCCTTGGCAATTATATACCTCAAGCGAAATGCATCGCAGAGAGCAAAAAGGTCCTTAGCCACCATACACCTCTGTACCCCATCCTCAAGAGACAGGCCTCTTGCAGTGATAAAGGTATCCCCTGACTGCTTCTCCTGCTCCTTGCGATGCATTATTGACAAGGAGGAAGAGGCGTTCTCTACGTTATTTGTTGGCTCAGGTTCGACTGCCTTGACGTGCGTGGAGAGGGACTGCGAAAGCGCATTCAACACACCCACACTCAGCCGAGTTGCCTGAGATGGGACTATTGCGCAGATCTTTGTACACGGAGTAAGGGAGTATGGAGTAAGGGGTCCGTTGCGAGATATCCGCTTGAGACGGTATATCGTGCAGGCCGAAGACGGAATACCGGTCTCCCTTTCTGTCCTCTTCTTAAGCTCAGCCACTGTCAACGGCCTGTTGGCCTCGATGGAGCTTATTCCAAGGAACGTCTCAATCATTTATTTGGATCGTCGATAGGTTAGAATGGTCAGACGTGGGAAACAGGCCATAATATACCAATAGTAGGTATTCGAAGTACATAAGGTGCTGAGCCCACATATCCTTTGTGATGATCAGCTCTTCAATAGACGCAGAGTTTCCTTCATAAAGCTGTGCAAAGCGTTGCCCTCTTAGATCGAATACCCCCTTGCCTGCACATAAGTTATTAATATCAGCAAGCGATCGCGGGCACGGGGGCGAAGCTTGTGCATGCAGAAGCTCGAGAATCAAGAGAGATCCCGGGGTATGGAGGGTGAGGGTCTTCTCAAACGACGGTCTGGATAGCTTGTTAATATACAGCTGCAGAAGATCCTCGTCAGACAACTCATGCAAGAGCGATTGAGAGGATGCACTTACGCCTCCACTGTATTCTGGCAGTCTCGCGGAGTCATTAGTATACTCTAACATAGTCATTAGTCTATCAACCAATCCTCTTTTTTGTATTTCATCACGCAAGGATGCACGCCACAGTGTGGTCTGGATGGCGCTCAAAGATAAGCGGCAAACCACATCGCACTCAAGAGCGACTTGATATGAATACATCCCCAGCTCCCTAGACAGCGGCAAAGACACTGTTGGTGGGGCTCCAAAGCCATAAACCCGTACCCTATCCCCGAGTAGTGGCCGGAAGAAGTAGCCCAATAAGGCGGCTACTCCGGCGCCCAAGCTGTGGCCGGTAAAAATAAAGGTATATGGCCAGTCTGCTGTATCGTTCAAGATGCTCTCATTTCGGAAGTAAGTAGTGAAGCTGTGCCGGTCCTTTACGATTGAAAACAGCTGTTCAATATATGGTTTGATTGTATAGAAGAGGCTGCTGCTTGCTAGGTAGATTCCCTGATGTGCATACATCCCATTCTCCATGCTCTTGTCGGTATAATCTACTATGTGATCCTTGAATAGCTTGTTACGGAGCCTTTTGGGTATTTTTCGATTGCAGGTGGATACAGACGTGGTTTTGTTCGTCGAGATTGCAGATTGACTACTAATTGATGGATACAAACAACTGCATATCAGGTCATCATAGGCGGGTGGTGGTCGCGTCACTCGAGTATATCCTACTGTAAGATCGACCTTTATGTCACCAAGAGACATTGTCCCCCGGACCGCAACAACCACTTCGCGCCTGTATGGATCTACATATAGGCAATGATGAGTTTCGAAGGCCTGGTTTGTCACGTAAAACAAAAGTATCTGGTCAGCTGTTACTCCCATTTCTGTTATAAAAGCATATAGATCGTTGTCGCACTCCGCCAAGTACTCACTGACTTGGTGATGTGTTGCTGTATTTATGTAATCCATACTGAAGGCTCTATGAAGCCTTTCGGTACTCAGAGGCCAATCCTGGGGGCAGCCGTGGATGTATTCTGACTGAGTACTGGATTGACAGTGGGTCTTCTCGCGTGCATTGCTACTGCCATGCCAATCATAACGTATACCACATGCACGCCCACTGTTGCCTATAAACTCATGATCCTGGATATTGGGGTCTTCTACTGCATGAATTATCTGCTCACTGTCGGCTTGGGCATGCTCTGTATGCTTCTTGTTGTTTGTAGCCGTCAGTCGTTTCCTTTCTATATCTAATATTCGTTGGTGATCATCTATATTGAGCTCCATTGTAAGTCTTCGAGTGCAGCTTGGAGTAGCTGGAAGAAAATCCTCCAGGCTTTCTTCCTTCAGCTCACTTTCCGCCCAGTAGTCTACAGACGGATATATGGTTCTGCCACACTTACTTGTCATCCTCTCTATTGTTGGTGCGGCGCAAACTGCAGATTGTAGGAGACGCCAACCAATCAATCTCAGTCTAGTGCGAGTATTATATGCTGGTATGTAATTCCTACGGTACCCTAGATTATACTTTGTACCTACGCACCCGTACATGGCGAACGACACTCTACAGAAATGCAGGAGGGTCGATAGAAAGTAAATATCATCGATGCGTGAATGTGGAGAGTTGCTCAAAGGCTTACCTCTTAATTGCTCCATATCTCTGGCCAGCTTACTTAAAGCCAGACACGTGCTCAGGTGTATCTCCAGATTTCCGTGAACCGCGTTATTAATGAATGAGGCTAGCATATGATAAACGTCGGTGAAGGATATTCCAAGATGGAGCATTGTCCACTGATCTACAGTTCGTCAACTTAGTTTGCTCAAAGATTTATAAAAACTGTCTTCTCTCTTCGCGCTGTTGAGGTGGTGAGCTGAAGTTAACGGGGTGATACGGATTTATCTTAGGAAGTGTATGCTTCATAGCGAAGCATTGGCTCCCCAGTTGGGTTTGGTTTAATAGGATTTACGATAGACTCATGAAAGGCCTTGAGACATGTACTCTCGAGAAAGCTAAAATATTTTGTAGGAGGTAAACAGGTAGGATAAGATGCACTTTCTGAGACAGTTTACACGGTCTGTATGGCTTGTAAGAACAAGAAAAACGTGGAATTCGTCTAAGAATAAACAACAGCTATGATTTCGCTTTCCCTTAGGCTTGGGTTGATCGTAGCTGCTTGTGTCACTCCTGCGACGAGAAGCCCACAGTCTGGAGATTGTTTAATAGGCAAGTGTACAGTCTTAGACGGGCAATATTGCGCCGAGTGTGCAATCCCCGGAGAGGTGCCCATCAACGGGGTATGCATCCCCCTCACTGATCCCAGGGCAGTGGCATCTGGCTGCGGAGGCAGTGCAGAGGCTCCGCTGAGTACATCCGCCAGGAGGTGCGAATTTTGCCGCGGCGGAAGCTACTTTCTCCACGAGGGAGGGTGCTATAACGTGCTCTATAGCCCCGGAAACCGCATATGCAGAACTGCTACATCAGGATACTGCACGTTGTGTGTAGATGGATTCTTTCTAGACACAACATCCAGCATTCACCAGTGCAAGCCTTGCCACTCCACATGTGCCACGTGCACAAGCGGCACTGCTCAGTCCTGCCTCAGTTGCCGGTCAGATCGGTTTCTCAAGACCAACGAATGTAAGGAGTGCTCTGCTGCAGATGGTGGAGTAACAGCTTGTGCACAGTGCTCTCAAAACTCCGACGAGATCACTTGCACTCTGTGTAAAGAAAAGTACTTCGTTAAAGAGGGTAAGTGCACCGCTTGTGCTGCCAACTGTGCCACATGCACAGGCGAAAGACCAGAGGATTGTAGTGTATGCGTGAGCAAGTACTCGTACGACCTTACTGCCAAAAGCTGTACGCAGACATGTGATGAGCACGATAGCCAGGCAACCAAATGCAAAACAAGCATGTGCACCGCGCTGAATAACAGATACTGCTCTCAGTGCGCTAGCAGTAGCGACCTTCTTATTGATGGGAAATGCGTCTCTGCAGATGACAAGAAGATCTGCACCCCATTCGATCCCCCCAACGGCACCTGTAGTACCTGTGCCAAGGGGCATTTGCTCTTTCAGGGAGGCTGCTATAGCGTAGCAGAACCTCTGGGGCAGGAGGTGTGTGCAGAGACCTCCGAGGTCCAGGAGCGTACGGTCTGTGTCCGATGTGCGCAGTCGGGCTTCGTGCCTGTCTCAGGGGTCTGTTTGAGGTACGACGCGCAAGAGGTGGCAGCAGTGGGCTGTGTGACGTCCCGGGGCTCTGCGGTCACACCCACAGACACGACATGTGCAAGTTGTGGAGCGAAAGCTTTCCTCTACAAAGGTGGCTGCTACTCAAACGAGACGTCGCCCGGGAACGTCATATGCGACGAGCTGGACGGCACAGGTGGCTGCAAAGTGTGCAGTAACAAGTACTACCGCAGTGGCAGCACGTGCGCACCATGCCACCAGTCCTGTGAAACGTGCAGTAGCGGTGCTGCCGACAGCTGCCTGTCCTGCAAAAAGGATGTCTACTTTGAGGTTTTCAGCGGGGGGCGCGGCTATTGCAAGCCCTGCAACGATCCGGTGGCCACCATCACGATCGTAGGGGTCGCAAATTGCGAAAGGTGCAGCCCCAAGCCCAGCGGGACCATGCCTATCTGCACAAAGTGCACCACCGGGCATGTCCTCAAGGGCAACAGCTGTGTGCAGGTTTGTCATGAAGGGGCTGAGGGGGCGGGACAGTGCAAAACGGGACACTGCAATACCATTTCCAACACTTATTGTTCAGAGTGCGCCACATCTACAGAATGTCCTGTTGACGGCATATGCACAGCAACCCTAGATGGGCACAGTGCACAAGACGGCGCCTGCACATCCTGCGCATCGGGGTACTTTCTATACAACGGGGGATGCTACCGAAAGGGTGTCATGCCTGGCATGCTTATCTGCAAAGATGAAGACGACAGCACCAGCACCTGTTCCAAGTGCGAAGATGGATACATGTCATCGGGCAACGGATGCAAGGTCTGCGAGGTTAGCAACTGCCGGGCCTGCTCCGGAGATGCCGCCTCCTGCACCAGCTGCAACTCGGGATACTTCCTCAAGGACAACATAAAGGGGTCGAAGGTCTGCGAAAAGGTCTGCGAGGAGGGCATCGGCCCAGGGAAGTGTATCTACGGAGGATGCACGGTTCGAGACAACACCTTTTGCAGCAGATGCAGCGAGGCAGACGAAGTCCCCATAGATGGAGTTTGCTCGTTGCCAGAAAAACGGGCCCGCATATGTCTGAGTGCCTCTTCGGGAGCATGCCTTCGCTGCGCCGCAACCCACCTGCTGTACTACGGCGGGTGCTATAAGATTACCCAGCCAGTGATCGAGATCTGCAAACAAGATAGTCAGATAGTAGAAAAGGACACTGCCTATTGCAAAGCATGTAGTGATGCGGGCGAGTACCCTGTCGATGGGTCATGCACAGCAGAGCTTGACGGAAATACGTGCACAAGCAGTAAGTGCACTGCATGCGGGTCCGGCTACTTTATGCACAGGGGAATATGCATGCGGCAGGAATCACACTCAGATATCTGTGCCAGGGTCGGGGCTGGGGTCTGTGAGGAGTGTGGCAAATCGTACTTCAAGAACCCGGTGGCTAGCACGGCGATAGACTCATGCATTGCGTGCAGCGATACAGCTGGAAGCAACGGATATACTGGAATAGATCACTGCGATACATGCCTGCCTCCTAAAGCAGCAGGACCGGCTACCTGTACAGACTGCGCAGATAGGTACATCTTGAACGAGCAGAATCGATGCGAAGAATCCTGTCCAGAAGTAGAGGAGAGCAGCAAGGCGACAGGAAAGTGTTTGAAGGGCTACTGCAACGTGCTCAACGGGAAGTATTGTTCCAGGTGTTCGCTAGAGTCAGATTATCTCGTGGATGGAAGGTGTACCTCCACCAATAGTAATGTTTGCACACCGCACACACAACAAAATGGTATGTGTGCGTCGTGTGCGATGACCCACATCCTTTACATGGGCGGGTGCTACAATCCAGCTGCGCCTCCCGGGAGTAAAGCGTGCGCTAGGCATAACCTGATAGGCAACACGCTATACTGCTTCCAGTGCGGAGTCGTGACAGACCTTCTGGTCGATGGACACTGCCTTGCGCCCGGCAGTACAGAAGCTGCGGTGTGCACTCTGCACCGCATCCCCACTGGCACGTGCTACTATTGCAGCAGCGACTACTTCCTGATGCTTGGGAGCTGCGTCTCGGCAGAAAGGGCTCCTGGAAACACGGTTTGCAAAGACCTTGGAGTGCATGACGGCATTTGCAGCACCTGCAAGGATGGATACTACGCGCCCCCCGACCGCTCAAGTGTCAGCGACTCGTGTGTTCCGTGCACAGAGAACAGCGACACGCTGAAGGGCATACCCCACTGCAAGAGCTGCAAGGTTTCCAACGGACTCCTGGTCTGTGTTGCCTGCGAGCAGTTCTACAGACCAATGAACGGGGGAACGGAGTGCGTGCAAACGTGCATTGAGGCAGAGGCAGACCCCAAGGAGCACAGGTGCAGAAAGGACAAGTGTGATGTCCTGGGCACGTTCTACTGCTCCCAGTGCGCTGCTGATGCCGAGGGCCCAGTCAACGGCGTGTGTGCTTCAGTGGCCGCAGGCGTGTGCATACAATATAAACAAGCTAATGGCACCTGCAAATACTGCACCCACGGATACATCAAGTACAAGGGTGGCTGCTATGAAGCGGGGTCGTTCGAGGCGGGGGACATCTGCGACGCCCAGGATGTCGTGACCTCGGGTGCAGGGTCGTTTTGTGCAAAGTGTAAGCAGAAGGATGAGGTGCCCGTTGATGGGGAATGCAAGGTCTCGGATGACTGCACCGTCAAGGGAGATGGCATCTGCAGGTCGTGCAAACAGGGTGTTAAGTCATTCCAGATAACCAAGGATGGAAGTCCTGCAACGGTTGCATGCTTTACTAAGTGTCCGGATGGGATGTATGAGTCTGCTGAGTTCTGTCAGCTGTGCGATAAGAGCTGCAAGACGTGTCAAGATAGTGCAGCAAAATGCACGGGATGCGCAGACGGCTTCTATCTTGCGGCCGGAAAGTGTGTTGCTTGCAGCGTGCTCCACTGCTTGACGTGCAATGCGGCAAATACCTGCGCCTCTTGCCAGGATGGGTATTATGCCAGTGGGAACTCGTGTGTTGCATGCACACCCGGGTGTAAGAAGTGCGATAGTACTGGGTGTAAGGTCTGCAAGGATAGATTTGCACTGAGGAATAACATATGTATTGAGGAATGCCCCGTTGGATTGCTTTCCACGTCCTGTGCTGCAGGATACTGCAATGTCAACGGCACGCTCGCATGCAGCCGCTGTGCGCTATTAAACAGCGTTATCATCGACGGAAAGTGCAAAGCGAATGACGACGCTTGCATCCGTACAACCCCATCCAGCGGGACGTGTGCGGCTTGCAAGGACACACACCTCCTCTACTATGGGGGCTGCTATGCTAAAGGCGCAGCAGCTGGGACTGCCATATGTGACAGCCAGCACCAGGCTACGCTGGGCCCGTACACGATCTGCAAGCAATGCAAGCGAGACGGGGAAGTCCCGATCGACGGCTCGTGCGTTGCATTGGCTAACACTAGGGCAATCAGATCGCAATGTGTCGCTGCCACACCAAGCCCCACGTCGTGCACACGCTGCGGGCCAAGGTTCTTCCTGCACGCCGGGGGGTGCTACGAGATAGGACGCTCGCCTGGAACGGTGCTCTGTGCGGTGGCCGTCGACTCAGCAGTTGCAGGAGTGTGCACATCGTGTGCCTCCGGGTACTACAGCACAGGCCTACTCGATCCCACAAAGGAGTCCTGCATCCTATGTAATGATACAGGTGCAACAAATGGATACACGGGCATTGACGGCTGCACAGAGTGCTATCCAAGCGAGACACCAAAGAGGGTCATCTGCACGCGATGCAAGGACAAGCACATTCCTAGCGAGGACGGCTCGCGGTGTATCCAAAGCTGCAACGACAGTAGATCAGAGTCTGGTAACTGTAAGGCTGGCAGCTGTACGGCGATGGGCTCGCTGTACTGTTCCAGGTGTGCGCTGGATGACGAGTGGCCGATCAACGGGGCTTGCACGGGGCGTGATACGGACTATGTTTGCGAGAAGGGGAAGGGCGTCTGCACAGGGTGCCTACGCGGATACATGCTCTACATGGGCGGGTGCTATGACCCTGCCGCGATTCCCGGGTCTGGCATTTGTAGGGAGCTTCTGACAGTCGGAGGGCGCACATATTGCAAGCAGTGCAATCTTGCAGGAGCGTTTCCAATAAATGGCCTGTGTACAAAGGATGTGCCAGATGGTGTCTCGTGCTCCAGCGGTTTATGCGTCATATGTCCCGAGAACTACTTCTTCCACGAGGGAGGCTGCTATGATATCACGACTACTCCTGGAAGTGGGATTTGCGAAGTCCTTGGAACAGGCCGCGATGCCGGGACCTGTCGGCGGTGCAGACCCGGCTACCGTCACAACAAGGAGACGCTGACGTGCATGTCCTGCGCCGTCTCCAACTGCGCCAGCTGCGAGATAGACGTGAAGTACTGCACAGAATGCATTCAGCCCTACACGCTGACAGGCGTCGGGGCCGGGGCATACTGCACGAAGCCCTGCAAAAGAGTGGGGCAGGACGCTTGCAGTTGGGGCTCCTGCACAATAATGGACGGGTCTCTGTGCTCGCAGTGCGCGTCGAGTGATTACGTGCCGATCGACGGCGTCTGCACACTCTATCCTGGAGATGCTCGCTCACTGGCCGGTCCATGCGTAAAGGACGCCACGAAGGGCCGCTGCACCGCGTGCCGAGGGAGCTACTTCCTCTACCAGGGGGGCTGCTACTCCGCAGGCGAGTACCCCGGTACGGGCATCTGCGATGAGCGCGATGCAACAGTCGTCGACGGCCAGGTCGTCTGCGGGAGCTGCCTGATCGACGGAGAGGTTCCTCTGGATGGCACGTGCGCAGAGCCGAAGGAGGGACTTATCTGCAGCAAGGGCGTGTGCTCGCACTGCGGAGACGGGATGTTCCTCTTCGAGGGCGCCTGCTACACAAAGGGAAGGGCGCCGGGGACGAGCATTTGTGGAGACACCACGGAGTCGACGTCCGGGTGCGCTGCATGCGAGGCAGGCTTTTCCAAGACAAACAAGGGCTGCGTGCGCTGCTCCGATCCCAACTGCGGCGCGTGCGTAGACGACCCCAATACGTGCACCGCTTGCAGGGCCGGATACTATCTCCAGAGCACGTCCTGCATTGCGTGCCACCCGGCGTGCAAGACGTGCGATGGTATGGGGGCTGATAAATGCAAAGAGTGCGCCGAGGGATACTTTGGCACGTTCGCCACGCCTGGCCTGGGAGCCTGTCTTGCCTGCTCGGACACGTCTGGCAAGGACAGCTGGGTGGGAGTGAGTGGCTGCAGGCTCTGTGAGGCTCCGAAGGTAGCGGGCCCCGCACTGTGCAAGGACTGTCTCCCGGGCTACAAGGCGCTCTCGACCGGGACAGAGGTGACCTGCCATGCAGTCTGTCCAATGACGTACTACGAGGCCGCTGACAGCTGCATCCCGTGCGCGATCGACAACTGTGCAACGTGTACAAGCACGAGATGCACCAGCTGCGTCCCAGAGCACATCTGGAACGGCGAAGAGTGCGTCCCCAAGATCTGCCCTCCGCAGTGCCTCTGTAGGGAGCAAAGTATAGCGTGCATAGGATGCAACGAGAACGCCGTTGAGGTCAGGCCGACCCACTCCAGCGCCAGCAGGTGCCTGCTGTGCAACGACGCGGGGGCAGGCGGAGGATGGACAGGGGTCGACGGCTGCCAGAGGTGCCGCCTCGCTGATCGCGTGGGCCCGGTCGTCTGCCTGGCGTGCGAGAGTGGACGCAAGGCGCTGACTCTGGACGGGATGCTCCTGTGCCCCCGCGAATGTCCGACAGAGAGCTTCTGGACAAGCGGCAGGGAATGCATCCCCTGCGCGCTTGGTTGCCTCCGCTGCACATCTGCTACTACATGCAGCGCGTGCAGCCAGGGATACTACTCGACGCAAAGCTCTGTCTCTGCTCCGTCCGATTGCCGCCCGTGCGATGATGTGACAAGCCAGAACGGTTTCACGGGAATTCCACACTGTGCCGTGTGCGCGGCAGACCGGGCAAGGGCGGGGGTCACGTGCCACGCCTGCGCAGAGGGCTACGGGCTCTCCGGGGGCTCGTGCAGCCCGTGCACCGCGGCCGGTTGCGCCCGTTGCGACGGGGGTGTCTGCACCTCCTGCAAGAGGGGCTGGCACCTGGCGGGCGACCGCTGCCTGGCATGCCCCTCTCCGTGCGCCGCCTGCTCGTCGGCAGCCAGCTGTCTGGCCTGTGCCGACGGGTACTTCCAGGCGACGCTCCTCGGAGGCCCCCGAGACTGTGTGCCCTGCGACCAGACGGCACCCCAGGGGCTTCAGATGGCAGGCATCCACGGGTGCGGGCTCTGCCAGGCGCAGGCAGGGTCAGGCGCCGTCCTCTGCCTCCGTTGTGCGAACGGAAACCTCCCCCTGGAGAACTACTGCGGAGGCTCGTCGGTCAAGCGCCGCCTCGGCCCGGGCGCGATCACAGGGATCACCCTTGGCGTGGCCGTTCTTGTAGGCGGGGCCATTGGCCTTGCACTCGGCCTGACAGTGTGCAAGCGCGGGTGCGCAGGCAGTACAGGTGAAGGATTACGGCCACTTTACGCATAGTAAATGGTCCTATTCTCCTCGTGACGTTACAAAAACGAAATAGTTCTGGGGGAAATTTACTTACACTAAGGCGTCCACAAGAGCTCAGCGCGCTTAACATACATGTACACACAGAGGTCATTGCACAAAAGGTATGTTGTACTTGTGAATGCCATACTCTCTTCACCACAGCCTTGGAGCATACGGCGGCGAGCTACAGCTCTTTTATGGGAATATCGCCTGGGGTTTAAACGTACAAGAAACATGCTTCTTCAGTTCATGCATCATCTGGGCTCGGTTCAGGATAACACTGACACACTTTTGAATATTTTTGTCGCTACCAAGTTTATTGGACATCCAGCCCTTTCACAACTATCTGATCTGGTAAAGAGGTTGTTTCTGAAGTCTAATAGAGAGGATTGGTCTGCTATAGAATCGGCCGTGCTTACTCTTCTATTACTATCACTCTATCAAGGACAGGATTCAAAATCATGCAATTCTCCTACATCGATCTGTACCCTTCAACCTCATAGAGACACTCCTTCTTTACTTACATCCATTTTAGGAAATTATCAAAGCCCCAATCAGCAACTGCTCAAGAAGCACTTCTCAGCTATTAGCAAAAGCATGTCGGTTCTGAATCCTTGCACACAGAATGACTCTCTTTGTATTTCAAGGAAAGCTTCTGGTTCGACTGGAGAATTACTATGCTTTAGCTTTCAGCCGGCAGCTTTCACTGGGAATACTACTTCACGGCGTTCTACCGCAGTCTCAATTCTTCAAAGTCGTGGGGAAGGTCTTCGAGAAGCTGTGTTAAGCTCACCACATAACCCTAAGGGAGAAGTGCTCCTTTTAGGTCAGATAACGTGCTTCGATGATCTTCTGACGCTTATAAAGGGTTTGAATACACACCAGCAGTTTGCAATCTATAATAACCTGTCTCTATCTTTAGAGACACGAAAACTTGCAAAACTTTGGGTTCAGCCAAACCTCTATCTCATGTCTTGGGAGGCCCTTGTTGATCGCTTTGTTGACCAGTACTTTGGAATAGAGATTGCCCACGAGGTTGCCAATAGGCTTACTGATAAAGTTCTTTTTGACCTTTATCTTGCAAATCAGGTTGTCTGCAGTCAGAGTGCGATCGAGGGAGACACAAGAGCTAGTTCCGCCTTCCTTATCCAACTGCAAGAGTTGGAAACAGTGCATTCTGTAGTACATGGGTACAAGAACCATCTTAGACACTGCATTTTGCATGAAAGGTTTTCTCATTCTGTCGAGCTGTTAGATGTATGTGTCATGCGTGGATCTGTCTTTGCAAGACAGCAATCTAGGAAGATGTTGCCAACTTTCTACACCCTGGTCTCAGAGGGGATTCTGAAGAAGATGCAGCAACTAATCATTACAGAAACATACAGAATGTACGCGGGTAGTTGTAGTCAGCGATCACAAGGTGGGTCCCCAGAGATAGAATTGGGCATTGGAGGAGGGATTCCCATTATTAAAAGGTGTCTCTTTTATGAATTTGAGAACATTGGGCCCCTATCCTGCAACTCTGCCTTGGCAGCTTTGTTCCAAAAAAGATGGGAACTTCCTGAGCCAATGGCATTAATTGAAGAGCTGCTCCGACCTATCCCACGCATCTGGCTGCCTTTCTCACTTAAAGAATATGCAGGGACTATCATCGAACTTTTCAATTTAGGATCTCTTTTGTCGGCAACCAGAGAACATTATCCGCTCCTGCTTAGGACTCTTTTTTTGTACACTAGTACCGTTACTGGAGCCATGACTCACCACACAACATCATCGAGCACGGATTGTGTAGAAACTCTTCTATTTTCATCTGACTATGAGTTCTACAAACCTAAGGATACGCATACCTCGAAACTTAGTGCTAAAAGCCAAGGATTGGCCCATCAGCTCATTCAGGAGAGCATCGGGTCATATATTTCACATACAGCAAGCTTTCTTGAGCAGGAGCAAATCCGTAGAAGCGTTGCTAATCAGCTCGAAGAACAAACCGGAAAGCTTAGCAAGAGCGTGACCTTGTCCGCAATAAGTAGAGACAATCAGGCTAATATCCAAGACGAGGCACTTCTTCCCGGTGCCGTTGCATCCAAAAGGGAGATTGCAGCAGTTCTAAACGATCTTAAGTCCTACTTCGTAACAGAAATGAGCAAGCTTGGACTGGATGTCAAAAAGGATGAAGTTGTAGACGGTTTGAATCGCCAATTTAAACTATTATTGGCCAAACAAGCCCCTAGCTATGCAGACCTTTTTGAAGAAATGGAGACAAAGCAAAATCTAGAAGAATTGAAAAGCGAGGAGCTGATCCCACGAGCTTCATTGCAGGACTCTGGTGCGGTAGAGGAAAATATATCTAATCTCAAGGCACCAGAATTCTTTGTCGATAAGAAAATACCAGGAAACGCCGCAGCACCATTCGATAAAAGTTTAGATACACAGAAGCTCCTCGGTGAAGAAGACCTGCTAGCTCGTAAGAAGATGGAGGAGAGAATTGAAAAGGCAAAGCAGCGAGATGAAGTGCATAAGGCTGCTGTAGAAAGAGATAAGACTCTGCCTCTTCGAAAACGGAAGTTTAAGACAGCAAAGGAGATCATAGAGAATACAGAGTATGAAGGTGTTGGTGTTTTCTTCGACTGGGACGAGTATCTTCATGATAAGTTCCCAACACTAGTAGATTCTCTGCATAAATCTCATGCCCTTGCAAGCACTGACTCTCAAAACGAATTTCTTATTTCGCCAATCCATCGGCAAGATGATATAGACAAGGGCTGGTGTCATTTTTCTAGAGAAAAGCATGATACAGAGCTTTTTCTATCCTACTCTGACGTTAATTACAGACAGCTGATCTCTCAATACATGGGACCAATCCAGCTTCTCCACCAATTAACAAACAAGATAGTGTGCAACTACCTTCTGTATGAGTCAAACCTCTTTTCGTGCATAGATACCGTGGGTGAGGTATGCTTCCTTTTAGATAGCAATTTGACCAATAGACTACTGTCTACGTTCTTCAAACACGGAAGTAGTACATGGATTTTTGACGGATCGTTTCAGGAGCAGCGGGTGCTCTCTGTGCTGTCTCGTCATGACCTACGCGGTGTAGCAGAGTTAACCATACTTACTGGGTCACTGAGCTCCGCTGATGTTCCTGGTCACAGCAGAATTTCAGCAGAAGACGATCTGCCCCAGCAAGGACGGGAGGCGATTGACTCTATTATTTCCATGAACAGGACACTAAACTCAGATTTATCTACGACGCTTGAAGGTCAATTATCAGATCTGTATACATCTGTCTGTCTTCTATGCAATCCTCACTCTAACTCGTCTCTCCCCATTCATAGTATTATATCAGCCCGAGATATTGCCAACGTCCTGCAGTTATACAGTCCAAAGCGTCCTGGATCCGCATCTCGCAAAGACAATGGTGTACTTGATCATCTTCTGATCAAAGAAAACGAGCGACGCATATCTCAATCTTACAGCTCCAACACTAACTTTACTATGCTTCTAGATTTTTCTACTAGCAACGCATTGTTCCACCAATTGTACTATGCGCCTCTTGAGCCTCTCATCCTTGTGGTTTTTAAACACATCCTTACATTGTCGCAAAGCCTATATTCATTGCATGGGCTTTGGTTTCTCCTGGTGGTTAGCGATAAAGATCACAAAAGATACTCCGCATTGGAAAGACGCACACGTAAGTTACTAGTTATTCGTCACAGTGCATGTTGCTTCTTACAAGTCTTCCTCCGCTTTTTGCTTGGAGATGTACATTTGACTCTGGAAAACGCAAAGCAGTGCATTTACAAAACTCTGGAGACAGGGACAAACGTACTCAGGTCTGTAGATCAGTGGCACACTCTGATTGCCATTACGTTGGCGCGCCTTTTTCTGACTGGTCCCCATCGAACCATTTTTGCAGCCATAAAGGAGATGCAGTGCCATGTCCTGCGGTTTTGCAACGAAGTGTGTGCTTACATAGAGTTTAGCAAGGCAGCGCCCGGGGTAGTATTCAATTATGAGGAGAAACTGACCGAAGTCTTTTGGCGAGCATCAAATGCTGGCCTGGACCTGCAGCATGCAATAGATGAGATTGTAGCATGCTTGGTCCATTACGTAGAAAAGCTTGGGGTGACACGCTATGAGGAGGTCCTGGCTCAGTTTTCTTTACTAAGTAAATAGTGGGGCCTCCCCAAAAATGAATTTGAAGGCTGCCAAGCAGCTTTTGAAGAATATCCAGGAGAAGGACGCGCTCGATTCTTGTAACAACTTCCTCGCTGCAAAGACCCAACTAGAGTATACAGAAGCTGCAAAAACCTACAAGGAGTACTTGGCCACAGATTACCGTTCATTGGATAAGCAAGCAACTGAGTTAATTCTGACCTTAGGAGTTCATGAGCCAGGCAAGGAAGCAGACCTGACTGCTGATCTCGTCTTGAAGGGCCTTGCAAAGCTTTCCAAGGAAGAGCGTGCCCTTCAAGCTGAGCTGGTATCACTTGTGGGTGGATACAGAACTGCGGCGACAGAACAAAAACTTACGACGCTCCTACAGATCAAGGATAGGCCATCTAATATGTTCTATCCGTCTAGAGCCTTGTCTGGGGCTGAGTATCATGCATATGATATGAATCTCCTCAAGGTCTCTTGCGAAGCAGAAGGTCTCATAGGTCTGATTTTAGACAGCTCTAGCAAGATTACTATGTGTCCAGCAACGCTTAGCAAAGTGCTGTACATCAATTTGAATGATAGGAATGCAGTTCCACCAAAGATCTCGCCTTCGTCTTATTATTATGCGGCATTTGTGCGTCCATTTGGCGTCTACTTGGCTCGAAAATCAGCAAGCACCAACATTCAAGGCTTAAAGATGGCTTATTCGGCAGTGAAGAGGGTGTTCAGTACGTGGGTGGATCCCATCAAAAGAACGCTGCTATCGGTTAAGAGTAAGGTTCCTGATCAGCTGTCTTCTATTCAAGGGGCTATACAATCAGTTGACACATATCTATCTCTTATGGGTACTATTGGGTTGCGTTTTAGCCACTTGAAGACCACGCTTCATGATACTGCGGAGCTACTACAGGTAACAGAACAAGCAGATGAGCAGCTTCGGTACAATTTTGATACTTACTTAGACCGTGCCCTTGAACTGTACGAGCGCAGCAAAGCGCAAGTCGACTCTGTGAAGAGGGCCTCCAATCAACTTGCTGATGTAGAAAATACGGATCCTGATTCACAGGACACAGAGGCACACGGAGATGCTGTGATTCTAAAGGTGGCCAAAGATGTTAAAAAAGCCAAGCAGATTGCTCAATTCAAGGCACAAAAAGAAGCTGTACTTGATGCTCAGAATCGTACTGCAAGTGTGTCTGATAAATTACAGCAGGGAGCTATGCATGACATGGCGTCATACAGAGCTGGGATAATAGAGCTGCGGCAGAAGCTGCTCGAGCAGGAAAAGAAAAGACAAGCAGAGCTTCTTTTGCAATACGAGCGTGAGGAGAGAAAGCGTAGAGAAGCTGCAGAGGCCGATGCAGCTGCCGTTAGACCGCATGTCGAACGTAGCAAGGAGCGCGTCCTTGCACCAACAGAGGCTCTTCTGCGCAAACAAGCGGCAAATAGAGCTCGTGCACAGCTTCTGGCCAACGAAGGCGCAAGTAGGCTCTTTCAAACAGATCTCGCCATAGACGGAGAATTGGTTACAATGGCAGGCAAGAATGGAATTGTCAGGGATAACCAGGAAAATGCGATCTCCACCATAGCTTCTGAGCTCATGGCGCAGTACGGGATCTTGGGAACGCAGTACGCCCGCGATGCTCTGGCAGAGCTTCGTAGCCAGGAACTTGCTGCTAGGTTCCATCACTACAGCATCCGCGATAGCGTTGCGAGTCTCTTTGGCAACTGAAACGTTTACATAAATAATCCCCAGCTACTTTACTGTGTGGTGATTGTGATGGGGTCATGGAGTTTAATATTCTCGGCCTTTGCATTAACCTCGCTGTTATAGTTGTTGGTGCGCGTCACGGAATCTTCTAACAGCTTCTTGGCCCTTGCACTGCAGTCGTCGATCTTCTTCATGACTTGGTCGATAGCTGTCGAGAGCTCGTGCATCTTCTCCGTTGTCGTGTTAATGACCAGGTCCATCTTCTCGTACTCATTGACAGGGGTCTTCTTTACGGAGCGGAACGAGGAGAGGATGTCGGAGTGCTGTGATATGATGGTCTGCTGAACCCCAACATCGTTGAGAAAGACCTCAAGAACTTCGCACATCTTAGAGACATCGGCAACCATCTCCTTGTACGCTGTCTTCACGCGTTCCTGGGCCCTCACAAGCGCTACTTTGCTATCCTTGGTTTCAGCCTTGTTGTAAATACTAGCCTCGTCCTCATCCAGGTCTATAAGCGTGCAGTTGTACTTGCCGAGGAGGAGCTCGTATGCTTGGGCTGCTAGACTGTATGCATATGTCACGAATTTTGGATGTGGCTGTTCAGCTGCATAGGCCTTCAAAAGTAGAGGTAGGGAGGTCGCCTTGCGTGCAAAAGACAGAGACTCGTAATCAACGTTTCCATTGTCTTCCACGTTATCTTCTGGCAGAAGCACGTCGATCTCAGGAAGGCGCATCTTATAGCCGAGAATCTGCTCGAACTTCCCAGACTCCCCCTCGAATTTCTCGGCAGTAAATTCATCCTTGATCTTAACACACGTAAGTCCTATATCCTTGAAGGTCATCTCTAGGTCCTTGCATGACTTGAGAAAGACAACTAGAATTCCCTGGAAGTCATGCGAATTCCAGTATTTGGATGTGTACTTCTTAGTACGCTCCTGATCTGAGGTCTGAAGTGACGTTGTATTCTGAATTGCTGTTTTAAGATTTTGGTACGCTAGCGGGAACTTTCCTGTCTGAGCGACGGCCTCTGAAAACTCCTTGTATTTCTGCTTGAACTCCTCCGTGTCCTTTTTAAAAACAGTGAGGCGAGAGAGAAGCTTTGCTGCTCTCGGGTTGTCGGTTGAAACGACGGCTTCCTCAATAGGATCCAGGGGGCACGGAAGGTGATTTGCAAAAACGTTGTGCACAAGGAAGAAGCACTTTTTGACCTCCTTATTCGTTTCTGCTGCGCATATTGTTGCACAGGTTTTCGCCAAGGCAAGATTCCGCTCTGAGACAGTGGATCTCTGTTTCTTTTCTGTAGCAATAAGCTCATCTAAGTACTCCGCCAGTTTGGCATATGTCGCTGGAGCATCAGATGGGAGATCCTCATGAATGAGAGCACGAAACGCGGATCCGAGCTCAGTATTGCCGATCTTTGGCAAATCTCTTCCCACTTTAGAATATGTTTCCAGAACCAGCTTACGCTTCTCAGAAGATAGATCAATAAGGGCGTCTGGCATCGCGGGCTTTAGACCAGTGCATGCAGAGCTGATTGCATCCAAGTACTTTGAAATCTGGCTGATCAAATCCTCCAGGGCGTGCTTCATCCCATACTTCTTGTAAGGGTCTGACAGAGGAGCCTTTTCCAGCTCCCTACAACTAGCTTGGGCCATATCCTTCGCCTCTGTGAACGCGTCCAGAGCCTCCTTGTACTTGGCATCTGTTCGCATGCAGAGGCCCACATAGTAGTAGGCAAAGGAGTAGTAGTAGGCGCGTTTATACACAACTAGCGCAATTACAACCGGCTCAAGCACCTTCTTCAATTCTTTGTGAGCATCCAACAGGTGATCGGCCACCTTGTAGTAATGAACGGCTGCTCGCGATAGAGAACAGATGGTGGCAAACAGTGCTTGGTTCCCTATGCGTGTAAGCGTTCTCAAGGCATCGGGAATCTTGGCTCTCAATACAGACTCGAAAGCCATTCCAGTGTAGAGGTTCTCTAGGACCTCGAAGAAGCTGACAGTGTACTCTAGATCCATGAGATTGTGAATGGCCTGAGGAAGACTTCCGATAAACTTGGCTGCACTCTTGAAATAGTAGGCTGCACGCAAGAAGTGAGAGCGTCGAGACGCACACTGCTCTGTGTACTCGCTTGTAGCATGGTCGGACACCTGCATAGTCACCGCCTGGACCCCGAGAGTCACCTCATAAGCACCCATGTTGTAAAGAGCATTGAGGACATCCACATGGGCACACGGACCGCCAGAGGCAGACTTCTTCATGCCCACCGTGGACCAAGTAATAGGCATATTGGTTACCTTCTTGGACAGGGCTGGAGCCGTCCAGGCGACATTCATGGCCGGGATATAGGCCGCTGCATACAGCTCAAAGCAACGATCAATAAATCCTCCAGTAGCTGGAGAGAGCCCTCCCGCGGAAAAGAACTTGCGAAGACGTTCTATCTCCGTCACAGAATCTATAATGGCCTGCACGTTGGATGAGCCCCTCTGCTTTGCGAGATCTAGCAAAGTAGTGTATATGCCGGATTCAGACCCCGTCTGCCGCACGCTTATGGTCGGATAGACGCTGTCAGAAAAAGCTACACCTAGCATTTTTAAAACCAGTGAGCTCTATGTGATTGTGGTATTCAAAGGTGTTTACAAAAGTGTTTAGACTAGTAGTCCAGACCCCCATCTTCCCAAGGCTCGTCGTCTAGGATACTCTCATCTGCTAATTGCATCTCCGGACAATTAAACAGCAGGTCCGTAAAATTATCGTCGAGGTCGTCAGGTTTCGCTTCATCCATGGCCATCATCCACCAGCACGTCCCCACAATGAGTATGACAAGAAGTACGACAGTCCAGATGGTTAAGTTGCGGTTCATTTGCGATGCATGAGTTAGTCTTGGAAGAACAAATGTGATTGTGTTGTCACTTACACAGGTATTGTCTGGTGGAGACATTGTCTTGACGTAATGAAGAAGGTAATCCGAGCGAAACCCTCCTACAATACCTATCGTCGAAAATGATCGACACTTGCTCGTTCCTAGATTCTGAACTAAGGAATTTGCTGCGTATGAGCCCAAGTCGAGGAAGCGCAGGCACGAACTCATCTTGAAGTAGTTTGATCTGTTAACTGTAGAGAGGAGATCGCCATCAGATGGCAGCCCAGCGGCCTCCATAACCGCGTGTGTCAAGAGAGACCGGTTAAAAACCTGTTCTTGTGCAATGTTAAGGATCTCTGATGGATCGCATATGGATACCTTTGCTTTAGATGCTTCTCCAATAGCGAGGAAGAGAAAGAGAATACCGAGGGTAGCTGACATTTGTATCGTTTAATATTTTTTGGGCTTGGGGTTGTCTGTCCCGACAGAGGGCTCGGCCCCAAGGCAAGCGATAATTTCATCACGTACTTGAGGGGACGCATACTCCATTTCACGGGCAATATCTACGGCTGTTCGACCCGCCTTAGATGCCAGGGTTCCCTCGTATGGGACTAACATTCGTGCAAACTGAACATTTCCGTGTGCTACAGCGTGCATCAAAGATGAGTACCCTGTTTTGTCCAACTGCCCTGTCTCCGCACTGAGGAGCAATGCAGCAACTGCACAGGAGTTGACCATTCCAGCGTACATTAACGCTGTGGTCCCAATGGAATCCTTACCACAGAGCTGACCTGCTTGTATGTATCTTTTTGCAGCGCGAATATCGTTCTTCAATGCAGCAATCATAAGATTGGTAAGCTTTGCTTGGTCTCCCTCATAGTCCATGAGCATGTCAACACAAGCGAGACACCCCCACTCTGCAGCAAACTGTACCGCACGGCGGCCATCGCTAGCCACCAAGTTACATTCAACTGAAGCAAGAACCTTGACAATCTCCGGGTAATTCCACTGGGCTGCATACATGAGTGCCGTCAGGCCCTCTTTCGTTTGCTTCCCGCTCAGTTCCTTCTTGAGGATCTGGGCGGCCTTTTCCTGGCCATTCATGGCAGCCACCATGAGAGCTGTTTGCCCTGTAGCAGTGCAAATGGCTACTTCTTTGGCTGCGAGGATCCTCATAATATTGCTATGCCCACGCTGAGTCGCAGACATAAGGGCTGTCCACCCGTTAGCCTTTTGCAAACCAGCCTCATGTTTGAGTAGTAGCTGGACAATCTCACTATGCCCACACTCTGCTGCTATCATTAAAGCAGTGCTTCCGCTACAAAGCCTCATGCCAGCTTCATATTGTGCTAATAATGACGTACACTTAGAGCTATTGTACTGGGCGGCAAACATCATAGCTGTTCTACCTTGCCTATTTTGCATACCTGCCTCGAACTCAAGTAACTGCTCGACGACGTTTTCGTTGTCTTGTTGAGCGGCCAGCATAAGAGCCGATGTCCCCTCACTATCTACTAAGCCTGCCTCATATTCAGCGAGGAGCTCAACGCAATCGCTGAACCCATACCAGGCAGCTACCATTAAGGCGCTGGCTCCTTCAATAGAAATACTTTGCTTTTTGTCTTTTGTGATAAGCTTTACTGGCGATATGCACTGCATTCCGGCTTCGTTAATGTACCTTGGTATATCATTATATAAGTTCCTTTCTACGGACTCTATCAAAGATGTTTTTGACGGGTGCAGAACAGCATCCTTTCTTACACGGGTGGACTGTATTGTAGTTTTAATGCTGTCTTGCTCTCTGGCATCGTTTGGACAAGGCTCCTCCAAATTTGTATCCACAGAAGAAGCTTTATTGTCAGTCTCTACATCCATTTCTTCCAACCAGTTCTCAGGCTTTTGAGTGTATGGTTGCTCGGTGGGTGAAGATGCTTCCACTGTCTGGGCAGGGTCATCAGTTAGAAAAGCCGTGTTTCGCTGCACATTAACCACCTGTGGATGACTAAGTATCTCCTCTGCAGTTGGTCTAGCATTGCTGTCCAGCTGAAGGCATGATCTGATCAGCGTGGCCAGGTCCTCTGAGTAATACGTGGTATCAATTGTGATTTGTGGGTTGTCCTTGAGGTGTTCAGTACTCCAAGGAATTGGTTTAAGTGTACAGATCTCCAGGATGATGCACCCTAAGGACCAGATGTCTGCAGCAGTTCCGTAAAAGTCTCCTCGCTGAACCTCTGGGGCCATGTACACAGGGGTCCCCGTGCACGTTGTCATTCGAGACTTGCCGCTTGTTTCTCGGGCAAGCCCAAAGTCTCCCAGCTTTATGTGTGTGTCAGTAAACAGAATGTTCCCCGGCTTTAGGTCTCTATGAACAATTGTGCTGCTGGTGATGGATTGGCTGTGCATATAAGCCAAACCATTGACAATCTGCCCTATCACATACCAAATGTACGGCTCCTGAAAAGGGTACCCCAAATAGCGTTGCGACCGGATGACATCTTCCAAGGACTGGTCGCAGAGCTCCATCTCCAAAAGATAATAGTATTCATCTTTACGTATAGTTTTGTATTTCAAGATATTTGGATGATCGAGCTTCTGCGCCGTGCTGAATTCCTGCTCTATCTTGTCGAGGAGATTGTCTGTCAAATAGTATAGATCTATCTCCTTTACTGCCACTAGCTCGCCTGTATCTTTAGAGTATGCCCTGTAGACCTTCCCAAAGCTGCCGGAATCGATGTATTCGGGGCTGTCATAGTACTCCCCCAAGCTCGTTGACATTTTTCTCTGGTCAGAACGAAAAAATCTGCTGAACAATCGAGCTATAATTCACTGGATAAAGCACATTACTGTGATGGATGCAACGTAGCAATACTAGATCCATCTTAGCTCATCGCGTGTCCATCATTTCCAACCCTTAAAGCCGAACCTCTCTTTCTGAGTCTGCGGGGTCGTTAATTGCTGAAAAGTCTTGTATGCAGAAAGACCAGGGGAGAACTAGAGTCCCGTTATGCAGCTGACTGGGTCAATTGATCCATACTCCATGCGCCGCGCTATACTTTGAATATCTACTAACGCCACACCCTTATCTGTCAAGTAACAGTGTTCAGCAGAAATCAGATCCAGCTCGGAGATGATGCGTAGATGATCATAGTCATATTGGAGTCGTTCTTGTTGCGTGGGGTAGCGCTTGGTCCTCATGTGCCAATCGGGATTGAGCACGGCATCTATTCTATCGTGAATGCCCTCTCCCTCCAATAGATGTGGATTGCGTGGACGTCTATTCTGCTTCAGCCGCTCCCGAAGATGCTCACAATACGACATAGTGCATCCAGTAGATCTACTTAGCAACCCCTCTTTCCGCTGAGTGGTGGTCGAAGATGGGATGCATGCAATGGACTTAGATAGCGAGAAAGGAGAAGTGACGCTATCTTCCCTGCCCTTTCTAGTTGGTTGGAGGCCTTGTGACGGCTTGTTTAGTCTTGGTTTAGACGTTGTGAGGTGGATGGGAGCTTCAACAGGAACGAATGGGGCTACAAGCCCATGCACAATAGGATTATTATCTCTATTATGCGGATGATCCTCCTGCTGATCAGACAATATCTGCTCAAAAGCATCTGTGGCTATAGACTTGTGTGCATCTTCACGGGTACAGGACTCATCATCATTATTCGGAGCTTTGCAACATGCGGTGCTATGCAATAGTGCAGGTGATGCATTATTCTCCTGCCACGGTGTAGTGTGAAGCTCTCCAGTTTCCATCAGGAAATTGCAATTTTTTAGGACTCCGCGAAATTGGGGCTATCTATTCCGCCCTCCGGAGTCTTTCAAAAGGCCGGGCAAATACGTTATCAGGTTGAGCATACACATTCTAATAGTCATCATAATAGCCATCAGATTGAAACAAACCAATGGATTATCGCTTTGGTGAGATTGCCTGGTACGATTATAAGTACGATCGATTGGGTGCTTCTTTAAAATTAACGCCACCATGACATGCCTCACTATGCCTATATTTCTTAGAAAAGCCTTAGAAGAAACCTTGCGGTTAAACTCAACTAGCATGAAGCTTTTAGTCTTCTGAGCAGCATTGAGTTATGGCTTCCTCATAACATTCTTGTCTATAACTCACTAGTGATCTCCTTATCAGAAGATATGAATATGGATTGCAAATCAGTAATTGACCATGGACGTAGAAGACTGCACCATCCTAATTATCTAGTATTCAATGTTCCTGAGTAATGATTGCGGAACATAAGTCGATATATGCCTGCAGTTATTCACACACTCACCCATTTCAGTACTGTAACAACTGTAACAAATTTAACCAGCCTACCTTATACCTTTTGCACCTTAACATCCCTTGGAGAAAATGCGCCCACCACACCGGTTACACTCAACGACAAGGTTTGCCTACTGAGCTAACCGTGATGTAAGAGACAAGCTTGCTCAGAAAGTGGCTTTTCAACCTGGTTTATCTCTAGTCTTCATTGCAGCATCTTACCCCAAACTATATCAACTATTATGCCGGCTGCTCATACAGCTATGGGTACTCTGGGTGTAGCATATCTTTTACTTCATTTTATCCGCTCGGTCAACTAATCCCTACATGCGTCTATCTGTATCCATCGAGTTTATAGCCTTAGCTTCATTGTAGTTCACGCCTGCTGTCTTCTACTGGTTACCATTGTGTTACTGTTTCTCTATTTCGGTGCATTTTCACAAATTAGGTGCTCGCTTTAAAGTTAGAGTATATCCAATCGCATCCAATCGTCTCTCAAATTGCGAAATATAAGGTTGCACGACACATGCAGGCTATCCTTCCATTTTTCCAGAAGTTTTCAATCTCATTGCTATCGCATCATATGACATTTGGGCTTTTTTGAGATCGTAAAGAAAATGGAGCCTCAGGAGATTCTCGGCGCAACTACGTACAGCCAGAACACTGGTAGTGCATCAGACAAGTTCCTGGCCTCAGTCTTCGGGTACTTTTCTGTGGAAGATCCTATTGACGACTTTCTAAAAGACGTAGAGTGGTTTGCATCGGATTTTGTTGATTGCTTTGTCCTTAAACGCAAGTGCCAGAACTACTGGGACAAGATTGTTACGCAGGCAACGATTCCTCAAGTAACACAACCGTTCTTTAAAACTTGTGAGAATGCATCCAATGCCTACACAGTTAAATCGTTGTATTTACGTGACACATTTCTCCTGACTGATATCCAGCTACATCTTCAGCGAAAATCGTTTGATTTAGCCTTACTAGATTGTATAAAGATTCAGGTGCGATCTGACATCAAATCCCAGAAACAAGCAAAACGTCTCGCGATGTTCCTGTATGTTGCTTGCAAGCTCCTTCTTGTTAACGGATATGTCAACGGCAAGTTTGACGACATTGCAACCAGCCTTTTCAACGGAGAGATTGCCTCTCTATTGGTCACTGCCTTCAACGCTATCTCTCCTTGGGTAGGGGAGCGCCCATTTATTTTTGAGCCGATTATCTCTCTTCTTGCAGAAGTATTCCTTTACGCATTTGGGTGTACAAAGAATAGGCACAAGCACGAGAATATCCACAAGATATTTGGCAAGTTATTGAAGAAGGAAGAGGCATCCTCGACATCCTCAGTGTCTATTGTGGACGTATGTCTCAGGGTTATTGTATCTAACAGTGCCAAGAGTTCTATCACTAACATGTCAGAAGCCAGGCGACTCCCCGTTCAGAATCTTGATATCCGCATGCTGCTTGCGTCCTGCAGGCTCTTGCTCTGCGTCCTCAGCGTGCAGAATAATGATGACGAAACTCGAGTCATAGACTACATAGAGCGCAAGATTAGGGAGCTCTGCCCCGTGCAAGGTGCTCACTATCAGGCTCTCCCTCACTTGCTGTCTCTCCTGGTAAATCTTATTGATCAAATTAAGCCAGACTCGCCGCTTTCTCAAGATGTGATAAGCTTCCTCAAAGAAGCTATCGTAGCACTAATCCTTTGTACTAACTATGATAGGAAGCTAGTGGACCTTTTCAATGCTGAGTTTTGCACATCCGTTGGTAATATTTCAAAGCTTATTGAGACTCTCTATACCACTGAGATTGGAGGCGCTAAAGCAAAGGACTTCTCTGCTTTGACGCAGATCTTATTTGATGTTTTGCACGCCTCTGTGTTAGGCAATCCCATTCGGCGACATATGAATAGGACGCTTTTACTGCAGAGCAACTTGCTATCCTCCACTAACATTCTAGGATATTTCTGGTGTCAACGATATCACTATACAATTACTATTTATACCGATATCATTATGGACATACAGCGCGACGAGTGTAAAACCGGTTGTGACTCAAAGAACGGTGCTAAGCAAAATGGTAAGAAGGATAAGAATCTTCTAGCGTTGTCAAATAAGAAGATACAAAGCAAAGTATTGAAAGATGACTCTATGCAATTAACGATACCGGTGAGCTGGGCGTTTATAGATTGTTTTGTGGAGTATAATGAGCGTGATCAGTTGGAACTTTTACCTCTCATCTATTCGTTATGTACTAAAACAAGAGAAATATTGGCAATATATATACCTTCGTATTGTAGGGTTTTTGCTGGTAATAAACAGCTCAGTAGATCGAGGTTGAGGTACTACAGAAGTAAGTACAACAGTAGTAAGAAATCATTACCTGAATGCTTAGATGATGAGGTAGTAGAACACGACCCTTACTCGAGGCAACTGGGCTCTTGCTTAGCTTTTGAGCTTCGTGTAGAGCTCCATGATATCCACTATAGCACCTGTGACTTGATCTCTCAAGTGCAGCGTCGCGACTCTTCCGTTGGCTTGTTTTTCCACTGGTATCATCCATCTGTTGGCCTTCACATTAAAATTGTGAAGTCGCTTCAAGCAAGCTTTGCAACGGCGTACTTCACTGAGTCCGGAGGCGGCGTAGGTATGCACCGCCTCTTTTGCCTGAGCGAATTCAATAACATACAGCTTCCGAGCTGTTCTTTTACTGGGTACGGATACTCTACCGTGTCATCCCAGCCATTCTCATATATCGAAGACGTCTTAAAAGAGGTATGTGAAAGGGTATATCGGGACGATTCTTCAGTTGATGTCTCAATTAGGCTAAAGGAACTAGAGAGTGCAACAAAGACAAATACGGAACTAACGCTGTATAGCCCCACCCCTGATACCCAGTCGAACGTTGCTGTCTTCAAGGACCTTACTTTGCACGTTGATGGGAAGAGAATGAGTCACCGTAAAGAGTTCACGCGCAAAACTCTCAGGCCTTCTCAGTTTAAGGCCCTCCTGTATGCTGCGCTCTCTCCTCTGACTCTCATCTTGGGGTGCCCTGGAAGTGGGAAGTCGACAACTCTGGCGCACATCTCGAAGATGTTTCTGCTGGAGGAAGGTGCCCAATCCAAGTGGGTTCCTGCCCTGGATGCTAATGGAGTGGAGCGGAATAGACCAAAGTGGAACCGATTCAAAGACCTCTTCTTTTCCTCGATCAGAACATATGAGAGTGTCACTGAAATGGTGCTAGCCGAGGATGTTGGCGTCCAGCTTTTTATCACCGCACACAGCAACAATGCCGCCGACCAGTTGACACGCTACATCCTCGAGATGGATGGGTGGGACAAGACGACTCTCCCCTTCATAGTTAGATTGGGGAGTCAGTCGCTTGACTCTAATGTTCTTAAGTTCATGCCCATATACTATCTCTATCGGATTGCTCTGGAGCTGGACGTGCGACTTGATTCATCATATGATGAGGAAGACAAGTTGAGAACAGGAGATTTGATCGTTCATTTTACATCTATCTCCGAGGCAATACAATGCCATATATTGGGGTCTAATTCGTCAAAGGTATATGCAAGATTAACAAGATCTCAGAGAGATGTCCTGTATTGTATTCTGAAAGATATGAATTTCTTCAATCATAAGCTCTTGAGCTCGGCGACCATCATTGTCAGCACCACCTCTGGATTTAGCATATATCTGCGCTATTTCACTGACGTGGCCACCGATGGCCTTGAAGATTCCCTTCCTTTTGATCCCTTAAAGGGTAGCTCGAAGGTCTATGATGGATATGGCAGATCAATGTACAACCAACTTTCTTGCTTCAGTGGCGGGTCCCATATATTGCGAACGAATAGTTACAGCGACGTCCTGGTCGACTATGACCACACTCCCTCTAATCACACCTCCTACCATTCTAACTTGGTGAAAAGTACTACTGCATTTAACACAGGCGAAGGGGGCCACCACAGGTACCTGATTGTCGAAGAGGCGGCGCGCCTTTCAGAGCACGAGTTTGCGTCCTTCTTGGTCGCCCCTTTCGACAAGATCATTCTACTCGGGGATATCCTCCAGCTCCCGCCCCTCATCCAGGATCTGACCATCGCGAGCTCCGGGGCCCTCGACTGGTCTGTCTTCCACCGCATTTGCTACTCTCCGCGGGTCAGCGTGCCGATTGTGGCCTTGGAGGAACAGGCACGAAGCGTTCCAGAGATTGCTGACCTCTACCGCTCTTTGTATGAATCGTCTCTACCTAGATATTGCTCAATAAAGGGTGGCCTGCGAGACATCCCTGGAGTCAAATTCGATAGCTTTGTGGACCAAGCGATCCTGGAAAGGTTCCATGGGAGGTGCTTCTGTATTCCGAGCAAGAGCATATCTACATATGCTAATTTGATTACTGAGACAGACAGAGCGCTAACCGACTTCTGTCAGCAAATGAAAGAGTATCAAATTATCAAGAAGCAACCTGAAGACGCGAAGTCAAAGAAAAAAAGAGGCGGAGACATCAGATTGGCAGAGACTAACAGGGACGAGATTAAGCTGATCTCCTATCTTCTTTATAGTACTCTTGTGCAGGTCACGAACATGATTTTCTCTGGGTCTCACTTGGATAAGCTTGCGTATGACTCGCGAGAGCAAGAGTATTATCTCCATTTTAGCATTGCTATATTGTCGCTCTATAGTGCACAGGCCGCCCTGCTAAAATCGGACCGATTTATTTCGGATGTCACTAGTGTATTTAAGGACCTCAGGCTACCTGCAGGCAATGATAGGAGGGTACGTTTGAGTGTTGACATATCCGTTTCCACGAGTGACGCGTTCCAGGGTCTAGAGGCAGACGTCGTGTTTCTCTCAATGGTAAAGCGCACTACTACTGATTTCATCGATAGTCTTCCACGCGCGCTTGTTGCAGTCAGCAGAGCGCGACGACTGGTCGTCTGTGTTGGAATGGCAGATAAGTCTAAAAATGAGATCTGGATGAATGTGGCCAAGCAGCAGGAGTTGGATTTTTCAAATCTGCTCAGTGAAGCGTAACGTCTCTTGTAATTTTAAGCATTGTGTGGTGTAAAAATTCATAGATTGGGTTGGTTATTTATTTAAGATTTGCATTGTACCTAAGAATCTAGGAGTTTCAGATTGGTGCCTGTAGCATTTGCTTTTCTGTCAGCACTGTTATCAGTTGGCGTCATATATTAGACACCCAGGACCGCCATTTCAGCTATCTTAAATGCTAGATTAATACTGATACCTGGAAATACCCCAGAGTCTCGCTCAATGCTAATTTACAGAAGCGAATCATTCTAGGAGAGCCACAAGTTCTGGGTGCCCAGCCTTCACAGCAACATCAGCAGGCGTGCATCCAGCGCCGTACTTACTCTTCTCTGTTGTAGTTATTGTCTTTTCTTTTGGATACTTGCGCAGGATGTACTCTATGCAGGGCTTACTTCCCACCTGGATGGCGTACATTAGAGCGTTCATTCCTTCCTTGGTCTTTGCCCCTACTTCCTTGATCAAGGCCTCCACACATGGTCGATGTCCTTGGCTCGCCGCGTGCATTAGAGCAGTCATCTTGTGCTTGTCTGTCATGCCTCGCTCAAACTCGAGGAGATACTTGCAGCAATCGTGGTGCCCGTGCATTCCGGCAAGCATCATCGCAGTGGTGCCGGAGGGTGTGGCCATCTTTGCTTCAGCCTTTAGATACTGAAGAACCTTTACCTTTCCAGCGCTGGCTGCGTACATGAGGGCCGTCTTTCCTTCCTCATCCGCGAGGGTGGCCTGAGAGGGTGCATAGAGATACACACTAACCACATCGCCCTGCTCAGCAGCATCCATGAGCTCCGTCTTACGCCCTCCACTGACGTTTGGGGGTTGAATTTCAAAGCCTTCAGGTCCCAAAAGAAGTGACGCCGCCTCTGTGTTTCCATTCAAAAGAGCGATCTTTGTTGCAGTATTGTCTATGAAGTCCTTGTCGTCTAGAACCCTGATTCCGGCCTCATATGGAAGCAGAATCTTTATCAATTCAATATTATTTCCACCTGCAGCCATCATAAGAGCGGTGTAGCCGTCGTTGTTTTCATGTCCGGCTTGCTTTTTGATGTCCTTCTTGACCTCCTCGAAGAGCTTTGTGAGCTTAGCCTGCTCTTCATCAGTAAGCTGATGGGCACGAGAACTCATAGATCTCCCGTCATCTCCTACTTTGTACGGATCCAACTTCAGGATCTTCTTTATGGCCCTCATAACAGTGCTGTTGCCGTTTTCGTCTAGCTTTAAGTTGGTTGGCTTGACAATTTCTCGAGATTTAGTATTCGCAGATTCAGCAGCTTCTCTTGTCGCTAGAGGGGTATGTGTTTTTGGAGCATCCACAGTGCTAGGGGCATCGTGGTGGTCGTGCTCTCCTACAGATTCCTTAGCTGCTATAGCATTGTCCTTATGAGCCTCATCTGTAGTTGCATCTTCACTGTGATGGTGCACATTACTCTTAGGGGTCTGCGGTGTTACCTCTTCTTCCTTGAGTGGCTTTATCTGAATAGGGGTGTGCTGATTAGATTCCAAAGGAGACTCTGCGACTGAAGCAAGCCTGTCGATGGTGTCGTGAAAGTCAGCAGATGGTGGCAGTAACAGATCTGTCTGAACAGCAGAGTCCGAACAATATGCCGCTGCTTCTACCTCCACGTCAGCGGTTTCTGGCGGAGGAGCGGCTAGTGGCGCAAGATCACTCAGAGACGGCAGAACAATACCTGAGGTAAGCGAGTCTTTGCGAAGAAGTCTGTTCGCTTCGCGAACCAAAGCAGAATCAGCACTCTTGACATCCTCTAGCATGGCGGAATGTGTAGACCAGATTTTATTACATAAGTCAGCAACATGAGAAAGGCCCTCGATGGACTTTTGCTGTGCTTCAGTTGTGTTAGTGACCCACTGAGCTGCATTGCCAGTAATAGAGATGGCCTTTAAAATTTGATACAGGATGTCGTAAACTTGAGAGCTTCTGGTGAGCATAACGTCTGCCACTGTGTCCAACTTCGATTGCAGATCGATTGCTTGGGATCGGTATTTATCACACGAAGAGAGGAGCTCAGTGTACTGAAAAGAGTCTGCTGCATCAGCTGGTAGTCGTGGCTTGGATGAGGTTTCGGCTGCACCTGCAGTCGTTGGAGTCTCGAGAAACTTATTTATCAGACGCTCCTTTCCTTCAATACACTCCAGCATCTCAACGCATGCAACGCGAAGCTCAGTGGCGGACATCTTACTGATCTTCTTCAATGTGGACGCAGTGTCTATGTTCGCTGTGGGACTGAGCGGCAGACCTATAACACTCGTTGATCGACCCACTGCACTGGCCTCCGCTGCACCTGATCTTTGAATGGTGCCCAGCTCATTCTGGTAAGAGTCCATGATCACTGGCGGTATCAGGTTGTCATCTTGATAGGTCTCTTCTGGTATGAGATCCATCCTGGCCTGATGCATTGTGCACGACTGAAGCTCTGTTCCTGGAACTGTGCTGACATGACTCGCCGGGTCTGAGGTCAATGCATCGGACCGGGGACCAGTGATCTGGGTCTCTGCGGTGTCGTGTTCCGGAGAGAGTAGATATGTTGGCCGTGGGATAATGCGATTTGACTGGGCGCGCGGCTTGATGTGTTTCAAATTCTCAGGGTTCTGGTGCATTAAAATCACTCCGTCCTCGTCGTCCCTATCGTGCATTCCCATCTTAGTCATTCTGTGAATAATTTGCATTTCGGTGTCATTGTGGCTGGATGGAATACCTGATTTGCCGGCTGCAGAGTCGTTAGCAGTAGCGTTGTTAGTTACCCCATATGCAGAACGAACGCTTTTATTGCGCATAGCCAGGTTCCGTCGAAATATCTCACCCAAGTCGGAGAGCGGGGGGATCACCGATCCTATTGGTGGGTCGTTCAACGCCATTTTGTTAGCGGCCTTAAGCGTAGATGTAGCCCGGCCAAAGGACTGGGGCGACTTTTCCACAGGGAGCGCAGGGCTACCCTTTTTGGGTGCCCCGCTGGTAGAGTTAGGACTTTCGACCTTTCCCAGCTTATCGGTGTGCTGCGAAGGCGACACGTTACTAAAGCGGTTGACAGACGTCGTGTATTGCTTTGCCCCCGGAGAAGTAAAGGGGGACTTGGAGCTAGTGGCAGCCAAGGTGGCCCTGTCTCCCAGAGTCTTCACTTTGTGCAGAAGGTGTGCCGTGAGTTTTGTGTGAAGCTGCACGTGGCCGCACTCCTCAGCTATCTTCACTGCGCGCTCCAGGTCGGGGACGGAGAACTTCTCACTCTTCGTCAGTAGGTCCACGCAAAGGTGGTAATTATTGTAGGTGGCGTAGTCAAGGGCTGTGTAGCCTTGCTTGTCGGTTTCGTTCCCGAAGTATGGAATCAGCAGAGGGATGACCCGCGTGCTTCCGTTGGCCGCGGCAATTATGAGGGGCGTGTAGCCGGTGGAAGACTGGCGAAGCTCCCGCTCCTTCGGGATGAGGACGGAGGCGATGTCGTCGTAGTTCCGCGCGCACGCCAGGAAGAGGGCCGTTTCGTCGCGGTTGTTCACGAAGCCGGACTCTGTCTCGCTGAGGACCTCGACCATCGTCAGGTCGTTGTTCTTGACGGCGAGCATCAGGGCCGTGCACCCGTCGTCGTTCCGCGTGCCCGCATACTTGCGCTGGACGGCGCGGACCCCGTTGTAGTTGTGCTGCTCGACAAGCGAGAACCACGCGCGGACGTCCCCCATGGCAACTTTTTATTTACACGCGGGGCATCGGCACGCCGACGCCGTTGAGTGAAGGAGCCTCCTTAAGACGCGCCGCAGGGCTTCCCCGCAGGGAGCCTCATCGTCGCACGGGCCAAGCCTCGCTTAACGGCCCTGCGGCAAGGTATCCGCATCAGAAGGTTAGGGGGCGACATGTACGCACAGGGGTTTGGTGGTATTAACTCCAAAACTGATCCCGAATGGTATGATCGCTTGCCCCACCCTTTTTCTTTTCCGGGAGAATTCGATTTAAAATGGTTTGCTTTTATTCACTCCGAGCACGGGCAATCCCGGCGAGCTCCTCTGCGTCCTCGCACTCTGCGACCAGCTTGCTGAAGAGCGACTCTGGGTTGCTCAGGAGCGCCCTGGGGGTGTCGAACTCCTTTACCTCGCCCGCGTCCATAACTATGATTCTGTCGAAGTCGATGATGGTATTGATCCTGTGTGCAATGGCGATAACGACGCGGTCTGCCAGCGCTGTACGGATCGTGGACTGGATTATGGCGTCGTTTTCCCGGTCGACCTGGGCGGTGGCCTCATCCAGAATAACCACTGGTGCGTTTCGTAGCAGCGCACGGGCCACGCAGACAAGCTGGCGCTGACCTGCAGAGAGGTTGTCCCCGCAGGAAGTGATAGGGGCCTCTAGGCCTTCTAATTGGCTTTCAAAGAAGTCACGCAAACAGACCTTTTCCAAAGCCGACCATAACTCCATGTCAGTGTGCCGTCGCACAGTCTTTGGAATCTCACCAACAGGAATTTTCTCTGCCAGCATATGAGAGTACGGGCAAAGCGATGACCTGAGAGTGCCCTCGAAGACGAAGGGATCCTGTGGGATTATTGTCAAGAAGCTTCTTGCGTCCTTGAGGGGAAGCCTATCTATCGGATATCCGTCGATAGAGATGAGGGGTTTGTCGTACTGCCGTGATGGCGGAGAGTCTGTCTCGGCTCGCTCCGGCTCTGCCAGCCGGAAGAGAGCAGCCACTAGGGATGACTTTCCGGCACCTGTGCGCCCAACAATTCCAATTCTCTCGCCTTTCCGAAACGCAAGGTTCACGTTTATCAGTGTGCAGGGGAGCTCTTTACGATGCCTAAAGGACATGCGGCTGATCTGTACATACTCGCCCTCACTAGGCCTCGCTCTACTACCTTCTACATCCTGAGCGGGCGCATCTGCTTCTTCTGGAGACAGCTTACTATACTCATGCACTCTCTCGAAGCTTGCAAAGCTCCGTTCGAAGAGTATGCTGTATATTAGCACAGAGTTAAGAAGCTCAATGACTTCAAAGCCATTAAGGAGTACTACGCCAACATAGCGTGCAACATCACCATACGCTGCAATAATGATCACCCCGATGCTGAGCGCAAGGGAGAGCAGGACCGAAATGCACGAGTAGTTGAAGGATGCCCATCTATTACAGCAGTACATCATCCACTCAACAGCATACTTGCGTGAAAGGTTCTTCCTGTGAATATTCTGGATGTCTGCTTGCATCCCACTCGCTCTGACCAAGGGAAGATTGCTAGAGACCTCCTCCACAAGCGTGATGACGGGGCTGGTGACCATGTTACTTAGCCGCTTCACTTGCGGCGTGATCATCCTGTACCGCCTCAGAAGCAAGATGAATATTATCCCAACTGGCAAAAAGGCGAAGATTGTTGGCCACGCAAAAATCATCGACGTGAGACTCGACACGCTCACTGAGATGAGCAATTCGCAGAGAGGAGTCATCGTGTCGTAGACGTCTCTATCGCACTCGCGCACGTCTGATGACAATCTATTAAGGATACGACCCATCGGATTGGTTTCAAAGAAGGACATGCGTGTATGGAGTATTGCGTTCGCCATGCTCTTGTGCGCCTTTGTTGTAGCAGAAATAGAGAAGTTTATAGTTAGATATCTCATTACTATAATCATGCCAATCAACAGCACCAGTGCCGCTGTGTATAGAAGGGGGTAGAAGTGGCTCGGCATCCCGTAGCGGTTTGTTGACCATGAATCGATAAAGACGTTCATGAATTGTTGAATCAACTGCGTAATGATATACAACACCAGACAAAGGACGAACTTCCCTATGCCTCCATACTTAATCCAGCTGATATAGAGCTCCTTAGAAAGGGCTCCCTTTCCAGAGTGCTGTTCGTCCACAATATTCTTAGTTTTATTGGCCTCGTCGGTATTTGTAGGTGGATCCACTGAGGACGCCTCTGTACAAATATCGTTCTGACTAGACGCTGCTAGAGATAGCTTGCTGGGGACAGAAATTATGTTCCTCTTCAGAAGGTCATCCTTCCTCCTTTCGACCGGCTTCTTATCCTGGATCTCGTATACTCTGTCGCAGCTCCCAAAGAATTGTGTCTGATGGCTTGATATGAGAACGGTCTTCTGCTTCTGCCTTATCAGATATCCCAAGATGCAGTTTTCCCAGAGACGCCGCGCAACGTGGGCGTCAACCGCAGAGAGGGGATCATCGAGAAGGTAGATATCGGAATCGGCATAAACGGCGCGGGCTAACGCTATACGGGCCTTTTGCCCACCTGAAAGAGAGGTACCGCGCTCTCCCACCTCTGTGTTAATTCCACTAGGAAGCACAGCCAAGTCCTTGTCGAGACAGCAGAGGCTTATAACCTTGGCTAGCTTCTGCTCATCCAGGGGCTTGTGAAATATTATATTGCTGATAATAGTCCCAGACATAACGCAGGGAACCTGAGAATAATAGGCCACAGTTCCTCCGTGGGATATTTTGTCTGTAGATGTTAGCTCTCCGAGTAATGCCATGTGCAAGGCCGTCTTCCCAGAGCCTACTGCTCCGAATATGCCAACTAGTTCCCCTTTCCTGACAGAAAAGTCTACTCCGTCAAGAACGGGAGAGCTATCTATTGCTTTCTGCACCTCATACTTACGCAGTGTCTCCGGATCGATAAATTTATATGTCGTTGCCAGTTGCACATATATCCTCTTAAGTTTATTAACAAGGCTTTCGTCATTTGTTGATAGGTAGTCTCCTTCAATTATGTTTGCAGGAATTTCTATTTTCGAGGGCAGTGCTATCCGCAGCTGAAGCGCAAAGTGATCAGCTGTTTCTCCTTGGTGTGTCGGTCTGTGCATCAGATCGACTATCTGTTGAGGAGTGAAGCTACAGAGCAAGGACTCTTTGGCTTCAGACCCCAGAAGGCTCAGGGTTTCATTCAGCTTGTCTTCGTTCTTGTTCTTATGAGCGTACGATATCCCTAACATAGTCAGCAAGCTTTCATAAGCCTTTTGTGCTTTCACAGCATTGTGAGCGATGCGCTTGATACTCGCTCGGTTTTCTGCGTATGAGACATCTAGTATCTCTGGTTTCTGTAGGTGCTTAGCAAAGCCCCAGGTGAACGTTCCCTTGATATGCACTGCTACGTCAGAGCCCAGAGGCTCACGTTGAATGACTGTGCCACGATGGCCAGAGAGGCTCTTAGCGCTGCCAATGGCTGATCCAGCCGCGAGGTTGTCAGCCACATCGGGAAGACTCAAGAAAGCATTTATCCTCTTACCACTGATTATGCTAACTATCAAGGAATTAAGTGCAGTCGGGATAAATGAAATGCCTTCTGCAAGTAAGACAAACACTAGTGATGCAGAATAACCTGCTGCATCTGTGAGAAGCCCATAACTGGCTAAAGCTGCAAATCCAAAGAGCATCATCATAGGCAGACAGACCTCTCCACAGATGTAAACAAAAGCCTCGTTCATCAATAGCTTCTGTAAATATCGTAGCTCCTTCTTACGTGCATAGCCCAGCCTAACCGTGTGGATGTCTTCCTGGCCAAAGAACTTTATCACCTTTATGCCTTTAAGAATTTCTGATGCGATTCTTATGCGCGAATCACTGTTCATTAGGTAAAGGGAAGTGATACGCCCTTGCATGGACGTAATGTAGAAGGATAAGGGCATCGCTATCGCAAAAGCAATCAATCCCATCATTGCTGCCGGATGAGTAAAAAGACTAAGGTAGATCGCACTATAGATAACAGCAATGAGTAGTTCGACCAAGATAGGAAGCCAGATGATCACTATGAGGGTATTTTGGACGTCAGTAAAGAGAAAATTGATGATAGAGCCAGATAGGACGCTGCTCTTTGTTAGCTCTGAAACAGTCAGCAGCTTGGTGAAAAGACGATCTTGCAGCGCCATTTGCGTCTTGAACAGAATCTTTCGTGCGGTGAGAAACGTAATGCTGGTGAAGAAGGTGTACACTAGGCGCGCCACTACAACAACGAGCACCCAAACAGCTGACTGACGGAACAGGACTGAGAGCACAGCCGGCGTCGTTACACCGGAAACACCTTGGTCCAACAATAAGTTGGTGCGGATGGCCCTAACGTTCTCAGGAGAGAGAATGGATACCAGAAAATTGACCGTGATTGGGGTACAGAGCGACGCTAGCTTATAGATCATCGCTGAGAAGATACACAAAAGAAAGTCTCGCAGGTTCATCTGCAAAGACAGGCGTATGATGTTAGGGAACTTCTTGCCTTCGTTGCTATGCCGTGCCAGCTTCGCTTCAGCAGAAAGATATTGCGCAATAGATTCCTCTGTGGTCATCCCTTTTTCTAATGCATAAACGTCACAGTTGTAGAGGGCTCCTTGTTTGCTGGCTGTCCTTATCACAGGATAAAACCATGCTAAGGTGTAGAACATAAAGCGTGGGTAACGTTCCGCGAGTCTCTCCCCAGCTTCCAGCTTTGTAAACTCCTGTGCATTGTCTGGCGGCGGGGGATAGACGCGGGGTCTTATGCCCATTTTTAATTCTAAGAGCAAAAATCAATCCGGTACGCATGACCATTTCTGGAACATACCCCGGTGACAAAGGGCTCCTAAGTGCTGATGAGCTAAGTGACATCATAGAACACCTTTCTACGGAATACCTTTCCCAACCAGAGAACCTGGTAAAAGTTAAGACGGCCCTCAGAGAATACGAGCGATGCAGAAGACTACTAGAGCAGCAACAAAAGGATTTCGCTACAATGATTTTAGATGTCGAGGAAAAAAGCCGGTTGTTGGAGGAAGAAGCGGCTACCATGCGTGAGCGATGTACGCAGGCAGAACAGGAGCTCCTGGAGCTCAAGGCGGATGCAGCTCATAACAGTGACCAACTCCAACAAGAACTTCAAATGTACAAGAGCATTGCCGAAATGAATACGAGCACATCTAATAGCGCACTGTCTACGAGATCCCCCGTATCGGCCTCTCTGGTGGCTTCTGCCGCTCACTCACAGCGTATTCAAGAGCTCACTAACAACATCTCCACTCTTGGACGTGAGCTGGATGAGCTTTCACAACGAGCCCAGTCGGCCGAGTGTAGAGCACATTCTGCTGCTTCCAGACTCCAGGAAGTAGAAAAAGAAGCCTTGGAAGCCCTTGAGGCTAGCTCTGAGGCAGTAGTCCGGGCTGCAACTCTGGAGAGTCACAATCATGAACTTAAAGCAACCCTCATGCTCAAAGACTCTGAGATTGCTAAGAGCATGCAGGCAAACTCATCTGAACTGGACAGGCTGCGCAGTGAAGCAGTGAGTCGCTCAAAAGAACTCGCAGTTCAAGCAGAACGGATCCAGACGCTGTCGCTTCAAGTAACAAGCCTCACAAATGAGTTAACAATTGCCACAAAAGGGTCTGCACAGAAGCTAGAGCGCATAGCAGCTCTTGAAAGCCGGATAAGCTTTATTGCAGCAGAGTTGGATGCCAGGAACCAAAGTGTGGAGTCTTTGACGGCAGAGTTGCACGATTTGACGAACCAATCTTCCTCCCTACAGACAGAGCTCAACGATGCACGGAGACATGCGGCAGACGCCGACCTTATGGTCTCTGTTGTGCAGAAGGAGCGCGACACTCTGTCATTCACTCTTTCTGAAAGGGTTGAGCAGCTTACAATAAAGAGTGCAGAGTGCGCAAAGCTGCGTGAAGAGGTGGATCAATTATACACACAGGTGAAGGAGATAGAAGACAGCCGCAGCAAAGCAGAGCTTTCTTCGTTAGCAAGCCTCTCTGAACGAGACAAGATTGCAGAAAGGAATGCTCAACTACAGAATGAATACGATATGCTGGCAGAACAATACTCTTCCAGTGTCAGAGCCTATGAGCTAGCAAACGAAAAGCTTCGTCTCAAAGAGAGTGACGAGCAAGCCATGCTATCAGTTCTCAAGAAGCGTAACGACCTCATCAACGCTCTGGATCCCAGAATCACATTTCCGACGGTGCTTGAGATGCGAAGTGCTCCGGAGATAGTACCGCATGAAAATGGTACATACGTATTCATAGATGTGTATAATTCTGAAATCAAGGATATAAACACTAAATTGGAAAGGCAACATACTCAGATAAAAGCCCTAGAGGCGGAGACCTGTCTCCTTTCACAGAAGTTGGAGTTCTATCACAGCATCATTGAGAAGGCAGAGACTAGTGTTTCCGATTTTGGATTTGCCATCAGAAATGAGCAGCTGGAATACTCTGAGCTGCGCAAAGAGTTGCGTTCCATGGTCGAGCGCGTCTCCACCTATGTTATTCAAAAGACTATTGGAGAAGTAGATCCGCCAAAGGTTGCTGCTGGTCAATCGATACCTACTACCTCATCCGCAGACCTGCAAATAGACAAAGCACTGTCTTCGTCATGGTACGACCTCACCGTAGCGGAGATTAGTAGAGCGGCCGCCACCAGCACGCCGGCTCCATCTAAGTTGGGGCAACATCACTCTGAATTGACTAATCACGCACATGTGCCGATGGCTAATGGCATGCAACTTACTTATGATGTCAATGGCAATGAGTCTATTTCGCGCTCTGTTTCGGCATCTATTTCTCCCCGATCGAAGGACACAGTGCGCCACAGATCTAAGAAGGGACCAAGTCCTCTTAAGACAATTGCAACACGAGTGCAAGAGGCTAAGCCTCAACATCCCCAGACACTCCATTTGGAAAACACTTTTCTAAGGGCAAAACTGCGCGAAGTAAGTGAGTCCTGTATGCAGGTATTCACCCAATTGATGTCTAACCCGAGCTCCTTGTATACAAATGAACAGATTGCTAAGATGAAGGAGCAGGTTTTGAGGATAAGCGGTTCAGCGATGGACCACACAGATGGATCGTCGGATAACGGTGTCTTCACTAGTCCACAACTGGGGACCATTTTTGCTGAAGCTGTGGAGAGTGCAGAAAGATCTCTCGAGCGTCCGTCACTGTTTGATTCCAAAGACTCCCCTTCCTGTCCGGGGGGCCCAATAAACTCCATGGAGATAGTCCGCGCACCCAACAGCGAGATAGTGAAGGAGTATATAGTAACATTTCCGGCAAAAGAGAGCACAGTGTATCACATTCATTTCGATATTATGAAGAAGCGTGATGCAGAGGCAGTGCGAGTGATTGCAGATTGTTATACAGAGCTATTCTACACCTGTCAATACCAGAGCTATGCGATTGCAAAGCTTGAGGAGCACATACAGAGAGTCTGCAGCGAGCTAAAGCACTTCGAAGAAAGCATGAGAATGGCAGAGACTGTGCAGCAACAAGCTAACAGCAAGTTTCTGATAACTGTTTGGGACCTATTACAGACCTACCTAAATGAGGACTCGCGGAAAATCGAGATGTTAGACCGACGAGTAGCTGAGATGGAGCAGCATACCGCACAGCTGACATCTGACTGCACAGACAGCGTTCTTTTGCAGGAGTCTCAGCTGATGCGGTCAGCTATCCTCCTGGCAGTGGATAGAATTGCTCCGTTCATCATGATCGACAAAACGGACATCCAGGACATTCAGCATTCCTGGAGTCCAAACGAAAGCCCAGAGATCATGGATAAGATAGCACGCCTGGCCATCACCCTTAAACAGCAAACGGATGAAGTGGAGAGTGTTGACCGGGCACTATGCGGAGTTGTGCACGCACTAAGCACCCTTCTATCAGACGAGACAGGAAGCATAACTGATTTCAAACGCATGCTGACTCAGATCAAGAACGAGGTGCTGAAGAGTCATTCCAGGATCTCCAGAAGGACTGCATAGGTGAACGTAAGCGCTAAGTTTCTTACTAACTTTCTTGAAAAGGAAGTGTTTGGGATGCTTATCGATGTCTCCATCGCATTGTCTGCCTTGAGGAGGCGTACGATAGCCGCATCGACCTTTGCTGGTGACGCAGCCATAACGAAAAAGCGTAGGAACACGCGGCGCTGAAGAATGCATACATCTTCTTTTAGATTGATGAACGATAAAAGCTGCTCCTGGACAGAGTAATCGGTAACGTGCTTGAAGACGCTTCCACACGCCTCTCCTGTTCTTCTGATGTCAGAGAGGCATTTTGTCGCACATTCACTGTATAGCTCTGCGAACGTGTCCACAAAGGAAGACACCCAGCCCGTCTGCAGCAACTTTTGAAGCGTTTGAGGATAAAGCGAGCAATTCTCAATGCTTTCCCACATGTCCGGGCTAAAGTCTACGTCGCTATAACTATTTATGTCCCCGAGTGCTTGCAAAAGTAGTTGTCTCCTGTCCTCCCAAGAGGTGAGCACTGATACCTTGTGAATGAAGTCCGACAATGATAAGGATGATAATAGAAGAGTAGCGAATGACGGATGTGCCTTTGATGAACTTGTTATGGCAGCTATGCAGACAACATGTGTAGCTAGATAGGAAAAGGGATCATACGTAGGATCCGTGGCGCGTCGGTTATCAAAGTATCCTGGTTGCAGACGCAGCAACGTATTGCGCAGGCGCTCCCAACTGTCAACTGGTTGTAGCGACGGTGTCTCAGATGATGTCATCGGTGCTTTAGTAAGACTTAGTAAAGCTGACGCCCTCTGAATTAACGCCTGCATTCGCAAATTGCTCGGCATATGTCCGGTATGATAGAGGCCGAAGCTTTCCAGTAAGTAAATATTGTCTGTGCAGGGCGGCGCTTTCTGCTCCTCTGGCGTCATACTCACTACTGCACGAGATACCAGGTCGCGCACAAAGGGTATCCTGTAGTACAGGATAGACAATCCTGAGCAGACATAAAGAAACTTTATGCTAGGACAGGTGGAGGTAAGAAGCCTAAGGGCCTTCTCGCCAGACTCTCTGAGGTCTAGCCTCAACAGTTGAGCCGCAAGATACAGAGGCGCATGAAAATCGGCGCATCGAATCACAATGGAAATAAAACTGTCCAAATCATCATTTACCATGACTTTCGACTTAATATTTTGGAGTGGCGAGGCTTGCATGAAGTAGAAGTAAGTGCGTGGATCACCCAGGCCGTGTAGATCGATATGCCAAGATACGCCGCCGGATGGTAGCAGACGATGCATATTCCTCCGGACCATTTCCATTATGATCAAGTATGTCATACTCGTCCCCCAAAAGCAGTCCGATTACGCTCAGGTGGCCTGCAGCTGCAGCATACATCAGAGCTGTATGTCCGCTACTGTCCTGCAAACGTAGTAGGTGTTTCGCTTTCACAACTCCAGCTAGATCCCCTGTGCTGGCAGCTAGCATCAGGTCAGTAGCTAAAGCTTCCGAGTTGATATCTATCGTAAGGATCTCTTTGGGAGCAGAAGAGGGTGATGATTGATTAAGCGTAGGCGTTCCACTTCGAGCAATGGGCATCTCTTCCATGCGGGATAGGCTATGAGCGCGCTTCTGCTTTGGTGACTCATTTCTCCCTCTTTTGGCAGTACTCTGGATTGCAAGATCAGACTGCATAGAGGTAACCTCCTCTTCACTCGATGTCTTGAACAAGAATGAGCGCCTATGAGTCCCATCTGCAGAGGAGCGTCGAGTGGACCGGGGAGCCACGTCCCGAGGCACCTCCTTGTACAGTAAGGAGGAGACCGTCTTGGACAGCGCAGGGTAGTCTGGATGACTAATGTGGAAGCCTACAACGTAATTACTTGTTAAATCCATGTGCATGTAAGATACAATAAAGCTGGTCAGGTTCAAACAAAACTGGTTCCAGGCACCTTCTTTAAATGAGGCACTAGGGACTAAATTAGATCCCAGCTCTTCCATTACCTTCGGAAAGTTATACTTGAGAGGAAGCAAGCGCAGCATAAAGCAGGAGTTGCCGAAGTAGGCGATGTTGCAGGGGTGAATAAGTGCCGACAGGTCCAAGAGTCTGACAAAGCGAGTTTCAAATACAGCCTTACCTATTGACAGCAGCGTTATAAACAGAGAAGTAAGTTCAAAGTCTGTGAATTTCGCCTGTTGTGCCTTTAGTTCATGAAGCTTGCTCATCAGAGATGGAATGTTTGGCATTGCCTTTGGAAGCAAAATGACACGATTGCGCTCTTCAAGATACACAAGCCTGGCATAAGGGGAGACGTTTGGATGGTAAAAGGCCTTGATAGCAACAAGCAGTGACCGGACGTTGTCGGGCTGGAGTTCAGATGTGGAGTAGGTTAACGAGGAAGTGGAGAAGAAAAGCTCTGCATTAGTGCATAGCTGTAGTGATCTGAGAATGTACGATTGATTAAGGCTGGGCACTCTGGCCGTACATGCGGCGTTCTGACTGGAGCCAACGGGCGAAGAAGCCGGAAGGACGCCAACCGGCCGCTGGATAGCGTCAAGTATTATTTCTGTGCTCGGAGACCTGGCGTGTTGCGACTGTGAAGAATTGTATCCAGATTGCTCAAACTTTTCGATCAGAAGTGAGGAATTAGGGGATGACATCGTGCTGCTTGAAGGCATCCCACTTCGAAATGGAGGGCTCTTGGCCGTGGGGGACGGGATTTGAACGCGCAAGGAGGTCTCCAGTGATGCTTCCTGCTCATCCAGAAGGGCGAGAATCTCTGGATCATCGCATAGTTCGCGCACACCGTTGCCCTCATGGTCACGGATGTCTGCTTCGTATGGGAGGAGTTGGAAAATGGCTTCCTTAAATGCGGTGATTATGGCATAGAGTAGAGCTGTACGGCCCAGTTTATCTCTATTTGTTACCCATAAGTCCAGGCTTTCTTTGAGTTTAGAGCTGTCCCGCTTAAGTACCAGCAGAATCAAAGGTGATGCAGGCCGCCCTATCATTTCAAATTTTAAACACAAGCCCTCTGGCAAAGGGCTGCATGATCCGATGCACGACGCATGTGGTAACAGTTAACTAGTGGGTAATCTGTACCTCTGCTCTTTTCTTTACAGATCATATGTTCCGTTTCAACGAAGAGATAGATGACCAGGTACAGGAAATAGAACTACGGCATGAGTTTCCAATAACCCAGAAGGATCTGCCGTAGATCCAGAAGCATGAAAATAGCGTGTTTTAACTAATTAAATCCAATGGGCAACTGTCTCAATGTCGTTTTATGCTCACAATTCTCAATCAAAAAACATAGAAGCGCTGCGAGTGTATCAAGCGCTGTGAAATGGGCAACATTTGCAGTAGCATGGAGGAAGAGTACTACACAGAGCTCAGGAAGGGAGTGGGAAATGACCTCGTTAAGGAACTGCAGTATGACTTTGCTTCTGTCAACTTTCTTGAAACCTTCTATCCTCAGATGGTCGCACAGGACTTTTGGTCCATCGTTAGGCAACGTTCAAAGTGCAAGGAAGGTGACAAAGACGCGCGAGTTTCATATAGTAGCTTGCGTCGATACTTGCGCAAAACCTACAACATGGTCACAGACACTGACGTGGACACCCTCTACCGGATAGTACTGCCCAATGTGCGGAGATCCCGTGCTGCAATTGAGGATTTGAAATCCGAGAAAGTGGACATTTTGACCTTTATGCGGATCTCCTACTTGTTCTACAGATTTTACGACATCCTCCACGATCCGCAGATATGGATATTTTATTGGGCAGATACATTTTATACAGGATACGCATCTCTAATGACTGTGCAGGCTCTCACAGCCTTTACGTATCAACTCGACAAGAAGGATATGCGGTACCTATTCCGCGTGATACAAAACTCGGCTGGATGGATGGGGATTGACCAGTGGCCGATCCTATCCGAAGGTCTTGAATCTCTTGAAAAAGTGTCTAGAAGTACTCAGGTCTATGCAAATCAGGAAAAACGAGCAGTTGTCTTCAAACGGAACAGAGAAAAGGCCATGGCAGATAAGAATTCGCTTGAGAAGGAGGTAGAGCGGGCTACAGAAGTTCAGAACGAGGGCGCAGCCACAGATTCCATACCAGAGCAGCAAGGGAATACCGCATTCTTTTCACGGAAAAACCTAGATATACTGAACAAGCGGGCTCTTCTCCTAGCCCAGGGTGTCAATGAAATAGATGTAATGCGTCTTTTAAAGATGAGCACGAGCCAGACTAGTGCCCATTCCCCCAACGTCCCAGCCCCACCAGCCATGGCTTCGCACGGAGATATGTGGGGGTCATCAAAAGATAGTAAGGTGCCCAGTACGCATGAGAAACTAGCTGGGGCACCAGAGAGTGAAGCGGACAAGGCTGTGGTAGAAGCTGAAGTCGTGGGCGTTGCCCGGTTGGTACTCACCCCAATTAGGGAAGATGCGTCATCAGAAACCTAAGGTCAGATAGCCCTATTAAAGATTTCCACGTCTACAAGCGTAGACATTAGACTTGAGTTAGTAATGTTAGTAATGTTCATACGACTACAGACGTAGCCCTAGAGAGAAAAATAAAAAGGCGGAGTACACATGCAGAACCACTCGTTCCTCGGAAAGACCGTCCTGATAACTGGCGGATGTGGCTTCATAGGGTCTCATTTTGTGGAGGCCTGCCACGTTCTCGGCATGACCGTCTACGTACTAGATAACCTCTCATCAGGAAAAAATGTGTTTAAAACCACGTCTGACTGCAGCTCGTCTTTGGTGTACACCATCGGAGATATCAGGGACAAAGCAATTTTCTCCCGCCTCCCTCAGAAGATAGACTTTGTCATTCACCTCGCTGCAGCCGTATCAGTTGCAGAGTCGGTTACTAATCCCCAGAAGTACATGTTGACAAACGTGGAGGGAAGTAGGAATGTTTTCCAATATGCCGTCGATGCCAAAGCATCCGCTGTTCTGTCTGCGTCCACGGCTGCATACTACGGAGATTGTGGGAAAAGCGCTATCACTGAGGCCTTCCCATATGGAGGGATCTCTCCATACGCAGAATCTAAAATGGAAATGGAGAGACTTGGGGCCGAGTTCCAGAAGACCTCGCGCTGCAGATTCATCTTCTGCCGATTCTTCAATGTGTATGGGCCGCGTCAGGACCCATCGTCGCCCTACACTGGAGTGATGTCCATCTTTATGGACAGGTGTGCAGCAAGGAAGCCGATAACCATCTTCGGAACTGGGGAGCAGACCCGTGACTTTGTGTTCATCAAAGACCTCATTGTCGCCGCCATAAACCTGCTTGGTCAGCTAGACAAGTTCCCTATTGGAGCGGACGCTGTCCAACAGAACGACCCCGAGGAGGTCCAACGCAGTGCATATACTGGCGAAGGCGTATACCCGACTGTTTTCAATATAGGCTCTGGGATATCGATATCGGTCAACGAGCTCGCAGAGTTGGCAAAGATTGTGAGCGGGAGACACGAGGTGGAGATTGTGCACGGGGAGCCTCGCAGTGGGGATATCCTCCATTCCCTCTCTGACTGTACCCGTATCCGCAATGCCACAGGATGGTCAGCTAGCACGACCCTGCGCGTTGGCATGTCTGAAACATGGGGATGGGCAGCGGGTGAGATCTCCTATCTGTCTGGGGACCTCGTCAGAGTGTTGGAAAATGAGCTTAAGATCGATGGAGTCCCGGTGGCCAAAAGCCTCTGTGGAAAGGATGCGGATGTCAAGGAGATTGGTCTATAGCTCTGAGTATGAAGCTCTGCGTAAACCTTGCAAAAGATAAATTTAGAGTTAGATGTTGCCGAACTTAGCATCGGAATACCTCAACAGGCACAGGCTTCTGTCCAGGATCGAGGACGCACTGAACACGTGCATCGCAAGCAACTTGGATTCGCCTGAGGCATATATTGCATCGGCTTTGATGCAGATGTCCCCCGGCCCATGCACGATCACCAAAGTCATGCTTCTACCTACAAACGAAGTTCTGTATACCGTGCGCTTTTGCGAGATCCTTCGAAGCTTCACATATCAACTGAAACCGGGCAATTTTAATAAGCTCGCTACACTGTGTCTATCTTCCATTTCAGTGGGTGCCCTGCCTTCTGAGACTGTCCGTGAGTTTCTTCCTTCACTGTCCTTATCCACTTCTACGAATAGTGTGACACCGTCAACTGGGTCCAGAGCGCAAAGTTCGCAGAAAGATCGTGCCAAGTCTGAGGCAAAAGAAGACTCCAAACAAGACCGGAATTCGTCTGCATGCGTGACTACATATGCAGAGCCTCTATTTTTCGATGAAAATCTCAAAACTCCTCTGCACGACATGAACATATTCGAAAAGGTAAATAACATTTGGCCGCTCCTGCTGAAGCACATTGGTGGCGACCGTGAGCTAGGCCTAGAGCTATATGAACATCTTTTTGATATGAGCCTTCAGATGCTTTCGTCGTCTCGCATACTGGAGCTGCGAAGGCGGGCGACAAACGTTAACAGCCTAACGATAAGGTGTCCCATCCCGATGTTTGTTGTGTTTTCATGGGGCACAATTCTCAACCTTGCCCTTGTACCAGTGGGCAGTTCTCTGCTCTCATTTCAGGCATTAATTCACGAACTGAACAGTTATGCCACTAGTACGCTTATGGGTGATGGAGCCGCTGGCTCAGGTGCAACCAAGAAAAAAGCTGATGTGGCCACTTTGTCTGACCCTGGAGCAATCTTTCCTATCTTGCTCAAGCAAGAGCCAGGCCTTCACGTCTCAACTGAAAATCCTGCGACAGTGAGACTTCTAGAACTCAAGGACGAATATTTCGAGATGCGAACATTTGACAGCGTGAGGCCCACCGTAAGGGAGAAGACTGCAGGAGCGCAAATCAACAGGCCCAGTGACCGGCTAAGAAAGTACTTTGGTGTAGTCGCCATCTTTCGTGCTTTGGTCGATATTCTTCAAAAGACCAATGAAGACTGGAGGCGTTCGGCCAAGATACAAGTCACATTAGACTTACCAGAGATAGTAGCCGATATGAAGTGCGTTACAGCAAATGCTGACGACGTACTAAGGGAGCTGAAGGAACGAGTGGATGCGGTTTACCCTAACTGCAGATCCATCACTCCCAATTACTCTAGCATGGTTGGATTCCTCAACTCCTTTGAAGCCCGCCCGCTTGTTTCTGAATTCGAGCTGTTCCTGTTCAACATTCTCCTGAGCCAGAAATGGGGCCATTTGGACATGTCGTTTACTGACTGTAAGAACGTTCCGGAGGAGTCTGTCAGCATAGAATACGACCCTGTTGCTGAGGCTGCCAAGCAAGAGGTAGCACAGGCCGCACCAAAGAAGGGAACTAAGCAGCCGCCACCACAAGCTCAGCAAAGCCCTCCAGGAGCTGCAGACGACTCTGGCTACAAGCCCCCTATCGTTTACCAATCTTACTCCAAGGAAGCTGTGGCTCGCCAAATATTGACGTCCATGTCCCAAAGCATGGCGCTGACCGAGGTCTCAAGGCAGGTCGGAGCTGTGCGTCCAGAGGAAGCGACTGTGTCGCTCTCTCTGTTCTTTGATAGCATGCCCCTGGTAAGTGCTCTAAATACTAAGCTTGCCAAGTACTTTCCCGTCCTTAGCGCGCAAGTCAAAGCAAACACGAGGCAATACACGAAGACTCCTGCCATTTGTGCCCTCGGTCAGGCCGAATATCTTGATGCTGTGTGCATACATTGCCACAATCTGGAGCCCGCAAAGGCCCTTCACTACCCAACAAAACTGATGCTACCCCAGGGATCACGCGAGAGCACCTCGTCGATAGCTGGCCAGGCTTCCATAATGAGCTTTAGAGGGGGCGAGAGGCAAATGGGTATCACGCCGAGAGCAGGGTCTAGGTTCGCTGGCCCTGGGTCCCAGGTCTCTGCGTCTGATCAGCGCGCGACGGCTTGTCTGAGCAAGGACAGCGTCGCAGATGCTGGAAGAGGTCTTACGCGAACAACGCTCCTAGATGATTCTGCATCTATCAGTAAAAGCCTCAGCCTAGTAGATGAAGTCAGCATATGTGAGGAGCCGACTAGCTTTAAGGGGATAGTGTTGTCTTACCAGGACAACGAGTCCACTGTGCTGACCACCGAGATAGAGAGTATGCCAGGAACCCAAGCAAACGAGGACGTTTCGCAGCGTGAGACTCCAAAGGAAAAGGGGAAAGAGAAAGAAGCGCCAAAGGCCAAGGACGTAGGCGCCGTGAGTGAAAACAGCTACATAAACAGGGTTACCTGCGCTCTGATTTATGGCTACGAAGGACTGCATATCAGCAACGTCAAAGAGATAGACGAGTTTGTCAACGTCTGCATGTACCTGAAGAGTGATGGACGTCTCGTTTGAGAAAACGGCAAATTCAAAAAATGGAACCAGTGAAGGTCCTGTCCTACGCAGAGCCCCTGGACACCAGGATATCTGACCAGTACGACGGGAGTCCCAAGGCAATTGTTATCTTTGACGATCACAAGACATTTCTAGCTCGCCACGAAACCCCCATTTTGACCATCTATGAAGCTCGCAGCTACTTCAAGATGCGGCATTCTGTTCTCCTCGAGATTTTTCCATCGTACTCGTTGGGGACGTACATGGATTCGCTCGTCATAGTGTTTTTGTGCCCCATGGAGTGCGCTGCCTCGGCATTGCCAGTGTACAGCACAGTGAGCATATACGTGTGCAAGACGGCCCGCCCCGCAGAGTCCGGCCTTCTGGGTAGGGCGTCGGCGCTCTCGCGCTTCTATCATGAAACAAAGTTCTGCTCTGCCTGTGGCTGCATCCTTAAGCGCATGCTCTCCCCGCAGCCTCTGAGGTGGGAGCACCGTCACATGGGGGTGAAATTCACACACAGGTGCGTCATAGGAAAGCAATGTATACTTTGCAAGAAGATCCAGCGCCCACCGTACTACTCTAGCGTGATCGGTATCGTCGTGTCAGATGATAAGGCGCTATGCTATCAGCGCAGAGGGAGCCTCTATACACATGTCGCGGGGTTCGTTGACCCGGGCGAAGCAGCGCGGACAGCTATGATTCGGGAAGTCAGAGAAGAGATGGGAATGGCCCTTGACCCCGGGGGCTGCAAACTGATGTCTCTTGTCCAGCCCTGGCCCACCAGCTCCAGCCTAATGTTTGTGTTCTACTGTGCAGCCAGTAAGATGGCAAGCGCTCTGCCTCTGTCCTTCAAGGACTGTGAAGCCTCAGACGGGTTCTGGGCTGATCTAGCTAGATATAAGGGTGCAATCCAAGACGAAAGCATAGCAGTAGAATCCCGGCAGTGGCTTCTCCCAGATAAGAAGAGTGTAGCACGTTGGATGTATGACGTATTCTTCAGCTCCGTCAGCTCCCGGCCCGAAGTCCCTCGTCAGTAGGCTTGAGAGCTGGGGATGTGTAGATAAGACATGAGTAAAATTATACCGATGTGTTATATTATACATTCCCTGCCACAAAACAACAATACGGTGGCAGGGCCGGGCTGAAAATGGGTGACCAGCATAAGGGCGTCCCGAAGGTGGATCTTAAGGACCTAATGGACGGGGACATAGTTTCAGAAGAGTTCATAGACGACTACAAGAAGGTGTCATCCTGCTCGGGGAACTGCAGCAGTTGTCAGGATAAATGCAAACAGTTCTTTAAGCCCAAGCAACGCTTCAAGGTATCCCTTCAAGAGCAGAACGTGGTTATAACCGCCAAGCTGATGCGCTTCGACCATATAATTTTTATCTTGTCGGGGAAGGGCGGCGCAGGCAAGTCAACCTTAGCAATTCAGTTGGCGTATGCCCTCGCAGAGCACTACGACTACAAAGTCAATCTGTTCGATGCGGACATCTGCGGCCCGTCCATCCCGACTCTTACGTTTACACAGATGGCCGATACAAACATCTTCGTTGAGAATCTGGGCTGGGATCCCATACCCCTCACAGACAGGATCCACCTTATGTCCGCTGGCTATCTGGTTGGGGATAAGGACACCCCGATAATCGTCGACGGCGACGGGAAGGAGGAGTTTCTGCGGGAGATGCTCTTCAACACAAACTTCGAGTTTTGCAGTTCCAGGGAGCGTGAGGAAGGCTGCAAGAACGTGCTGATTATTGATTTTCCTCCGGGGTCGTCTGAGGAGCATCTGGTGATGACTGCGTTGGTCCGCCGGTGTCTGATGAGCGACTCCATGGTGCGCTTGAGCAGCTCCGGTGTGTTATCTGCGGGCCACGTTAACTCCCAGGATCAAAGCAGCATATTTGGTGATATTGGGGGCCGTTTGGACGGGGCGATTAACACCCATGAACGCCATGAGGCTGCAAAGTCTCTGCTGGCTGCCTCGGCCGCAGCTGGGACAAAAAGGCACCTGCCAACCATATACAGCCTCATCATCTCTACGCCTGATGAGGTCTGCCTGTCCGACGTCCGGCGTGAAGTTCTATTTTGCCGGACGATAGGCCTCGCCGTCAGAGGGCTCGTCCAAAACATGAGCGGATTCGTCTGTCCGCACTGTGGCACAAACACAGAAATATTTGTCCCCCTTACTGGGGGCTGCGAGAGGCTGTCCGCCGAGACAGGCATCCCTTTGCTTGGAAGCCTGCCCATCGATCTGAGCCTTTGCGAAGCAGCCGAAGAGGGCGGATCATGGCAGGATTACGTTAGCACTCATGGACGTGTAGGGTATGACAAGTTTCTGGAGGTTGTTAGGCTCATGCTTGAGAGCAACGAAAAATCCGTGTAAACTGATGACCTACCGCATAGCCGACTTTCCCTTCTTCCGCGCCCTCTTTGCATTCGCCTCAGTGGACCCAAAAGTGCCCATCAGCTTCAGCACCGCGCAATCGAGGTACTTCTATGAGATCTTCAGTGCTACCACCGATAGAACCCTCTACGTGCGAGCCGTTATTTACAAAGGTACAGGAGCAAGTCTTGATAGTAGATATTCTCAAGTGGATGTGCCGGCAGAGCAGTCAAGGGTTTTTGTGCCGGTGGGAGAGGAGGAGGGAAAGCGCGTGAGCTTCTCAGTGATGTCTACCCCTATCCTCTCTACGCTGAAGCGTCTCGAGCAATTGTACACAATTGCTGGCGGTCTATCTTCGCTTCCTAACAGTGTCCAAGTATTGTTTCCAACGGAAGCAGCAGGAAAAGCTCTAAAACTTCTCCTCAGTGCCCAAGCCATACGGTTTAATGGTAGGTCCACCAAAGAAACGCCCTGGGAAGAAGATAATGACCAAGTGGGCTGCAATAGCGATGGATCTATAGCGTGCAAGTCTCGAATAAGCTTAGACGAGGCTCGTGGCGCGCAGGAAGATGTCATGGCGACCTTGGACACAACATACTACGTTCCTCTTTGCTGTGACGATGCGCTAATCGCCACGTCCATGGCAGCAGCTAGCTTTGTGCTGCACCCTAGCGACGAAAAGGTTCTCATCACACTGAGAGTGGCCTTCTTCCATGGAATGTGCAACCAGATCCTGAATTCTGCCAATTCCTTAACGGAATACAATCTGTTTCTGGAATTTCTGAAAGAATCCGTAATGAACGTTCCCTCGTACCGTATCCGCTTATCTGCGACGTCTGACATTTCAGGAATCAAAGCAATTGCGGAGCTACCAAGCAACTTGACCACAAATACGTCTGGCAATGTTTGGTTACAGTGGTCCCAGAAGAGTATATGGACTCCTTGCGCCATCCAGTTGGGAAAGTCACAGCTTGCGCTACTTACTAAGGCCCTGAAGCTATATGTCGGCACATTTGGCCCCGACAGCCAGATGACGTTGATCATCACCAAGAATTACGAACTAGTTCTGCGAATCCCTCTGAACACTGCTGGTGGAGACCGCGCAGCTATCTTCACTTTCATTGCTGTGTGTGTGGGGTGTGACTTATGAGGTCTGGCTCCTTGTCGAAAAGAATCCGCCTGCTGATCTTGGCTACTCTGAGGAGACCTTTGACGCGACCCTGGTCCTGCTCTTTGCGCATAACGTACAGAGGATGCTCTAGAACGATCACCTGCCCTTCCATGTGTTGATTACCTGTCCTGAACCATGCCTTGTCGCCCTCCAACGATAGACTCCCCAGGTTTGCATCGCATAGCGTCGAGAACTTTCCCTGAAACTCCAGGATTATGTGCTCCGGCATGGTGTCCTTCGTGGCTCCGTCGGCATCCTTGACAAAAACGTTCAGAAGCATAATTTTGGGCTGTGGCCGTCTATAGAGAAGAGGAATACAGGAGGAAGCTGTTTACATGACAAGCTCATGGCTGGATGTGGAACATGCTGGTGTCCTGGAGATTGAATTCCCTCTTCAGGATGGCCAGCAGGTTTTTCTGGTCCTCATCGGTCTTGTCACGCATCCAAATGGCGATAAACTCATTTGCAACAACCTTCCCCCTGCGGAACTCTATTCCGGTGACCTTCGGGCACTCGTCCAAAAGGCCCCTGAAAATCATCATTAGTAAATACTCCCACACCATGGATGCATAGCCCGACGCGATCATTATCTTGATCCTGATGCATTTGACATGCGCAGGATCCTCGAAAGCCGGTCGGATTCCCTTCTTGAAGAAGTGGTACCCCTGATTACAGTCAATAACGTTGGGCCGACGCAAAAACTGATAGCAATTGAAGAAGGCCTTAAGGGAGTCCGTCGTCATTATCGGGTGTATGTTGTCCATAAAGTCTGCTAGATGGCTTTGATCCCCGTGCCGGTCCTGATTTGAAAAGAAAAGCGTCCACTCGTCGTCAAGTATAATGTCCTCCATTTATTTTTTAGGCACGAGGTCAAACGCACGGTTCTCCGTCATGCGCAGCCAGTGAGTAGATACGTATGGCTTGTTTTGTGGTCCTTCAATACAAGATCCGTCTCCTTAGTTTTTTATTCCACGGCTCTCCCTGCGGGATTCCCTGCAGGTCTCCCTGCGCCACTGCTCCGGGAACGGCCACGGAAATAAAATGATGGTACTTCTACCATTCTTGCTATTGCTATATGGCACACTTGGCAGAGAGCCTTCCCCCTTGTGGGAGGGTGACGACCAGATGGACCCCGAGGGCGGCACGATATTCCCCTCCGAGGATGAATACAACGAGCTTCCCGATGGACCCGACAACGCAGATCTGACCCGCGCAGCGCTCCCTACCAACTTCACCTACCGGGGCCACCGGTGCATCCAGATCATAAACCAGGGCTCGTGCGGCTGCTGCTACGCGGCGGCGGCGGTGGAGATGGTCACTGCCCGGCGGTGCCTCCAGCTCAACGACAGCAGGCTTGTGAGCCTCGAGGACCTCGTCACGTGCGACCACACCAAGTATCTGAACATCCAGAACAACGGGTGCCGTGGCGGCAATTCCCTTGCGTCGCTGAAGTTCGGAGAGACGACGGGCATGGTGTACGACACCTGCGAGGACTACTGGAACCGGACGTATCCCTACCCCACGGAGACGTGCAAGACCGTCTGCAAGGATAAGCGCCCCAAGGACCGCACCATTAAGAACAAGGCGCCCTACAGGCTCAGCGGCGTGGACGCGATGATGCGCGACATATACCAGAACGGGCCCATTGCGGTCTCCATGTACCTGGCCAACGACTTCCCCTCCAAGGACAAGAAGGGCATCTACAGCTCCGGCCCCAATACGAAGCTGGGGGGAGGCCACGCCGTGATGATAGTCGGGTGGGGCGAGGAGAACGGTGTACCCTACTGGGACTGTGCGAACACGTACGGCACCAATTGGGGCGACCAAGGCTACTTCAAGATCAAGCGCGGGTCCAACGAGCTCAAGATCGAGACGTGGCCCGGTTCAGCGCTGCCTATAGACACGACTCCTAAGCCGGAGCCCCAAAACGGCACAATCACTGTAGAGGCGGCCAAAACGTACATTGCTGGATACGAGATTGCAATACCGTACAAGGAGGTAGCGACCCCTGCAGAGCTCCAGCTGAAGTCAGAAGCAGGAGCGGTGACGTCGCTCGTTAAGCTGACGACCTCTAGTGGCACCGCCCGCGTTACCATACCTCGAGACACGTCTGCAGGGCAATACTACCTGACAACCAGCACTGGAGACGCAACGTCTGCGCGCTTCTCGTTGGCGTCCTACTTCACGCTGGCATTCGACAAGACTAGCTATCAGGGACAGGAGGGAGAGAGCGTCACACTCCGGTTCGCTGCACCGCTCCAGGTGCCCTGCAAGTTGATGGACGGCGCGTCTGTGCTGATGGAGCTCAGTAAGGGGGCGCAGTCCTGCGTGGCCCCGTCGAGCATGAGCGCTGGCAGGCATGCGCTGACCCTGACCACGTCCGACACCGTTCCCGTCCTATCCGCAAGCGCAGTGCTCACAATAGAGAAGAAGCACAACGATGAAGCAGTCATCACGATATCCAACCCGGTCGCCGGCGCACAGGTGACTGCGTTGGCCGAGGGCCTGCAGATTTCGTACGCCTCAACGGGGACGAGTGCAAAGCTGCTTCTCCAGGCGTATTGCGGAGAGCGACTGCTGGATGTCATCGCTGCTGGCCTGCCTCCCTCGGGAAGCATCGAGGTCCGCCTGCCGTCTTCCTATGGCAACTGCTCAGCTGCGTACCTCCGACTGCGCTCAGAGACGTCCCCCTTCGCGTACGCCGATGTGGGACCGCTGCATGTCACGTCGTACGGCTACCCTGCAGATGATCTCCCGGCCCCGTCTGATAAGAAGGATCCCGTGCCCGACCCGGAACCACAGCCCGACCCAGATCCCGAACCTGAGCCCGAACCTGAGCCTATTGGCGACGTGCCCCTGCTTATTACGGAGCCGTCTACGCAGAGTGTCTGGGTCCCCGGCGGTGCAGTTACAATCCGATGGACCAGCAACCTAACGGCCAGCACTGAGATGACGATCCTTTTGTACGAAAAGGTCGGATCGAAAAGCTACCTGCGCCACACGTTCACCCGCTCTGCCCCTAACACGGGGCTCTATGCCGACACTCTTCCGGCCTCTGTCCCCTCTGGCCCTAACTACTTCGTCCGCATGCGCTCCAACAGTCCCATGTTCACGAACACTTCGGATGACTTTGAGGTCAAGGCGAGCAGATACCTGGTCAGAGACGTTCCAGACGCCATTACTGTGCGGGATCCTCTGAGCTTCACTATCCATAGGCACGGGTTTGTGTTTCCCTTGCCTCGTAGAAGGTTCTCGGTCACGCTAATGCAGGCAGGAAAGGAGGTTTGTGCACTTGACGGAGTCGAGGGAGTGGCAGGACTCAACACGATCTATCTAGATAGCTGTGCTGAGAGGATGCAGGAGCTCCGAGACAAACAATACTACCTAAAGCTATGCTCTCAGAAGATGGAGTGCACGGTAACGCCGACTTTCACGGTACTAGATGACACTCATTGACACACTCTGATGAACTAGATGGTAAATCTATCCTAAGCAAAGATGTTGTCGGTTACACTGGACAGACTGTCATAAGCTCCTTCCCTTCATAGCCGACCGACTTTACCGAGGCTCCGAGAAGAACAGGCCGACACCAGTTTATGCCGAGCATGCCACCAACACACCAGCCAGCCAAAACCTCTGACATTAGCGCTCACTCCTTCATCCAGACAAGTATCTAGCAAAGCCTAGAGCCCCGTGCCCTTGTTTCATTCTGCTGTAGGAGCGAAACCCAGAGGCGTCCCAAGTTCTCTGTACTCGACATAGCGAGAGGCCAAAACTAGGATAGGGACCGTCTTACCACTGCAGACCAGTGTAGGCGCACATAGAACCGCAGCAGAGAGGATCCTAGAGGCATCCTTAGCATCTTCGTACTAAGAAGGCCAGAGCTGGACAGAGCCCCTTTTCTATAATCCAACTGGAGTCCGGCACTAGTATTGGGGGAGTAAGATCCTAGCCCCTAGAGCGCAAAAGGCACAGGGTAATCCGATCCAAAGCAATCTATTCTCGACACGCATTGCAGCCAGCGCCCTCAGCAGCATACGAACAAAAGGCATGCACTTCCGATTATGCAGATCAACACAATCCATTATACGGCACAGCCACTTTTGCCAGACGAATCCCTGTGCATGGAGGCATCCAACTAAGCTACGGAGACAGCGTGGGCCAGCTGGGCGCCGAACGTATACAGAAGAGCGACATATTAGTAAGGCACCTTGTTAGAGATTCGAGCCGTACAGCGTTATCACTAGGGGACTGCTGCAGAGAAAACTGTGAGAGGATGAGGAACAACTGGATTGCCATACAACCGGCTCGAAGCAAAACCACTTTGCATGACAGAACAGCTCTCCGTGTCAATATGAATATTGTCATCGAGAATGGCTCAGGGAAGAGAAGCACATGGTCAGAGCGGATGGTATAGGAACAAGGTGTTGTTTGCCAGAACTGCGACGTGGGTGCCCAGATTACCAGATTCTGGAGGTAGATGGCATCGGTGCTTTTAGTCCTGCAAGATCCCATTGTCTGCCTTATGGCAATCTCAGAACACACGCCTAAGTGGAGAGATAGGGCGCCACCAAGGAGTAAACAAGAGAAGTTAAAGTGCAAACCTGTCGTTGGGGTCTAGTCTTTCATGCCTACACTACCCCTGACAAGGATGCATCCAACCACTCAGCTGCTCGAGATTGGAATCAGTACACCGGAAATGTTATGGCAGAATGAGGTATTCAATTGTTAGTGCTAGGTGTGGATTTTATTCTTATGTAGGGCTAAGTAGTATGATTAAACAGGTGCCCAGAGGCTTCATAGGGGAATGAATAAGGAGCCATCAGCGAGTTCGATGCTTGGGCTATAGTGTAACAGACAGAACGAGGAAGCGGGACTCTCTCCCGTGGTGCATCATGCTACTCTACTATTTCATGCGAAGAACAGCTTTGTTGCAAGGGCTCTGTATCCCCATGGCCTATCGGCTAGGGTCCGCCATCACATAATGTCGCTATCTATATCACCGGGCTTTCTATCGCTATGTAAGTCAGAGCTGCCTTCTCTGCATCATCACTGTATCAATGTACTGTGCCAGCAAAATCCTACTGTCTTACATGACACGATAGAGGTAGGCACGTTGCACATAACGAGTCCATTCACGGACAGGGGGTTTTGAGGCCTTTTATCTTTGCTTTTTCTGGCATCGTCTATCAGTAAAAGTATCCAGCAGTGCCCGAGCCCAGCAATTCAACTACTGCAACGGTGGGTGCGCAGTGAGTCTAACGCGATCATCATATGAAGACTGCACAACGCCAGGGATATTCTGTTGGATGCTCCTATCGGACTTGGTATCAAGAATGGCATGAAGGGGACATGACCATCACATAGGCTGCGTGGTACCAGTAGTGTTAGCACAGTAGCAGATCTGGATAGGCCTGAAGGTAGACAAAGCCTACAAGCAAGTGACTCGTCCTCTTTGCTGCTACAACAGGTGCAATAGCACGTGGGTCCAAAGTCTAACCATCTGGGTCACAACTGTTACATATCGAAGGAGTGGACCGCATGGGATGCAGGCACGTGCAATGAGGAATGTGAGAAGGCCACCTGGTCCAAACAGTGTCCCTGCTACTACTGTCCTCATTGCGTGGTGCACTCCATACCTAGAGTTCCGGGCTCAGACTGAACCCTGAGCCAACCCTCGAGAGATCCCATCTCCAGAAGGATGCGTCCTTCACTGTCTATGGCAGCGGGGTCAAAGAACTATGGCCCAAGTGCAGTCAGACTGGTTCGGTGTGGGGTGCAAGCGCCCACTATTCTCTCTCTGGCCGTCCAGTACCATGTGTTCTGTATCAGACAGGCAGGATCTGACGTTGCACAACACAAGAGCCCTTCCAGGATGTGCAGGGGGCTGTGTGATCTGTGATGGTGGCGCGTCTCTACCTTCGAAGATGCTGGCAGAGCCAGTGAGCCTAGTGAAGTACACCGGTAGCTATAGCGTACCGAATGGATCAAGCCCTTTGCATCCGGTCACGAATTATGCCTTTGTAACAGACCACAGGTGAAGCGGGAAACTTAGCCCTGATGGTGGCACGACTGTAATGGCTGGTGAGTCCAGAGTAACCGCCGAATTGGAGCCGTCGATGTGGTTTTCAACAAGGTACAGCAGAGCGTATGAGCCAGCTGAGCACTGATGCTGGGCTTCTGAAGAGCTGGGGCTTGGACCTCTCAGATGAAGCAGGGTGAATTGTGTTGTCCTTGCTGAGTAATCTTAGAATCTCAAAGTGTCTGGATCCGTACTTGCGTGTCCGTCAAAACCCACAGTGTGCTTTGGGACCGCACTAGTTGATAGGTCGAGATATTTGAGAAGAGCTTTGCTGTCTTCTGCCATCAGCATGCGCTGTCTCGTGGACCCATCCTGAGGTTACGCCCTTGAGTGACCAGAGGGGACCAAATGCCAGCAGAGCTGGTCAGCGAGGCAAGCCTGCTACAAGCAGCTTGTCGATCTAGCGAAAGGCATACCTACGGCGAAGAAGAGCATCTTGCACCAGTTGAGTGTGACTTAGGGCTAGGGGCGAATTGGGGGCTGGATCTGCGAACGACCGCCATTTTGCATCATCCTTGTGGCCATGACTAGGCCATCCAGGCAACACGCCTCGATACGGGCGCAGAGACTTGGAGAGTAGGATGCCCCCATAGGTTTGTTGCTTGAGTACTAAAAAATCCGGAACAACAATAACGGCTGCTGTCTCCTCGGGATGCCCATCTGTCCATAGGATCGGTCGTTCTAGCTTTGATCCACTGGACAAGTAGCCTAGGGGTATTCTGTGCCACAGTCTGACACACAGTGCAGTACAGGTACTCGTAAGCACAGCAATACAGGGGAGGGGAGTAGCATGAGCAGCCGGCGCGTTATGCTCCTGGTTGTGTACTGTAGCTTCCGCCTGTATAAAGCTACACTGAGCTAGCACGTCCTATTACCTTCCGGCGATGACTGTCTCTACCACTGCGTTCGCTACAACAAGAGACGTATACGCCTGACAAATTAAGCAGATATTGCGGCATCCTTCTCTAGTAGCGTATACAGGCCCGCACAATGCCATAGTAGATAGAGTAGATGTCATTTCATCTAAGGTGTCTACTTTGATGGAAGACAGCGCTCGGTTATACTAGAGATGCTTCTGTTTAAGCATAAGGTCTTTACGACTGCTTATCCATCAGCTACAGTGACAGCTGTATACCCAAAAGGATCCTGCAGAGCGCTCCGCCATCTTTCAAGGTGAAACATAGATATGCGTACAAAGCTAAAAATAGAAATCTGTGCATCAAATGTCATAACCCTAGTGTGATGACTGGCCTAAATCACAATGCACTCGTCAAGAGCTTGTATACTCGCTTGCATACTCGCTATTAGTATTAAGCAAGAATACAGGGAGATTTGCCTCTGGTTGCGCTCACCTCATAATGTCTAGTCCTCGGTGACACGCTTCAAGGAGGAAGAATGTCTGCTAGGTGCTTGGAAGACTATCCGTGCATGGCGGCTCCTAGAGAGCCGGTTCGCATGGAGAATGTAAGGGTAATCAACAGATCAGTGAGATAAAACTGACGCTACAGAGACTAGCTATTAGCTCGGATTACAGCAGGGACACCTGTAATGCCTCTCTGACCTCTAAACCTGGAGAGGTCGTAGGGTCTGCAGACAAGCTGGACGCTGCTTTTTGATTTTATGCATTTACGGCAGCGTAATATCTATCAAGAGTTGCTTCGTTTGGAGCCGAGGGTATTCACCTTCCCTTCGTATACAGATGAGGAGCGATTGTAGAGATCTCCACAGGCTGGTACCGGTCGATATGGTCACTATCCACACTGTCTCAGCTGCGTCCTCCCATGCCAGATGGACACCAATAATGCTTCTTGGCCACATGACGTCCTACGATGCATCTCCACCTTCGACACAGGTTGCTACACACACTGCGTAGTTTAGATTGCTCATTAGCCAAGGTGATCTGATCAGCTCTTGTCCTCTGCCCGTCTATCTCGTGCAACCACTACTGATGGCCTTTCCAGATCAGCGAGTGCTTCCATCGGTCCCGCAAGGGCATACGTCATACAGGCGACCACTACGGACTAGGGTCCTGTCTACCAAAGAAAGGGTCAACCAGTTTACTACGTAGGCATTCATTGTGCGTCTCATATAGTCCGGCAGGTCTTGTGCTCTCCAACATTCCCTCGCAAGCCTCCGACTAAAGCCATGCATATCGTTATTGACAAGCACCTTAGCTTTATTCGACCACTTAGGGCGTTAGATCCTTTGCCCTGTACAGTGGGTATGCTCAGCGTGGGAGGTTCACAATCAGCATTAGCTTTCTTGGCTCATTGTTTGAGTAATACTGTCATTGCTTCTCGATTCAACTAGCAACTCAACTAATGGTCTCAAATGCAAATGATAACTCACCAGTAGGTAGTCAGCAATAACTGTGGCGCATATCTCCGCCAAGACACGGCTTCCTGAGCAGGGGCATGAAGTGGGCCTCTGCCATTCTACGGTCCTGCTGCTCCCTCGGATAGCAAGGATCGGAACAGCCTAGGCTAACATTGATCGCTTCCGGGTCTCCATCTGTCCTCGTTGTCTGAGGTAGGCTTGACTTCATAAACTGAAAGGTACTGCACTGTACTCTGGATCTGCGAAATTCAATTAGGCAGGGCTGCCATTTCGGTGGCTGCACTGATGTAGCTGCGCACCCCGCAGGACCTCCAGAGAGCATTACAGCTCAATGGAACCCTTTATTTGTCTAATGCAAGTTGTAGCTGTGACCTTATAGGTGCAGGACTTTCTAGAATAACCGGCCAACTACAGAGTTCGCTCATTCATGTAGAGCCAACGAATAGAGAGTAACATCAGTTTCGTCGATCGTCTACAACGCACATCAGTCAAATCTCACAGGCGAGTAAGCCCCATCCACCCCGCAGCAATAAGCATCAGTAGGTGTTCTTCATAACGATAAGTAGACAGGCTTTCAACAATCACAGCACCCGCTTTCCTGTTGAAGACCTTCCAGTCACTAGCCTAGGTCAGCTTCCTACAAGATCCGTGATGGAATTGTATCAGAAATGCATGCTTATGGGACTCCCAGCTCAAGATGTATGCTGCTGGATCCCACTTTCCATACCAGTCTGTGTACGGCGGTTCTTTTGGCCCCTAGTGGAGCCATAGAAGATTGCAGGATATGATGTCCTCAGTAGGGCTTTATCTGACTCCTATAGCTATATGACAAGAAGATCCCGGCCTTCTATGCATTATTTAACGCATGCTAAGGTGCACTAGTACAACCCCTACAGTGTGGCATGATTCGTGAGTCAAGAGGTAGGACGCTTACGCTGATTGGCATGTCTCCTCAGGGCCAACTACAGCTCGGACCAAAGGTCATGAGCGAATGCTATTCGATTCCCTTATCAACAGATGGGGGTCAACTGCTCTAACACCCACAGGAGGTCACAAAAGGTACTGGACCAGGCATCCGGCCAACGCCTGGCAAACCAGCGCGGTCTCCTTGGATTCTATTCTTTCCTCACAAGCATCCACATGTAGGAAGCTCTGAGGGCTTAAAGCCTTACACTAGCAGGCTCAAAGTACTGCAAACCCGGCTGCCTCCACTAGCGATGGTAGCGACAGCACTAGGATGATCCAGAGGGGAGGATAAGAGTCCTGCTCCATCAGTTTAGGGGGTGACACAGTTTGGGCAAGGTTTTCTCCTTGTCTAGATTTAGGAGTGCTGGCCTACGCTCTCTGAAGCCCAATTGACACCCTGTCATGCGATAGGATATCTTAAAGTATTCATTACAAAAGATCAGAAATAGCGCCATGCACACCCAACAAACCAGAGCGCCTCGTAGGCTAATCTATACTGATTCACACTTCTACGGGCCTTAGCGATCACTGTAGCCTTTTCTCGGGATCTCGCACAAGACTGTCCTTGAGTGCGGTTCTCTCACGACAGCCGGGAGTCGCAGACATAATCTAAGGAAGTGATGATGCAACAGAGGCGGAAACGAGGTCATCGGCGCATGGGGGTCCGTAGGGGCCCGATCCGCGCAAGGAAGGCACAGGGAGCTGACTCATCAGGGACGTAGAGACCCCAGGAGAGGAGCCAGCAACGAACCCACGGCACAGCAGGGGCACCTGAGCTGTCTTTTGATTGGCCGCAGGGTAGAGAGGCGGCGAGCGTGTGAAGAAGTTTCACCACCTATTTTTGGATTTTTTGTTTCCCTGCGTGTTGTGCAGGGGGTATGGAGTTCAGGCCCAGAGAGCTCGCGTGGGCTGTATGCAGTAGATGTACTTAGTATTTGATGAGCTTCTATGTCCTAAGCAGAGGTATCGTAGGAGACGAATCTCTTTGGATTAATTAGCACAGTATATAGTAAGTCAGGTCTTTAGTCTTAAGTATTTTATTCTTACTCATGCGATAAGCTGAGAAGGACCTCAATGTTGTTGGTAGCTTTCTACTTTGTGCTGAGTGCTCTTGCAGCAGAATGTAGCGCGGAGGGAACTGCTAAAGATAACTGTGAAGCCAATCATTGCGAAATGGTTGGTGGCACTGAAATCTGTACGCAATGTCAAACAGGAAAGGTTCCAATTGATGGGCAATGTGCAGGTGCTACTGATAGCAACACAAAGTGCAAGAATGCTGATGGCGTTGCTGATGCAGATCAGACGTGCGGAAAATGTCTTCTAGAAACTTTCATGTACAAAGGAGGATGCTATGTAACAACCAAGGCTCCTGGTAATGTGATGTGCGGAGATGCAGCTGCTGGTAAGTGCACACAGGTTAAGGCTGGGTACTTCCTGCCGCCGGGCGCTGATAATGCGCACGACTCGGTTGTTTCATGCGGGGATACAACGGGCGTGACGCTTACTGACAATAAGAAGTACACGGGCGTGGCCGGGTGTGGTAAGTGTGAGCAACCCGGCGAAGCACAGAATGGCACTCCCAAGGCCGCCACATGCACTGAGTGCCAGGCGGATAAGTATCTGAAGACAGAATCAGGGACAACCTCTTGTGTTGACGAAGGGAACTGCAATAACGGATTCTTCCCCACCACTGATGCACAGAGTAATAACAAGAAGGTATGTGCTCTGTGTAGTGAGGCCGATAAGGGTGGCATAGCCGACTGCAAGAAGTGCTCCCTCAAAGCAACGTCTGCAAGAGCAGGTCCAATGGTTACGTGCTCTGAGTGTACTAATAATAATCTGAGCCCCCTGAAGGACGAGTGCATGCTCGGTTGCCCTGCTGGCACATATGCCAACAACAAGGTGTGCACCCTCTGCCACGAGTCGTGCGCTGGCTGCCAGACCGACGACAAGGAGACCTCCTGTACGGCCTGCTACCCCGGGTCTGTACTTGAGCATGATGGTGATCTGACTACTGGCAAATGCATCCAGGAGTGCACGGGAAGGTACGCAGAGAACTGCGAAGCTGGCCAGTGCACGGCCGTCGTTGGGGGATCCAAGTATTGCAGCAGGTGCAAGACAGGGTTCGTTCCGATAAACGGCATGTGCGTCTCTACAACAGCCCGCGCAGCCACAGAGTGTGTGGCTGGAGAGGGAGTCTGCACTAGTTGCACGGGCGCATACTTCTTAGAATCTGGCGGATGCTATAAAACCGGGGCATTTCCAGGTAACACGTTGTGCATAGCCGCAGGGGCCAATGGAAAGTGTGCAAACTGCGCCAATGGACAGAATGCAGATCCTCAAACAGGCGCGTGTCCCCCGTGTCCAGCCAACTGCTCAAAGTGCAGCGGCGATAGCGATGTTAAGACGTGTACTGAGTGCTATTCTGGATACTATCTTGACACTGGAAAAGAGTGTAAAAAGTGTTCTGAAACAAGTGGTAACATCCAAGGCGTACCTAATTGCGTGAGCTGTAAAGCTCCTTCGTCTCCTAATGCGCCGACTCCTGTTACCTGCTATGTTAAAACAGACGCCACTAACAACGGCGATAACGATAACAACGGCGGAAGCACGAACAAGAGCGGCCTCTCCACTGGGGCCATCGCGGGTATCTCCGTTGCTGTGGTGGTTGTTGTGGGTGGTCTCGTAGGGTTCCTCTGCTGGTGGTTCATATGTAGGGGGAAGGCGTAGATGTGTACTTAGGTAGTAAACGCGTCACTGTATATGATTTATTACACTATGCTGCTGGGGCTATCTGAGTGTGGCCCAGAGATCGTGCGGGTAATCATCGCTCCTTCCTGGTCAGTTCAGAGACGACTGTTGGTCATGGATAGCATAACAAGAGGGTCCTCTCCAGTGATATATTCAGAGTCTGGGCATTCCTCGGCCACTCCATGAGGATATGCTCTGTCTGGATATCCATGCCGATCTGCCTTGGATTCAGGCCTTCTTGTAGACTCTCTGCTCTACCGGTGGGGCCTCTCCTTGGTCTTCCTTCGTGGTGGGTGAGACTCCGGTCGCTGTCTTTTTTAGATGCCCCCGTCTGTCAGGGGCTGCCATCGGGGCTCTCCGCTGGCTGGGCCCCTCGGTGTCCGGTCAGCTGTGGCCCGGGCAGCGCTTCTACAGTCGTGGTCACGCAGGTCTCAGTGGGCCAGCTGGTGGGTGAGGCGGTGGGGGCTGGGCGGTGAGGCTGGGTTGCTGGGGCGGTGAGGCCGGAGGGGACTGGTGGGACCGGGTGGGGTGTTGTATGTGCCTCTGGTCCCTCGATAGACTGGGGTGATCGTAGCTGTGGTGACTGGGGGCTGTCTATCTGTGACTCATCCCTCTGTGTGCTCGTGGTCTGTGAGTGCCTCCACCCAGACAACCCTCAGGAGCCGTGCACGCCGGGACAGAGAGGATGACCAGGGGGTCAGGCAGCCCTGCCATGAGGGTGCATAGCAACCAGCCTGAGATGCAGGGCCTGCTCGAGCGATGGTAGTGGCAGACGACTCCCTCTGACAGCGACCCTTGATGACTGCACTGGTCTGCTTTCGAGGCTGAGTGACAGTGTGCACAGATGGACATGAGTGCAGGAGGACCATCCACACACGGACAGACTGTGCCCCCATACGAGAGTACCAGGCAACCACCCGAGCACCCGAGAGGCAGTGACAGACACGGGCACCAGAGATCCCCGGCCAGACACATTACTGTGCTCATCCACAGGGGCATCAGAGGACCAGATGGAGTCACCCTCACAATCAGGGTATGATAGGAAGCCAGAGGACTCAAGCAGCACAGCAGAGCAAAGGGGGCCCAAGGGAGGCACACTCCAGCAGGTGAGCAGTGGCAGAGCCTTGATAGCTGCCAGGGTCTCCATGACACCCAGGCAGGCACCAGACTCCGAAGACTCGCTGGCCTCCACCGATGATCCGAGGGGGCAGCAACCAGAGGAGTGGGGAGACCTTAGGATACCACAAGAGGCCCGGCTGTCCAGCAGGCTATGAGGCAGACAGGTGACCTCTGAGCACCATAAGGCACAGAGCCGACAATCAGAGTGATGCCCGATCACAGAGATGACCACGAGCACCATCCACCGCACTCTGAGGGGCTGTCAATCATTCACTGCCTCTCATAGCAGACCTCCTTGAGGGCAGTGCAGTGGGTCCCAGCTCATGCAGGAGGGTGTGTGCCTCCCCTGGCATAGGACACCCCGGCTCTCCCCGAGGGGTCATCAGAGCCACGAGAGGGGTCAAGGTCCCGATAGATCACACTGGGAACTCCTGAGGGCACAGCAACTGAGATATGAGTGACCCCCAGCGTGCTCCTCTCTGCATGGTAGAGCATCCTGAGACCAAGGAGGCTCACCCCTGCCTACGGACGACACACAGCGCTCCACAACGAGGACCCACCAGGAGCAGCACAGCTGACCACGGGGACAGTGCAGTCACCGGTGCCCCACCATGCCAGTCTTCTGGGCCATCACACTAGAGGCACGAGAGAACCCATCCCATCCACAGGCTCATCCACACCCCTGCTGGCCCGAGGTGAACTACCGTCGAGGCACTGGACAGGGCATGCCAGGGGCTCAGCAGACCCGCACAGAGCAACAGGAGAGGCTGCGATGGCCTGCCTCAACCCTCACGCACCAGCCAGACAGAGAGGCAGTACTGCCTGAGATAAGGGGCCAAGGGAGGCGCTCAGTCAAGGGGACACGACACGATCGTCGGTGCCTCTGTCTCAGAGAGTGCAACGAAGGCTGGGGATCAGACACAGCCACCTTAGCAAACAGAACGGGGATCACCCACCACCCCACTGACCCACCAGACCCAGAGGCACATACAACACCCCACCCGGTCCCACCAGTCCCCTCCGGCCTCACCGCCCCAGCAACCCAGCCTCACCGCCCAGCCCCCACCGCCTCACCCACCAGCTGGTCGCTATAAGACCCAAGTGACCGCGACTGTAAAGCGCTGACCCAGATCCACAGCTGACCGGACACCGAGGAGCCCAGCCAGCGGAGAGCCCGGTGGCAGCCCCTGACAGACGGGGCATCTAAAAAAGGACGGCGACCAGAGCTTCACCCACCACGAAGGAAGACCAAGGAGAGGCCCCACCGGTAGAGCAGAGAGTCTACAAGAAGGCCTGAATCCAAGGCAGATCGGCATGGATATCCAGACAGAGCATATCCTCATGGAGTGGCCGAGGAATGCCCAGACTCTGAATATATCACTGGAGAGGACCCTCTTGTTATGCTATCCATGACCAACAGTCGTCTCTGAACTGACCAGGAAGGAGCGATGATTACCCGCACGATCTCTGGGCCACACTCAGATAGCCCCAGCAGCATAGTGTAATAAATCATATACAGTGACGCGTTTACTACCTAAGTACACATCTACGCCTTCCCCCTACATATGAACCACCAGCAGAGGAACCCTACGAGACCACCCACAACAACCACCACAGCAACGGAGATACCCGCGATGGCCCCAGTGGAGAGGCCGCTCTTGTTCGTGCTTCCGCCGTTGTTATCGTTATCGCCGTTGTTAGTGGCGTCTGTTTTAACATAGCAGGTAACAGGAGTCGGCGCATTAGGAGACGAAGGAGCTTTACAGCTCACGCAATTAGGTACGCCTTGGATGTTACCACTTGTTTCAGAACACTTTTTACACTCTTTTCCAGTGTCAAGATAGTATCCAGAATAGCACTCAGTACACGTCTTAACATCGCTATCGCCGCTGCACTTTGAGCAGTTGGCTGGACACGGGGGACACGCGCCTGTTTGAGGATCTGCATTCTGTCCATTGGCGCAGTTTGCACACTTTCCATTGGCCCCTGCGGCTATGCACAACGTGTTACCTGGAAATGCCCCGGTTTTATAGCATCCGCCAGATTCTAAGAAGTATGCGCCCGTGCAACTAGTGCAGACTCCCTCTCCAGCCACACACTCTGTGGCTGCGCGGGCTGTTGTAGAGACGCACATGCCGTTTATCGGAACGAACCCTGTCTTGCACCTGCTGCAATACTTGGATCCCCCAACGACGGCCGTGCACTGGCCAGCTTCGCAGTTCTCTGCGTACCTTCCCGTGCACTCCTGGATGCATTTGCCAGTAGTCAGATCACCATCATGCTCAAGTACAGACCCGGGGTAGCAGGCCGTACAGGAGGTCTCCTTGTCGTCGGTCTGGCAGCCAGCGCACGACTCGTGGCAGAGGGTGCACACCTTGTTGTTGGCATATGTGCCAGCAGGGCAACCGAGCATGCACTCGTCCTTCAGGGGGCTCAGATTATTATTAGTACACTCAGAGCACGTAACCATTGGACCTGCTCTTGCAGACGTTGCTTTGAGGGAGCACTTCTTGCAGTCGGCTATGCCACCCTTATCGGCCTCACTACACAGAGCACATACCTTCTTGTTATTACTCTGTGCATCAGTGGTGGGGAAGAATCCGTTATTGCAGTTCCCTTCGTCAACACAAGAGGTTGTCCCTGATTCTGTCTTCAGATACTTATCCGCCTGGCACTCAGTGCATGTGGCGGCCTTGGGAGTGCCATTCTGTGCTTCGCCGGGTTGCTCACACTTACCACACCCGGCCACGCCCGTGTACTTCTTATTGTCAGTAAGCGTCACGCCCGTTGTATCCCCGCATGAAACAACCGAGTCGTGCGCATTATCAGCGCCCGGCGGCAGGAAGTACCCAGCCTTAACCTGTGTGCACTTACCAGCAGCTGCATCTCCGCACATCACATTACCAGGAGCCTTGGTTGTTACATAGCATCCTCCTTTGTACATGAAAGTTTCTAGAAGACATTTTCCGCACGTCTGATCTGCATCAGCAACGCCATCAGCATTCTTGCACTTTGTGTTGCTATCAGTAGCACCTGCACATTGCCCATCAATTGGAACCTTTCCTGTTTGACATTGCGTACAGATTTCAGTGCCACCAACCATTTCGCAATGATTGGCTTCACAGTTATCTTTAGCAGTTCCCTCCGCGCTACATTCTGCTGCAAGAGCACTCAGCACAAAGTAGAAAGCTACCAACAACATTGAGGTCCTTCTCAGCTTATCGCATGAGTAAGAATAAAATACTTAAGACTAAAGACCTGACTTACTATATACTGTGCTAATTAATCCAAAGAGATTCGTCTCCTACGATACCTCTGCTTAGGACATAGAAGCTCATCAAATACTAAGTACATCTACTGCATACAGCCCACGCGAGCTCTCTGGGCCTGAACTCCATACCCCCTGCACAACACGCAGGGAAACAAAAAATCCAAAAATAGGTGGTGAAACTTCTTCACACGCTCGCCGCCTCTCTACCCTGCGGCCAATCAAAAGACAGCTCAGGTGCCCCTGCTGTGCCGTGGGTTCGTTGCTGGCTCCTCTCCTGGGGTCTCTACGTCCCTGATGAGTCAGCTCCCTGTGCCTTCCTTGCGCGGATCGGGCCCCTACGGACCCCCATGCGCCGATGACCTCGTTTCCGCCTCTGTTGCATCATCACTTCCTTAGATTATGTCTGCGACTCCCGGCTGTCGTGAGAGAACCGCACTCAAGGACAGTCTTGTGCGAGATCCCGAGAAAAGGCTACAGTGATCGCTAAGGCCCGTAGAAGTGTGAATCAGTATAGATTAGCCTACGAGGCGCTCTGGTTTGTTGGGTGTGCATGGCGCTATTTCTGATCTTTTGTAATGAATACTTTAAG